AAATAATTTTTTAAAATTTAGTAAAGCTACTAAGCTATACTAGTTACTATTTATTTAATAAACTATTTTAACTTTTATTAGTATTATATATCTTACTAAAGTACGCTGTTATAAATAAATTAAGTTACTAGTATTATTATAAATAATAATTTTTAATAATTTAAATTATATTATTATTGCGTAGGCTTAAAAAGCTAATAGTAGTATATTTAAAAATTTAAAAATATAATTATATTTTAATAAAAAAAGTTAAAATATATAAATACGCACTTTAAGTGCTGCGTATATTAAAATAATTACTATTACTTATATTATAATTTTGCACTTTTTTTTAGCAGAATTATTTTTTAATTTAATAATAAAAAGTGCAAGTACGCTTTTATATATTAGTTACTTTATAATTTAATTTTTAATATTAATAACTACTACTTATAGTACTAAAGTATTTATACTAATAAAAATATTTAATTTAAGTGCTAGAATAATATATATATAAATGCGCTATAAAATTTAAATTTATTTACTAAATTTAGTGCGCAATAGTATATAAATTATAATATATATTAATTTAAATATTATTATTTTTCTTAAGCCTGCGCTAGTATATTTAACTAGTTTTTTTAATATCTTTTATATTATATTTTAGAAATTTTTTTTAATAAAAAACTTGTTTATTAATATAATTACTACCCTAATGTTTAAATAAATAGTAAAATTTAGCTATTATTGTTTATTTTTAATTTTAAGCTTTAATTTATACTAATTTTGTACTAATATTGCTTTATTTACTAATAGTAAAATTTTTAACTTTATAATATAAAATTATTTTAATAGTTTAAATACTTAAGCTGCTAAGTTAAGTAAAGTATATAATAAACTATTTATTTTTAGCTTTTTTTAAGTAATTGCAAAAATATTATATAATTTATTATATGCCTATTTAATGTGCGTATAAAGCTAATTATTAAAAAAAAACTTATAGCTATAAAAATAATAGTAAACCTAGTAACTTACTAAATATTTTTTTAAAAAAAATTTTTTTTATATATATTTAATAAAATAAGTTATTTTATTTTTACTATTTAACTATTTAGCGTATAGCTTTTTTACTATTAAGTTATTAATTATTAAGCAGGCCTATATATTTAAGTTATAGTTATTTAAATTCTTGCTTATTATACAATTTTTTTTTAATATAAAGCTATTAAAGCTAAATTATAATTTAAAATTATATAGTTTTTTTATTTTTTTTTTAAATATAAAAAAAACTTTACTATTATATAAGGGTACATTTTAAAACAGAATACTAAGCTTATTAAAGTACTATTTTTAATTATAATATATTTTTTAAATTTAGTTATATTATTACTTATTTATATTAAAATATATATTGTTTAGCTATTAAGTATTTAGCTATTTTAAGCAGTTAAAGTTTTGCCTATTTGTATTTTTTTATATAAAAAGTAAAGTAGATTTGTTTTGCTATTTTTCTTTCTACTTATTATAATAAAGTGCAGTAGCTATATTTGCGTTTTACTATTTTTACTATTATTATATATTAGAATTATTTTTATATTATTAAAAATTACTATTGCAGTAGCCTTAGTTCTAAAAATTTAAATTTTTATTTAGCTAATAATTATAATAAATAGTATTATTATTTATTAGGAAATTTAAGCTTTTATTTTTTTAGTTACTATATTAGCAGTAAAAAAGTTATTTACTTTAGTTAAACTTATTTTAAAAAACTTTAACTAATATATGTTTGCATTTTTTAAGTATAAATAAAAAATTATTAAATTTTATATTTAATTTTAAGTTTTATAAGTATATTTAAATTTACGCGTTTAATAAATTCTACGCATATATAATATACTAGTTATTATTATTATAATTATATTTAGTATTTTAATAAAATTATTTAACTTTTAGAAACTATTTTATTAAAAAGTATCTTTTTATTAAATTTTTAAAGCTATATTGCTTTTTTTATAGGCAGCTTAAAATAATAAATAATTAAATTTAAAAAAGTTTTAACTTTTTTTTTTATTAATTTATATTTATTTTTTTAATAATTTCTAGCTTGCGTTCTAGTCCTAAATTTAACTAGTACTAAAAAAAAGCTATTTTTTTAAAATATTAGTACAAATTATTATAAATAGTATATTTAGCTATTATTTAAAAAGTAATAATAATTTTTATAGCATTAATAAAGTTGCAGATATTTTAATAGTATATTTTATTAAATATATTTATTATATTGTCTAGATAGTTGCGCGCAAATATATTTAATTAAAAAAAATTAATTTATTTAAAAATAAATTTTAAAATACTGCTTATTACTTTTATTTATATATTATTATTAGCTATTTTAGCTTTTTTTAGCGTAAGACTTTAGTTACTTTAATTATATTATAGTTATATTAAAAGGCAAAAGTTTCTATATAAAGCTTTTAATAAATACTAGTCCTATTATATATAAAAAAAGCTTTTACTATTAGTAAGCTCTATTTTTAAAAAAAGTCTAGTTTAATAGCTAATTAATATATTATTACTAAGCTAATTTAGTTATATAATATATTTATTATATTACTTTTATATTTACTAGAAATTGCTTTTTAGTAGTAGTACTAGACTATTACTTTTAATTATATATATATAGTATTTATTTTTATTAAATTATTATTAAATGCTTTACACTAGGACTTTGTACTAAATTAATAATAATTAAGTATATATATATAATATTTTGCTAATATTATTTTAAAATTTTATAAGTATATTTTTAAATTTTTTTCGCGTAATAAATTAACTTTACTATAGTAAAAGTTTTAAAAGTAATTTTTTAATAGTAAACTAATTTTAAATTAATTAATAAAAATTATTCTAGTAATTAAGTATAATAGTTAGTAGTTTTTAGTAATTTTTTTACTATTATTTGCTTAATTGCGGTCTAGTTACTAGAATTAAATTTAAATTATTTAATAGCTATAAAAATAGCTACTATATATTATTTAGCTAGTAGTTTTTTAACTTAATTATTTATTCTAATATTATATAATATATGCTTAAATTTAAGTTTTTTAAATATACTATAAAAAGTTTTTTTTTTCTTTATAAAGTAGTTATAGTAGTATTTATATATTATAAAAAATTGTAAATTAGTAATTTTACTATTATATACTAAATTATTACTTTTTTTTTATTTTGCTTGCGTTTTTATATAAGCTAAACTTTAATAAAAGTTATAAGTAGTAAAATCTATTATGTATTTACTACTATAGTAAAAGTATATATAATAAGTATATAGTTAATTTTATATATAATTAAAAATAAAAAAAATAATAAAGTATTGCTACTACTTTTTATTTTTTTAACTTTTTAATAAGTTTGCTGTATTATTAAATATATAAATAAATTTAATAAAATAAATAATAGTTAAGTATAGTATTATTTTTATAGTATTACTAAAATTATTATAATAAAAATTTCTACTATTGCATAGAGTTGTCTTGCACACTTTTAATTTATAAAAAATTATAATATAATAAATAATTATATTTATATATTAAAAAAAATTATTTTATATTTAATATTTTATTTAGCAGCTTGTTTTTTTTCTAAATATAATAACTAAATAAGTAAATATTTTAGTTTAGCTTAATTTTTAAAAAAAGGCTATTTAAGTACAAAAGTAAGCTAAGTTTTTTAAATTAAAAAAATAATACTATGCTAAAGCTTAGCTTTAAATAGTATAAGTATTTTATAAAATTTAAATATACTAATAGTAATTTTAAATACTTTAATAAGTATAAAAAAGCAATATTCTAGTAAACTATTTAAATAAGCTATAAAATTATAAGCATGTATAATAGTATTTTTAGTAAATTTTAAAAAAAAATACTGCAATATAAAGCAAGGCTGCTTAATTATTATTTAGCTAATTAGGCTAATAAAAGCTATAAGTTATAAATTATAGTAAAAGCTGTAATATTAGAGCAATTACTATTAGTTAATATAGTAGGCTATTTTAATAAAAGAAAAATATAGTTAAATTAGTATTATACAGTATATATCTTTTTAAATAAAAAAAAGTAATAAAAAGTAGAAAAAAATAGTAGTAATAAAAAGCGCTTTAGTAGAATCTAGCAGGCTTATTATTTCTAGTATGCCTAATAAAGTATAAATATTTAGCTTTTATAATAAAAGTATTGCTAAATTAGGAATCTTTGCAAGTGCATTCTAAAAAGTAAAAAAAAAATAAATAGTAAAAATTTTAAGTATAATTATATAATTACTTAGTACTTATTAATTTTTCTTTTTTACTAAATTATAGTTTTATAAATAATAAAAAAAGTTTATAAATTATTAAATAAGTTAAATATTAGCTTTTGTAGGAACTTTTGTTTAATTAATAATAAATTATAATTATATTAATAAAAGCTAACTAAAATTTAAAATTATTATATTACTATTTTTAAAATTTTTTTAAAAAAGTACTTACTATACTTAGCAGTTTTTAGTAGCTATACTAGTACAATATTTATTTATTATAGTAAGCTAGTATTTTAGCAATAACATTAAATATATTTTTATAAAAATATAATTATTATATAAATTATAAAGCTCTTGCAATACTGCTTGCTAAGTATATAATAAAATATAATTATATACTTAATTTTAAAACTTAATCTAAAATTAGTTATATTAAAATATAAAATTTTTAGTAATATAAAACTAAAATACTATTTTAATTTTAAAGCTGCGCAAATTGTAATTAACTATACTAAAATTATAAAAAGTGCAAAAATTGTTAAATACTTTAGCTACTAATTTATTATAATATAAAAGTAATAATTTGTATTTTTAAGTTTTATTAAGCTAAACTAGCTGCTAGGTAAATAATATATTTTATTTTAGTACAGACTATCTTTCCTTGGCGTTTACGTGACATTAACAACCTTTGACAGTATAAGAGCATTAATTATTCAGCTGCCAACTAATGCTAGACCTGCTTTACTACTGCCGTTGTGCAGGGTCCCAAGGAAGAGGATGCCATATATAAACACGAAAATTGAGTGGAGGTAGTAAACTAATTTGCTAGTTCTACTTAATGAATACGCGAGGGCCTACGAATAAGTAAGTCTTCTAAAACTATATTTGCGGCGGATTTACAGGCTATTCGCACCCTTTTAACAACGATGCCGCCCAGCAAGTGGCAGATAAATATAATCAGTCGCTGCAACGCATCTTCAAGCTACCTTGCATCTTTAGCATATCACTGTGAGCTTAGTCTCAGACTTACCTCACGATCCGCAACCAGCTGTGCGACAAGTGTCTGCGCATGCTGTAAGATCCGATCTGACGATGTCTTCCCTAATAACGAAGCGACAGCAGCATTGTACCCAAACGTCAAGATCCTTGCTCGTTTCAAGTGCGTTGGAAGAAGATCACTATCCTTAAGCCAGAACCGGTTTGTTTTGTTTGTAGTCCAAGTCTTGAAAGGATGACCATTGAGTCCATGAACGGCAACAATGCTTAGACTAGTAAGTAAGTGTGATATGATTCGAAAAGGAACCGACATACTCAACAATGGGATCCTCTCCTCTAAACAACTCAACTAGACCCGTGGATTCCTCCATCACAGCGAATACAGAGGATTGCACGCGGATAGAGTCGAGACAACGAATGGTTAACAGCTAACGCGTTCGTTAGTTCGACAGGCGGAGATTGGGTAAGAAATCCTTGTTTTGGAAGAATTCCTCGACCGAAGACACGGATGAGAGTACTTGAGGATAAACGATAGAAGAAAGAGGATAGTTAGGCAGCAGATTCCCATCAGCTGGAAGCGGCTGGAGGCTAGCTACCATTGGACGAACGCAAGGCTCGTGCAGCGTTTGTGTCAAATTGATGAAACTTGGAACCCGACCCCATAGCAGCCTATAGTACCATCTCAAGGTGCCTGTTGGTACTACTGGACTGCGAAAATATTCCTGCTATGTTCATGACCCGACTGACGCGATACAAATCAAATACGCGCGCAACAGCGTCGAGGAAGATCGTACGAGGGGCGAGCGCTAGTTGCCTGAAGCGAGGCAGGCACCGTCGCTCCTTACATGGTTAGCGCCGACATTGTTTGCCTCGCTTGGGTAGTCGCGATAAGGGCCCAACCTGCTTCCCCGAATCGTAGAGTTAATATGTTTTGTCTAAGCGAGAGTACATCTAGCAATAAGAGCTACCTAGGTAGTATCCCTTGATTATAAGATATCAAGGTTACTTATCGTAGCTATTTTCACTACAGTTAAGGAACCATGAATACTTTATTATCTATTTACTAGTAACTAATCAACTAGTAGACTGTATGCTAGCTGCTCTCCTCGTAGACCCAAACTCGTCTTCGCACGTCGGCCCACGTCGGCCCTAAACAAGGACAAGTGCAAGAGCCGGCCTTCCAAAATTAGGCCGAGGTTATTCTCATTTCCTCTACAAAGCTACCGCACCGCATATAATCGGGGGACAACCAAAGCTATTTCATTCTCTAACTCCATTCAACGACCGCATCGGCTGTAAACTCGGAAGCGAACAAGCACGCTGCATCACTCCGCTATGTCTGCGACGAAACCCATCAACCGCATCACGCTTTTTAAGATCCCTGACGCGGAGGATCAAGAGAAGCTTCTAGCTGTCTACAGAGAGATGCCCAAGAACGCGAAAAAGGTGCGCAAACGTCCATGGTCAACAAGGGAAATTTATACTCTGCTCAGCTTCTGAAACGTGTTATGCAGGATGGAAAGCCGTATGTAATTTCCGTTACTGCTGGACCGGCTTTCCCAGATCAACGATCTCAAGGGTATACAGTCGCAGCGGTTTCTGTATTTGCATCTAAAGAAGATATGGTCTACTACGATAATGACTGTGCAGCTCATGCGGCCTTGAAGAAGGTTGCAAAGTCTGTACATCAGGGTGTCATGATGGTTTACTTTGAGAACAGATTCAATTAGTGGCAACTATGCGTCTTTGTACAGCTGCTGGTACTTTCTCAACCTCGATTGAAGTAGAAAAAGCAATTCAATAGACCCAAGCAATATTTCAAGCTATTGCAAGTTTGCATCCGACATTATCAAAGATCACTGGTAGTAGAATAGTCCCCAGACATGGGCGAAACCACACGAGGCTTCCTTCAACGCACAGCTCGGATTCAGAACGTGGCCTCGGATCTAGCCTATGCATACCAAGTCCCAAGTCGTGCCCCCTCCCGGACGGGATATCAACACAATCCTAGGGAGTTTGACACGTCTGTAGAAGTGGGTTTCCTGGGGACGTCCTAGCTCATCGCAACTATTCTGCGCCATGTGAGTGGTCGAATTGATCCGGTCCAGAAACCACAGCGAATCAAGGAACATCAAAAAGTCCGGGGCTGAGACTATGCCCCTGCCCCAAGCAATCGCGACGGCTTGTGCAGTGTGATAACTCTACTGATACGCTGATAAGCTTTTATGTTCCGGGGAAACAACTGGCTTGCCGGAACATCTCATTTGTCTAGCAGGGAACGAGCCCATTGTCCCAACTACTCCAGCTATACACAAGAAACTGGCCCATATCTTCACCCTAGCTCAAGGCTGCGTAAGCCTGTGGATCACATTCAGATAGTTGGAACATCTGCAGGATTTCCTGTACGTGCGCCTAGACTCCTGCCCGCCATATTACTTACCGTCTGTCGAACTATTTCTCGGACCATCGAACCTGTATCACACCACCTGAGACATTCCACCTGAGCTTCACCATCTGAGCCATACCCCCTGATCATACCTAGCGATCGAACCACTTGCTCGCATTACCCAACAGTAGCAAACATGGCACCGTCGGCCGCGCAACCAGCCAGTGATACAATCCTGCAGCATGATTCTGCAGCCAAGAATCACCACAAGGAGATGGAGATACACGACGAGCATGGTTTGATGAATATTGGCAAGAAACAAGCCTTCAAGCGTCGATTCAACTTCTGGACAGCACTAGGCATTACCTTCTGCGTTACTAGCACTGTAAGTCCGGCTTCGTGGGCGTCAACAGTCCCATCCAATACAGCACGGCTGACAATGGTTTACTAGTGGGCAGCCATCAACGGTGTCGTTTTCCAAGCGTTGGTTCTTGCTGGGCCAGTCGGTCTTCTTTATGGGTATATCCTCTGCGCTGCGGCTATGACTTGTGTGGCAGCTTCACTGGCAGAGTTCGCAAGGTAAGCCCCTTGTCATGTTGACTGGTGTCTACTGGAGAAGCATGCTGATGACAGAGTCAGCATCTGGCCCTCTTCAGGTGCTCAGTATCACTGGGTTGCTGAACTCGCTCCTAAAAGGTGGAGAGGCGAATTGGTATGTCCCCTTCTAACATAGTTCTGTCGTACAGACGATTTCAAAGTCATTATGCTTATTATTATCTCACCTTTAGTCGTGGTTTGCTGGATGGGCCACGTTTGGCGGCGCCTGGTGTGCTACTGTCTTGTGTGCAATTAGCGTGTGCATACAATCACAGGCGTATGCCATCATCTACTATCCGGATTACACCGCTCAACGATGGCACGTATATTTGGTGAGAATTTATTATGCTAGAAGGCAAGGATTCAGCTCACGATTCTCAGATATACCTCCTTGTATGCTCGATCTATCTATGCATCAATCTGTTTGGCGTAAAATGGCTGAACGCTCTTAACTGGTTTGGTACTACTGACGCCTCTAGCGTTTATTGTGTCTTCTGCTAACGACTATCAGGTATGGGTATACACGTCACTGGTTTCCTGACCACCGTAATTGTTGTTGCAGTGACGACAAAGAATAAGCAGCCCTCCTCCTATGTCTTTACCACGTTTCAGAACGGAGCAGGTTGGAAAAGTAACGGAGTTGCTTTCTGTATCAGCATCATGACTTCTATGAATGGATTTTCCGGCATTGAGTCTGCAGCTCATTTTGCAGAAGAAATCCAAGATGCACCTCTCAGTTTGCCACGCGCAAGTGAGTATAACAAGCAAGATTTTGCTCCAATGTTTGACTAATCCACGATATAGTGTTCTGGACAGTGGCTTTCAACTCTATAATTACGCTCCCATGGATTATTCTCCTCTTGTATTCCATCGGTGACCTCAGCGCGGTGCTCGCTAGTCCTATTGCCCAATCCTCTGCGATAACTCAGGTGAGATTTTACCTTACCTCAAGAAACCAGAACCATGGATTTAACTGATCATTGTAAATAGGTCTTCGCGAACTCGTTTGGCGTTCACGGTGCTATAGCTCTCTCCAGCTTGGCAACGTACTTGGCCTTTCTCGGTGGCGCTGGTACATATAGTCTATCTTGAATGCCTAACGTAGTAATGCTGATCTCTCAATCCGTAGATTCAATGGGGTCTTGCGCTCGCACGATCTGGGCAATGGCCAGAGATGATGCATTTCCAGCACCATATCGCAAGATCCATAAAACCCTTGACGTCCCCGTCTATCCCCTCCTGACTGTATACGTCACCCAGATCTTGGTCGGTATGATTTATATCTGGAATACCACCGCATTCTTCGGCATCACATCTGGGGGCATCGCCTTGTTCACCATCTCTTATGCTCTGCCGATCGGCCTACAAATCTTCCATGGCCGACACAACCCCGATATATTCCCTGGACCTTGGAGCCTCGGACGTCTTGGTCTCCCCGTCAATATCCTGGCATTTATCTGGCTCATCTTCATCACAGTGTTTCTGTGCTTCCCAATCTACTATCCGGTTACTCCTAAGAATATGTCAGTCATCTTTTTCAATCTTGTTCGGCTCCAAGTATGGAACATACTAATTTCCACTCCAGGAATTATGCTTCTCTTATCGTCGGTTCATTCGGGGTTTTGTCGTCCAGTATCTACTTTCTTTACGGGCGCGGGCGCTTCTATGGCCCGATCGTTGAAGTGAACCTTGGCGTTACAGTGGACGATGTCTCCTCGCAAGGGGCAACGGAGGAGTCGACCCAGCCCCGTGTAGGGAAAATTGCAGAGGAGGAGAAGTCCAATGCCACCTGGAAGGCTGCATAGAAAGAACGCTAAGAAAGGTTATATCGTTGTACACCAAACCTACTCTGAGAATCGTCTGTTTTCTCCGTTGTTTAGTTTGGTTTGGCTATCTGAAGCGCTGGGTCCTGATACCGGGAGCAAGGTATTGAGTTTAGGTTGTCGCTGAAAGGTGGGGGAACTTACTGTGTCCTGATAGTATAAGCAAAGGCACATGAAGCTCCAAATATTACGGTTGTGAAACAATGTTCTCCAAGTGACGGGATAATCAGTAGCGTGAAACCAAGCTGGCCTTCCTGCTCTGCTACTCAATAAGTGGTTGATCTTTCACTCAGGTCAGCAGGTTTCCGGTGTCCGTCAAGAAATCAACTGTGACGACGGATGAATGATCACTTGAACACTTGGTGTAGCAGAGCCGAGATTTTCCATTTTTGAACTTGATTGATTGCTTTCCTTGTGATGATGTAAGCAGACAGGCAGAACGCCATATAGCACTACCTTTGGTAAAATTTGTGTATGTACTCCTTGACGGATATGGGTTTGACATCTGGACACAGACCATTCAGCACGGGTTTGAGGATACACAGATCTTCCTCATCCTTTGTGAACATGTACTTCAACTCCAGCCATAACTGCCCCATAAAGTCGTCCGGATCGGTTTTGGACATTTGCAACTCAAGGTCTGCTGGCGACAGCCGTTCCACGTCGAATGTCTTCCCAGTCGCCTCCTCGGCATATTTGAGAAGGTCTCCTATTGTCAATTTATCGCCAGACATGCTCATATCATGCTGCCATTCCGAAAGTTCCAGTGCCGCTGCAACGAAGTATCCGACATCTCTCAGTGATGTTGTAGAGAAGGTGGGCCATGATCCGTCTGCTTTTGTTGGCAGCTCGGCAATGGCATTCTTGAGCGAAATCATAAAACCACCTGACCCGTCTTTTAGATCACCCTGGGCAGATAATCCTTGTATTGCGGCATCCGCACCATCAGCATATCCATGGCCACTCTTTAAAGCTTGTTCGTCGTCCAGTGAAGGCCTCTCAGAGTACAGGCCGTGACCAATGTAGTTCATGAACATGCCACAATTAAATCTGGCTAGCTCAATCCTCTCCTGGTTCTTGATACAAGCCTCCCAGACCCCCTCGAAAGTGGACTTGATCAAGCCTGTCTCATAGCCTTTGAGTCCCATTTCCCACTGGGTAGGTGCGAATCGTCTGCAGCCAGCGGCCACTGCAGCATTAAGGAGGTTGATTTGGATCTGTGCCTGCGTACCATCCATTGCAGAAGTTACCGAGATGAGGGTATCGACACCTTTGAGGCTAGGTACAATTGAGTCGACTTTGAGATAATCCACAACTTTGATGGTTGTTCGTTCGCTCTGGGGATCGATGGCCCGAAGCCATGCAGGTACCTTCAAGGACCGTGAGAAGATGACGACGTTCCATAGTTTGGTGGATGGCGAAAACAGAACACCTGACACGATTGCTCGACCAAGTGAGGCAGATGTACCGCCTGCAAGGGCAAGAGTAGGCATGGTGCTCAATATGTCCGGCGTGCAATATAGCTCAGACTTGGATAGTAGTTGGCAGAGAAGGAAGAAAATAAATGCGGAGATGATGAGAATCTGGGTTCGCGACGAATTGAAGTGGAAGAAACGAGGGTAGGAAGATACTTTTGACTGCGTATCTTTCACTTCGCGGAGGCGAAAGATTTTGGGGCTAGCTATCGTAAGTCCGAAAAGTATCAGATAGCCCATATTTTCTCAAACGCTAAGAAAGATAAGGCCGTGACTCGGAGAAACTCAGTCTCATAAGACCGTGATCCCGCGTCCACGTGGTCCGTGAACATTAAACTTCGGAACACGGGCACCCAAACGCCCGCCTACCGAGACTAATTTTTTTTTGGATCACATCAAGACAAAAATCCAAAGGCGGAAAAACTCATTATACGAAAGCCGAGATAAACTGATACGTACGTTGTGGGAAGATGTCTGCGTTAGCCTGATCCCGTGATTTATCGATTAGCGCACGGCCTCAGTCGATGCACTGCAGCAACCACTGACATTCCTACAGACTGGCATATCCCTTTCAAACCTTTGCAGTCTGCAGTCTGAGTTCTAGAGATCGTTCTCTTCTACATGGGGTGCCTTCCAATTAATTGTGGAAGCGGTGTGCACCACTGTCAGTAAACCCCATGATACGATATATGAGCCTATAGAGCTCAACATCGTAGACACATGATACTCGGCATTGTGGGCGTACACATAGGATGCAATGTTTAGGCCGTGAGCCGATCGATGATGACCGTCCTCGGCTCCCACCACGTGAATTTGTCGAGAGGAAAACAACAGACGGTGCTATTCCGAGTTATGGGAGGACGCGTTACATAAGGCGTGATTACAATAACTTTTGTCGATGTGCAACGTGGACTTCGATTCTCTATGTCTTCATTAATCTGCGTACGATGTCACCTACTCCATGGGAGTCCCGGAGGATATTCATTTGAACATTCTGTTTGAAATAATCGCAGGGTTGGTCTAATTCCCAAAGCCAGGACGTACTGTTACCTATAGAAAATTCCCACCTGCCGGCAATGCTAATTCCTCTATCGTACCTTGACGACCGTTTCGGACATCTTCTGCCAAGTGTTCAAAGTGTTCCTCTGCATGAGCAGCGACATCCAAGTCTGTCACCCAAGGCCTTCGAACATTGGAGATATCTTCTCCACCGTTTTCAACTTGCAGTGCGGCATCAACATTATTGTGCCAAGCATCTCGGAGTGTGCGGCCCCACTCGTGAGTTGCCTTTGATCGACTGTATCGAATGCGTTCCGTCACTTTTAATGCGAGCCGTACATCGCCTCCACAGCGCTGAAGACATATAGCTGCGACTTGGGCGTCTTCAATCGCCTGCGAACCACCCTGAGCAGATGTCGGAAGATGACAATGGGCCGCGTCACCAATCAGCATCGTCAAGCCGTTGTCACTGCGCCAGCAATCTAGGTGATCTCTCCAGATGAGTTTGTAGTCGGTAAGCTGCTGCTCAGGAGTAGCTTCGCATATAGCCTTGCATTGGTCGCTGAAGTCGCTGATGTAGCTTAATGCTTCTTTCTTGTCGCCTGGAAAGGACCAAGACTCTTTGATGTCGTGAGTATCCTGTTTGTTGAATCTGGTCAGTCGTGGACGATAGTAGCGAATTCATGTTGATTACTGACTTTATGGGTCATGACCCAAACGATATCCTTGCCCCCATTCCATCCATACCCGATCATATGGGCGTCTTTTCCCAGCCATACTTTGACTGTATCAACGTCTGGTCGAAGGAACTCGGCGAGCAAGGGATTGGCTGCCATTTCGGGGGTGGCGTGAAAGTATGCTCGGTAGATTGCATAACCACTGGATGCTGAATGATCTGGCAGATGCAGCACTTGTTGCCTCGCAATAGACTTTGGTCCGTCGGCAGCAAGTACACAATCTCCCCAGATCTCCTCTCCTCCAGCGAGGCGTACCCCCGCTTTGTCTTCTTCTTCCAGATACTGCTCCACCCCACGACCTACGCGGAAGATTACACCCACAGACACAGCGTAGTCGAGAATTATTTGCCACATCTCACCCCTGTGACCTGCAAACATGTACCCATCGTGAGAAGGGTCAGCAAACCATGGCTCGTCAAAGAATGGTACACCGTCTGCAGTACACATTTTGAAGCATTCTGCTTTGGTAACACAACGTTTGAGAATATCCTTTGCTACTCTTCCGTTATCCCAGCTTGCAATTGTTCTGCCAGCATTTGGCATGAAGTCGATTATATCTGAAGATTATTAGCTTTGACTAATACCAGGCGCTCTGGGAAAATGGGAGCTGAGTCACCTCCATATTGGTTGGAGTTTGTGAACTTCTCAATCAAAATCACCTCCATTCCACGCAATCTACACTCTACTGCTGCACATATTCCCGCAAAACCTGCTCCGACGATGATTATCTTCAACGGTTGGCTGGCTGCCTTGCGTTCGCCACTGTGTCTAGCCATAGTGTGTAATACGGAGGAATAAAAAAAATAGTAGTGAGGTATGGGAAAGAAAACAAACTTGTAAAGTTTCGAGAGCGAAGAATAAGTAGACAATCTTGCAAAGTTTCGATAGCGAGAAGAATAAGTTGCAAAGCTCCGAGAGCTCTCTGCAAATCGTTAAAGTGGTGTTGCAATACAATGAACGGTACAACCTAGCGGCACTAAAATTAGTCGCAGTAACTATGGGTAGCTATTAACTCACCAAAAATAATCCGGAGGTATTTCTTGGCCCGTACTAAAAGTAACTGCTTGATAAAATGGATTGATATTGGCAGTAAAGGCGGATAATCTGATAAATCGTTGCGGCCGGATAATCTCGGCGTATAGGGTTGTTGGCATCCGCCCACTACGCATGTTACCTCTTGCATCTCATCATATTCGGAAACCTAATCTATAGTCATAAGTCACTATAAAGAATGAAGAGCTTTACGGGTTTTGGGTTCTGTACATCTTACACTCCTCCTTCAACAGTTTTGACGATTATTTATTACTGTTAACTACCGACAAAGTTCAATATGGTTTTTGAATCCCGTACCTCCAATGAACTCTACAAGATCCCAAAGTTCTTTGATGCGAACGTCCAATATGGTAAACAAAGCACTGTGGAAATCGAGCAGCGAAATACTTACCTTTTCTAGCTGATGTTTATGCTACGCTCGAGAAGCACCAAGAAACTACCCCTCTGACAACATCGCTTTTCTATGTCGAGGCCACGGACAACTGGGGCTCAATGCCAGATTATACAGCCGAGGAGACAGGAATTGTCCTAGATGGTAAGACTAAATACACCTATGCCGATCAGACCCCCCCGTATCGCTCGGTTCAAGATCGGCTGCTAAGACAGTCTTTTATTACAGGAATCCTCTCCATTGAGGACGAAACCGGAAGGAAGGTTGTTCTGACAAAGGGAGACACATGGTTTGTCCACCGTGGCTCCAGAATCCTTTACAGGACAGACACTTTTGCTGTAGCGTTCAAGGCCGCATCCCGACATCTGCTCTTCCCTGATGAGAAGGCAAAGGAGGCGCGCAAGGCTTTGTGAGTGGATGAGACTGGGATGCCAATGTTTCCTAAGAAGAGGTATTCATATCAATTGGTTCAGTTGCGACAGCTCCCTCTAGTCAGTCCCATAGTCATGAATGCGAGCCTGATATTTTCTGCTGTATAAGAAGTATGACAGAGTGGACTCCAAAATTCCTTGTAATACGCAACCAAGCTCAATAGTCCAGTGATTGCCCACATCTATTACCCTCTCCAGATGCTCGAAGTAGTGGTGTCATCAACAACGGTATTCATAGCCTTCACAGACAAGTTCAACCTTACACCACGGAATTAAGGATGGGTAAGAGATATATACCTCGTCGGAAAGCATCGGCTTCGGCCTTTCATTTTGTGATACCCCCCCTTTGTTTTTTTTTTTATGTTCTCTATTCAACAAAATAACTTATTAAATTACTACTAATTAAGTAATAGACAAGGCACTAGACTACCTAACTACTAACGCAACAAGGTTAATAACAAGCATTAATATAATATAACTATAACTATAACAACACTGCAGTTTTTTTGCTATTTCCTTATACCTTGTGAACGAACGCTAGAAGCATTGCTATCTACACTTGACTTTTACCCTCCTAAAGGCAAGCTTTAAACTTAGTTTTTTTTTTGCTTATTTTATCTTTTTTATTAGCAAGCTCTACAACAGCGTCTTGCTGCTTTTAAATTATATCCTAGTACTTTTACTTAAGTATAAAAATTAATATTTTGTACTTAAACTAATAAATCTTTATAGCTTCCTTGCTATTAACGTAAGCTTTAAGCTTGCTAGCAGCACTATACTACTTAATTCTAATATTAGCAATGCTAGTTATATATATTAACTTAAATAACCTTCCTAGCTTTAGGTTGTTAATGCGTAGTCTAAATACGTACTAGCAGATTTTAGCAGCAGTAGTAGCAACAATAGTTAAGTTGCTGCTAGTATAAAAGATCGCAGGACAAAAGCTTAAGGATAATAGCTACTACTACAACAACTTATTTAGAACAATAATATAGTAATTATTAAAAGTAGACATATTATTGCAATAGACAATAGCAATAGACAATAGTAATAAATAATAGCAATAGACAATAGCGATGGACAATAGCAATAAACAATAATAATAAATAGTTAGTAAAAATATAGACAAATAACGTTTCTTAAACAAAGTAACTGCCTAGCTAAGGATTTATAGCCTCTCAAGATGCCTTTTAAAAGACTTAATAACAACAGCAATAGCACTAGCAACAACAGCGTTAATAATAACTATAATTATTGTATTATAAATTACTTTACTAAGCTTAGCTTAAGGTAGGATTTTAGTAGTACTTCTAATAAGCAAATTTTTCTAAAGATAAGCTGGCTTTAAAAGCTTAGCGCTAGTCTGCTAAGCTTTAACTAAGTTAAAGCTCCTATATTAACCTGCTAATAATTAATAAGAACTAGCGTTTTTATGCAAACTTCTATTACGCTTTTTTGTATAACTACTAGTAGAAAAGTTTACTAGCTTTTAAGTAGCTTACTTTTTATGTAATACCTATTTGTGATATATCAAAACTATATACCTCGTCGGAAACAAATAGAATAAAAAAGTAAAAAAGTTTGCACGAATCATCATGACTTTAACCAGTATCATTAGACATGGTGCAAATCTCTGAGCATTAGAACATTTCATTTTCACGCCATGATTATAAGCAGTGTAAAATAGGCGCACATAAGCGATACCTGCCCTCAGGTTGACAGCAATAAGACTATGATAAAGAGGCCTCATACTTTTGCCAGGCGTCGAAGTTTCGATAGCGAATACCATTCATGACGGCAGATCCTCGGTACAGGAGAAACCTCTGGACCCGAAGACCTGGAAAGGCGCACGGTTCCAAGAAACACGGACTAATAATGCTGATGTTGTCCAAACAAGGCTTAGTTCCGGATTAAATATTCACTCGCTGACTGTATCTGCACACCAGCTATTCGACTTGTATATCATATTACGATAGTTTTGCATTGAAAAACATCCCATCATCAATTCTGAGAACACCAACGATCTGATTCGTGTCAAGATGGCCCCCCCAAATGCCCTCTCAGTCTTGGAGACACTCCAAGACCGCTGGATCACGTGTATCGCTGTGCTGATACTTGCTGGAATTGCATATCAGAAGTTTCGGCCTGGAATGTGGAATATTCCTGGGCCATTCGAAGCCAGCATCTCACCATGGTGGAAGTATCGCATGGTGAAAACAGGGCAAATGGCACCAACACAAATGAAACAGCATGAGAAGTATGGACCACTGGTCAGAATTGGTCCAACCCACGTCTCTGTCAACGATGTCAATGAGGTGCCCAACATCTATGGGCGCGCAAATGGCTTTGTCAAGGTATGTTTTCACTCCGTCTCTGATGTTTACCAACCTTGCACGGTCACGAAAACGAGATTGCTAATATGTACTGCCGGAGCAGGGCGACTTTTACAGTGTTTTACAACTTGAACTGGACGGCAAGACCATGGAGGCAGCTTTCACCACCAAAAATGCGACTCTACACAAGAGATGGCAGAAACAAACTGGTCCGGGCTTTGCTCTTACCTCACTTCTCGCCATGGAACCTTTAGTTGACATGGCCACGAACCATTTTATCAAAGTGTTTGAAGAGAGATTTGCAGCCAAAGATGCCATCGCCGACTTTGCACATTATCTGTAAGTTATGGAGCAAAACAGAAAGCCATGTCTGTACTGTAGTGGCTTACTGTTATCAGAAATTACTTTGCGTACGACGTGATCAGTAACATTACGTTTGGTGAGATGCTCGGCATGGTTGAAAATGGGGGAGACGTGGGTAACACTGCCCGTAGTGTTGACGCATATCTAGAGTACGGCGCTCCTGTATGTTTCAAGTTTCTCCATACTTTCGATCTCTGTAGACATGAGGCTGCAGAAACTGATGTTCTCGCAGACTGGGCAGGTCCCATTCCTCCATTGGCTCCGTCGGACAAGTACCCTCGCAAGATGGTGGAACAAGTCTCCATCACACGTAGAGATGGACCCTGTAACCTCGCTCACCCTCAAGATCATTGCAGAGAACGAGAAGAAAGAGAAGAAGGATGTTCCATGGCTCACCTTTTCCGACCGTATATTCCAACAAAGAGATGCCGACCCAGAGTCAATTCGTCCCGATGAAGTTATTATGCATCTTGCGGGACAGGTCGCTGCAGGAGGTGACTCCACTTCTGTCTCGATGGCCTCGATCTTCTACCATTTGCTGAAGACCCCGAGAACGTACAAGAAGCTTTGCGCTGAGGTACGTAACCCAATCTACACAGGAAAGAACATCTCCTACGCCACCGGAAAGAAGATGGAGTATCTACAGGCATGTATTAAGGAGGGAATGAGGCTTCATCCTGCTGTCGGATTGATACTGGAGCGATTGGTGCCGAAAGGAGGGCGAATGATTTGCGGCCACTTCTTCCCAGAGGGAACAACCGTCGGTATCAATCCATGGGTCATGCATTACAACAAGGATGTCTATGGAGAAGACGTCAACGAGTTCCGGCCCGAAAGATGGCTGGAGGCTTCTCCAGAGAAATTGAGGGAGATGAACAATGGTTTCCTTTCTTTCGGGCACGGTATGCAGATCTGTGCGGGCAGAAACATCAGCCAGATGGAAATGACCAAGATGATACCCGATTTTCTTCGGTACTTCGACCTTGAGCTTGCCTATCCAGAGCGGGAGTGGGAAAAGTCCGCCATGTGGATTGTGAAGCCGCACAAGTTCTTTGTCAAGTGTAAGAAGATTGCGAAATCTGAATAGAGGCTAGTTCAATCGACTATACAAATATACTTCATGTTCTGCCATAATCTATTCTTGTCATGACGTTCTAGTTGAAGTTTTTCCCGGCTATAAACTTTCTGGTGCTTGATCACAAACATCTCCGCACTCAAAGTAGCTTACAGAACCAGCGATAGCTCATCAGCTAGGGCATTGGCGCTTTGAAAATCCTCTCAACATAGTGTATTGGTCTACAAAACAAGCCCTTTCACGATCCCGGTGATTTACCGCCAGGCATTATGGGACCCAACTGCTACTGTCCGGATGCGAAATCTTCCTCCGTAAGTTTCTCTAAAAGTAGAAATTCTCAATCGGGTAATAGTGAATGTATCTCGTGTGGAGATTCAGTCGCATGTATGATTTGCGATCCGGATTAATGCGACCAATGGCGGCTTGCCTCAGCAGTTAAGACGCCGTGCATGATATGTGTCGCGCGTATGATCCCCACTATTATCGATAAGGGACCGAGACCACCGTCGATCACGGACCCCACCTTGATAACCATATCGAATACTCACTCGCTAATTTCAAGGTTCACTAAACGGATAAACACTCGTCTTTTACGGAGTAGTTTGGCCAATTTGCGCGGACGCTCCTGACGGCACATGCGCTCTGAGATCTTGTTGTATTGTTAGCTTTACAAGGGATTCGGCAAGTTCGAATCCTTTGCATTTATCTTTATATGATGGAGCGGGATAGCCACTCAAATCTATGAAATATAATACCCCTTACCCATTACTTTCAACCCCTTTCCACCCAATCTTATCGCTCAATTCTTGAAGACAAGCAAGAAAATCAATTGCGATTCATACGTTTCAGACCATGGGCTCTCTCGAAGAATCTCTTCATGTTGTCATTGTAGGAGCAGGCCTCGGAGGTCTCGCCTTAGCAATCGCCTGCAGAAGGCAGGGCTTCAAGGTCACCGTCTTTGAGTGGGCGCCTAAGCTTCTACCCATTGGCGATTCTATCGGGTTTGGTTGCAACTCTTCGAGAATATTGGAACGGTGGGGCCTCATGCCGGAGCTCGAGGCATTGACTTGCAAGGCCGAATTCTGCGCCATGAACGATTGGAACGGCAACCACCTTGGAATTGATCGAGCTCAAGGTGAAGCGAAAGCGAAATATGGCGTTCCGAGCCTGGTAGTGCACCGCGGTGACGCTCACCAAATCTTCCTCGACCATGCGATCAAGAACGGAGCGGATGTGAGATTGGACGCCAAGGTTGTAGATTACGACAACGACAAGCCCAGTGTTACACTCCAAAACGGCGAGGTTCATATTGGAGATGTGGTGATTGCATCAGACGGTGTTAAGAGTCTAGGAAGGAAACAGGTTCTGGGTTACTTCGATAAGCCGCTTCATAGTGGTTATTCTGTTTGGCGAGCATACGTTGATGCTTCAGAGTACCAGAACGATCCCCTGGTAAAGAAGTTTGTTGAAAAAGGTATGTCCCTCGTGGCTAGCTTGTTGACTATAATCAATATAATGCTGACTCAATACTCATAGGTGACACATTCACACTTTGGATTGGTAAGGATGTCCACGCATTTGTTATTACGACACAAGATGGTGGTCGGATCAATGCTACCATGACACATACTGATGATGCGGATGTCGAGGAGGGCTGGATGTCTCCTGGTTACAAGAAGGATATATGTAAGTCCTCTTTCAGCATATCGTTATTATACTCTACAAAGTTTGAGTTGCAAGACATGTTGTTCCTTTCTGTCCTGTCTCTCTAGGATACAGATCTCCTCAGTATTCTTTAGTTCTTTACAACCAACCCCGAAGCTGATGATGTACAATTTTTAGTGGAGAACCTCAAAGGCGCCGACCCCTCTTTGGTTCGCGTTTGGGAATTGATTCCTGAAGACAGAATTCTAGATTGGAAACTCGTCTATCGTCGATGTCTCGATAAATGGGTTGCAGACTCCGGGCTAGTTGCAATCATGGGAGATGCTGCTCATCCTTTCTTGCCTTCGTCTTCCCAAGGTGGGAGTCAAGCCATTGAGGATGGAGCTACAATTGCGATGTGCTTGGCCAAAGCTGGCAAGGCGAACATACCTTTGGCTCTGCACACGTACTTCGAAATCCGTCATGACCACGTGCTCAGAGCGCAGCAGGCAGGTATTACCCAGCGCGACAAATGGCACCATAACCATGACGATGATGGAAAGCTGGTAAAAGAGATCAAGAAATCCGAGGAAGATATCTTGGATGAACCCATCCTAGACAGTTCAATTCTCTGGCACCACGACGCCGAAAAGGTCTGCGAGGAGAAGTACCCCGCTGCGTCTGCCAAGGTGGCTTCCAAGCTTGGAATTGCAAAGGTAGCTAGCTAAATTATGGTGATTGTCTCGTACCTCCTTGCTTATTTAGATTTCATCAAATAGTACTAGTTGTATAAGACCAATGATATGTGACCGTATATTATCCATGTTCCCAACCCGTTTTCCACCCCTTGGTGGCAACACTAAACACATTTTGGCTGTTATCGCGCCGGGGAATGACGCATTAGATGTAATCGGTCTCTACATTATGATTGGTCTAACCATGTCACGCTTATCAAATAGTGTTGGATTGACCAGCCTTAGCGAAGTTAATCCGCCTCGCCCCACCCTCTCGCATTTCTTTCCCTCCTGCCCGTCTTACTATCATTAGCACCATGGTAGTCTCTATATGCTCCGTGCTCGCTACTGTATATGATTGAAGAGACAAAAGATCACTGTCTCTCACTCTCGGCCTCAGACTTACATACTACCTCAACATGCAAACCACCACCGCTGTAACTACGTTACCAAACGCCCGATCGTCAGGGCCCGGATCGGACCAAGATGGTACAGACGGAAACAGTATCTGTGATCCGCTCAGAACATATCCTGCAGTGAGTTTGGACATCTCTTGCCACCCGATTGTCACCTTTGTCACGTCTTTACACCTACATATCTGTACCATAGACTCGATAGAACGCTCTTTTCTTCGTGGTCAACGGTTGGGCTTTTACGCTTCTGAGTTGAAAATTTTAATTACATTTGTTATCTTTCTACCCAAGTCTTTCTACCCAAGTCGAGAAGCTTACATTGTGATACAGTGTGACCGATGCTTCTCAAGAAAGGTGTGTAGATACCATCGAGCCTCGATTTATGGCCGATATAAGTTGACTACCTAGTCGACAGATCAAGTGCGATAAAAGAGCACCATGTCAGAACTGTATTCGGAGCAGACTGCATTGTCTTCACACAAGATCCGTCATTCCAGGCCGACGGCGCAGAAAGTCCAAAGCACAGAGCAAAACACACCTCACTAGCCCTGACCAAAATATTCCTCCGGATCTAACCAGTCCCAGCAGTAGCCGATTTCAAGAAGCTGAAGCCTCGGAAAAAGAAGCCAGAACAACTCCCGTCTCGCGCCCGAATGTCCAAAATGACCAAATCACGGGCGCATCACCATTGGATGCCTTGGAATCCCCTAAGCCATCGAATATATTTTCAGCGGCCAATTTTGAGGCCCAAAAAACCCTCCATGAAATCCTCTGCACATCTTTGCATCTTAGCGAAGATTCCTGGAATGCTATACGATCTGCGCTTGCAATAGTCAACAACATATTGCCTGTGAGTACAGCTGAGGGTACTACAACTTCAGCACTTGTACAAGCAGATACAGATGGTCTGACCAATGACAACTACCGATGTCTGGCATCTGCAGAACTTCTTCAAGAGATATTCCAGAGAGAAGAGAGTATGATAACACCGCTCGAAAATATGTGACTATGTCTAACGAATCATCCAGACTCGGCTGTTTTGTTTCGTTATTGTCCTATGTTTACAAGGGAGATGTTCGTCGAGATGACTATGGATCTGCTCGGAGATGGTCCGGGAAACAAAGACCCGCGGAAGATAGTCTGCGTTCATAGTATTCTTGGCTCATATATCCTTGAGCGTTCTTTCCAAACTGGAAGTAGTACTGGTCTTCAAACATGTTTGAAGCAGAGGGGAAAGGATTATTATCGAGTGGTTGATTTTGGAATTAGAGGGCTCCAACTACTTAGTGCTCCAAGCCTGTTGTCTATCAATGCGTTGCTCGTCGGAGTAGGTAATGGATACTCTAGAAGAATATCTGTACTAACTATTGCAATAGACTGTTCGTTTATTGGAGCTTGGAGAGCATTCGGCAGGCTCGAACCTCATAGGAGCAGCTTGCCACATGTGTCGGGCACTGGGGTTAAACTCTCGGCTCTATAACACCACCCCAGAAGATGACCAGGTGCGCTGGATATTCCAGTTCTGTTATAGTGTTGACCAGGGAATGGCTATGTTGCTTGGACGATCTCCTAGCTTTCACGATAGCGAAATAGACGAGCGCATCTTCCTACGGAGAGCATACGAGCTCGGCGGCGACTTGCAAATGGATTTCAACTATTTCATGGTGGATGTAGCAAGACTTCAAAGTGGTATTAGCTCAGAGTTGCGATCTCCAAGGAGCCAGACATGCACACCAGCGACCCGGCATAAGGCTTTGCTAGTTCTTAAGCAACAAAGTGATAGTCTCTACAAAACATTATCTCAAGTTAGTATCTCGCTTTTAGCACTAGAGAAATTACTGACAAACATAGCTGAAAGCTACAGCAACTGCTTCAAAGCGCATCGATTACGACTCCCAAGTCATCCTCGCTGAATTTAGTTTACATAGCATCATCTGTATTATGTACCGCTCCGAACCCATACCTCCTGGAGGTGCTTTCAGTAACGAAAATTGTCTTCGGGCAGCTCGCAATGCGCTTTCTTTGATCCCAACGATCAGTACCACTGTTGCAAAATGGCACGGTCCTATTTCGGGCGCTTATTGGTATTGATCCTTTGAATTCCTAGGCCCCTCCCTTCTAATATCTCCCAATGGCTGGATACAATGCTAATAACTTAATAGGTCGGTTCTCAACTATCCTTTTACGGCATTCTTCGTCCTCTTCTGCAATGCCATGCTCACATCCTCTACTGGAGATCTCCCTCTCATGACGACAATGCTGTCTTATCTGAAGGAAGTGCAAGAGTCGAACCCTGTAGCTAAAAGGTTGTTCCATTTGTTCAACACATTCTGCGAGCTAGCTTCAACAATTGTGACGGCTTCGAGCGCACAGCTGGCTTCGTACCAACAGCACACTCATCAATTGGGTGCAAGCGAAGTTCCAGAGGAGTGGACACAGGAACAGATGGATATTTGGTTGGAGCTGATCAACTTTGATACTACGACACAAATATATCTAGACGGCGGATTCTGAACCTGTTTTGGTAGAACGGGTCCAGGGACCAAGCGAGTCAGGTCTACTTCTACTTAGTTCAATGACAATGGAACGCAATCAACAGTAGCGGAACGCATTCGTCTCAAGAGGTTTGATGGGCTTGTTTGGTTGGATACGGAAGAGTGACCTAGATGATGTCTGGGTTACAAGATGATGGCCTTTGAGTTACTGCCTAGGTAGTACCTTTCGCATGTCGTTTCTTAAGACGTGTTTTGTATATTTTCAATTACGCTTTAGCAAAATTCTGCTTTGCAATACTATACTATTTATGATGTTACAATACTGCGTTTACGATTTGCAGAGAGCCCTACGAGCTTTACAACTTCTTGTTCTCCCCTAAAACCTTGGAGTTGGGCTCATCATGACTCTCAAAAAAGCACCCCACCATGTTTAAATGAATAGTACGTTATTTTATAACCAAAATTCTTTTGAAAGTGCATGCACACGAAAGCGTAATAAGGGTTGCATGATGTCCTGGATTGATTGGGTATACATAAAGCCTTTAGACGCCATTAGGGAAACACAACCTAATGTACTCCTCCGCTTTGACAGTCTTCATATCTGGGAATATCTTGTTTAGACTTGTACCTTGACGAGAAACATCTGCAGAACCCTTTGCAATCCCCACACTAATTGCAGCACAGAACTGTATGGTGCTATCCCTTTCAATCTGCCAGTTCTTGAAGATTTCTTCGTTTCCAGGCAACAAAATTGGTGAGCCATTATATAAATTCTCGAGGGAATCGTAGGTTACTTTGAATTTGGCTCCTGAGACGGACAATATATTAGCTTCGACCTACGGGGGTAACGTGTTGCGAAAAGCTGTAGATCTTACCTGTAGCTCTTTCGGCAGTCTTTACGGCTTCATTCAACGTCATCGAATCCCCGACGAGGTTGTAGACCGGGTCCCATTTGGGAAGGTCAAGGAGAGCAGCGACAAACTTCGCAGCATCAGTAGTGAGAACGACATTTATCGTTGCCGTGCCATCTCCAGGTAGAACTGCTACTTTGTTCGGAATGTCGAGCAGAAGATATATGCCATTCATTGTCGTAGGCATATTCGGGAGGCCAAAATAGTCGAGAAATTGACTGGTGTACAAAATGGTCCATTCGAGGTCAGTGAGTGCCAGCGCTTTGCGATTTGCATCCGTATACTCCTTGCAATAAAATGGTTTGAGGCTGTTTGAAAAGTCAGTGTATTGAGATAAGTCCAATCAAGACACGAGACATAAAAATGTTTTCGGTGCAATGATACATACTCATGGGTTGGGGCATAATCGAAGGTATATTCGGCAGGCAAGAACCTCTTCACATGCTCAGATTTTGCAGCAGCTTTGATCAAGTTGACTTGATTGTTTGCAGCATCCTCCCAGTGCACGCCAAGTGCAGAAACTATAGTATGAACTTTCCTCTCATCAAGCAAGGTAGTCAAGGATGCGATGTCGCTGTAGTCAACCCCAGCAACATCGAAACCAGGCAAGTCTTTGGATGTGCCTCCCTATATCAGATTTGTTAGATCAATATGTTCAAAGTGGGGATCTTGGCAGCGACGGGGTAGTAGATCGACGATCGGAGATCTGCAAGTAGGGTATTGTTTACCTTTCGCTTCAGCACAATTATTTCATGCTTCCCGGTCGCTTTGATAGCCTGCGAAAATTGCTGTCCCAAGTCCCCAAAACCACCAGCGATAGCGACGACGACCATGTTTGAGATGGACGTCAAGTTGACACGAAAACGCGACTGGCCGAGGGAATTGCTGGTTACTGTTTACTTAATATTGTACCATTAACCATTGCGGAAAATAAGCACCTGTGAATATTTTATCCGCTTATCATCGCAATCCCTTAGTGTTGGTGATACGGGGCCCCTAGTGCGGATTCTCTCTTAGTGCTAGGGTAGATACCCGCAACCTCGGTGCGGAGTTTGACTCCTGCTTTCAAAATAATTGATGCGAAGATGCCAAATTTTAGCCAAACAAGATTTGCTCGGAAACGCGGTCTTTGTTTACTGCAAAATCAATTTTTGAAGGATTTTTTGTTATACTGAGACCTCAATTGCTCCGGCTCGGTTTTGGTCTGGAAAACCCTTATCGATTGCCGAGCGGACGCGGACGTAGGATGTGGCATTCGAAATCGTAAAATTGTATAACAGATTGTGCATTGAAGTTATGGCGAAGATGAACAACAGCCAGACTTGTTCAGGTGTACCCTCTAAGGACTCCTTTCTGCCGCATTTCTCGAGGTCTAAAAGGTGATCTTTTGCATAGATCAGGCAGTAACAAAACCTTGTTTAACATCGTCAAGTGGTTAAATATGGCAGTATAGCCTATAAGTACTAATTATATCCGGAGATTATGAGTGATTGGTTAGTGTAATAGGCTCTTGTATTATAAGATGGCGATATATTATCTACCGAGGGCAATTATTCTTCTCTTCGGTTCCCAGAAATATGAGAAAATCAATAACAGTGGTGTTTTTTTTCATGACAGTATTATAGTTCATTTACGGCGGTACACACCAAAAGGAATTGTTGCGATACAATTGTCGAACCAAATACATATGCTCCGGAGTAATAGCTGTAGTATTTATTCTGCCAAAACACTAATCTTGACACTCTTCAAATTTGTCCAACCATCTAGTGACTCTTCGCCTAAATCTCTACCAAAACCACTTTGCTTTACGCCTCCGAATGGAGTATTGGAATTGATGTTTCCCCATGAGTTGATCGTGACCTGGCCACTTTCCAAACTGTTGCTTACCCGCTGGGCTCGAGAAATGTCCGATGTGAATATGGCACTGCTCAGACCATACACGCTATCATTGGCGCGGCGTATGGCTTCTTCTTCGGTTTTGAACTTGACAAGTGACTAGGCATATTTAGCTTCATGTCCAGCGAAGGAATGCGGATTAGACATTGTGCAATGAAAACTTACAGCAACGGGACCGAATATCTCCTCTTTCATGATAGACATGTTTTCTACTGCCTCCACAAACGCCGTGTTCTCAATGTAATGTCCTTCCAATGCTATCTCTTTGCCTCCATGAAGCAGTTTAGCGCCTTCGCTGAGCCCGTTCTGGATGTATTTCAGAACGGTGTTCTTCTGTGTACTGCTTATCAAGGGACCTTTCGTAGTCTGACCATGTAATGGGTCGCCTGCAACTGCCGCAATTGAACTTTTGCGGAAGGCCTCCACGAATCTGTCATAGATTCCTTCTTGTATATAAAGCCGAGACCCAGCTGCACAAAGCTGTCCATTGTGTGTCGTGATTCCAATGATAGCCCAAAGAACGGCATTTTGGAGGTCAGCATCATCGAAAATAATGGAGGCTCCCTTACCACCCAGCTCCAAAGTTACCTTCTTCAAATTGGATTTGGCCGAAGCAATCAATATACCACGGCCTACGGGGCCACTCCCTGTAAAGGCAAGCTTACGCACATCCATATGCTCTGCAAGGGCCTGACCAGCTTTAGCACCATATCCAGTGAGGATGTTTATGACACCTGGTGGAAATCCTGCTTCTTTGACTAACTGCGCAAGCTTGAGACCGTACAATGGTGTAAGCTCCGCTGTCTTGAGAACTATGACATTACCAACAGCAAGGCATGGGGCCAATTTCCAGGAAGTGATCATCCTAGAGTGGTGTAAGCATCGTTCCCCAATACTAATAACACTTCAAGAGACATACAGAGGAGCATTCCACGGGACGATAACCCCACACACGCCAATGGGTTCCCGGCGAGTGTAGGCCATTCCGTTTGGAATTTGTGTTGACCTTCCATCGATCTTGTCTGCCCAGCCAGCAAAATATCGAAGTGCCTCGACAGCACTGGCGATATTGATATTCTTCGAGTCCCCAAATAAAATGCCGGCATCTAAGGCTTCGATCGTGGCAAAATCGTCCGCATCTCGCTCAATCAAGTCTGCCAACTTCAAGAGAAGCGTCCGTCGAGCAGTCCCTGGCAACGATCCCCAGCTGCCCTTGTAGGCTGCCTCTGCTGCACGTACCGCGATATTAATGTCGTCTTCCTCTGCAGCTGACACTGTAGCGAGCAGTTTGCCATTTGAAGGGTTCAGCGTCTCAAGAGTATTACCGCTGGTTGATGGGACAAACTCGTTGTTGATAAAGAGACCGGTTGGTACTACCGCGTGTTAGCTTTGGAACGTGTTTTTTTCTTTTTTGGTAAGTTGTATACACTCAATCTGTCGACCGGCGATGCCAATCAAGGTGGTAGTTGACGAAGACATGATAATATGGCTGTTGATTCAGGAATGGGGTTTTTTTTTCTATCACGAAAGTTGTGGACGGGATGTATGCTGGAAGCGTGTAGCAAGTCATGAAACCGGGGGTTGGAGCGAGAAGAAGGGTTTGGACATCTACAAGCTAGGTTTCCCCGCCTCAAGCAAAGAAGTGTTGTGGGATCGACACCCCGTTAGTCCTATCGAAAGACTAAAACTCTAGCTTGAACCAATCCTGGGTTTCTCCGTATGATGGCTTGTCCCCAGAATGCGGACTCACTAGGTGTTACCGGCTACTTCCGAGTAGCCGTTCTATCATAACCAATCACTAGTTCGCATCGTAAATAACGCTAATATGCATGGATGTTTACCGATCGGGTACCGCTTGGGAAGCAGAACTTCCTAGTATGGATAGGATATGTAAGCATCGTTTGGAGTTCTCCGCGCCAAAAGTCTTGAAGCTGATAAGGTCAGTACGGAGACCCATCCTTCAAGATATTTCAACACGGATTTATTTTCGTGCTGCGCCGCCCAAGTCCTTTTCTCGGAGTACTCAGGCGGAAGGTAAGAGATCGACATTTTCATTCCTCGCTGAAGAGTCACGCAACTTGGAGGTGACCTATTAGTCTCATTTATGAGCTAAGAAATGATTAATAGCATATTGATACACATAGGAATCGAAGGTGAAAGTCCGCCAGGGACAGGAGTACTCGCTCTGATGATTATTTCGATTAGAGTAGAAGGATTGTACTGCACTAGACCTCTGCTAGTCATGTGTTCAAGACAAGTCATGCTGGGTCAAACTTCTTCCATTGTGTATCCCTCATCCTCCAGGCGTCTTGTATTCTACTGCTTAGGGTAAGAAGGCTTGAACTTCGACCTCTATGTGCAATGAAGGCATAAAGAGTGATTGCACTGTATACCCAGTTACAGCTGGCCTTGTTCCCTTGCAATACTTCTGCATAGCTTTGCCCAAGCTGGGTCCAAGCTCAGGATGGTTCTCTGAATCCGCAAAAACTACATTGACCTGTGATTATTAGTCTCTATTAAGATCTAATATGTCTGTGATTTTCATGACTGACCTTGTATACAAACTCCCACGCGTCTTCCTTCAAACCTGCAGCTTTGAGTGCACGTTCAACGTGATCAAAAGCCTCCAGGACTTCTTCTTCAATTGAAGAAGGTACTTTGCCATCATCCCGTATTCCTACTTGCCCTCCGACGACGATGGTACGGGCATTGGCTGGAATCACAACCGCGTGGGATAAACCCATTTGTTCTGCTGCTGCCTCGCCTGCGCCGGGCCAATTCCAGAAACTGAAGCCATGAGCGCCGAGTTTAGATGTCGAAGTGGAGGGTGGCATGTTTGTTTGGGTTGAAAAATTTGTATGGCAGCTCCTTTGGAAAAGCTGAAGGGAAGCTTTTGTTAGTATAATACTCTAGCGTGGTCGGATTAAATCTTACCCGAGAAATGTGCCTAGCGAAAGATGAACAAAGTTTTGAGTATCCTATCGTATCGATATAACTTGAACAAACGACAGACAATGCTCTCCAAAAGAATGGAGTAATAAAAGTGGGACTGATAGATTAAGAGCCACACTCTCTCGTTTACGCTACCCAGTCAATACAAAGTGCGCATGTGCCTGACTAATGTAAGAACCCATGACATAGATGGGCCGATTCGGTTCCCAAGTCTTTGGGTGTCGGAATTATTGTAGTGCGCCCCGTATCAATTCGTGATTCGATAAACTTTCCGAAGTGGCACTAAGTTTATCCGCCATACCTGCAGCTGTAACCTTAGGCCGCAGCGACCCGTAAATCTTCATCCCCGGGAAAGAATTCCGCTCTAATCGCGGGCAGTCAAGATTGACAGTTAGGTAGTGGGAAATATATCGGTGTCTCCAGCTGCGCCTGCGATTCTTGATTATCGCCATAAAACTGCAAAGGGCAACCCAGCCGCAGATCCTTCCTCAGCCTCGTCCCACTCTGAACATTCCATCTGAAAACTCTCTACACAGTGGAAGCGACAGCCTGAGCAATTGCAACGCTCTTCTCGGCAACACAAACGCAGCAATGGCGACCAACAAATCTGCCAGCGTCAAAGCCCACCCTTTCTTGACTCTTCAGCCACAGGAAGTATTCGCAACAGCGGAGATCATCCGAAAAGTACACTCTGAAAAAACCGTTATTTTCCGCATTGTTGCAATCAAAGAACCAAATCGGGCAGAGGCCGTGAAATACCTGGAGGCTGAGCGCAAGAAGCTGCCCCTCCCTACAGTACCGCGCCGCACGTACGTCACCTACCAGTTCCAAGGACAAGTTGATGCCTGGGAAGATATCGTTGACCTGGATACGGGGTCTGTCGTCGAAAGCAAGAAACTACCTCCAGGAGTTCACCCGGCTGCATCCCAAGATGATATGCGCGATGTGCAAGAACTCGTCATGACGGATGAGCTTGTGCTCAAGGAGATAGAACGTCTCAAGCTCCCAGCGGGCTCCAAAGTGGTCCCGGAAGCCTGGCCGTACGGAAAAGAGTCGAGGGACGTGGATGTGAAGCAGTATCAGATTTGGTTTTTCTTGGGCTCCCTGGATGAAAAGAACTTGGCCCATCCTTCGTCCAACCATTTTGCACACCCCCTTGATTTCTCCGCGGTTGTGGACGATCTGACCCGTAAGGTGATCAGAATCGATAGGTTACCAATGGGGGTAGGCCTGAACTCCTATTCTACCAATGATGAACCCTATCAGCCGCAGACGGATGCTGAGTATGCCACCGAGCTCCAACCCTCCATACGCAAAGATCTGAAGCCCATACACATTTCGCAACCCGAAGGCGTGAGTTTCACAGTAGAGAACGACCAGGTCATCAACTGGCAGAAGTGGCGTTTCCATCTCGATTTCAACTGGCGCGAGGGGACGGTGTTGAGAGACGTCACGTATGATGGAAGACCAGTATTCTACCGGCTCTCACTTGCAGAGATGACAGTTCCATACGCGGATCCGCGTCCGCCTTTCCACCGCAAGTGTGCATACGATCTCGGCGAAGGAGGTGCGGGTAACACGGCAAACAACCTCGCACTGGGATGCGATTGCCTAGGCGCCATCCGTTACTTCACCCGTTGGGTCAGCGATGCTCAAGGCCGCCCTGAAGTAAGAGAGAACTGCATCTGCATGCATGAGGTCGACGCAGGCATTGGTTGGAAACACACCAATTATCGCAATGGTCGTGCCGAGGTCACTAGAAACCGGGAGCTGGTTATTCAGACTGTAAGCATGATGCATTTGTTAAGTTTGGCAGTTCATTAACCTGGGCCAGATTATGACCATCTCCAACTACGAGTATATCCTGATCTGGACGCTCGACACAGCCGCTGCTATTCACTATGAGATCCGCGCCACTGGCATCATGTCTGTAGTACCTATGCGTCAAGGTGTCGAGCATGACTTGGACTATGGAATCATGGTAGCGCCGGGAGTCATGGCTCCATCCCACCAGCATATATTCAGTTTACGTCTCGACCCTGCAATCGACGGATATGATGACTCGGTCATTCAATACGAAGACTCGGTCCGCAGGCCCTTTGAGCCAAAGACCAACCCCTTCGGAGTCGCCTACGGCATCGAGGTCAACCCTGTGAAACACAGCAGCTTCATCGACCTAGACGCGAGCAGGAACCGCATAGTCAAGTTTGTAAACGACAAGAAGACGAACAAAGTCACGGGCAAACCTCCAGGATACGGCATCCACGTCCCCGTCACACAACTGCAACTCTCACACCCTTCGTCGACGAATCACCGACGCGCTGGGTTCTCTGATCACCACTATTATTTCACCAAGCAGAGCGAGAACGAGCTGTATCCCTCGGGCGACTATCCATGGCAGTCTTTCGGTGGCGATGGGGTACGTCAGTGGGCGCAGCGGGACGTTGAGCTTGGCAACGCAGGTGTTGCGTGGTGCAACTTTGGCTTCACGCACAATCCACGGCCAGAAGATTGGCCCGTCATGCCCTGCGAGGTCTTCCGGGTTGCGATCAAGCCTAGCAATTTTTTCACTCAGAATCCAGCCCTGGACATGCCTGCCAGCACTCAAGTGGTAAACAAGAGCACACTCGTGACTGGTGACGACCAGAGTGAGTGCTGTTCACGCAGCAACGGTGTCGCTTCATAGATGGATGCGACTTGGACTATATATTTTGATAATAGGAAGTCGATTGGTTGACAGTTGGCTATATAAACTGTGATTTCATTGTGATGTCAACGAGCGGAGTGTAAATAGAACAGGCTAGGCTATCTTTACATATGTTACTCGTTGAAATGACTGCTCAAATCCTCCTCGGAATGGAACCCAATACACGTGCAAGAAGCGGCCTTGTGCATGAGAGGAAGCCAAGTTTGCTTCACGTGACAATAGAGTTGATCAGTGGTATAGCCCTTATGTACACATAAGTAATGCCTAGCACGAGTCTATCAAAGCCACAGGTTCCGCTCCGCTGAAGCCGAAAGCATGGATTCAAGGTTGCTGGTAAAAGGATAGGCAGGAAAGGATTGAAGTTGTCTATCGTCCAAATCTATAAATGGCAAGAAGTCGAAAGCCTCTGTTGAGGAGTAGTCAAGCCCTGCCATCGCATCCATCATTGACATACTATCGTGGGTCATGTGGGGATCTAGTTCGGCCGGTTTTTGAGTGTCTATCGTAGTTGTCGCAAGTGTCATAGCTTGCTGGGGTGATGAATGCAATCCAGACATGTCCATTTCGCTCGGCATTGTCGTGGTAGCGTTGAACTCATTTTGATGGGCGGGCGCGTTCATATCTTGGTTGTCTTCCTGCTGGAAAGGGCTTTGAATAGGAACGATGTTTTCGTCTCTCACCACACTGTGTTGGCTAGATTTTCTCGTGACCTGGCCGTCATCGATATCTAGAATATGGGACTGAAGTCGACTTTTATATTCTTCTATCAGCTGGGCTCTCTGGATGGCCTTGTTGAGGTCAGATGTTTCGCTAGCATGTGGGCCCTTTTCCCGGCTCTCGTTATCCAAAACTTGTCTGGGACTGCTCGATATTGGCCTCGATAACACCGGAGACGGAATGATTGTCGAGGGCTTCAGCGGTACAAAAGCTGGCTCTCTGATGTTCTCAAAGCGCGAGAAGAAGGTTGCGAACATGTCTACGGCTGAACTGGCAGCGGTAGGCACAGAGTTATTATACCGATGAATCTTGAAGATGGTCTCCAGCTGTTTCGTACCAGTAAGCTTTTGGGGAAAAAATGGGAGAAAGGGTAGCATCTTACCCAGGCATGAGCTGGTTTGTGGAATTTGCGTATTACTGATAATATAGTCAAGTTTATCTTTAGTTGCTCAGCAATCTTCGAATCCGCGGCCTTGGTCCGTCGTAGTTGGTTGATCAGGACAATTGAGCTCTGAAAGCAACAATAGCCGATGAATGGAGACTGCAAGATAGTTAGCTTTGCTCTAATGCAGACAGCTGGTGAGGAAAGAACATGAACAGAGGCAACGAATGTAGTTTGAACACATACTATTAGGAATGAGTCGCAGTCTAAAACGTTGCTGCAAATATCGCAGATGCTCAAGGCGCTAGACTCGCAAGATACAATCTGCTCAGCTAGAAAGCCTTTCGGTACTGAAGGGAAGTCGGTAGAGTCGAGGGGCAGAGGAGATTCTCTTGAAGAGTCTCGGTGTGGCTGACGAGATACGATCCTGGGTAGGAATACTCGATTCAACAAAACGACACTGCAGTGCCAGGCTAGCGCACAGTAGAGGTCGTCGAGTTTCTTGCCAATCTCGTCGTCATCTTGAAGAAGCTCCTCCGAGGCAAACTGAAGCCTGGGTAGGTTCTGAACTAGATACTTGTCTAGCGCCTGACGGTGGTTCATGAACTCTGAGTCGACCGACCACAAAGGTGTGAGAGGTGCTGTATATGGCCCTTTGGAGTATCTTTCAATGCTCAACATCAAATCTAGTATGGCCGTAATCTGGGTAGCAGAATGCGTTTCATAGGGGTCACTCGACAGTGCAAGGGCGTGGTGGATACTGTCTGCCGATGGTTCCAAATTGTGACCAAGGCAAAGTTCACGCTCTGTGACCTGAAGACACATAAGCAACCTATTCATAGCGCCTTGATTGGTCGCCGTGTGAGCTTCATCGGCTCTTGCGACCCGAATCAACGTAAATGCAGTGGCTTGATATGATCAGAAGTGTCTAGGAAACGTTTCTGATGTTTTATACTTACATATGTCGCACCATGCTTGTAGTCCATTCGATTCACCCATCTCGTACCTTGCGAGGACGCAGAGACACTGTACCCTATCGAGGACACCGTTCCGATCAGGTGCGGCTATCAAGCAGCGCCGTGCGGTGGCTGCGAATTGTTGGTGGGATGCTGCTCTGGTCTTGAACAGGATGGACCGATGCCGAGAAAATTTGAAGCTTGTGGCGCAAATAGAAAAGAGCATTGCCCGAGAACAGCCCTCTTGCGCAAGTTGTTGCAAGAAGGAGCCAGGGCCCCAGATCCAGATCCAGCACGAGTGTTTGAGACCATGAGTTTCAAAAACAGCGAGCAAGTGCAAGATCAGCTCTACTGGAGGCCTCCATCCGCTGAGGCGCATGTGAGTGGTATGGAAGGGATAGCATGTTCAGAGAAACTGACCTGGGGTCATGTTCGTCGCTGTCCAAAATCATCGTAATGGTATCTCGCAAGAGGGTGTTGTCCTCGGCTTCCTCATAGTTTTCATCGTCCTCGTCGTCTTCGTTTTCCTCGTCCTCATTGTCGTCATTGTCATCCTCATCATCCTGAAGCTCCTCAAGCTCGCGAACCTCTTCAGTTGGCATGGCGGGTGCGACTTGGGGTGGAGCGTGCTCTATGCTCTGAACCGCGGCCGAAAATGGCCTTAGTGGTCTCTGAATCGCGGGTTCCCGATTTTGCTTCCTACATCGAGGGCCACGGCGTTGACGGTTGTAATTGAACTCGCAGCGGATAGAGTGCTTGACGCAAAAGTCACAGGGAATGTGCCTGCTACATCGTCCCTACAGTGGGTGTCAATGGCGACACCCATTTAGGCGCTTTGGTAGAAACCATGGGGCGAAACGGACCTTTCTCTTGCGGCAGGGCTCGCAGGCCGCAGTCAACTTGACGCGCGGGGCCTTCTCTGGGCGCGTAGCAGGCTGCTGCTGCGTCTGCTGCTTGTCATCATATTGCGGAAGAGCCATGTGTACTGTAGGTATGGGTTGGGGAGTGGCGCGTTATCTGGATGTGTCTACAGAGGAGGAGCCTGCAGACAGAAGGCGACAGCGACAGCGACAGCTCGCGCGTACAGGGCCGACTGGACGCGACACCAAAGCATCGAGGATGGGGTTGGGTGGGGAAACTGGACATCGGAATACGGACGGAAAATGGTTTGGTCACGTGACAGGCTCGGCTACAGCAGCGTTCCGGGCTCCCCCTCGCCCCTCCCTTCCCTTCCCCCCTTATCGTGTCCCGGCGGCTGTGAGCAAGTGAGCAATGGGGGCAGCGGTAGTGCAGGTGACACAGTGACGCAGCTACGCACTGGCCAGTCCCCACAAGCGCGGTATCTGCGGGGGTTCTTATCCGTTATCATGCCCCTGCCGTTGCAGGCAGAGGACGCTACCAAAAGCTTAATCACCTATCTTGACGCACCCCGCCCAACGCCTCATCCCATAAAGTCGCAGGTCCGCAGAGCAAACAGCCTGTTCAGGCCCCAATGCCGGGCCCGCTATAAGCCCGTAAGCCCGCCGTAAGCCCGTCCTGGTGTTTACGATAAAGCTCTGACTGCAGCGGGAGCTGTAGCTGTAGCTATACCGGCTATTGGTAATCGGGAAGCTCGCATTCACCCCGTTCTTTCATTATGTAATACCTTTCCCTCCTCCTCCTCCTCCTTCCTTCTTCCATCTTGCTGCCCTCAAGTCTGCCTTTCATCGTCGCGCCGTCATCCCCTTCTACTTTACGCTCCGTCACGAGTCGAGACGAAACGAGACCAGGGAAGCTGAAATCTTCCCTCATGGCTGCACTACTTCAGACATCCAGCCCGAACCTGCCTTGGAGTGAATCGCTGGACCCTATCCTCCCAGACATCGAGTGTCCCAACACCCAAGGATCCTGCTGGTCATGTCTTGCACAATCCAGTCCCTGTGACGGCGCGTTGCCGCGTAAGCTACTCCACTGCGCCGAGCCACAACCTTGTTTGCGCAATTTACATCTAACACAGAAACAGACTGTCGGAACTGTCGCAAGAAACGGCGAACCTGCGCAGGATATGGAATCCGTCTCCAGCGACCAGGACCGATGCAAGGCATTTCTCGTCATGATTCCCCGCTTGAGGCGCGAAAATGTTGGTCTTCGTATCCGTACTTGTACACACTTGCTTTGACTAAGATGGTAAATCATAGCAAAGATACTGCGCTTCGTCTGCCCGCTAGGGCTTCAGCCACTAGAAAATCGTCTCTTGCAGCACTGGGTCCGTAAGTAAACCCCCTCACCTCCAGCGTGTCGCGTGTCCTACAGCAATTGACCGTGATCGCCTGAACAGACCAGATCACGCGGTTTTGCCTCGCAATCGATTACACCGACAACGGCTATCGACGCCTCATACCAATGGCTCTAGAGGAGCCGGCCTTGTTCAGCTCCATCATGGCTATTGCTGCAGCTCATGAAAGCAAAACCATGCAGACCGTGGACACCCTATCAGGAAAATATCTACGCACCGCCATGCTTCGTCTCCAGCAAATCCTGAGTAACCCGATCACGGCTACCAAAGATAGCACGCTTGGGACCATGCTCTGCCTAGTGACGTACGAGGTTCGTTGATCTCGAGCGCAACACATAAACATTCCACCAACTTGACAGCTCTAACTTGATGCCCTAGATCTTTAATGGGAGCCCGCGATGGAGAAGCCATTACGCTGGTGTCAGCAGCTGGCTGAAAATGAGAGGCGATTGTACTGACCTCAATCCTTTCATGAAGGGTTGGATCAGTATGGCTGATACTCAATCCGGGTTGAACATGGGGACAGCCATCATACCTGAAGTTGAAGATTGGCTCAGCTCTATGGATGATTCGGGCAGTGGACAACCCATAATAGATCCAATTCTTGGATGCTCGAGTCGGATGCCGAAACTGATGGTATGTCTGCCACACAGGCCACTTCAGTGTTACTCTTCCATCGATGCTAACACGCGACACAGTTGGAAGCTGTGGGCTTATATCGGACCTCGCAAGGTGCTGGCGCAGAGTCTGCGGATGTCCAGGCTGAGATTAGGGAGCGCGGCAAGTTGTTGAAGGCAAAGATTCACGCTGCTTCGCTCGATATCCAAGCAACTCCACTACTGGCCATCTCCGGCGACCGACGCGGATTGGTGCTAGGCGGACTCACCCCGACCACCACATCAGCAAATGGCCAGGACCAATCAGAATTCATGCGCCACATGTGCGCCAATACTGAAATCTTCCGATACGCACTCCTTGTCTACGTGTTCCGGGTGGTGAATGGACTTAATGTGCCGCTGGATATGGAGACACAGTATGCTGTCGAAGAGGCTTTTAGACTCCTCCCTCAGCTGCCTTTCATCAATGGCCTCGGCTCGAATCTTGGTTGGGCTCTAGTCGTGATTGCCTCTGAGACCAATGCACCTGAATTGCGAGAATACATTCGTTGTCGTTGGCGGAGTCTGAAATTGCTAGGTATGAATTACAATGAGGTAGGCGAGTTGTTGACAGAGGAGGTCTGGCGGCGCCGTGACGATATGAATTACACATGCGACGTGTCATGGCAGACTGTTATGCAAGAACTTGACCTTGGGCATATGCTAGTTTGAATTCGAAAGTCGTACAAAGTGAGATTTTCAAACTACTTTGCATGTCCCATGTGGTTGGAAGTGCATCGTCTTGAGAGAGTCCACACATCCGACATGGTGGGCCTTCATCGGGAAACTCTGCGATGGTTCACCGTGCGAGTCTCTAGTGGTTCCGACCGAGTAAGAACAAAAATCTTGATTTCTTGAAGTAACATACAAAGCCTGATGAACAAGCGCAGGTTTACATTCAAAAGAAGGTGTGGTACAGGAAATCGTGCCTGCCTCGGAAAACAGCATAGATTGCACACATCCGCAAAACCTAACTAAGCCTTAGACTTGATATGCCTGAACCTTACGTTAATTCCATGCTGATAGGTGAAGAACCTCGACGTGAAGTGCCAGTTCTCATTGGGGTTGACAAATTCGAGGTCGAAGGCGAGCAGCATGGAAGCGATAATCTTTGTCAACATCATGGAGCTCATGTGCTGGCCGATGCACGTGTGAATACCATGTCCAAACGCGAAGAACGACCTATTCATGCGCACAAGGGCCTCGGCGTCCTTGGTGAGCCATCGATCCGGATAAAAGCGCTCAGGGTTAGGGAAGACATTCGGGTCGTGGTGTAGGACCCAGGGACTTATGCCAACTTCAGTGCCCGCAGGTAGGTAGTAGCCATCGATTGTTACGCCGCCAGCGGGCACACTGCGAGGGAGCATCATGCCGACAGGCGAGTGGATCCGAAGAGCCTCACGGATGACGGCCCCAAGGTATGGGAGTGAGCTTGCGTCTGCGAATGAGACGGGGACAGTAAAACCAGAGCCGCGGATCTCGTCGCAGAGTTTGGAGTAGGTTTCTGGGTTCTTGAGGAGAAAGTAAAAGATGGAGCGGAGAGCGGTGCTGCTGGTATCACTACCAGCGATGACGCCGCCGTAGGTGTGAATCATCATCTCGCGATCCTTGAGTAGATCTGGCTTGTCATGCTGAAGGAAGGCAAGTTTTCGCAGCATGGTGTCGTACCCTTCCTCGGGTACATCCGCCGCTACGTTCCCAGATCGTATCCTTGCCAGGGCGGCGAGAGAGATGTCAATGCCCGCCTGGAACATATTGTCGGTCGCGATAAAACACATGAAAACAAACATGTTCTGGAGAAAGTACCTGTGGATCCAAGGAATTACACCGGTCTACAAACGCGTTAGTCAAGTGCTTTCCCTTTCCACGGAAGACATGGCTATGGCAGTGGGGAGAATTGACTTACGATGGTAGCCCAGTTCATATATCTCTCGATCTTGAGACTCACGTTGTTCGAGTCGTCCGTCTCTATGAGACGCTGATCGTTCCCAAAGATGGCAGCGAAAATAGAATCTGCAATGACGTTTTGAGCCACTCGTCCGAAGTCGCAAGGGCGATCAACGTATTTCTGGTCGGCGTTTGCGATGAACCGTTGAATGACCTTGTCCACGTTCTTCTCATATGAAGGCAGCGACTTCAAGGCGAAAGCATTTGCCCCACTCCTTCTCATCCTCGTGTGCATTTCTCTTTCTCGCAAAACGAAGGGATCTGGGACAAGACCTTCTTCATCGTACGTCGAGAAGGTGAGGAAGAATTGTGACTAGTGTGATTGTGTTAGCAATATCCTGAACAAACTTTGGAAAGATAATCCGAATCCACGCATTACTTACTTTGTAGAACTTGGTCTTGACACCGTAGATTTGACTGATCGCTTCCGGCTTTGAGACAGCAACGTGTGCTGGACCGATACGGACGATAGGGCCGAACTTTTTGTGCTGGTCCTGGTCCCAAGAATGAGCCCGTCCTTGTTTGAGGACAAGTAGTCTTGGAATGATAGAGCCAGATGCAAGAAAGGGACCGGGTATCCGTCGAAGGGGTGAGCTATAGCGGGCGTAGAGGAAATACACCGTCAAAAATGATGGGATGATGAAGATCAAGTTGCTCCCGACGACCCGAAGGGCCTGGAAGAGGGACTCTAGAGTAGATGTAGAAGAAGACATGTTTGTATAGATTGTTATATCGACGATGAGAGTCCAACTAGAGAGTTGGATTACAAGATTGATACAGAGGCCAGAAGGGGACTTCGTGGCAGGGGAGGAGAGAGAAAAGACAGCGGGACAAGACCGGAGATCATGAGGATGTTTGGCAAGATACAGGCCTTCATATCCTCGTGTGTTTATCTCCAATCAGTGACCATGCCTTCCAGTACTGCTGCGGGGAAGGACAAACATAGCCGGCTTCCCACTAAGCAATCCCTAGATCCTTAATACTGTAGTATATGTTCCACTTAGGCAAAGTAACACGCGGCACGTGCGATAAATGATTCACCGAACGGAGTTATTCTGATAAACACGCCTCAGATAGGCCACAGGAATATTTCGGCCAATGACAAGCAAGCACAAGCCTTGTGGCGTATGGACTCGGCCGCTAGGCTCGTCCCCCACGATTTTGGCAGCACGCCGGAATAATTGATCCAACTAGATAGATAGGGATTAATAATTTTAACTCCATCCCTGCGCAACTGGGGGAGGAAGATTGCCGATTGGGCCATCCAATAGTTGGTAATAATCCACTTAGCAGGCGGAAGTGCTCCGGTATGTTGGTTAGCCTAAGCCTGGAGCCCAAAGCTTGGTCTTGGTCATGCCCCGCCACTCAAAATACTGCATTGTGCATCTCTACCCGTAGATTCTCACATTCTCGTCTAATTGTTCTGTTACGATGTCGTCGGTCTCTGCGCACAAGAAAACCGCGGTTTACAAAGAAACCGGTCGGCTTCAGCTGAAGTTAGATGTCACAGCACCATCCTCCTCTGCCGGGCCATCAACTGCCGTGATTCATCTCCACGGAGGATTTTTGGTAATTCATCGCTATTCTCTTCGCGGTGTTTCTATACTGAGATTATAATTTACAGGTCGCTGGAGACCGTACCACATTTGAGCCCGAATGGCTTATCAAAGCCTGCGCTGCTCGTGGCTGGACATATGTCACGCCTGACTATCGACTCCTTCCAGAAGCTACTGGTCTCGATGCTCTGAGTGATGTTCTCGCGGCATATGCTTGGGTGGTTGAGAATGTTAGCACCAAGGTGATCCTAGCGGGATCGAGTGCCGGTGGTTATTTGGCAGTGACCGCAGCTGCGGTGTTATCTTCGAAACCAAATCCACCTCTTGCGGTACTGTCAATCTACGGCATCTCAGACTTTACGTCCAAACGTTTCATCACCAAGGGAACGCCATTGATGGGAGAGCCTTCTGACAATACAGCTATCATTGAGAAGCTCTCAGAGGCTGCCAAGTCGGGAGAAGTGCTGACCGGGAGTCCGTTTGTCTTCGACCCTAGCGATACGAGGATGGGGTATATTGCCACCTTGTTGCAAGACGCCCTCTTCCCAGATTACTTAACAAGGTCCAAGGGCCTCGCTGCGGAAATCGAATCGAAAGGCATCCAAGCTATACCAGAGGATCAGAAGGTGCTCTTCCCGGTCGCTGTGGGACTACCCAAGACGTATCCTCCAACAGTGTTACTACATGGCATCGATGACCACTTCGTTGCTTATGAGCAGAGCCAACATCTGAAACAAGTCCTGGAAAAGAACGGAGTTACTGTGCACTTGGAAGGCGTGGAGTCTGCAGACCATGGATTTGACGTCCACCCAGACTTGAAACCTGCTGTTCTTGCTAGCTTACAGACGGTTCTGGCGAAGCTCGACTCGATAGCGAAAGTATAATCAATTCCTATCGTATTTGGCATCAAGTCTTGGTTTGTGTTCTCTGTTCCATTCATAGCATAAATTCAGCAAGGATAGGTCACTATATTGCTTAGCCTCATGTCAAAGATGCATCCGGAAGCGATATGTTTATCATCAGCTTAGCAGTAGAACGCGCGGGCCAAAGAAGTGGTTAGATCCTAGGAAGAATCGCACTGCTAGTGTAGGGTTGAAATATAACTCCTAAAATAGAGTTTTAAGAAGTGAAAAACTCAAATATCATCGCCGCACTTGAAAAGCAAGGGAACTATAGTAAAGACTCATAAGATTGAAAGAGGCCGCTACTGCCGTATTAGGTATAGCCTCCATGATGTTCTACTTAGGTAATGAGCCATCATGTGGCAGCCCGATATAGTATTAATATATAAGTGTAGAAGAGCCTTTTATTTAGAGTATTGTATCTAGTTATGACCTCGGCGATGTCTAACTCTACTTTACCCAAGACAGGACGATTCGAGGAAACTATCCTTCCTATGACGATGGCTAGGAAGGGCTGCGTAAGCGACCTGTAAACTTCAACAGGTCTGACCAAGTCCGATGCTAGCTCTTGAAAGGACCTTGTTTGCTTAGATCCTATCTACAATTCACTCGCCAAGGCATGCGAATCCCGAAACTGGACTGTAACAGAACGTGATCCACTCATCATCTGCGGAGACTGAGGAAAATACTTTCCTGAGCTCTACTCATTCTGAACTCGTTTTTAACATGTTCTTAGGCCATTCGCAACGATCGTGATCTTAATCGCATGTCCGTCCCTAGGAGTTTTCGAAAGACCGGTGACTTTCAAGTATTTTAGCGGAGGGAATTAATTGAAATTCTTCTCTTCAAAGACTGATTAAGCCTAAGCAGCTTGTAAATTGCGGGAAGACTATTTACAGGAAGAAGAACGAAATGCGCGATAAGAATGTAAGTTTTCCTAGGTTAGACCCCTTATAAACAATGCATATGCAGGGTCCGATTAGGAGAGGGAGTCCGCTGCAAGTCATCGATTAGCGCTACAGCCCCGCTTCTCACGTGGCTGATATTTCTTACCCACGTCTGATGATTTGCGGGCGGCACGAAGTAAATTGGTCAAGCGTGCAGCTATATCGATGGTGGCACCGCTTGGGCCGTCAAGACATTCGAAACTGGCCGCCTGTCACGACCATAAAGGATCGCTCGAGTTACTCTTCCCGAGACCTGTTTAACCTGTTAACCCAAGCTCGCCGGTGTGGTGCAACAGACCCGAGAGACAAGTTATATGCACTGCTCCCGATGCTCCGGGATGCAGCAAATGAGAAACTGTTTCCAGACTACACTCTCACTCGGGAGCAAGTGTTTCTGAAATTCGCTACATATCTCTCTCGCCACGGTATCGGGTTCTTGTGTGCCGTCTCTCATTCGTCGGACAGTCTGCTTTCGTCCGGGCTGCCAACATGGGTACCTCAGTGGGACTTTAACTCTAAAGCTACCCCAGTTTGGCCGTATACTGGGAGAGCGATGATCGAAACACCTGAATTTGGCCGAGATCATGACATTCTTCATAGCCCATACAAGATCAATGAAACTCAGTTCTACGAGTCTGGCGGTGTAGCAAGGACTCAGGCAGTCGACATCCTGCAACATGGTGGGAGTGGGTCCACGTTTTCGAGTTTGAAAGTAAAAGGTATATATGTTGCACGCATATACACATTGAGTTCTCCAGTCAAAATTTCAGTTGAAAGGCTTTTGCAACGAAATGGACTCTGTCGAAAGTGGGATGAGTTGAAGCCAAGAGCTCAAACCCCTATATATCGCGGAAGATTCTCTTCTCCTGCAGCACATCCGCTCCACCAAAGCATCGATGCAGCACTAGAGCATATGATGTGGAAACCGGCGTCAATCTGGCGGGAGATTCCCAAGTGGGGCAGTGTGCCGGATGAGCTTCAAATGCATAGGAGAAGAGAAGAGGACCAAACTTATCGCAATTGGCGTGAAGAAGTGGTTGGAGTTATAAACGAACGCTCGATTTTCGTAACAGATGACGGAGGGATGGGAATGGCACCGGCAGAGACGAGCGTTGGTGATTTGATCTGCGTCTTTTACGGCTGCCCTGTGCCTTGTGTATTGAGAGAGAAGGAGGATGACGTATCTTGCTTTTTCTTCATTGGGTCATGCTATCTTAATGGTATGATGACTGCCGATGCAATTGAGAAGCTTACGATAAGACATGGAGCTGAAGGTAAGGCAAATGCAGAAGTTGAGCGAGACTTTGTTATACTATAATATAGCTTTCCGCTTGTTTCAGGGCTTGATGCGCCTGTGTATGGGATTCCAGCACGGATATGCGATGATTTGGCCTGGGGAGAATGCTATTGATCAAAAATAATCAATGCAACCGTTGGGTTCCGGGTCTCGAAAGCTCCAATCTATATTCTTGAGATCTGGACATTCCCATTTGCAGCGACACAATTTGCTATCCAAGCTTCTTATCGTGTGACAGCGCTCTCCCATGTCTTTTGCATTGTAGTACCTGAGAAGCGATGCTTTGCCGTTCTCATTGGCTCCTACAATAGAGACATAGCACGCTACTTTCTTATCTTCTAGCCATGCGATAAGGTAAGGTGTTTTGATAGCCGGCTAAAAGCAATTCTCTAGCATATCACACGTAAACTGCTCTTTGCCCCAGCCCTTCCTCTCTTCAAAATTAGCGGGCAGATTCCACCACTCAGGACCAATCATCTTAAGCTTTGTACAAAACTCGTCTTCGGCAGTTTGATTAAACTGCCTTGGCGTGTCTCCAAGGTGATCCAGGTCCAGAAAGTTCAAGTCAACAAGATCAGCGTATTTGATCCAAACGCCACTTGAGCTAGGCCAACATGCCACGCGGGCGCGAAGGCTAGGCTAAAACATAGGAGGGTACGGTAAATTAGTCTACTCCTCATCTTTTGTTTTACTTGAGATACTGGATAGGATTAGAAACAAAAATATCTGCACCTTGAAGACGCGACGTAGCCACTTTCTGTGTATCGCTGCCTGGAAGATTGGCTGCTGACTAACCAGCCAAGCAGGCAGCTACAGTCCTGCCGAGTGAAAAGCCCCTCTAGAAATGTAACTTCGTTTATATCTACACTGCCTCAATTTTTGATAAAAGAGTTGGCAAAAGAAAGATTGTAGAAGTTTGCGAACATCACCCTCTATTGGCCACCCCGGTGCCCGCAAGTCCATATGCTCCACGAAATAATCAGCCTAGAGATGTTCCCATTCGCGATTATAATAATGACAAGCCGTAGTGAATTTTCCCGGGCAATAGTGAGATCTCAGAGATACATTGCACTGACATAGTCATCACGCTGATAGGTGGCTGCCCGAGCAATGTTCCTAGCAGGACAACGGGTGGCGCAAGAGTTAGGAGTTATAGTCTACAGACTTGATATCGCGAGAATCTCAAACATAACACTCGGGGTAAGACGGAAATGGAAGGCTTGATGGAAGGGATGTCGTTGTCTTGTACCCTGACATGGGTCGAACGTTTTGTGTTGCAGTGAGAAGTCAGCCTAGTGTCGTCATGCAGGGCGTACGAAGCGAAGCCACTTCCGTCCTGTAAAGCTTCTATTGGCGACTTCAGCGCGCACAATATACGTCCAGAAACTCAGTTCTACCTTCTTCTTATCGTCGTGGGCAACCAACACAGCTGCGTCTGCTTGTTCCGCGGAAGGAAGCACGGACTGCAGTACGGTTCACTAATTATTACAGACCGGAACCACGTTGACGTTATTTTTCATTACTTGGAGTATCGCCGAATCAAGTCCGACTTCAACGTCATCTTTACCTTGACCTCCTCGTTATCCGTCCCAGTGTTCACTGACAGGCTCAGCGACCAATTTAGAATCCGGAGGTGTGAGATAGAAACTAGACGCAGCACACCAGCCCTATACCAAATTCCACATTCACGTGCATACTGAATCTGAGGCCCTAATAATGTTAGAAGAGCAGTGAGAGTGAAATCCCTCGAAAATGCGTGAATCGCGTGGCACGCCTCTAAACGGCTTGCGCTCTTTTCGAATAACAATCCGGGGGGAGGGGAGGGACTCGGGGGGCGGCGGAGCCTCAGTAACCCAAGTTGGTGTACTACTGTGCCTGACTAGCAAATTGACAGGGGAAGACTGTACGGCAAGATTGCCTCAAGGAGTTTCTCACGGCAAGATCTCCCAAAGGAGCATTATACGCAACGCTGGCCCTAGCCCCGGCCGTGTTTTTGCATCAATAGCAGGGCCAGGAATTGTTTCACCTGGGACTAAAGCGTGCGACTGGGCGCGACAGGGATGTCCCACCAATGAGGCATCGGCATGGGGACAAGAAACGCCGAAAAGCTTGTGCGGGGCCCCATGGGCTTGACTAGGCTTGTTTGGTCCCACACCGAGGCCGCCTCCGACAATCTTGTGAGTATTTAAGTATTTAAGCAATCCAAGGACCACCTCGTCTACTTGGCTGTTGCATCGCATTGCTTCTTTTGCCTTCGCCGTGGTACAGACACTTGCACGCTCACCAAACATGACGTCTGGCACTGTTGAGCCAAAGCGTAATGCGACCCACGCCGTCGACAGCCTTGATCATGGAGTCGAGAAGCAGAAGATGGAACACTCCGAGGTCTTGGGCGACAAGGAGTTCATGACCGACGCTGAGAACGCCGAGACCCGCGAGCATGAGATGGGCCTGTGGGAGGCGGTCAAGGATCATCCTATGGCTTGCTTTTGGGCATTCATCTTCTGCTTTACCATTGTAAGTCCTAGCGCTCAATGAGCATTTTGCACTGGCGCAGAACCGATAGCTAATACTCAACAGGTCATGGAATCCTTCGACATGTTTTTGAACGGTAACTTTGTCGCGCTTTCCGCTTTCAAGAATAGGTACGGCGTCTTCGTCGAAGGATCCGGCTATGTCATCCCCACCAAGTGGCAGAGTTCGCTCTTCCAAGCTGGACAATGTGGCGCCTTTGTCGGTGTCTTTCTGGCTGGGCCCATCACCAACCGTCTTGGTTACCGCTGGACCACCCTCTTGGCTCTAGTTCTTATGAACGCCACAATTTTCATCTCCTTCTTTGTGAGTAACCTCGCCTCAGTATTGAGTGCCATCAATCTGATAGCATCCACTTAGGCCGACTCACTCGAAGTCCTTGTCATCGGGCAAGCGTTTGAAGGTATCCCATGGGGCCTGTTCATTGCAAACTCCCCCGCCTACGCCAGTGAGGTGGTGCCTCTCGTTCTCCGTGGTGCCTGCACAGCTACTCTTCAAATGTCCTGGTCTATCGGTAGCATCATCGTCGCCGCCGCCACCTATGGCTTCAATAAGCGAACCGATGAGTGGGCTTGGCGAGGCCCTCTTGCCTTGCAATGGGTCTTCCCCGTGAGTACCTCCTCCCGGGGTTTAATCAACAAAAGCTAACTAGTTCAGGTCCCGCTTATGGTCCTCATCTTCTTCGCTCCGGAATCTCCATGGTGGCTCATTCGCCGTGGACGCAACGATCAAGCCCTTCGCTCCATCAAGCGCCTCGGTCGCAAAAACGGAACCCAAGCGAGTGCCGAGGCGACGCTTTCCATGATACAACGAACCGTTGAGATTGAAGCTCATTTGGGCGGTGAACCTACCCTTCTTGACCTATTCAAGGGCACAGATCTGAGGCGAACACTCATTACCTGCTTGATCTACGCGTCACAGAACTTTGCTGGTAACCTGATTGCCAACCAGGCAACCTTCTTCTTCGAGCGTAAGTAGCTGCCCATCATCAAGCTTCGAGGATAAATAACTGACACTTCTTAGAGGCTGGAATGTCAACCGACTTCTCCTTCAAGCTCAACTTGATCAATTCGTGTCTTCAATTGGTTGCCAATACGCTCGCATGGCCCCTTAGCGGTTGGTTCGGTCGTCGCACCATCTACCTCTGGGGTACAGCTGTTAACGTCACTCTGCTCTTCCTACTTGGCATTTGTGCCTCCATCCCACAGAGTGTAGCGACCAACTACGCCCAGGCCTGTCTGGGTGTGATGATCTCATTCGTGTTTGCCGGTGCCATGGGTCCGATCTCGTACTCCATCATTGCCGAGACGTCTTCAGTCCGTCTTCGCGCTTTGAGCACGGGTGTTGGTCGTGCCGCCTACTACGTCGCAGAGATCCCTATGATCTACCTAGCCTCGCAGATGCTCAACCCAACTGGATGGAATTTTGCAGGCAAGTGCGGATACGTCTGGGGAGGTACCGCTTGCATCTGCTTCGTTTCGGCCTACTTCGGCCTCCCTGAACTCAAGGATCGCTCTTACCGTGAGCTTGACATCTTGTTCAAGCGCAAGGTTTCCGCCAGGAAGTTCAAGTCGACCGTCATTGACGTTAGGGAGAATGAGTAAGACGTTGTGGTGGAGGATGATAGACACAAAACTGCATCATTGCCCCAGGCAGCGGATAGACAGGGCATTATTTGGTTTAGAATAGGCGGTAAATAACTCTTTACTTTGCCACATCTGCAACAATTCATGCTTAATACGATATCCTGAATAACATTGAAGGCCAGTGAGACTAACACCTTTCGAGATAGGAAAGTCCAGAACACGCACAAGCTGTGGCACGACCCACTCGTTTGTAGAGCTTGGAACACTTGGTGAATTGTCATTTTCGAAATTGTTACTTTCATCTCGTCGGTTGGTAGTAGCTATTCCAGCTCAAACCTTTGTGCCGATTTTCCATCTACCTCACTTCTCGGGATTCCATCTGCCTCGTGCCTTGCGATTCCAGCTACTTCACTCCTTGGATTTCCATCTATTTCTTCCCTCGAAATTCCGCCCAGTTCCTCTGGCCTTGGTGTCCAGCCAGCTCGTGCTTCGAGTAAGCTGCAACTTCAATTTCGTGGATCTTCGCATCTTCATCGGGCAGCTCTGCACCCCTAGACTCGTCTCCACCAACCTTCCTAGAAGTTTGCGCTCGTCTTCTCTTAAGAATCAACACTACAATAGCAACTACTATCAGAACGCCGACACTGATTCCAACTCCAATACCGGCTTTGGCGCCAGTAGACAGGCCGCTCGTGGATGCTGCTGCACTTTTTGATGAGCGATCAAGGTCCGTAGTGCTCGTAGAGCTAGCCGTAGGTATAGGAACGGTTCCACCAGTTTGGGCAGTCTGGGTACTACTTGCTCCACGCGCAGTCGCTACCGACACTCGAGTGGCATTTCCAGCAACCCCAGTCATCAAGAACGGATTGTCTACAGTTCCGAGCTGTGCTCTTATCGTGTAGTTCTCATTCTTCATCAAGCAGCTCGTGACTCCGTCTCGGAACCACTGCGGTACTTGGGTCCATACTTGATCTGCACAGGGGGCCTGCTCGTCGAAGCAGGGAAGATCATTCGCATAATACGAGCATTCGCATGGGCCGGGCCAAACAGTGTTTGTATTGACTGTCTTGGTGCATTCAGTCCGAATGGCGTCCCAGCGACGGGCGCACGACATCATCGTCGACGTAACGGCGTTACAAGATGCATCGGAGTATGTTTCTGCCCCAGAAATGGGGCCGGGCAGGATGAGTAATGCGGAGAAGAGGATCCTCCAGCTGAAGTGCGCACCGTCGTGCTGCCAAGGAGAGGCACCTGATAGTTGTGGAAACATAGTGGAGATATTATGATGAGTAAAAGAAGACGTTGATGACTTGAAATCCATATGCCCTACGGCAGGGTATGGTATTTACATATGCTATTATCGGGCCGTAAATAGTAGCACCGGGCATGGCAATTTGCAGAAACTGCAGACGCACTATCTGACAGCTGCATCTAGTACGCTGTCCAATCTTCTAGCGTACAGCCTTACTACTCTACCCGCAGAAATACTCACCACAATGGCATATCGACAGTGAATCAGATATCCCCACAATACGCACAGCAGGTAAGATACCACATAGTAGACAATCAACACTGCTCCTCAAAGATAAGGGAAAAGAAAATTTCTGAGCATCACCACGATGTGGCGTCGTAGAAATCAGCGATGTTATCTTGCTTTCGCTAAAGTCCACCAATCACGACACACAGCACTTATGCCCGAATCTCTAGTCTTCCATGAGTAAGCACCCTCTGCTTGCTTGGCGACCGCAAGAGGGCACCTATTTCCAATTTCGGTGTGTAGATCTAGTAACAAAAACCTGTTTCGTAGAGCTGAAAGCATTCGCACTCATACCCTTTTTGCCAAAGTGCTCTGAGGTCTACGTATATGTCACAGTGCATACTTTGGCGGCACACTTTCCTCTGGAATCTGCTCCCTCTCAACGTTATTTTGGTACAGATGCGAAGCCCGTCTGAAACACTGTTCAGGTTCTAGAAAAAGCCTTTTAAGGGCCGTCTTGGCGCTTTGAGCGATCCGTCATCTTTTAGATAGCGTTCGCAGCCGCGAATATAGCTTCGAGCATGTGTACCAGAGCTGAACTTTAACTTAGCAGCCAAATTTAAGACGATAGCCATGTATGATTGTGGTCACAAGCTATCCCAGCTCACTCGGCTGTTCTAGTGATAGAAATCTCACTAGACTATTCGTTGCCATCGCATATTTTTAGGTAAAGATAGAGCCTTGGCGTTGATGCATATATGGTGCTTGGTAGAAGTTGCTGCACGTCATAACGCATAGTAAATCCTCGTGATTACATGAAGGCGTTGAAAATAACGCTAGCGTGCCGCTGATGGAGCGACGAAATGACTAGAACAATATGCTCCTTTACGGGGGTGGTACGTTCGTAGGATGCTATCTATATTAATAATTATGCAGGGGTCGTGGCCTAGAGAATGAATCAGTTCGTGTTTGGCTGCGTGAGAATGGGCGAGTCACGATTCTCAGGGTAGCGAGTTGTATCCTTGTACGATTTCATTGTCTTAAGAGCCAGAAGGAAAGAAGGAAAGAACTAACGAAACCGTCAGTCATGGAATGTGTTATTTTCGATGCTCGCCAAATGAAGTCTATGCTGAGCGCCCCGCTGTGTTCCCAAACGCCCTGCTTAACAACGAGATACTAGAAGAAGACAACTGGATCGGCCTGTAGCTCGCTCAATCCAGGCAATGAGTCGTGGATAACGGTGCAGAAGACGTCGTGCGATGCGGGTGGATCACTCTGATCATCCGTCAGAGGTGTGAGCCGGACTTTGCGCACCAAGTTTTTAGCTTCTGGACTTAGGTGGCGGATGAAGTCTAGTACAGGTAGATAATTGAACGCGTAGAAGTGAAACAGATTCTCTGAGTACATGACTGAAAGACACTCATGATAGATTAGGCGATTCGTTCGGAGGATGTCAAGCTTTAGATGCTTATCGGGATGCGGTCGGCATTTACGGTTCCACTTTTTACTGATGACAGTTGAGTCGCAGTCGGTATAGAGCAGAAATCGCTTGTTGGATGATGGTAAGACGTATCTGAAGATCTCTCTCCGGATTTCGGACGGTATGCGGAGTAACGGTGGGTAGTTGTCCAAAGCTGTGATGGTCTCGGGTATTGAAATTTGTTTATCCACCGACTCTTTTGAAGAATGGTCCAGTCTTCGTAAGCAAATATCGTACGTTGTCTTGGGTGTTGGTGCCATCTGTTACACGGTCAGAATAGGTTTCAGAATACCGGAGAACATGTGCCGCCAGGGAGACTGACCTTCTTGGCGGACGTCTTGGCTGGCATGATATAAAGACCCAAGGCGACTAAAACGAATGACTATGATTGCACAAAGGCGACAAGAAGCTCTATGTAAGCCTAGATCGTATTTGAGTGTCTTATTCGAACACGAAGAGGGGTCACGAGCACATGTATTGCGCTATAACGTCACTGGCGAGACGGTAAATGACAAGATATGTGAGCCAGCAGCAAGGTCATGAGAGTAGGGAAGCTCTTGGTGGCTGGAGAAGGTAGCACAACGCATGGAAGGACGTTAGAAGGTTGACGGAAGGTTGCGAGGTTGGTCGCGACTTCCACCGGAGAAATGTCGAGCCGGCTGCAAGTCTTGGCGCGGGTCGTGCCTGGAAAATTCATGGGACGCGTCTGCGGGGGACAACATACAGCTGTGTATAGTTCGACCAATACCCCCATAGACTACTTTCCCAAGCTTCGACTGACTCTGTCAAGCTTTTCGTTCTTCTACTTCCGGAATCTTTACTTCTCCGTTCAGACACCATGTCGTTCGGCGGCCAGACACCGACTATTGTCGTGCTGCGGGAGGGTAGGTGCCTTGAAGCGCATGTTACATATCTATAGGCTAAATTTCGCAGGTACCGACCAGTCTCAGGGTCGGGGACAAGTCATATCAAACATCAACGCCTGTCTTGCGGTACAGTCAACTATCAAAGGAACTCTCGGCCCGTATGGCGGTGATCTTCTTATGGTCGACGAGAGCGGAAGGCAGACGATCACAAACGATGGAGCAACTGTGATGAAGGTAGCCAAGCCTCTGGTTTACCAAAAAGACCTGATTTCTGACTATAATTAGCTCCTCGACATCGTTCACCCCGCCGCCCGCATCCTCACCGATATCGCACGATCGCAAGACGCCGAAGTGGGCGATGGAACCACCTCCGTCGTTGTCTTAGCAGGAGAGATATTGAAGGAGATCAAGGAATTTGTAGAGCAGGGTGTCAGCAGCCAGACTATCATCAAGGGCCTGCGGAGAGCTTCGCATCTTGCCGTCAACAAGATCATGGACATCGCCGTGGACACAGCAGAGGGAAATCAGCGGGATACGCTCCAGAAGCTTGCCGCGACTGCCATGAGCAGCAAGCTGATTTCCAGGAACTCCGACTTCTTCACCAAGATGGTGGTAGACGCCGTTCTCTCGCTGGATCAGGATGAGCTAAACGAGAGGCTCATTGGTGTGAAGAAGATCACCGGTGGTGCATTACAAGACTCGCTCTTTGTCAACGGTGTTGCATTCAAGAAGACGTTTTCCTACGCCGGCTTCGAACAACAGCCGAAATCATTCAAACAGCCGAAGATTGTGTGCCTAAATGTCGAACTCGAGCTTAAGAGCGAAAAGGACAACGCGGAAGTACGAGTAGAGCAGGTTTCAGAATACCAGGCGATCGTGGATGCGGAATGGCAGATCATTTACAACAAGATGGAGGCGCTGTACAAAACGGGCGCAAAGGTCGTCTTAAGCAAGCTCCCCATTGGCGATCTCGCAACACAGTACTTCGCCGACCGAGACATCTTCTGCGCTGGACGAGTAGCAGCAGACGACCTCGACCGTGTGTGCAGAGCAACAGGCGCTAGCCTCCAGTCCACCTGCTCCGATATCCAGTCCAAACATCTCGGAAGTTGCGAGTCTTTCGACGAGCGACAAATTGGCGGCGAGCGGTTCAACTTCTTTGAGGGTTGCCCAGAGGCAAGGACCTGTACTCTGGTTCTCCGTGGTGGCGCAGAGCAGTTCATCGCTGAGGTTGAGCGCAGCTTACACGACGCTATCATGATCGTCAAGCGCGCGATCAAGAACAACAATATCGTTGCTGGAGGTGGTGCCGTCGAGATGGAGATCTCATCCTACCTCCACAACTACGCCGATGAGAACATCCCGCATAAACAGCAACCCATCATCAAGGCGTTCGCAAAGGCTTTGGAGGTCATCCCAAGGCAACTCTGTGACAACGCTGGTGTCGATGCAACGGACATCCTCAACCGGCTGCGTGTGGAGCACAAGAAGGGTAACATCTGGGCGGGCGTGGACTTCACGACGGAGAGCATTGCGAACAACATGGAGAAGTTTGTTTGGGAACCCAGCCTAGTCAAGGTTAACGCTCTGCAGGCGGCGACAGAGGCTGCTTGCTTGATCTTGAGCGTTGACGAGACCATAAGTAAGACCTCCATCCCGCGTTTCGTATTATAACAACAGAGTGGCTAATGAATTTGCAGAGAACCAGGAGTCACAGCAACCGCAAGCCCCGAACAGGCCGCTACCACCAGGTGCCGCCCAACGGGCGATGGGAGGTCGGGGACGCGGTAGGGGTATGCCTAGGCGGTAAAGGTAGTGTAGGGAAAGTGTGAAGCAGAGTAACGGCACTAGGTCGCTATTATAGCACCGCATTAGGTGTCCACGCCCACGATAATGCAATAAAGAATCACGAAGTAGCACATGCTGTCAAGTTGGGGAAGTTAAGCGGGCACTTTGATGCTTTGCCATGGAAGCTAAAGGCAGTGATGCACCTCGATCGGTTCTTCAACAATTGACACTGCTTCTCTATTGATCACGCTACTTCTTCTCCTTCATCCCTCCTTCATCCCAGCTCATGCCGTAGCTCTTAACCCTACTCCAGTAAAAAGGCCGATCGTTCTTCAGCCCAAACTCCCCCCAATCATCTGTCAACCGATTATAACTCCAGTACCCCTGCCAAGCGAGCTTGTTATTCTTGGCCCCTCTGCCCGCACTGCCAAAGCTAAGGGCCATCTTGTACATGTACTTTGGTGTTGCACCCGCCGTCTCGACAAGAAGCGTGCCCTCTTTCTCTCCTTCGTCTTCGTCACGAGGCACAGCAGGTCCTGTTAGTCTCCAGCGTCCGAGGAGAGCGTCTTTCATTGGCGCAGAAAGGAGGGCGCCGTGGGATTTGTGCATGTGCTCCATGTATAGGTAGGGGACTACGTCTGCGGGTTCAGAAGTCGTGAGTAGTGACATGCATGTGCCATCGCGTAGGAAGCGCAAGTAGCGGTAGTATGTTACGATGTGGATGGGTGAGTTCCAGGACACGCTTGTGGGAGACGATTGGCCTGGGCGAGAGTAATTGACAGTGCTGATGTAGCAGCCGTTGAAGCGGATACGGGGGCGGAGACGGAAGAGGTTGCGGTAAGTTGGGTATGAATTTGGGACGAGCATTTGTGTAAGTGTCGTAGGCGATGGGGGCGGTGGACTAGGCTCGAACTCGTCGGTGTCGGATGGCATATCGTCACTGGAGCCTAGCATATGCTCGCCCTGTCCTTCAACGCCAAGTGGTTTCCCGTCAACCTGACAGGACCAACTGTAGTGCATTGCCGCGAACCCGTACTCATGCCCTAATGCGAGACGTTTCCATACCCGGTCCTCGGTGACGACAAGATAAGCCAGTCGCTTGCAAACTTGGGCTAGACGGACGAAAGATGCTACATCTTGAACAGCAAGATGCTCCAGAACCTCTACCAAAATCTCCTCGGGGATCTTGGAGATAGGACACGGTGGGGCAGGGCTAAGGTCTGTTGGTGGCGGTTCACCTTGGATTGAGAGGGAGGAAAATTCGCCGATGAGGGATTGGAGGGCAGAGGAGTGGCCGGTTAGGGAGTGGTGGGCGGTGTTGGGCACTGTAACGGAGGCATTAGAGGGGTTGGGGTCTTGAGGTTTGGGGAGTGACGTTGGTTCTGCTGCTCGTGATGATGTTGATCCTGGGGTAGGCGTCGATTGCTTCGCGCCTTGAAATTTCTTGAAATACGAAGGCGGAAAGTGCTTCGCTTTGTATACTTCGTGGACTTCGGAATCAAGCTATACCATGTCAGATGAAATTTCAGATGAGACTAAGCTCAACTCACCTTGAAGGCCTTTCTATACAAGTTCACGCTGTCTCCCAAGCTTCCTTGAGTCTCCTTCTCTACAGCCTTTTCGTAGTGTTCCAAAGCAGAACCAGGCTGTATGCCCTCAGCAGAAGCGGCAACAGCCTGAGCGCTAGTTTCATCCAACCTCCGACCATGCTTCTTTTCGCCCAAGTCGTCATATACGTAGGGTGCTACCTCATCTACATCTTTCACGCTCCGCTGGCGAACGTGACTGTGAGGTCCTGCATCCCGCGCATTACCCTTGGCCGTATGAGGTTTGCTAGCGGATGCAGTATTACTTGTCGACGCCGAAGCTACGGGTGCCTTGCCTTTAGCTCTGGCAGTAACTTCCTCCCTCCATTTCTGGCGGAAAGATTCAAGCTCGGCCTCAGTGTTGGTGGGTACGTGGCTAGGGTCCATGATGTGTACCTTAGCTAGTGTAGCGGTTACACGCGGGCGAGAATGTGGTAGATCCGATATCGCAGGGTTTCAAGAGGGATAGGCTATGGTGCTGGGTCTGATGCTCAGCGTCTAATAAAAATACATATGTACAGATGTTCGACTCCAGCGCCGTTACGTGTACTTTGTAGGTCCGGAGTCACCGCAATGACGAGGGCGGCAGGCACGTCGATCTGATAATGACCCGTCAAAAGGGCGGAGATCTAGACCGGCGACAAGCCGAATGGCTCCGATGACGACGCTAAGTCCGGAGAGCTGGGAGCCTTTTATTTCACCCATGCATCACCGCTAGTTCGCCTCCGTCACCACTTCCACGACTCTAGAACCTACAATGCGCACGCGTGCCCTTTCACACCTTTGGGATATTGCGGACACGCCTCGTACCGATTCGAGGTAATACGGCTTGTGGCGCAATCGACGGTACTATGGCTACGGCCACGCAAAGAGCAGAGGATGCAGAGGCGAAGGCGGGAATGGGCGAGGTGTCGCTCGCGCAGAAGATGATGTCTGCCGTATCGGGCAGCGTTCTCACCTCTCTACTAGGTACGTCTGATTTTTTTCATCATCGTGTGCCCGTTGTTTCCATATGCTATTGCCCTTCCTTGACATCCCATCTCCTGCAATTCCACCTTGTTTCCTTCGCGTCATAGCGGCTTTGGGTACTGACTTCGATAGTGACTCCCCTCGACGTCGTCCGTGTCCGTCTTCAATCACAAGAAACTGTCTCGAATACCTCCTCGTCACAGATGCGCACCTACAATGGAGCAACACTAGCACAATTCCGCGACCTCCCTCCGAATCTCGGTATATCAGCATGCTGTAGAGAAGTCTTCTGGATGAACAACAAAGCGCCGTTCTGTGTAGCAGGCCCAACCATGGCGCCCATCAACCCCGTGGATCTCGGTTCGTGCGCAGTAGAAGATGTGGAGCGAAGAACAATCAACAGCACATGGGACGGGCTGCGAAAGATTGCACAGAACGAGGGCCTGAGTACATTATGGAGAGGCCTGTCACCGACTCTGGTCATGGCGGTCCCCGCGAACGTTATATATTTCGCTGGATACGATTGGTTACGGACAGCAGAAGCATCGCCCATGCGAAAGAGGATACCCGATGCGTACACCCCACTCGTGGCAGGAGCAACCGCCCGAGTACTTGCCGCGATTGCCGTCAGCCCAATCGAGATGTTTAGAACGAGGATGCAGGCAGCAAATCATACAGCCACGGCAGCGGGGCACTTTCGCGAGACCATGGACGGGCTGCGATCGATGGTAGCCACACAGGGTGTATTAAGTCTTTGGACAGGCCTGACCCTGACTCTCTGGCGAGACGTTCCCTTCTCAGCCATTTATTGGTGGGGCTATGAGGCTACACGCGATGTGTTGACAGACCAGCGCGGACGAGCTGAAGCAAGGAATGACGGTAGCGAGTTCCGTGTGGGCCGTGGCGAGGAAAGAATACAAAGGCGAAGCCGTTCAAGAAGCCAAGAGAACCACAGGGATACACTTGTGGACAGCTTCGTTGCTGGAGCGGCCTCGGGCGCTGTTGCTGCGTTCGTCACGACACCCTTCGACGTAGGCAAGACGCGGCAGCAAGTGATACGGCACATGAGTGAGGCCGCGAAGGATGTCGCAAGATCGACGCGACCCGAGGATCAGACCATGCCGCGATTCCTTATGCACATCTACCGCGAACAAGGCATTCCCGGCCTATTCAAGGGTTGGGCAGCTCGATGTCTCAAGATTGCCCCAGCGTGTGCGATTATGATCAGCTGCTACGAGTTCAGCAAGAAAATGGCACTTGATATGAATGAACGACGAGAAAGAGAGCGAGCATAAACGACAGCAACAGGTTTACCAAATCGCCAATTACCGAAATGGTGCATTGTACAGTCGCAACCACGTACTTTCAGTTACTTTTTTGCATAGAGCGGTCTTTTGGCGTACAGATGGCGATTATACTCATGTCTGCATGAATGGCGTTTAAAGCAAATAGCGAACGGCTGCTACTAGTTGGGTTTGAAAAAAATTAGATACCAGCGCGTACTTGGACGGCCTGCGCGTGTACTATAGCAGATAGTATCAACATGACTACTCGATATTACAAGCTCAACAATATATGTTTGGCGTCCCTCATTCCAAATATGGCCCTTATATTTGTATACTTCCTCCAGGCATCCAAGATTAGTTCTAAGACGATACATAGATCCTGTAGTTTAGAGTACGGCGTTAAGAGACAGCCTCGATAAAGAAAGCCCGAGCCGCATATTGACCTTGCGCAACACATGACGGCGCGACAAGCCCTCGACATCGGAAACACGTCCACCACAGTCTTACGCGAACTGCACCCCGCTTCAACTAGACCAACTTCGCCTCGATTTCATCATCACAATGCTCGACGTAGAGGATTTCGACGCTGTATTCCAAGGCCTCAACTACAGCGATGGCATTGTCCAGCAGATTCAAGAGAATCAACACGCACTCGGCGGTCGCACCTTCTTTGAGCGGCTCATAGAGCTTCTCAAGATCCCAGGTAGGCTGCAAATAGACTTTTTGTAGGGCTGCAACTAATTATGCCCTCTCAGGAAGGAAGATCTACCCGCCCAAAACGCCACAACAACTACACGACCTCCACCAGCGCATTATATCCTCAAATACTACATTACACAACAAGCATTGTCTAATCTTCTACCTCCTCAAAGACTTGTCGCGTCTACAACACGATACCACCGAACTCTCCACAGGCTTTGCGCGCGATGTACACCTTGAAAAGCGGTTTTGGACATTCATCGAAGGACTATGGGCACTCGACCACCTCGACTTCGCCATCGCAGTCGGCAATCTCACACACCCGAGCATCATACCGACATTCCCCGACGAGATCATGCTTACCCTTCTGAAGGGCAGGGAGAAGCTGGTTAGCATAGGCGGGCCGGGGAGTTCCCACGACGACATACTCCCGTTAGCCTACTACAACTGCGTGAAGCCGCCGCTGGAGAACGACAAAGTCAGAAACGAGTTCGCAAAGTACCTCTCTGGACGTAACATCACCGAGACATATTATTGGATTCACGGGCGACCAGAGTATGAGCATAAGCCCCTTCTCGAGGTCTTGATCGAGCAGACGCTTGATAAGAATGCTTGGTCGAGCGGACCGGGTGACGAAGTGTATAGCCGGGAAGAGAAGGCCGTGGAACTTGTCAGCTTGCCATTCACTGAGGATGAAGAGGACTTTATTGAGAAGTTCTTGACGGAGGGTAGGGGCAGGGTGTTCCAGGGCGCGCAGGATACGGTGATGATGCGCAGATTTGCCATGGGGAGATTGTCCGATGTTGCGGGCGAGAAGGGAACGCGTGGTCGGAGAATTGATGGTGTCACCTGGGAGATGCTGCAGGATGGTGTCAAGAGAGGGTTGGGCCCGAGGAAGGATGAGGAGGGTTTCGTTGTCTGAGGAGCGACCTTGCCATGACCAAACTTCAGGCCTTATTATGCATAGCGAATGGCGTTTAGGTATATGCTACTTAGCCTACGAGTTTAGGCCACTATTCGAGGTCGATATAGGTCTAGATTGGACGGGCGTCCGCACGCTGCTCTCACTGGTCTTGCATGGACGACTCAACAGCAAGGTGTCTCCGCCTTTTCATTGGGCTACACAAGCGGCTGTATTACCTCACCGCCTCCCTTCTCTTATCTACTGCCATTCAAACACTGATACTTGAGGTGATTACATTACTGCTACTTTTCTTCAACGCCCGTGGCTCTCTCTTTCCTCTCCAACAATACATCTCCACCCACTCGACAAGTACTGGCACCACTGCGACACATGGCAGCCACCACTAATCTATCAAAAATGACATCAACCGCACCTTCGACGGACTCCACCGACTGGCCCTACAAGTTGGCAGATATTACATCCAAGCTAGGATTACCCTCCGAAAGAGAGATTTCAACATTCATCCTAGAGCCCGCGTTCTTGGATCCATGGGTTTCCTTCCGCGACCAACTTCCCCTCACGCCCGGTGTTACCGTCCCCCCAAAAGACAAGGACGCCATGACCGCACTAACTATCAAGATTTACGACATGATGGACTGCATGGCCACATCACAATACGACAGGCCCACGTATACCGACCACCAGGCCTGGAACTCAGCCAACTTCATTGAATGTCTGATCTACCAGAGCGCGCGCAACCTCGCTCGACAAGGCCAGCACTTCTATACATCCTTCCAGCGACCCAAGTTGAAAAATGAAGCGGGTAGGAAGGTGGCATTTAATCAACTCCACGGCCTCGCCATGCTCGTGTTCAAACTCATTGTCGGGTATACATCAAAGCCTCCTTCGAGCGTCATTCGGCGCATTGAAGCTGCTTGCCCAGCGAAGGATCCCAGTCGCTCTCCTCTACCTGAGATCCGCGTCAAGTGGCAGCTGGATCAAACACCTGTGGATGAATTGCGCAAGAAGGTGCTGGACTCGGAGCGCAGAGGCCAGGAGGAAAAGCAGTGGCTAGTCAATATTCTTATGGGCAAGGAGAGTGCGCCGATAGTGGAAGGGTTGGTGAATGGGGAGGTTAAGAAGGAAAAGAGTGTTGGCGTGGTGGGTACGGGCATGAAGAGGGCGAGCGGTGCGGTGGCTGAGGAGGCGAAGAAGAGATCAAAGACCGCGGGATGACGTGTAGTGCGTCGGGGAGGGGTCATTACCATGTATGTGGGGCGAGATGGAGTCTGGAGTTTTGCGTGCCAAAAGTGGCCTTTATACGTTTTGCTTTCGAGTATCCAACGGGATATGTCGAGTGCACAGGTGCAAAGGCATCCGGGGCTCTTTTTCTACACATGGCAAACGAGCAAGGCTGTATTCCTATTCGGTACGGATCTCTCACTCTCATAAAACTCTGGCTGAAGTCACTTTTCTCCTCTACCTTCTCCCCCATATCTCTACGCGGCAACAGCCGCCGAAACAGGCGCACCAATCCTAGTAATCTGTTCACCAGCCCCCACCACCATGTGCCCTTTGCTATCTTTTGCGCCCAGACGACTCGCATCGCTCTTCCAGACCTCAACTTCTTGTCCTCCCCGCAATATCCCTACACGCATCGTAGATAAAAGGTTGTGGGCGGCGTTCGAATGCTCATACACACCGCCATTGAAAAGCGCAGTGGCGTCTTTGCCAATTGCACTCTTAATCAACGTCTTCCCACCAGGATGCTCTGCCACAAATGCAGACACATCGTGGATGACGCCAGCGACGGCGACAAGTGCAGCTCCATTTGCATTAGCCTGGGCGCGGAAGTCGTCCCAGTCGATAACCGGCAGCTGAGAGAGCGGAACACCCCAGTCCAACCCTACTCTTTTGCGGTCGATAGCTTTCTGTTGTTGTTGGAGACGACCCTTTTCTATCTCGTTTGATCGGAAGGTCTTGAGATTGTAGGCCTGCGGGAAGAATGGGATCTTTGAGAAGAGCCAGATCAACCACTTTGTTGGGTCGTATTGGTACCAGATGATCGCGTTGCCTGCCGTTCTCATTAGTATTCCATCTACGCAAAGCACTTCCGCCAAACTTACGGTAATCGCTGGGAAACTCGTGGTGGAAGTTATGATAGCCTTCTCCCATGGTCACAAGCGCGGTCAGCACATGATCTCGCGGACTCCTCCGATCATCAAACGGCTGCTCGCCAATCCAATGCGCCAAAGAGTTCACACAAAACGTAGCCTGTTGGACGAAACAAGCCCTTATGATCCCCGCATACACAAGGCCGCCCCACCAATCTCCCCATCCGAGGCCAGCAACCAGCATAGGAAATACCCAAGCTGTGAACAACAGGCATTTACCGTAGTGTTTGTGCTGGAAAACGACGACGGGATCGCTGTCGAGATCGGACACGTCAGTGCGGCCTTTGACTTTGGGGTCGTTGTTGAGCACCATCCAGCCGATGTGGGAGAACATGAGGCCGCGCATCACACTATAGGGATCTTTCATCGTATCGGTCCAGCGATGATGTGCGCGGTGGTTTGCGCTCCACCAGCGTACGCTGCCTTGAATTGCGCCAGCGCCTGTGAACGCAAGAAAGATTCGAAGTGGTAGGTGAGCAGAAAAACATCTATGCGACCACAGGCGGTGGTAACCTCCGGTTATGCCGAAGGCGGTCATGAAGTAGTAGAGTATACTCCATATGAGGGTGGGCCGAATGAGGGCTGTGGATCTGGTAAGGTAGAGGCCGTAGAGGGGAATGAAAACGACGAGCGTGGTGTTGAGCCAGTTTATCTTTTTGTACCAGTTTTGTAGGGTGACTGGTTGGTGGGAGATGTGAGGTTCTTTAAGTGGAGAAGACTTTAGGTCTGGGGAGGGGCTGGAGACGGCCATCGTGGGCTATGTCCAAAGAGACTGCGGGAGGGAGAAGAAAAGCAGTACACAGAAATCTTTTGCGAGCGACTAAACATTCATATACGTAGCAGCATGGTCAGACGGCGGTAAATGCATCGTCGGCAAAACGTGGGTGCCTGTATGGTGGGCCTTACAGCAACGCACCAGTCTCACGCGAACCGGGATGCAATCTATCTTTTTCGAGCAGTGCGTAAGCCTTTGTTCCGGAGTTAATTCGTCGAAGGGGGCCCGGTGGAGTGACACTCGTTGAGTGATGAAGTTTACATTGACGATTGTAGTTAGACTTTGGCTAGTTCATTAGTCTGACCGCCGCTAACCCAAGTTAGTGTTGGATGCGAGATGCAGGGCAAGACCTTGTATTCCCGTTCAAACCCTATGACTCCAGCCGTGCTCCGGAACGTTTCATATACTATGCTTCTTTTGTTGTTTGCTTGCAAGTTGGATGCATTTAAGTGCCTCGGTCGACATGTGGAACACTCGTAATATGGATTGTCCTTTTTAAGCTCAACGAACGAACGAACGAACATCTCCGCACTCAAAGTACTTTCACAGAACCAGCAATAGCTCAACTAAGGCGTAAGCGCTTTAGAAATCCTCTTTAAGCTCAACGAAAATGCGATTGGGACACGTTGAAACAGTCAAACGAAGCTGAAGCTCATGGCGCGATCCAGTGCAGTTTATGCAATCTTTGCTACAATGTTGATACACATGCGCTGGCAGACGATACCATGAAAACTGCTTACTATGATTCATGTAAGTAGATCATAAATCCGAAAATCATACGGCTATGTCTTAACATGGCCATGACATTAACGTAAACAGCCCGACTCAATTCCAATGAATCCTTCTTACCCTCCCTCAAATCTGCTCCGAAGCACCTCAGGCCATGTGCCTTCTTTGTGGTGTTTTGCATCTGGAAAGAAAAGAAATGCCAACGTGTGAAAATGGAGTACCATTGAAGCCCTGATCGAATACAGCTGGATAGACGGAAGAGCTGAGCGATAAGCCAAAGATTGTGGGAAGCGATGGCGCACATGCTCCAGAGGAACTGCTGTCCCCCGCCCGCTAATCAACCGACGACTCCATCGCCGTCCTCGAGGCTTGCATCATCCTGCTCAATGTAACCAGCCTCGGCCAGAACTTTACGGACATCCCCACCAGCTGACAGTAGTATCTTGCTCTTTCTCACGTAGGCTTGAGCCAGGTCGACAATGAACCGATGCGGAACTTCCTCTGTGTTGACGAGCCAGTCTGGATCGCCTAAGAGCGCATAGAGTTCCAATATGAGTTTTCGCAGTATGTGATCTTCTGCAATATTATCATGAAAGACGAGTTCAATGACATCCGTATCGATACACTTCGGGTTTGCTAGACAGAACTCGATGATCTCCTGCCGGATTGCCTGTTGGAAGTCCGTGTCTTGCAAGGTCTCGCCAAGCATATGCGCTTCAAGAAGTCGATAGCAGTGAATTTCAGGGCCATCATCCTTAGCTTCCATATACTTGGGGATACTCTGTTGGTACAGCCACTGAACGTACACCTCGAAAAGCTCAGACTCTATCTCTCGAAAGACCTCATGCTTCGTTATCTTCTTATTGGACCACGTTGTGCGGCACATAGGGCAGGTATTCTGATTCTGTTTCCACTTTCGAATGCATTTGTTGTGGATGTTCTTCCCGCAGTCGCTGCAGAAGGTGAGATCTGTCTCTAAATCACTCAGATTTTCGTGACAGATAACGCATTCCCCCTCAATGTCTTTTCGACCCTTCTGAAAACGCTCTTTGAAGAATTGAGAGCGAGAGCAAAGCAGATCTTCGTGAGCCGCGAAGCGACGTCGTTCAAACCCGACTTGCAGGTAAAGGACTCTGTACCCGAGGCTATGAGTGTCAAATTGCTGCCGTGCAAAACTGAGAGGGGAGAGACTCACAGCATAGGCGCGCGCTTCCTTTCGCGTTTCTTAACACCACCGTGGCTCTGTTTTTCTGTCATCGTAGGTCGAAGTTGCGTCGTATTACGTGTACTGCGAATGGTCTACGATGGTTAGTATCGTTGATCAAAAGATTTGAATATACACTTGCTATTTCGGACAGTTATTGGTAATATTTCCGAAATGGGTCAGCAAACAGTGGTGACGTCGCTCATGTATGATTGAAGACTGATGGAGGCTAACTACCTCCTCATGGTGAACGACAAACGCAATGAAGGCCAAAAGGTGAGGTGACCGCGGCTTAATAAAGAATGCCTTGTGACCTTACTCGGAGGTAGTGTATGCCAGGGTGAAGGCAGTGCTTATCACTCAATACCGATCACTGAGGTTCCCATTGACGAGTGTGAAAAGCTTAGTGCGTTCGCAATGTCAAAGTTAATTCGAAGGGAAATATGTGGAGTTTATTCAACTTCTAATGGTATTAAAGCATGGGTATAGAAGCCGGAGTAGATCCAAGAATGGCCCTTTTTGCAGATGCCTCACTAGACGTTTTGAGAATCTTTGGATGCTACGGCGGCACGTCGTGGCAAAGAGCCGTGTATAATCCCAAATGCCTCAAGTGAAATGCTGTTTGCTTATTCTGAACTCGTATCGTAAGGAAATATGTTCCGAGTGGTGACTACCAGAAATTCCCATGTCCTAACGGCTTCTAACTCGCAATCCTTCATATAGACGCTGCTAACAATCCCTTCTTGCCAATAACTTGACAGCTTCAATAGAATTGTCGTATTGTATGCTCGCTGGGTCTGTGTAAAAGCTGGCCTGCCTGGAAGCGAGAGTAGGCCAGGGCAAACTAATCTTCCGCCTGCGTCGCGACAACAGCGCTTTCTCGCTGCTCATTCGAATCTCTAGCTACCATATCTTTATCGTAACCCTCATCCGCGCAAAACTCCCTTTTCACCAGCTCCGCATCCCACTCTTTCTTTCGGGGCGATTCTTTGAGAAGAGCTAGAGCGAGGTCATGCATAAACACCGCCAGGTATTCTTTTCCATGGAACCATTGTTGGCGCGCCGCGATGACATATATGCGAACGAGTAGTTTCCGGAGAGGAGACTGGTCGCACGTTTTCTCGTATGCATAAGCGATAGTTTGAGGACAAGGTATACAGTGATGATCCCTGAAGATCTCGATAGATCCGTGCAACACTGCCTTGCAGAAATGATTATCCTGGATTTGTACACCCAGTAGATAGGCCTCTACAAGATGATGAAACTTGGGTTTTCCTGACTGAGAAGGCTCCACGCAGATCTGGCCGTGGTATAACCATTCGACGTAAATTTCGAATGCGACGCTATTGAAGTCTTTGAAGCGATGGACTGAAATGGTGGTTCTCTCACTCTCCCACTTTTCGCGACATACTGGGCACCTCAAGGCTTCCCTATCAGGTGGCTGCTCCTTCCAACGCTCGATGCAGTCATGGTGAAAGTTGTTGCCACAAGTCATGCTGCAAAAGGTCAACTCCTTGACCCCTAGTTCTAGTCCTTCGCGACAAACTGAGCAGTCTCCTTCGATTAACCTGCGCTTAGTTTGAAGCTTTTTGCGGAAGAACTGCGATTTGCTACATAAGAGGTCCTCGTGAATGGTGAAGTGCTCTCGAGATTGTCCAACTTGGATGCGTACGACTTTGCGGCCATATATGCACGTTTAGTAAGTTAATGCTATTCCGAAGAATTCCAAGGTAACTCACTTGACGGCTTTGCGCTTCAAGACACCAATACGCTTTGGTGGTTCGGGAATTTTCGTTCACAGAACCGGGCTTGAATGCGGCCGGCTGTGTGCGGCTGTTGTTGGAGTAAAGTTGAGAAAAAGCTCGGGAAAGAGACCTTCATAGTTATTAACCTAAACTAGCTCATCTCACCACTGAATGGCGGCGTATCATGGTGAAGTGAAGTGAATGAAATTTGGAGCCCGAGCCGCAGACCGTCTTGACTTACGCCGTGGGCTACTTTCCTCAATCTATCCCTTCTTTGAAGCCAAAAGGCATAATCTTCCAGAACCAGACGAGGCTCTCACTTGCGTCTCCAAGGCCGTGATAAAGAGGGAAGACCAGCGTTCGGTAGTGGCGCAAGTGACAAGTCCGCCTCTTGATGAACATCACGGCGACGATCACGGAGAGCATCGCAGGCCGGCTGTCCAAGAACACCACTCAGCTCATCATCAGAGTCAATCTCACAAGAAGACTCGCCACTAAACCCTCCCTCGTCTTGTGTCCCCATCGCCTTGCAGTGCCGTTCCTCCAACTCTTTGAAACTTTTCCTCTCCCCCCTCGCCATCGCCACATCAGCCAACTCCCACGTAAAAACATCCGGCCACTTCGCAGCTTCTTTCTTGAACCAGCCAGGCTCCATGTACGCCATGAAAACTTCGATGACGAATGCCTTGATCTCTTCACTCCGCTTGCTTTGGGTAAATGCCCATTTGACCGAGTCGGACCAGAAGCATGCCCTCGCCTCGGTAAAGAACGTTCGTATGATTTCGTTCTTGAATGTTTCGTCCTCGACGGCGTTGGCGACCTCCCAGACTTTTAGCAGGGCTACGTTGAAGGCATCTGTCTTTCGTGATACACTCTTGTCAATGTGTAGACTGCTACAGTATAGCCAGTCAAGGTAGGCTTGTACGGCTTCAGCATCCAAATCGCCCTCAACCCCAAGATACTTCAGCAGCGGTTCGTTCTTCCAGGTAGCGCGACACATCGGGCAGGTTGGCGGCGGCTTATCATAGCCCTGGTGAACGAACGATCGCTTCCACGTCTCGATGCAAGTTTCATGGACGTTTTGACCGCACTTGATGCAGAAGGTAAGGTCTTTGATGTGTGGATTGAGGGCTTCGGCGCAGACGCAGCATTCGTCTTGGTCGTTGAGGATCTTGCGGCGCTTTTGCAAGCGGGTTTTAAAGAAAGTGGATGTGCGGCAGATGAGATCCTCGTGCACGGTGAACCGGCGGTCGAGATTAGGGATTTTAAAGCGTACAATTTTGCTGCCGATGCTGTTTTATGTTAGTAGGGGTTTCATTCTGTCGGGTTATCGAGAGTTGCGTACCTGATTGGACCCAACTTCTTGGTCGCTCCTCGGCTCTTGGAGATAGTCATTGCCTAGATCGAAGATAGTGGAAAGAGAAATGTAGTAGTCAAGAGAAGGTTGTATCGGCCTGACGAGGTAAGAGAAGGTTTGTTTGTTTTCTCTGTTTGAGCGGCGTGATAAGAATGCAGGTGAGAGAACAAGAAGATAGACTTTTAGTGCCGTAGCTATGGAAGATTCCTGAAGATATTCAAGGCGAGAAATAATCATAAGAAAAGAAAGAAGAGTCGCCGCCCTCCTGTACGCTGTATCCCAAACACCGAGCGGTACCCTTGCGGTATTTGGCAGGTCCTCAAACCTCAATGAGTTGACTCCTCCATTTCACCTTCCGACATTTCCTCATCTTCCTCGCTAACTATTTCTTCCGCTTCGTTTTGGGAAACTGCCTCGTCCTCATCATTAGTCTCCCCGGCGTTGCTGTGCTCCTCCAGCTCGTATTGTTCATGTGTATGCCTTGCCAAAAGATCTTTGGAACTTTCCTTCTCCACTATCGCTCCTAGGACGGTTCCACACACAGCGTGTGTGAATGTAGGAGGGAATTTCGATGCCCAGGTCTCAAACCAGTCGTCGCGCATGTACACCAAGAATGCATCGATGACGAATATCTGCATTGACTTTATATTCTCGTCCTCGAAAGCGTACTTCGTAGAGCTGACCCAGAAGCCAGCATTTGATCCATCTTCCATTGTACCTATATATTCGGCGATGATGGCGTACATGAAATTCCAATCTTTCAATATCGTGGCGACTTTCCAGGCCTTTAGGAGGACGAGGTTGAAATCGTCCTTGCCCCGGTTGATATTTTCATCGATATGCAGAGTTCCAGTATATAGCCAGTCAATGTATATTTGCACGGCGTCCCGGTCAAGGTCGTTTTCTACAATGATAGGGTCCTCGGTCTTGTTTTTCCAGTTCTTTCGACACATCGGACAAGTATCCCGGCCGGTCTCCGACGTCTTGCACTCCTCGATGCAGTTTTCATGGACGTTCTGCCCGCATTTAGCCCTGCAGAACGTGATATCGTCGACTTTGGGGTCGAGTTGCTCATGACAGATGGCGCATCCTTCCTTGATAGCTTTGCAGTCCTTCTGCAGCCTTTCTTTGAAGTACTTCGAGTTGGCGCATATCAAGTCTTCGTGGAGCGTGAAGTGTCGAGAACAGTTTTTTATCTTGAACTGGACGATCTTGCGACCAAGCCTATATGCGGGTGAGCAGCAGATACGTACAACGGCTCGAGACATTTACACAATAGGCCCCAGCTTCTTAACCGCGCCACGAGTCTTCACGACGGCCATCGTGGTAAATTTTGATCCGAGTTTTGTTGTGATGATGAGCGTAGGTTAGGCGAGCAGCGTTGGCGTGCAGAATCTGCAGCTGACGGATGAGTTGGAAAGCGTTCAAGTAGTTGAAGGCAACCAAGCTAGATTAGAGAATTCAAACAATTGCGTGTCTGAGGAATACTGCGTACACTGATAAGTAAGAGCAGACTTGACACCAAGTGAGAGCAATTGGTAAGAGTGGTAAAAGCCAATCGTTTTGAATACTAAGCGTGTTGGGTAAATCACCCATCCTGCAGGTGTACTATCTCACCTGTGTTGAGCCTGCCATGTGTGGTATCATTGAGAATCGTTTTTTGTGTAAAACCTGACCGTTGAAAGCACGTGAAATCCAATGCCACCGGAGTTGAGAACATATTTTGGTATCTTGCGAAGAGAAAATAGACAGCTTGATCATGCGCCAATGTACCATAGTTCCACGCCCATAACATCGAACTTTTTGCCGTCGTCGCTCAATGGCTCGTTGCCGAATGTTGGGCAAGTATCGGAAACGCCGTTCTCAAGGTTGTCGTCTAGCCAAAGGCCATAATGACCGTCACTGTAAAACTATCAGCATGAACTCCCCCGAAAAATAGCGAGTGTTCTTACCCCCCACCAATGCTTAAATAACTATGCTCGCAAAATATCATGTAATCGTTGACCCCACTATATGGAAACGCCTTGAATCTTATCCTGTCGGGCGTGCTCGTCCCGCTCTTGTTCGCTTGACCATTTTGTGGTGGCGATAGTGCATCAGGCTTCGACTTTGGTGTCGCTATTGTTGTCATGCGAACAGCATTTGTGGTATCTGCAGAAGGAGGCGGTGGAAGATTCGCGAGGTCGGGTATCGAGGACAGGATGTGTGCGCGCCAGAGAAAGCATTCGCCGTTGCCGTAAAAATGTGGCGAGGGATATGGTGGATCTGAAAGGTATGCGCCGAAGACCTGTTTGCATATGTCAGCGGTTTTCAAGTTGGTGGTGTGTTTTGAAGACGTACACTGCCACCGCCATCCCTAACCACAAGCACATAACCACCCCTCTTCCCCCTGTACTCTTCACTCTTCTGATACAGTGTCCCTAAGCTGACCCCATTTTGCTCCAAACTGTACGCCAAGCTCCACTCATCTACAAGCTGTAGCCTCGGCGGCACTAATAGCCTGATTTCCTCCGCCAGCGCTTTGCTCAGTAGCTTGCCTTTCTCCCGCATGCCACTCCGCCACCCCTTCAACGATAACGGTGTGAGTGGCGGCGGTTGGAAGGGCGACGCTGTTCGTGGTGGCTGGAAGACTGAATTCATGTCTGATGTGGACGAGGATACGAGGCTGGCGAAGGAGTGTGAGAGGGACGATGCGGTGGACTGGAGTTGCGCTTGTATGTTGCTCGCGCTGTTGCTATTGTTCTCTGCCTTTGAATCTGAGGCGGCGTTGGGGCTCGAATCGGTGTTCAGTCGCCGCAGAATGCCAGATACCGCGTACGAGACCGGGTACGTAAAGTATGAGGAGGAGCGCTTGGGCGTAGATCGCTGGGAGGGTTGTTTGGGGGGAGGGGAGCGGGCGGGCGGCGAAGAAGGTGTATCTGCTGTGGCCGGCATGGATGCGATTCTGGTAGTAATGTGCCTGAATGAATAGCGGGTCGCGCGGGCGACGTTGGGTGCTGTAGGCTGGGATTGTCTTAGGTTGCGGCGCTGGGGGAGTACAGCGGTGACGTTGCGTAATAGTGGGCTGACGGCTGTTTAGGAGCCTGGGGATTTGAGGAATGAGAACATGTCGCACAAATGAGCTTTCAGCTAAAATGCTGTGCTGAGCTGGCTTTTCATATACAATTGAATTTAACGCTTTCGCACGATGATACAACGATTAGGGATTCATTTGGCTTCTGGTTCCTCTGGGTGTAGCTCAACCTCGGAAGTCCGAGTAGCGCCCTAGCAGATCCCCAGAAAGTTTGTTTACCCGTTACCCGATAGATTTGTCATGTTAAAGTCTTTCGAAAGTGCTAAAGCTGGAGGACAATCAATAATCACCTGAGACATATGCATAATTCGGGGTACAGAGCCATTTTCACGAGCACGCAAATGGGGTTGTATTTGCTGTACGGCATTCGGTGCGCGAACAAGCTCAAGAAGTTAAATTTTTATATGCCTTGATTCCAAGCTTCTGTTCCCTTTTCTGCCTGCGTTGGTTCTTCAGACTGTGGGACTTTGGGCGCGGGTTCTGCTGAAACATCTTCCGCTTCCTCCATGTCCTGATCAAGCTCTTCCTTGTGCTCCGCTTCATCTAGGTCCGCCTCTTCGTCGTCCCCGCCATCCTTGAGTTTCCCGCCCTTCCGTTTCGGAATCACCTCCATAAACGCCTTGCCCCAGTCTCCGGACTCCATCCACTTGAGCATGATTTCCAGCACATGGTTCGTCACCAGCACTTGCCTACTGTTCATCTCCAGGAACTCGCCAATGGGTAGCTTCGCGGTCTTGATTCCTCGTTCGACGGCTCGCTTGTGGCAGATGCCCTTGTGTCGATTCTTGTCAACCAGCCCTCCAATGATGTATGTGCTGTTAGGTTTGAGATGTGTGAGGACGTTGTCGGACTCAGCGGAGAGGTAGACGATCTCGCCTTCTTCGATCGTCTTGTCTGTCTTCTCTTCCTCGCCAGAAGCTCCATCTTCTTCTGAGGGCTTCAACGCTCCCGCAATCTCACCACCCTTTGGGCCAGTCATCCACTCTTTCGACGTCTGTGCCACTGCCACAAAGTCCTCCTCGGAGAAGCGAAAGCCTTTCCAGTGTGTGTACTGCTGCGCGAGGATTCCATCAAACCGTTCTTTCATCTTCCCTCCAAAACTGCTTAATGCTAGATGGGCCCTAAACTTGGCCTTGCGATTGTCGCTGTAAGATCTCGTGATTTGAAGTCCCAAACTCTTGAGTTCGTGATCAAACATGAAGTCTTCAAAGTCGCAATCGAAGATGATTGTGACAGGGACCTGGGTTCCCAAGCCTGCTGAATGCCTTAGTGCTCGCGCTGGCCGTGGCTGTACTGTGCTGCTAGTCCCATCTCCATCTGACTTCCTCGCTTCACGCCATCGCTCCTTCTTCTCTTTGATTTTGTCCTTCCGCTTCTGTTTGCGATCCTCCCGCCCTGCTTCCCAACGGTCGTGACGTTTCTGCTTCTTGAGTTGATTTTTAGACAACTTTGGCGCCGCATCCTCGTCACCAGCTGGTGTGCCAGTTGCTGCTGTAGCTGACTCTTCTGCCTCTGCATTTTCCGCGGTCACGGGAGTTTGCGCGTCCGGTATTGCAGTGGAAGTTACAATATCCGCATTCAGAGAGCTCTGTTCATCATCCGCATGCTCCAGCTTTCGCATCTTTGCAGGCCGCTCATCAGACTCCATGATTGCTATGACCTGTGCTTCAATTAACTGGAAGTGTGGTGTTGAGTTGCCCACTCACAGTCGACAAAATTATGCTCACTCACTAGCGCGTGCCAAGCCCCACCCCTGCCCTCTCCTCCGCCAGAGCTCTGAGCCTCAACCTCACATCCCAGTGACGGCACACTTCACCCACCCATTGAACCACGAATACAGCTGCCCACCATGCCGCAGGATATGCCGCCGACGGGCGGCTACAGCCCCGTCCAATACAAGCGCAACCTCCCCGCTCGTGGCTTCCGGCCAGCCGCATACCTATTCGGAACGGCGGCGTTGATGACATATGGATTCTGGAGGGTTGGGCAGGGTATCAGGGAACACAAGTACGTCGCAGGCGAAGGGACATATGCGGGTAGTTCCAGAGAGGGAGGGCAATGCTGACAAGCTACAGCGAACTCGCGCGCGAGAAGATGTGGGCGCGGATACACCTCATTCCCGCGCTACAGGCGGAAGAAGATCGCGATCAGGTGCGAAGATATCTGGCGGACAGGGCGAGGGAGAAGGAGCTGCTGGGCACAGAAACAAAGATTTACCACAACGACAGGTATGTCGAGAATGTGCTCGATTCGCGGCAATGTCAAGCTAATCATGCGGTTCCAGGTTTGTCCGACCAACGTTTGCCGTTACGCCAGAGTTCGAGACGAAATAGGAGTAGACAATTAGATGGAAGTGTACATACAACGTCAAAATTGACGGGGAAAACTGATGCCTTTGATGGCTGTGCCTTGTGGAAGTGTACGACAACTGGAATTGAAGTCTTTCTTTGCGTTCAACCTATTTCTGCTCCCTTGTTACTCCCGCTCAAGTACCGTTCAAGCGAGTTTACGATGTGCAGGTAAGGTCTGAAATCGTGTTTGGTCTCGGAAGCGAGTATAATTCACAGTGGAACGGCTGCGCTAATCAGTAGACCTTCGACCTTGGTACGCACCTGGACCCCTCGAGAATTGTGGAGTAACCATGGAATAAACGAACTAATTCACTTTCACTTTCAACTACCGCTATAGGTTTTGCAAGCCTCTTGACTACAAATTCCCTTTTCCCTCTACTCAGCAATCAAATACTTACTCAAGAGCCCAAACAACGATATTCAACCATGGCTCTCTTTCCAAACATGTTCGCAAACTCAAAAGTCTCGCCCACGGATCCAACTAGCTCGAGGTCGCCCAGGATGACCAACAAACAGCTCAGCGAAGACTGGGACTTGGTCTCTTCCGAAGACGTGGTCGGCTATTATGACGATCGCATCATTCTGATCTTAGGTGCCGACGAAGCCACATATCAACTCCTCCTTGCGGACATTCCTACCAGCTCTCAACTTCTAGCGCGCGTCGGCCAACTCATTCCATGCCACCGCTACATCCGTCTCCCAGCCCTCGACGCTCACATGCTCGCGGCTTACCTCCATCCCCATTCTGTCGATGCTCTGGCAAACGAGTTCTCATGGAACGAGGTGATCAAGCTAGTCATCTCCGCGGAAGTTCTTGAAGACCCTGCAGTGCAAACTACCGCCATCGCGGCGCTGAAGGAAAAGGCTAGAACAGCGAAGGATAGCCTGGACAGCATGTACACTCATGTGGACTACCAGCTCGCCAAGTCCCACCGCAAGACCACGAACGGCTCATCGAAACTCATTCAGACACTTGATGACATCGCAAAAGCAGTCTACGCAAAAGCACCGAAGTTAAAGTCACCCTCAACGGCCAGCTATACTAGCGCTCCTCCGAGTAAATACCAGCCAGATCGCCAAGGTCCCGGTAATTATACCAACAGTGTGCTGCGGGGTAATGGATTGATCCGTCAGAAACAAAATGAGGCGGAGGGGAAGGAGTACCCGGTTCGGCAGCCAACGACTCCGCCTAGTGTGGAAGCCTTGCGCTCGGGGACTGTAGGGAACTTTGTGTAGTCAGTACGAGAGGACATTCATGGAAGAAGATTCAATAGGGTCGTAGTAATACGGTGGTAGAATCAAATTCCCGTTGATAGTGTTATCCAATTGCTTAGAGGACTCCGAAACTGTGTACCCTAGTTGAACAATAAGCAACTAAACATGATTTACTCAACACGAGGGAGCAGTGATTTCGCAGAGGGCGTCCTTTACAAAGTAGAGCGCTATACCTTAAAATGGATGCCGCATCTATGGAATATACCTTCTATCAGAACCTTTTCAGTATCGTGATACGAAAACCGTATAGCGTGACTCGAATACCCTTCGATGTTGGATTTTAATTGAGATCCCACCACCACGGGTAATTTGTTGGTTCATATGTATATTTGTGGTGTAATGGGTCTGAAACGTAAAAGCCCCTAAACATCTAGCGCTAATAGAATAGCCAATATTACTTGCGTTGTGTCGTGGATATTACAACGCAATCCAACAGCTTATCTAACATAGCGATGTCTTCAGATCGTCAGACAGCCTAGGGACCAGGGAGTTGGCATTGTCACCCGTGTTGGAAATACAAACTATGCACAGATGTTAATAGAACTAATGGCTGACAGCCAATCTATCCCACCCCGCAAAACTCAAAATCTCACGTTCCTTCCCAGAATCCATGCTATATGAGTGCGACAATATGTAAGATCATAGAGCACCAGTATTTTAGTGACAAGATCAGAAATTACCCACAAACTGTGCCGCAATCCTTAACATTCATGGTCCTGACCATCATAACATTTAAACTCAAGGGTCGCGCCCGCAACATGTCTTTTATATCCTTAGCTTTTCTGGCTTCCCGTTTATTCCTGGGATTTGCCACTCGCCACTTGCTACTACTAGTTGAATATATCATGCATAACCTCGTTGCCTTCTTCGCCCTCTCCACGATTATCCTTGCATCCCCCACTCCCGAGCTTCGTTATAATCGCGCCAAAAACGACACTCTGGGAGTACTTGCTACATATGAAGTCAGTTGCGACGCTGGTGGCAACACCCTTCCTCGCTGTTACGAAGGAGGGTCTGCTGGCTGTCGCTGTAACTATGTCGGTACCTTCCTCTGCCAGGACCGTGAATGCAGAGACCACTGCGGGTGTCGGCGGTATGTATTTCCCATTATTCATTTCCAACGCTACCCTAACGCACACCATAGAGTGGTCCCACCAGTCTGCCCTCCAGTCGAGTGCTAAATACAAGGCACATGATGACTTCGATGTTACCATTATCTGGAACAATATACACTCGGAAAGCGATTTCCTCTGTTTTCGAAAGGAATCGTGTGGTCCAATTGAACGAATCTTGGGCGACTTTGCGAGAGTATTGGAAAGTGGAGTATTCGAGGAGGTGGTGAGTTTAAATGCGAGTAAGCATTTGTTATGCGTAGTGGTCATTTGTTCGAAGAACCAGGATGAGGATGTTATAGATTCAATTCTGAGTGTGCATTGAGTTTAACGCTCTTACATCGTGTACGCTTCTTTCACTACCAGCTGAATCTCGGCTAGCCAGTCCACGACTTGACTCCCTCAAGGCTGCATGCGGTACGGGACTCCCCGAAATCGTTAACAACCTCACCTGCCTTCCATATCTGAGCTGGGTGATAGATGAGGACTTTAAATTTAGCTACGAAATGACTACTGGATTCAAACGCGTCACTTCAGATGAAGCGCTCCAATTGACCAGCTATATCATCCCGCCGGAACACCTGTTAGCATGTGGTCGCTGTTGCTCCGTATACATGTTGATCTTCATCCTTTGCCTGATTGAGTTCCGACCGGAGAGTTGGCTCGGGTCCGGCGCAGACCATCTGAGAATCATCGCGTCAACCTCTTTTAGATTAGTCGCATGTATCTCTACAAAGCCGGAGGAATTTGAGACGATGTCTACTGACAGACCATCGTAAACTTTTGCAAACGCAAGGTGAAATTGAGCGCGTATGGAGGGGGCTTAGAACGAGGCTGAGAAATGAGGGTGCCTGCCTAAATGCGATTTCAGCTGGCTGGTCAGCTGCACTGCCCCACTTTCACCCATATATCTACGAAGTAGCCTGGTCGCCTTCACACATCAAGACATCTCTCATACCAAATTGCTCTGAAAATACGCTCTAGATATGCCAAAAGTCAGAATTAGAAAGTCCCCAGGACGGCCCGCATATGTCTACCCTACAGAAAATCCTTTTCGTCAGAGGGGCTTAGCATCTACACAATCGTTTCTCGCGCCATTCAAACATACGCCCATCGATCTCAATACAGCATCGATACGTTTGATTGAGATCCTTCCCCCTAGTCCCAATGGCACAATACAGTGCAACATCCGGAATGCGACGGTAGACTCTGAGTACACCTGCCTGTCTTACGTCTGGGGTTCAGCAAGCCACACCAACAACATCCTCATCGACGGCAAGCTTTTTCAAGTGCGAAGAAATCTTTTTGAATTTCTGGAGATGATAAGCGCAAAGCAAGTTATAACAAAGCAAGAGACGACAAGGCTTCACAGTGACAAAAGCCCAACGTTCGACCTCAGTCACGCATCTCGATCTCTCTGGATTGATGCGATGTGCATTGACCAGGAGAATGTGGTGGAGAAACATCATCAGGTTAAACAAATGGGTGAAATTTACTCAAATGCGCACTGTGTTCTCGTTTAGATGGGAGACGACCGTATGATTGCTTCATTTTTTCGCTTCATGAAGGGGAAAGATGCAGCCCCTTACTCACTGTTCCCTATCGACAAATCAGGCGCCCTTGAAGACTTCATTCATAACGAATATTGGAGGCGCGCGTGGATAACTCAAGAGATAATTTTGGCCCGGGATGTTTACTTTGTTGCAGCAGGCGAGGCAGTAAACTCAAGCGTCCTCGATAGTGGAGCCCGAGGGATTATTGAAAGATGCATTCAGGGTCGGCAATGGCGACCAGATGATCGCAATATATTACCAGTCAAATCGCGCACTTTGTTGGAGTCTTTGTGGCATTTCCGGGGCAAAGAATGCGCGAATCCACAGGACGCTGTCTACTCGCTCCTTTCAATCTGCCATGATGGCCATAGTCTTACAGTCGATTACAGTGTTTCTATGGTCCAATTGGCTCTGAATGTTCTCAAAATTTACCAGCAAGACCTCTGTCTATGTCGAGCAAAGATTGTACTACAAGCCTTGACGATCGACTTCGCCATCACGGACCGAGACTCTTCTTTTATATCCGACGCAGATAGACCCTTTGCAGAAATTCACCTACCAAAATTGCCAGTCGACACTAGGTATTGTGATCGCTGCAATGGAAACATACGCCTAGCTCATCTCAGACAAAGTTACCCTATCAGCCAAATGTACGTGTACTGCCTTGGCTGCCAGCACTCAATATGGCCTGCGCTCGGAAAGGCTCAAAACAATTCTTTCGGCGTAATTTCCCGGTCACATCACATCTCTCGCTTCGGACATATTGTGTTCGCGCAGGTAAGCCATTCTGCCAGCCAAAACGGCCGGGATGAAATGAATGGCACGTTTTTCAAGTTTTGTCTCAGGAAGTAGCAGAAATCGAAAACGGCGTAGAAATCATAAGAATTGATACGGACAGCTCATGTGCAGTTCTTCGACTTTCCGTTAAGGCTATTTGCGAGCTGGCGTCCCATTATCCCGAAAAGGAAGTCTCTCAAGACGCATATCACTTTTTGCAGGTGGATCGGCATGGTCAAAGAGTGGGCAATCTGGATTGGAGACTGCTGTTCTAGGGTCGTGGAAACTCACCAGAAAGATATGATCATGGAGTATCATGAAGAAAGCATAGTGAGGCCTAAGGCAGCGGTCTCTCAACTGCGAGTACCCCCACCAGCGGCTCTACATTCCACGAACGAACCCCTCACTCTCGACCTCCCAGCCTGCCGGCCAAACCGGACCTACGAATCCGTCCCATCCACCCGCCATCATAGCAACCGCCAGCAACAAGCCCGCAGCACTCGGAAAATACGGTGTAGGAACTCTCGTCCCACCAACCGGCATGCCCACCTCATCAAATGCGTTGTTAACGTCAAGCAGCTGCTGTACAGCGCGCTCAGCGTCACCCCTCCTCGCTTCGGTGATAGCCAGTAGCGGAAAATCCCATCCATAGGAGAAAGGAAAGTTCCAGGTTTGGTGTATCTTGGCGATTGTGTTGTTGAAGGTGGTCATGTTGAGACGGGGGTCTGGCGGTAGCCAGCCGTAGATTCCGAGCAGTCCTGGATGATCCTCGGTGTATTTGGGAGTGGACCACATATTTGGTATGCCTTCGTATATCACATAAGCACCGTCTTCTGTAGGGAAGGGAGCAAGGTTGTCTCGCACGTGGGTCCAGCGCACCGGCGCGGATTTGTTTTGCCTGGTCTGCCACTTCTTAGCAACATCAAGACCGAAGCGCCAGTACGCGAGCTCGAAAGTTGGGTTCACTGTCTGGTTTGGATTCGTGTTTTCGGAGACAGGGTACATGGGTGGTCCGAGATCGTATTGGTGTTTTGTTGAATTCCACCACGCATAGCTGGCCATGAAGTCTGCAACGCCTGTCAAGATGTGGTCCCATTTCTTGAGCGTCTTTTCAGTCGGGAAAGCTCGATATTCCATCTCAGCGAAGTACATCGGGTGCGGTTGCTGCCAGATGAGCAAGCTGTTGATCTCGCCAGGCGCGGAACGACCGCTCGGATCGCTCATCTTGCCGATTCGTGCACCCTCGTAGCCCTGCTTCCTTGCGCGCCCGAAACTGCTTGGCAGGAACCGCTCGTAGACGCCAATGCTGCGATTGTAGAGATCCCATTTACCCCAGAACATCCAGTGAGTGAGGTGCTGAGTAAGGGAAGTACAAAGTCAGTTCATGTTTCACATGCAGTTTGCACACGGACACTTACCCAGAAGACCATCTCCATATGAAATTTGCCGTACCCTAAATTTCGGTGTACGAAGTTAGTGTGCGTGTCACATGCAGTTCGTAGGGGGACGTTACGTACAGCCATTGTTCACAAGGCCGGACTCTTGCGTGGGGTCTTTACCGGCTCCGTTCACGGCGAGTAGGTATTGCGACAGGACAATGCGGCGTTGAAGCTCGTTTGCAGAGGAGTTGGTTGCAGTGGGGAGTGAGATGAAGGCTCCATTTGTCCAATAGTCTGACCACCAAACTGCGGCTTCGTCCTTAATAGTTTCAACGGTACTAGACTTGTGTCCCAGTTGAGGAGCGTACGTTATCGTGAATGAAAGAGTCTCTGAGTTTTGACTAGTAGCCAGGATATACTTGTGTTCATCATCATGAAGTCGTGAGATTCGGGCATAGCCTTCCCAAGCGATATCGGCGACATAGGTCGTCGCATCCAGCGTGTGCGTGATCGAAGCTGCCCTTTCCCTGTACTCGATAGAGGTAGTATGATTGGATGTAGCATTGAACAACCCAACAAATGGCGTGTCGAATTTGTTCTTCCCGCTTGCATATGGGAAGTCGAAAAATACCCCTAAGCCTGCAGTCCTCACCAATGTGGATGATATCTTCACCGCTACAGTATCTGTCTTGGGACTCGCGATAGTTGTGATGTGAACCTCTGCGCCATCTATGGAGAATGACGAAGTGACAGCCCCTTCCCAGAGATCAAGTTCTTGGCATCTTGCACTCAGTTGCCTCTCACTAATATTTCCTCCCTTGATGCCTCCGAACCACAGTCCGACTCTTCCCAGATTGATGCGATGCGGGTTCGCTATCATCCATTGACTGATTTCCTTCTCCGCCGGGTTCGGTTGCTCATAATTAACTAGACGACCATGAGTCCACCACTCAACGCCAGTGTAGTCCGCTGGGGAAGTCTGGTTTGGTGTCGATGGCAAGGAAGAGTTGTGCCATCCCCACGACGAGAGCGTGTTGTGTGGCAGAAAGGTCTGCAGGCCCGTGATGTCAACGCCAAAAGCGAAATTGCCATTTCCAACTTGTACCGGGCTGTATGGGTGCGACTGGTTCAGCTTGAGGTTGTACTGCTGAATAATAGATTTGCGGTTGATCTTGCTTTCGACACTGGGCGACACAACAGACAGAAGAAACAGGGCTCTACCCCATGAAAGGACTGATAGCATGGTGGGCTTGAGTTCTGCCAACTACGGGCATGGCGCCCATTTTAAACAATTTTCGACCTGGACAACATTTTCCTAGTTCTGGTCATTTCTGTCTGCACGTTACATTACTGGATAAATTGCCGGTTGATGACTGTTTAGCTCGTAGTTGCCCTCGGCGGGGGCGACGATCAGGCATCATACAGTGTAGCGCGCGGGCTAGTAAGTCCCGAAAACACGAAGGGATTCAGTGAATGTGCCTTTCTCCGCCCTGTCGTGGAGACCACTTATGTGGGGTTGCACCCATGGACAGGTGCACGGGAAATATCGGCCTTGCCTGTTATGGATAGCGTGTTTTCTTATCGATACCGGTAAAGATTTCGAGGCCTCGTAAAAAGTTCGCGGCGCATTGAATGCCGCGCGAACGCCAACTTATCGACGAGAATGTCGAAGGAAAAGAGCAGCAAGCCTACGACGCAGTCGGTAGAAAAGCAGTCGTTCGAGCCGAAAAATGGGACCAAGAGGAAACGAGCCGGCCCACCAAACAGTATAGAAGACAAGAGAGATGAACAGCCCGTGAAACTCAAAACTTCGAATGATGCAGCAGCCACAACACCTAGGAACACGAGTAGCTCCAAAGCCCCCAAGGATGGCACTCAAACTTCAAATGGACTATCCGAGAAACCCCTCAAACGTCAAAAGCCGGAATCGTCACCTCAAGCACCTAGATCAAGCCATGGAGCGAGCCAGCCGAGCCAGCCAAGCAACAAAACCTCTCGCCACCGTCAGCACTCTGATCGCGGCCAAAGCTTGCCGCCTCATTTGTTAAGAAAGCGCGATGAACTGTTACCCGTTCGCAAAGCCCTCCCAATCTGGCCACAGGCGAGCGCTATCAAGGCAGCACTAAAAAAGAACAACATCCTGGTGCTAACCGGAGAGACGGGTTCTGGAAAATCGACACAAGTGCCCCAATTCTTAATGAACGAGCCCTGGTGTACGAAATGTATCGCCATAACCCAGCCGCGAAGGGTTGCGGCGATTTCCTTGGCACGCCGAGTGGCGGAAGAGATGGGCAGCTTTATGGGTAGTCAAAGTCCTGTGGCCAAGGTTGGCTACAGCGTGCGTTTCGACAATGCAACGGGACCGAACACGAAAGTCAAGTTCCTGACCGAGGGTATGCTGCTCCAGGAGATGCTCAGAGACCCGATTATGTCACAGTATAGCGCGGTCGTGGTGGATGAGGTGCACGAAAGAAGCGTTAATGTTGACCTGATCCTTGGATTTCTGCGAAACCTGGTCTCCGGGGTAGAAACTGGAGGGAAAAGCACTCGAACCCACCCTCTCAGGGTGATTGTTATGAGCGCAACTGCTGATGTGGAGAGCCTTGTGACTTTCTTTGAAGATGGTCAGACTTCCTCAAAACAAGAGCAGGGCGCCAAGAACCCAATTGCCCAAAAAGGAGGAGCACAGACGCAAGAAGGTGGTGCTATGCAAGTGAAGCCTGGTCGCATATCAACCTGTTTCGTGGAAGGTCGGCAATATCCTGTCAAGACGGTCTATCTTCCTCAGCCGACACAAGATTGGGTCGAATCAGCACTGAAGATCATATTCCAAATACACTACAAAGAGCCTCTCCCTGGCGATATCCTCGTTTTCCTGACGGGGCAGGACACCATCGAGGGACTCGAGAAGTTAGTCAACGATTATGCGGAAGGCATGGATAAAGACGTACCAAAGGTTAGTGAGCTGCGGAATTTCCTAGCTTTATATACCGTGGTAGTATATCAAGGCGAATCAGCTTTCTTGTCGCATAGCCATAGTCACATGGATTGCGCTAACGTTATGAGCAGCTTCTCGCACTCCCGTTGTTTGCGGCGCTTCCTCAACATGCGCAGCAGCGCATATTTCAGTCGACACCTTTTCGTACGCGGAAGGTGATTCTTGCCACCAACATTGCGGAAACCTCAGTCACTGTGCCCGGCGTACGGTTTGTGGTTGACTGCGGCAAGTCCAAAATCAAGCAGTTTCGTAACCGCCTAGGCCTAGAATCATTGCTTGTGAAGCCCATCTCAAAGTCTGCAGCTATACAGCGCAAGGGCCGAGCCGGTCGTGAGGCGCCAGGCCAGTGCTACCGTCTATACACCGAAGACGGTTACAATACCATGGAGGAGCGAACAATCCCCGAGATACTGCGTTGCGACCTTTCTCAATCGATATTGACGATGAAAGCGCGCGGCGTGGACGACGTGCTCAATTTTCCATTCCTAGACCGACCACCAAGGGAGGCTATGGAAAAAGCATTATTACAACTCCTGCACTTACAGGCACTCACAGATACTGGCACCATCAGCGACCAGGGCCTGAAAATCGCCAAATTCCCACTCACGCCTACACTCGGTAGAGTGCTAGTAGAAGCAGCAAAGCCTGAACGCGATTGCTTGCTAGACGCTATCGATATCATCTCAGCGCTCAGCGTGGAGAATGTCTTCCTGAACTTAGTGACTGAAGAGCGCAAGGAGGAAGCGGAAGAAGCGAGGCGCGAACTCTACCGCCGAGAGGGCGACCACCTAACACTGCTTGTTACAGTGCAACGTTATGCTGAAGAACGAACGGATCGCAAGGTTTGGTGCGAGAAGCATTTTGTCTCGCATCGAGCTATGCAGAATGTTATGAATATCAGGAAACAGCTACAGCAGCAGTGTATGCAACTCAAGCTCCTGTCGAAGGACGACACTCAGTCCGACTCGGCTCCGTCGGAGGCTAGGAGTCAGGCGATACTGGAGTGTATGCTACGTGGCTTCATTCACAACACTGCGCGTATGATGCCTGACGGCAGCTACAAGACACTGATTGGGAATCAGACGGTAGCGATTCATCCAAGCTCGGTGCTGTTCGGACGAAAGGTGGAGGCGATTGTGTTCAACGAGTTTCTGTTTACTGGTAAGGCATGGGCGAGAGGTGTCAGTGCTGTGCAATTGGACTGGGTTTCAGAGGTGGTGGAGGCCATCATGTAGAATGGAAGTATACTATGTATGGCCTGGCGTGAGGTCTTACAGCCTGTTTATCAAGTGTAGCGTTGCCCGAGTTAATGACCCAATTATGGTGATTGTGTAGAAATATGCAACTTCGATTTTTACATACGCACTTGTTGACTCGATCACGTAACGGCGAATTAGATTTTATCGCCAACTACCTCCTTCTGCCCACCCCACCAGCACCCTCCTTATCAGCCAAACTAACCACCTCTCCAATCCCCGCGGCTTCCTGCTCGTCCTCCAACGCACGAATCTCCTCCCTGCAATCCCACCACTTCTCCTCCGCACGCTCAAAAGCCATCTTCTTGATCTCCTTCGGGCTCCTCGGGCTGATCTTTGATCCTTGAGTGAGCTCGTCCAGAATGATGTTCTGCCACTGCTCTGATGTGCGAGCGTAAAATTCGCGGAGGGATTCAAATGGACGGGGATGGGGAAGGGTATCTGTGAGTGCGGAGATTTCTTCCTGGTTTCCGAGATCGTCCTCGGGAGTTGCCTTTGAGGGGACGACGAGCGGGGAGTCTGTGACGCTCGTTGGCGCTGTTGAAGTGGGTGTGCTCTTTTCGTCTTCGTCTTCGTCCTCTTCTGAGTCGTCCTCATCGTCTTCATCGTCCGAGTCAGCTTCATCTTCGCTGCCTTGCCAGTCTTCTAGCTCGCGTTTGAAGATCTCCGTCACGCCATCGAGGTGGTTTAGATTGACGGACCATAGCTCGTCGAAGGTGAATTCGCGGTCGCCCTTTTCGAAGGTGCCGCCGTAGATGTATAGCGTGTCAGCTTGCACGGTAAGTGCGGCGTTGAATCGTGGATGGGGGTACTCGAATATGCGTGGCTTTTCCGGACGTGCTTCCTCCTCTTCTTCCTCTTCTTTTGCTTTTTCCGCTTCGTCATCCGAGTCTGCCGCCGTTTGGACTCCGGCTTTCATTTCAAGTGCCTTGAGGTTGGCAAGAAGCTCTTCTTCTGCAGCCTTGCCACGGTCTCGGCGGTTAATGTTCGCTTGCTGCGCAGCTTTCTTGTTTGCGTTCGTCTTCGGTCGGCGGAGAGTGAGTGGCATGTATCGGTTTCGCTCAACGTTCCAAACAAACAGTTGATTGAAGAACTCAGAATCTATCCCTTCTTCGCTCTCTTCGACATCGTGTACGCCGCCAAATAGCACACCTCTACCCTTGTGGTAAGCCATCGTAGCACCTGCACGCGGCGGGTTTGGAGCATTTGCAGGCTTTTTGCGCTTCTCCCAAGACACTGTTGGGAGTGTTGTTGAAGGCTGATCGGCAGGCGGAGGTGTGATACGCAAGAACCAAGTGTCGTCGTGAACCTTTGGTTTGAGCACCATACGCGAGGCTGGTCCGCCTCCGCCCCCGCCCTTCTTCCCTTTTTGTTGCTGCTGTTGCTTTCCGCCTGCAACAGCTTTGACACGGGAGTATCCACCGTAGATAACAGCGCCTTGTTCGTGCGGTAGCAGTGTGAAGCTTGATCGTGCATCTGGGACTGCACGTGCTGCCTGGAGCTTTGGCGTGTGCCATGCAAAGTTTATGCAGTCGTAAATCCATAGGTCGTTCAGATACTTCGTCGTAGCTGATGTGTCTTGGAAGCCTCCGAACAGAATGATATACTGCTTGAAACTCACCATACGATGTCCACTTCGAGCTGGGGGAGCAGCTGTCTTACTCTTGCCCTCAACTCGCGTCCACTCTCTGTTCATCGGGTCCAAACGCCAAAAGTCGTTGTAGTGATAGAAGGTCCCCTGCTTTGGGGAACTGAATTCGCCACCAAAGAGATATATGTCCTTCGTATTTGCAGCCCTACACCAGGCGTGTCCTGACCGTGGCAGCGGTGAGTTCGGACTCGTGACTTTCTTCCACGAATCCTGCTTGATGTTGTATATGAGCAGATCGTTGAAGAACTTTGCAGTCGCACCGTTGAAGTACTCTCCGCCGAATAGAAACAGCTCATTCTCGGTCGCAGGGCTTGCAATGATTGTACCCGATGTCCTCGCTGATGGTGGCTCGCTTGCTACTTCCGTGATCGCGTGGTACTGTTCCTGCTCTTTCGCATACTGTGCTAATACGGCATCGAGATCCACCTCTTCAGCATCTGAGTCGATCTCTTGAGTCTTCGACGCCACCTTTTTGTCTTTCTTGCCAGCCTTCTTTTCTTGCTTTGCAGCCTTGGCTGCTTTCACGGCCGCTTTGCCTCCCGCTACTGCTTTCTTCTTGTCCTTCGCCATGTTATATGACGTGGAAATCTAAGCAACGAAAACCTTAAAGCGATTTTAAGTCGTTAATTCGCCTTCTGAATTGCTTGATTGAAGATTTCGTTCGATTTACCCCTCAGTCGCTGGGAATTTTCAACAACTTAGCAGCACAATACATACGCCTCGCCCGAATAAAACAGACGAACCAAACGTCAGATTATCAATGGGCTACTGTGAATGAGCTGAGTTGGTGTAATTTTGGAGTTTGGCGAATGAATTACGTCCTGTTGCATTTTGTGTCAGCGGAATAGATCCTTCGGAGATCTTACGGACTTAAGGGGTCTTATCGATAAACCCATGAACCTTCCCACCCACCCATCACGGTACTTCAAACTACTTACTACCAATGTCTTTCACCAAGATGATACAAGCAGCAAAGATCCTCGAACAGAGAAGCCACTTGGCACCTGGTATATTCAATAGCTTCCGATCATTTCTTGGGCATCTTGGCTGACCTGACCCAGGCAAGCTCAAGATAACAGAGCACTTCTTCGAAGTGCCTCGTGATTATGGTACGTGGTCTCCAGCTACATTAATATTAATATAGCCTCATGAATATATATCATCGTCGAACCAGAGTTATAGCGGGATACCAATTGGTTTAGAGTTGCTTTGCTGACTTGGCAACCTCCATGCAGCCAACCCCACCTCAGGCACCATCCAACTGTTCGCCCGCTCCGCCCTCAAGGCTGAAAAGCCCGCCGATTACAGTCCAAAGGGCGAAATCGATGTCAAAAAGTCACAGTTGCCATGGTTCATCTACCTTCAAGGTGGTCCCGGCTTCGAATGTGCCAGCCCACAGCACGTGTCCTGGACGCAAACCATTCTAGATAAAGGCTATCAAGTGTTGATGCTAGACCAACGCGGTATGTAGTGTATATGTTCAAGACATATGGTACATATGTACTAAATTTGACCTCTGTCTTTAGGTACTGGGCTGTCGACGGCCATCAGTCAAAGTAGTTTGCAATTGCGAGGCGACGAGAAAGTTCAAGCGGAATACATGAAATCCTTCCGTGCAGACAGCATCGTAAAAGACTGCGAAGCCATCCGTAAAGCCCTTACAGCAGATTACCCCGAGGACAAGAAGAAATGGTCAATAATGGGCCAATCCTTCGGCGGCTTTTGCTGTACAACGTATCTCTCTTTCTACCCTGAAGGCGTCAAGGAAGCGTTTCTTTTCGGTGGTTTACCGCCGCTGAGGAGTAATCCGGATGAGATATACACACGCCAATACACGCGCGTCAAGCAAAGAAATGAAGAGTACTACGCCAAATATCCCGAGGATATCGACCGTGTCAAACGAGTGATTAAGCTGCTGAGCAGATTCGGCGACACGACCGTCCGCGTCCAGGGCGGCGAAGGGTATCTCAGCGCGAGGCGCTTCCAGCAGCTTGGACTCTTCTTCGGCGCGCACGGTGGTTTCGATACTGTTCACAACCTTGTCCTTCGGGCTGACACAGATCTCAGCCAATTCGGACACCTGACGCGACCAACCGTGTTGGCGATAGAGCAAGCGCAGAGCTGGGACACGAATGTCATCTACGCTTTGTTGCACGAGCCGCTGTATTGCCAGGGAGAAGGCGAAGCAGCAAATTGGTCGGCTGAGCGGCTGCTGAAGAACTTCCCGGAATTCTCGTTGCAGCATCTAGATACCCATAAGCCCGTCTTCTTCACAGGCGAGATGATCTATCCCTGTATGCTCACCCCTTTCCCTGTTTACACTTTAAATGAGACATACATGTTAACTCTTTCCCTTCAAAATCTAGTCATGTTTGAATGCTACCCCGAGCTCATCAAGATGAAGGCCGTGGGACATCTACTCGCGGAAGAGAAGAATTGGCCGAGACTCTACGACGAAGAGCAATTGCGCAAAAATGAAGTCCCCACGTATGCAGCTGTATACTTGGACGACATGTACGTCGACTATCATCTGAGCATGGAAACAGCAAGTACCATCAAAGGGTGCAAGCCGTTTGTCACGAATATGATGTACCATAATGCCATTCGCGCGAAGACGGACGATGTACTGAAGGAACTCTTTACCTTGAGAGATGATGTTATGGACTAGCACAACAACACGCATTGCATTGCATTATAGACGCATGGTAAGGAAACGGGATGGTATAGAGTATAATCGAAATTGGCGTTTACGAAACTCTTGGTCATATTATCCTCGTCTTATCTTCACTAAAGAAGATCTTCTTCGCTTGGTTGAGCTGCTTTTCAAGATCGACGTTCCAAATCCAGCCCATTCTATTCAAGAGGTTGTCCTGAATTGTATCCAAGTCATCGCCTAAGAGTTCGAAATCGTACAACATGCCTGCCTCCTTGCTTGTCTTTACAAGCTTCTGCGTTCGTTCCCTCCTGACAGCATCGAACGCAAAAAATGCCTTTTCCAACTCCTCAACCCTACTTGCTTCTTTCACCAAGTTAGCTAGAATGTACGAGTCCTCTATACACATGCCAGCGCCGGCGCCTTGGTGTGGAGTCGTCGCATGCGCTGCATCACCGAGCAGACATACGCGGCCTTTGGTGTAGGTACTGCAGGGCAGGTGGTTGAACAACGCCCAGATGTCTGGTTTCTGCATAGCACCAACAATCTTTTGGACATGCGGTCCCCACTCCGCGAAGTCGGCTTCCATTTGTTCTTTCGAGGTGGCGACGACCCATTTGTCGTCGTTCCAGGTGTCACGGGAGCTGAATGCAACGACATTCATCGTCTTGCCATGTTGTATTGGAAATGTAAGGAGGTGACCGTAGTAGCCCAGGAACAATTGGCTGTTTTGCGCGACTTCCTCACCAAGCAATTCGACCGCCTCGTCCATAGGTATCAGCCCCCGGTAAGCGTATTTTCCGGAGAAGACAGCCCTCGCAGCGTGGTCGTCCTTTCCCAGCAGCCATGTCCTAGTCTTCGATTTGATGCCGTCGCATCCTATCACCGCGCTGTGTTGTGCTGTTGTCCCGTCTGCAAAGTGCAGTACCATGTCTCCTGAGCCATCTTGCGCTTCATTCAGCTCAACGAGCCGCTTATTAAACTTGGCCACACCTTCCGGTACGTCTTTGACCAGCTCATCCAAAAAGTGCGCCCTGTACACGCCTCCCCTCCCGCCTCCACTTGTCAACGGAATCTCGAACAAGGCATCCCCCACCTTCTCTCCCTCCTTGACGTATCCATCTTTGCCCGCCTTCCGCGCATCTCCCACGCGTATCGTAAACCAACTGTTGTGGTGTGCTTCCCAAACATTGCCCGTTTTGCACTTCATGAAGGCGTCATATATTTTGCGAGACATGAGCTCCATTGCACGTCCAGCATTGGGTCCGAAGGCTACGCCTGCACCTATTTCGCCGAACGAAGACGCAGCTTCATAGATTGTGAGGGGAACGTCGTATTGGAGGAGGGTGATGGCGAGTGTGAGGCCAGATATGCCACCGCCAACGATCGCGAGGGAGAAGGGTTTCGATGTGGAGGTCGTGGATGCCATCGTAATGGAGCCATCTACGATACACAGTTGGGGTAAGGCGTAGGGACTTGCTAAGACAATGTCAGTCCTCAGTAACAAGCTATGAACATACTGGAACTTGGGATGGTAGGTAACCGTCGTCAAGCGTGACTGCGGCTCTTTGCACTCACATTGTTCCTCATCCGACAACCTTTATCGATGACGCATGACACGTTTACTCGAATAGCTGACGGCACTTCACTTCGGCGCTGTGTAGTAGTCGCCGTCGCATCTGTGAACCCTATTCCAATTCCAAGCTTCGGGAAAGTAACGAAATTCCGCGCATCTGCGGTGCACTAGCCGATGCCAGCCATCTTGAACAGCTTCCTTGGCTTTCTGCAAGCCTTGGAGAACTTCAGGCTGTCTTGCCTGCAAGAATGCGGGGTGTCGATGTGGGGAAAGTAGCTCGCGGAGACGACTCGGAATTGGAGAAACAAGAGCTATCAATAGACAGCTTTCGATGCGCGCTTTTTGTGGAGTAGCCGATTCGGACCAGTCCAAGCCGAGCTACCTGGACGACATCATCATCCATGCTCCTAGCATGATGATACTGATGCTTCGATATTGTTCTACCTGAAGGTGTGTACTCTTGCGAAGTGAGCGGCGTAAGTGTGCTCTGTCCATCATGTACAAAGTCGTTGTTTGCGAGTAGATATCAAGATCCGGCAACTCCATGCGACCGTCGTACTGACCGATGACGTTCCTGCAGCAAGACAGTTGGAACACAGAAAAGCTCAATTCGGATACGCTGCCCTACAAACACGTGGCTAATGACTTGATAGCTCATATACCCCTCGGTGATCGGTATCTGGCAGCTCCTAGCTTGATAGGCCTGGCAATCAATGCCGTCCATCCCATATGCTGCGAGGCAGCCTCCGTCAGAGAAGGTCGAGAAGCCGGTCACAGTGCTAGTCACTGGTTTTGGTGTACGTTATATCTCTGTCCTCTTGTCCTGTGTATGAAGTTCACGTGATGTTTCAGTGGATCCGTTATCAAAACAACGGTTCAATTTTGCAACTCTTCTCTATTTCCATCTTTATCCTGTCAAACACCCTCCCCAAAACAATCTCTTCCCCTTCATACTTCCTAGTTAACACACAACCAAGCCATTCCTAGCACAATTCCCCCGAAATTCGTCCTGGGACATTGCATCAACTCTCCCCGCCCTAATTCCCGCAACTCCCGAAAATCCAACGCCAATACACATCCACGTGCACCCCGAACCCATTCGCGTAGGATACAACACCGTCGTGGACCTAATCCCCGCTCTCTTACCCCCGGCCAACCCACTCTACCCCGTGCCCGATGTAATCCTGCATATCGGCTTAGCCGCAAGCCGGAATTACTTCGCCCTCGAAGAAGGCGCCCATGGAAGAGGGTATGCCAAGATCGCCGACGTGGATGGTGAGAAATTCGAGGACGTGCGTGCGGAAAGGGACTTGCCATCTTCACGTTTTCCGAATGTGCTAAAGACTACTTTCGATACAGCGGACGTGCTAGCGCGCTGGAAAACGAATCTTGGTTCATCTCCTTCTGTCAACGACCACGACTTGGTAGTCGAGGGAGCGCCGGATGTCAGACTGAGCTCTGATGCGGGGAATTTCTTGTGTGGATGTAGGTGACTTTCAAAAATGCGCAATGCACTCACGTGAGACGGAAACTAAATCGCCGTATCTAGTCATCTACTATCACTCTCTCGCACACTACTACTCTATCAAGAAAGACGAGAGACCAGTCGCATTTCTCCACGTCCCGGATCTGAGTAGCAGCGACGAGAAATTACGGGCAGGGTGGAAGATCACAGTCGCATTGATCACGGCGCTTGTTGAGAGTCGGAGGAAGGTTGGCGTTGTTGATGTCTATGCGAATGGAAGTGTGGATGGGAAGGAGACGGGCGCGGGTGTGCAGACTGACAACAACTTCGCATAGAGCTTGGCAAGTCGCATTTATATCACTTGGTCTTCGTTTGTATACGCATATCTGCTTAGGCGATCGTATTGATCGTATCGTCCAAGAATTGCTTGGGTCTAGAATACAGATGGAGATGTTTATCGAGAGCCAATGGGAAAGAGGATAACCTGTATGGAAGCACGCATCTTCACCAAGGGATTATCGAGAGCCTAAGGTTTGGGATAATGGTCCATTCAATCCACGTTCACATGCCATCCTCAAATCTTACTTCCTGTGACTATTCGTCAAACGCCGTATATGCAGTTATAATACTTCCACCCGGGCTCAGAATCATACACTGGAGAGACCTTGACTTAGAGCAGCGAAATCGGCACGATCCTAAATGGTGGAAACGCGAAGTTAGTGTATGTCTCATGCAATGCGAATAGTCACTTTCTTACCACTCGCACTTCGGCGGTACCAGCGGGATCTCTTCGTCGTCGTTGAACCGTCCAAGCTGGCCGACCCGCTTGTAAATCTCCTCCAATATCCTACCATGCTCACCCTCGTACTCCTCCGGTTTGCCCTCTTTGAACCGCTCTTTGGGATCAACTTTTCCATCGCCAGCTGGCGCGGGAGCCACTGACGCACGTGCAAAGGGAGAGGCTGCTTGCGCACCGGATTGTGATGGTGCCGCTGATATACTTGGCGTTGCTCCTTGTGCCTTCTGGAACGGATTCGAGGGTGGTGCTGGAGTGCTTTGGGGTTGTGTGCCGAAAGGCGATGCAGCGCCACCAAAAGGAGCTGCTTGACCGGCTAATTGTTGGCTCTGGCCCTGAAGAAACGGATTTGCTGGCTGCGTTTGTTGACCGAATGCTGATGTCTGAGCCCCTTGCGGTGCTTGTTGGCCGAGAGGAGATGGACCCGACTGCGCCTGCTGACCGAACGGCGAAGTGCTCGACTGAGCTTGTTGGCCGAACGGCGAGGCATTGGAGCTGGGCTGCGAAGGCTGCCCGAAAGCACTCTTGCCAAAACCTGGATTAGTAAAGGGACTCGGTTTCTGTCCTAATGCGTTAGACTGGCCGAAGGCAGAAGTTGTACCAGGAGATGAGGCCTGCCCAAACGCCGACCCTTGGCCCGGGTTGCTTGCTTGCCCGAATGCACTCCCGGAGCCTGGCATCGATGCTTGGCCGAATCCAGAAGCGCCGAAGGCAGGCTTTCCAAACCCAGCAGATCCACCTAATGCTGATGGCTGTCCAAAGGGAGATGGCTTCTGGCCTGGAGTCGAGGCCGTACCAAAAGGCGAGGCGTTTTGTCCTGGATTTGAGGCTTGGCCGAAAGCTGATGTAGCTTGTCCTGGATTTGAAGGCTGGCCGAAAGCTGATGTAGTTTGCCCGGGATTCGAGGCCTGACCAAAAGCTGATGTCGTTTGTCCGGGATTCGAGGCCTGACCGAAAGCTGATGTGGTTTGCGCCGGATTCGAGGCCTGGCCGAAGGGTGATGTAGTTTGCGCTGGATTAGAGGGCTGGCCAAACGCTGGCCGACCAAATCCTGGCGTCGTCGCCTGTCCGAACGATGCTATTTGTGCAGTAGCTCCGGTTGTGAAAGCATTTGCTGGTGCTTTCAAGAATGGATTTGAACTCGAGCTAGATTGAGTGGCTGAAGCGCTTGCTGGTACACCCGATGGAGCGTCTCCTTTCGCAACATCGATCCTGTTTGGGTGGACATTGGCACCCTCTTCCACATAGCGGATGGCGCCATCGACATCGTCGAGTATCGCCTTGACCTGTTGCTGCATTTTCTCGCTAAGCGCACTCTCTTCTTGTTGCTACTCTCTGGTTAGCTATGGAATAGGGAACCTAAAATCATGCTTACAGCTGTGGGTTCATTGCCCGCGGCTCGCAGGGTGTAAAAGCGCAAGCGAAGCTCTTCAGGGCTGATCTCAACGGGCCCTTCGATGAGTTGGCGTGGAGCATCCCGTCCGGGGCCGTAGCATGATAATGGATATATTGGGCGCTGCCCTGTGAGATCATTATTGATGTCCGTCTTATCTAAGTGGTAAGGCAACGTCTTTGGATCCCGGCTACCTAGAGAAAGTTAGACACTGTAAAGCTCCGGATAATAGCATGATGTCGTGCATGTGAAGATTCAAGAGTAGAACATATCGATTTGTGTGTAAAGAGTCGGTACATACTTCCAAATGTTCCGCCTGACGACTGACTAGGGCGGTAGCGGTCTCCACTCGCGAAGCCGCCAAAGCGGTTGTTGTTGGAACCTCCCCCAAAGCCGCCGCCACCAGAAGTGCGATTTGCATCTCGCTGGCTTCCGGGGTGTTCATTCTTGCAACTCTCTGTGACACGTGAGCGACATATCTTGGGGATAGCGGGATCTCCTACCTCCAAATCGGCAGGCGCCACGTTGATAGAACTGGCAGATAGCCATGCCGTCGCTGTAATTAACAGGACCCTGTGCAAAGTCGCGAAGAGCAGCTCCAAACAGTCTAAAGGGTATCAGTAAAGTTGAGGAGATGTACGTTGTTGAAGTAATGAAAGCAGGAAGCTAGAGACAGAAGCTGGAGCCAGAGTGAACGGAAAGTTCAAGCGACGCGACGCGCTAGCCAATCAGCGTGAACAAAGCGCCTCCTCCAAGATACGCTCGGCGCAGTTGTGAATAGAGTTGTGCAATTCGCATCACTTGTACATTACCTCTGCCTGTTGAAGCTCTGTCCAGAGTCATCTGATGGACCACCTGGCTGTGCCCACCTCGAATACTGCATGTTGGATCTTGTGGATTAGCGTGCGCTGATTGGTTAGTGCAGACAAACTGGAATTGCAATATTGGAAAGTCAACACTGAGAATCGCAACCTACTGCTACGCGACGATGGATGCATGGAACGTTGATGCGCGTCGGTGACTACAGTGTTCAAGTGTCTTTCCTGGTGTCGACACTCACATCTGGCTGGGCTGCATGCTCGAGGGAAGCGCTAGGCCGGTTCCGGGACTAGCGTTGGGACTCTCCAGGGCTCCACGTACGCGAACACCTGCATGTTTGTTGCTCATCCATCGCTCGTCGATGCATCTTGCGCCATGTACCAATGCCACATTCTGCTCCCTTCGCAATTGACGCCCAAGGAACATAGCTATCGAAAGGCCTCCGTTCCACCTTGCTGCTAGCTAAAGTCCTGTCGAACAATAGTAGATGCACGCCTTCTCCATTGTGACTATTGGAATCTTCGTCGCGGGGTACTCGACTGCGCGCTGGGACCTCGTCACTCGCCTATACGAGCTGGCCATATTCGCCTGGGACCACGGAGTCGTTACAAGAGCTGCAAAGGCATTTGCGGTGCTGTCGGTCTTCTTCTTCCTCTTGATACTACCCGTCACGCGCATTGCGGCGCAAGAGACGGACCTGGTGAGTCGAGGTCAAGCAAGAACACCAGGACATGCAAACTGACTTGTACAGCACCCACGGCTCACAGGCGGCGGCACCTCTGCACGCGAGCAGCTCAAACGTCGCGGCTCGTTCTAGCGGGGTAGCAGGATGTTGACATGGTCACACGCAATGGGTTGATGCGCATATTTTGGCCATCTGATGCGCCAAGAGGTCCCTCGCCGGCTGTGCTCGTGGGGTTTAAAAACTCGGAATCAGACGTCTTTGTAGTAGCCGTGCTACAAGATGTGGAGGTGTGTTTGGCATGAGAGGTGGTGTCGAGTGCATAGCTGACGTTGGCAGCTACGACACGTTGAGAACGCGCTGGTCGTAGGCACATTACTGCGACATAGTGCGCACGATATCCAAGAATTGCTGCAACGATGTGGCCATTCTTCCCTTCATATCTTGGGCTGCGTGAACCCAAAGTCACCACCCGACCATTTCGATACGAATTTCACCGCCGTCTATACTGAACCTTCGGTCCGCCTCCCGCGTCTACACCACCCCGCCGATACGCTTATAACCACGCAAGTCATCATCTACGACCGACCACACCCTACGCGCATGCAGTATCTCTCGCTGCAGCCCATATCGCTCGCTCTGGGAGACAAGACAAGGGTCGTAGAATGGGATGCAGCCTTTGAAGAGCTGGAGGTGGCTGAGGACAAGGAGCGGGAAAGGAGAAAGAAGCTCGTCGAAAAGCTAAAGCTCCATAAGGTCATCTCGCATCCGCCAACGCAAAAGGAACTGGCGCTGCCAATGCTTATCGAGCAGGTAAACTGTTCGCATGAATTGAATACCCTTCTCCAGAAAAACATTGGAACGATCAGCAGGCGCATGAAGCGCGCCTTGAGTGTTAGTGAGCGAGTGGTGGAATCCGCAAACGATCTCTGGGATTACCTCTACATTGCACTCAGCTACGTTCTTGGGACTTGGGTCTGGCCCGTGATCGCACAACTCTTCGTTATTGGTCTCATCACTCAACGCATTATGGGAGAGGCAGTCCTGCGGTTTCTACACTGGCAACCCGGATCATCTGGCTCGCCTGCATTAAAGGACATATCGGCTACAGCACAGCAGATTGACATCCGGCTGCAGCAGTCCTGCTACTGGCCTATTCAATATCTCACCTTGCGCAAGAGGAAGGCCAATTGGGAGAGCATCACAAATAGCCACCCCGAGTACATCCGCTTCTATAATAGTCTTTGGCTGGTTGCGAACGATGTCATCATGGGCATTGCCTTGGGTTCTTACATCATCGAGAACGCTTCTTTCGTGGCAGCTCAGGTCGAGACTGTCTTCAGTACTTGGTCGGTCGAAGGATTGCGACGCATGATATCTTGGCTTATGGGATGGCCTGGTGGTTTGAAGTTGAACACCGAGCTAGCCGAGTTCCTGGGAGACTTGTTCCTCTGGGTAATTGACTACTGGGCTGGTACGTGTACAGAAGTAAATTGCGATTGAGAGATAGTTAGCTGACCGAATGCAGGGTGTATATTGCTCCTTCGACCGCACCTGCCCATGCTTATACAGATCATTGGCTTCTCAGCTTTCGCTGGTGCCACGATGCCCATCTCCATCTTTTCGGACCTCGTATCTCTACTGACGCTCCACATCTACTCCTTCTACATCGCATCCGCGCGCATATTCAACTGGCAGCTCACCATCATTATCTCCCTCTTCCACTTATTTCGGGGCAAGAAACGCAACGTGCTCCGCAATCGAATCGACTCGTGCGACTACGACTTGGACCAGCTGCTTCTGGGCACCATTTTCTTCACGTTACAGTTCTTCCTACTTCCGACGGTGTTTGTCTTCTACCTGACGTTTGCAAGTGCAAGAATTGCTGTTATTGGACTCAAGGCCGGGCTGGAGATGGGCCTGGCGTGTCTGAACCACTTTCCATTGTTTGCGTTAATGTTACGGCTCAAGGATCCGGGGCGACTGCCTGGTACGTATCCGCGTCATGGATTTCATTTCTTCGCTAACGTGCTCAGGTGGCATCTGCTTTGAATTGAAGCATACGAATGGTGATGTCAAGTCTCGCATTAAAGGTGCCTCGAACTCAGCGCCCACTGCTTACGTGCTGCTAAAGGTGAGATTGTCACCTGTCTCGCACTTGCCAACTCTGTACTAATATTGAACAGTCAGTACCGCTCTCACTCCGCGCAATGTTTCAGCCCTACTTCGAGCTTGGTGATCGCATACGGAAACACTACTTCTCGCCTAGGGTTTTGTTGAACCTGGCCTCGGGGCAGTTTGTGCCGCCTATACATCGCCGCAATCTGTACAGCCTTCAATATAGCATGCTACCAGCGAGGAGAGCGAGTGTTGGAGAGCTATGGAGGAAGCTCACCGAGAATGGAAATGACCCGGCGCATGTGCCCAACGGGTATCCTTCTTTACGACCGAGACGAGGGTTGCGGAATGGTATGGGTAGAAAGGATGGTAAATAAAATAGACAGCTCTTCAAATGTAATGTCATGGTCAAAGACGCGTCTTGATGGTGATTAGGCTATGGCACTTACCGTAGACTTGGTCGATTAGAAAAGGAACTTGAGGCAAGAGATTACAGAGAATAACTCTGTACCTGCAGGACCAAGATATCCGACTATGCTCGACATAATTTGTTGAGGCTGATCAGGGGGACACTGTCGATTTGAGAGAAGCAGGATCAACACTGCTTCTTTCCACCACTGAGCAGTGCTGCCGATCAGACGCTAACACGACTAGCTATGCACTCGTGAACAGGACAAATCCGAAGTTGTCGTCAAGCTCGCCAAGGGGAATCCTTCCAATGCAGCCAAGTCAGCGCAAATGTGTGTGTACGTAAGAGGGCCGTTGGGACGAGACGTGTCGATGCAGTCCAGTCCCCAGCATCGGCCATACTCGGTAGGCTATACTCGGTACGGGCGGACTCGGGACATGACAGAAGAGAAGAAGAAGAAGAAGAAAAAGAAAAAGAAATGGTGGCGGCGCCGACATGGAAGACTTGTGCAAAACAAAAACCGCAGCCAGGTCGCTGGCAACCTGTCTCCCAAACCCTCGGAAGGCTGACTGCACGGCCAGCGCCACCAAAGCGGCTCTCGTTACATGCGGCGCAAAGGCTGTCCGGTGATTTGCTACCCGCGGCGTGTGTTGTGGGGAGTCCCAAGACATGGCGAAGGAGGGCGGTGACTTGTCAAGTGCATGGTGTTGCGGACGGTTGGCTGGGGGCCCATGGGTTAGCGAAAGGATGCTCCCTTCCCCGGATCCAGCACCCGTCTCCGTGCGCCGTCGGCCTGACCGCCTCCAAGACCCTGGCTGTGGGAACGACATCCCATCCTGCTGGGTTTCGCCACCTCTTCCTCCTTGCCACAACCGAGTTCACGTCGCTGTACAGCGAAACCATGACTGCGGTAGACCGTTCGCATCTGGACAGGCTAAGGCCGCTGTCGAGTGCGACTGATCTCACCGACTTCACCCACTCCACCCTCGAGGCTGATGTAGGTCGCATTCGCCTCCCCCCCCCCTCCCCCATCCCCCCGCCGCCCGCGACTCGACACACGAACAAGCTAATGGGTACTTGTAGTCGGACCCCCAGTCGGACGACTTTGCAGACTTTGAATCGTATGCTGTCCTCGGTGTCCAGCACACACATGCCCGCACTGACACCCAGCAGAGAAACGCAGAGTCTCACGCCGAGTATATGGGACTATGTGCGCCAGTATGGCAGGACCTACCACCGTTACATGGCTGGCGGTACGTATTGCGCGTGCGCGTGAAAGTCATCATATGACAGTGCGGCTGACCCATGTGTAGCCTATCCATTCCCCAACGACGAGGTACACCCTGCTGACCCTACCACCCCGATCTGACCGTCGCTGACTCGACCTCACACAGCCTGAAAGAGAACGATTGGATATGCAACATGCCATCATCAAGGCACTGTTCGGCCAAAGAAATTGGTTCGCGCCGCTCAAGCGCCCGAAGCGTATGCTGGATATTGGTTGTGGTACAGGGAAATGGTGCTTGGAAATGGGTATGTTTGGAACGCAGGCTACATGAAACAATATTGCTAACAATGGGCAGCCAAGGAGTTTCCAAGGACTCGAGTATGTGCTCTGGACATCGCTATAGTGCTGCAAATCTAACCCCACACCAGGTCGAAGGCATTGACCTCTCCCCCATTCAGCCCGACGTGTGAGCCTTTACGATGTCCCCACCTCTACCACACCTCTAATTAATCTGCTTCAGCACCCCCGGAAATGTAGACTTCTTCATCGATGACATTCGCCGCAAAGAATGGTGGCACTGCACCCAGCCATACGACTACATCCACACGCGCTTCACCCTCGGCATCTTCCAAGACTTCCGCGAAATCATACAAAAAGGCTTCAACAACCTAGAACCAGGGGGCTGGATGGAGTCGCAAGAAATCTACTCCAAGGTCTTTTGCGACGACGGCACCATGCCCGCGGACTTTGAACTGCTCGAGTGGACCAAGACGCAAGACTTGGCCGCCATGAGGCTGGGCAGGCCGCTCAGGATTGCAAATAAGCTGAAGATGTGGTATGAGCAGGCAGGCTTTGTCGACGTGCACGAGGAGGTCTTCGCCATACCCATCAACTCGTGGCCACGCGACGCGCGGTACAAGTTGCTCGGAAAGTTCTTCCACTGGAACATGTGCCAGGGTGTACACGCATGGACGGTGGAATACTTCATCAAAGCGCTGGGCTGGACCGAGACGGAAGTTGAAGTCTACCTGGCGCATTTGCGGAATTCCATTGCTGATAAGACGGTACATTGCTACTACAAAGTGTGAGTTACTCTCTTTGCGAATGCAAAATTCTGCCAGCTAACGCGTTCTGCAGATGGGTTGTAAAAGGCCGTAGACCTTTCCCAACTGAACCACCGAGCGAAACACCCAAACCCTCACACTGGCCCCGCGAACCCACGTCCGACGACGAGGGCGATGACGACGATGATGATATTGACAACGGCACTGCGACGATCGCATAATGACTCTTCCACTCCAATTCACACTTTTCTTCTTTCTCCGCAACAACCTAACCTATCGGCACTTCAGTTTGGCGTTTCAAGGCTGCATTTTCAAAGATTTGGGGGTTAGCGTCGTGCTCCGGGCGAGGGGGGAGAAATTCTGGCGTTTGTTTTTCATCTTCTCTTCTATTTCTCTGTTCGTTCAGGGGAGGTTGGTTTACATCTACTCCGTTTTGCATGTTCAAGATGTTATCTTTTCAGGGCGGGGGCGGCTGGCTGGCTGGGTATATTCTTTTGGGTTGGGAAAAGCTTATCTTTCTTCTTGGCTTTTCCTATCCTCTTCTCCACCTTTTTTTCAAGGCGGTCTAGCGTGGGAGTAGGAGGTATTCTTCGTCTCATTGCAACCTATTTCTCCCCTGAGACTTTTGTAATTTTGTCTTTTGTATCCTCCGAGGAAAGCAATGTGAATGAATATAGCGGGAGCGAGGGTTTCTTGTTTCGATTCAATTCAAGTTACTTCTCAACTGGAAGTTGCGTTTGTTCGCATCTGATATGAAGCCATTATGATATCAATCTACAATCCAATGAATGCGTAGGGTAAATGTCTATTCCATGATTGATCTATTGATGCAGAGCTAATAATGCGACACGTCTTCAATCCATGTACCCAATACCCCGTGTCTATCATTCTATTCACAAATCCTTGATACCCCATCGCCCAACTTCCTGCATAGCCTTCTCTCCTCCTTCAGCGAGCATGGGATCTTTCAAAACACCCGCCAAGCACTGCCAACCATCGCGGCCGCCGCCCCAGCGCAACACCTCATTCTTATACAACTCGCCATTCTCTCGGTCTAGACTCCCATCGGCGCCCTGCTTCTGAAACACCTCGTGCCAGATCTTAGCTGCAAGCGCGCGGTCAAACAGGTACGAGTAGTACGTTGCGCCGTAGCCGAAGAGGTGGCCGAAGAAACCCTGCCAAGCGGTGCCAGCGGGCTCGGGGACGCTGGCGTACTGGTTGTAGATGTCGTGGTAGACGCGTGTGGAGTCGAAGGAAGGATCGAGTGGGATTTGGGAGTGGTAGACTTGATCGAGCATGCAGAGCAGGATCTGGCTTTCGAGCTCGGCATATTGGTTGCGGTTGTCGATGGCGAGACGCTTTTCGAGGGCCTCCATGGGCAGCGGGGCGTCTGTTTCCCAGTGGCGTGCGTAGAGTCCGAGGACGTGCGGGCAGAAGGCAAAGTGCTCCATTAGCACCGAGGGGAGTTCGGCGATGTCGGTTGCGCAACGCGTGCCAGACACGTTTTGCAGGGCTGTGCGGCCCAGTATGGAATGCAGCGCGTGGCCCATCTCGTGGAAGAGGGTCCGGACGTCGTGGATGTTTAGCAATGTAGGCCGTGAATGATGGCCTTTGCTAAAGTCACAAATCAATGCGATGGTGGGGAGCTGGAAATAGCTGTCTCGCTCCGCGTTATATGAGACTGGCATACCATCCGTGGCGGCCTCGATAGGTGATGAGAAGCGGTGCTGCATGTGTGCCATCTCCTCCATCTCAGAAGGAAGTATCTCGCGGCTACACCGGAGGGTGAAGTGTGCGGGATTCGGCGTCTTGCCAGGTCGCGAATATAGATCGCAGTACAACACCGCAATATGGCCTTCTGTGTCTGATAACACATCTAGTCGGCGAACTCCATCATCCCATACTTCGCCGGGCTGTGTCTCTTTCGGGACGAAGCGGACGCCGTACAGGCGGTCAAACAGGCGGGAAATACCCTGCAAGACTGTTCCGACAGAGAAAAACGCGGACAGCGAGTCCGGTGTGCGTTGTTTGTAGTGGCCCTCCATGGTTGCGAGCATTTGCTGGGTATAGTAGAATTTGTCCCAGGCGTTTATCCGATCTGGGAAGTTGTCTTGGTGTGCGTCTCCTCTTTTCAGTTCCATTAACTCGTCCAAGTCTGCTCGCACAGCTGGTCGACTATCCTCATATAGCGCCTTCAAGAATGTGTTGACCGCTTCTGGTGTTCTGGCCATTTTGTTCTCAAGCGTCATGTGCGCAAATGATCCGTATCCCGAGGATTGTGCCAGTTCCGCCCTGAGCTTCAACATCCTCTCGAGGCGCGCAATGCTAGGCTTGCTGGCGGTTCGGACGGCCGAGTAGGTTTCTCTTCGTACATCTGCGTCTTCGACAAAACGTAGTACGGCTTGCGATTCGTGGTGCATAGTCGATATCTTCGTCTCGCCCCATTTCGTCAGCGCTTTCGCTAGGTTTGGATCTAATCCCTTCAACCTCTTCGAACTGAACCTCAGCGTCCGGGTCTCTGGTGCCATGCCTTCGACGAACTGCGATCCAACTTCGGCGATCTCGCCGCTCAGGTCGACTAGCCGTTCTCTTGTCTTGTCATCCAATCCAATGCCAAATCTTGCAAAGTCCTCCATCAGTATCCGTGCTACTATGCGCTCTTCTTCTGTCCAACTGTCGTACACCTCGGGTATCTCCGATGCCTTTTTCAGCTGATCGTATAGCACCGGTGTCGTGTTCAGCTGGTTCATATACTGGAAGACAGTCTGATATGCCTTGACCGCCATGACCTGGAACTTGCGGTCTGGATGCGTCCCCCTCACAAAGTCGGCCAAGTCTATGACCCGACATAGCAGGTCGCTCAGCTTATCCAGGTCCTTGACGATATGCTGGTAGTCTGATGTGGACTGCGCTGCAGCGACGTTTTGTACCACGGCATTGCAACGCTGTATCGTGATGGTAACAAAGTCGACGAAGCCCTCCGGGTGTGTTAGGTATTTGTTGCCTATTATGCCCGCAGGTTTCTGTTTCTGTGAAGAGATCTGAAAGGCCTTCCAGAAGGACGCATTATCGAAGACCTTGCGCAGGGCGTCGTCATCTGCTTTGCTGCTGGCCGACAGGCCGTAGAGGGCGGATGGCGGAGCAGCGGAGTCGCGTGCGGGGGCAACAGCGGCGAATGTGCTGTTGAGTCGACGTGGGCGCTGGGCCTGCTGGACACATCGAGGGCAGATCCATGGCTGAGGCTTTGTGCGCGCAAGCCTCTTGAGCATCTTTCTTGGAACTTGACGACGATGCTGTCCAAGAGACGAGAGCACAGGGCCTGTCACAAGCCGCGGAGTGGACGGGAAGTTTACATGCACGGGCCAGGCAATGTCGCTCGTCGCTCGGCGGGAACGGAGCTCGACATCAGAAGTTGGCTGATAGCATCGACAACGACGTCTCATCCATTGCGCCTTTCTGTTGCTCGACATGGCTTTCAGACCGCTGCTACGGCAGGTGAGTAATCTTCCAAAGATGCTCTGAAGCCTCAATTGACATGTTCCAGCGCGCCGTTGTTCCTGCCATGGCCGCCTTCTCCGCCGCAGCAATCTTCGCACCTGGCACTGTACACGCAGAGGAGCGACCAGCCGACCTAATAGTGCGTCCATCAATTCTCCCAATGACACACCTGGGGACACTGCCAAGTGGTGCCCGGACAGCCTCCCTCCCCGATCACGATACTGATTCTACCCAACAGAACCGCAAACCAATCTACGATGACATGCCCCTCGACACCAGCGCGCCCACGCTCCCAGAACCCTCCAAACCCTCCACCTCTCCATCCGAATCCTACCGCCCAACGCCTACCGACCGTCTAGCCGTCGAGATTGGCCGTGCGCGCCTCGCCATCTACCAGCAAGTTGTGCGCGGCGAAAAAGCAGTGGACAGCGCCCTGACCGAGACCCTCCGCCTTGAACACTCCTTCACCAGCACCATCCGCTCTCTCGGCCCTCCCAAAGAGTCGAATGAAAAGATCTTCCCCGGCGCCTTGTATGTTCTTGTCGCATCAATGGCCGGCTCAATCGTCACACGTAACCGCAACATCCTACTACGCGCCTCTGTCCCCGCGGTCGTGGGCATCGCTGCCGCAAATGTTGTCCTGCCTATCACTACCAAGAACGTGGGCGACCTGCTATGGACGTACGAGGAGCGATACCCCGTTTTGGCAGACGCGCATCTCAGGACCAAGGCGCGGATTACCAAGTTCATCGAGACGGGCAAGGCGCATGCGGGCATGACGGTTGGTATAGTAGAAGATAAGCTGGCGGATACGAGGGAGAGCCTAGAGGGCTGGGTCAGGAAGGGTCGATGAATCATCGTACATGCACAAGGTTCAAAAGATGGCTTTGGTACGAGTATACCTGTACAGTAGTAGTTTGGTCCTATAGATACGAAGCGGTTCGAAGCAATGGCTACCTGCATTTCTCTTTTGTCATTATCAAGCCAAGTAGTTGCATGCGCTAATCTGCAATTGATGGTGTCTTCTTCAGAGCCCTTTCTGTGCGCGATCAGGCAGTGGCGTGACAGCTAGATGAAGCAAGTACTCCTATACCGAAGACGCACATGTAAAGGTGATTTCGTAGATTGGTACAAATTGTCTATGCCTGGTGGGTGTTCTATATGCCTAAATCATAGGCGATCACAACGCTCTCAATAAGTCCCAATTCCTCAGCGAGCCCCTATCATCCGCCCCCTCTCCAAAACCCCCGCCTTCAACCTCTCTACAACCTCCCGCCCAAGCCATCTCAGTCGCCCATCCCCCCTGCTCGCTCCCTCAGCCCACTCAAACACGCCCTTCAACTCTCGCAGCTCTTCCACTTTCCAGCTCTTCGCTAGTTTTCCCAGCACAAGTCTGCTTTCAACCACAGTCGCGCCGGGATCCAGCCAGCTCTTACTATGGTGATCCAGTGGTAAGATGAGCCCAGCGTCCGACGTGGAAATGAACTCGGTGAGTGAGGGTAGCGTAAAAACCCAGTGAAATAAAAGTTGCGACGTGCGAGACGCCTGCGCATCATTGAGCGCCACCAGTGTAGCGCTGAACGCTGTTGCATATGTATCGTGGGCTGATCTCCGTCTTACGTGCATGGTTTGGTTTTTGTCAAAGGACTTCAAGTGGAGGGCGTTGTTGACAAAGTCGAGGGTTGTGGGCCAGTACGTTTGATCCGTCGTCTCGATCCTGGTTATAAGTCCGACTTCGGGAAGTAGGCAGGGTGCTACGAGTTTCTTTTTTTCGTCTGTGTCTTTGAGGTGAACCGTGACGGGCATTGAGATTGCACGGCCTGTGTCAACATCACGCACCACAAGACAGCGTGGCTCTGCTGCCAGGACCCAGAAGTGTCGGAATGCTTGAAGATGCGCCCTCGAATCTTGCACATCCGACGGGAAGAGCGGGTAGAAGGCGCAAATCAAGCTCGCAATGGCTTTGTTGGAGCGACTAAACGTTTGTGTTCCGCCTGCGATGAACAAGGTCCCAAATGCCATGTGCGCCGCGAGATGGGAGCCATATGGTATATCGGGCCCAATCCTTCCATGCAGACCGCGCAATCGCCGGAAAACATCGAGGTCTCCTGTGCCTGCCATGACCGTTGCCGCGGCGAGAGCGATGAGATCCTGGCAATTTCTCACAGTGTTTCGAGATAGTCGGGAATCGTAGCGGATAGCAGGAAGCTTATTGATGCGAATCAACTGATCCAGATACTTGATCAAGAAGTCGCGGACCTGCGTATCCCCCGTCCCCGCATGCTTCAGCGAAACACTCCATAGTAAGCCAGCGAGGATATTGAAAAACGGCATCTGCTCGCTGCGCAACTTCGTTATATGCTTGAGATCATACGAGCTCCGGTATTCGCGAGGCAAGTTAGCGATGATCCACGCGTCATTTGCTTCAATGTCATCCCACATGATGATGTGCTTTGCGAGGGTGCGGAGCAGGAAGATGTCGGGACGCACGTAATCGAACTGTGGAAGGGTGTCGGGGATGTCGACCTTGCGGGCGACGGTTCGGTCGTGTGTTTTCATAAAGATGAGAGTTATGGCAATAACAGCTCCAGCGGTGGCTTGGTCGAGGATATGAATCACGTCCACTGGTTTAGGGGATACTGCAACTGTCATGAGGCGCTCGACGATTCGCATGTCGTGCAGACCTCGAAGATCTTTGCCTTTTCCGAGGTTGATGAAGCCCAAGGCGAAGCCCGCAGCTAGTCTGTAAGCTTCGTCGCGGAGGGTGTCTGGCGGCTCGGAGGGATCTGGTACATCGACATACTCTATCTCAGAGAGCATCACCTCGCTCATCCGGCGATGCTGAGTATTGTAATACAGCAAACCGATACCCATCAAACCTGTAGTCTGTGTATAGGGTGAGAGATTGAGCTCAGCTGCCCCAGGCGGCAGCATCCGAGTGACATGCACTGATAATAACCGCGTTACCAGCGTGTCCATAGTCCCCATAAAGGAAGCTGAAAGTCCCAGGAGCAGTCCCACAGAGGTCATCGTATGCTTTGGCGTAAGGTACTTGAAGGACAGCCACTTGGCAATTGTTCTCAGATGCCCATTCAAGCCAAGGCCTAGCAGAAGACCAGCGTGTTTGTTGGTCAGTTCCGAAGGCTTGTTGTACATGATCCAGGACGTATCAATGCCCTGAGCATCCCGCGAGACACTCAGACCGGCAGCGACACCTGCATTGAAAAATGCCCAGAAGTACTTCTCTTCCGAGTAATTCTGGCGCTCGGCGGTGACAACATTGCCCATCGGCTTCATTAAACACGATGTCGAGAAGCCATACAGAGGATACTTCTCGGTCAGGAGAGGTTTCTTGCTGCTAAACTTGATCATAGAACTGCCGACTGGGAGTGAAAACGTGCGGACCATGACCCATTGCATAAGGATTTTCTGCCCTTCTAGGATGGCTGCTTCATCTGCCCTACTATCAGCCCTATACTCGGCAACCGTCTGCCGCAAAGGCTCCAGAAGCGTGTAAGCCTCCATGAAGCGCCTATCCTCACGAAATACGAGTCTTGTGATATAGTGGCGATCGACCTCGGCTGTTGACTGGATAGGCTCTGCACGATCTGCACCCTGGCATATGGTGTGGACATCGCGTGTTGCCCCGGTCGAATGTAATATGCTACTCGGATTTAGATGGCTATCGTGTACGAAATCACCGCTTGGGGTCAAACTCAAGTCCAGGTCTTCTCGTTGAACAAGTTTCAACAAAGAGCTTGACCAGGTTGTGGGTGGGTTTGCCTGGCATCGTGTTATAGCTTCCATGAGTGGCGCTCTCGCTGCTTCTGGTAAGGTGGCCAACATCTCTGTGCTGATGTCGCAGTTCTTGATTAGCTCAACCACCCTCCGAGGGCTTGACGCGGGATCAATGTCACGGAAGAACTTGTGTAATGCCACGGTTCGAGGGGTAACGCCCGCTATAATCTCATCTATGTTGATGGAAGAATGCGGAGATGCCTTCGACTTTCGAATCAACATTGCGAGCGTCGGGAATGGAGCATACTGCCGAGAACCTACAACAGTCCCAAGCCACTCCAGGGCGGAAGGAGGTGAGTCCCATGGCTGAGAGTGCAGCCGCAGCTTCGAACTGAGTGATGATGCTTCATAGGCCCAGTTGTTACTAGATCCTCCATCGAGGTCGAAAAAGCCACCCAGCCTCCAATCCCACGCGTCCCAGCGGAGCCAATGGCCTAGCTGCGCTAGCACGGGAGCCAGGTTTTCGGCCTGAGAGCTCGTGAAGCTTTGGCACAGAGTGTCTAGCTTACGTTCTTCGCGGAATAGATGGAGAGAGACGACAATTTCGGAAAGTGACGAGATTCGCAGGTCTTGCTTTTCGGAGGGGGATAACCGCCGCCAGTGATCGTTCGTCGCCTTGCCGATAGGCGACTGAGCATACTGCCGAGCAATCTCAATACAATCGAGGATTCTATCCTCCTTGACCTTGACCTGCTGCGCTATGGTTGGCCATTGCTGCTTTGTTGACGAGCGTTTCGCAGAGGGGCTCAATGTAGAAGATGTTGGACTCGAATGCAAGGTCCAAGCCCAGGGTATCGACTCCCAACTTTTTGCATGCGTTCTTGAGGTCTGGCGGCTACACATCAAACGCCACGCCGAGTCTTCATCATCAATAATCTCGTCAGGCTTTGCTTGACTTGAGGGACGCCCCGAGCTTCGTCGCTGGCTAGACTTCACGCGGTTGGTCGCTTTCCGTGTCTTTTCATCTACGAAAGGCACTGCAAGTGTGAACAAAGTTGCTACAAAGGCGGTCCAATCCGGATTTGTTTGTTCGATTCTCTCGGCTGACAGTGATTTGCGAATATTCCACCAAATCTCCAGGAGAAAGTCCCCTGCGTAATTCGGTAGAACCGTAGACAGCACTCGGAAAAGCTCGGCCACATATGTATCGGGCGGCGATAAGCGGAGTTCCATACGATGTCTACGAAATTCGCCATCGATCAATTCAAGTCTCCCACTTGTTCCAAGCGACAATATTCGCCGCAGCGGCCGACTTGCAATAATTGTTCGTTTGGATCCGGCAGTAACCCTGACCTGGTCGAGTTGAAGGATGGCATATGGGTTGAATAGCTTCATTGGACCCAAGCTGAACTTTGTTGGTAGGTGACTACCCCAACCTGCAGTCAATGACAAGCAGGGCTCGCGAGGGTTCGTCGAGGTGAGAAGAGCTACACGCTCGACATGCCCGTCACGAAGCTTGATCAAGTCTAACGTGTCCTCGAGCTGCCGAGTGCCTACAAATTTAGGCACACACGCATAGCGAGGGGCGGCGCTGCTTGACCTAGATCGAGTCGCGGATGCTGATGGTGATAGCCGTTTCCGTGTGATGGCCAAATCGCACTCGAGGGGATTCTGTAGGGCCGGGTGTGAGATATACATGTAGAGTTTCCGCTCGTGGAGCGTAGCCGAATTGAAGGGCGCATTGAGCGTAAATACTCTGGGTTGATTCTCGTTCTGGGGGTCTGAGGGATTAGTCAAAGCGAAAAGTCCGCTTTTCAAGTATTGAGTGACTGGTATCTCGGCGATCACACTCATGACCAGTTCCTTATGAAGCCCATCACCGGGCTGCGACTCGGCTTTAGTGTCAAGTGGCGCGAAAAGATCGTCAAGTTCATCGTAATCTTCTATCGTGTCAAACGTATCATCATCCATAACGTCTTCTAAGGTGTCATCTATTGATGCCCCTCCCAAACTCATTCGAGATGTAACGCTACCGGGTGTGGACGCTCGGTGGCGCGATTGTGAAAATCCACCAAAGCTAGTTCGATCTTGGCCCAACGAGTGTCGACTGCGTTGACTGGCACCGAAGCTTGCTGAGAAGCTACCCCCGAGACTAGTGCGGTTTGTTGCCAGATCCTGGAACGCAGATTTGTCGAAGCTCGTTGTGAGCTCGGCGCGTGAGAGTAGTGAGCTCACGCGTCTCGACTCCTTCGGCTGCCGTACTATGTCAGAGTCGGGGTTGAGTTGGGAGGCAAGCGCATCCTCTACCGCTTGATCTGAAAGACGTTCTTTGGTCTGTGAGGTTCCTTTGAATGATGGAGGTTGGGTCTTGCTGCGTGCAGCCCCGCCGAAGCTTTCTCGCATTCTGTCACTCCCACGTATGGCAGGTGTTGTTGCTCCCGTCCCTGGGGCAGTTGCACCATATGAGCTGCGCCGCCGCGGCTTGCTGATTGGCAGGGGGACGTGGTGTTTTCGAGAAGCTGATATCGATTTTGGCTCGAGGTACGCAGCAGACCAGATGGTAAATACATTCGTCTCATGATTAGCAGTGACGACTAGTAAAAGAGGTTTGTCATTTCCACTGCGATCAAAATGGATCTCATTTTGCGGCGAGACGTATAAGATCTCTTCAGCCTTGTCAATGGCTTCTAATCTTCGATGACCGGAACCGTGCGTTGTCAGGAAGCTGCCTCGCTCGCCACCCACGATTACGTTAACCACAAGTCCGAGCTCGGATAGCGGATCTGTGAATGAGTAGAGTCTGGGGATTGCTTCCGGATTTGATGCCGCAGAAGGACTGATCAGGTCGTCTAGGAACATGGCTGAACCAGAATGGCGGGGTTTGCTATGTCGCGATGGACCAAGTGAGGACCGTTTGCGAACAGAAGGCTGGGAGAAGCTCTGAGAGAACGTCTGGGAAATGAAGGATTGGTTGTTAGTAAGGAAAGAGTTTGGGGGGACTGAAGGCATCTGTGGGCTGGGGGGAACAGGGCGCAGAAGGGCTATCTTTCTTTGCACCACAACGCCTCGTGCTGCAGGAAAGGCTTTATCGACCTCGAAAGGGAGGTTGACGATGTGGGTGGTGCCCGAGAGAAAGAAGACGTGCGCTTGCGACTTGAGGAAGACGACCAAAGCGCGGGAGCGAACCTCAACGGTTGGAGGGGTAGTGTCGACAGGAGCATTTGGATCCGTGGCAGGTTGTGTGCCCTGGGTAAGAAAGCTCTTGGACTGATCGTTCCCACTGTATTCTGCGGCGCCTCCTAGAGCTTCAAAAGTACCATGCGAGGGCTCTTCAACGACAAACCATGTCAAGAGTGCCTGTACGACGCTCTCTTTTTCCACCTCGAAATTGAAGACCTTCCGTATGACACCTCCTCGCGACCAGACAACATGATATTCGGTGGTGACGAGCTCGTCGGTAGCGCCATCGGGGCTCTCGTCGGTGTATGTGTTCCAGACATAGTCGCGCTCGGTGCTATAGTCGTTCAGGATGGATTCTTGAACCAGGTACTGCAGAGCGGCGGGCTTGTGGACCCCGATCGAGCGTAGAGAGGCCATTCGGAGGCTCGTTTCGCAACATGAGGAACTCTGGATGTGTTTCGTGAGTGGTGGCGGGTTCAGTGTTTTGTTTGCGCGGGGGCGTGAAGTTGAGGTGACGCGCTGTTTGGGTCGAGCGCGACTTCCCCAGAATTTCTATAACCTCCGCAGCACCTCCGCGCTTCCTTCACTCACCACCACCCAATCGCGCAACGAAGAAGAGGCTTGGGACGACCTGGATTCTTGGGCTTTTGAGCTTCTACGAAGACTTTTGAGCTTCCAGCGATCAGCGTAAGCTGCCGTGCTCTCCGCGTTGATACCAATCGCGTAGCTAAACTCGTCAGCGTCGAGCTCCAAACATGAAGCCGACTATTGCAACGAAGGGCAAGTTGACCCAGCTCAGGTACGTTTTCCTTACATCATTCGGTATGGAAATGCTCACGACCTCTTAATAGATACGAACTGCCGCACCGAGTCCACGATTCGAAGATATACCCCGTCAAAGCCCCCAATGGCTCGACCATCATCCTCTACGGACACGAGTCTGGTGTGGGCATAGTATGGAGGGGCGGGCGCCCTTTGAAGGTGACAGCTCCGCCACCCAAGCAGCCGGCGAAGCCAGCAAAAGTCAATGGAACGAGTAACGACGCGATCATGATCATTGACTCTGACGACGACGAGCCTACGAGAGCCACACCGCAACAGTCCGCACCAAAGGCTGAGTTCGAGGATGAAGAGGAAGAACTCGATCCTGATGAACCGTATCCATCCGTTATACAGCAACTGCGCCTGTCTCTCAATACTGAAGTCTTGCACATCGCTGTGCCACAGATACCGTCCATTTCCTCCCTCCGTCCTGCAGATACAGTGCCCCCCATCTTCGGCAAGAGAATGGTCTTCACCGTTGCCTGCGCTGATTCTACCATGCGAGTCATCACACTACCTCTTGATCCTCCACCAGATGCAGCAAAGGCGAAACCGCTTGGAACAAACTCACAATTCGGCGAAGAAGTTGTCAAGGTTCACGGCCATCAAACCATCACAAGGGGCATCACCATGACATGGACTTCAAAGAGTGAGCCCAGCTCCAGATACGAGCCAGAGGATGACATGGATGTGGATGGTGAAGCCGACGCCACCGCGACACCGGGTCGACGGCGTCGTAAGCAACAGAGCCGCTCACGGTCACGGCCGCGTGATGGTGAAGGTTTCGACCTGCTTGTTGCTTCGCACTCGGCCGAGTTAGGAGGCATACTGAAGATATGGCGCTTTGGACTTGCTGAGACTTCACTGAATGTCGACTACCCTATCGCACCATACAAAATGTTAACACTACGAAAACCTGCGGCTCGTGTCGCTTTCAGCACTGCCCAATACCCAAAGCGCCGACACTCGCAATTACTCATCACGGACTCGACAGGTGTCGCGAGAATTTACGATCCGTTCGCCTCTCCCAGCCGCAGGCGTCATACAAGCGGTGGTCAGAATGAGTCTGGCGCATTTGTCGGTACGTTTAGGTCGACCTTCGAGAGTATCAAGAACAATGCACACACGCCGGCGATCCTCGTTACACGCAAGGCCATTATTGATGCGGCGTGGACGTCCGATGGTCATCACATCTTAGCACTCCTAGCAGATGGAGAATGGGGCGTGTGGGATGCTGATCGATCTGGCCCAAGCCCACCTGCAGACCCATCAGCATTCTCTCTTCGCGGATTTGTTGGCACGTTAGACAAAGAAGGGAGTGCTAGTGGTGCATCTAGCCCTAAGCGCGGTGGTCGTAACACACTAGCACCTATGACGCCCAACACACGCCGTAGGAAAGAGGAGACACTATTCCATGGAAACTCTTACAGTTCTGCGGTCGCAACCCGCGGTGGCGTCTCAGTTGCCTCGTCACCTTCTGCCAACGGGCAAGCATCTGAAGACTCGGTCATTATCTGGTACGGCTCAGAAGTCTACAGAATCGCAGATCTTGACAAATTCTGGACCCGAACCGCTTCTGCTAGCAGTGGAGGCTCACTACCTGGTCCTGGCGTTCAAGTACACGATGTTTCCTTGCTTGGAGAAGCCATTACCTCCATCTCTCAATTCGACACATCGCCACAAGCATCGCGCATGGCCGTAGCACGAGATACACTGATCTCGGCAGAACATCGTCTCATCATCACCGCAAGTACGACCCAACCTCTTGAGCGAGATCTCAACGCCGTCTTTGCTCGAGAACAGGTTGAAGAGGAGGAGACGAGAAGAAGCGATCAAGCTCTTCTTTCTCGCGGGGAGCTCGACCTTGGCGGGATGGATAGGTTGCTGGAGAACATGGAGGGCAGCGGTACTAATCCAAGGAGTCTAACACTCGGAGGTGGTCCCCGAAAGGTACTTTTCGCTTCCTCTGCGGCTTGATCTCGTCTCGCGACCTCCTAAACCTAGTGCCCTCAGAGCTCGAGTCAGGCTGTAAAGTGGAAGATTCTCAGGTGTGTATGATATACCAATCGTGCTGAATTTATTGACAGCCTAGTAAGTTTCGGTTCTCAGTGGGCTATAGCACCCCGCGATAATTCACGTCTAAACATTCGCCAACCCTTTTCTCCTTTCCTTTTGTCCATGCCTGTCTTGCCCCTATCCTCTTCATCCACATTCCCCGATGTCCCTTCCCTGTCCCTCAAGAATAAGATGCCAGAACACTTCGCGGCCTAAGGTGGAGCTCAGCGACCAGACTCATTCCTGCTGCTCAGTATAGCCTCGCGAAAGAACAAACAGTGCCTTTCCAGACGCCGACGCGCCTCTCCCCAATAGCTCGCAAGAGTGTACGGGGCTCGTAAGAGTTAAAAGATGAGTGCGTCTGGATTGCTGTGGGGGTACGTGCACTATCTCTCCTTGATGTGTCTTGACCTGTGTATCTAGCCGCTCTGCAAGGAGGTCGGGTGAGGACGATACGTTTACGGCGAGGGACCGCTCGTGGTGCATCGGTTCATCTGCATACTTTAGTATGTAGCTAAACCGGTTTGTGCTGCGTGGAGGAGAGTGTGCGACATTTCAAACGTTGATATATCAGTGATTAATCACATCGAATGAATCAGTTCTTCTAGTAAAAGTTGTCGTGGTATTGATGCCATCTACTTGCTGTGATAATGAACCCTACTTCCAATATTGGCCTCTTTTGACTATCGTTACCCAACCAGCCCTTCAAACAACTCATCCCTCCGCCGTCTCACCTCATCAAGCCTAACCTCCAATTTCCCAACCTCCTTCCGCGCCATCTCCCTATCTGCCGGCAACCCAGCAAATTCAGCAACCTGCCTCTCCAGCCCCTCAACCCTCTCTCTCAGCTCATCCAAAACCTTCTGCTGCTCCAACATTTCACCCATCACCTCTGCAGACCCAATATTCGCCGACCCGGGCGTCATGGTCCGATTTTGTGAGAATTGTAGGGACGACAGCCTGTCCTCGTATTCCCGTATCTTGGTGCGGAGGTGTTTTGTCTGGCGGGTTTGCTCGATGGTTTGGCGTTGTAGCTGGTGAGGGGTAGAAAAGGCGGGGTTTGTTTGCAATTCGTCGAGTTGAGTGCGTAGTAGGGATGTTTGTGTTGCGAGGTAGGTTTGCAGCGTTTCTATATGGGCCAGTTGGTTGGTGAGGTTTTGAGAGGTTGTAGTGTGCTGGATGAGGGCGTGTGCGAGCGTTTCTGGAGCGGCTGTGGGTGTATTGAGCGCTACGGCGGTGGACGCAATGGCGTGGAGTGCCTGTTCGCCTTCTTGTGTAAGGCTGCTTTTGAGTTGGGACAGTATGCGTTCGTCGTTGTCGTTTCGCACGACCTACCATTGTGAGCGACTTATGCTCCTTTTTACCTAGTCCGAGCTGACCTTTCGTGCTCATACCTCGTCTAGCTCCTTCAGTGCCTCCCGTTCTACACGCTCTAGCACAGTTCGCTCCTCATCTGCCCTTTCGTTCGCCATTGACAACTCTCGGAGCACCTTCAGCGTCTCTTCATTCCGCTCAAACGTCGGTACAGTGCGGCCACTGTACTTGTACGACAGCCATGAGTCGATGTGTGCCCAGTCCTGTGCTTGCGCGCGCTGCTGACGTGCTTTCGACGGTGAGAAGAGGTCTGAAGGCGTGAGGTTGTCCATTGTTTCGTGGGGCAATCTAGCATGCTTTCGGGAATCTGTCATGCGCAAGTTTTCCTGGAAAAAGATCTTGTAAACGAATTAGTCCTAGGAGAAGGAATCACAAGAAGCTCGCCCTAGACTGCAAGCTATGTGGATGTTGTGGATGCTGTGGACGCGTTACAGTTGAGCCCGTGCAGCTAGCTTATCGATAACCTTTAATTTTGTTAGATATCACGAACTGCCGACGTCGGAGCTAGCGGCTTGGTGTATTATCTTGCCGTTGTTGTCACAGCGGCTGTATATCTGATTTCCTTTTCTAAAAGACAGCTTTCGTTCGGAATCTTCTTATATTGTTATCAGCGTTACATTGAAATTTTCAGTATGTCGCCAATGGTGCTGGAGAATGACGTCGAAGTCGGGGAGAGTCTTCCACCAGCGACTGAGCACGTGAGTCAAAGAATCTTCATGTTGAGAAGCAAACACTGACGAAGTGCAAAGGCTGTAAGCGTTTCGTTGCCGACATGGCGGGCGAATGTAGGATACGAAGAAGGCGAGGAATGGGTCATCAGTAAGATGAAGACGGGTTATCCCAGGTACGTAGTGGCGGCGCAGTCCGCTATTTTCTGCTAATACATGGTCGAAGATTCTTTATACACAAAATCATTCAAGCCTTTTCAGCTGCGATAGTAACAAAACATGGACGGGAAGGGGAAGGCGCGATGCTCTTCCCGACACATGCAATTGCATCTAGATGCCGCGACTTCTTCCTTCGAAATGCACCTGACCTTGACGCATCGAAAATCCGAATTCTGGACTTTGTACCAGCTGCAGAGAAAGCACGCTCGGAGGAATTGACTGTCATATCGCCTAGAGTCTCGGCCGTACTATTTCCACAGGACCGCTTCAGTATAGCCAAGCAATTCTGGCAGCATTCTGGGGACGGTGTATCAAGTAGGAGAGCGGAGTACTGTTACCAACTGTTTGAGAAGGGTGTTTTAATCGAGGCATCCAGCTTGGATCTGCCACCGCGGATACGCAAAGGCCCTCGACGGTACCAGAAGCAAACGTCCATCGACCTTGGTGGCCCAGACGATGCCGTACATTCTACGGGTGAAGTACAGGATCCCACTCAGTTTGTGGAGGAGAGATTTGGACGAAATTTGGACCTGTCAATGACAAAGAACGCGAAGCTGGCAATTCGACGGCGCATTGCGGGGTCATTGACTGCCGATGTTTCGTTATCCGAAGCGCTTTCGTTGAAGAAAGACACCGCGAGGACGAGGCCAGTGGCAGAGTTCTCAGAAGATGATGTTTACCTCTACCCCACTGGAATGAGCTCAATCTTCAATTCTCATAGAAAGCTACTGAAAGCGAAAGGTCCTCTGAAAGCCATCGTCTATGGGTATGTCAACAATGGTCACATAGGTCCGCTATACTGACAGGCATAGGTTCCCTTATATTGACACGCTCAAGATCACAGAGAAATTCGGTGCAGGCTCCCTTTTTTACGGATTTGGTTCGTCCGAGGAGCTGGATGACTTGGAAAAGCGCCTAGAGGGTGGCGAACGATTCATGGCGCTGTTCACCGAGTTCCCAGGAAATCCGCTATTGATGTCGCCAGATCTCCAGCGAATCCGCACGCTCGCTGACAAGTACGATTTCTGCGTAGTTGTCGATGAGACTATTGGCAACTTCATCAATGTCAATGTTCTGCCGTATGCGGACATCGTAGTCAGCAGTCTCACAAAGGTTTTTAGTGGAGATAGTAACGTCATGGGAGGGGGGTGTGTAGTTCAACTTTCCTGGCTATTGCAAGGCGTTACACTGACACTATATACAGACTTGTCCTAAGCCCAATGGCAAAAAACTACTCACTACTCAAAAGCATATGGGAAGAAGACTACGAAGATAATCACTGGGCCGAAGACAGCATCTTCCTCGAGCGCAACAGTCGTGATTTCGTCTCAAGGATTGACCGTATCGGTACCAACGCCGAAGCGATCTGTAACGTCTTGAGCGCACATCCCCGCGGTTCGTTTCCCCTTTTCTGAACATCTTTGCACGACTAACTTTACCCTCCACACAGTGAAACAGGTCAATTACCCCAAGACAAGCCCCACACGCGCCAACTATGAAAAGTGCCGCAACCCCAATGGCGGGTACGGCGGTCTGCTCTCCGCCACATTCTATGCCAGGGGGGACGCTATAGCCTTCTTCGACAACCTGGATACAGTGAAGGGGCCTAGTCTGGGCACTAATTTCACACTGAGCTCTCCGTACGTCATCTTAGCGCACTATGGAGAGTTGGACTGGGTATGTTACGAAGGCTAGCATTAAGGTGTGAGGGTAACAAGTTACTGACATCTAATAGTGTGCAAAATGGGGTGTGGAGGCAGATCTGATTCGATTCAGCGTAGGATTGGAGGAGACGGGGAAGCTGGTGGAGACTTTCAAGAAGGCGCTTGATGCTATACCGCAGTGAAACATGTCTGTAGTGCGAAGAAACGGGAGGAGAAAACTCGAGCCCAGCATGGAGCATCTCTACAGGGGACTGCAGCATGTTACGTAAAAGCACGAATGTGTTCAGTTGCAGCCATATCGTTGTTTGTTTGTTTGCGACTCCGTAGCTGCCACGTAGTAACTTCAAGACAAAACATTGTGAGCAATGTTGTTCAGTAAGCAACAGGCGAAGAGACCTAGCACCAAAACTTGAAGTAAGGCAGACTATTCGGTCCTATTCTCTAAGATCGTAAAATTAGCAGCACTGTCGCTCTCGCTTGCCCTTGTCTCTTTCTCCACAGTTCAACCATGCTGCCGAGCAGGATCCATTCCTACCGTGCCCGTAACGCCCGCGGCCTCGTTCCCTACTTGTGCCACCACACATACACGAACACACTTGCAACATCTACAATCCTTCCCACAAACTCTATTCATACGTCAAGCATACCTTCGCAACCACGATTCGGGAAATTAATCTGAACCGAGCGGTGCGGCTACATGTAACCGATAGCAAGAGTCGACCAGGGGCTGTGGTTCGAGGTGCATTTCTATGCGAAATTGCACGGCCGGATGAAGGTGTAGCCAAGAACCATGTGGAACCATAATGACGTGCCTGTAGTGCATTATCATAAACGAGGACTGTTAATACGCGTAAACATGTAACAATTCCTACAATAACTCTCTGCTAGTAAGTGCTTGTCGTGCTTCGAGCTTCGAGCTTGCGGGTTGAGAGCATGTGGTGTCAGATCAGGGCTTTCTCCGCTTATTCGACGGACGGGTTGGTAGGTGTGTTGTTGTGTCTTGCCTTGTTGCACATTGTCACAATGTTGGCTCAGAGGACATCGGATACAGCCTCTCCTGCGGCGGTCAAGGCACAGCTGCACGAGATCGTAGCGATGGCTCGGGTTGCTAGGGAATCCTAGCACAACAGTGATCTCGCTACTGCTAGTTCTCCAAAATGGTCTCCAAGAATCGTATGTACAGCCTCCAGTTAGCGTGTCCAAAAGGCCGTCCAGCGCTGCAGTCAAGGTTTATCAATGCTCATTTGCGACACTACGCTGTGCCCCTTGAGGCGTGGTACGTCACGTCTGTGAATCGCGCTAGCGCACGGCATGGCTTTGAGAAGACGGCGAGCAGAGTGGGATGCCCATCTGGAGAAGAGATAGCCAGTCACTACCGGACTTGGATGGAGCTGGCAGTGTGATGTGATTGTGGATTCTCTAGTAGTTTGCGGGTTTCGAATTTGCCGATCGGCATATTCGGCGAGGCTGCATGTGAATGCCGCTCCCACTTGAAGCGCGTTGCGGAAATAAGTCCAATCAAACAACGGCCAAATACAGCAATCTCTTGCTTATGTTAGAAGCTATATGTTGATACGATACGCCGGCCCCTCGGAAACGGGGCCGATAGTGTGCGGCGGTGCTGTCAGCGCGTTTGGATGGATATTGGCTTTCGTGAGGCGGGCAGCCATGTCCGTCCAATGGAGCCGTGGGCAGCCCGGTGCGTGCGGCCTGTGTGTGTCAGAGAGGAGCTCCAACATTTCTCCATCGCACAGGATTCCTAGTGCGTACTAGAACAAGAACAAAGGACCCGAACAGGTCCACTCTCTTCATCAGCCAGCAGTGCCAGCGCCAGAAACAAGTCGAGCATCCCCGAGAGGTGAGGGGCGGAAATAACCCATGGTTGCGAATGGGTGGCATACCCGCCCCTCCTCTGCACTGCACATGCATTTCGAGTCACATTCGACGCCTCAGCTCAGCATCTGAGAGCCGGGCTTCTGCTGCATGCGTGTGGTGCCCAGCAACGACCGTCACGCATGCCATTCAGACGATTCGATATGGCTTCCAGAAGCTGTTGCTGCTGCTGCAGCCGCGTCGAGCCTGGCCGTTGGCAGCAAACGGTAACGCTTCCGTCCCGCTTCGACGCCTCCAAGCGCGGAAGCGGTCAACACGTGTTCGGGCAATGCTGGAGCAACCAAAATTAGAATCACACGCCGCTGTGCAGTGCGTATAGCACACCACGCGGTCGGAGAGCAAAGCGACAATTCTACGAGCAGCCTGGGACTGCCGTGGCGGTGCTAGCCTCTTTCCTGGACGGCGAGGCTTTGAGATGAAGCGGTGCACGCACTGCACCATTACATCTGACCCAACCCGCCCCATGGCCCCTCTATTGTGTATTGTCGCGGCCCATCCTGGTCTAACGCATAGATGCCTGACAGGCCTTCTTGGAGCACCATGCTGAAGCCGGAATGGGCTCGAGTCCCAAGCGCGGCACCCTGAGCGCCACCAACCTCTGTTTGGAGGGAAAGCATCTCACGACACCCATCAGCGCCCACCTATGCGGCTTTGTGAGCGCCATATCCGGGGATAGGCCTGGCTCCGACCGAGCACGCTCTTGTGCTCGTTCGTGTCATGTCATGTAAAGCCGTCAAACATGGCGGCAACCATCTGCCTCGACTGTAGGGCGTCCACAGTTAGTCTTCTTGTAGTCGGACCGCGAACATGCTTGCTCTGCTCTCCTATGCTGGACCGCTAAATGTCCATCCTGGAAAGAAGAGTCCAGCGGCCCAGGCACCCATCGCGGGTGCACGTCCTATGACTAGTCAACGGTCGGGGAGCTTGGATCTTTCTTATACTAGGGTGTGGATCCTTCGAGGCTCCAACCAGTCCCCAGCCGCAGACCCGGAAAAGGCGCTCTACGCTGTTGGATCATGAAGCTCAGACAAATGTTCTGTTCCTAGAAATACAGGTATCCCCCATGCAGGGGCGCAGGCCACCATCAAACATAAAGGTCAAGAATGCAAATCTGCCTTGCGATGACCTCCCCATAAGGCTGGTATAATCCCACCCAGTCGTTTATATCCAGGAACACAAACGTACGTTTACCCCACGGTACCTTCCAATGCAAATGTTACCCTCCTACTGTTGATCATGACCCCTCGGTCTTCCAAACACCACCAACAATCAAAGACGTCCACCATCTCACGAAGATTTAGAAACCGTGCCGACCAGGCCATCTCTTCCCGACCACCTGAAATTCCACAGTTAAGGGGTGTTCGTTCGCGCCGTGCCGCAACGCTTCCTGCGCCCCGCCACAATCCTGTCGATAATCAAACACCGGAACCGCATCCTTCTTCGCTAGCCTGGGATGCTCCAGACGTTCTTGAAAACTCCCCTCGCAACACTTCCAATCGAGCCGTCGAAGAGAATCCGCCTTGCAACCTTCTCCTTTCGCAAAGTCTTGATTTTCCTTCTTACGAGTCTCCTCAAGGGCTACGCTCGGAGCTCTTACCCAACACTGACGACACCGCGACTCGCAACTATCAACTTCAGCCGACACCAAGACGGAGCACTCTCTCCTCATCATTGCCTTCGGTATCTAGTAGCCACGATTTTGAGCTGCGGCTATCAACAGACCCAGAGCAACCGCATGATCCATTTCTCGAATTGCAAGATATGAGGTATGGTAGTCTGGTGACCTTTTGAACAAGCCGTTGTCTCATTAGATTAGCGCTTTAGATTTCATGATGCCCCCTTCGCAGTACGGTATGAACCACTACGGCTCCCCAGCTGCATCTTATTCGCCAAGCTACCCGCCACAGCAATCGTATGCAGACCCAAGGTCCTCAGCTTCAGGTCCTTATAACTCGTCCTATGCTTCTAGTTCAGCAATGCCAAATGAGATCCAACAGAGGAGACCAGACGAGCACACTGTATTACCACCTTACCAGAGTCAAACTCAACCGCTTCCTCGAAGTCCATACCAACAGCAGCAGCCTTTGAACACAATGCGCGGGGGGTCTACTCTTCTCACTTCTGCTGCACATACCTACTCATACTCAGCACCAAATCAACCATTAGGTAGCAACTCCGCAACATATCCACCGTAAGTTCTCTCGAAGCTAGCAAAGCAAAGAGCTCACTGATCCAATATAGTCAACCTTTGTACCCTCCAGCTAGTTACGGTATGGGCGAATACCAACCGCTACCCACAATGTATCCGCCATCTTCAACGACACCTGCTGCATATCCTGCCTACGGATCTTCGCATGACATTCCTCAGCCACCAGCTAGTAGCGTTCCTGCGCTCGCTTCCTCTCCAGGCACTCAAAACAACACGGCAATGCCACGCATACTGACATCTCGACCGAAACCGCAGTGTTGGGAGCATGGATGTAATGGGCGACAGTTCTCCACGTTTAGTAATCTCTTGCGACACCAGCGCGAAAAATCTGGCACAGCGTCAAAGAGTTACTGTCCGAGGTGTGGAGCGGAGTTCACGCGTACTACTGCGAGGAATGGCCACATGGCACACGACAAATGCAAACCACGGAGAGCATCAGAGTCGAGTCATTGAGTGCAGCCTACACTCAGACTGTTCAACTTGCCCCGCAGATTCTGGTGCCCCAGGAATATGTGGAGCCTGAATTTCATGTTTCCGTGGGAATTTGGACGAATTAAATTAGACAGCACCGGAAGGAGGATCCACCATTGGTGATCAGGGCTCATCGATGACATGTTTTGTTCCTCACGACTCCACCGAGTCTGCAAGCCCATGTGCACGAGCGCATAAGGCACTCACCAAGCAGCTTGGTGACACGATGGCTCGGGTACATGAGAGCGTAGCTAGCCCTGCACAAGTTTTGTGCATAGCTTCACCGTTTCCATATGTGTTTGAGCCGATTGGCAGAAGAACCCAACGGCGATTAAGGCTAGGAAGGATACATTGATCCAGAGTCGTCCCAGCGATCAGCGATCAGCGACCAACAATGTCGAGATGTTACCATCGTCTCACACCGATAGCGCATTTCGTCATCGCGGAGCTGTTCTAGCATGGTCAGGTGTTTTGGAGTCTATATGACGACTGAGGCATAGCGAAAGGGCAGCTGCCACTGTGGCCGTACCGTGATACTCTTTGGTTGAACATACGGTTCAACGTTCATGCTTAGAATATTTGCTGTTGCATGCGGACAGCATCTACTTCTCATCCCGTGTAGATACACATTTTACTGGTAGCAGGCCGTTTCCCGCCGATTGTGGAGGGCAGAAGCATTTAGAAGAATCGTGATAAGACTAGTATAGAACAGAAACTCAACGAAGGAACAGATCGACTCAAGTCGACTCCTTTCCAACCCGACATCTACATGTTTGTCCCATACGATTGAAACAAGCGGTATGTTGTGTCGTTCCAAATCAACTATACTAATTGTCACTTCACTCCCCTGACACGGCACAGGGTTTCAAAGTTTCAATGCCCTTCGCACTTTGTCACCCAAACCTGCCATGCCGCCGCCAGGCGTCTAACCCAATTGCATTCGCGTTTCCCGAACCGAGCCGACAAGGACCCGGAAGCGATACCACAGTCACGCGCTAGGACCCTCTAAACGATGGCTCTAGAATCCCATCTGGAGTACCACCTTCTCCATCATTAATACCGCACTTAGATCCGCTCTTTCGTCTCATTTCCACAACTCGTGCACCAATCGCAGCTCATTGCGCGTTTCATTTGCCAAGGGTCTTGTGGGCCATTATTGCACGGTCCAAATCATATTCGAGCAAAGATCAGACTAGCGGGCCGTTGTCGCCACGACTTGGGGCGGGAAGCCATGAAAACCAACAATCAGCAGCCTGTGTTTACGGCCTGCAGGGTCCGAGCGGACCCCTAACACACAACAGGGAGGATGTCAGATGTCAGCACCGTGGTCCGGGCTACCAGCATGAACCAAACCTCTGGGATATTAGCAGCTGCGGCATCTGTCATGTCTCGCTTCCCCCTAGCTTGTCAACAGGCAGCGGAACGCGGAACTATTGATAAGCCACTATGCCTTCCTTCTTCGGATGGCTTCTTCGGATGACTCTAGCCGGGCATTGAACATGGAATGCTTGTGGTCGAAAATCGAACCTGTCCCACATGGCATTGCGCATGTGGGGTGCCCCGGCGACTTGGAAATGCCGGGTTTAATCTCCAGTGGCCGCTTGTTCGTTGTGGTGAGCGATTCGTCTCTAACTTTTGCAAATGGGTGGTTGACATTTGCATGTTGCAGCTAAGGTCCCAAAACGCGCCGTCTATATATCCCGAACTGAAATCACCAATAAGACCACGCACAACCACCCAATGCCCGTTGTCTCCTGGGAATCTTTTATGATTTGAAGAGTGAAGCAGTGGAGCTGATTTGGATTGCAGAACGATCGATTCGCAGATTACAGCGGTCGGGGCCAGCTTTCTAGTTCGCTTAACACTCGTACCGTCCTCCATCGAACCACACACAGCCTGCGTCACCATGCCCGCTAAAAATCTTCAATTCATTCAAATCGCGACTCTTGCTCATCGTCTGCCCCGAATGCGAATAGTCGGCTCGACACGATCAGCCTTCCAGAATCACAATGACGTGAAAGGGTCTTCCTACCGCGCGCCACACAACTAGCACAGTGCTGACACCACCTTGTTATTGCTTTATTGCTGACTTGTGGATCGGCGCTTGACGTATCGCAAGGGCTGGCTAGCGGGGCGCGGCTATTCGGGAAGGATGGCTTTCACATGATTATCCAGTTACATTGGAGTGGCTGCATCAGGGGTGCGACATGACTCGACGTGGGGCTGCGTTTTGTACCCTCCGGAGCCTTGTCGGACTTAGAGTCCGGGGCTGCGTAACATCGCCTACGACGATGGCTGAGTGAGTGAGTGAGCGTTCCCACGCACACGCATTCGCCAAGTGCAAAGTGGGCATCTAAATGGCCAGAATGTCGCCGACCATGAGCTTCGCTACCAGCGGTAAAGTCGTCATCCTTGCTTATTTGACAGCACGACCTGAATCGGAATCGTACGTCTGCTGGGTGGCCTTAAATGGACCCCGCATGACGCTTACGGTTCAAGAACTTGATTCGAGGAAGGAACCAAAACGAGGCTAAGATGGATCAGCACTTTTTTTTGTATCATGCCATGTTGGAGATTTCCCATTACCCCAACTCAAAGCGAAAAGGAGGATTTGGGCTGCGTGGTTCGCTCCCGGTACCTCGGTCAATTCGCTCTGAGTTCCTAAAGGTCCTTGAAGGCGTCTATTCAACACTTAAGCAGAGGTTTATTTTATTTCGAGGTACACCGCAGCGCCTTCAGGCCCTTGAGTGTGGGGTGCATGTAAGCGATCATGTGAAGGAACGATAAGTAGCGTAGGAAGGCAGCGGAAGGAACCATTGCACATGGCCAGCACGTCGAATCCAACAACTGACCTGCAGCCTCATGCTCCCAAAACACCATGCGGACGATGGTGATGACGGGCCGAAGTTTCGTACCATGTACCAACATGCAAGGCTGACATGCAAGGTCCATGACTCCAACCCCATGGTTCGCAAGCCAGAGCTCGCGTGCTGTTGTCGCTGAGAAGGCCGGCTAATATCCATACCTGGCAATATCATGCCTGCATAAACGGCATGACGTGTGGCCAACCGACGGGGACGAGCGCGTGGTATATATATTAACTGACTGCAACTTATTTATTATCATTCGTCCATTCATGTTTCTGCGACGAAGCAGCTTACAGGCCAACATGCCGTAACGCGAATTTGGAAACGTATGCGACGGTACATCATTCAGCCTCAACCGGCCGCGTTTCCACGCCGCTGCCCCTGCATCGGCATTTAATCAATGTGCGACGCTATGCCGTGCAACGAGCAAAGCGTCCAAAGACGCTGGTCATCATTGGCATACTATTCGCCAATGAAATCTGACATGTCATTCGTGTCTGACCATCGCGGAGGCCCGTGTACACTATCAAACACCACTGCCGATACGCTTTTAGCAAGGCAGAATCTTGTTGCGAGAAGCTTTCTGCAGTCACTCACACTCGCGTCCTTTTCCATCAGTCATATCTAAAGCTTCTGCCATATTTTAAGGCCTCGCTGCAAGGCCTCGCTGTCTCTTGGGACTCACAAACCTTATTAAAGGATATAGGTGGGTGCGTGCTGACCCTTGGAGCTAGGATCAAGCATCGTGCCGCCGTCGCGACCCCCGTGACGATCTAAGATGAGGCGCAAGGATATTGGGTGGGATTACACGTACGATGTACAGATTCAATGTTGACGGACGGATGATTCTGGAGAAAAGAAGCGAGACGCAAGCAGCCCGTATGCATATATCGAGTCTTGGGGTTCGGCGTGGCCGATTGGGTCTTGATCATGCAATGTGTGCTGACCGCGACAAGGCGGGAATCACAAAATTTCACAGTAGCTAAGGATAGAGACTTGGCGTGATGCTTGACTGTCGAGCGTATCTAACAGGTAAAGTCTATATTTGGAGATCAAGTCCCATGTTGGAGTTGCTCAGCATAGCTAACATCGACTTTTCTTCACTTTAGGAAGCTTGAGCAGCAATTGATGGGCGTGTTGCTTCGTTATTTTTGTTTGTAGAAAGAAACAGGTGTTCACATTCTATGCTCCGATGACCTAGTATCATAGTATGCCTTCACGCGTATCCATGAGGAAAACTCCGTTTGCTTTGAGTAGGTTTGTGCCTTGCCGTCACAGTCGCAGCAGACTATGAAGGCAATCACGCTACAGTACGTGGAAGGCGCGGTACCTTTAGGTGCAGTGCAAGTGATGGGTCAGTCCTGATAGCTCAAGTATTCGTAATAGAAGGGCGCACGAAGGGCTGTCTTCGTCATAGACTAGATACAGGGCTGTTGGCGGATAGATAATGATGGCTCATACCCCGCAAAGAGGTGACTCGATGCGAAACGCTCGGGCCAAGAGTGACTTTATCCCGACGACTTCCGTCCTTTCAGCTCGACGACCATCTCATTCCACTCACCACAGCGCAAACACACTGATTGATCCATACTGATGTCTCCTGTTAACTAGTGAATGCCAATTGGCAGCTTCACGCAACTCGCCGACGAGTTGTCCCCAGCTATCGCTTGACGAAGACTTACCCATTGTTTGCGCTCTACGCCCGTCAAAATGCTTCCACTACTATCGCAATTATTTCGGACGCACTACTCACATACAAACTCCCGATCTTTACCGCCTTTATATGTACCCTGCCTTAAATTACAGCGGCAGCACGCGGTTTGACGGCCCTCGGCTCATATCCATCGACTACACCAATACCGAGCATAAGTACACCTTCGAAAACACCCTGCGAAGACAATCATAATATGGCCTCAATCTTCACATTTGACCCCGATCCGCCACGCGTTTCATCGCCGTGGGCGACGCCTCCTGTCGGCAATCCTGCGAGGTCATCGACCCCTCATCAGGAAGCTAAGCCACTTCCTTCGAAGCTTAGTAACAATGACGACCAGGGAGGAGGGTACGCTAGCTTCCAAACATCTGGCGTCGACTATACAAAAATCACGAGACTGGAGGCGGAGCCACAAGAGGGCCCGACGGAGTATAAGCTCCACTTGCTTCTTCGACGGCGGAGATCCTTCACCCGTGCCAGCACTGGACGGCATGCCTCAGGGTCTATACGTCAAAGTGACATTCCTATACCTACTTCTGTGGGTCGCAGCGTGTCGGAACCAGGCCTCCTACCTGACACTCCGCCTCCGCTAGTATCTACCCAATCTAGGCAGCATCGCCTTGAGCAGTTGACCACTCAATTATTGTGGCGACTGCAGCAGTCGTGTCCTTATCATATTTCCTCGTCAACTGCCCCTGTACTTCCCCACCTCCCTGAAAATGCCAAACTCTCCACTCCTGATATGCCTCAACGGCTACTTCCGGGGTTGGAGGAGAGTAAGGGCGCGCTGTACGAGATTGGGGTAGCTGATGACGGCACCATTGTAGGTCTAGCGCAAGATGAGATGGAGGAAAGCCTAAACAATTTGCGCGCCATGGCGGCAAGTTTAGGATGTGGGGTCGAAGTCCTGCGTATGGTGCCTGTTGGTGAGTGTGAGTGGGTTGAAAATGCTGGCATGCCGCAGCAGAAGATGCAGGCATCGAAATTAGTGGTTGCCGAAGCTTTGGTTCGCCCGGAGCAGCACCTAATTGATTACACGAAGAACACTCAGCAGGAGGCCGGCAATCGGCGGGTAGCTCCTGAAACCAGTGACAGGTCAGTGGTAATTGAGACCAATGAGTCTCGTCGGATGACTGAACAGCTGCGGGTGTCTGTGACGGGCCCGACCATGTCTGGTAAATCCAGTCTACTCGGCACATTGTCAACAGCTACACTAGACAATGGGCGAGGCAAAAGCCGTCTTAGTTTGCTGAAACATAGACATGAGATTGCGTCCGGTATGACAAGCTCTGTCACGCAAGAGCTCATAGGCTATCGTGATATAACCGATCATGAGACGGCAACTGCAGTTCAAGTCATCAGCTACGGTTCTGGCGACGTCTCTTCCTGGATCGATATACACGCAGCAGTCGAGAACGCGGACAATGGCAGGCTTGTCTTTCTTTCGGATTCCGCGGGACACCCACGGTTCAGGCGGACCACTGTTCGCGGTATTGTTGGCTGGTAAGTGAAATCGATACCTAGCATGCAACCTCTACTCAGATTGCCAATCAACAAGAGCAACTGCCTCGCCTGTCTACAAGGAAGCTCGCGTTTGATCTCTCATTTTTTGAGCTTTTGCTAATTTTATACCTTCAGGCAACCACATTGGACACTCTTGTGTGTTCCCGCAGACAATACGGAGGATTCCTCGGGTAAGATTGGGGCTTCACCCACCTCCCAAGAGCTGCTCGGCCCTGCTGCCGCAGATCTTGACCTGTCGCAGGCGCACATCCAACTTTGCCTTAATCTTGAATTACCTCTCGTGATCGTCATCACCAAGTACGACCTAGCCACGAAAGCTGGTCTGCGTCACACACTATCCAAATTATTGTCAGCTCTCAAAGAAGCCGGTCGGAGGCCATGCATTATTTCAGATCCGTCGGCATCCGTCCTTGAGGGAAACCTACACTCAATTTCTACGGAGGACCTACAGGAAGCTGATAATGTTGTGCAACTGTTAGAGGCCTCACCACTTACCGCCGTACCCATTATTCTCACGAGTGCTGTCAAAGGAACTGGGATCAACAAGTTGCATGCTTTCTTGCGTCAACTTCCTGTACCCCAAGAACCGACGTCTCGATCGACGACTTCGCCGTCTCACCTGTTCTACATTGAGGACATCTACAGCGTACGGGCGAACACGTCGAATGACCGCTCTGTAATTATCGGAGGTTACCTCCGTTATGGCACATTAGCAATTGGTGATGATCTACTATTGGGCCCATACCCGGTAGATGTGAGCTCAGATGATAGTGACAGCGGCAGCGGACGACCGCCCAAATCCTCTGCCCCAACTTCACGATCATTTCCTGGCGCCTTGAACACGAAACGAAATGCCTGCCTACGTGATCGACACAGTGAATGGCGACGGGTCCGCGTCACATCACTACGCAACCTGCGCCTCCCTGTACGGGCATTGCACGCCGGCCAGGTCGGCACTGTGGGCATTGTACCCGTCGACACACCTATCGTCAGCCCATCGATTAACAGGATAAGAAAAGGCATGGTACTCGCAGCTAGGGAGCCGACGGCCTTCAGGGTCATTCATGTACGATTCGAGGGTGCACAAGCGCGTGGCATAAAATATCTAAGTGTCGGAAGTGCAGTGGTTGTCTACGTTGCGAGCGTGAGGGCGTCCTCAAAAGTCATCTCTGTTGCTTCGGAACCCATTGTGGTCCCCAAGGCTAGCAGCAAGGATAATGACGAAGATGAGGATGCATTCGGATTCGGCTTTGATGACGACGCAGAAGACGTAGACGAGCAAAATCACACTCTCTCTATGGCGGCTACCGTTGTCACTTTCCAGTTCATTGCTTCCCGCGAATTCGTGGAACTTGGGGCAAAAGTGCTGGTGATGCCTGGAGGAGGCCCCGGTCTCTCAGGAGGTAATGAGCGCGGTGCGAAAGGTCTCGCTGGTCTCGAGAGTTTTGTTGGTCGAGTCGTCGAGGAGTGAAAGGTGAAAACTAATGAAGCCTTTGCACTACACCACGCCTATGCCGACAACGTACCATGCCCTGGGCGCAGAAGGGAAGGAGGGACGAGGAGAACGGCAATTTAGAGGGCGATGTGCTTAGTCGCAGGACTGAATTTTTCTTTGCAAAGGCGGGGAGGCTTTTAAGTATTCCTGTTGTTGCTACATATTTGGGTTCATTTTTTTCGAAATTTATGAACATACTTGGGTGGAAATTTAATGTCTCATACGCCATTCCCATCACAAATGTGCTGTATGGGGCTTATTTAACAGTACTTGTCTCCCCTAACGGATTGGTCAACCGCTACGCAAATGGCTTCCCACCTCGTTGCTGGTGATCATGGTTGAACATTGAACCACGGCAGCTGAATCACTTTTACCCATATGCCTTAGTTTCTGTGTGTGGTGTTGCAAAATCCTACCTATTGTCTCCTCTCACTTCGGCGCGTCAGTCAACGGGACATATTGCACTCCGTATAACTTTTTCCTCTCAACACTGCCATCTTCCTTCTTTTCGAGGACGTATATGTGTTGCCTATTGTCTTCTTCTACAGGAACAAACAGGCGTCCCGGTGCTTTTAACTGGTCTGTGAGTTCTTGGTGATGCTCTGCAGCAGCGGCCCCAACATGAATCGCATCATACGGTGCGCCCTCTTTCCACCCCTTCCGCCCATCACCTGTAACAAACTTCACTTGCCCGCTCTCCAGCATGTTTCTCCCTTGTTCTGACTTGGCCATATTTGTATTTGCAAGGTCGACTAGTGGTTGAATGTGGTCGATGCCAATTACTGACCCACTCGGCCCAACAAGATTCGCCAGTACAGCTGTGAGATATCCCGAACCAGATCCGATATCAAGCACTTTGGATCCGGGCTGCAGATATTCAAGGAGAGATTCGCAGGCACTCGCGTGCATGTGCGGTGCGGATATTGTAGCTCGATGGCCAATGGGCTGGGGGCAGTCTTTGTAGGCGCTTGAGGGAGCGTAGTGGGCGCGGTCCACCTGCAAGAATATTGATTAGCATCCTAATCGACGACCCCCTTTTGAGGTTTACCTAGTTACTTCATACCTTTAGCATGGCCTCCTTGACGCGGTCGGTCTTGATGAGCCCGTTCCGCGCAAGGTTGGTTATGAGGGCTTCGTTGCTTTCCCCGGAGCTACGCCAGGCCATGCTGTGAGCTCTAGTATTTGGGACTATGGGAGAAGTAGCGGGACTGCGTATATTGCGAGAGAGCTTTGTTAAGAACGGCAGCGTGAAAGGTGATATGACGATGTTGATGAGAAGGAGCTTGGTATTGGTAGGTATGACGGCTAATCCGAAGGTTCGAAGGTTCTTGAAGCTTTAGTGTATACTAAACATGAGCATACAGTATTAATTCAATAGGAGTGGCAAGGTGATGAACTAGAATGTTGACAATGAGGAGTGGTTTAAGGGTGCGTGGGAAGCTCCGTCATACTGAACAGACGGCAACATCTTATCGATAACACCGATGCACGGCCCCACTCTGCGGGTCAAAAAGTTCGAGTAAATTTCGCGTCGCAGTAAAGTAAACTTCACGATTACGAGAATGGCGCTACCCGCAACGAAAAGACGGAAGCTGGAGCATAGTGGATCCGAGGACGAGAGTGAAGGGAGCTTTGCTGACTTCGACGATGCCAATGGTGTGCAGCTAGACGAAAGCGACGCAGAAGAAGACTTGGCCGACGGTAGCGATGTGTCGATGAACGGCGCGGAAGAAGTGGACAATTCCGAAGACCTGAGTGATGAAGAAGAAGAGGAATCCGATGAAGGAGAATCTACTCATAAGACCGAAAAACAAGCACCGGTTGCGGCAATTACCAACGGATCGAAGCCACACAAAAGACCTGCCACGAGCCTTCAAGATGGCGTGTACACCGCGGAAACGTTCAAATCGAACATGTTCAAGCTACAAGTCGACGAGCTGCTAGAACAGATCAAGCCAAAGTATGGTAGGAAGGAAGCTCCGGCAGAGAATGCTATGCGCACACTCAAAACCATCATCGAACAGATACCCAGCCGCGATGCGCTTCCTGTACGTATCTCACAACCCCACTGACTGTGGCCCCGCATTCTGACAACGTGTAGATTCCTGCAGCTGAGAAGACGCTCAAGTCCGCCGGTGTCACGATTCCCTTCCCTAGTCCCCACCCACCGAAAGACGCATTGTATAAGCTGCAGTACGAGCGACCTGCGAGTGTAAACGCAACCGGGAGCTACCCGCTCAAAACCACAACTCGCGCCGAAGACGAGCTATCGATCGACCTTGTCGTTACAATGCCGAAAGCTTTGCTCCAGGAGAAAGACTACCTCAACCATCGATACTTCTACAAGCGTGCATACTACCTTGCCTGTGTGGCTGCTGGGATAAAGGCATCGAAGGATCACAAGTTCGATCTATCCTTCGACTGTTTGAACGGAAACCAGCTTCAACCTATCCTCGTTGTACGCCCAAGCGGCAACGGCGATGCGGACGATTTCTCAAGCTCAAAGTCTCAGATTCACATTCTAGTAACTCTGCCGGAGAATATATTCCCGCAAAACAAACTCCTACCGAACTCGAACTGCGTGCGTCCGAAGGGAGGTGAGGACGAAGCGTCTAGCAAAGCACTCCCTGCCACGCCCTTCTACAACAACACCCTACAATCGGACGCCAACATTACTGCCTACCTCAAGCTACTTCATGCCACTGCCTCTAAGGCCGATGCATTCAAAGATGCCTGCATACTTGGCCGTGTATGGCTGAAGCAGCGCGGATTTGGGAGCCGACTGCGAAAGGGCGGATTTGGTAATTTTGAATGGGCTGCCATTATGGCCCTACTACTACAGCCAAATGTGGGAACAGGCGCACAGTCTCTTGCTTCAGGATACAGCAGCTACCAGCTCTTCAAGGCGACACTGCAATTCTTGTCACGAGGAGATCTAACAAAGAAACCCTTCATCTTTCAGGCACTCAATATCACCGTCCCGAAGGTTGAGACCGCTCCTGTTGTCTTCGATGGACCCCGAGGCCAAAACATCCTGTTCAAGATGACGCCCTGGTCATACTCGAGGCTTCGACTTGAGGCAAAGGCCACCGTGGATATGCTAGGCGAGTCTGTGTTCGATCAATTCGATGCAGCTTTTATCCTGAAGACGGAGTTGTCCAAGTATAGATACGATGCTACCCTCGAGGTGCCCCTTGCAGCCTTCGACCTTGCAACAATAGACGAGTCTCGCGATCAACGACTGAGAGATGTGTGTCGGAAGATATATAACACTTTGACAAGCGCGCTCACAGACCGAGTCAAAGCAATTTCGTTTACAATGCCTGAAGAAGACGTTTGGTCGATTTCTTCACGGCGGGCTCACGAGAAACCAGGCAAGAGTATCCTTGTGAACATCGCAACAGATCCAGCAAACGCCAGTCGGACCGTCGACCATGGACCTTCAGCGGAGAACAAGCAGGATGCTGCTGCTTTCCGCAAGTTTTGGGGCGAGAAGGCTGAGCTGAGGCGATTCAAAGACGGTAGCATCCTTGAGAGCGTTGTGTGGTCATTTAAGGAGACTTCTGCATCCGTCTTGGAGCAAATCGTTTCCTACGTTCTCAAACAACACCTTGGAGCGCAGGTAGCAGAGCAAGCTACATTCGTCAGTGACGCTTTTGCGCATCTTGTAACTGCTGGGCGTATCCAAGGAGCATCGGGAGTTGCCCCTTTCCTTCCGATCATGAATGCCTTTTCTGCTATGGAGAAAGATATTCGCGACTTGGAGGACCTCCCACTACACCTTCGCCACATCAGAGCTGCCGATCCGCAACTTCGTTATGCCTCTGTCGACACTCCGTCTGCTGGACATCCTCCGGCGTCGGTTGTGCTTCAATTCGAAGGCTCCGGACGCTGGCCTGATGATCTTTGTGCCATCCAGCGAACAAAGATCGCCTTTCTCCTACGACTCTCCGAACTTCTATCAAACCTTGAGTCTGGTTATGTTGCTCATGTGGGTCTCGAGAACCCATCGCAACCAGCTCAAAACCAAGCGTTCCTCGACGTCACTGTCTCTACGGGCTTCACGTTCCGTATCCGTATCTATCATGACCGCGAGGTCACGTTATTTGAGCGCCAGCTCAAGGACAAGACCTTGGATGCACCATCGCGCGAATCTGCAGCTGCATCTCTCGCATTGTACAAACGTGAATTCATCCAGTCACCGTTGCATTCGCAAGTACTGCAAACACTCAGCACTCGCTTTCCCGCCTTATCACCTGCGATAAGGCTAACGAAACAATGGTTCGCGACACATCTACTGTCACCCCACTTGGCTTCGGAGCTGATCGAACTCTTTGTTATCCGTACGTTTCTACAGCCGCATCCCTGGCCTGTACCATCAACAGCGACCACCGGGTTCCTAAGGACACTCGCCTGGATCAGCCGATGGGACTGGAGGCATGTTCCACTTGTAGTAGACTTCTCCTCAACCTTTTCAGCCAATCCTGCTGAGCTAGCCAAAGCAACCTCTCAAGGAATGAAGCCTGAGGATCTCGAGAGACTACAAACGCGCTTCGAAGCATGGCGACGAATCGATCCCGCGATGAATCGAGTCGTCCTTTTTGCTGCCACGAACCTTGATGAGGAAGGCACGACGTGGACAGACAAAGCACAGCCAGAAAAGGTTGTTGCTGCGCGCTTGACGGCGCTGGCGAAGGCTGCCACGCAGGCTGTTCGCGCGGACGAGGATCGTTTGTTAAGTCACATCAATGCCAAAGGTGCTGCAGGTAAGGAAGCGCTTAGTCCGGAATCGCTATTCATTACGAATGTCGAAGAGTACGATATCGTTATCACTATTAACGCGAAGCATACGCTCAAGTCGAGTAAGAAGCGCAAATCAGAACCCCACTTCAAGAATCTAGACCTGCAGAAATCGACCCGGTCTGAAGCTGCTTCTACTCCACTTCCGCAACTCTTTGCGCAAGAGCTGCTAGAGGTGTATGGTGACGCCGTACTGTGGTTCTGGGACCCTCTGAGTCTGGATAGAATTGTGGGCTTGTGGAATCCGGTGGTGACGGGACAGAGAAGTTGGAAGATCAAGGCTGGATGGAATAGTGAGCCGATCAAGAAGAAAGATGGTGTTGATATCAAAGCCAATAAGATGGCTATTGTAAATGAAATTAGGAGATTGGGTGGAGATATGATCAAGGGAATTGTGACCAAGAGGTCATCTTGAGTCGGAACTGGAGATTGGGAAGAGATCATATAGATGAGACAATAACATAATTCATGGGACTTAATCAGCTACTGCTAGCTTAAGGGATCAACTTGCCGTCCCTTAGATGATGACGAGCTACAGAGAAGACATCATTGGCGCCACCAAATTCTTGTCAGTCACCCTCCTCCAGGACTATTCATTTCTACACGTAATTTGCGTTCTTACCTGAAGATGACCACAGGCCACAAGCGCCCGCTATGGACGGCTTCGCTTTCGAGCAGAACGCGCTGATCCAGTGCAGTATGAATGAAACGTTGAGGTACCCATGTCGGGAATAGGTATTTGAATGTGATGCTGCGTTCTTATTCCAGAACTTCAATTCGAGTCTCCCCCCAGGGACGCAAAAAGTGCCGAAGAACTTGCGAGAGATTTTGTGAGCTTCGCGAATGGCATCGCACCGTGGCGGGAATTTGGCCTCAAGGGTCAAAGGTGAATGAGGGAGACGGGCTTGATGTAGCCGAGGATGTCAGGGTGTATGGACGGAATAGCGGGAGGAGGGATACGTTGTTTAGGTTGAGTAAAGAGGACAAAGAGGATTTGAATGGCTCGAGTCACGCATGGGACATGTTCATCGCAAGAAGATAAGCGTCTTGGTCTATACTCATATTAAAGGCTATATTACTTGTCATTCTTCATCACAGTTTCGCCTTCACTGCTCCCTCTTCTTTCTTCCAATCCTCAATCGCTTTCTCCGCAACTCTAAAGCCCTCAATTGCTACCATGCATCAGTATCATAGCGAAAGACTTTTTATAGCGAGAGCAACATACCAGCAGGCAGCCCAACATAAACACCAACCTGCAAAAGCGCCTCTCGAATCTCCAACTCACTCAGTCCATTCCTCAATGCGCCTCTGACATGCACACCAAGCTCGGTACTTCTATTCAGCGAGCAGAGCATGCCCAAGTTCAGCAAACTACCTGTAATCAGAACAATGCCGTCAGCGTACCTCTTCCCTACTTGTCACCAGTAAATGCAATTCGCAAAAGAGATCAATCACACACGTTGTTTCCGATCCAAGCCGGGGCGCGTCCATATCCATCCCCAGCCGACTTCGGTTACGATGTCTTGTAGTGGTTTAGAGAAGTCCGAGGAATGTCGGGCGAGGGAAGCGTCGACGTAGGTGTCGCCTGCTACAGCGCGTCGGACTGCTATTCCTTCGGAGAAAAGAGTGCGATGCGCTTCTTCGATTTTCTCCTTGGATGGCATTGTTGTGGGTGGTTAGAAATGATGAATAGATCTGAGAGAAAGCGTTGATTTAGTAATAAGGGTCGAGATGAGATCACAGCAATTGACATTAGGACTAGATTCATAGCAACGCCGTAACTAATGCCGAGCGGTTCCGCAGTTCCGAATCTTTATCGTGCTGGACGGATTTGCAAGTTTCCTCATGGCGGATATTGTGCTGCAGTACATACGGTAGTATTTGGTCTAAGGTTCAAAGCCTATAGCACGATATTTGTTTTCATCCCTCGGCCTCGAGCAAGGAACCTTCACCCCGCACTCTCGATTCGGCTTAGGGTGGGGTAACACCGGGACCTTCTCCTCACGACGAGTCGTCCTGGTAAGATGTGGGGTCCGCCGCATCTGATCCCCACAACATCGGAACGATGCCAACGAGCATGGCATGCGCAATGCTTGTCGAGCGATCTGAAGCTAGTAAAGCGGCATTTCAGCTGACTACCATATGTGTCGAGAGACCATTTCGTTCTCAACGCACAATCGCAACATCCTCATATCTCAGGGATACCGGTTTCGAGAATCAAACAGCATGTCGAAACCCGTGGCCATCGTGACTGGAGCCGGATCCGGCATTGGCGAAGCCGTCGCAATCCATCTCTACAAGAAAGGATACAAGGTCGTAGTCGCAGATTTGAACAGTACTGCGGGCGAAAATGTCGCCAGCACACTAGGCCCAGACGCGCTCTTCGTCCAGACAGATGTGTCGTCCTACCGCTCACAAGCGCAACTTCTAAAGAAGGCATATGAATGGGGTGGCAACAGAGTCGACTTCTTCCACGCCAATGCAGGGATCGATGATCGGCAAAACTTGTACGATTCCGAAGAGAAGGAAGAGTTAGATGAGGACGGCTTACTGAAACCACTGAATACAAAGACCATGGAGGTTAATCTTGAAGCAGTGATACAGGGGTTGTGGCTGTTCAAGTACTATGTGAGAAGGAGTAAGGAGGCGGGCGGCGGGAAAGGGCACTTCGTTGCGACGAGTAGTTCAGCTGGGCTATAGTATGTTCTCATACCACGTTAAGATACGACAAGAAATCTGGAGGTACTAATACCTGGTCTAGTCACATGCCCCAATGCCCGCAATACACCGCCTCCAAATACGGCGTCATCGGCCTCTGTCGCGCCGCAGGACCCGTATTCGTCAAGGAAGGCATCACTGTAAACGCCATTTGCCCGGCATTCATACCAACGAACCTCTGTCCACCAGAAGTGCTCAAGCGCTGGCCTAAAGAACATATCACGCCTTTGTCGACGGTTAACAAGGCAATTGATGCCTTCTTGGCTGATGGTACGCTGACGGGACAGGCTGTGGAACTCTCACAGGAGAATATCTACTTTAGAGAACAAGTTGATTGGCCGAATGAGAGTCAAAGGTGGATTGGGACTAAGAGTAATGAGATTTGGGATGTGGGGTATCAGGAGCCGCCGAAGAGGGAAGGATACTGAGACTTGTTCCACTAATTTAGTCAACCACTCGGACTAATTGACAATATTGAGATGAAATTCCTTGTAAGCTCCTATGCAGCCCACTAATTTTGGATAAGATTATACAGTTCGTCATGCGATTTCAGAAGTTCAGGCCTTCCCTCTCCGCCCTCTCAAATTCCCCCTTCATAACCTCAGCATGTCCTTTGCTACGCGGCCTGATATCACACTCAAAAGCCTCTGGAACGCTAAAGAAGCCGGGTAGCATCCTCGTGGTGACTTCAACTTCCTTCCCGTTCCCCTTGGCCTTCTTCTTCAAATTAAAGCCCCAGAGAACGCGCGCTACATTGATGAACAGCGAGCGCTCGGCGACATGGATGCCAGGGCATGCGCGTCTACCCGCGCCGTATGTGAAGTGGTCCCTTGAGAAGGGGTCAGAAGCGGTCATGTAGTGCGCTGCTGAGGCAGTGTGATTGAGATAGCGAGATGGGTCGAAGGAAGTAGGGTTAGGATGGAGGGTAGGGTCGTAGTGAATAGCCCTAGATACCTCGTCAGTCTTACACCCCAGACACCTGGCAAAGTGGATTTGTACTTACCACCAGTTTAGCACCGCGACTGCTCCTTTCGGTATAAAATATCCTTCATACCAGTCATCCTCGCTAGTCGCATGTGGCATCCCAAACTTATTCACCGGCCTCCACCTCAAAACTTCCTTTATCACACCTCTCACATACGGCAGATTTTCTTCGTCTTCCCATGTCGGCAGTCTCTCACCTCCCACAACCCTATCTAACTCCTCTTGAGCCTTTTTCTGCGCATTTTGGAATAGCACCATACACAGCACGAAATTGTTGAGCGTAGTACCTGTTGTTTCAGACCCAGCCTCGATGAGGCCACCGCATGTGAATGCTGCGGCTAAGTCATCGATGCCAGATTTGGCGGGGTCATTGAGGTAGAAGGTTTTGGTGAAGCAGTCTCGCGCTGTACCGGCGTCGGTCTCGCGTTTGAGACGGTTCCAGAGATCAAGATAAACGGCACTGTCTTCCTTGAAGATATTTTGGCCAAAGGTTCGCCAGTTGCCCAGCATCCACTGCGGCAGGGACGCCAGAGAGGGGAAAGAGTCGATTGCATGGGCGCCCGGAGCTCTATGATGATCTCAGTATCCAGAGCTTATGTAAAGTGCAAAGTGCAAAGTAAACTTGGACTACTTACGTCATGTCCGTAAACCGATCGAGAACACCGTATATTCTTTTGATGAGGGGATCATCAAAGCTTGGTATACGGTATCCGTACGTAACCAACATTATCACGCTAGCCGAATACCGTCGATTGATTAAGAGGAAGTCATTAGGGCTGTCCATCAGCTCCTTCAACAACACCTTACTCTCATAATCTTGCACAGGCTGGTACTTCACACTTGCCCTCAAGTTCAGTAAATCATGACTATGCTTCCTGATACTTCTCCATTTGGCGCCATACTGCATGAACAATTGTCGTCGCCCCGCAGATGCAACATCCTGAGCGAGCGGTGCGGGAGAGCGAGATGAGTAGATGGAGGAACGCTTGTCCATAAGATCTTTTACGGCTTTTGGAGAAGAAAGCCATATGTAGTCTGTGCCCCCAATCTTAGTGTAGAAGACGTCGCCATACTGTTTGTGCCATTCGATGACTTTCGCGCGCTGTGCTTCAGTGTCTGCAAAGTCAAACAAATTGCCCACGAAAGGAAGACCTTTTGGACCGGGTGGAAGTTTGCGACGTCGCGAGTCCTAGAGGATATTCAGTGCTCGCGTTCTGGGAGTCTGATAGGGCGAGTAGTCGACCCTGGTACCGAACAACGTACTCTGATGACGTTCGGTACAACGAAGAAGTAGGCTGTCAGAAACAGGAGGACTGGAGTTGAGACGAGTAACACCAGTTTTAGAACAAGCGACGTTGGCACCGGATTCTGGAAACTATTTAAGATCGCCATTCCTGACCGCGTTCATGTCTGCCCGTATTCCAGTTCAGTGTTAAAAGGCAATTTTCGAGAAAAAGTTCCTAGGTGCCGTCGATTTGAAATTAGTTATCAGTTATAGGCAGAGAGGCATTGCTTAGCACGCGATGTGTGTTCAAACTATGTACTGCACAAATTTGGGGTAGTGCTAGCATGTGCAGCCCCAACGGCTTCCCCGCAAGCGGTGAATGCGCCCCACATTACGCTAATGCTGTACTTCGGTACTTTGACGAACTTCACTCCTGTTGAAGGAAACTTGTCCTGGTACGGCAGGCAGTACCCAGGAGGTAAATAATATTGCTACCTCTGAACATTCAATCGCATGCCATGCCGTTAGAGCGCGACCGCGAAGGCCGAACCTATGTCGTGCACCCCAACAACCAACGCACTCACTATATCTGCAACGACTTCACGGATCACTGGAAACCTCGAGAGACGATTCTGATACAGCACGGCTTTGGGAGACATGCCGAATTCTGGGATCATTGGATTCCCGCTCTGTCACGAAAGTATCGAGTAATTAGACGAGATCTTCGAGGTCATGGGCACTCCAGCTATCCATCACCAGCAGAAAAAAGCAGGTATGAATACACGTTAGATACGATACTCGGGGAGATAGTCGACACACTCGATCAGCTTGGGGTTGAGAAAGTCCATTTCCTCGGCGAATCGACCGGCGGAATGCTGGGCGAGGCACTTGCGGCGAAACATCCTGAGAAGTTGCTGAGCTTGACAGTGTGCTCAACACCGACGCATCTTCCTCCAACAGCGCTAAAGCTCTTCGCTTTCAATAAGAAGAATTGGGCGACCGCATGTCGAGAACTCGGCTCGAGAGGCTGGGCGGAAGCGCTTTCCCGCATTCCGGGAACAATCCCTATTTCAGATCCTGAATATCTTACTTGGTACTTGAGCCAGATCGCAATCAGCGATGGCGAAGGGCTGGCGCAATATGCAGAATTCTTGAGTACGCTTGATGCGCGGCCATTTCTTGACAAGATTAAGATTCCAACGTTCATCCTGGCGCCGACACAAAGTGCTGCGGTGACAGTCGAGGGGCAGAAGAAACTAGAAGAGAGCATCGCAGGGAGCAGGCTTGTGTTTGTTGAAGGAGGCGGGCATGAAATTTACGTCACGCAGGCCGAAAAGTGCCAGGAATATTTTCTTGAGTTTTTGGGCTCACTGAGCTCTGTCCGTAGCGTAAATTGACCGGTTGACCTAGGACTATGCGTTCCGCTGACGAAGTCTTGCTCGTCGAGCGTGTCTTTGCTCGCCGCTTTGAGCATCCCATGTCGTGCCAACCGTCCTCGTATTTGCTTTCTTGATTTGCGAGCGGTTGACGCTTGGAGAAAACCGCGGGAGTTTGAAAAATCGCGACTCGAAACACTTGTAGCATCTACGTACAAATTCGAAAGCTGGGTTGCGCCGATGAGCGCGTAGATGAGAGGTGTGGCGTCTTCTTCCAGGTGGTGATGTCTAAGGCTAATGTGTTGACCAACGAGCGCGTCGCGCCACCACGCTAGCACGTGTTCATGACCCCAACTCACCGCAAGGTTTGTCAAGAGTGAGTGACATGTGATGCATAAATCAGAGGATTATCACGTCAACACGTATTGTTAATGCATAGAGAGCATAATTTTTTTCCGGTCCCGGTTCGTTCCTCTAGCTTCGCGAAGAACTAAGTTACCCCGCCTCTCTTCCAAGGTCCCACACACTGCACCCAGTCAATTCATCTTACATTATGGTGTGGTATACTCGTTTTCAGATATGAAGCCCGTGAAATGTGTTGGCGTGGAGATGACTTGCCACGTCTTCCGACTATAGTGATTCCGAGGTCTCTCCCTACAACAGAACGACGAGTGCCGATCGGAGTACCATTTTTAGAGAGAGAACGCACTATATTCGTATTCGACACCGCTTCTTCGCCTTAGATCCTTTCGGGGGCTCCTTCTTATGTTTTTAGTTGTGACCGCGGGATTCGGCGATCGAAAATAATAAAATGTACAAAACATTATGGAGATACCAAGTTCGAAAGACCCCATCCCTCTGACGAGTCCATTTAATACGTCCAGGGCCATTTGACGATATTATACTGGAGGTGGGCCACGACCTATTAGGTCAACCAATCGTATAGTTGCTCAAACCCTCATTCAACAACACAACGTGCCACTGGTGGACCTGAGAGTCATCGACTGCATGACAATGCGACATATCTATAAATTTCTGGTGATATATGTAAGCATCCCCTCGCTACGTGGTATCGGGATATACTGCCTCTTTTTAGATATGCTATGACATGATGGGGGGAAGGGCTAGTGTCTAAAACCGGAGGGAAAGGATTAAGATACGTCTCCAGTATACAACTCCTGCTCCTAATATACTGAGCACGATTCCCTCCTTCGAAAACCTTTCCGAGCACTAGAACATTCAATACACAGTTCATTCATAAGACGCTATAGCCACAACTACCCAGAGGGCACCTACAACGGCAGGATCTATGCCAGTCAATCGTAGCACAATGCCAGACAACGATTTAGAAATCGAAATGGAGTCTAGCTTGAGATGGAATCAAGTAACAGAAAATGAATCTTCGCTACCGCCCCCGGATGGAGGGAAAGATGCTTGGTTGTTCTTGGCCGCTGGATTCGTTATTGAGATCATGGTCTGGGGTACGTGCCGAGTTCATTACAACACCTTTCGTGCGATTTGGTATTACTAGATCTAGGGCATTGCGAAGTTGACGCCAGCCAGGTTTCCCTTGGTCCTATGGCATCTTTCAAGACTATTACAGTACCAGTCTACCCTTTGCCGGCTCTTCCGGTATCCCAGCAATCGGCACCTCTGCCATGGGGATTCTATACATGGCAGCACCAATCACATTTGGTTCGGTTATAAGATATCCGCAGTATAAGCGCCCGGCCATAGTAGTTGGTTTGCTAACTATGTGCCTGTCACTGGCGTTGAGTTCGCTGTGCACAACAGTACCGCAGCTAGTTATGACGCAAGGGATTCTCTACGGAATCGGCGGGGCAGTGACATATAGTCCCGTGGTACAGTTCCTGGATGAATGGTTTGTAAGAAGAAAGGGACTGGCTTTTGGGATCATGTGGGCTGGGACAGGTGTTGGAGGCGTCATAACACCTCTCCTGCTCGAATTCCTTTTGCACAAGTACGGCTTCCGCAATGCGCTCCGCATATGGACAATCTTAGTTTTCGTGATTAGCTTGCCTCTAACCTGGTTTCTCAAGCCACGCCTCCCCGTACCATCGACAAACCGTGCCCGACTGGGATTCACCTTCCTTACAGACAGATCGTTCTGGATCTTCCAACTCGGTAGTATCTTTCAAAGCCTTGGTTTCTTCGTCCCGTCTATCTACCTTCCTACCTATGCAAAGCAACTCGGCTTCGACAGCACCGTCTCAGCTCTCACAATCGTGCTCATCAACGTCGCTACAGTCTTCGGATCCATTGGAATGGGAAGCGTTATTGACAGATGGCCCGTCACTACTGGGATTTTGATCTCTACAACTGGTGCGGTACTGTCCGTCTTCCTCATTTGGGGCTTCAGTACTACTCTCCCTCCACTTCTTATCTTCTCATTCAGCTACGGCCTCTTTGCAGGCTCGTTCACCAATACCTGGCCAGGTATCCTGAGAACGGTTCAAAAGAACACAGGGCAAATGGAAGGCCCGATGGTGTTCTCAATCTTGTCACTTGGACGAGGAATCGGAAACGTAATCTCAGGCCCCTTAAGCGAAGCGCTGATCAAGCTGGGAACTATCGGTGGGCTGGGTTTTTATGGGACGCATTACGGAAGCTTGGTGATATTCACGGGAATAACTGCCGCATTTGGAGGGATAGGAGTGTTCGGAAAAAGGACGGGATGGCTTTAAGACACAAACTGATCAGCGGGTGGCACTTAACAATCAAACCAGATCAGCTTTGGTGGCAGTTCGCAAAAAACAGACGGATTTGTTACAACGTAGCCTGGACGCAGATCGTATTCCCCCGTAATAAACATGTAGGTAATACGCTAGCACGTTACGATCTGCTTACTGGAGTTAGGTGTTGCGCGCTACAGCTATTCTAAGTTTACTAGAGAATGATGCACTGAAGTTCAGGAAGATGGCAGAGTGGAGGTAATAGGTAAAAGCACTAAGCATCTGAGATGTTAAAAAGAAGACAGAAATATACAAGATGCTTGTTGCAAGTGCTTGTTTTCCATAGGTGAAAGGACACCCAAAATTGCCTGCAAAAAAGAAAAAAAAAGCATAAAAGGAAAAAAAAACGGGAAACCTGCGAAACCCCGATTCGACTCTGCGTTTGCTTAACAGCGAAATAATACTCGTATCTGCAGGCCAGGAATACTATTCGCAGAGACGTTGTGTGTTGTCGTATTGTTGATGGAATTACCTGGTATAGTTTAATATATATACACTACTAATCATGTAGGACTTGTTTGTATGAAGCCACAGGTGGGAGCCCGGAGGTGAAGGACGAGTGGATTTTGAATATGTATTTGTGGGCATTTTCGCTAACACATGGATTTCAGAGTACTCTGTTTCACCGTGCGCCTTGCACGCGCTCTTGTTACTTGATCGCGGTGGATATGTGCACTTGAGAGCCCTTAGTGAATGGTAGGTCGCGTAGACTTTCGCTCCACGAAGCCACTGACAACATCCTTGTCGACATGTTCATTCTCGCCTTTCCTATTCTACTCGTGCTCTTTGAGCCTGTTTTTCATAAGGGTGTCTGCCATCTCCTCCTGTAGTGTTTGCTGTTGGCTTCGTTCTGTTTGCACGTCTAGGGCGGCTGATTACGACTTGAGTGCGCGCCTCAGCATAAAACACTCAATAAGATTTCTACCTCCTTTCTTTGCTTCTTTGCTTCTAATGTGAACTTTAGCCGCTCACAGAGCCCAATTCCAGTCTCAGCATGCTCAGTAGTTGGTGCAAATTGCGGTCATGGCCATTTTCTCTCTTCACCTTCACCGGCCTCCAAAGTGAAAGAGAAAAAAACAACGTGCAAACGCACAAATTTCTTACCGAACTTCCCACAAAGCACGATTTCAATAATCCATACTCTCTAAGCTGGTTACACCCTCCCAATTGTGCAACTAACCCCCCTCTTCTTCTATTCACGAGCGGCATCCCTTCCACACCACAAACCTCATCGACTTCACCGCACGATGGCTCCATACACACCCGCGTACCTCTGGCTCAATGAGTCCTCAGATTCCTGCTCCGACGGTGAAGACGTACCTCATGAGCACACTCCCCTCGGTCGAGCCGCAAAGGAAACACTCGCGAAGCTGAAAGAGCGCACCCCAGCACACATTCGGGAAGTACGCTACTACTGGTACGATCTGGAGGAGTGCAAGTACAAGAACGTTCCCAAGGACATCGACTGCAACGACATGTTTCGGAACGTTGGCATCCTTATTACTATGCCAGATAGCTTGGCGCAAGAGATTCTTGATAGAGTGACCGGCAAAGCGGATCAGAAGAAGCTGAAGAGCGACTTTGCAAAGATGATGGCAGAGAAATTGAGTGGGCGGCCGGAGAAGTACTTGGATCAAGTGACAACCTACTGGCATATATTGAAGACAAAGAGGAACGGGGACGACAAGGAGAAAATAAGGATGTTCAAGGACATTGGCTTGTTGCTGCAGATTCCCGATCAAGAAGTCCATGAGATGATTTGGATACTGTTGAATATGATAGAGAAGGGAGAGATTGCAGAAGAGGAGGGTCAGCGAATCCATGGTACAGGACCGGCTGTTACCCCTCGAGTCGACAAGTATCCCAAGGGTATACGCCCGCGTCATCGTCATCCAAAGCTCCCAGAGACACTCTCACTCGAAGCCAACCCCGCTGTCCATCCAGGACTGAAGCGCCCAGCGTCCGAAGATGGAGGAGATGAGCAGCCTACTCAGAAGAAGGCTCGATGGAGGAATGAGTTTAAGCCTTTCGCCCCAAAGCCTGGCAACTGGAAGTGCGGGCTATGTGGCTATTGGAACTTTCGGGATGAATGCCAGCGGAGGCGTAAGGACAAGGAGTTGGTATGTGGGGGTAGGCGCCTGGCGGATACAATGATAGTAAAGAAGTAAGAGTAGTAGCAGTCAAGCTACTGTATAGAGCTCAATAGTAGTTCACAACATAGTCAAATGAAACCTTTCGATGAGCTAGGAGCTCTTCAACAGTTCTGTGACCGACGAAAGACGGGCAATAAGCCATCGAAGTCAAACACGGTACCTTCTAACATCCCTATGTGCAGCCTCTCGCTCAGGTGTAGTCGCGCAAAACAAATCAGACAGCTTTCTAATACGTGAATTGATCAAGGCAATAACACGTAACACTCATCCAAAATTACTACAGACGTTCTCACTAAACAATGCGCCACCTAGGCAGAAGATACCAGCTGAATGCGAGGGGATAGACGGCACCAAAGAAAGCTCGAGTGAAGGACGGCAGTTATGACCAGATGGTGGCTCATGGCAGCGCGCGTTTTGTAGGTATTAGAGCGAAGACACTCAGCCTGAGTGTATGCGGAGGAATGGAGAGGGTAGGAAGGGGCCGAGCGGATGCGGTGAAGGTCCAGAACTGAGGTGGTATGTATATGGTGTCTTCTAGGTGTACAATAGTGGAATAGAGAATAAGAATCAAATAGAAACAGCTTGAGAGCCTCCGGGATACGTTATGATGACTCCGACTCTTGATTTCCCTTCATAAGTTCAGCATATGCTCGAGGCTGAGCATGATCTCCTGAGGTCCCATATACAGCATAACCCGCATATGTACATAGCCCAAGATGACATCTGCTACCCTTAGTCTCAACATCCCAACCGCTCTCTGATCCTGAGGTCTTGCAGTCTTTGGTAATATGAAGCAATGCGCATTCTCACCTTAGACTTCAAGCCGCTCGCTGCGTCTGTAGCTGTAAGAAGCAGGTACTCTCGTCCACTTTAGAAATCGCTTGAGTGACTGAAGCGTACAGGCATCAATGAGAAAAACGAGCTTGAAACGCGAATTTGTTGTAACCTGCCACAGTGCACTATTAAAGATCTAATAAAACTATGAAAGCCACTGAAGGTGTTCAGAGGCTAGTACTCTTAGACCAATATCTCCTATGTCCCCCTGCATCTTGACTGAGAAAGTGAATGTATGTAATTTTTTCAAAGATGCCGAAGAAAATACAGACGTGGCCAGAAGAAAGGAGAGACATGGTGATTTTCAGATCCAAGGGGAAATATGTTGTGCCCGAACCATTTATCTGGACAAGAGCGGCCAGTCTTTTGACTCTACGCATTCAAGCTGGCACAAGCTTCCCTGAAGCTTCCCATATACCCAGATTCGGTAGTTTGAAGCGGTGCTTCGCCATGAGGGTGCAAGCGCGTAGCGTGTATGAGACGACTCGTGCGGTCATGTGGCAGCTCGGGGGTTGGCCTAGTTGCACGAAACTTTGATGCTTGGAGCTGAAAGCGAAAAAACCGTGCGATATCTAGGTTCCACAAGGTGGTGTCTTCGTAAGCGGATATGACACCGGGCAGTTACCACTATATCGAATTAACGTGAGCTCCTAGCCATCATGTCCGACGGATACGCACCATTAAGATCCCTGGGCGAGGGCTAGGTCTAATGCGTCCATGCAATCGACAGACATGTGACCTGGAATGGATCAACCTTGGTCCAGCTGGTCTTTCAACCCGGCATACTCTGGTCTCCATCTCCGTCCTCTGCCTCTGCGGATGTGCGGCCTAGTTCCCTTAAGGAAGCTTTCAATCGCGCAATGCGTGCTTCGAGGTCCTCGATCTCGTCCTCCTGGTCCTCACATGTTCTGTCAATGTCCGGCAGGGCCACGACGGCGCGTCTTGCCTTCTGGATCTTGAGGCGGATGTCGTTCGCAGCCGTGGCGACATGCTGTATCTCAAGCGGGCCCTCTGTGGAAGGGTGGGGTGGAGTGGGCGTAGCGGTCGGCAGCTGAGCGGACGTATCGAGAAGACGTTTGAGGAGCTTGTGAAGGTCGGGGAGGATATCGAAGGTCGACGGCGGAGGGAGGCCTGGCGTGGTTGGCGCTGGGGGTGGTAGAGCTGGTGTCGCAGAGCCCGTGGGTGGGAGTGAGGCTCGCGCCGAGGTAGGCGCGTGGGGTGTCGCGGCCCCGGACATGGTGTCTGCTCGACTATCTCAAAACAAAATAATCGGGAGAGCAAGCTTGGTGTTGATCGTGTCGGCGTGGCGTGGGATGACGCGCTGCTGCAACGGGTAGGGCTGAGAGAGAGGCGCTTGATTGGACTGCGAGCCGTGTGTACGACTTGGGTGCTGGCGGGCGCAGGTTGGAATCGCGTGTCAATTGGATCGCCAGATGAGGGATTTGCCTATTCGTAAGCTGGCATCTGTCCCGGCCGCGGCGGGTGGGGAAGGCAGTGGGTTGTTGAGGCAGGCTTTTCGAGTCTCACATGTTGTCTGGCGATGCTTTTCATCCTTGGAACAGCCCACCCATAATTAGCCCCGCTATACCAGACCCTGCTGCCCCTCCATCGACAGCTATTTCACTGCCAATTTTAAGCCTCCTCCCCGACGGTCCTAAACATCTACAGCCTGAATTCCTCCTCGGGCTTTTTCTTCCTCCTACTAGATTCCCCCCCAATTGCCCTGTAGTCATGGCGAAGGTCGACCAGAAGGCAGTCCTCATCGTCATCGACGGCTGGGGCGTTGGCTCCGAGCAGTCGCGCAAAGATGGCAATGCCATCCTCGCCGCGGACACACCGACCATGGACGAGTTCGCAAAGAATGGCTCCAAGACAGCCCAAGGATACACCGAGCTAGAAGCGTCTTCTCTCGCTGTCGGCCTTCCCGAAGGCTTGATGGGCAACAGCGAGGTCGGCCACTTGAACATCGGCGCTGGCCGCGTCGTGTGGCAGGACTCGGTCCGCATCGAGCAGACGATCAAGAACAACAAGTTAAAGGACGTCGAAACCATCAAGAAGTCCTTCCAGCGCGCAATCGACGGAAATGGAAGGCTTCACTTTTGCGGCCTCGTCTCCGACGGTGGTGTTCACTCGCACATGGATCATCTAATTGCGCTCCTCAAGGTTGCAAAGGCTCAAGGTGTTCCAAAGGCCTACATCCACTTCTTCGGTGACGGTCGCGACACTGATCCCAAGTCCGCCGTCGGCTACATGGAAACCGTGTTGAAGGCTACCAAGGAGATTGGACTAGGAGATATCGCTACAGTGGTCGGCCGCTACTACATCATGGACCGCGATAAGAGGTGGGACAGGGTCGAGATCGGTATGAAGGGACTGGTGACCGGAGAGGGAGAAGATAGCAGCGATCCCGTAGCAACCATCAAGGAGAGATACGCAAAGAACGAAAACGATGAGTTCTTGAAGCCTATCATTGTGGGTGGAAAGGAGCGAAGGATACAAGGTAAGTCCATCTTCCAGGCATCTCCATGTCTGCTTGCTGATTCGTGCAGACAACGACACTGTTTTCTTCTTCAACTACCGCTCCGACCGTGTTCGCGAGATCACCCAGCTGTTGGGCGACGTCGACCGCTCACCCAATCCCGATTTCCCATACCCCAAGAACATCGACCTCACTACCATGACATCATACAACCCCAAATACACCTTCAATGTTGCATTTGAGCCCCAACGCATGACCGATGTCCTTGCGGAAACACTGGGAAAACAAGGTGTTAAGCAGTGCCACGTCGCAGAGACGGAAAAGTATGCTCACGTCACCTTCTTCTTCAACGGTGGTGTCGAGAAGCAGTTTGAGAACGAAGAGCGTGAGATGGTCCCATCACCCAGGGTGGCCACGTACGATCTACAGCCAACAATGAGCGCCATGGCCGTCGCAGATAAATTGTGTGAGAGGATCCAGACTGGCAAATTCGAGTTCTTGATGAACAACTTTGCGCCACCAGACATGGTTGGTCACACTGGTGTCTACAAGGCTGCCATTGAAGCCTGCGCAGAGACCGACAGGGCTATCAAGAAAGTATACGAGCAGTGCAAGCAGAGCGGATACGTTCTCTTTGTCACTTCTGATCACGGGCAAGTCAAACATCTGGGGAGATACACACGAACAGGAAGCTAACAGCCTACCAGGAACGCCGAAGAGATGCTCACAGAGGAGGGCACGCCCAAGACCTCGCACACTACTAATAAAGTCCCCTTCGTCATGGCCAATGCACCTAAGTCCTGGAGCCTAAAGAAGACCAGCGGTGTTCTTGGAGACGTCGCACCCACCGTGCTTGCTACCATGGGACTCTCACAGCCCGGGGACATGGACGGCCACAGCTTGCTCGTCAAATCATGAGTCGCTGACTGTGATTCGAGATAGTTTTCCTGCTTCCCGTTTCTTGTTCGATTCTGGGATGCGTTGAACATGACTGAACGTTATAATGTAGGTATAGAATTTCATATAGAGATTTCAAACGGCAGAATATTAAAGTTTGATCACGTCATGATTCTTTCTCACCCTGTAGTGACATGAACTAAAAACGAGATCAATCAAAGTCTCACGGCAATAGTCAAATAGACCTGTGATTACCAAGTGATACTGTAGTGACATTATGAGTAGCCAGGCTGGGGCTACTATCGATATCTTTCGTAGAACTATGCCTTACCAATCAATACTAGGGTCATCTTGGCAGCTGACAGGGGTGGTTGACCGGCGGAGATTCCACCCCTCCAGCGAACAGCGGCCCTCAAAGCACGACGGTTTTGGTTTCTCTCCCAGCGGCAGTCTGACATTATACGAACATCTTTTCAAGTTTATACTTCCTGACTTCTTGCGTCAGCCTGCTATTTCTAGTCCTCACGCTTCGGTTGCCGTTACCCCACTACAGCACACCGTGAGGCTATCTCGCGATATCTCCGCATCTGACACCCACTTGTACGCTTCGATGAACTTCGCTCTCGCTACGTCGAGATTCACACCTCATTCGTAAAGGACGAAGTATCACGCGATACTCGTTCACCGGAAAGACAACGCACGCATCCAGCCTGTGACCTCAGCTGCGAACATCCAGCCTGAGACATCGGCCCCCATTGTACCCTTTCGCGGCCTCACGCGACTTTTATTCGCATAAAGCTCACCTCCAACCACCTTGCGTCGAATACTGTGCTGTTTCCAACAGAATAGCACTTTCCTAGAAGTCGAAGATGGCCTCCAACGGCGGCTCCGGTGCGCATACGCCGCAAACACAAGCTCAGGTACAACCGTGTCGGTATAAGACAGGGAAGACGCTGGGTGCGGGTAGCTACTCGGTAGTCAAAGAGTGCGTACATATCGACACAGGCAGATATTATGCCGCGAAGGTCATCAACAAGCGGCTCATGGCTGGCCGAGAACATATGGTCAGTTCTACTACAGACGAAAGTCTGAGGCTAGGCTGATAGACATCAGGTCAGAAATGAGATCGCAGTACTGAAAAGAGTCTCTATGGGACATAGGAACATTCTGACTCTTGTGGATTACTTCGAGACCATGAACAACCGTACGCGTTCTACTCGACACTGTAGTGGGCATAGCTGATCTGGCGTGCAGTTTACCTCGTTACCGATCTCGCTCTTGGGGGCGAGCTTTTTGACCGCATTTGCCGTAAAGGCAACTACTACGAATCCGACGCCGGTGATCTCATCCGAGCTACACTCTCCGCTGTCGCATACCTACATGATCACGGCATCGTACATCGTGATCTGAAGCCCGAGAACCTCCTTTTCAGAACACCAGAGGATAATGCTGATTTGCTGATTGCCGACTTTGGATTGTCTCGGATCATGGACGAAGAGCAATTCCATGTTTTAACAACAACGTGCGGAACACCAGGCTACATGGCGCCCGAAATCTTTAGGAAAACCGGTCATGGCAAGCCAGTGTAAGGCAAACACATGCATTCTAGGACGCAGCTAACTCATTCCCCAGTGATATCTGGGCCATTGGCGTAATCACATACTTTCTGCTGTGCGGCTACACTCCTTTCGACCGAGATTCGAATCTCGAAGAAATGCAAGCCATCCTCGTTGCCGACTATTCTTTCACACCACTCGAATACTGGCGAGGTGTCTCCCTTACTGCACGCGAGTTTATTCGCCGCTGTTTGACTGTCGATCCTTCTTCGCGCATGACTGCCCATGAAGCACTCTCACACCCTTGGATCACCGAGCTTGGCAAGAACGCTCCCGACGGCGAAGAAGATTTGCTGCCAACCGTGAAGAAGAACTTCAATGCCAGACGAACACTGCACGCGGCGATCGACACTATCCGTGCCATCAATCAACTGAGAGCGGGAGGTGCCGCGGGCATGATGGACGGCGTGAGATCCGGTGAACCACGACGAGGCGCGCCACCTGCCAACATTCCGCAACCGGCGGAAGATGAAGATCCTATGGAGATTGATAGTAGGGGGAACGGACATGGTCAGACTGAGGAGATGATTAGGGAACAAGAGAGGAGGATTCGCGACATACAGCAAGGCATGTGGGGCAAGAGATGAAGATATGATTTCGACACGGTCGCAGCTTCACGACATCCGCACATGGTTCTGATTTTCGTACAATCTGGTTGTCTACAATGGGTCGAAGTGTTGTTAGCAGTTCATATTGGTGTGCATTAGATGGAGGCCGGACCTTTCCTATATACCTGGCTGTGCTTTCGTTCTGGATATCTGCGGGTCAGAGTCAGATGTGGATATTGTGAGTACAAACGTTTGAAGGCAGCCCCGAGCCCGGGAATTCATCATTTTTCAACGCTGTAGGCGTTGCGCAACCATCATAGTCTACCATGATTGACTTTGTGGTTCATTGCAGTCGCCGCTGTCTATGTGCTCGACATGACTGTCGGTGGGGTCTGATGTTCTTGGGAATCATGAAGTGTGGTCCAGCTGCTATCACGACATGATGTCCATTCTCGCAGTGAATTAGACTTACCTCTAGCGCATAGAGTTCAGGTAACCTATGGGAACCCCTCTCAACAGAGATTCACCCGCGGTCTACCCTATTTGACGCATCAACTTACATCACTACTGCCAACATTAGACATTGGCCTTGTGTTACCTTTACCTGGCCGCCGCCGCTGTACCGCACCTTTACTTAACCAGCCTCACAATCAACCAAGTCTCTCAACCACATGTCAGTTTCAGATCTACTCGACTCCATCCGCGGGCCGGTATACCGCCGTGTCGACTCGGAACTTTCATCCTCTACACAAGGCCAAATGCCTATTCCTGTCGGCACCGTGCGACATCGTTGTCGAGCCTTCGAGCGCCGTATCGCCGCGCACCAAAATGAGCGCAATAACATCCTCATCGATCGCGCTCTACGCAACGCTGATGAGTTGGTACAACAGAACCGCACATATGCTGAGCAACTGCGCGTTGTGGAGTGCTTCACTCTATTAAATCTGCCTCCGGATCTCATAGACTTCATCCGCGACCATGATAATCTTTACCGCGCAGCAGTCCGAAGCCATCGACTTGCTCGCACTGCTGTTTCGAGCTCGAACATGGATGTTTTCACTCGCGTAGCGCATCGAATTGTCCACTTGGGGAATGTGTATCATCTGAAACTCGTGCACGGAACTCGAACGCCTGCTGAGCGAGTGAAGATTATAGGGGATATTCAATATGAGCGAGTTATCCGAGAGTGTACTGCTGCGCTGACGGATGAGATAGCCCGGATTCTCACTCGTCTGGAAGTCCTCCTGCCAAACACCCAGATTGATGTCGAGCTGGAGAATGTCGGTCCGGATCACAGTGTCGACGACTTCGGACGAGAGGTTTTGCAGCAGATCAAGTTCTTCGCTGATACCGATGCGGACGCAAACGATCATGCGGTTCGTTGCTGCATCTGTCTAGATGGGTATGATGCGAAGACCCATACTGGCTTCCTGGTCGCTCAGTGTGGTCACATCATCGGCAAACCGTGTCTCTCCACTTGGCTGAATAGTATTGCAAAGAACAGCAATCTCTGTCCTTGCTGTCGCACTCGGCTCTGTGAGCGCCGGCATCGTCGGCCAAAGCCCCTTGGGCATCCAGCCCTGAGTGCTGAGCAGCAAGACCTCGCTAGCCGTTTGAACCGTGCGTTGGGTTTGATGGAGGACACCAGCACGCTGACTGATGTAATGTTTGCGGATAGGGTGGTTGATGGGCAGTGGTTTGAGGACGCGATGGTAGAGTTGAACCGGATGTTGTTTGAGAACGGTGTTAATCTTGGGTTCATGAGGGACGGGTTTGAGGGGCTTGGGTGGAGGTTGTGGAGGTTGGATTGGGCGAGCGAAATGTTACTGGCGTAGATGAAGGCGATGATGGTTTGGGGTGAGGAGATGGGTAGATGAGGGCCTCCAGTGCAACCCGTCATAGCGCGTGTCTATTGGGATCCCGTGAGATTTACATCGCGAAGCTAAGAGTGATACTGGCACGGGTCCATGCGTTGGTGGGGAACAGGCCTTTGGCAGGAAATACGACGTTATGTTGACAATAAATTTGATCTCTGGCAGGCTGATTATTGTCCTGTCGGAGCGGAGGTACCCTGAACCCTTTCGCCTTTAGGGCGCGGAAGATGTTGACGAATCAGAAGCAGTAAAATCTCGCCGAGGTTTTAGATGGCAGCGTTTTGTCAATTAAGGGTGGAAAACACCTCATAAAGTCGGTATCAGACCTCAGACGAAGTTCAGTTTATGAACCCAATTTATGAAATGACACAAGCTGTTGTAATCGATAGCTAACGACGACGTTCATCTGGTGTGTATGGGACTAACATTATAAACCGCCAAACGGAACATAAGAGGATTTTCAAAGCGGCTACGCCCTAGTTGAGCTATCCGATTCGTCCAGCTTGAAAACGGGGACATAAAACCTTAAAAGCCGCCTATAGGTCTATGCTTTTAGAAGTAGCGGGCCTGGATGATATACCGGCACAATATCCGGCAATTGGAGGCACAAGGCTACGGCGGGCTGCGCGAACCTAGGCAATAGAAATATTGCATAGCTATCTAGGCACGCAGCCAGTATACCAAAAGTATTTTCCAAATAATTAGAATGCCGCCTGCAGTTTAATGTTCTTTGCAAGGGTCCTAGCGGTTCTACTAGTTGACTACCGAAGTGCAAAAAAGATGGCTAATGCCTGGTGTTGAGCTCTCCAACAGGGAATCGACTGCGCGTGTGTTAGAACTGAATTGGTTGGGAACGGACGGCAATGCTTACACCCTGGCCTCCCGCGCTTGTTACCGCGTTGAACGACTGACAAGCGGAAATCCTGACCACTGCAAATTGTTAGACATCGAAGAATATTCTAACGTTGTTGTAATGACTAACCTAGACCATTGAAGATGTCGCTGACATAAGCGAATGGCTTTTGCTTGATGAAGTAGAGGTAAATTCTTTAGATTATGTTCTTGCGTCGTGAAACAGAGCCCGAGGAAACTGTTAGGTCCCGGATCACGGTGGAATGACGGCTTTGTTTAGTAATCTTGAATGCGGGGCGTGTGACGCATTATGCGGAAGCGAAGCATAAAGTTTGACGAATCAAAGAGCTTTCAGGGACAGACTAAAGAGGGGATTGTTTGCTAATAATACATCTTCCCCTTATCCCAACACGGAAGGGTGCACCCCTCAAAATGTTCGTTTATACCGCTTGAGAAATCGATAGGGATATAGGGCAAGAAATTAACATGATTTAAAGATGGACTATGCGGCTTACAATTACTCCAGATTTGAAAATTTTCGGGATGACGGCGAATGATTCGCCGAGCGTTCCTTCATTATTTTGTTGGAGACACGCCTTGACCAGCTTTACTTTATTCCCAAAAACAAAGTGCCGCTAAACAGCTCAATAGAGAACATCCTGGCGATGCAGCAAAGGCAAATTATGCAGCGACAGTCTGCGCGCCTGAAAGATTGTCTCGCTATACTTTGAAATTACCGATGTAGCCCTCACAACTAGCGATGGCTCAACAGGTAGTCCTGGGGCAATAGGCGCTTCTTAAACCTTTCTTTCCCACACCGATATAGGCCGCTAAGTCCAACCACATATCACATATCACCTGTCATCGAAATTGTACATTTCCACCCCCGATTGCCATTTTCTCTCTCCCGTCCGTGGGAACGAGCCAGGTTCGCTCTGCAACAACATCGTCCCGGAAAGTGCAAATATTCTCGCTCTCCTGTAGAGACTGTAGCCTAGTCTTGATTTATTTTATCTTAGAAAGGCTTTTATGAAAACTCATACAATAAAGATAAGAAGGTAGATATTTCAAGCACAATCTGTTATCTCCATCATAGATGTCGTGTCCAACAAGCTTTGGTTGGGGTCTTTCATTGTCTCACACCACAAACAACATGCGGTTCAACCGTGGAGAGTAGGGTAGATAAGGCCCCCAAATATTTTCTTCATCACGGGCAACAGCTAGTTAGTCTACTTTGTCTGCTTCTATCCTGTCCTTTGTCGACATGACATTGCAGTCCAAATATACCGATCCCCGCAACGAGGGTTCATCTCAGCCATGGGCCGTCACTGGGGTTTCAGGGTCAGTCTCGCAGTCTCTCCGAAAAGAAGCTGAAATAATACTAAACAGGCATCGCCGCACAATGATGAGTCGGAGTGAGGATACCTTTCAGTACATCAACTCCGCCCCCAGCCTTGATTCAGACGAACAATTCAGCACTATTCCGCAGCTAAGGAGGGGGTTTTTCAAGATCATTGTAGAGCGATTGAAGGAGCGCAACATCACATCACCCCTACTGACGGAAGCTTCGTTAGCTTGGTGCCTGCCAACGTCGTAAGTCTCACATTCTTCGATAAATGTGTTATCGTTCCCCTCTGAATTAAATAGCACCGATCAAGAGTCTATTTGGCGACTTCTGCTTGAAGACTCTCTTTCCGTTCCCACCTACATGATCGATGCGCTTCTGAACCTTGAACCTTCCACGCCTAACAGTAAGGTCACCGGTCCTAATGTCATTCCGTTTTATATCAGATCATTCAACATACAGACAGCCGATCTTCGAGAGATTTTGCGTGAACTGTTAGATGATGGCTACGACCTGATGGGCAGAGTTTTCCTGTGGCTCCAGAGAATGGATAACGAGGACGACAACGCTTATGTGATCTTGCGATATTGCGGGCAAACCAAGAACCGACCGTGGGACCGCCATGTCTCTGATACGTACTCCACATCACTCAGCGGTCTTTTCGATCACTTTCTCAAGAAGCTCGGACAACGATGTTGCGCGGTCCTAACAGAGGCACTTGTTCAAGTCGTTGTTGATGCAAGCACTGAGCTGCACTTGCCCGTTGCGCAGTTAAACCTTCGTGAGCAAGTGTTGATCGCTATATTCGGCGATGGGGTCCTGAATCTTCAGTCTGGTGGAAAGGACTTTATGGGGTTTAACGACGAGGATCAAGTCGCCTTTGTGAGCATTCAATCGGATACAATACGCCTACTTCAGCAGCATGCCCGGCCTTGCTCTCAGGCCATGAAGGACGGTATATCACAGTACGCCTCCGAGGTTAGAAAGTACGTTGAGGCAAACCCATCAACAAGAGGAGATGAGAAGCGCCCCTTTACAGAAAAGGTCGAGAACATGATTCAAAGGCAAGTGACTCCTAGTGTACTTGCCTCGGCGTCTGCTATCATGGTCACTCTTGGGTCCGATATTGGCGAGAAGCATGAGGATGAAGAAGATACGTTCTTTGAAGCAGGTGGTCGAGCAGCTGAGGCTGCGACTGCTTGCTACAACTATTTCTCAACTTGGGAGCGCGGATTAGGGCTTCCACTAGACGTCAACTCGACAAAGCAACTTGTGCAACACAATAATCTGCCGTTTGTCGATATGTTCCCTTGGTTCACTAAGAACGAGAAAGACTATTCTGCTGCCAGAAAACTCTTTGTTAATTACCATCCTCTCCCAGCAAAAGTCGTATTCTTTATTCTAAATTGCAGGCACTGTAACTCCTCTAAGATGGTGCATATACGAACTTAGAGGAATCTCGTCTGGGGAACTTCGGTTTCGCACTCTGGCTTGACTTAAGGCTACTAAGACCAGGTTAAGGCCTAAGAGGTGCGAGGTCTTGCTAGAGCCTTTAGGTCTTATATATACTAGGATAGCCTGGGTGCATTTTAGATTTGTTAAAATTAAAAGTCATTACAGTCTGTCTGGCTGTGTTAAACGGTAGGCGTGTAGGGATACAACACTGTCAGATCATGTGAATGGGATAGCAGCTAGGGGGTATGACAGTTGATTCTTAAAGCTATCAAGTCACTCGTTGTCTACAGAAACCGGTTTTCCACTCTTCTAGCTAATGTCCTCCTGTCTGATGTGCGGGAAGGCTGGGTTGACTGGTATGTGGTACGTCGTCTTCCTGCCATTCTTTGACCGTGCTATACGGCCCGGTGCTGTCTCCACACATGTATCGCACGGAGCCTTGCGTGCGATGTATCTACCTGTGCTAACCTCATAAATCGGAGCCGGATCCAACGACTGAGTCGTTCGGCAAATTCTGCACCACCGCATCACGCTCGTCAGGTCTCCTAACAAAGCATCTGCCTCTCGGAATAGGTGTGCCTTCTTTGAATGGCCGCGCTTGGTTGCCATCTGCCTAACCTGCTCCTCTTCGACTTGCTGCTGGCGGGCTTTGTCCAGCATATCCGTTTTCCTACTCTTAATGCCTTCAGCATAACTCAACGTCAACGCGTTACTCGATGCGAGCAACACCCTCGTCTCTTGAACTGCGTCTTTGTGTCCTTGTTGCATCGGCCTCGCTACATTGAGACCTCGATGAGGTAGCTGTATCTGCACGCCGACAGGAAGATACTCTGGTAGAGTCTTCTCTGGGAGCGTTTGGAAGATGATGCTGAGTAGCTGCTCGCCGATGTTGAGAATCATGTCTATGTTCTCAAGATTTCCCGGTACACGTCCAAGATGTACAAAAACCGATTTCTTGCCCGGCTGCCTCCAGGAGAAGTAGTGTAGAGTGTCATCAAAGAGGTAGTTGACTGTGTGCTGACGGATGCGTTTGCGGATATATTTGGACTGTCCGACGTAGGCGGCGAACCAGTCGGGGTCATTTTCGTCAATGATGATGTTCATGTACCAGCCAGGACCGCCATAGTGAGGGTCGTTGCCAATAGCACAGAGCCTGCAGAAGTCAGCTACATGACTGCCAGTCGGATAGGAGTAACTCACGCTTCAAGGTCAAATTCCTTGCGGCCACGCAGGACCTCCAGTAGCCCGGATGAGAAGTGGCGACGGAGTGTCCTGCTTATGCCCTCAAGACTGTTCATGCGGAAGAAGTCGCGATATCGATCTTCTGAGCCATGCCTCGCCTTCAGGGCCTTGAGGTAGCCTTCATCGAGAAAGCGACAGCCTGACTCGATCATGGGTGCCGCCTTCGCAGTGGCATTGTTAGTGACTGCCCCGAAGGGGAGTGTTGTCTGCTTCTTCGCCAGTGGTGCAACGAGTGATTCGATGACGGGCGCCTCTTTCGCAGTTGCATCGTGTGTGACTGCCCCGAAGGTGAGTGTTGTCTGCTGCTTCGCTCGTGGTGCAACGAGTGATTCGATCATGGGTGCCTCTTTCGCAGTGGCATCGTGAGTGACTGCCCCAAACGGGAGTGTTGTCTGCTGCTTCGCCCGTGGTGCAACGAGTGACTCGATCACGGGTGCCTCTTTCGCAGTGGCATTGTGAGTGACTGCCCCAAACGGGAGTGTTGTCTGCTTCTTCGCCGGTGGTGCAACGAGTGACTCGAAGCCTTTAGCGGCTCGCTTCGACATTTGGGCTTGTTGGAGGGTGTGAAGCTGAATCAGGCCATCCGCTGCGAGAGAGAGAAAGAAACTGGTTTCTCAAACGAAGGTCTCCGGCTGACGTTCTGTGAGTCGAGAGCATCCTCATGAAGTAGCCACGATGTTTGGCTAGCGTCGCGAAGTGAGGCAGGCGCGCTGGAGGCTGCACCGAGCCTCTGGAACAGCTTCCTACTCATAAGGAAGGTGCAATGGAGGCTGCACCGAACCTCTGGTAGAGCTTCCTACTCATAAGGCAGGAACCGACGCCGACATTGCCTGCCATGTTCGGACGGACATCGAGTCACTCGATGCTTTCCACATTTATCGTGCATTAATGGAGAGCTTGAGGCAATGTTGCCCATATTGCCTCAAGCCCTCTGAAGCTGTAGTGCGCCAAAGCTAAAAACCAGTTTCCTAGACGCCGTCAGTAGTGTTCAGCTTGTGATGCAATGTCGCTCTACTTTTCAAGTTGTCAAATGAGTTCCGCTGATGGGGGTGTCATAATTGATGGTTGAGGCTGAGGTGTATTGCTGGAGCTGAAGGCGTCATGAAGCCTTGTGTCCGTACGACACGTTCGAATCATAAATGAGGAACCCTGAGATCAAATTTCTTGTGCAGGTGAGAGAGAGAAGGATAAGTTGTAAAGCGGAGAGCTCTCCGCAGATCGTAAAGCGGTGTTGGAACACAATGAACGGTACGGTATCGCGACGGTTGGTCGCAGAACCATGGATGTGCAGGTGAGAGTTGAGTGGAGGGGGCGGTGAGGATATAGTTGCTCTATGGATGCCAAGATATTAGCGATTGGATGCTATACTGGAGCCTGGAGTTGCCTGGGATGATGCCTGGGTTTATGCTGATTTGAGGAGCTTTGAGATCAAAGTTCGTTTGCAAGTGAGGGGTAGAGCCCAATATTTTCAAAAGCGCTGCACTCTAGTGTTACCTGCTGAGCTGTCGCTGGTTCTGTGAAGATACCTTGAGTGTTGAAAAAGTGGAGTTGAAAGAGAGGAGTTGAGGTGGTGCATGGCGGTGAGGATATGTTGCACCATGCCGTGAGATTGGCGAGTGGGCATGCCAGACTGGAGCCTGGAGCTGAGCCAATCTCAAAATAGAAACTCTTCATGTTAGTTCATCAGTCTAATCATGCGACTCGTGCCGATGCTTGCATTGCTCTACCTCATATCGTACATCGATTAAGCAATCATCGGAGTAAATAGCAGGCCTCATCACTCCAACCCTCAACGCGCCATTGATGTTGCCTTCTCTTATTCATTCGGTCTCTTGATCAATACCGTCCCTGAAAGATTCAAGCTGTTTTTGGAGTTCCCTCAGGCGTCGGTCCGTCCCAGTCGATTGAGAGGATACGACCTCTACCACCAGACGGAAGAGATGTGATATGTTGAGTCGAGCTGTATCAACATCTGGAACCACCGCAAGGCGAGCCATAACCACCTCCAACGAGTCGCCTGTTACATGCGCCCCAGCTACCTTCTTTATATTCTCCATATCTTGCGTATGCATGACCCTTATCTCCCCGACTTCCTTGCCGATGGTATCCAACAGGGAACGTAACGGAGCCAGCTTGGTTGACGCAAGTTCTTCTCCTGCAATGGTGCTCGTTCCGATCTGAAGCTTCGTATCATCCAGGACTTGTCTCACGAGCGTTGAAATGTCAGTGCCCGGCGTTCGACGTAGTCGATTAATAGCTCCCACCAAGAATGCCCGGCTGTATTTTGGATGCATATGCAAACCGCTCATGACAAGTCCCTCTGACAGATTCACCAACTCCGTCGATGTGATGTCGAGGATATTCAGTGATGGCCACGTCTTCTAGTAAGAGCTGTTAGTACGCAACGTGTCACTCGTTCATCAAACACGTACCTCGATGCCAATTTTGAGCTCTGATGCTGTAGCTTCATCAATGGCCTTTTCGGCTCGAAGAAATGCTGCCATGAAGCTGTTCCTCTCCCCCTCCCCAACTTCGTCATCCAGAACACTCTTGCATCTCTCTAGCAGATTGACATCTCCACCACAGAGATAAGTGCTGATGAGCGCGACAATCTCGTTGTCACGAGAGGTGCGGGCGGAGATCTGTGCCGTAGCAGCGTTGATGGGATTCGGTTTCGACATAGGCTTCGCATCTATTGCCTGTCTGATCCTGCCGACAGTGATGTATTTCCGCTTTTCAAGACTTGTTGCACCCTTGTCATCGCGCCATTCCTTAAAGAAGAACACTTCAGACCCATCCACACTGATGCCTTTGCACAGTCCAATCTCGTTTGTGTTGTCCAAAGAATAGAAGCTCACATTAGTTTTCCCAAACGGCACTACGACTCGTGTGGCTTTAGCATCGTACGGGATGATGACGTCTTCCGCAGGCAGAACATCAGTCGCAGTAGCTTTGCCCTTCTTACTGGGTTGAAGAGTGGGAATCCTCGTATGTTTAGAAGCTGAGCTGGGAAGCAAACCCACGAAGAGAAGTTTCATCCCAGATGTGAAGCATATTTCCGTCTCAACAGGGAGTTCTGGCGGCTTCACAGCTTTCTCGATGAATTCCTCGCGGCCAATTCCTTTGACCTCTTTGCTACTTGCATTAGACAATCCGTTGGTCTGGACGTAGATAACAGTATTGGGCTTTCGAGCTGCCCAATCCGTGCTACCTCCAGAGAAGTCGTATCGTGCACCGGCGTAGTTGACAGCGTGTTCCGTCGCCATGGTGACCAGTGATCGAGTGATCTGTTGACGGCGATGCTCATATGACTGCTATAAAGGTCTCGATGCGAGGGTGTGGAGAAAAGAAGCAGGATACGACAAAAGAAATTGTATAGTTTCAAGTACCTCAAATATTCGGCTGTCAACGTGAAGGTGAAGGTGTATCGTGCCCCGTCTAGGCAAACAGGGCGTGTCTTGGCACCACGTGAGGAATCAGCGGTGAGATTGCGGATCAACCTCGTCATACCATTACCTGGAAAGCCCAAATATCCAGATACCTATACCACAAATAGGCAGTTCACCTGCTTAACAAGTGAATTATGGGGCGTCGATACCACCAAAAGAAGAGCGTCGCCACGAAAACTCCTACCCTGGCGTTTGACGCATACAAGGCCAAGCTACTGGAAACGCTCGACTCGTTGATTAAACAACACGCTTCCATGCAGACCTCGATAGCTGATGACGACCAGCAACTAATGGATAGCCTGGAGAATGCTATATCCAAAGCGGAGAAGAAGTTGGTTGACGACCTAGTGGCATTCCTGGTCACCAGAGCTCGAGGTGGTGAAGAGGAAGAAAGAGAAGATGAGGAGAAGACCGCTGCCCAAGTCCTTGTCAAGGCAATGTGCTGTGAGCTTGGAGCTGTTAGCATAGGTCAGACTGCTTCTCAAAGTTCTCAAAGTATCCTCAACGTACGCGTTCAATTTCTTCCGCCCAGGGTAGTCTAGCTTTTAACTATAGTTTCTCAACCTGCCTATCTTAATAAAAATAATACTAGCCTTAATTATCTAATTTCAACTCCTGCATCTAACTAAATACTAGACTTTTACTATTATTCTAACGCTTATAGCCTGTATAGCCTACCTAGCTATTTATTTATTATTTTTTAGAATTATTTAAAAAAAACTAGGTAGTTTAAATTAGTAGTAGTAAAAGTAAAAATAAATATTTTTTATATAAAAAGTTAAAATTACTAAATTTTAATATTTTTAATATTTTTAACTATTAAAGTATTTTTTAGTATATAAGCTATTAGTAAATAGTTATAAAAAAATAAAAGCTTTTTAGTCTAGGCTGGTAAATAGGTTAGAGCTAGGTAGGGGTTGGGTTACCCCGCATTTTTTAACTAGGTTTTGAAATAACTTTCTAGGTTTAAAAGATAGATAAAAAACATATAATACTAAGTTATAAAGCTAACTTTCTTCTAAAAGTAGACTTAAAAATTATTATTATAGCTTTAGTATTAAAAGTATAAAAATTAAAAAACTGTTAGGGTTAGGTAGGGTTAGGTTAAAACTAGGTTATTAAATATTTCTATAAATATAAGAGATATTATAAATCTTTTATAAGTAACTATATATTATTTTTTAAGCTCTATAACTTTGTAATACAAAGTTTTTTCATAACTAGTCTAGAAAAAAAGTGGGGGTACCCAATTAACTAGTCTACTTTTTACTAAGTATTAGTTTTTAGTAAAAAAAAGACTTTATATAAAAGCTACTATTTTTTTTATTTTTTTAAGCTGCAAAATTCTACTTTTATAAATACTATTATTTAAAAGCCTATTATAGGTTAGCTAAAAAAAAATTAATAAATTAATACTTTAGTAGGCAGTAAAGAAAAAAAAATTATTTTATTATTATATAATATAGTAGATAAAAAATAAAAGCTATAAAGCAGCTTTAATATATTATACAAGCAAGTTAGTTACCTAGTTAAGTTAGTTATAATGCTAAAACTTTACTAAAATTAGTAATTTTCTACTATTAAATATAATACCTTAATACAATAATGTGCAATTTTTTTAAAAAAAAAATTAAATATAGTTTATAGTTTAGGCTTTAAAATATAATGTAAATTTTTTTTAATAAAAAGCTATATAAATTTATAGTCTTTTTTAAATAATACTTAGTAATTAACTAAAAAAAAGCCTTTATAATATAATACTAGGCTTAATAAGATAAAGCTTTTTTTAATAGAAAAAAAAGTAATTGCTTAGTATATATTTTACTTTAAAAATTAAAAATTTCTGCTTTAACTAGCTGTTATAAATAATATAATTAATATTTTACTAGCTAAATATAGGCAACTATTTATTAGCAAGAACTAGGCTAGTATATTTATTAAATAATATCTACAGCTTAGTACTAAAATCTTTTAAAAATATAATTACTAAAATTTTTTATATAAAAATCTTAAGCTTATATAAAACTAGTTTTAACTTATAAAAAATATAAAAGTTAAGTATAGTATTTTTTTTAAAAGAAGACTAAAACCGCTTAGGCAGCTATTTAATAATAAGACAACAGTACTATATATAATAAAATCTATGTATTTATGCTAGTTTACTATATTAAGCTATATTTTAAGAAAAATATACTATAGTATATTGCAAGCTGTTTATTTGCAGCTTGCAAAAAGTAGTTAATTTAATAAAAAGTACGCAATGTAACGTACTTCTATAATAAGTAGTTAGTTAAAACAAGTAGTTGGTCTCTGCCAAGCCCCTACTAAAACCTACTATTGCCTATAGTATATTATAATAAATTAATATAATAATGCATTACTAGCTTAGAAAAAATATTAAATATAAAATATAATTTAAACTATTAAATAAAATATAAATTTTTTAATTTATTGCGCTGCAAAATACTATAACGTATTTAAATTAATATTTAAAAAATAATTTATTAGAACTACTTTTTAATATAACTGCACACCTAATTTAATAAAGCTTACTATAGTAAAAAAAAAAAAAATTATTAATTATATACTTAATTTTACTATAAAAGGATACTTGCCTAAGCTTACTAAAATTAAAAATATAGCTAATTTTTTGCTTATTAAATATTACTAAAACTTAGTTAGCTTAAAGTAAACTAATATATTTATTAAATACTAGCTTAAGCTTAAAATAAAATTTAATTAAAAATATAATTATAAAAAAACTTTTTATAAAAATCCTAATACTATATAAAACTAGTTTTAGCTAGTATAAAATATAAAAGCAAAATATAATATTATAAATAAAAATATTTATAATTTTAATAAAACAGGCTTTATAATAAATATAATATTAATTAAAGCTATTATTACAAGCTTTAACTGTTAAAAACAGGCAATAATAATATAATAAAATAATTAAAAGTAAATAATAATAATTTAAAGTATTAGCGTAGCTAATTAAATAATTTTATTTTTTATTATTTTTGCAGGCAAGCACTACTTTTCTGCCTAGTATAAAAAAAATAACTTATTTTAAAATTAAGCTATTACTATTTTTATAAATAGCTAAACAACTAATAAGCATAGCTTTAAGTAAATAAAGTACTTTAATAAATATATAAAAAAGCGTACTATTAGCACATATTATTTTTTAATTATAAATAGTTATAAAAGCTATAATTTAATTAAGTTTTACTAGTACTATAAAAAAAATAGTATTATTACTTTTTATATACTTCTGTATTTGTTGCACTTGCTATAGCTACTTAATATAAATTATTTTACTTTTTTAAAAAAAGTATATAAGCGCTAAGCTAAAATCCTAATGCGCAACTATATTAATTATATTACTAAAATTAAATTTTTATTATATTTTAAAGCTATTTTTAATACTATTATTATAAAAAATAATATTTTAAAAAATTTTTAAAGTGCTAGCTTAATACTATTTAATTTAAAAGCTGTAATATTAAAGCTTAATATTTAATTATATATTCTACTATTACTTACTATTAAAAACAGTGCCTAAAAGTTAAAAATACTTAGTAATATTCTAAAATTTAAGTTATAATTAATATTTTTAAAAAAAAAAATTTAAAAGTATTTAAATAGCTTTTTTATTTTAATAGTAAATATTTTTACAAAGTTTACTAAAAATGCAAAAATAATAATATATTTAATAATATTAATATAAAAATAAAATTTTAAGTTTTAAGCTACTAATAAGGCCGCTACACAATATAAATTATATAAAAAAAAAATATAAAAAAAAAAAAACTTTTATAGTAAAAAATAATTTTTAATTAATAATTTTAAAAAAATTTAAAATATATAATAATAAAAAAAAAGTAAAAAAATAAGCGCGCGCTAAAGCAAGTAAGCTTTTTTAAAAGTACTATAAATATTATAATAAAATAAAGCATAACGCGCGCATATATAAAAATAATATAAAAAATATTATAAATTAATATTATATATTATTAGCTATAGTATAATATACTATAGTTGCAATATACTATAAATAATAGTAAGTTTTAATAAAAACTTAGTAGAGACTAATTACTTGTCCTAACTAACTACTTATTATAAAAGTACGTTACTTAGTTTATAAAAAAATATTATTGTTTATATAAAATTTTTAAAGGATATTCTTTTTTAGTAAAGAAAAAAATACTGTAAGCAGGGATAGTACTATATAGTGTATCTAATAGCTTCTAAAGACAAAAATGTCTAACACTTTATATAAAAAGCAGAAAGCAAAAAGGCAGAAAGTAAAAAAAAAGAGCAGAATATAAAGTATAAAAGTAAAAAATTATAAAAATTTTATAAAAGTTTTATAGTAGCAATTTAATAGTAGCAATTTTTTAGTGCATAGTATATAAAATATTGCAGTTTTAAAGTGCTAGTTTTTAATAAAATCTTACAATACTTTTTTAATAGTAATAATTATTTAATATAATAATTATTTAATAGTATTTAATACAAAAGTAATTAAAAATAAAGCTTATTTTTATACTATAGCCTATTAAAAGTTAGTTTATTATATATTTACTAATTATACATTGCTAATTATCGCGTAAATGCTATATATTTACTTTTAATTATTAATAAAATAAATTTTAATTATTTAAATGCTGCAACTATAGAGCGCAGGAAGAAAGTTAGTATTAATAATAGCTAGTAAAAGCTAGATTTATTAAAAGTACTAAAGCTTTTTTAATTTTATATTAAAAATTTGTATATTTAAAGTACGTAGTTATTACAGCTATATAGTAATATATTTAAATTACTAAATTAATTATAAAGTAGTTAAAATTGCTAAATAAGTTTTTTTTTATTAATTAGCAGCAAATACTAGAAAAGCTAGCTAAAAAGCTAGCTAAAAAGCAGGCAACAGATACTAAAAAAAAATTTATTACTAGTTTTTAGTAATAAAAAAAGCTAGAAAAGTACTTGTATATTAATAAATAAATAATTATTATTTATAATGCGTAATGCAGCAGTGCAGTAGTACAGTAGTATAGTAGTATAGAAAAATCTAGTAGCGCTTAGTACTACAGGCCTAGTATTATATAGTATATTAGTACTATTATTTTTATATAAGCAGTAAAGCTTATTATAAAATAATTATAAAAATAATAATAATAAATTGTAGGCTGTTAATTGCTTATTGCAGGGAATTTAAAGTATAAAATATTTAGTATTACAGAATTTAGCAGTATAGCAAAAGAATTTAGTACTATAGTTTTTAATTAAATATAATCTATTTTTGCATTAGCATAAGTGTTAGTATTTTAGCCTATAAAATTATAATAATTGCAGTAATTATAGTATTATAGTATTATAGTATTCGCAGTGTTTGTATTTGCAGTATTTATATTTATAATAATTTATATATTTCTTGCAGTAGCCTAAAGTAGCTAAAAAGCTGCTAAAACTTAATTAGTTATTAATAATAAAATTAATGCGTAATAGTTTAATAGGGTCCCTGTCTAAAGAACTAAGTATAGTATTTAAAATAAAAATATATATAACTTTAATAAAATAAGTTTTATAATAAATTAAATATTATATAAAACTATTATTTTAAGTACTAATTATTAAAAACGGCTAAAGATAGTGCAGTAGAGTAATTAAAAATAAGTAATAGTAATCTAAAATATTAATATAATAAAATAAACTATTTTACTTTTTATTATTTTTATAAATAAAAACTACTTTTTAGCCTAGTATAAAAAATAGTTTATTTTATAATTAAGTTATTATAGTCTTTAAAAATAGCTAAATAATAAATAAGCTTACTTTTAAGTAATTAAAGCACTTTAATAAATATATTAAAAAAAAATTATTAGTACTTATTATTTATTTATTATTAATAGTTATAAAAGCTATATATTAGTCTAATTCTAATAGTACTATAAAAAATAAAAAATTATTATTTTTTATATACTTTTATATTTATTGCACTTGCTATAGCTATTTAATATAAGTTATTTTATACTTTTAAAAAAAGTATATAAGTACTAAGCTAAAAAGCTAATGCATAATAGCATTAATTATATTACTAAAATTAAATTTTTATTATATTTTAAACTAGCTTTTAATGCTACTATTATAAAAAGTAATATTTTAAATAGCTTTAAAAGTGCTAGTTTAGTTTTTTTTAACTTTAAAACTATAATATTAAAGCTTAATATTTAATTATATATTCTACTACTACTTACTATTAAAAATAGTTTTTAGAAATTAAAAATACTAAATAATACTTTAAAATTTAAGTTTTAGTTAATACTAATTAAAATAAAAATTTAAAAATACTTAAATAATTTTTTTACTTTAATAATTAAAATTTTTAAAAAAAAATTAAAAAGTGCAGCTATAGTTGCGCATAAATTTATATTAACATAAAAAAAAATTACTAAGTTTTAAGTAGCTAATAAAGCTGCTATATAATAAAAATTATATAAAAAAAAGTAAATATAAAAAAAAAAAAACTTTTATAATAAAAAATAGTTTTTAATTAATAATTTTAAAAAAATTTAAAGCGCATAGTAATAAAAAAAAAGTAAAAAAGTAAATATATATTAAAGTAAGTAAGCTTTTTTAAAAATACTATAAATATTATAGTAAAGCTAGGCATAATGCGCAAATATATAAATAAAAAATAAAAATAGTTTTTAAATAAATTAGCTTATTATAATTTACTACTATAATTTTTTATAGTGCTATACTATTATACATAGTACTAATTTTAGTAAAGTTTTAGTATTATAACTAACTTAACTAGGCAACTAACTCGCCTGTATAATATATTAGTAAAAAATAGTTTTTAATTAATAATTTTAAAAGAGTTTAAAGCGCATAGTAATAAAAAAAAATAAAAAAATAAGTATATATTAAAGTAAGTAAGCTTTTTTAAAAGTGCTATAAATACTATAATAAAGTTAGGTATAACGCATAAATATCTAAGTAAAAAATAAAAATAATTTTTAAATAAATTAGCTTATTATAATTTACTATTATAGTTTTTTATAGTGCTATACTATTATGTATAGTACTAATTTTATTAAAATTTTAGTATTATAACTAACTTAACCGGGCAACTAACTCGCCTATATAATATATTATATATACTTTAAAAGTAAGTAACTTTTTAAAATTAATATTTAGTACTATAAAAAAATAATAATAAAATTTGGAACTATAATTAGTAATTATTTTAATTTATTTTAAAAAAATTAATATAATTATAAATATTTTTATCCGCGAAAACGGGACCTAATATATTATTAATAGCTTATATTATTAGTATTATTACTGTGTATTGCGTACTTTTATTTTTAGATAGATACGTTGCTACAATCTTAAATAATAATATATTAGGTCTACTAATAGTAATTATCAAGAGTTTCTTAATAATCTATTTAGCTAGTCTAGTATTGTAAAAACTTTACTACCTTAATACTATATTAGGGTGCTAAGTATAGCACCTAAACTATAATTTTATATTAAATTCTTTTACTGCGTTGTATAATCTGCTCTAGCGTTAACTTACTTTTAAATATAGAAATAAATATTTTTATACTTAAAGTATTTTTACAGAACTAGCGATAGCTTAACTAGGGCGTAGGCGCTTTGAAAATCCTCTTAGGTCAGACTGCTGAGACATGGAAGGAGGAGGCCGAAGAGGCAAAGATGGGGCCACTACAGCGAGCGCTTTCGCGCTTTTCCATCGTTTGTGGCACCGCCAACACGGATATTGAGGAGATGCCTCAATGTAAACCGAGGCATTATACACGAATGAATGAAAAAGCAGAAGGCATGTGACTCGTTGTATGTGAACTTGGATTTTACTAACGATGTCGTAGGGTTCAATGCTGATTATGAATCCGACGAAGACAAGTATGTCCAGGATCCCAGCCATCGCGAGGAGGCGGAAACGATCTGGAAGGAGATCGAAGACTTCGGCATCGTGCTGGGGAAGACACGTACAGAGACAAGCGAAAGCGAGAGCAGTGCTGGAACACCTAACAGATATGATTCGGTCATGGAGTAGTTCGACGAGAACAGGATGGAGGAGTTTGACGAGAACGGAATAGAGCAGTTCGACGAGAACGAGGAGGACGTGGAGGACTTCGGTGGGGTGGAGCAGATTGAGCTCAGTGAGGATGAGACAGTACCAAAGAAAAGAAAGCGAGAGAGCGTATCACCCGTTGAGTGGAAACCTCGGGGGACTCTATTCGGACACAAGTTTTAAAGTCATGAAACTTACATTGTGACTATTTGGTATATAATATCAACAATCACTTTTACTTGGTCATTTGTTACCACTACCGCCACGAAGAAGATGCATAGTCGACAATGCCTTCTCCTACCATAGATTGATATTAGTATTTATGTTATATTTGCCGTGAAGAAATCCGGATCCTGATTTGAATGCCTCGGCCTTACATCAAACATCATTTCTTCCTCGACGTCCTTGGCAGGTACAATTCTCGCTCTGAACCCTTCACGAGGTGATGATTATGCTTCAAGTGCCGTGCGAGACCGCACCTCGATGTGAAAGACTTTGTGCTTGTGCAGTCCCGGAAGGAGAGGATTACCAAAGCGCCTACGCCCTAGTTGAGCTATTGCTGGTTCTGTGAAAGTACTTTAAGTGCGGAGATGTTTGTAATTACATTGATTCTTCCAGAATAGGCTTCAAGACGGTCAATGAACAGGGGAGCAAGGAAATGAGGACATTGGATGGAAGCGGCTCGAAGCGGCTCTTGCAGTCACGAGGGGAGTGTGGGCCAGACGATGTAGGGATATTGTAAAAATAGTCTGTTGTCTCGACGTCAAAGAGAGAGCGAAAGCAACAGCAGCGAAATGGCCGAGGACGGTTAGAGAGCATGTACGCATAGAGGATCGAGATTGCGCAGGATACGCATTAGGGGTTTATACAGAAACACGCAATGATGGCACTTGCAAAACGGGACCTCACAGTATTATCAAGACAGCTGTAGAGAACAGTGACCAAGTCACGTTTGTATTAGGCATTGAGAAGAGCTACATGCATGCTATTCATGAAGCAGCTGTTCAGCAATGATAAGCCCGTCCACCAAGAAACCTCCAAATACAGAGATGGTACCATGAAGGTGTATCTGCCATGGTTGCAGCACAGATGCAAGGCCTTATCCTACCGACATGGACCTCGCCTCAACGTGACGCGGAGATGGTGTGTGTGTGTGTGTGTGTGTGTGTGTGTGTGTGCGTTAGACAGCGACAGCCATGGCTGCAGCACCGGCGGCAACGAGCGAGCCCAACTTGATGTAGGGAGTCGCGAGAGCAGCAGCGGCAGTCGAGATGACCGCGGGGGTGCTGGTCGACGGGGACGGGCGGTTGTTGGCAGCCGTAGAAGAGGGAGCCGGGACCGTGCCGGTAACAGACGGAGTCGAATGAGGAGCCACACCAGTGGAGGGAGCGACAGGAGCACCCGAGCTGGGAGGAGCAACCGGGGTACCAGAAGATGGCACTCCAGGAGGAGGCGGCATGACGTTGGTAGGGGCCTCTGGCGGGTTGCTGCTCAAGGGAGCAGTGGCCGTAGACTCGACCGACGAAGGCGGAGGCGCAACAGGCGGCACATGCGAGCCTGGGCGAGTAGGAAGCGGATTGACAGGCGCCGTGACGCACTCGGTCATGGTGACAGTCACAGTGGTAGGCGCAGCACAAGCGGCTAGAAGGCTCGTTAGCTGGAGTTTGGGCTACACCAAGATTTTGGTGTACACTTACAATCGGTCGCGACGACAGCGCAGGCCAGCGCGGCCACTGCGAGGAGCTTGAAGCCGAACATGGTGATGGCGGTAAGTGGATTGTTGGTGGTAGAGCTGGGTTGAATATGTGGGGTTGAATTGATGCAGCTGCAGAGAATAAAGCGGTTGGGTGAGGTGTCGTGAGGGAGCGCTGGCGGGCGGGGGGGCGAGCTGTTTATAGTCGGATGAGCTGCGTGGAAGCTGCTAGAGAGCAATCGAATTCGTGGGTGAAGGAGAGAGTGAGGGTGCATGTGAAGTGGGGGAGGAGCGCGGGTGTTGTGTTTATGTATGTACACGGGCAAGGAGCGGCCCAGTGTTACTGCTGCACTCACACAGCAATGTCACTGCCGTGACGCAGGTGCAATTAGCCCATGGCGCCTCTTGGAGCACACATATCCGAGTCCAATGGCCCGTCTCCTCGGACTGTCATGGTGTGCAAGTGTCTTGGCACGGTGCAGATTGGCCCTGTGGGACGAGACGTTGCCGAGATGCGGAGGGTGAATGGCCTCTCACGTGCAGCAGCTCCATCCCTACTCCGCTGCACCTTTGGGCCCCCATACTCTCTGCTCATGACGTCACCGCAATTTTGGAAGCGTCAGGACCGCTTCGGAAAGGCCAGTTGCAGGTTGCAGGTTGCAGTGTTTGTTGTCATGCGGCAACGCGCCTTCCCTCGCTCTTGCTTGGGCGGCCGTTGCAGCCTTGGCGCTCGTGCCTCCCCCAATAAAGCCTCACCAGGCTGTTTATCCATCTGCCTCCCCTCCCCTCTGCACCAACTTCCTCCACTCGTTTACCACACTTGATTTCCAGCAATCGGTCTGACCTTGTGCTACCTTTGCCCAAATCAACTACACTCTTTACGTCTCTCCCATCACCGCCAGCGCTGCCTTCGCCATGCAGTGGCTCCAGCTTGTCGCCCTCTTCGCAGGCGCTGTTTCTGCAGCTCAGCCTCTTGCTGCTCCACGCGTTCAACGTGCTCTCAGCGACATCACCACCGCGGTCGTCCTCACCACGTCCACGTACACCGTCACTGAGTGTGCCACGGATGCTACGAACTGCCCTGCTAGCGCCACGGTGCTTCGGACGTCTACTACCGTTGTCAGCGTCACCACCACCATCTGCTCGCTCACCTCAACACCTGGAGTCGAGCCACCTGCTTCCGGTGTGTCTCCGACTTCAGTCGCTAGCTCAGTTCTTCCATCAAACTCCCTCGACTTCTCCGTTAGCATCATCCCCCCGAGCCCGACGACTTCGATTGCGCTGCCAATTGTATCGGCCTCCTCCCTGGGGGTCTCTATCAGCATCAGCATCATCACAGGGTCTTCAGTCTCACTGCCATTGACTATCAACACTCTCTCAGATGCTGTACAGACATCCTTCCCTCCAGGTGGACAGGCATCTTCCAACAGCTACGCTCCTCCCCAATCGAGCGCTCTTCCAACTTTCAGCCCATCAGGAACCGCCATTGGCTCGATTAGCAGTCTCGGTTCAGATGTGCCTGTCTCTAGCGTATTCGTTACGGCAACTGTACCAGGCACACTAATCTCAACCGCCACTGATGCAATCTCGACCTCAAGCGGGGCCTCCTCCAGCGGAGACAACACCCCTTCAAGCTCAGGTGCCAATTCCTTGATCCCTTCGAATACCAACACGGACTCGGTCCCTACCTCGTTGCCCATCTCTTCAGCTGGTCCTAGTTCCGCTGGCCTTTCGTCGAGCGGGTATGCCATCCCTCCCGGTAGCTCGGAAGCCCCTTCGAGCTCAGGTGGTAGCCTGTTAATACCCACCAACACCAATACAGACTCAGTGCCTACCTCATTCGCTGTCTCTTCAGCTGGACCTAGTTCTGCTGGCCTCTCGTCGAGTGGGTACATCATCCCCTCTGGTAGTTCGGCCGTTCCTTCAAACACGAATACGGACTTCGTGCCTGCGCCTACTTCCTTCTCCATCTCTTCGTCTGGCCCTAGCTCTACTGGCCCTTCGTCAAGTGACTCTGCTGGCCCTTCGTCCGGCAGCTCCGCCGTTCCTTCTAGCAGCTTGGTCCTTTCTTCGGGCACCGTCACAGGCGTTGTACCAACTTTACATTTGCCGTCTGGCCTGGAGTCGACCACTGCAGCTCCTACACCGGGCCCGTCGAGCACTGCTCATGGAAGCTCGTTTGGGTCTTCTCTAACCGCACCACCCGGCTCTCTCAGCACTGTCTCGCGCACGCAGCCCACGATAACATCCGTGAGCTCCGGTTATCCAGCCCCACCATCACCAGTCGAGTCCGACTCTTCCGAAATCGATAGCACTATTAGAATTACGAGCTATCTGACACATACGCGGACGTCCTTCATCACCAAGCCGCCTCCACCCAACAAGTCCAACACCGATACCCAGGCTGCGCCCACAAGCCGTCCCTCGAGCGTGTCAGCTCGTCCATCTGGATCTGGGTAAGTTGTTCAAGTTCCACTGCATCTCTCTGCACACTCGCTAACTCTTGACTTGCAGTTACCCATACCCGTCTGGTAGCGGTAACGGCACCGTCATCTCTCCCAAGCCCACCTTCAGCGACGTTCCCATCAACATGGGCCAGGTTGTTGGGGCAGGCAAGAGCTCCCTTGCGGCAATCGTTGTTGCTCTCGGCTTCGCACACTTTGCATAAGTCGGTCACAATTCGATGATCGCGCCGTCTAGTATCATCATGGCGTCGTCGGCACGCTGATGCGGTGGTGGGTCAGACGGGAGGACATTATTGCATCGTCTATCAAGCCTAGCATTGCTTGCAATCCGGCTCCTTTCACATACTTACACTGTGGTCTCATGGGTAACGGGGTGGGATTAGGATCTTTCTAGGGTGCGTTCTTTAGCTAGGCAGGGCTTTCTCTCACATGTACTACAAGTTACTGGCGGCCGGAAGCAAGTCTAGCATGTAATATATGACACCTTTTAGTACGGCCGTCAAGTCTTGTCTTTGATGCGTGTGATGAGATTGATGGATGGTGATGCGAGTGTGATGAGGTTGCCCAGGTGCCGTGTTCGTTCGGAGGCCAGCCCCGGAAAGCTAAACCGCTTGCATGCTTAGTGTGCTCGACCTGCTATTAAACACGATTGCACAAGGACTGTTTAACCACGCTCGGAGTGATAATGACAGCTTAGGCCGAGTGTTCTTCTAGGCTGTTTGTAGACATAGCACGCGTACGCAATGAGTGAATACGACGTGACGGAGTGATTGCAATGGTATTATTCAGAACGAACTAGAAACTCAAATGCTCATCTTCGACGAATATGTCGAAAGGACAATGATACAGTCTTCCACTCACTCGGTGGATGAAGAATTCCCCGAGGACGCTTTTTGCCAGGTTAAAACGCCCTGTACGCCTCCCAAGCTACCCGATGTCTACAGTGCCCGCTGCGGCAAGTATGCACTACCCGCCAGAACCAAATTCATCCTCGTGAACTGAACTTTGTATACGGGTGACTCTTTCGTGGGGAATGCGCTGATTTGATCCGCACTCACGCCCGTCTCTTTCGCTGCCTTCTTTGTGCCTGTGACGGTAGTGCCACTCGCGCCCTTAGTGGTCATGGCACCATCCGCCTTCGCGACCGCGCCGTCCGCAGCCTTGTCGCTCGACTCTTGTAGAACATCCCAGACACGCACTGTCTTGTCCGCCCCGGCAGAGACTAGGACACTAGATTCTACGCTCCAGGACAACGACCAGATTCCGCCTTTGCCGTGGCCACGCATACGCTTCCTCCGACGCCCCGTCTCGAGCGTCCAGAGGATAATGTTCCCTGCGTCGTCGGCGGAGGCAAGCGTCTTGCCGTCTGGTGAGCACGCAATGGCCGTCACATTGCCGGTATGACCGGTGAAGAGTCGGAGGCAGTTACCGCCGGAGATGTGCCACATACGCACCGTCCTGTCGCAAGAGCCTGTGAAGATGTACAGATTGTTAGGATGGAAGGCGACGCAATCCACGTCATTGTCGTGGCCGACGTAGATGCGCAGCGGCTCGATGTGGTCTGTTGACCAGAGGCGAGCGGTACGGTCATTCGATCCAGTTAAGAAGTAATGGCCGTAAGGGCCCCACTGAAGGTCCCAGATTGGGTTGTCGTGGCCGCGATAGGCGACGAGACAGGTGAACGTATCTAAAGTCCAGAGTCGCACTGTCTTGTCCTCTGAGCAAGACAAAAGGCATTGCGAGCTCGTTGGAGGGCCCGTGGGGTCTGGGTTCGCCGTCGCAGGCGAGAAGGCTACGGCATAGACGGGACCAGAGTGACCGACTAGGCGGCGCGAGGAGGATGGCTGGGTGTCAGGTGCGTCTTCTGGGGAGGTGAGGGGGCTGCCGTCCATCGACCACACGCGGACGTAGGATTCGGCCATGCCGGCTGCGACATATTGGTTGTCGCCGGAGAAGTCGATGCAGTTGATGCTACCATGATGTAAGCAAATGTAGAAAAAAAAAGTCTAGCCACGGTAGACTCACCTATCGTACGTATTATGGAAGGTATACATGGTAACGCTGACGGCAGGGCCAACGCCACCTGTCCTTCCTTCCATCTTGTACCGATCTCGATGCTCAATAATCTTTTGCACCTCCATGGAGACGTCGCGCGCCAATGAAGGTGGGAGAGGAACCGTGTCGCGTGAAGGACCGTCTTCGGTGGGCTCGCGTTTTATGCGCTGCTCAAACTCATCTACCAGCGTTGGTTGTCCTGGCCTCGGCGCACTCTTAGCGTCTTCATCCTGTAGGGCAGCTCGTACGTCTTCTTGTAGCTCCGAGTCCTGTGGGTAGGCGCCCAACTGCAACCGTATGCGTGCAGCGTCGGCCTCGGGGTCATGGCGGGCAGTGAGCGGATGTCCAGGATTATGCCCTGGGATACCTTCGTCTTCTGCTGGAAGGTCGTCATCGTCCTGTCCGCCAGCGAGAATAGCGGCTATGCTCTTCTCTGCCGTTGCTGTTCGGTCGACTGTGACGATGTTTAAATGGTCTCGGATAACGTCCATCAGAGCCTGTCCACCCTCAAACTGCTTAGACTCCAAAAACTGAATGAGGTTATAGAATGGCATCGTCGTTAGCGTAATCCTATACTTGTTATCGATATACAGCTTCGCAATCCGACTCTCCTGGAGATGCGCCTGCAACCGCACTTGGCGGAGCGTCTTGACATCGTCCTCATGGTCACGCTCGAACAAAGCATGGTAGGCCGCGAAGAAGGTCTCCGCATCTTTCGTATAGAACTCCCGCACCAAGTCCAGGAATGAGTATACGAATATGGGCCATAGTAACTTCCGCAGCTCAGGTCTGTATAAATCAAGATTGTCCTCTGTGTATTTCCGTAAGAGCTCGAACGCTTTGGTGTACTTTGCGCCGCCTGCTTCGGTACTTTGGGTTGCGAGGGTTTGGCCGTTGGGTTGCGGTTCAGACTCCTTGCGGAGCATCGCCTCGGTGCGGACATATCCTTTCTTGGAGAGATATTCTAGAACCTTTTTGGTGTTAGCAAGACTGGCTTGTACAAGCTACTATGAGAGACAAAACGAGTGCTGATGAACGCGGATAAAGACCGCAGAAGACTAACGAGAGACTGGTCGGATTGAGCGGCGACGTTCGGAGATTTGTTCTGGTGCTTGCTCTGATAGTTTTGCCCATGGCTTGGTCCGCTCTGATACGAGTATCTAGATGCGCCGAGAGAGTAGGGGGGTTGCGCAAAGGCTGAACCGCCTGGCGGGCAGAGCTTGCGCGGTGGTTGAGACATACTGAATTGTGCGCGAAGGTTGAGGCCAAAAGTGTGCAAGTGTATGCTCACACATGCTATGGACAGCTGGGGATATTATGGTTGGGGGCGATTTTCTTTCACCAAGAGGAAGAATTCCACTCTTCAATGAGACAATGCGCTCGCAATCAAACACTGTCTCAAATGCGCGAGTAAAACTAGGAAGAAGCTGCAGAATGGAGGCTGGAAGGAGAGTTTCACTGACAATTTGATTGAGGTTCTGCTGTGACTGTGGCCCCGAGGAGCTGCCAGGTGGAGGGACGCCCTGCTGTGGAGGCATGGCGTTATGCGGTGGTAGACCAGCGCTCGGCGGGCCATTTCCTACACTCATGGCCCTCACAGGCCCTGGGCCGGGCGGAGGCCCTGACATTGCGATTGTGTTTCTTCTCTTCTAGGCCGGCGCAAGAGCTGCTGCTTCTCCTCGATGTAGGGCAAGAAACGGTCGCACTGCCCATACAGGGCCGAATATGGGAAATAGCGGTCAGGATTTCGGGCGTAAGTGGGAGATACAATGTCTCTACGCGTAAGAAGACAGATTTAGGTACTTGAATCGCGTTCAGAGTTTCGTTAGGCGTCACCGAGATAGGTCGCATGCGGAGTGAGCACGGAGGTGAGGTTCGAGCCGTGGCTGGTGAGTGCCAAGCCGTGGCGGGGCAGAGATCCATTGCGGAGCTCAAGCTCACGCTCAAGCATGCTCCTGGACTGCAGCAGTTCACTAGTCAAATCACCGTCGCGTTACGTTTGGATGGCGGAATCTTGGTCGCACACTCTTTGCATCCCAGCCCCTACCTGGCAGCTTCCCAACGTATCTCTCGGTGCTGCGTGAACAGCTCCACGACCTCAACTACTTTGAGCTCTCCACCATGTCTACCAATGCCAATCAACAACCCCCAGCAACATCAGACGAGCAACAGACAGAAAACGTCGTGAAACCGACTGAAGCTTCAAATGGGGCCCCAAAGACTCAAAGCTACCGCCAGGTCGCTGCCTCCCACATCGACACGCTGAGCGAGATAAATCGCCAACTCCCTAAAATGCTCACCTACTTCGCCACCGCACTCACCCAACTCACCAACAACCCCATCCACGACCGCGATCAAGAAGGCGAGTCCGACACGCCTGAAGCCCGCCAGGCTGCCTTCCGAAAGTACGCCATCTACGTTGGACTGTCTGTGGGCCTTATTCGGGATGAACTCACCAAGCAGATCAATGATCTCGAGCTGTACAAAGTTATACCCAAGAGTCATCCCAAATATGCGGCATCAAAACGGCAGGGGGAGAAGGGGGAGAAGGACGTCAATGACCCGGAAAAGGATGTGAAGAATGGAGGCTATGGCGAGTTTGACGTGGGAGTGTTGAATGCAAGGGCAAGTTCTGGGCAAGTCGGCGGAGAGGATGTTTTAGACAGGGCCAAGGCAATATTGGAGGATTTGAAGAGGAGGAGTGGCGATGTTACGGAAGAGGAGGAGATGATTGTGGACGGTTGAAGCAACGAACAACCAAGGGAACGTTAGTGCGTTCCGCGACGCCGTTCTAATGGTGCGCAGTGACAGCAAGCTCTTGGGTGCTACCGTGTTCTGCGCAGTAGATGTCAATGACGTTCGTGAATCTGATGACGCCGAGCTGGCCATTTAAGAAATGGTACGTGTAGGGAGCACGTGACACAATAAGTCGAACAACACAGCCGCCTTCCGGAGACGGTCGACTACGTTTAAGCCTATTCGTGACTCCCGGTGGAGCAGAAGCGGGCAGTGAAGGATAATATGTCAAGTTGAGTACAAGTCCATGGAAATTGGCAACCGCAACAGACACTTATTGGCTCAGGGGATCAGAGAGAATATAGGCGTATCGAGAGGAAGCAAACCATTATTTGTAGTCGAGAGCCAACCTTGGGTAATAATGGAGTATTCTATTAGGTCACTCGAGCCGCCCATCCACCCTGAATATGCTTTTCTAATCAGTTATCCGCGGCCCTTCGCGACCCGCCCCGTAAAACATGGCTAGGTATATGGGGCTGTATTGAGAGGTATTCAAACTTGGTAATAACATCTCGCATAGCACCTCTTCGCAGGAGCATGTTCCAGTATCATACTGCCAACCTTTCGTTCGACGAGGGGGCTGCCAGGAGGCATTGAGAGCGCCAACGCAATGTGATACAGGTCACCATCTAACCTTCACTTGGCCATAGCAATGTACGATAAATATGATCTAGCGAAATGACTCCAGCGCTTTCCCCATGACTGCAATGTCTTCTGGCGTGGTCCGACAACATCCTCCAATCATCTTAGCACCAGCGTTCCACCACTCTACTGTCTTCTGCTCCAACGTTGCCCCCTCTGTCCTTTGACCCTCCCATTCCCGTGCTTGCGCGTTCCACTGCTCGCCCGAATTCGGATACACGATCAATGCCACTCCCTCTACTAATGGAGACAAGTCTTTGAGCGCATCTAACGCAAGATCGTCTGAAATACAGTTGAATCCCACGGCTACAACTTGATTTGTTCCTCTGAGAATGGACACAATCTCACTTAGAGGTGTGCCGTCGCTGATGTGTGCGCTGTCCCGCAAAGTGAATGAGAACCACGCCTCCGCATTCGGGAACTCGGTGATCAGTAGATCCAACAGGGCTTCGATTTCGCCCTTCGAAGGCATTGTTTCAAAGGCTAGGACGTCGACGTTTGCGTCCACTAGCGCTTGGAGTCTTCCACGGTGGAACGCTTTCATCTCATGGTTTGGGAGGGTGTAGTCGCCACGATACTCGCTACCGTCTGCCAAAAACGCACCATATGGCCCTACGCTGCCGGCTACAAGCAACTTGCTGCGAATTGATTGTTCATAGTCTGCGAGTGAACTGCCGTTTGCTACCATCTTATCTTTCGCTTCTTTACTCAGCGCAGTCAAAGTCTCAGTCACATACTCATCCCTGGCATCCTGTGCTAACTTTACGCTCTTACTGATGACAGTCCTCGCCTCTTTCTCATCCAGGTCCAGGTGCTTCGTAAGCCCAGCAATAGAGGCCTGGTACGATGCTGTGATAGCGATGTTTGCGCCGGCCCGGTAATAGTCGAGATGCGTTTGCTTGATCAGGGAAGGGGTTTTTATGAGGATATCAGCAGACCAGAGAGCGCCAGAAATGTCGGCGCCTAGGGTCTCGAGGTAAGTTGCCAGAGCACCGTCGAGGAGGATAGGGGAGCCACTAATCAGTCGGGTCGAGAGCTTGTTGGCTTTCGATGACGCAATTGCTGACATCGTCGGTGGTTGGACGACTCAAGGAGACACAGAACAATTTGATGATGAGGTATATGTCGGTGCTTGGAATCACTCAAAAACCCCGCGGATTGGATCTGCCTGTGGTGATATCAGAAGTTTGAGCAAGGCGGGTGTGCGGAAAAGGACCGAAGCTAGTAAATGAACAAATCATGGCTTCAGCGCCACTTAGAGCAGCTATTGCACGCTCTCGAAGCTCAGCATGGCGAGCAGTCAAAGGCATTCCCGACCTTCCTACGGTACATGTCGCTATGTCATTGTGCCACCCACACTTATCATCGTCGCGGGTCAAGCGAGTAACGAATGATATCGATAGGCAGAAGGTCCGTGCCTGGAAGCGCATCGTGAGCTTCAAAGTATCCCTTGGTCTCGTATGCTCTGTCACCCTACATAGTTCCCCCTCAGATCATCCGTAGTTGCGACGGTTGTTCGTCATGTTGTGGCTCGCAGCGCGATCGGCCATGGGAGCGTTCTAGAGACTACAAGATAAGAGCACGAGGACACGGCGAGAGACTATTCCATCTGTTACACGGTTACGCCACTTGACGCGTAAAAACGTGGCCGCTTGATCTATCCCTCGCAGTTAAATCACGACCTGCCCAGAAGCCCAGAGTCCTTCCTTGTCGACGCTAAAGAACCATGTCGCTCTTCGACCCGTCCTCGGGCCAGGTTTATACAGAGACTATCTCTACCCCCGTCCGATCGATGATACCGACATGGACAACCCAGGCCCGAGGCAGAAGAGATAACCCGGCGGAGTATCTACATCGGGGCAAAGGTTGCTCCAGTCTTCAGCAGATGACACTCCGTTCTTGTATCTGGCATGTTGATCTTATGGAGCCCGAGGCTCTGCAATGGCTCGGGTGGCATTATGCCAGTCGAATCTACGAGCGTCTCAAAGCCACGTAAGTTGAGGATTTGGGGGTAATCCTCGCTTACGACGCAGCTGAAATAGTACACAGTGATAATCTCACCTTCAGTGCCTGGAGCATCTTCCAAAAGGCGTTTCCGAAACAGATCGATCACTATCACCAGTTCCATGTTTCTGAGCGGGAGGCATGGTCATTGATACCAACGCAACTACCTTCCATGGTTGACCGGCTGGCCAAACTCGATACCGGCATGCTAACCTTCTTGTGCATTCGAAACTTTTCCCTAACCGTCGACCATCTAATAGCGCTCACCAAGATCCATACACTTGCGGGCCTTGTTCTAGAACACAAAAATAGTCCCATGGATCGATATATGCCTGCAATAAACATAAGCCATTGGGCACGTGCTGTCTGCGAGAATCGTGCTTTCAGGAAGCTAAGACTACTTGTTGTTGGCAACTTCGGGCTTGGCAGAAATGCTGTTCTACAAGGTGTCTCGAGCTTCTCTGCCTTGACTCTTGTTGGGGTTCATCAAGCCGGGGAGGCAGGTGGTAAACCACTTGATTCATATGGAGATTGGCGCACAGGATCTCCTCAATGGTAAGTGCCAGGCGTAACATGCGAATTGACTATTGCCTAATACGATCAGGTTGAAAGAAAAGATCGCGGCACCTGACGAGCAAAGCCCAATGTCGATATGGGTAAACCCTAAGATAACGAAAGCGCATAAAATGAAGCTACTGTACAATCTCTGTATCGAGCATCTACAACAGCCCCTGATCACAGAGAACCCACAGTCATCGATATCTGTGACCTACGTCTGTAGTGAATGGTTCACCCAAGACGACTCAATTGCATGGTTTTTCCGAGAGTTCAAAGAAGGGAAGACCCAGCCAACAAAGCGCCACAAGGATCAAGACCAACACGATGAAAAGAACCCCGATTCGAACAAGAAGAGGAAGATTCGGCAAGTCAAGAAGATGGACGTTGGCTCGCTTCTAAATACTTTCAGCTGAAAGATCTAAAGTGTCCCCGAAAATCGTCAGCGATTTGCAGCCAGTTTGCAAACAAGAGATGACAGGAATAAAGCCACTTGAAATAAATTGAGGGTTGGACATACAGGAAGACTAGGATCGCAAGAGAATTTCCCAAATCAACTGGACTAAACGCCGTATGGGACGACTACAACCTATTGCGGTTGTGCAGCAATTTCCATGCGATCGTCTGCATTACGACTTCCATACAGTGTCCGTCTAGCTTGAAAAGTTCAATGCTCACACAGGTTCTCGCAGGTATGGCATCGGAGTTTCTCTACCTCTGAATCTGCAATATTCACTGTTAAGGCCGTAAGTCGCCTTCAGGCAAACCCCCTTCTAAGCACTAGTACTATTTTCGACTCATAGCAGTCGGATTACTATTCAAAAGATCAGTATACAGAAATTTAGGGAGTTCTTAGCGCGTAATTCGAGCTTCTTCTGCTTTGGGCAAGCCATTGGGAGTTGTACGAAGTTCATCTTGGTTAGCTCTAACTATTAGCGTTATACCTAGGTATCCCTATCTTCCACTTCCATTCACGCCCGTGACCATCGGTGGTGAAGTCGAAACCCCACGCACGTATGGCTAACATAGCTTCTCTAAAACTGGTCAATGCGTCGTCACTGAGGGAGAAAGGTATTGAGGTTGGTGGTGCCAAGTACTTTGAGGACTTCTATAGGGCCTTCGATGAGTTTAAGATAAAGATAGCGGGGATCCAGTTGCAGTGGGCTGAAGGATTGGAAGAGTGGGAGAGGGGATGGGAAGAGTTTGCGAGGGGTGAGGTTAGAGCTGATACGGGGTTGGTGGTCCGGATTTATGAAACTTGGATGTGATGTGATGTAGATGTCGATTTTTGCGAAGCCTCGAATGCAGATTGATTGATTGTTCAGTGTGAGTTCTACTCGAATAGTGAACCATGGAAGACCTTATAGTACCAAGTATTATCAGTAGTATTCTTATCCTGGACTTTGGTTTATATAAAATGTTCACAGACACTCCTCACCAAATGCTCATATCCGAAGACTACACCTTGCTCAAACGCCTCGGTTGTATGATCGCTGACACAGACAGAATCGTTAACAGTAAAGTAATAAATCATGAGGTGCAAGTTAACCGTCCAAAGCGCAAGCATTTCAAAGCCGATTCAGGCTCCCGCCACAATACTTCTGAAGGTGCTCCAAACAAACTGCAGCAGCAACGTACTTCCAGCTCTCCAGGTTCTGATAACCCTTCCTTCCATTGCTCTCTAACGCGACCTTGAAGCAAGCAATAGCTCGCGGCAGTGTCTCTGCGTCCTCGTCACCTTCCCAAGGCCCATCGCCTCTGACAATCCTCTTGATCATTGCGCTGACGTCACGGTCGAAACGCTCGTGAATCTCGAGATTGGCTTCACGTATATATCGTGAAGTTGCATGCTCTTTCTTGCCCAAGATGTTACCACTGAAGACCTCGAGCTCAGTAAGAGGCTTGCCACGATATGGACGGAGCGTGTCCATAATCTCGAGCATGTTTTCTTCGTAGCATTCTCGAAGCTGTTTGGCAAACTCCTGATAACGATTCCAGTGAATACCGTGCGTCTCTCGGTCGAGATAGCTCTCGAGCTTTTGGATCAATGACTCGCTGCCCCAAGCGTTTCGGAACGCTTCGAAATCACTCTTCATCTTATCAAAGAACTTCCTCTCTTCGATGCTACGGTATAAGACCCCAAGTATCTTCTTGCTTCGGTAATAATTGGTCCTTCCTTTTTTGACATCTGGGGCGCTGATGAAATCAGGTTCGTTGAGGTCATCCTGCTCGAGCCCCTCTAACTCTGCTGCTCCAAGCTTGATGATTACAAGATTCGATTCGGGTCCCATGAAGTCCGGTCTGATGTTGTCTGCACCACGCGTTATCTGACCCATATCAACTGGATTTCCAGATTTACGGAAGTCGACAGCATCTGATGCAAGCTTTGCTAAGCGTATACACTCAGGATCGTGAGTGCCAGAAGGCTTCAAATCAGCCGTGATCTTGTGCTTGTTGGAGATCTGGCCTAGCGGATCCACATGCATATATTCGATGAAGAAATGGACTATGTTGTTGACTCTTATTGACTTTCCGAGGTCGTTCGCTGGTGTCGATGCATAATCTGCTGGTGGCACAGTGAAACTTGGGACGAGTCGCTCATCAAACATTATGTGAAACAAGTCTCCATCGAGGTCACCACCACTCAGTTGCGAAGGAAGATCCCGTGAGCCTTGCTGGGAAAAGACGATACAGCTATGCAGTGCTCGAAGGGGCGATTCAGCCGGGACATCGACTGCTGTGACGAGCTGTATATCGCCAGGGTGCAAGGCAGGTGCCCTCATGACCACAACTCGATCCTTCAAGAGTGTACTTCTACTCCAGTTTCCATTAGTGTCACAAACCTGTGTTGAAATGTATACCTCTCCCTCCCGCAAGGTGTTTGTCTCATCCATAATACCATAAAGCAGATATCCCTGTGTAACTGGTATCCTAGCGCGATATTTGAGTTCTCTGAGTTTCGAAATCGCTGTTACTTCGACAATACTGGTGAGAAATCGGTCTGCATGAAATGATAGTCCAATCTGATGCATCCGCTCTAACAGTGTTGGCACTTTAGCAGTTACTGTAGAGCGCGATTGTACTGCGAACAGCGTAAGCCTTTGACTTATTAAGGGTAGACTTATAGCTGTGTATCTTCCATGATCTCCATGTTTCGGCGATGACAGCCATAAAGCTGTGTAGAATTTTCTGACTTATGCAAATCCAAAGATCCTGCTCAAAAGTTGAAAAGAAGAGTGCCTTACCAAGGAATCTAGCGGCGTTCAAGGGGTCTTCCGTGATGAGCTTGAGCGTACCTATAGCCTCGTTTTGTACTGATTTGAAGTTCTTTTTCGGCACACCAAGATCTTCTAGGATCTTGATGGACTGATGATTCAGATACACAGGAAGTGGTCTGTACGCCGCAGAGCAAAGCTCTAGGTCCCCCCATCCCATATTGGCGGTGTATTTTGTCATACTTCTGCGGATGTGCATTTGTTCGCCATGCAAGGAACTGTCTAGTGACAAGACACCTTTTGCGCCTCGATACCGGATTTGTAGTACTGTAGGTCTCTGTTTCTTAAGCTCGGGTGGAAGTACTTTCCAAACTTTACTCAGAAGATCCTGGGAAATAGTTCCACACCCATCCGAAAAGCACCGTCCGTTCCTCTCGACGTCATTTGCGGTTTCGGTAACGTAAGCAGTGATTGGGATCGGGATCGAGAAGATAGTGTTTGAAAACGCCTGTCCTATTCGTGCTGCACATTTGGCGATGCAGTGGATTTGAGAGAAGTCTCCTAAGCTGTTTATGATATCTCTGGCGTGAAGCATGTTACCATTCTCCTGAAAAGGTGCCACGAACCATGCTTGATGACATCGAAGTGAGGACTGCGAGAAACCGAGGAATTCGAAGGTGCGTCCGGCAACCGGGATCCCACCCAGAAGAAGTCTACGAAAGCGGTCGTAGATCTGGCCCTGAGAAACTTGTGTATTATGGAACACTGGTGACCCATCTTCTTCTGCGAAGGAGACCTTCATAAAGTACTCTGTATAGTTAGAGTACTTCTGAAGGACGCGGTTCGACACGCTCCAGTCGGGACCTCGCAAAACGATGCCTATGGTGACGACATAGTTAGCCAATTGCGGGTCATAGCACAAAGATCATCAGAAGCTAAAAATGTCTCATGTAGCTCTGAAGATATCCACGCTGCTTTTAGCACTTAGGTGACACCACTATAACTCCACGAATTCATCTAGGAATAGTGAAGGAATCCCTGCCATGTAGCCGGTCAATGAACTAACCTGTTGGGGTGACTGTAGCTTTGTACGTCAAAGCAAGATGATTACCGGCTCTCTGTTCTTTGCCTAGGTCTTGATTGACTATTCCACGTCCTCGGCCGCCTTGATCGCCCTCCATGAGTACGCCGCGAAGCTTCCGTAGACTGAAATTGCCTCCATCTGTGTATGGCGCTGGTGTGGGAAGTTGTTGCCTCAGGTGTCGAATTCTAACTGCAGTGAGATCGGAACCATGTTCATTGGCAGCCTCTTGTACGTGCGGAATCATGTCTTTCATTTTCAGTGGGGTAACGATGCCTTCGAGTACAAGTGCCATCAACTGGAAGCGTACGCGGAAGTCGAACTGTTGCGGGATCAAGCAATCGGATTTAGATAACATGCCCTCGACTTCCTTGAACTCAGCCTCAATCGTTCCCGTCCGGTAGGCAGGTACCATAGTCTTCCAGTAATGCATCTCGGGTATAGAGACGTCTTTGGTAATATTCGCAGCACACACGGCTGTTTGTGTATCGAAAAATGCGATTCGGTATACCATACATAAGGCTGAACCCATCGTATTTGACCGCCTTAAAGAACAGAGCCGTTCAAGTTTGCGGGTTCTGCCGTTTTGTTTCAACCTCTGGCGTGCAGTTTGAGGTATCTCTTTGCCAGAGTACAGTTGTGTGCTGTCTGTCCACCGAATTCTGTAGAACTTTGGCGGCGATTTTAGAGTGAGAGTCATGGTCCCACGGCTACCGTTGTCAAACGAGGTGATCACATGCTCTACAATTGCGTATGCAATGTCAACCCTGCAATGCCAACTGAAATCTTCGTGTACACCTTGCTGAAGATATATCACCAGTCCAGCCTTTCCAAATGTGATGTACCCATGCCTCGTATCCTTGAATTTCTGGTCGAAAACGAGCTTTCCCACCAGATCGTAGTCCCATACACCAGTCATGAGGGTTTGGAAGGGTAGTGTGAATTGGGATGATCGTTGTACCTGCTCGGGAGCTTGTTTCGATAGTCTTGTTCGTATTGCTGCTTCCTTCTCGTACAGTGTCTTTATTTTTATGGGGTCGGGTTGCCCGGGTTTGTTGCTCAGTTTGAACTTGAGACGTTCACCGCGCAAGGTCAAAGCCTGGTTGTCGCGGCCGCTGTAATGCTGCAGGAAGGTCTTCCCGTTGGTTTCATTTGCGACCGTAAGGATAGCGAAGGGGCGCGCTTTAAATTCACAACACTTCTTGACTTCGAACGCCAATATGCCGAGCTTGTGTAGCTCGTCTTTTAGGACTGTCTGCAATTCAATGTGACTAGCATCCTTGGGGACCTAAATCGCGTATCATAGTCAGCAGTGCTTTGAAGACTATGTTTGATCATTGTTGAAAGTGTGGATCAGTATTCTAGTGCAGTCAAACGTCAGGATATTCGCTAACATACGTTCTGAATGCAGATATCCATAATGAGTGATCTGTCTCGTAGGCCGACTCTTCACGGCAGAAAAGTGGTATTCTGCCGGGGCTTCTCAGAGGGACCGGGGAGGAAAGAATGATCCAGAAAGTTTGCTACTGCACTCAGCTGTACCCATAGACCTAAGTATCTGCGGGTCAACTAAAGAGGTACGGAAAGTGACAGGGGTTAAAAAGCGACGAACGAATTAGATTGCACCTTGAAAGAGTGACAGACGAATTACGTTACATAAGGTACAGACTCCTTCTATAGTTAGTATACTTTGTTTCTTGCTTTTTCAAGTCCCTGGTTACTTTCCGTCGTGGCAAGAGGTGGTAGGTGGAACTGACCTTAATGCGGCACGACTCGCGTTCTCACGTGGGAGTTATCTTGTTGTTCATCTTGACTGGCGGACTTGTCAAGGTTGGTGACCATGCTTTAGTTGGTCCTAATAATAAATGGTAGTATTTGTATCCTTAACTTTGCAATTCGCGATTGTTCTGGACGCTCTTGAGCGCTGCCTTCCAGGTTCATGCGGGGGACAAGCCTGTTGTGTGATTGCCAAGTCAAACTGATCTGTTGTTCTTAATTCGAATGCGCGCGGCCGTAAGTTGTAGATCGAGTGACCAGTTTCTTGGAACTCTACCTGTCAGTTTTCTCCTAACACTTGCGGTGCATGATTGATTTCGTTACTATCAATGCTTAGCAGCGAAGTGTTCCTGGCATAATACAATTTTCGGGTATTGTCTTTAGGGTTTGGGCATCCTCTCTCTTGTATCATACACTTTTATTCCCTTTCAGGTGCCTCATTTCTTTTCCTCGTCCTTGGCCGGAGCCTCCCTCTTCTCCAACAGCTGATCGACAATACCAAAATCAATCGCCTCTTGCGCGTCCATATAATAGTCGCGCTCCATGTACTTCTCGATCTCTTCCAAAGTTCTCTTCTTCGTGACATGCGATTGATATATTCTGTTCAGCTTGTCCCTTATCCTCAAGATCTCCTTCGCGTGGTCTGCGATGTCGCTCGCCTTTCCCCGATACCCACCACTCGGTTGGTGGATCATGACTCTAGCATGTGGAAGAATGTATCGCTGTCCTTCGGCGCCACCGGCGAGTAGCAAGGACCCCATTGACGCGGCGATGCCCATACAGATCGTACTGACAGGACAGCGAATGTAGTTCATCGTGTCGTAGATGGCCAGGCCGGCGCTCACACTACCGCCTGGAGAGTTTATGTACATCGAGATGGGCTTTTCTGGGTTATCGGCTTCGAGGAAGAGGAGCTGTGCGACGCAATTGGCGGACATGAAGTCGTCAACTTCACCGTTAAGGCAGATGATCCGCTCTTGGAGAAGGCGCGAGAAAATGTCGGAGGTTTTCCAGCCTCCACCCTACAAAGTCAGACGGATATGTCAGATGATGTTTCAAAAAGCTCACAGTGGTCTCTGTCACGTAAGGTATTGGTAGTGACATTGCCCGCGGTGACTGGTGGTCCTGCTGTTGCTGCGGACTCCATGGCGCAGTAAAGCCGAACTGGCTTGATATGGACCGCGCATGACGTGTACAAGAAGCTCGCAGTATTGATGGCCTTGCAGCTTGCCGTAGTATCGTTGCCATAGTGTGCTCTTGGTGTTCTTGCCTTCTCCGAAGATGGAGGTTATAGCAGGGGCGTAAAGTTAGCGATTCGCGCTAGGGAATCCGATCACGCCCCATCCCGGACCTTTTCACCAACCCTCTAACAATCCACAATCTTTTGGTCGTTCTTTTGCATCTGATGCCAGGCAAATGGACCCATCGCCTGGACTCATGTTGGAGCCTAGCTAGACGCTCTTCCCAGGTTCTCTACCGCCGATCCTCTACGCATGTCCCCGGCCGCATCTTGCGAGGTGACAGCCTTGGTCCCGTACGTGATGATGCGCACCAGACGTTCCGTGTGCGCAAAGATGGGACGGCGAAGGAGCTTCCGCTACCTCCTTCACTCGACCCGATAGTGCTAGAGAAGAGGTCGTCATGGGAACAGGCCAAAAGACAGCCAAAGTTTGCGGACTTTACCCCATTTCAGAAGAAGCTATGGGAGAATCCATTCGGTAGCTACACCATTTTCCAAGAGGTAGATACCATGCTAAGTCTTCTTAGCACATTCCCTAGCATCGCCGCTTCGCCAATGCCGCGCAACTCTCATCTCTCTTCCGGTCGCATTTCTCACGTCCTTACACGCCCGCCCACATCCCACTACGAGCGACCCATGGCTCCTCCCCGTATCGCTGACTACGGACAAGAAACATCTTGGGCCACCACACCGCTTTTTAGGCCGCCAGCTCGTCGCTGCACAACAGGGTAAAAAGAAGGCGTGGGAAAAGAGCCTCCACATTCGCTTGATTGAGAAGCTGGGCAGCAACAGTACGAGGAGGATGGTCTGGAGGGAAGACATGGCAGAATTTGTCTTGGACATGATGCGCAAGAGGCTAGTTACGAAGCTCAGCTGGAATTTTGGGTTCAGAGGACGCTTGACCCCGGTTTCGAGCCCAAGGACTGAGGATATTGAGAACATCGAGGACGTTTCCTGCGTGTTGTTGTTCGGATCGCTTCGTACGCGTGCAGATGGCTTGCAAGATCGCGCTGACCAGATCAAAGTCGAGCTTGAAAAATGGTCAAACTACTTCAGCAAAAGCTTGACTACGAAACTGGACCCACATGCCTCTTCTGAAGTCACTCATACCTCTCCGGTATGGTACACGGAGCCGCTCGTTCCTCGCTTACAGCCTCGACTCCAGTACCCAGAGCTGGAGTTCAAGAGCACGATATGGTGCGGGAGGAAAGTAGCTGTGTACAGCTTGACGGACTTACTGGGCGAAGAGAAGGCGAAGGCGTTGATCAAGGGAAGCAAATACGACGGAGAAAAGTGCGTTGTGTTGAAGAGAGCAAGACATAATGTGCCGGTCGAAATATTACTTATGCAACTACAGGCTTACGTCGCTCAGCCTGAGCCGTAATCGCGTCAACTATAGAAGTCGTCGCTCTTAGTCTACTGGTTATTGAAACACTCGCTCATCCTCTTCTCCCAATCTCCCTTTGTCAACCCAAAAAGATGCTCATCCATGACCTGCCCGTGCTTCTCACAATGATCCTTCAACACACCCTCCCTAGTATACCCACACTTTTCAAAGCAGCGCATGCTCGCCACATTGCCACCAAAAACGCCGCCGCACAGCTTCCTCAGTCGCTGGCCATCTTTCTCCCACTTGTCGAAGCTCCACTTGGTGAAACCCTCGAGGACTTCAGTGGTATAGCCTTTTCCCCAGTGAGCTTCGCCGATCCAGAACCCTACTTCTGCAGTGTGCGAGTTCACATTTGTGCCAGGCATGAGGCCAATACCACCGATCACAGCTTCTGGGCATGAGCGCTCGCAGATTCCGAAGTGGTTTTGATGCGGGGCAGTGATGTTTATGTTGATCCATTTCTCCGCCTCAGTGGGTGTGTAGGGACTTGGGAACGTCAATGACATGTACTTTGCGACTAGAGGGTTGTTTGCGTTGAACGACATGGATTGCGCATCTTGTAGATGCAGTGGTCGGATAAGGAGGCGGCCTGTAGTGAGGATGGGTTGTGGGATTGGTGAATCCGCTAATGTTTTGGCGCATTCAAGTGGGTGCGCTGGTGGTGGTTGAGCGGCCATTGTGTTGGAGGCCTTTGTTATTAGCAGTTTGCGGGTAGAAGAGGGAAATAAATGGGAAGAGGATTAAGCTTGGTTTATCGGGCTCCAGGTGTTTATATGATCTACGATTTCCTTTGAGTCACGCCTTTGAGTCAAATGGGTGTGAAGCTACGCGATGGCTTATGGATAGATTGGCACGCCGCTCCCCGGCCGGCATGCAGTATGGCTGTTGCCTAAGGTATCATCGCCAACCACACCGCTCCCGAACGACACAAGCAGTCCCGAGATACCCCTAGGTATAGTTTACGTCGAGGCAGGCTACTTTACATGGGCACAAGGTCGGACCGTGACATCGTGTTCGTGGTGGGCTCAAGCACAACACGCTAAAACGCGTCGCGTGGGGTGGTTCACGATGCATACCTAGGTGCCTAGCTATCCTTCAACCGTCGCTACAAGAGCTCCACAATGTCGACTTTCGCCACGAAGTAAGTTTTACCTCGTATGTAGAGTTTCCATGTCTAACAAAATGCAGAAAGGTCGTAAGGACCTATTCGCGACAGGCCAAACGCGCCCTATACGATGAGGAACCGCCCACGAAACGAAGACGCGTTGAGACTGCGTACGAGAGCTCTGCAATCCATGCAACGACGATAGCCACATGTCCTTCGCCGATGGAGAGTTCTTCACCAACACGCGATGGCTCGGTGCCTCCCACCTCGAGTCCTAAAGATTTGGCCGCCATCTTCTCGGATGAACTGCTCCAGTCAAGTCCTCGCTCCTCATCAGCACCGCGCAGCTCTCCCCCAGCCCTGCAGAAACGACGACCATTCTTCTCATTTCTCAAGAAGCAATCCGTGCCCAAGACACCAACGAAGCACCCCCTCGTAGAACGCAGCCACAATGCCCACAGCCCGCCAAAGCAACCACCGAAGAAGAAGCGCATGGTGCAAATGCAGCTAGACCTAGCCACAGCGCATCGGAAAACATGCAAAGCTTGCGGCATGGAGTACATACCATCGAATGCTGAAGATGCGGCCATGCATCGGAAGTTTCACGCCATGAACCTAGGAGGTGTAGACTTCACGAGGCCAGTCATTGAGCGTTTCAGAAAGAACCAAGTCTGGAGTGGAGGAGACGGAAGCTTCATTACAGTCGTTGGGCGCAAAGATGCGCTAGTGCTGCGCAACAGGGCAAGCGACGTTCTGAAAGTCGTCAACACAGAGCTCGCAGCTGTTCCCATATCAGACGAAGAGATGTGGAGCCAGACAGGTAGTACAAGCTTCGCAAACGCGCCGAAGGAGACAACGGCTTCAAATGCGGATGCCTCTGCGACTGACGAATCTGGCTCGCCGCTTGTCGATCGCTTCAAGATGTATTTGTACATCCGGGGCAACAAGTGCGTGGGAGCCTGCCTGGTGGAGAGGATTTGGGAGGCTTACACTGTACTGGACCAGAAAGTTGCGTCTAAGCAGGCATGCCAGCTTCCTGCTGCACATCAAAGCTCTTCCATCTCTATCAGCACAGAGTCGGATTCGGCCATCCTGGGCATCTCGCGAATATGGACATCTAGTCAACATCGGAAGCAAGGCATCGCAACCAGGCTGCTGGAGTCGGCTCGATGTGGGTTTCTGTATGGATTCAAGATTGAGAAGGAACGGGTTGCTTTTAGCCAACCTACCGAGAGTGGAGGGAATCTGGCGCGGAGATGGTTCGGAAGCACAGCTGGATGGCATGTCTACATGGACTAATGTTACCAATACGAGCCCGCTGTGCGATGGGCTCTGGTATGACGTGCATGCCCTCGCAGCATGGAGCTGCAGGAGAAATGACCATGCGTGAGAAAGAACAGAAATGCCAGCCAACGCCGTAGAATTACTTTACATGCTCAAGCCGTTCGGCTAAGTAGTTCAAGCCAAGATGCTTTACGATCCATGGATGGTGGGGGTGCTCTGAGCTGTCCCTTGCCTTGCGGATCTGCCCCAGCTTGTCGGTGCTGATCACCTCCAAAGCCCGACCATCAGTAACATCACTCGACTCCGGTCCACGGCTACTTTCCACCGCTTCCTACGAGCTTTTTCCATGTACATAGAACAATGCATTGTTTTTAGTTTCCAGCATGTCATCCGGGAACCCTTTCCGCGCATCTCAGTTGTACAGCCAACCCGCTTCCTCGCCCATTCCGCAAGCTTCCTTTATCAAGCCCGATAACAGTGTGCCTGAGGCGCGCGGAAGGGAAAGTGACTATGGTATACTTTGCCCTTGGCTTCCTGCGCAAAGTAACGAAAGAGTAATTGTCGTACAGTGCTCGAAGACGCCGTTCCGCCGCCTCCCAAGACAAAGAAACAAGTCCGCATAGTGTCCTCTACTACACTTATCCCACCGCATCCGGACGCCAACGATGTGCATGAGACTTCGTCTGACCCCTCCCTCCAACAGCTGCGCCAGAGCCAATATGCAGGCTCATCACCTCCCGTAGCCTCCGCTGGCTTCTCGAGCACCGCTGCATTAGCGAGGGTACCGAATGCACAAGATGCTGGGGAGAGATATGATATGGCTGCACCAGACGTATTTCAGCCAAGCTCGAGGGCATACTCCGACAAACAACAGAATACTCTCCCACCAAGTACCGCTCCGTCAAACCCGTTCGCAAAAACTCTGGCTTCACTTGAACCGTCAAAAAAGGGAAGCGGGGAGGATCGGACGAGCACGGAAAGGCCGACCCTAGGCAACAACAGAGCATCACTAGACGTGGAAAGCTTCAAGAACTTGCTCATGACGGGCAAACCGACTCCGCGCCCTTCCGTCCAGCCTCATACAAGCACCATCGCACCGGCTGCGCTCAGCGGCTCGCAATTCGAAAGTAGCAGCAGCACGGATACCTCATCCATATCACGGCAATCTCTATTCGAACCCCCTCACGAAGTACACGCCGAGTCGCCGAGGACATCATATGAAATGGCAGAGTCGGACGAGGATGAGCATATGGGCCTAGTGTCGGAAGTAAAGAAGGGCAAGAAGAAACCGCCGCCTGCGCCGAAGCATCGACATGGCAAGCTCGTCACACTAAGACAGCCACAGATTGTGTCGTTTGATAGCTTCGCGGCCACGGAACCTACGCCCTCCCCTGTCATAAAATCCAAGGACGGCTCAGATGTGAACAAACCACTTCCGCCTACCCCGGTTGTCTCCCCGCCCGCACTTCATATTAGTAACCAAACCACCACGCCATACCAGCCTTCCCCAATACAACCTCGATCAAACGAACCATTAGCTCCTTCAGAGGTCGCGACACTGCACAAAAGGGCCCCTCCTCCCGTGCCTTTATCACGCAGACAAAGTCAACTCCGAAGCTCCAGAGTTGCAGACAAGTCACGGAGCAACTCATCCCTTACAATGTCCTCACAACACTCGATTGATTCACTCTCAAGCCCTGTTCCGACTAATCAGGACCCGATAGCTGGAGCGAAGTCTCCACCACCTCCACCACCCCCGCGGCATGGAGCGCGACTCACGAATCTTGGTACATCTAGCGCCAACTCCTCTAGCACAGAGCTTCCCCAGCGCTCAAGTTCTATCCGCACAGTAGCATCCGCACAGGGACCCACGTCGTCTCGCAGAAGCACAATAGATTCTGATTTCGAACCCTCATCTCCTGTGTCCGGTGTTAACCGTACATCCTCAATGTCATCAAATCGTAATACTTCACGAGCCGTCTCAAACGAAAGCGCGGGAAGTATAATGCCACCACCCCCTCCTCCACCACGTCGTCGGCAGTCGACACGCTCAAGTCTCGACCAACAGCGCCCCTACATCCCCTCGTCTTCACCTACAGACAGCCGCCGGGCTAGCACGGAGAATAGGCGGACGAGTCTAGATAGTAAGCGGAGGACTAGTGTTGCCAGTGAGAGCTCACTCAGGCGGGAATATGCGCCTGCCGACGAGAAGGGAGGGAATGAATACGCGCTTTATTCTCCGAAAGAGGAGTCGGAGAACCGCTTGGAAGTGGGCGCTAAAGTTTCAGAATCTAGGAGTGACTCGAGCAATATCCTCGATGATATGGAGAGATTCCAACGAGAGATTGAGGAGTTGAGGCAGCGGTTTAAACAGGCGGGGTAGTGCGTCGCGTGAACAGAGATGACACGGTGAATTGCGATCTGCATCATCCGGAATGATGTGGTATGTTGGCTTTTGGAGTGCCTGTTATGCATCATGATATACATAGACGTCGCTATGTTACAAGTATCAAGTCGAAATTCCTTGAGCTCACGTGCATTACATAAGTTGTAGTTGAATTGCATATTGACATGCATTGTAAATGTAGCGTTCCATGTCAAGGTATGGGGTTGGTTAGTATCCATTGATGCAGGGTTGTGGTATATCAGTATCGTTTTACACGGGCGTAATATCTATCTTTCACGGATCACCGGTCTCATCGCACAATCACAGCCTTCAGTATGTCGTCCAAGCTCACTTCATGTTCACCCGGTACTACGTCTCTCCAGACCGTATCTTGGACACGCTGTGCTTCGGGTAGTATAGTGAAGTGCGGACTGGGTTCCGCCTTGAGCCACTTGAAGTCGTCGATCTGGTCCCATTGATTCGGAGACTGCAGTGTTTCCGGCGTCATCTACGCACAAGATTAGCATCTGATTGCATATCGACTACTGGCATTTCGATGGTGGGAAGAAGAACTTACATATGCGTCCGGCAGCGGGGCAAAGCGCAAGCCCTCGCAGTCCTCGAAGATGGGCCGACTCGCGCAATGCAGATAGATATCCATGTTCTTCGAGCCGTGCATGCGGAACTGGCGACATGAGGTTACTATAACGCTGTTCTCGATATCTGTGATGTGTATGGCGCCATCAACTTGGCCACAGATTATGAGTGAGTCTTTGATGTTTTTAAGGTACAGGGCCGCAAAAGGAGCGCCGTTCGCTGTCGGGGGGGAAAGGTCCACTATGCATCTACGAAGATTCGCTACAGTTCCGGAGCTTGTTGCGTGCGACGCTGATGTAGGCAGTATAATGTGTAGACCCTCGTGTTTCGATATAGTGACCTTTGTCGCGTTCGAGAACGAAGGCCTCCGTATCCCTGTGCCGCTATCTATCCCATCGAGACCGTCTTCCTCGATATTGTTTAAAGTCGCTTCTTTTTGCCTGTTGTCTTCCCCTGGCAACAGTTTATCGAGTGGGGTAGGCGCAATCGAGGAGTTGGTGTTGGATGTATCAGACGCAGATACTGGCGCATGAGGCTGTGGTGACTGAGCGAGTTCTGCAGCACCGTTTCTAGGTATTGCGGACGGTGGTCTGCGTGTCTTGAACTGGAACTTCTTCGGGGGATTGAAGGAGTTGCGGATGTTTTGTAACTTCTCAGAGAGCGCTTTGATCGCCTACAGACGTCAATTCGGTGCTACATGGGGTGTTTTGGAAGACAGTACCTCACCGTAGGTTCGCTGGTCATATGTAGGAATATAACCCGAGGCGTCTTTGACTTCATGAGAGAGTCGGTCTATGCCCGCCAGACAGTGGTCCACGGCATCGTTGCGCTCGCCGCCGGAGACTGACATTTGGTTTAGGCGCTCCATCTGCTCTTGGAGAGCTATTGTTGTTAACTATGCTACGTGCAAATGCCATTTCAGTATTGTACCTGTGACTTCATGTTGGAAGTAGCGAAAAAATCGCTCCTTCAATCCTGGCTCCATGGGTGCTTGTGAAGTCGCCATGCTGCGCTTTGAACGAGGGATAAACGGGCCCGTCTCTTTCCGATATAACGATCTAGAGCTTGAGAGTATCTTTTATAGTCGCTAATCAGTATTCCAGCTACATACAACCGTGGTATGGTGTCATGTAAATCGACGACGCGTCGGGTAGCGGATGGTGGGGTTGAAAAGAAAGCGCGTCGAGGGCAGGTGGACAAGGACACCTGATGAACGCACACATTTTGAAGACTATGGACCGAAAAGGAAAGTAAGAAAGTTCATGTGCTCCGTTTAGGCACGATAACTATTACACTACGACTAAAACATGATGTCAAAAGTAGATCAGGGGTGTAGAAGAGCACCGAACTGGATGGTAAGCTACCCCGCATCTCGCCGATGGCATTTCAGGACCGATAGAGGTCGCATCAAGCGCGGACACCAAGATCAGCTGCTCCCTCCTATAATAGGTTGTCACAAACTAGGTGGTACTCCAGTGAGGGTTGTGTCTGACAGATTCCTCGTGCTCCTGGCTGCAGATCTCATGTCTTTGACGAGATGTTCCTTCTAAATCTTCAGATGCTTTCACAAGCCTGTCATCTCCCGATTGTACCGCCCACCCTCTCTCAAGGGCCTATTCATCCTTACTGGTACACACAATCAGGTATAGCCCGTTTGCCCCTAGAGAGAAAACACGCGCAACGACACCAAGAAAGGACGAGCCTGGCAGATTGTGTGTCCAAAGCTGCACTTGTACAATTGTTACATAGTGATCCAATTCGATTGTTGAGGTAGTATATACACGAGCCTGCTATAGCCCAGATCTCTACGATGAGATGGTTGCTGTTGTGAACTCCAAAGAAAGCGTGTGTTGCAATTAGGCCGACTCCTGTGCCGCCTTTACGTCGATACCGTACTTCTCCAGTAGTCGTTGCCGTCTCCTCTCCTCATAACCAGGAGCATAGATACCTTGGTATTGTTAGTCGCGACGTCTAGACGGTATCAATCGAACGTACCTCGGCCCTCGCCCAGTTGCTCGATGGTTTCCGACAGTGGCCGCCTGCGCATTTTCTTCAGCTCGTCCCTACGCTCGACCTCATTATCGCCGTCTGTCTGGAGATCTACGCCACCCTTGAAGCCGTTGGTGTATCTGTATGCAGACAGGACGGCGGAGAAAGCGGCTCCTGCGCCGAGCATGAACGGAAGGCTTCGCCCTATTCATCGTCAGTCGTGTCCGACTCATTGTTCGGTAGGCACATACTGGCGATGCCAACACCACATCCGGCTGCAAAGCCAGCAATGGCTTCGCTGTAGCAGTCGTCCTTCTGTCGCAGGTTGCTGGTCGAGTCGAGTGTGAATTGATAGGTTGCTCCCACAGCGGCTACACGTCCATTAGTTCCGTCCAGCTCTGCTATACAGCCAACGACCATGTACGCACCATAGAGGGCGATTATGCCCCCCGAGCGGGTGATGATGCCCATGGCTCCGACATTCTGCTTCCGTAGCGTGTTCTGCGCACCCGCAATGATTGCGCCAAAGGCGGTTGTTTGGAGCGTCGTGTTCGCCGTGTTGGAGAGCGTGTCCCGCGGGTGGTAGGTGGCTTGCTGGTCGGCCATGGCGGGCGGAATTGGGCGTCAATGTCGTCTTGAGCGCTCTCCAGACGTGGATGAAGTCGTTCGGGCGGGAGCTTGGCGCGCGAATACGCTAATCCTGTTACGCGCAGGCGCCAGAGCTGGAGTCGCACCTGCATCATCGCTCGGGCAGTGGTGGAGGGCGGCTCACAAGCTGCATCGTCGCACTTGATTATTGACAGAGAGCGGTGCAGGTGGAGTTCAGCCTTCTTTCCTCTCTACCTTTTGTGATTTTAAAGGCAAACACCTTAGACAAAACATTCCCCTTCGATGCATGGCGGCAAACTGGTAGCGCAGAGTGCCCCATTACGTCCCCAGTTGCCGCCTACGATGCTCTGTTTAGACACTTCCAATCGCATCTGCAGCTTGTCCACTTGACCTCCACCCCGTCTTTCTTCCCCGTGCGGTGCTGTGCCTCCAAACGCATTCTGCGTCTCCTCCTGCCGCTGCGTCTTAGAGCTCCACGCGGTCCGCAGCAGTCATGGCGCCCGGTAAAGTACTCGCGGGTTGGATGCATGAGCCCATGCTAATCACGGCTCTATATAGGCAAGACGGCGCCGCGGCTGCTTCAAGACCTCCTTACATACGATCCACGGTACGAGGAAAAGGCCGGCAGCAACTCCCTCACGAGCGCGCCTCCACAACACAATCCAAACGGCGAAAAGGTTCGCGCGGTACCTTTCAGGAACTGTAGGCACGCCCTCCACACCAAGAACGAGCAGTCACAGCTGCCCGTGGCTGGCGAAGCCCCAGACCACTCTACAAAATACAAGGTTGCGTCCTACTGCTCGCAATGTCGCTGGCATATCGACGTTGTTCTCGACTTCTGCGACGACGGATCGAAGAACAGACCGTGTAAACAGGGCGACATGGAATACTTCCTGCACCACTTTCTCTTTGAAAGCGAAGACAACACTAGCGACAACGTTGGTCTTAGCGCCCAGTATAGACCACGAACGTACCAATTTCGCTGCTCAGCACCCTCCTGTCCAGTACTAGTGAGAATTAGCTTCAAGCCGCCTAGGTTATCGGAGCAGGATATCGAGACCTTGACAGATGGAGCTCAACTCAGGAGAAGATGGGAAGCAGCGAAACAGATAGCCGGTGAACGTGTAAGTCCAAACATGGCCAGGAGAGTCGATGCCCCCGACTTCTTGTACACATATCTGCAAGACTCCTTGAACCCGGTCAAGGGCAAAACGCGAATTCCCCTGTTGAACCGAAAGTTCCTCACGACGTTTGGTAAAGATTGCGATTCTATACTGAAAAGGCTTGGCTTCACGAAAGAACTAGAAAGGGAAGATGACGGAACCATGGCTGAAGCCTGGTACTTGCCTAGGCTGGACGAAAGCGAAAACTCCCTCGAGTCGCCTTTGCGCAACGTGATTGAAGATGCTCGCTACGAGCTAAACACGGTCATACTGGCGTTTGATGAGAGCGAACGTACTGGGTGTAGGCACCAGGCCCTCTATCCTACTCCATCGCGAGGCAACATCGAGAGGATACTGGGATGCGATGACTGTAGGTCTACAAGCGCCGTTGCATCAAGTAGTTACTAATAAGTCTTCTAGATGACAAGGTCAAAGGCCGGATAGAGACACGCAGCACGAACCATGAAGAGGACCATCCGTGCGTAAATCGCCTTCACCTTGACTTGTTACTCACTAACACTTGGGGTAGCCACTATGCTGGACTCGGCGCTGTCGGTGACTTCTCAGATGCTCTAGTTCTCTTCGCATTCTCCCGACAAGCCGAGCAAGATATGGTCAATCAATTTTACTACTTCGAGTGCCTCAAGGATATTGCTCTTGGTCGTAAGAGTGACGATCTCGGGACACAAGTAGCCGTCCTTGCGTCGAAGGGCCTCACCACCAAAACCGCTTTAGAGTTCGCATATCAATATTTCAACATCGACCCGTCCCATGCGGGTGTCATCAGCGATGAGCACATCATAGGTTGTTTCAAGGCCCTCCTGCCCGATATCAGTTCTTCACAAGCAGACGAAGCGCGAAAACAATTGCGAGTCCTCGGCGATGCGCGCAATAGCGATAAGATCCGCGTAGAAGCCTCCGATACCATCGAGACAGAAGAACAAGCTTTCGCATGGCTAGAGTTAGATAGCGGTACAACGGACGACTTCATTCAGACTATGTTCTCAATTAAGGTACGGCGTTACCCTGTTGGAAAGTGGATATAGTCAAGTGAAAGGACGCTAATGTTTGCCACAGACGCAAGACAACCCCACATGTCTGGACACTGCACGAAAAGCGGTTCTTGTAATAGCAAATAAGCGGCAAAGTCAGCGACTGCGTGATTTCTTGGACAAAGGTACCATGAGTGAGCCTGAGATGGACGTAGGTGAGGCGTATGCTTTGTTCCAGGTTGACAACAGAACTCTCGCTCTCGATCTTGACGTCTTGAAGACTACTGTCGACGTTGCCAATCCAGGCGACGTCGAGAAGCTGCAGAAAGCATTTGCAATCATCCAACAAGATCAAGCTCAGAACCACAATAACCGCATCGTGGGCGCAAGCCAGCCAGAGGCGAGGCGCAACAGCTACCCGCTAGAGACCTGGCCGGTAGGCCTCCGCAATATCGGTAACACTTGCTACCTCAACAGCGTTCTTCAATTTCTTTTCACCATCAAGCCTTTGCGAGAGCTGATTTTAAAATGCGACGAATACATGGAAGACCCGTCACCAGATGCATTGAAGGACAAAAAGGTCGGGCGCACCGTGGTTACAGCCGATAGAGTTATTACGGCTCAGAAATGTCAGTACAAAGTATTGCCACGCCATATTAGTACTAATCCCGCCTAGTCGTTCGTGAACTTCGGACGTTTTTCGAGCAGATGGTTAATGCGCCCACCGATACCGTCCAACCTGCACTAGATCTTGCCGCTCTGGCGCTGTGCAGGACAGACCGCCCAGAAGAACCAAAAGATCCTCTAGAAGTTCGCGTTGCCGACAATGCTGGCCTTGGCTTAATCGAAGGTGTTGCTGTTAGCGGTCCCACGCCTGCGCCAAATGGCGACACGCACGCTCCGAGTTTTCCAGACTCCGTCATGGCCGAGGACAAGGATGATGCTAAGAGCGTTTCGTCAATGCAGGCGATGGATTTAGGGGACGAGAACGACATACCTGCACCACCTACTCGACCCCCTCCTATCCCTCCTCGACCAGAAGCTCAAGCAAAGGCCGATCAGACAAAGACCAAGATAGGCATAGTTGAGGAAAGCGCCCGACAGCAGGACGCCGCTGAGGTCATGGGCAACATATTCGATCTAATATCGTGTGCTATCAAAGGTGAAGATGTCTTGCGCGAAGGCGAGCAACTGGATACGATCAAGAAGCTGTTTTTCAGTGATGTTACGACGGTCCGAGACACGGCGAAGGGAGCAGAGAAGTTGAGCGAGCTTCGACATAACTATCTCGTCTCCCCCGGCTGGCGGGACCGCCCTCTCTACGCCACCTTAGATGACGACTTCGGCCAAAGCGAAATGGAGGGTGGCGCAACCAGATATGAGTACATCGACAAAGCTGCGCCTATTTTGGTTATCAATGTGCGTCGTATACAGTGGGTGAACGAGCTAGTGTATGATCGCGCACATATCAGTCTGGATCACGCCTTGTACCTGGATCGATATCTGGGAAGAACAAACTCACTAGACGAAGCTCAGCTGCTCAAGCTACGCGAAGCGCAGTGGGAAAAACAACAAGAACTTCGCGAGATCGATGTAGAGAGGAAAAGGCTTCAGGCAACCGAAATCGAGGGCATGAATCTCGCCGACAGCATTGAAGAAACCAGTGCTTTCATCAACAGCCTATCCACAGAGCAATCTCAGCAAGAGCAGCAAGGAGTCGACTCACTTCCTACACCACCTCCTGAGCTCGCAGATACCCTCCACGAAAAAGCAGAGCGCATCAAGAAAGACCTGGAAGATATGGACTTCATCATGAGCAAACTCGAATCTCAAATCGACACCGTTTTCAGGGATTGCAACGACCACCCTTACCGTTTGCACGCCGTCTTTACCCACCGTGGCGGCGTTCGAGGTGGTCACTATTGGATTTACATCTACGACTTCCAAAATGGCTTATGGCGGATGTATAATGACGATCACGTCACAATTGCTGACGAGAAGCAAATTTTTGAGCCGGAGACGGGTGTTGCCATTCCCAAGGCAAGCACGGGGGTTGTGTATATTCGTGCGGATCTGGTAGATGAGTTCACGCAGGCGGTTTGCAGGAACCCGAAGGTGGAGGAGACTGATAGATCGGAAGACCCGGAAACGCAGTCTCAGGATGTCGTGATGCAGGACCTGGATGATGAAAAGCCACCTCCGCTCGAACCTATCAATCCTAATGAGTTGCCAGTTCTTGTGGGGGTTGAGAAGCAGTAAGGGCGCTCCTGTTGTAGAACAGGACCCTCTCTGCCCCTCTCTTCTGGTATCGTTCCCAATCTTACCAAGTCCTAGGGTCAGGATCAGCTTCAAGCAGAGGGGTTGGGACTCATTGAAGGATAGATTTCAGGAAAAGAGCAAGAACTCGCCTATGGAATTTCTGCTCATCAAACAGAGCACTATTCACATTGACGAGGGCATCTTTGGAATGGACAAAGACACGCCCAACGATCAGCATGAGCGTGAGGAGTGGTGATGGTATTAAGCTTTCCTATCGATTACGTCGGGTGTCAATATTGGTATCGGTACATAGATGGAGGGAAGTCATTCAAAGTATGCATGCATGGCGATAGCGACAGCGATTGGCATTTTCTATACATCACTGGGACTGCATTGTGGGTATCTGCATGACTTCATTCTACCGTCTGTAGATGGTGTAAAGCCAACCAACATCTCAACATTATCACTCAAAACGAATCAACTGGATCGTCACTTTTAAGACCCGACTCTTTCCCATCGGATGGCCCGGATGACTTCCATGCCGCGTGCACTTCTCATTGCGACCCCGATTTGTAGATTGATTAGCTTTAGAGATGTCTCGTTGAGTCAAATATCTTCTAGCAGTGTATCTAGTGAAGATCAATGATCGAACCTTTTATCGTGCTGCGGCGCCCAAGGGTCTCGTATACCTCGGTAGTTGGTTGGGATATACTGCATGGTGGTACGAATATGTGTGTACTACTTTGAGTTGTAGTAGCAGGTTCTTTTTATATAGCCATGCCGAATCGAATGATAATCAAGGCGTATTGCAGCAGCTGGTGGCAACAAATTCAAAAACCTCGTTGTTGCACCTTCGTGATCAGACAGCGTGTCTCTTCCGTCCACCACCTCTCCGCCAGTTCCAAAGTGCTTCCTGCGCAAAAGTCCTTGCAGTAAGATGCCCTTTGGTCCTATTCGCCTCCTCGGTCATCGTCTCAACCACTCTCCCCTCTTCGATACAACTCCACAAGCCCGCCGCCATAGCACTACCCACATCTTCCTCTTCATACTCGTCATCATCCTCTTCATCCTCCGCCACCTCTGGGTTCTTCGCAATATTGGCCGGCCCATCAGTATCCTGCCTCGCTCTCTCAACGCCAAACTCGCCTTGTCCTAAGCGATAAAGAATACGGCCAAGTGTTTGATATGCCATGCAGCGCTGCGCAGCAACTTTGCTCCTCGCCAGCACCGCTAGTTCCGGGATAGTGTACCCTGCCGCCTCTGGCGCATCGGCATGATTGTGTAGGCCCCGGTCACTCGGGATATCTCGCGCGACGCTGGGCGCCAGGAGGGCGCCCCTGAAGTCGAAACGCAACTCAGTTGCGTTCAACCCTGTTTGCGAGGGATGGTAGGGGGACGACTTGTCGGAAGGATCGATGGGCGCCATCCAGGAAAGTTCGCTGGGATTATAGGGTAGGCTTGGGAAGTATTTGTCGTGGAGATTCTTGAGGAAGGAAGGGTCATTAGGGTCGAGTTCAGGAGGTTGTGGTGGGTCGGGAAAGTGTATTGAGTCGGATTCTTGGTGCGGCATGGTGTCTGAGGGAGGTTGTGCGGTTGATAGTTGCGGCGGAGGCGCTTCGTGCTCAGGTTCGGGGGCGGCAAAGGATACCTTCTTGGTGCTTGAAGGCTTTGATTCTAGTACTGGAACTGCTTTGACGTTGTCAGTCGGGTGAGGAGCAGTTTCTAACTCGGGATATAGATCTCGTTCATTGCTCCCCTCGTCAATGTTCGATCTCATGAGTAGTTTCTGTAGCAAGGCGGGACTGAGGTTCGACATGAGTTCCTGTCGCTCCTCTTCGATCTCTTGGTCGGACATGGCCGCCAATGTTCGCCTGTTCTCTTCGTCTATGGCCCTCTTCTCTTCGTTCGGATCAAAGCCAGAGCGGGGCGCATGTTGCGCTGTCTGCGCTGCAGCAGAATGTTGTTCCTTTGCGGCGCGCTGCTGTTTGAAAGCTGACACTCTTGGTACACGCTTCCTGTGCGCTGGAAATCCATTTACATTTGCTTTGAGTGAGGGTGCGACTGGCGGATTAGTTGTGGATGAATTGCGCTCCAGTATGTCGCCCACAAAAGTGGGAAATGTAGGGACTGGAGGCTCATGATCTGGCTCTGGATCGGTCTTCTCGACTGCACCGGTATCGAAGTTGAGAAATACACGTTCTCCTTTCTTGAAGTCCATCTTGAACGCGGTGGTGGTAACAAGGCACGCAGGGTGGAGCCGGAAAGTTCAAAGCCATGAGAGCCCACTAGCGCTCGGCTCAACCAACCGTCGAACAAGCCCCATTTGTTTTTAGCATTTACAATTTACTGCACCACGCACAATACGTCAACTTTTGTGCACAGTGCCACTGGTTTCTTTTTCTAGTACCGCCGCAGTTTATTGAAATGCCACCACTACAAGACCGGGAATAATTTATCTTTGCACAGCGAACGGTACTTTTCTTTATACAGCAAGGTATTGCCCAGGCCTAGTTGATACAATACACGACCCATGCTTCTCATGAAAGCGTGGGATGGACAATGAATACAGGTGCTTCTATGTTCAACTCATCGATCGCACCACGGTAGCAACAGATACAGTAGTATACTGTGCCTCTAAAGTCCGCCTTGTCGCACGCGGCTACGTATGGAGCAGATATCCGGTCACGCCCAAGAGGGGTTCATCCGATGGGGCAAAAAAGAAAAGCACATCGATCGGTCTCACAAATCAAGATTCCAATATAATATATGAACGCGCGGACGTCTGGTTCAGGATGATAGTTGCAGTCTTCGGAAAGGCGTTGCCCCAACGACGGCTGATCAACACGGCAGGGCACAGACGCGCCACTTCCGGCTAAGCGTAAAAGCATCAAGAATCTCGAGCTCCCTTGGGCAGGCAGATTTCCACACCCCTATGCGCAGGCGCTCCACCAGCTCAGGAACCCTCCAGCACCAAAATGCACCGATATACAGCTGGCACGCCGTGCCCTCAGCCAAACCTATCCTTCTCGGGCAGCCATTATAACGATTATGGACGCGGCTCGTCTGTTTACGCGCCGAGCTATACAACAGACGAAACGACTGCGAATATCGAGTACACTACAGAGCTACAGGTGAACCCACGCCAGGCCAGACCGCGACGACCTGTGCGCAACATGCGCGACATACGCAAGCCCACGTTCAACCCGTCGCTTGATATATTTGAGGATGTTGCCCAGGAGGACGAGCAACAACAGACAGAATATGAGATGAAGAGGCGGAGTCGCGCCTCCATCATGCCAGAAGGCGCGAGGGCCAAGCGGAGCACCATACTTGCACATCCTGCACAGAAGATACCTAAAGCTGCGCCGCCGGTTCAGGATCCGCAGCTTGATAGGCCGCATCGAAGACGCGTTTCACACATGCTTTCAGATAGGCCTGGGATGGATCCCAACCCGACTGTGCAGCTACGAGAGGAGTTGCTGGAGAAGAAAGAGCCCAGGAAGCAGGGTGTTAAGAAAGATCTGCGTCGAAGGACTATCTACATCCCATCTGACGACACAACGGTCATGACGATCCATCCTGGACAGTCCACACATGGGCCGCGCAACCCTCGGGAGAACTCGCCAGACATCGGTCTCGACCTGGTAACGCTGTCGGAAGAGGAGGGGAACAATCTACTACCAGCCTTAAAGAGGGAGAACAAGGTGCCACGGAAATCGCTCGCTGGTCCACCGAAGCGTGGGCCATTGAGTTCGACAACGCGCTCGTTGCAAAGCGTCTCCTTTTCGAGCGATGTCATGGGTTCAGGCAGTGGAAAGGAGAACTTCCCACCCGGAATGGAGATTGTGCAGAGCAAGACCAACGGCACGCACATCGAAATCAACTTCAACAAGGCAGAGGTGAAGAAGGCCACTACAAAGCCTTCAAAGGTTCATTTCAACGCGCCCAAGGACTCCGAAAGGATATCGCAAGTGAAGAAGAGACCAGAGGGTACCCAAAAGCGACTACGCCCACAAATCACCCACGATGATCCCCCGGCCAAGGCGATCAAATCCAGAGCAGATGGCACAGCGTCCATGGCAAGCAGCAGAGCATCACTGAGGACGACCATCAAAACTGCAAGAGCAAAGACTTTGAAGGCGAACCGCGCACCGCTCTCGTCCTCACCATTCCACACCGACAAGTCTCCGCCTACCGCATTGCGCCGCCAGAGAGCTGAACACGCACCAGCCAGTATCACCATGATGCATATTGTAGGCAAGCAACCGCAGCCGCAAGAAAAGTACCCAGTGCTGAAGGAAGATCTGGCTCAACCCGAGCTGTATGAGGATAACTGGCTTACCTATCAAGAAGTCGCCATTACACAGCTTTTAAACTCGGTGTTTGACTCAACGAACAAGGACCCGGGTGATGAGCAGAGTCCGGAAGACTTGCGCAAGAAGATGCTTGCACTTTACCATGATCCATCCACGCCATTATTGCACAAGCGCCTACAAGCCTCCTTACAGTACGGTGCACTGAGTATACCAAAGGACCTACTCGCTCAGACTCTACGTCTGAAGGATGATGTCGGCCTGCGCAAGAAGTTTCTCTCTTTGTGGACCAAGTCATATGATTTGAATGCGCTCAGAGCCGCAGCTGAGACGATCGTCGGACGCCAGATTAACACTCCATGTCGATTATCTACTGGCTCGACCAGTTCTGACGATGGCTCTCGCATGTACCGCGCAGAGCGACGAGCAATCGAGAGTTTCCTGGATATCTTCCTGATCAAGAACGAGGATGCGGTTCGCGTCAAGTCAGGAAGCGGCAGCATTGCCAGCATCACACGTGGCGATGATGACTTTGGTTCCCAAGGGTGGTCATGGAGACGTACCACATTGCGGAGTTTAATGCTCGTTCTCTTACTCGACAAGGCAAAGAAGACAGATAACCTGTCCGGCTGTCTTTTCCAAACGACTTCCTCTTACAAGACATCTGTTGAAGTCTTACACCAACTATCGAACGTGTTGCTGCCTTCGCTTGGGGATATCACTCGCCCTCTCGGGCATCTTAACTACAAAGTTGAGCATGTTCAGTACCCGCTGCAGGAGTACACGTATCACATCGACAACATTGCTATTGATCTCCGTGATGGCATAATGTTTACGCGGCTTGTGGAATTATTACTTTACCCAGCATCCACACTCGGTGTACAACAAGAGACTTTGACCATTACAATGCCATCTGGCAAGCTACTTACAAGTTCATTCGGCCTCAAACAACAGGACAGTTGGGTTTTGTCGCAGCATCTCAAGTTCCCGGCTATCGGTCGTCCCCAGAAAGTCTACAACGTACAGCTTGCTCTTTCAGCGTTACATGGTGTACGCGGTATCCCTCTTCAAGCAGTCGGTGGCATTAAAGCCGAAGACATTGTCGACGGACACCGTGAAAAGACGCTCAGTCTGCTCTGGTCGCTCGTTGGTAAATGCGGCCTTGGAAACCTCGTGGATTGGCCGCAAATCGTAAGAGAGACGGATCGATTCAGAGAGCATTGGTACCGCAGCCGCGACAACTTTGAAGGGCGGGACCTCGACTCTGATGACGATGAAGCGACTACAGAGCTTGACGGTCTAGCGTATCACAGACGCCTCCTGCTTTCCTGGTCTCGCTCAATCGTTCGCCTTCACGGTCTGCGCATCTCAAACCTGACAACTAGCTTTGCGGATCCGAAGGTCTTAGAAGTCATCGTGGACACGTACCTGCCGTCAGCTCTCATCACTACGACGGACAACGGAAGACTGGGCTTAGCAGCGAAATTGAAAGCAGTCGGCTGCTCGACATCCTTTATCACCCTCTTCACACCTCTTCACAGTTCCGCACGTTCGATACCTTCTAGGGACTTTACATTGCTCACGCTCTCCTTCCTCGCTTCGCGCCTGCTTCCACTATCTCTGACGCATCGCGCAGCATCTACGATCCAGCGAGCCTTCCGCCGACATATCCTGCGTCGTGAGACAAGACATCGCATCATGACAATGAAGTTAGCGCACGAGTGCGCCGTGGTTGCACAGACACGTCAACACCTTGTAGATGCTGCCACGGTAATACAACGACGATGGAAAAGCATTTTGGATGCCCGACGATCGCAGCTCGAGAGCGACATTCTAGCATTCCAAGCGCTTGCAAGGGGGTGGGCCATTCGACGATGGGTTCGACGGATAACAGCAGGAAGGATCGGTGGGAAGGAGAAGGTCAGACGTGTAAGAGGCGGTTGGTAGTGATGTTCTGCGCGATGTTTTGGGGAACCCGGTGTAGTTTCGAGACGTCGTAGGATGACGAGGATATGTCAACGATGGTGGATGAAATTGAACTTTTTCTTTCAGAGGTGTCTTGGTCATGAGGAGCTACACTTGCGGTGTTGGTTGGCAGTGATAATTCTTGGGCTGGGCGTTCTCAGGCATTGGATACCAATTTGACGACAAGGCATTGTCTTTTATCAGCGCGTTTTGATTGTTAGACTCCAACCTGTTTCTTTATTTCAACATGTGTCTTCTCGTGTTGGCCACTTGTAATCTCCTTGGAAGAATATGTGTCATCTCACCAGTGAAGAAGGCAGCTTCTTAGAAAACAGAATTCTGTATGATGTGAGGTGCAATGAGATGAGTAATACATGCACAGCATATTCAAGGTATCCCCCTCCCAGCCCTAATAGCCTTTGCCGCCTCACTCTGTGCCCTATCCTCAGCATACCGCTGATAGATCGGCAAATAATGCCCCCTGTCACTCAATGTCTCTTTCACGCTCTTCCTCTCCTCAACTGCCTTCAACCACTTCCTCCACCGTTGCCAGACCTCTTCGTCATCCCCTCCTTTCCCCTGCTCGGGAATCCCCGAACCGCCCTTGAAGTGGTCAAAGACCCAGAGTCGATTTGCCCAAGGGGCAATGACAATATCGATGAGGCTGAAGTCTTTGCCTAGAAAGTAAGGGCCCTCTGGATCCATCTCCCGTGTAAACTCTTTGAGGTGTTTGAGGAATTCTGTTTGCTTTTCCCTCAGGCCTGCCTCGCCTTGGTGTTGCAGGAAGCGATGGTACGCGGGGATGATGCGGGTGCCGACATAGTCAGTCCAGATCCTCGTCCTCGCCCTATCGTAGGGATCTTTCGGCAAGAGGTGCGGCGTGTTGTCTGGGAAGGCTTCCTCGAGGAACTCGCAGAGTACTGTGCTTTCGAAAAGAGGTTTGTCCTGGTACTGTAATGTTGGGACGAGGCCGCGTGGATTCAGATCGAGGAGTGATTGGGGCTTGTGGTAAGGATTGACTTCGATGTATTGATAATCTATGCCTTTTTCTTCTAGTGCAATCCAAACGCGCTGGACGAAGGGGCAGAACCAGCCCGAGTAAAGTTTCAATGGCTGCTCTGCTTCATGAGCCTGTAAAGGTCAGCATTGTAGAGAGCTTTTTGAGGCTGAAAGAAGGCCAAGTTCACCTTCACTATCTGCGAAGCGAGACCAGTAGCATCAGGATAAAGATCCGCATCTGGATGCTCTTTTCCCATTGTTGCAGTTATTCTTCAACGGTGTGCTGATGCTTCTGAGGCAAGTTGATTATACGATAGTGACACGTCAGAATAGCTCCAACATTTAAGAAGTTCTTCTCGACGCAATACTCATCTTCAATCACATCATAGTTGTAGGTTGTGGCCATCATGACGAAAGCGGGGTAAACTTGAACAATCCCCCCACTTTCGGAACCCATCACACCTCACTTTTGGAATCCAAGGAGGAACGAACGCCATGAACAATCAACGCACTTGGAAAGCTGGAAACTGGAAAGAGAAGGTACACGTTTTGAGCAGTGTATTCAGTAACTAGCTATGGTCTTCATTTTGACCAAGTCAATTGATATGCCGCATGTAGTAGTCAATTGAGCACGCTAGTGCGAAACAACGCATCCTTTGAGTAAGTGTTATCAATCTTGTATAACGGACATACTATGTAATGGTAGAGCCCATCAATAAGTAGATCACGAGTAACTAAAGCAGGCAACGAGGCTGATAGTCCAAAGGAGAACTTGAATGGGCTTTGAACTCGAATAGTAGAAGGCTTTCGACTTCTCTATGCGCAACGATATCCAAAAGCAAACAGCTTTAGAGCCGTCTCCAATTTAGACGATCATTAACTTCGACGAGCAGGTTCTTATCATAGATGTAGAGGGTTGCAGAAAGCGACTAGTGCGGAAATCTAGACGCAAGGAAGCGACCCTTCGATGACTTCAGACAACACTGTTTTTGGATATTCGAATCGAGCTCGCGAAAAGTGCATCAGGTGATGCAGGTGTCGTGCAGATGATCTGGTGGTCGGCGAGCGAGGTGTCAGCCCGACCCACCCACTTCAATAAATGTAAGATGCGTGCCGACGGATGTGAGCGCTAGGCAAAAGTTCGCTGCCTGTTCGATCCGAGTGGATGACTCATGGTATGAAACTGCAGGACTGAAACGCGTTTCGTACGAAGCATGTTCTCTCAGTGGCGATGTTGTGGATCCAGTAAATACCAAGTAATGATATCAAGGTTTCGCAACATTCGAGAACCTCGTCATTCAACACTTGAGGAATCAGCGTCGTGATATCTTTCTGTTGTCTTATTGTTACCATGCGCAAAGAGAAGCCATCCATCTGTGAGCCGGAAGTGACCGGATATCCACCAGCACACTCGACGGGTTATTAATCAGAATGCGGTGTGCGTGTGAATCAACCGTCGGGCCGGGTGCAGGGAGGTATGGCGTAGGTGACGTTCTCGCTGCGTTCGCCAATGAGATGGAGAGGAAGTGTGCGGAGCGCGGGAAATGGCATGCGTCCTCGGACATAACCTGGAGATAGACGTTGACTGTTACGCAAAACGCAGAGCGCAGAATGAAAAAGAGCCCAAATGTGATGTACCTGGAGAAACTGACTATGTTGCCACCCTCGATGCACATGGCCGAGACGGACGAAACTGCCCAGCGAAGCTGATGCAAGTTGAGTTGTAGCTGCATGTCTTCCCCATCTTGAGTCTTGTCCTTGTCGCACAAGGCTCGCGTGACATGTGCCTATGCCCCGCATTAGCAAAGCGGTTATTGACAAAAGTCAGTACTGTAGTCATGCCATCCCAACGAGCGCAAACATCGCGAGTTAAAGCCGTGGCTGACGAATGGTGCCGGTGTGGGTCCTGTCACCTGCCAGGGGGCCTACGATCAATCGTGACTGGCCTCAGATCGGAGCAAAGATGGGAACGGAGCAACTTCGCGCTGACAAACTTATATCGTGGTCGCCTCATCTCGTAGTCCCTCACGTTCCGAACACCCCGAAGATGTTAAAACCGTAAGCTGCCACACGGGTCTGGCAGCCTGACTTGGAGGATTATTTATACTGCCTCATTGCTCCTTCCAGTGAACTTGGCCTCGGTCTTAGCAAATCCTTACCAAAGCAAACACGATTGTTCCATCCTTGCCTGACTGTGACCTCGTTTTGTGCTATTCTCTTCACCTATCAGCTCCGCCCAGCATTATTACGACCTAACATACCTGTTTCAATTCACTACAAACTATATGCTGAGTCGCAGACTTCGGACCATAGCTACCGCAGCGCTGCTGCTGGCGCTGCTGCCTCTAGTATCTTCGCACGGCGATGAGAACAATGCCGAAGCCATGGATATGAGCGCGCACGGCGCCCCGAATCCGCAATCGCAGGACAACGGGCAGCCGCGAAGCTATTGGAGCCTGTCGGAACATGTCGCGCTGATGTACTGGCACATTGCGCTTGAGATTCTAGCGTGGGCAATCATCTTGCCAGTCGGTAAGCATCCGCGCCTGGAGGGGAAAGAGCTACACTGACCTTAGCAAGCTGTCATGTTGAGCATTGCGCACTCTCGATTCACTCTACCTTCTCAACTGGCGTTTCTCGCCGTCAATGCCTTCGCACTCGTGCTTGGCCTGATTTACAGCCACAAGACGCCGAACCTATACGAAAACAACTCGCATAGCAAGACGGGATGGGCTATTACTTGGATTGCTTCAGCATGGGTCTTCATGGCTCTGATCCAGACCTACACCGGGCCATCCCACGGATTTTCGAGGACGGAGGATGAAGCGGCACAGCCAATAACTACCGCAAATATGGTCAGGTACCAGCGCGTGAAGGACGAAGAGCTTCCAAACCCATCACGATGGTCGATTGACTCTGGCCAGGGCACTGAGCGCAACTCGGCGTCACTTTATGGCCACTCTCGATCACCTAGTGTGGAGTCGGAGAATCAGCAGTTCTCTGGGCCAACGCGCAAGCACACACATGATGACCTCGACTCTTTCGACGACGGATCTGAGAAACGCGGCTTCTTGCGCAACACTTCGGTGAACAGATTCCTGTCGCGCAATGCAGCACGGTTTGTAGTTGGTCGGACCCTGAAAGCCATCCGGTTTCTTTACGTCGTGTTCGAACGCACAATGCTCATCCAAGGATTCGTAGCCATAGCTAACGGCACTGTCGTCTACGGCGGCATCGGAGTAAGTGTGTCGAAGCGCTAAGTGTGAATAGTAGCTGACTATAGCGTACAGAGAGGAGGAGCAGTCTTCAACGTGCTGGCTCACTACGTCAAGGGCGGAATATTCTTCCTCTACGGCCTCCTTACACTGGGTCGATGGATGGGAGCGTTTGCTGACTTTGGATGGGCGTGGAACGTAAAACCACCGAAGGAGGTAGTCGGTCGTCGGAGGGCGGCTTTACCTTCGGCGGAGTTTACCGAGTCGTTCGTCATCTGGCTGTACGGTGCCACCAATGTCTTCCTTGAACACTTGGCTGCATGGGGCGATGCATGGACAGCGCAGGACTTAGAGCACGTCTCGATTTCTGTCATGTTCTTTGGTGGTGGCTTGGTAAGTTACATCTACACGAAGTACATTCCCTCTTGGCGTTACATTCACTGACTGTACCTTCCTTCTAAGTTGGGAATGATCATCGAGTCCACAAAGATGAGAGCGCTGCTCAACAGCGCAGTAGTCTCTTCGCACACGCTTTTTCAATCCAATGAGCAAGCATGGCAGCAGCCACGCCAGTACCGGGTTTCCATGAACCCTCTGCCTGCTATCATCATCATGCTCCTTGGCAAGATGATGAGCTCTCACCACCAGGACTCGATGCTCTCAACAATGATCCATATGCAGTGGGGCAACATGTTCATGGGTTTCGCTCTTGCGCGAGGACTCACATATCTGTTGCTGTATCTCTCGCCACCAACATCGTACCTTCCAGCCCGCCCGCCAACTGAGATTGTGACTGCGTTCTGTCTCATCTCTGGTGGCATAACCTTCATGCTCAGCAACAAGGACACCGTTGCAGTGCTCGAATCCTATAACCTCGATGCCATGTTCACCTTTACTGTAACGATGGGCGTCACCGCTCTTCTCATGGCCTGGGCTACCATTTTGATCGCCATCAAGGGCTGGGCCCAACGGAAGGAGATCAGGAGTCAATATGCAAAAAAACACGGCGGGGTGTTGGCCTAAGCACGTCACCAGAGACAGCCTCTCCCTCATAAGCTGGCGTTCGGTACCTCTGCCTCTACAACTCGACTTTGTTACTTCTTCTTCCTTCTTCTACTATACGACCTAATGCGTCTTGAATTTATGGTTCCATTGCAGTATACCCCTCTCCCAAGGATTGGCGATAGCCTGGTTTGTTGCATTTACAACATTGGCATATTGGAGGAAATAATTATTGATGACAATAGCGGCGCTGTCTTTGGAGAGAAGACTCGCAATGAACGGCGATGAATGATGATTGGGTTGTTTAGACGACTCGGGTGGTGGAGCCTAGAGTATTAGTAGTGGTGGTGGCTGAAAGAGGATGTCCCTTGCGCTTCTATGCAACTAATGAACCACCTGAATTAGCAAAAACGTTGATTCCGCCCCATGATCACTCTATTGGGTATCAGTTCAATCGATTGAACAAGTCCTTCGGCTTGTGGCTGCTACAATGAAACCTGTATTTCACCGTGCTCCCCGGCCCCTCCCAGCAGCCCCCCTTGCAATTGCGCTCCCACCTCTTGTGCCTCGTGTTGCGCCACCTCGGACAGGGATACCACCACCTCGACCTCCCCCTCGCGGTATTCCACCTCTGCCTCGAGGTGCGCCTGTTGTCTTCGATGCAGGCGCGGGGGTTTGTGGATTCTGAAACTTGGAAGCCAGCTTGCTACTAGGCGGATTGTCAACAAAGGATGTATCAGTCGTGAGAAATGTCGCCTCCATATCCTCGGGCCCTTGACTCCGATTCAGGTTCGCAGCTCCAAGATCCGGCTGGTTCTGTGGCCTCTTGAAAGACTCCACAATAGGGGCCTACGCACATGCAAATCAGCTCTCGTCCGGTCTTTGGGGATCACTTTCCCTAATGCAGTGTGGTACACACCTCGGGGAAATCCACACAAAACGCATTCATGTTCATCCCATAGAGAAACCCTGCAAAACTCTCGCTAAACCTTGCAAGGCTCTCGTGCATCAATTGCAACGCCACAAAGTTCTGCTCCAGGTCTGCCATTGCGTCGCTAAGCTCTGCGAACCCGTCTTGTAAGCCTTCAAGCGCATTGCCTCCTGATGCAGAGGCGCCGCGACCTCTTTGGGCGCTGTCGCGTAGGGATGAGCGGGAGGAGGCTCGGAGGGGCGTTGTTGGGCGGGAACGCGAGAGAGGGGACTTTGAGCGCGTTCGACGATACGAGTTGGGAGGTGACCGCGTAGGTGTTGTAGACGTCATTTTGTGCTATAGTAGCGTGGCGTGTGTAGAAAGGGCACAAAAGATCAATTGTCTACGCGTCGGCGCGTAGAATGTCAGTCAGTTGTGCTTTGGTATCGATGGTTGATGGCTTTGAAGAGGTTGTCGTGTGCCTGGGTGTAAACAAGGGACGCACCCGTCGGCATTAGACGCTAAGCCTATGCATTCGATGACGAAGGTGGCCTTGCTACCCATCTTTTGTCGCGCGTAGGGTAGGGATATGCCAGTCGCATGAACCGCTCTACCGGGAACTCTGCCCTCTTCTCAATCATCATCATCATCTACAGCTTCGAGCCGTCATTACGTCTATGCTCGCTAGAGTAGCCCTTGCTCCGCCCCTCCGACTACCCCGGAAATCTCTGGCAACAACACATCAGCCCTACCTTCCGTAAGCAGCGTGCGATTACGGTATACCGCTCTTGATCCAAGGCTCAGCCACCTTTTTTCATCTATGTTCCTCCGCGCACATCCGCTCAAGAAACCATTACAAACTTTAGTATTCTCAGCGCCCAAGTATCGATCATCCGGACATTTTACCAAGCAGTGTTTTACCCGGTTCACTGTACACACCCCCGCATCCTTCGAATCCTGCACAACCCGGGCATATCATTACGAGCGGAACTCTGCCTCGGCTTACCCCAAGAGAAGTGGGACGGAACTTTGGACTGTTGCGATAGTTGTTAGCATTGCGATCGGCAGCGCGCTACTTGTGCCCCTGGTCAGGACTTCTCTAGGGAGCACGACAGAAGAGAGGATTCCAACATCGCAATTCGACGTCGCAGACCTCACAAACTCATTCCTCGTCATGGCGCAAAATACCCCCGCCGGGCGACCGGGAACGCTCACACCCGAACAAGAGAGGAAGCTGCGCGAGTTCTGGGCAGTCACGATAAAGGTCTTCGGCGTGGACTCCTCAGACGAAGAACTCAATGGTGCAGATACCCCTGCAGCGACACCAGCGAGTGAAGCGCCGGTAGCAGACGGAAAGAAGGAGAAGAAGAAGAGCAAGTTGAACGTCTTTAGACGGCACAAGGGCGAGAAGGGTGCAGAGGCCGACTCCACCACTACATCAGGGACTACTACCCCGTCGGATATCAGCAGATTGTCGATATCGGCCGAGGACGACAAGCATGGGCAGCACGCAGACTTCAAGACAGCAATAGCCAACACACCGCCAGAAGAGCTGCGAAGAGCGTTTTGGGACATGGTCAAGTATGATCATCCCGATGCGCTTCTCCTCCGGTTCTTGCGCGCAAGAAAATGGGATGTCGAGAAGGCGCTCGTCATGATGATATCCACGATGCACTGGAGGTTAGAGGAGATGCACGTCGACGACGACATTGTAAAGAACGGCGAGCTCACAGCGTTTCAAACCAAGGACGGCGATGCTAAATCCAAGAAGAACGCTGAAGATTTCCTGACTCAATTACGCATGGGCAAGAGCTTTCTACACGGACTCGACAAGGAGGGAAGGCCAATGTGCTTTGTCCGCGTCAAGTTACACAAAGCGGGCGAGCAGACTGAAGAGAGTCTAGAAAGATTCACCGTCTACACTATTGAGACAGCGCGCATGCTGTTGAGGCCGCCGATTGATACTGCCGTAAGTTGGCCCCTCCTCTCTCCCTTATCGTCAACCCCTCTGACCGTTGTTACAGACCATCGTCTTCGACATGACCGACTTCTCCATGGCTAACATGGACTACACGCCTGTAAAATTCATGGTAAAATGCTTCGAAGCAAACTACCCCGAGTCGCTCGGCACCGTTCTTGTCTACAAAGCCCCATGGGTCTTCAACGCTATATGGAGTATCATCCGCGGCTGGCTTGACCCCGTTGTTGCCGGCAAGGTACATTTCGCCAAGAACATTGAAGAGTTGAGTCAGTTCGTACCGAGGAACCAGATCCCGACAGAGCAGGGAGGTGATGAGAAATGGGAGTACAAGTACCCAGAGCCCGTAGCGGGGGAGAACGACAAGATGAAGGATGACGGTGCGCGGGAGGCGCTCCAGGCAGATAGGGCGGCGACAGTCAAAAAGTATGAGAGTATAGTGTTGGAGTGGGTGCGCGCGGGAGACACTGGGAAGAGCCTGGAAGAGAGGAGGAAAGAGCGGGACTCGTTGGCCGAGGAGCTGAGGCAAAACTACTGGAAATTAGACCCGTACGTGAGGGCGCGCACGCTCTACGATCGCATCGGCGTTATTCAAGACGGCGGGAAACTCGACTTTTACGCTGAGGCAAACAAGGAGAGTCTTGTCGCTCCTGCGAGGGTGTCGACTAGTGCGGATGACCTCGACTAGGCCATTGTGCAGCACACTTTTGATAATGTGCAGATTGGCACCTTGGTTTTGATCGCTTGTATTAGACCTGTTTGCCGGCGTGTGAGGTTGACATGACATGGCATGGCATGGCATAGTATGGTTTCTAGAGCTTCTCAGAGTCCGGCGCCGCCCGGATTGTTCTCAAAATGTATATAGCAACTAATATTAAATCGTCCCATACAAGATTTTTATGAAGAGACCTTGATATCTCTCCCACCTCTAGTCCGATGACTCTCATGGCTGTTCACCTCGTCCAGCTTCGTGGCCATCTCATCTACGTTCCCAAGGCTCTCGCCCGTGAGGTCGACAGCAGCGTTTCGGGCCTTCCGCGGCGAGTCGTCTCTTGAGGATCTGGGTTGCGACTCCATCTCAGGGCTGTCGACTTCTTCTGACTCGGGGAGAACTAGGTCTGTCGCCGGTCGATAGGTGATCTCGCCACGGGCGGCAGCGGCGAGACGCTGTTTTTGGCCTGCTTCACCGGCTCGGCCTAGAACACCAGCAATGACTTGGATGCAGCGGAGACTGTGGATTGGATTAGCTAAGCAAGGCAGGGAGTTGCTGCAGCGGTCCTTACCTGTCGTCGTTTGCCGGAATGGGATACGTGACCCAGGTAGGATCGGCGTTGGTATCAATCACACCTATTGTGGGGATGTTGTTCAAAGCGCATTCGTGCAGTAGAACGTAGTTCTCGAGGGGGTTCATGCAGACCACGAGGTCTGGTCGCAGCACGGGCCTGTCGTAGAGCTGCTCCTCGAAGCCCGCCACAGGCTCATCGAACTCGTTGACTACCTTTGTCTCACAGCGACCCAGAATCTGCTGGCCGTTGGTAATGCTTCCCGGGATCCAGCGCTCAAACAGATGGTAGCCCTTGGCTAGCTCAGCAGCGCGCGCCACAGCCCTGTCTTGGCCATCGCGTGTGCCAACGAAGAGCACCATGCCTCCTCGTCTCGCCACCTCCTGTACCACCTTGGCGGCTCGTCGCAGGTGTGCGGCCGTGACTTCGAGTGAGATGATGTGGATGCCCTGTCTTATGCCGTGGATGTAGCGGGCGTTTGCGGGGTTCCAGAGCGAGGTAACGTGGCCCTGGTGGGCCTCGGAGGCAAGCAGAAGCTCGAGGGTAACGTCGGCGGGCGAGGGGGGGTGATTCAGGAGGGTGTGTGGCTGGTAGTGTGGGCTGATGTCGGATCCCAGCTTGCCCATCTGCTTCGCTGTAAGGGGTCAGTATATGTATGCCATGTAGTAGGCAAAGAGAGGGGCAGCGCACCCTGCTGCTTGTACAGGTAGTACTGCTCTGCGACATTGCCGATGGTCGACGAAGAAGACGCCGCGTTGGATGATCCGGGCTCGAGCGAGGGCGCTGGTTGAGGGGCCTGGGGTGAGAGCTCGGCTTGGAGAGTTTGCAGCGGCTTCAGGTTGTTCTGAGCAGATGCATCGATCGACTCGGCCTCTGTGGAAAGAAATCGTCGCAGCGGTCGTGAGGCGCTGGGTGCAAGCGCGCGGGGGCCTGGGGGAATAATGGTCAGCTAGGCAATGGTGGACAATGGACAGGCGGGTAGTGCGTACAGCTGCGGGCTGCAATGCCTCGTATTATCATGGTGCGGGTTGCGTGCTGTTCTGGTGGCTCGTTTTCCAAAATCTCGAGCTCGCGGCCGCCCAGGATGCAGTGCAGGTGCAGCCGATGTACGCCAAGGCAGAGGCAGAGGCGCTAGTCCCGTTGAGTGCTCACGCTGAATTCCGTCCCGTCTCCAGCTGGATGGATGCATAGACGCCGCGGGGAGAGGGGAGAGACGAGGGGGGTCGCCTGTGACAGGGGGCCATGACAGGCGGACAGGCGGCTGGCTCCCTTGAACAGGGCCGTCCAAGAACTGCAGCTCAAATAACCGTCATCATATTCTAAAAAAAAAAAAAAAGACATGTGCGGGTGTGCCGGCCAAAGGCGGTGCAGATGCCCATATGGCATTCCTCACAAATCGATTGCACAAAGGCATAGCTAGCTCGCTTCTGGCCGCCTCACACCCCCCACTCCGCTCGTGCTTGTGTCTCCGCGAACTGCCCCAGACGGTGCATATCCTGCTGCTGTTGCTGTTGCTGCGGCTGTTGGCGTTGTTGCCATTCGTCTACTTTTGCCCTCACTGCGTTGCGCGGGTGTTTTCCTTGGCTGCTAGTAGCCGTTGCCAGTAGCCCTCATCGTGTCCTCGACCCCCCTGGCAAAGCCCAGTAGGCCTTCCCGTCCGAATTTCCTCGCCTCAAACCCACTCTTCTCTTCCTCTTCCGCCAGCCCAGGAAACGAGCTTACGAAGCACTCCGTTTGGCGCACCCTGGCCCTCACGTGGGCGCTGCGAACCTCGATGACCGCGAACTCATGCCCACAGACACTGTTCCCGACCACTGAGCGCCGACGCCCTTGACCTCCTCCCGCACCCTCGAAATGAACGGCTATCCATACCCAACGCGGCCCTTGTCGGGGGGCGAAAACGGTTCCAACATGATGGATATGACGGGGGCCGGCATGAACACCTTCAACATGGTCGAAGACCAGTCGCTCGATTCAATCGTAGCTCAAAACGACAATGAGAACCGCCGGCGAAGCATGCCTGTCTATGCTAGACAGCCGCACATGCAAATGGGCCGTCCAGATACTAGGCGATTGTCCATGATGAACTTTGGCGACCCGGATGGCGGCACCGTCGACGGGTTTCAATTCGACATGTCCACCACTGCTGCCATGGACGGCATGATGCGCAACCACACCGCTTTTCCAGGAACCACTACCGCCATGTCGAATGACAGGCCTCCCGCTCCCAATCTCGCCATAAACACCCAGTTCCAAAGTCAAAACTCCCCGTACTCAACCATGGTTACTCCGGGCCCGGCATATGCCTCGCCCATGCTCCAAAAGGGCTCCCTCGACATGGACATGAGCCCGTATCCAAATGCCATGCCTATGCCATTAGACATGGACGACTCGCTCGACATGGTGCCAACCGACATGAACATGTTTGCGCCAAATGAATATAATGCCCCAATGCTAGATTCTCCCCTTAATCAAGACTTTGCAAGACCGCTGCCCGCCGTCCTCCAGGACAGGAAAATGTCCGCAATGCAATCTTCAGACCGATACACTAAGCCACCTTCGAGCAACACCCCAGAAGCTCTCTCAAGCGGGTCTGGCTTCCCCAGTCGCGCAGGTAGTCTGGACCAAAACAGTCTCCGATCCAACTCCAGACCCGCAAGCGAGCAACGTTCGTCTAGCAGTGTTCCAACACAATTGGGCCTCGCTACGCTACAGCAACAGCAACCTGCAGCGCTCAACCCAACCCAAGCCATATCCAAGGACACCGCCAACAAGAAGCTGGGGGACTACAAACCTTCATGGGCGCCTCCGGCGAGCGGGTTCCCTTCAACGATGAAACCAAAGCCTCATACCAAGGCTCAGTTCAAGAACGCTTACTCTTCAACGGGCTTTGACATGCTTGGTGTACTAGTATGTCTTGCTACACGAAAAACATCCGCCTTGAAGGCTAACCATCCTAGATGCGCGTAGCCACGAGACCTGAGCCCCAGATTGATATAGGATCTGTAGATTTATCGTGTGCCTTTGTTGTATGTGACGCCGAAATGGACGATGTCCCCATCGTATATTGCTCAGAGAACTTTGAGCGCCTCACTGGCTACACCAGACATATGATTCTGGGAAGGAATTGCCGATTTCTCCAGTCGCCGGATGGTAAAGTAGAAGCCGGTATCAAGCGCAACTACGTCGACGACGACTCTGTCTTGTATTTGAAGAACATGGTCGATAACAGGTCCGAAGCACAGATCAGCTTGATCAATTACAGACGAGGTGGACAGCCATTTATGAACCTCCTCACCATGATTCCCATTGCTTGGGAAGCCGGGGGTACCATGAAATACTATGTTGGTTTCCAAGTCGACCTCGTAGAGCAACCGGGAGCTATGACGAACAAGAACTCGGGTAGGCATGCTTGCTGCTCGTCAATGCCAACGTATGAACTAACCATGTGGTAGACGGGTCGTTTCGGATCAACTACCAGCGCGGAATGTCGATACCTAGTTACGTCTTCAACGACCACCACAAGCCGCTACCTGAGCAAGGGCAGACCATTTCCAAGGACGAAGTTTCTCAAGTGCTTGCTACCTATAGTGGATCTGGAGACTCGGAAATGACGAGACGTATCTGGGACAAGGTCCTCCTGGAGAACAGCGACGATGTTGTCCACGTACTGTCTCTCAAGGGGCTATTCTTATACCTGTCGCCCGCTAGTAGTAGAATCCTCGAGTACGACCCCAGTGAGTTGGTTGGTACAGCATTGTCATCTGTGTGCCATCCCAGCGACATTGTACCAGTCACCAGGGAGTTGAAGGAGACGACCAGTGGCGCGTCAGTAAACGTAGTATTCCGGATCCGAAGGAAGAAGAGTGGATACATGTGGTTCGAGGGCCATGGCTCACTACATACTGACCAAGGTAAAGGCCGGAAATGCATCATCTTGGTCGGTCGCGAACGCCCGGTGTACACACTCAGCAAAACCATCGTACGCGAATCGGGCGGTGTTGGCGACAACGAGCTGTGGACCAAAATGTCTACGTCGGGCATGTTCCTGTTCGTCTCGTCTAACATTCGTCAGCTTCTTGATAAACAGCCCGAAGACCTCGTCGGTACTAGTATCCAGTCACTTATGCGTCAAGAGTCCAAGGTGAACTTTGGACGTATCTTGGAGCTCGCACGAGGTGGAAGGAAGGGTGAAGTGAAGCACGAGATGATCAACAAGAGAGGTCAGGTCCTCCAAGCATTCACCACAATCTATCCCGGAGACGCCGTCGAGGGCCAGAAACCAACCTTTGTGGTTGGACAAACACGGCTACTCAAGTATTCGAGGAATAGTAGCACCAGTCGACCCTCAATGTACACGTCGAATAACAAAGACCGACAGTCTGGAGAGTCTCAACACTCACTACCGACACAGTACTCTGGAGGATCACCACATGCTGCATCCATGGCCGGGACTACCGGGTCCAACACTTCAATAACCGCATCGACTAACCCTCTTTTTGTGACCACGGACGAACAACCGGCCACGTATGCTGGCCACAATGGACTGCCACTAGGACACCAGGACCAGAGTCTTGCTTCCGACGACAATGTTTTCGATGAACTAAAGACGACGCGAAGTACTAGTTGGCAATACGAGCTGCGGCAGATGGAGAAGCGCAATCGATACTTGGCAGAAGAGGTGCAGAGCCTACTCGCAGCCAAGAAGAAGAGAAAACGAAGAAAAGGTGCAGGTCAAATGCAAAAGGACTGCGCAAACTGCCATACAAGAACAACGCCCGAGTGGCGAAGGGGTCCGTCTGGCAAGCGGGATCTCTGCAACTCTTGTGGCTTGCGATGGGCAAAGCAGGTGAGTAGTTGCGCGTTCGCGATCTATCTAATGTCCCCAGCAACAGACGGGAAGCTAATAGTCATACTCTCAATAGCAAGGCCGTGTATCACCAAGAACGTCGTCGGCAGCAAGCGAAAGGAGCAAGAAGAGTATCTCGCCGCGACACCACCCGAGCCATCTATCCATGCTAACTCACGCCTCCCCCGAGACAGGGCAGCAGCCGTCTGTGCCTTCGACGCTGGCCCAACCTACCAAAATGTCGCCTCATCAGGGCACTGCTGGCGAGTCTCACGCGGCCAAGACGGCGCGGACAGACATGGCTGCTTCACAATGCTTCGTCCTTCCTCCGATGATTGATGAGGTTACCGAGCCGGAGTGACGACCATGACCAATTGTTTCTTCTTTTGGATCTTTTCTTCCCATACTCGGTCTGGTCAGTTGCCTGTAGTATGAACGATACCCCTAGCGCAATTATTTTTCGACTTTTCTCTCTCGACAAGGTATGGATAGATGTAGATATTTCACAGTTGCCGGCTGATTGGACGACGTTGTATATTTGTTACTGGGCGATGAAATCGCGGCATTGTATAGCAATTGGCGGGCCGGCAGTTTTGGGGCCATTACTAGCATGTTGATGATTGGGCGGGTCTGTGTTGCTGAGAATCAATGTACATGTTGGCTGGTTACACTGGGAGAGTACCTAGGCGGTTGGTTGATGCAAGTAAGCCCTGTATATTAGAGTCAGCGTTTACAAAAATGCTACATACGTATGAAGATGCTCTCAATGCGAGGCGTTGAACAAACAAACAAACCAAACAGTTCATCATCATCATCATCATCCTCCTCCTCCTTCGTGTGATTCACGAGTCTCTCGACGCACTTTCCACGGCTTGACCCAACCCTTGATGTGGCGTCAGGTCGCTTCACGAAACGCACGTGTAGCAGAAATGCCATCACGGAGGGCGGTAGGGCTAAACGAAGGGCACGGGAAGGCAAGGCGCAATTCGATTCGTGATGCCAGGTGATGAGGCGTTGAGCTGGTGCATACATGTCATTGTTCGAGGCGGCGTAGTACAAGGGCAAGGGGAACTGCAGGTTCCCGGCTATCAGGGGGGGCCGCATCCCCGCCGGGGCTCGCTTGACGGCTCGTTGAGTGACTGGGTTTCGGGTACTTCTTGGGAGTATATGTATCGAATTGTGTTATCATCAACCGACGGGGATAGCGACCAAGGAAGAACAGGATAGCGACTTCGGTGACGACGAAGACGGAAGGTGACAAACACACAGCGGGATTAAAGTGGGGTCCTGTACCTGGCTATAGCTGTGCTTTTGCCGGGGCTGCTCTGTCTAGACTCGATGGTCTATGCGTCTTGGGCACCTTTCCGACTTCGCGACCTGGCTGGGCAAGGGTGACGTTTGACGAGCGCAGTCAAGCCCAGATACGAGAGGATCGCCGCTCATTTCTTTTCCCTTCTCCCAAGAACCCAGGCCAATCCTGTGCCGGATCATTGCTTCAGTGCGCGATCCGTTTTTGATCCACGACTTGATCTGCCCGCTTGCATGTGCATGCGATTTCGACGACGATCGTGACGATATCGGCCTTCCCAAGGTGTTCAAGACATCAATTCAAATAGGAACTGGCAATACGCGCGAAACCCCAGACGTAGAACACGCGACTGCAATCCGTATTGTACCGCGAAAGAGGAGGGCGTCATGGACGAGAACAACAGGATAACCATCACGGTGTGCGGTGACGGAGGATGCGGTATGCGCATAGCTTGTGGAGACGTGAGCGAATGGCGGCTGATTCGAGGGCAGGAAAGAGCTCAATTACACTACGGTTGGTGAGGAGTCAATGGACATCAGAGTAAGTCGCGGCCACTCGAGTCACAGGACCGTTACTAATGCGCCAACCTACAGATACGATCCAACAATAGGTACAATCTCCCATGCGCCTATAGCCCCAATCGCGCTCCATCCCAGCAACTAATACATCCAAACAGAGGACTCGTACTCTGTAACTCGTACCATAGACGGCATCCCCTACTACCTAATGCTCACCGATACCGCTGGGCAGGAGGAATATCGCGGGCTCTGGGCCGCCTCCAACCTACAATCCGATGCCTTCCTCCTCGTCTACGACATCACTAGCGCAAACTCGCTCGATGCGCTCGAATACTTCATGGAGATGATCGACATTGAAACCGAGACTCGAATGGATAGTGGGAAAGTGGCACCGGTCAAGATTGTAGCGGGAAACAAGTGCGATTTGCAAGGCCAGAGGAAGGTGAGCGCTAGGGACGGCCTAGATTGGGCGAGGGCACGGAAGTGTGGATTTATGGAGACGAGTGCGCGCGAGATGGTGAATATTGAGGAGACCTTTGCTCGTGAGTGAACCCCGTGAAGGGATTGCGACATGGTAGAGGGACAGGCATATGCTGACTCAATATAGTGCTCGTACGCCGAGTAGTAGAAGCACGGCGACTCGCTGCAGGTGATGGCCCTGCGCACCGAACCGCTGCTCTGCCTCCCCCCAAGGAGAGCGAATTCGCGTCGTATAACGCACAAGAAAAGGGCGACGAAGCGCCGAAAGAGAGCTTTTGGAACAAGCTCAAGTGCTGGTAGTCTCAAAATCACGACCTTGGACGATCTGATCGGACGACATTCAATACGGGATCGACATCGAAAACGACTTGGATTTCTACTGTGTAAGAATAAGAAGGGAGTTGAGACGGTTTGCACGAGCATGATCTACCATGTTTACACACATATCACCTGAAGCGTTGCTGCTTTGCACCTTTGCTTGGGGTTTTTTTTTGGATAGCCCGCGGGCCGTGCTATCAAGAAGACGTCAGAGACGTCACTAAAGACATATTTTCGGTTGTAAAAGTACAGAACCAGCGTTTGGATATACCAGGCAGGGTACGGCGCTCTTTCAAATACGTTGTTGGATAGAAGCTGGTGGGTTGGTCGTGTTGTTCTTGTACATCTTCTAGTTGATGTACAATCCGACCAAGAGTAATGTGTATTTATACCAGTTGACAGTATAAACGTTTGTCATGAAATTTGACTGATTTGGTACGAATGATGATGGTGTTATGAAATGCAGCCAGCTATCGGCTATCGAAGGTCACAACACAAGCGCGTCTGTGCGCAAGCACGCCATTGGTTTTCGTCTTCAACACATTTCCCAAATTCTTGCTCTCCCGTTGACTACGTGAGCATCAAGCGATTTCAATTGAGCCTTTGGCAAGAGAGAGAGAAGAGCAGGAAGTGACGCAGAATTTCGAGGAGACCCGAAGTCGGGCTTCGTACACGTGGCTGATAAGGACTTGGAGGTGGTGAGCGACAACGGAAAGCCACTAATAAATCGTCAAGAGAAGGAACTCGGCCTCGATGTCTAAACCACACCTTGAACACGAGACCCCGGAGCAAGGCGGTCTGCAAAGGACGTTGAAAGATCTTTTCGCAGGTGCCGTTGGTGGCGTAGCACAAGTGCTTCTGGGTCAACCATTTGACATTGTCAAAGTCCGATTGCAAACCACCTCGCAATACTCAGGCGCCCTCGATGCCGCCACAAAAATCTACCAAAATGAAGGAGCACTCGCTTTCTACAAGGGCACTCTCACACCCCTCATCGGAATCGGTGCATGTGTATCCGTCCAATTTGGCGGCTTCCACTACGCGCGCCGCGCCTTTGAAGCTCAAAACAAGGCGAAAACCGGGAATGCACAGCTGTCCTACTCTCAGTACTACGCTGCCGGTGCATTTGCTGGTATCGCGAATACGGCACTGTCAAGTCCTATCGAGCATATCCGTATCAGACTGCAGACGCAGCCCCACGGCGCCAATCGCCTGTACAATGGCCCGATCGACTGTGTCCGCAAACTCTCCGCACACCAAGGCGTGCTCGGCGGCGTCTACCGCGGCACAGCCGTAACCTTTCTCCGCGAAGCACAAGCCTACGGCGTGTGGTTCACTACCTTTGAGTACCTCATGAACGCGGACGCGGCCCGCAACCACATCGCCCGTGACCAAATCAGTACCTGGAAAATCGCGTTTTATGGTGGCCTTGCTGGCGAGATGCTCTGGATCAGTAGCTATCCGTTTGATGTGGTCAAGAGCAAGATGCAAAGTGATGGGTTTGGAGAGGCGCAAAAGTACAAGAGTATGAGAGATTGCTTTGCGAAAGTGTGGAGAGCTGAGGGCATGGGCGGGTTTTGGAGGGGAATCGGTCCGACATTACTGCGCGCTCTCCCCGTAAGTGCAGGAACGTTTGCGACTGTCGAAGTCACTATGCGTTTCATCTCTTGAGGAGGAAAGATAAAGAGTGGTGAGATACACACGAAGCCTCGTTGTCAATCCCATCGCGTTCAAAGGGTAAAGAGAATCGTGCTTGCGACGTAGCATGCGCGCTTGAAGACCTTGTTAGTAGATACACGTGTTGAAGCCCATTATCAGAATGAGTGGGCTCTATCCCGACACACTGGCTCTCTCTCCGTATCCCCGTTGCTAGACAGCCCACTTCGGTCCACTATCACGGTCCATCTCATACGCACGGAAGTTTGCCATTTGCCAAGTCGATATTGAAGGAAGCCCTAGCGAATCAGGTTCCGCCCGTGTCCGTGCCGTGTCTCTCCAACACGCGTTATTTCCATTCACACGCGACCGCCTTATTTTCCTCCGTACCCACGTGTCTCTCATGCGACATGGTCATCTCGTCTTGTTCTAGAAGGTCAATAAGACTGAATGTAATATTCTGAACCTAGTTGGTCAATCATGGACCTGGAGTGATCTTCCAATACACGTCAGACCGGACCGAATCCTGATTCATTGATGGCTTGTGGCACTGTCGTATCCACTGTTAAACGGTTAGACATGCATCTGCCATGTGCTTTGAACCCCCGCAAGATGCAGGGGTCAATACGGCCTTGAGAGGCGAATATCACGAGTCAATTCCCGCCGCGAGCCACTCGCGGGCCGCAACCGTTTATTCCCTACTTTTTCCCTCTTTTTGCTTGCGTTTTTATTTGACTGTCGATTGATTTTCTTCCCAACCATAAGCAACAATTTGGGATTCCAAGCATAGCGATAGCAGGGAGACATCCTGCGACACGATGGCACAGACACAGACACAGACGCAAATTGCGACAGAGGAAATTCACAAGAACGGAGGGTGGACGGGTTTTAGAACAACGCTGAGGAAGTGGAGGGATGGCCTGAAGAAAGACAAGTCACTATCAGGGATACCCACGCCCACGCCGACACCACCACCAACATCGTCATCATCTTCACACAGCTTAGCAACGGCACCCTCACCCACTTCGCAAATCCCTCCTTCATCTTCACCGCCCTCAGATGCCCTCGCTCTCTTCAAGCCTACAACACAAACATACATCCACTCCCCCCTCGACAAGCGAAACAAAACCTCAAGCTCTTCATCTTCAGCATCCACGTTTCGGAGGTCATATCTGGGCTCAATAAGGTACACCGCGCCCGCCGATTACTTTTCCTTTGCCACAAACACTGTTGCAGCCAATGGGGCAGCGAACGCCACGAGGTCATTGAGGCCGACGTTTTCCATTTCGAAACGCCGTTCATCCGCCGTCCAACCGCTCGCCTCTCCAGCACCATCCGCGCCAAGTCCAGTTGGTCACCAGAACCAACGGCATACTTTCCAGTACACGACTGCCGCCGAACTTTCTGCGTTGATGGGAGCCCATGAGAGGGGTGGTTTGATGGATGTGGTGGAAGTGGTAGAGGTGAAGGAGTGGGATAAGCCAACAGGAGAAGCTGAAGCCTGTGTGGAGGGAGGAGGAGAGATCAGTAGCCAAAAGGCGGCGGATGAGGGAGTAGGAAAGGAGTCCAGTCGAAGAGAAGAGAGTAGCGATGGGGTAAATAAACAAGCTGGGAAGTGTGAAAGTGAAAAACAAGGAACAGCATGAGAAGGTACTTGGAAGTAGGAGTGGGAACAATCCAGCTGCGAGATACAGGGAAGCTTACTATCATCTTTCTTGCAGAGACCTAGAATTCATCCACCCGCAGAGCATCGCCTCGGCAGCTTCCATTTAAGATCCTGTTCGTATGCGTCGGATTTTACTCATCAGAAAATACATCAAAACAGATCTTACACAACTCCACGTCCATATTGCCCCCTCTCCACATCAATCTTTCTCCACTCCTCGTCTTCACTCCTAGTCTCCGAGTCCATCTCAATCGTCTTCGTAACCAATACCTCGATCCTCTTGTGACCCGTAGTATCACTAGCACTATCCTCGCTCAACCGATGAAACTTGCCTACTCTTGCATTCCTCATTTGATCCATATGGTACGTGTCTTCCTGTGTTGACGCTGTTGTTTTCTTCACGTACGACCTAGTCTCGGCGAAGGTCGATCTTGTGTGTGTGATGAAAGCTTGGAGATGCAGCGATTTGGCCAACATGCGGAAGAGAGGCTTGAAAGAGAGTGCGCATGTAGAGAGTAGATACATTCCGGGCTCGATAATAGTCCAGTCGATGAGCGAGACGTGGTTGTCTGCGTCGTTCATTGTTAGCAAGTCAACAAAACAAAGTCGTGGGAGGAGTTGTGTTGACGTACAGGTCACGTCGGTCAATGGTCCAGCATTTGCCAGCGTGTCAGCAAAGATCATGGTGCGAATGATAGATGCTATTATACCCCTGATTTTGTCAGTCGCCTCACGTTAGAGAATAGTGTCGCTCAGCACTCACACGCTACCTGTCAAGAAGATTAACAATAGTCCTACTTTTCTGCCAATGCTAATTCTCAAACCCCAGAGTACCCTCGACGGAAGCACTAGCACCGCCAAACCGGTTGCAATATTTGGGACGCTGGAGCTGTTGGAAAAAAACTGGACATTGAAGCACTTGCCACCTGGAATGGTCTTATCCCAATTGAAGGCAAATGGCTTACATTGGAACATTACCGCAATTGTAAACGAAAACCAAGTCGCAAAGATTAGAAAGATGAGTAGCTTGGCCACGAAACGCTCGTATCTGTTGGTCAAGATGTGCAGGTACAGTAAGACAACGGTAAGCTTTGGGAACGCAACAGCGGCCGGATGGAGGACTTCCTGTACCATGATGCCTTTGAAGTGTTCAGGGATTTTGGCGGGGTCGGTGGATAGGATGAGAGCCATATGTCGGCCTGTTCCTGCCTTTTCAACCATGACTGGGTGGACAATCAGCCCGGGGGTCATTGTGAGATCGCGGATATACGTACCGATGCTGACGATGCAAATCCCAATCTCGGCCAGCCAGGCAAAAGGAATGATGACATCCTCGGCTTTGAAGGATGTATTGGCCAAATAACGAGCGTAGTATCTCATACCTACAAACAGGGTGCAGAATATGATCATTAGGGAGGCAGTCGCGGTGACCGTTGGACCTCTATCCTCGGCCAGAAAAGCTGGCGAGGTGATGATAGACAAGTCAGCCATTGAAAGGTAAAAGAGGGCTACCAGGGCCACATAGAAGCGAGTGACGAATAGAAAAGCTGAACGAGCGACTACAAGAGCGGAAAGACGATCACTGGGTAGGGCTTTGATCGAATACCAAGGGTACCCGTGCGGGGAGGGATTGAACGCTATTGTAGAACAGGGCGGAAGGATCAAGCACGATAATGTACCAATACGCTTGTCCTATGTTCGCAGTGACTCTATTGGTTGAAGAAATCTAGGAAGAAGTGGCATAGATGCGGTCAAATAGGTGATCAATAATATGCAAGAGAAGCCCACAGAAGACTTGGATGAAACGGGTATCGTACGTATGTTAGAGAGAGCCTGCATCGCACCCAGCTTGTGGGGCTTGAGCTCTGGGGTTCGTTCCTAGGATACAAGTAGACTGATATGCCACAGCCGACGCCTGTTGCTGCATCTTAGGGCGTCGGATATATTCTCAGGTGCTAAGCAGCAGTGAAAGTAGGCAAAGCTTATTGAACGTCGTAGTCGATCGTAGGGAGCACCATCACTGAAATTGCGCTCATGAGTTTGCCAAGAGGTAACAAATTTCGTCGACTCGAGACAAGTTGTGTGCTGAGATCCTATCAAGCGCGATGCCGCTGAACAACCAATAGCCCACTCGAAACACGGGTTCCTGCAGCCGTGCATGACCAGGTACCGAAGGGTGACCACACTCGCTTGCGAATAAGTTCACGGTGGCGTGTGCAGGCAAGAAGACTCATGTGCTCTTGAGAGGGTAGCTTTGTGCATGACTCTCGGCATGGAGATCTGTAGATCAATAGTTTGAGAATTTAGCGCCTGCAAATTGTGAGCTATAAGGGAGAACAGACAGGACACAGTGGACTTTTTGAGCTGAGGCTGGCAGACAACTTTCTTATGCGAGGAATTGCTGTTTGCCAGTGCCAGTTGCAGGAAATCTTTATTCGTTGAACCTCGTCTACGTAAAGTGAAGACAAGCATCAAGTTGTCGATGTGTGGAATGAAACGTCTCAAGTCTGAAGTTGCGCTCGAACCACCTCCATGTGCCAGGCGATGAGTGGATTTCCTCTTCAAGTACATTAGTAGGCGCGGCTATGCAAGCGAGTACATATCATCACATGTAATCACAATCACCGTTTCAGGACGAGAGTTGGTGAAGAAGTGAACCAGAACTCCATTGAGCTATTCGCTACTATTCGCTATCCCAAAACCATCCCAGAAAGGAAACCCATGTCCTCCATGTATCTCATAAGTCTTTTATTCATATACCACAGTATATGAATGCGTTCAAATGCTGAAGGGTACTTGTACACGTAGCGCCATCAAAGTAAGGAAGCAAAAGCAAAAGCAACACGACTACAACTCGTCGTGCTCCTCTTCGGCGACTGCGCTCTTCGCAGCCTTGGTTGCCTCTGATGCAGCCGAGCTAGCGCTCTTAGTGGCCTCTGATGCAGCCGACTTGACAGAGTCTGTGGCCTTCTCAGCGCCTGACTTGGCAGACTCGGCAACCTTCTCAGCGCCGTCCTTGACATTCTCGGTTGCAGCCTTGGCTTGCTCCGCGAGCTTCTCAGTGGCCTCCTCAACGGCCTCCTCGAAGACGGCTGCGACCTTGTGTGAGCCGTTCTCCTTGATGAAGGTAACGAGGTCCTCAACGGTTCGCGAGCCGGAGTAGTCGACAGGCGAGTCCTTCTTTCCAGCGCGGAAGAGCTTGATGGTGGGAAAGCCCTGAATTTCATCGGGTACGTCATTAGCAGTAGCGTCAACCTTGGCGATGGTAACGAGCTTGCTGAACTCCTCTGAAGCGTAGAGCTGGCCGAGCTCCTCGTACTTGGGGGCAAGAGCCTTGCAGTGACCGCACCACGGGGCGTAAAACTCTACGAGAACGTCCTTGTCGTTGTTGATGACGACGTCGTTGTAGTTCTTGGCGACGATGGTGGTGACGGGGCCGTCCTGTGACTCTGGGATGGGCTCAGACTTGACGCTGGGCTCGACCTTGCCAGCGAGGAATTCCTCGACAAAAGTGCCGATAGCCTTCTCGGTGATCTTGTTCTCCTGGTCAAAGGGGAACTTCTCGTTCTTGTCCGTGCGCTGGATAGCGAAAGCGGGCCAGGTGCCGACCTTGAGGTTGAGGTTACCAGCGTGCTGGCCGAAGGACTTGGCGTCAATGGTTGCGAAGTTGATGGCGCCCTTGTGCTTGAGGGCGAGGGGCTTGAGCTCCTTGGCAAACTCTTCGCGCTCCTCGGGCGTCTCAGCGAAGATATAGGCGAGAGGGATGCCAGCGCTCATGTATGCGCTATAGGTCTCAGGGCCAACCTCGCCGATAAGCGGGGTAGCAGCGACCTTTGCGAACTCGCGGATGGCGTCCGCATCGAACTTCTTCTCGGTGAAGACGTCCTTGCCATCGTCGAAAGACTTGTAGAGGACCAGGCCGGGCTGCTTGACACCCTCGGCCTTGGCGAGGGCAGCGTCGTTGGTCGCACCAAAAAGGTAGTTGTCACGGAGGCCGTTGGCGACTGAAGTGAAGGTCTCGTTGGAGGCCTTGTCATCCGCAGCGAAGTAGGCGACGAGGACGACCTTGTCAGCCGTCTTGAACTCGGCGAGGGTGTCCTTGGTGACGTCGGAGACAGCAGGGAGGCCCTGCTTGGTCATGTAGGAGATCAAGCTATCGGCCTTGCGCTGGCCGCCATAGGGCGAGACGTTCTCAGGGCCACGGAAGACCTTGAGGGTGGGGTAACCCTCGACGCCATATTCCTGACACAGGTCGGTCTCCTCTGTGCAATCGACCTTGACAAGGGCAATGTCCTTCTCTTTCAGCGTGGTGGCAGCTGTCTCGTACTCGGGGGCGAGGGCCTTGCAGTGGCCGCACCAGGGCGCGAAGACTGTTACGTGTGTCAGGATTGCAATTGACTAGAGGAACGTGGATAGGTAGGCAAGAACTTACACTCGGCGAGGACGAGGTCGTTCTCCTCAATAAAGGTCTTGAACGTGTCCTTGTTGAGCTGCTTGACATCCGAGGCAGCAGCAACAGCCGCGAAGAAGGCGGCGCAAATGGTGGTATACTTCATGTTGCACGAGGTGACGATGCAATTGGAGTAAAAGGGAAGCAAGTGGAGGTCGAGGATCCTCTACAAGCAGTGGGGAGATGGTGTAGCAGAGGAGCTGGCAGGCGGGCTTTTATTTGGGCGGAACCTGTGGCGTGGAGACTGTGGAAGACAGGTGGCCCTTCGAATCAGCTTAGCGGCTGAGATGCCCGCGGTGAGTCTGCTGCCAAGCCCAGGGTCACCACCACCACCACCACCTGCACCACACCACAGCCACCCCTGGTTCAACTTCGCCGCTGTATTGGACACGTTGGCCTCCTGCGAACACCCTTACCCGCCGTTCCATGTGCATAGCCACCTTTTCGCTAGGATGTGGTAGCTATTTCCTGTCGTTTTCTCCCTCTGCTCGCCGGCCTGCCGCCTTTGCAGATCCTAAATCATATTATTAATATACAGACCTAAGTAAGCATCACCTCCACAGGAGGCCAGGTGTTCTCACTTACCCACTCGGCGCTTACAGCGGACTGTGCTCGCCTGTTGACATTTTTCCCTTTCTTGACCACGCTGATCCAGCATTGTCAATGGGGTCACTAATCGCGTGGAAGATTCGGGAACCGTAATGTTGGCTAGTGTTGGAACCCGGAAAGAATAGGCTCAACTCCACTGGAAAGTGGCCGCTATCCATGGATAGTCATAGTCACCATCATACCAAAGCGGTAGACTATTGACCACGTTTCCAGGGTCTCGTATAAGTTGTTAGCTAGCAGTCATCACCTGACCTAATCCCACTGATGGCCTCATCTATCTTTTGTAGCTCTTCGTTGCAACGACGTCAAATAACCTGGACGGCCGAGTCAAAGTTAATTTTCTATGAAAGAGTTCGTCGATAGTGAACAAGCTCTCAGCGCACTCTCTCTAGTTTCATCCATCATAGTCTCGTCCAGCCAAGCAATTTCATGTAACCCCGAACAGCAGATTGATCGTACCGCAAAAACCTCTAGGCTTCAGGCCACAGTCTCTACCTCCCTCAATCTTCTCAGCCGTTCTTCTTCTTTCCGCTTCATCTCCTCCTGGATTCTCACCCTCTCTGGCACAATCCTTTGTCTCTCAGCTTGGATCTTCCACCCTTCGAGCCTATTTTTGCCAAGTGCCTTCATTGTCTTTTGCTCAACGACGCTGTAATTGCCGTATCCTCGATCAAAGACAAATGGCTCCTTCACACTCACCGGCGGATTCGTAATCACCCTGACCTTTCGTAATTGATTGTTACTTGCCGAGTGCAACATCAGTGGATGCAGAAGATATACGTCTCCAACAACGCCTGTGGCTTCTACAAAAGCTTCGTCTGGCATTGACGCTGCAAGGTCGTTGAACCACTTCAGCCCGTGTTCCTGCTTAAACTGCGGATTCATCGCCCGCGGCGTCATACGTGGTGATACACCTTCGGGATGCTCGTACAAATGCTTGGCCACAGTGTCGATCGCTCTAGGGCATATAAACGTTCCTCCTCCCCCTTCTAGGATATCAGACCACAGTGGGATAACAAGTAGCGCTTGCTCGGGTGAGTCGAGGTAGTGTACGAAGAAGTCGCCGTCGACGTGCCAACCAGGCAGCTCTTGCGGCTTGATTACGGTGTTGTGGCCAGCAGGTGTACCAAGATTGACAATAAACCCGTCTTTCCAGGTGGAGGCATTGGAGTCGACGTGTGACGAGCCTCCGAGTAGCTAAAACATCTTAGCATTTATAGCCTAGTGAGCGCATCCAGAGCTTCTTCGTACCGAGCATATGCCTCCCCAAGCTTTGGGTGCGAATTCAGAGACAACGAATTCATTAAAGAAAGGCATGTTGGTGCGTTCAGTATGCCTATCATGGTGTAAGTTCTGATTGAGAGGGCTCAACACGCTGCAGATCAATGCGGCACCAGACCCTGCCATAACCCGTGGTCGACCGCCTCCCTACTCAAATCAAGCTTAAGGGTAGAGTAACTACTCCTCGCCTTTCACGTAGTAGAGGCTCTTCGTACTATAGTGCAATTGCTAACTTAGCAGCTGCATTATAATTTGAAGCTATCCAAGCTCAAAGTTTGCCTTCAAGAGTGAGGGATGTGCCAATGCTAGGATCTTTCACAGATTATCGCAGGGCCTGGTGACAGATCGTGGTAACTTACCATGTTGAGATATCGTTCGGATCCATGCCTAAACGTGTCCATAGTGTCGATTTGAGACCGTCGGCTTGTTCGCGCGTGAAGCAATTTGATAATTTGATCCAACCATGTTCGAGAAAGTGGTCTGTTTGCTCTTGCGAGAGTTTGTATTGGTCTTCTGCGTTTGCCATGCTGTCGGATTTGTTTGGGCGAGCGCAAATAACTTGGTTATCTTCTCTCCTCGTTCTTCCAAGGTCGCGAATCAATTTAGAAGTGACTATGCTTGACTCTAAGTAGGCGATATATATCCTATTCCCGCGCCACCGCGGATTTCATCGGTATGCTAATAGTACTAACGGCAAATTTGCCAATTTATCCGGTGGACGACACGAAAAGCCCACACGTGTTGTCGTGCCGTCCGCACGATGCGCTGCGGGGTGAGCTGTTTGGGGAAGCCGGTGGGGGTAACACTGCTTGATGACGATGCCCGGGACACTTCTGCCACCCATTGGTCCCAACGATCTGAACAGGACACGCTACGGAATGACGGGAATAATTCTAGTAACGTCGATGAGTAGCATCACAGACAAACATGGTCTCCTCCTATCTCTAAACAGTCTTAAACTTCATTGTCATGGTCCCTTTCTATTGTCATATATACATTATAATACCTGAAGCTCTTCACATATCACCCTGAGTTTCGCGTCTAATTTCCGGCCCACCAAACATAGTTGTTCGACTCCTCGGGCGTGTCGAAGACAAGCTCACTACTAGAGTTTGCCGGCCTGTCGGGGAAGGCATTGGCCGCGATGTTCCACACGGTCAGGTCTGTGGCATGAACAGTAGAGTTGTCTCCCACCCAAACACCGAACCCAGTGCTGTCTGTGCGGGCAGGGTAGATGCGAGTCGTGAGCCAGAAGCGATCCTATATCGAGTTAGCAAGTGCTAAGAACAAAGATGTTGTGTGACGTACATTAACAATAACCTCTACAAGCGAACCATCGACGAAAACATCCATGTGTAAGGACTCCTGCGTGCCGTTGGAGAAAGTATATGGATAAAAGTAGCCAAGCATTGTGTAGTTGGCTACTTTTGTCCCAATAAGCGAGGACTTCGAGCGATCAACGTTGATGGTGTAGTTTTCAGGACTATACCAGATAGTAGTCTGCTCCTCGCGACCTGGCGACATAGCAATAGTTACACCAGCAGGGCCCGTGAAGTTGCTGAGAGTTACTTGAAGATGCATGTGGCTACTAGCATTTCCGGCTGATAAGCTAGCGTTGCAGGTGCCAGCAGTTTTTATGTTCTGCGGCTCCGCGCCCACGTGAAGACCTTCGACGACATCGGGCAAAGGACGAGCACCCAGAGTATATCCAGTAAAGGTACCGTTGCTGTGTTCGACAACACGTGTATTACCTTTGGTAGACAGGCCTCCGTCGGCGTTGATTAGATCCCTTGTCTTGATAACGTACATCTCTCGAGGAATTGCCATGGCACCCTGGAAACCTTGTTGATTAATAGCGTAGTTGTTGTTCTCCTCACTGGCCCAACCCCACTGAACGCGGCGATCATTCTTCGTGTCATTGAAGCTGGTGACGGCGTAAAGTAGACCAGAGTCAATGACGCCACCCGAAACCGGGGTGAACTCGGCTGAACCATTCTCTCGCCTGGTGACTACTCCCTCGTTCCAGAGACCCCAACTTGCGCGAGGATGCCAGGTAAGGTTACCACCTTCGGCCCCCATGAGGACGTAGTAGTGCACATCGTCATCTTCGTCAGTCAAGGAGAAGAAATTAGACCTGCTTTGATTAGCGTTGTGTGAGCGAACATACATAGGCTCAACTTACACTTCAAAGTTGAACCCGTAAGTTCCGGTTTCAAGGAGAGAGCCCAGAGTCTCGTTTCGGTCGGGTTCCCATAGAGCGCCCAAGAAAGTCCAATCTGTCAGGTTCGATGAGGGAGCGCTGTAGAATGGAATGCGGCCGCCTCCACCCTCTCCCTTGATACCTGAGCCCAACACCATATACCAATGCGGCTCTTTCTGTCCTAAGATGGCATCCATCTCTGGCCACGGTTCGACGAATGGGTCACGCCAGCCGGTGATATTCCAGCCCTCGGGCGGGGACGAAATAACTGGGTTGCCTTCATACTGCTCCCAGGTCTTGCCGCCGTCGTTTGAAATGACGATGCTCTGTTTTTCAGTACCCTTGATGTAAGGAAGAGCCCAATTAGTGGGCAAATGCTGGACTGAAGTGTAAAAGTTGATGAGCGTGCCGTCCTGCTCACCCTGAAGGTTATAGGGCTGCCCAGAGCCCGAGAAGATACCGAGGCCGTAGTAGCTGTTGTTCCTTGAGTCTGGCCCAGGACCTGTACCGACGGATTGAGCCTGATCATTTTCCCAACCTCCAACATCCGTCCAAGTAATCAGGTCTTTAGAAGTGGCATGACCCCAGGAGATGTTTCCCCAGTTTACATGATTGGGGTGCCATTGATAGTGCAAATGATATGTATCGGTGGTAGGATCGTACAACATGGCACATGGGTCCTAGGCATAATTAGAGTTGCGCGAATAGATAATATGCTTCACAATCATCGAACATACATTCATCCACCCAGCTGGCGAGGTAAAGTGATAAGTAGGTCGCCATCTGGTGAAGAGACTATTGTTGCCCAAGCCTTCGATGATGTCGGTAGAGAGTATCGCTGGCAATGTTGATCCTGTGTCATTATGTGCTCTCGCCGATGGAAGGTATCCGAGCGCGAGGCTCAAAAGGGGAATTGACCAAAACATCGTGACTTGCAAGGTGATTCCAAAGATTGCTAGTAAGGTGCAAGACATACAAGGGAGGTATAGACGCTTTATGTAGTTATTCGGAGTAAAAAAAAAGGGCCTACTAGATCGACGGACCGACACCATCGTAACAGACCCTGGAGCTCCGAGTAGGTGGCATGGCTGGGATGCAGTAGTTGGTCATCAATCCCCGCAAATCCCTCATGGTTCCCCACAACGGATAGACATGTTAGCGCATATGGTCGATTTTGGATGCGCCTCACGATGCTGGCTTACTGCCACTTGTGTGTAAGTGTACAGCGTGCAGTGCTGGCGTAGAAGAGTAGCCAATTCATGCGGGACGGAAGCCTCTCCGGCTAGTTCTTTCCAAGGTTATACTTGCGGACCTTTCTCTCAAAATTGACCACCTTGGTCCAGCACTTACCGCAGGTCCACCAATTTGTACTGGGCGTACGTATTGGAGGCCGAGTATCCTTCCGAGAGTCACGCTCTGCTGCAGAATGGACAAAGCCAGTGGATCTCGCCCCAAGATCGAGGCTAGAGAGCCCCCGGGGAGTGTCTTGGAAACCATTGCGCCAGAATTATGGATTCCGGGGCGCATGTGAGATGTTGGTGTATGTACATGCGACAGAGGGGTGACAGTTAGCTCTGGGAAGGTCTTGGCGGGAAACGTCATCCATCACTGAAGACCCGCCGTCACGTGTAAACAGCTTGCTTGTTAACACGTTCGCACCAACGCGCCGACCTCGCCGCAGCACGATATACTACCACTGTCACTTGTTGAGGCCGTTTCCGTCTTAGATGGAGAAACATCTTCTAGTCTAGCTTTTCGGTAGCTTCGCCATTGCCCAAATGAGTCGGCTAAAGGTTTACGTCGCGGTATGCTCGTCCTCTGTACTGCTGAACAGGCGCAGTCGTGCTAACAACCCCAGGGCTCGGCCGTCATGGCCAACGTCGTGCTCTTGCGCGCATACTACGAGCGACCGAATTTCTACTCTGCCGCCGTATACATTTCCCAGAGCACCGGCTCTCTGATGTTCCTGGTCAATCTCATGCTCATTGTCGCCGCGAGCGTCGGATATGGCCTCCAGCGCCTCTTCTACGGGCCCCTCCGCGCCATCGAAACCGAGCAACTCTACGACAAGGCATGGTTCGCGGTTAGCGAGACGCTATTGGCCATGACCATATTTAGGGACGACATTGGCATTTGGTTCTTTACAATGTTCCTCTGCCTACTTGCTGGAAAGGTATGGCAGTGGATAGGAGAAGGAAGAGTCGAGTTCTTAGAGCAGCAACCGCCTGCGAACCCGAAGCTCTTCCACACCCGATTGATAAGCTCCCTGCTGCTCTCCGTGGGCTTTGACATCTTCATGATGCAATACTGCATCGACTCGATACTCTCAGACGCACGCCCGGGTGTCATGGTCATGTTTGGCTTCGAATATGTCCTTCTGGCCATCGCATCCATCTCGACTTTAGTCCGGTACACGCTTTCGCTCGTCGAGATCTACATTACGCGACGCCAAGAGACTGCACAGGAAGAGGTTCGAAGAGCCGCGAGGGAAGAAGCACGCCAGCGGGCGGTGGCTGAGGGCGTAGAAGTGCCAACAGAGGCAGAAGATGATGAAGACGAGGGCGATGTCCCCGGTTGGGAGGAGAAGGGCCGCTGGGTCTTTTACTTGGATCTTGCGACAGACTTCATCAAGTCTGTTGTATACCTAGGATTCTTCATGATCCTCATGACTTTCTACGGCATTCCTATTCACATCATGAGGGACCTCTTCATGACCATTCGCTCTCTTATCAAAAGAATCAACGACTTCGTCCAGTATAGGAATGCGACACGCGATATGAACACGCGCTACCCGGATGCTACGGCGGAAGAACTTGAGCGAGAGAATACATGTATTGTCTGTCGCGAGGAGATGCGACCTTGGGTGCATCACGGTGCAGAGGGTGCGCCGGCAGGCCGACGCATGGATGAGCGACAAAGACCGAAAAAACTCCCTTGTGGCCATATCCTGCACTTTGGCTGTCTGAGGAGTTGGCTTGAGAGACAGCAAGTGTGTCCGACCTGTCGACGACCAGTCCTCGCACAACCGGCGTCGCAAAACAACCAGCGGGACAACCACGCCAATCAAGGCCATCAAGGCCAACAGGGCCAGGGACCACTACAAGGAATACTACGTGGAAATCCACCACAAGGTGTTGCCGGTCAGCCAGGCCAAGGTCAGCAAGCGTTTCCACAGGGCGGCCAACCGCAACCACCAGCAGGCAACTTGCGAGTGTTCAACTTTGGCCCGTTCAGGATTGCTCTGGGCAACCTCCGCGTACCGCCGGGGCAACAGGACAACGCTGTTGTGAGGAATGCCATGGACCAGCTACGTCAGCAAGCCGTCGCCAATAATGCTGCACAAATCCCAGCTCAGCAGAACCACAACCAAGCCGTAGTTCAGCCTTTCGCTCCTACTTTGGTATCAAACCTCGCTACGGGCCCAATACCTGGCGCTATTGCTTTACATCCTGCAGATGTTCAGTCCGACATACTACGCATTCAGCAGAACATTATCGAGTCGCTGCGCCAACTTAATGCGCAACATGAGCAGCTCGAAGTTGTACACAGGCTTCTTGGTGAGCTCCATCGCCTCCAACAAACTTCAGGGATTACTGCGGCTACGGGCCAGGAACTTCCACCTATCATGCCTCTAAATCCGCCGAATATGGACTCATTTGTGCCCCAAGCCTACTTCGCTCGAGGTCCTGTTTTAAGCCAGGGTGACACTGGGGTACCAGAAGGCTTGACGCTTCCAGAGGGGTGGACACTGAGGCCGATGGCACAGGCGCCACGGCCTGGACAGGAAAGCAGTTCAATATCACCACCTTCTCAGGCATCACAAGCAGGGGCAGAAGCAGGGCCTTCCACGTCTACCGCGGCAAATTCTCAATCACAGGTAGACTCATCCTTGGCAACCACAACAACGGTGGGCCCAACAGCAGAGTCATCGCCCAAACCTGTCGAACCAAGCTCCCTCGAATCAAGTTGGAGCTTTGGTAATGGTCCAGAGAGGAACGAGGCCGAGAGTTCAACTTCTGCGGTCGCAGAAAGCAGTTCGGAGAGCCAGAATATGAATAGGCGGACGGTTACGGTGGAGGACGTCGAGGATAACGGGCAATAAATTCTTTCACGAATTATTTTTGCCTCTGTATTGCATAGCGAGGCGTTTGGACTAGGATTAACAACTTCCCTTAGCGCAGCTTGGACAGCGAATGTATATCTGACGCATGTGTCATATCGTATCAAGCTAGTGCCGGGGTTTGGATGGGTCGCACTCTGCACCACGTTCTACGGTGAGATGTCTACAGAACCAACGAACAACTGAATTCATCATGCACTCTCCCTCGACTGCGTGCTTGCGACGCCGGCGAGGCGTCGAGCAAATGAAGCACTCGTGCCCAACCATCGTACCATTCATGAGCTTTCCAACGCCCTTCAACACCCTGCATACTCTCCTCTTGCATCTACGTTCCTCGGAATTGCAGGGCTCTAGTCTACTCCACGACAGCACACTGGATAGCGTTTTATGCAGTTTAGATGCAGTCCCTAAGTCGTCCACTCGTAGTAGCTCCCAAAGCTTATCAAGCCAGTCTAGCCCTGCGCTATTCCGTTGTCGTTTACATTGTGCAGGGATGGCGGAACATGATTGACCACTCAGAGGACAAAAGACGTCCAAGACACGACCTCGAGGCGGCTACGTGCGCACACGAGCAGCACTCGGTTGAAACGGTGTGCCGTACGGTGTGAGGCAGGTGGGTAGCACCCAGTTAAAGATGCAGGAACACGGCTTCGCTCGACGGGGCGCAGTACTGGGGTGTAGGCCCGGGTCGGGATTCACTGCGCATAAGGCCCAGGTCCCCGCTGGGCGCGACTGACTTGACTCGAGGTCAAGCTCAAAGATTCGGATGACTCCTCTATCACCTTCGCTAATGTCCCGTTAACACACTTTCTATTTCTTATAATATTGTCTTTGTCTCCTCATCCTTTTTTCCTTCCATCTCCTACACTCTATTGCGCAATGGCGGTGAAACTCGACTCAAAACCGCGCAAGGCTGAAGATGCCGAAGTCGCGTCCTGCATCTCCAATCTTGTCCAAGCGTTCACAAACGGTCTTAACATCTTCAGACGACTACGCGAAAGACGGCGAAAGCGCAAAGCGCGCAAGGAGAGTCAAGCACCAGATCCAACGACAAGCGCAGAGCTCCAACTATCAAAATCTTTGCGCCGAGGACCGCAAGAGTTGGCGGATAGGTATGCTGAATGCTATCATAGTGGGATGGGCCAGCGATTTGCAAAGGGTGATGGTAAGATCGAGTCCTTGGAGACGATAGAGTTGGCTATGTAAAGGGTGCTAATGGTGTGTAAAGCAATTGCGCATGCGTCTCTCGCTGAGACACTTATCAAATTAAACACTGGTCTAGTTAGCATTATTGCAACATTTCTCAACCATGATTCCAAGACCGGGAAAAGTCATTTGGATCTGGACTACAAGTCTCTTACGAACTTGTCTGACATCTCACGGAAAGAAGCACTACACAGTATGACCCAGCTGTATCAACGTCTCAGCCACTCACAACTACAACTTTACCATATTGACGCATCTTGTTGCCATGTCTGCGGAAGCGCAAAACATTTCGATTGCTCAGGAAGGAGCATTAGCCCAGAGAAAGAGAAAAAAAGACATACGAGCTCACGACAACGAATAAGCGGACCAGTGGTTACTAAAATGCCAATCAAAAGCTCAAGTCAACCACAGCTTGTTGTAATGAGGCCAAAGAACACGAGGAAAGGAAGCAGCTCCAGCAACAGCTCTAGCTCGGCGAAGTCAGGATCTAACTCAGGATATTCAACACCAGTGGCGTCTCCCTTACCAAAGTATGTCCCCATGGAACCCATTGAGATCCAGACGTCGGGCATCATCAAGGGAACCCTGGGAGCATGGCCCGAAGGTCGGAGAGGAAGAGTCGATTCCTTCGATGACCAAAGGCCAACAACGTGGCCGCATAATTACACCAGAGCCCCGTCGGCGCATCTGCATCATCCGACGCCCAAGTTACCTAACTTCACTTCGACTCCACGAAAGGAGTCGAAAGAGTCGCCTCACTCCGTGCAACGAAGCAAGCCCACCTCGTCTCCACCAGCCATCTCTCCAGTCACCAAGCGACGTCTTGATAAAGCTACCCCATCGTCGTACACATTCGCATCCGACAGCACAAAACTGGGCGAAATTCCGCAACGCTCTTGGACGACGCCGTGGGACTACGAGGAAGCCGAGCGCTTAAATTCCGAGGCTGCTGTGGTCGGGCATCCTTCCGCTGCAGCAGTTATTGAAGACAAAGCGAGCAAGAAGAAGGGTAGGTTCAGGTTCCTGCGGCGGGGAAGTACAACTGCAGCGATTGCGTAAGCTAGGTAAGTGATAGAGAGAGAGAGAGAGAGAGTATGGCCTCGAGTTTTTGTTTTCGGTTCGGGTTTGTTACTTTTGCTTTAGTCACTTTCGTTTAGCAGGCGTTGGCGTTGGTATTTCCTTTTTAGCGTTGACACTCATGGATAACGACTTATGATATGTAACGAGTAACGAAGGCATGACCGATTTTGGGAAGACGAATGTATGTCTATAGTACTAATTATATGTTTGATTAACCAACAATGGATCGCAATACTCGTCCATGAAACCACTGGTGTTGTTCTGAAAGGACATTGCGCGGGCGTAAGTCGATGACATGGCCCTGAGGACTTCGTGCATCATTGAACAATGTGGAGGATGTTGAAAGGAGACGGGAGTCTGATGATTAAGCTTTCTTCGGATTTTGTAGTCTGGTGATGTGCTCGAAAGTGTAATAAGATGGTGCTCTATTGATGTTGTATGTAAAATCACTGCGCTGGGGTATCTCGAAGAAAATCAAAAAGGTAACAAGCAAAGCGGCTTAGCGCTTACACTGAAGCATGCTGTCAAACCATATGCCTAAACCTAGATTAGTGCTGTTTACCGTTGCAAGGGATTGAAGCGTGCTCACCATAACGAACCGCCGCGTAAAAACCTTGGGAAATCTTAGCAAGCCGTTTGGAGGGATAAACTTCACATTAAAACGCACTTTTGACTCGCATAGACCTCGCCGTACTGATCGATACCGGCCATCAGCTCGTTGTATCTTTGTTTGGTCTTGACCTCGTCTGGGAACCATTTCTTGAGAAAGGTTGCTAGTTCTTGATCAAGATTGTCTACAAAGGGTGTCAGCGAGAGTCACTTTGCAGTTCACAGAGTTGCTGGACTAACCCGAGTTTGCATCGAAAACGGTTGGCTCTCGGCAGAAGGGACAGTTGTGTTGCTTCTTGTTCTGCATGACGATCAAGCACCGGATGCAAAACGTGTGTCCGCAGCTGAGCTTCACTGGCCGCCATTTGAGGTCGAAGCACATGGGGCAGGAATAGTCGTCAATCTGAGGGATATGAGATAGGATCTGCGTATTGACTTCGGCGCAGACGGCTTTGGCGAGGTGTTCAGAAAACTCTGGATATTCGACTTGTCGAGGGAAGGTGGACTTGACCCCTAGAGCCGTGCGCTTGTCGAATTCTGTAACATGATTTAGTATCTGTCTTGAAGCAACATGAGCTTCGGCGAGGGGCGGCTTCATAATGCGACGTACTTTTTAAAATCTTGAGCATGGCACTGTGATTGATCTCACCAAAACGCAGGCCTTGAAGGATCTCTCGATTGATGTGCATGAACATGGTCAGCGCCTTCAAGTTGTCCTTTTTCCGCATCTGATCCACGAGACCCGTCTGGGCCACTTTGGTGGAGAACTCGGCGAGCCTCTGCATGGCCTTGTCGGAATCATGTGCTTTGTGGTCGCTCTCGGTTGTGCCGAAAAAGATGCCTTCTTCAATGTACATTTGAAAGATCTGGCGCCAGGCTGCGAGCATCTTCTTGTTCGCTCGTCGGCCTGGGTCTGTGAATATGGCTATCTGCTTTCCTAGGTCTTCTATCTGACTGCCCATCCGCTTCTCCTCTCGCGTCTGTAGCTTCTCCAGTCCAGAGACCTCACTGGTGAGCCTGGTAAAGAACTCGGTATCCGAAGTGATGGGTACCTCGACGGTGCGATATCCTGGGCGGTTCCTTGGCGCATGGGTGGGTGTAGCAGATTCAGCGGGGCTGTCCAGATGTTCAATCTCGGGGGGATCTAAGGGACCTGACTCGTCGGTAACTCGCACTTCTGACATGCCCGTTTCCACGGCCAGCATCTGCAGCTTGCGCTTCGTCTCTTCATCCAACCGGGCGCTGTGCACCTCTCCAGTGGTCTCGTTCACATAGAAGAGTAATTTGGGGTGAAAGAGTCGCCGCGCCTTGGACGAGGTTTCGGCAGGGTCATCCCCGTTGAGGATGTATTCAAAGGGGCGTTCTTGGTCGTCGTGCTGCTCGGCGGAGGCATTGTAGTCCTCGACGTGCTTCAGTAGCTTGGACAGGGTGGCCGGGTCGAGGCCGACTTGCTGCAGCTCGTCGGTGAGCCTGTTGATGCATTTCTTGAGCTGCGAGTAGGAGATGGCCGAGTCGACCCACTCGGGCGGAAAGCCCTCGTTGGTGAGGCTCTGCTTGAAGACGCGGCCAAACTTCATGGTTGCGTCTGGTGAACCGTGGCACAGCAATCAGGGCGGCAGATTGTCGCACGTGGGGTTGATGACAGGCTCAGGAGGGGGGGAGGGGGGGTACAGTAGCGGGGTCGGCTCCGGTCTGGTTCCGATGCAGTAGGTAGGGCGATATATGCCAGATCAACCACCGTGCCTGGGTCATGCGAATTCGATAGATGATGGATGGCAAAGTTGGAGATGATAGGACGAAGGTGTTCTGCGACGGTGTTTCTTTTTGGAGAATCTACTCTTCTTTGGAGGTGGTGGTGGGGGTTGGTTCCTTGAGGTTGCCTAGTCCAGTCCAGAAGGCGATGGAGAGTGATGATGGAATCAAACACACAACGACATGGGGGGACTCGGGCGTTTATATCAACAAAAGAGAAAAATTACGACATTCATGCCTAGACCCTCGCCCCGTGGTCGTAGTCGTGGTTCTGACGCGCTGTTGCACCCCGTCCGTCACTGTTCGGCTCGTGTTTTTCTCGCCTCTCTCATCTGGCGAATCAGAGCACTTGTGCACAGTCATATTCAACCTTTGTCGGTCCGCAAACATTCGCGACGCCCTGCAGATACTTCTAGACGCGAAAAATCTACCCCAGCTCGAATGATAGCGCCCCAGACTGGCTGACCAACATGGGCGCGTCGCAGTCGACTGGAGGCGGGGACCAACCTGGGGTTCGTGGTGGCGGCGACGTCAAGACAAGCTACTATGAGCTGCTGGGCGTGGAGCGGACTGCGACACAAGAAGAGCTCAAGAAGGCCTATCGCAAGAAAGCGCTCGAACTCCACCCTGACCGCAATCATGGCGACACGGAACGCACCACCGCCCTCTTCGCCGAGATCCAGTCCGCCTACGAGGTCCTCTCCGACGACCAGGAGCGCGCCTGGTATGATGCACATGAAGGAGACATCTTGCGCGGTGGCAGCGGAGAGGGAGCGACAGAGGACCACTACCAGGGCAACATGCGCGTCACCACATCCGACGACCTGGCGTGCATGATGGGCAAGTTCAGAGGCAACGTCGACTTCTCCGACTCGCCAAATGGCTTCTTTGGCTTCGTGAGGGAAACCTTCGAGCAACTTGCCAAGGAAGAAGAGTATGCGGCAGACTACGACGACATCGACATACCAAACTATCCTTCCTTTGGCCACAAGGCTGATCACTACGACGATGTGGTGCGCAACTTCTACTCGGCATGGAATGGCTTCGCTACCGCCAAGAGCTTTGCATGGCTCGACGTGTACCGCCTGTCAGATGCGCCAGACCGTCGCACTCGCCGTATGGCCGAGAAGGAGAACCTAAAGTACCGTGAGGATGGCCGGCGAGAGTTCAACGACGCTGTCAGGACACTGGTGGCCTTTGTACGCAAGCGCGACCCGCGATACACACCCAACAAACAGTCAGATGAAGACAAGGCAAAAGCACAACGCGATGCGAGGAAGGCGCAGGCTGCACGAGCACGAGCAGAAAAGCTAGCAAAGCTGGAGCAAGAAGCCCAGGCTTTGCCGAGCTGGGTTACAGCACGTCCTGCTGATGAGCTGGAGGACGAGTCCGAGGAAGAGATAGAAGAGGAGCACTACGAATGCGTAGCCTGCAACAAGACATTCAAGAGCGAGCGCCAGTACGAGGCGCACGAGAAAAGCAAAAAGCACCAAAAGGCAATCCAGTCGCTGAAGAGAAAGATGCAAAAGGACAATGCGCACCTCAATCTAGACGAGGATGGTATTAGCAGTGGAATCATAACGCCTGCTGATGATGACCTTGGAACAGACATCATCGGCTCTGATGAAGATGGCCTTGACGATAATACACAAGACCTTGTAGAAAAGACAAATGAACTCAACACAGACAATGGCAGTACAGACAATGAAAAAGATGTGGATATACAGGATCCTGAAGAAGAGGACAACGATGAGGATGAAGAGGACGACGAATACGCCTCACGCTCTGATATCGAGGCCCGACTCGCTGGCTTCAAGATTACCAACACATCCACAGCGCGCACTGACACTGAGAAGTCTAACGCGGACCCCATCGACGTCGCACAACCCGAAGACATGACTCCGCAGGAACCAAAGCTGGGTAAGGCCGCGCAGAAGCGAGCCAAGAAGGCAGCAAAGCAAGCCGAAGAGAATTCGTCGGCGGAACCCAGAAACAAGTGTCTGGGCTGTGACGCTACTTTCCCTTCCAAGTCGCAGTTATTCGACCATCTCCAAGATCACCCAAAGCATGTGGCATTGAAGACGGTAAGAGGCCCAAGTAAGAAAAAGAAGGGCAAGCGATAGATCATGACATGACCTGACGATTCACGATTTGATACCACGACCTACTTCAGGCATTTGTGTCGGGATATGGAGCTGTTTTAGCATTGCATAGGCGTTCAAGAATCAGGGAGGGGGAGCTAACGATGCATGCATGCATTTACAAGGACGTTAGTTTCCGTCACCACCTGTAGAGTCTCTGTTGAGCATTTGTTACGACGAGACCACAATACCATGATAGAAGTATACCTACTCATCCACTTTCTCTCTCCTATGGAGAAGACTTGATGACATTCCCGTGCGGGAATGAGCCGCTCATAATTCCAAAGGCTTTTGACCGGCAACGGTTCCGGTTAGTCTTCAACCGCGTAGGGAGAATTGGTATACTCACCTCACTCAACACAATAGTAGAGACCCTTGTGAGTGTCTCGAAGGGACTTTTCTGATTGCTACCATCTACGCTCTGGGGTCAAAATGCTTGCTCTGAGACCAAACGCAAACACGATGTTTCCAACAATCATTCTGTTATTTAAACTCAATGTGAGCTCAGATCAGAGCAACTTACATTGTTATCTTTGGGCATTGTGGACACCATGACTGATAATGATCAGGAGCTTCAGCGCTATCAAGCTTTCCTGAGACCCCTTGAAGGAGAAAATACCCAAGTCAAAGCCGGTATAGATGCCGCCGAAGAAGAGTTTAGGAACGCACCCTTGGTTTGGTGGGACGTAAAGCAGCACATGGGCCAGCACGGTGCTGGTCTGGGACAATTCGCTGTCATGGGTACTGAACTAAAAGAAGTGGAGGATAAGGATCCGAAGCCGGTACTACTCAACACCAACTCACCATGGTCCGCATTCCTATGCGGCTCCCAAGGATCTGGAAAGTCACATACGCTGTCGTGCATGCTCGAGAACTGCTTATTGGATGAGCCAAACATAGGCAAGAACCCACATCCCCTTGCAGGCCTCGTTTTCCACTATGATCGCTCTCGGGGCAGCGGTGTCTGCGAAGCAGCATACCTTTGCACCTCTGTACCGACTAAGGTCCTTGTGAGTGCAAGCAACTACGGCAGGCTGAAGCAGCAATACGAGGCTATGGCCAAACAATATGGTGGAAATATCGAAGTCGAGGCGCTTGAGCTGCATGCTTCGCATCTCGACACGGAACGTATCAAGTTGCTCATGGCTGTCGGCAAGGAGGGCGAGATGCCATTGTATATGAACGTGAGTTGCCTCACAAAATCTCACATAATATGAAGACTTGAGCTAATATATGCGTGTAGGTCCTCACAAACATCTTGCGATCGATAGCTATCGCAAATGGTGGTACTGGCAGCTTCGACTACAAAACCTTCACAGACAGACTCGCAGAGTCGGGCTTCACAGATATGCAGAATGGACCACTCAATTTGCGACTTGATCTGCTGGAAAGCTACGTGGACGTCCCACCGAGACCTAGTACCGTGAGGGAGAACAGAAGGACTATAACGAAAATCAATGCGCGCCATAAAAATCGAAAGCCTGGTCAGCCCGATATCCTCCGTCGACCACCCGGCAGCTTAACCATCATTGACCTCACCGATCCGGTGGTTGACCCCGATTCGGCATGTGCGCTCTTCGATATCTGTCTTTCCATCTTCATCTCCCAGACCACATGCGGGAAGATCATAGCGCTTGACGAAGCACACAATTACATGGGCGACAACAGTGCTGCCGCTGCGCAATTCACCGAGAGACTCCTGAAGACTATCCGCGAGCAGCGACACCAAGGTGCAAGAGTCGTCATCGCTACTCAAGAGCCAAGTGTTAATCCCCGCTTGCTGGACCTATGCAACATTACGATGGTACATCGATGCACGAGCCCAGCGTGGTTTGCGGTCTTGAAGGAACATATGGCAGCGTTGGACAAGAAAAATCAAGACGCGTTCGAGAAGATTGTAAGGTTGAGATTGGGTGAGGCTCTGCTATTCTGTCCTACGGCTGCGATGAAGCTAGCCGTAGACAAGAAAAGTATTGTACGCATGGACACGGACATTGTCAAGTTTCGCACGAGGAGCCGCATCACGGCCGATGGAGGGCGAAGTAAGCTTGCGGATAGTGGTTAGCTGCACTTCACTTCGGCCAAGGTAGATCCAGATAGCCTCATAGACGAAGAGGGGGGTGCGAGTGTGGTAGTAGAAAGTGGATTAATTGTAACCAATGTGTAAGCACGACTGGTGATGTATGACGTAATCGAGCCATACTATGGCACCAGATGGCGCAACAACTGGCGCTGAAGTCTGAGTTTAGCAACAGTTTACGCATGCCAGTAAGGAAGGATGGATAACCCCAGAACACATTTGTAAGCATGAGAGGTACTTACCAGGCAAACTGAAGCTCTCTAAACAAGTCTTTAGTACCGAAGTTATAGGAGACCTACGTTCAATCGCGTACAACGAATTACTTTAGCACATAGTATGTTCGTGCGGATAACTAGGAGCCTATATCTTAAACGTCCGCTCGAATTTCTGACTTGATCGATGTCTACATCGTTTCTGCTGCCTTCGGCGCAACTTTGAGTGGTCGGGCCAAAAACCGGGATCTACTGCAAGGCAGCCCCACTTTCCACCACGCAACACGCCCTACATGTACACATTCCCGGAAGGTATATAACGGTTTACATCCCATGCTTCGAGAATCCTCAATCATCATTACAATGGCAACTGACACCCCCCTCCCTAAGAAAGTTTTGGTGTTCGGCGCAACTGGTTTGATTGGAAAGTACATCATCCAGGAACTCTACAACGCGCGCTCGTCTTTTGAAAAGATTGGGTTTTTCACATCGAAGACCACGGTAGAAAATAAGGCGGATGAGGTTAACGAATGGAAAGAAAAGGGTGTCGAGATTATTGTTGGAGATGTGAATTCCGAGGATGATGTGAACAAGGCTTACGAAGGTTTGTGTCTTGACCAACCCCACTCAATCAAGAGTTCACTAACAGCCTCCAGGCTATGACACCGTCGTTAGCGCACTAGGCCGCAACGCGATTTTATCACAAGTTCCCCTCCTCAAAGTCGCCGAATCATCCCCTACCATCAAATACTTCTACCCCTCGGAATATGGCACCGACATTGAATATGGGCCATCTTCTGCGGCAGAAAAGCCTCACCAACTCAAACTTCAGGTGCGAAAGTATATTCGCGAACATACTAAGAAACTGAAAGTTACGTACCTTGTCACCGGGCCATACTCTGATCTATATTTCGGCCCTGCGGGCGGAGATGAGAGAGTGGGTAGTTTCAATCTCAAGGAGAGGAAAGCAACACTCCTTGGCAATGGAAGTGAACAAATTAGTTTCACAACCATGAAGGATGTTGGACGTTTATTCGTCGCTGCTCTCGAAACCCCAGCTACTGCGCATGAGCGAATTTTGAAGGTGAATTCATTCACTACCACAGGCAAGGAAGCACTTGCAGAATTTGAGGAACAGACGGGTGCGAAATGGGAGGTGAGTTACACATCGCTGGAGGAGTTGAAGAGGTTGGAGGAAGAGGCATGGGAGAAGGATAGTCCTATCAAGACGGTGTTCACCTTGCATAGAATTTGGTTAGAGGGAGGGACTTTATACAAGGTCAGGAGTAATGGAGAGATTGGATTTGAAGGGAAAGAGGAGAGGTTGAAAGAGCACGTGCAGGAGATCATTGCGAAACACGATTGAGCGTGAGATGAAGACGGAATATGCAGAATTGCAACAGTATGTCGAGGTAGTTGCAGTCTAAGAAGAAATACGTACTCCACAGGCTTTGCGATTTACCGTCCCACATACTTCAACTCCAACCACCTAGTAGGAGGGTACACAAACATGGTGAGGCCGCACGCAACCGGTAAACCCAAGTCCGCCCCGCTACCCACAAGCGCAGCAATAGGACCAGTGAAGTAGGTTTGCGACATACACAGGACCGCGCCAACCCAGCCAATGATGAATGCGAGCAGTGCAGCGAATCCATGCGGAAGCAGGTCTTTGCGGTTCCAGATCTCCCAGTCGTAGCTGCCCTTGCGGAAAATGTACTCGTCTTGAATCGTCATGGTGATCCAGATAATCGTCCAGTAGCCGATGAGCGAGAGCCAGTTGATGAAGATGGGAAACAAGCTGTCGCGGCCGGCGATGGCGATGATGGTGAAGATAATACAAGAGAACGTGCTCCAGATCGGACGCGGGATCTTCGCGAACGGGGCACCGAGTTGCTGCCAATTGAGGGCCGCGGCGTAAGTTCCTGGGATATTGTTTGCTGCGATGCAGACAGCGAGAATGACACAACAGACGTCCCCAAACGAGTTGAGAGGCCTGTAAGCTTCAACTACTAGGGCGCCAATACCATGCGCTTTGAATGAGGATTCCCATGTTGGGTTCCGGAGGAGTCCAGATCCTAGACCAATACCGAGGAATTCAATAAGTAGTTTGCCAAATGTGATGCCGCCGGTTGTGGCTGCGAAGGTTGCCCACCGGTTGGTCGTCTTCGGATAATGAACCACGTAATCTGCGGATGCGGAGGACCAGCTAAGAGGTCCGGATGCGACGAGGAAGAAGTAGGAAAGGCGATTACCATGGAGTTGCGCGCCGGCTCCCCGAGAGGGTGTTGTCGTATCGAAGTGTGGTCCAGCCACGCCAATTAAGACAAAGAGAACAATTACGGTAGGCATCCAAACGTATTGCTCAAACTTGTAGAACCATTTGATGCCAAACGTTACCACAACCCACGTGATGAGCGCCACGAGGACGATACCCACGATGACTGACATGCCACCGCCGTTGACAGCAGAAAGTAGTAGTCCACCAACAAGGCAATCGATGAGTCCGTATCCGAGCTCAATGCAGAGGTTGAGTATAACGCAGAGCTTGGAAGGCCACCAACCCATTGTATATTTCGCCACGTTCAAGGTACGGAGGCCAGATCGTGGTCCGAAGGTGGAGATGTAGCCAGTGCAGAGCGAGCCGAAAATGGTACCGAACATGCAGATGCTATGCCGTTGTTAGTTGGTGTAGACGTTAAGATGGCTTGGTACTATGAGCATACACCATCGAGTCCGTAAGACCTAAACCATAACTGACAGGCCCTAAAACTCCGAGAGTTAATTGGTTCGCCGTGCAATTCATTGAGAACCAACTGGCTACGCGTTAGACTGATCCTCAAGCCGATAAGTAACCTGAAGCTTACATGGTGAACATATGAATGTAATCTTTCAAGGTCATGGATCGCTCGCGCAATTCTTCGGGGATCCTCTCGATACCACGGGCTTCGACACCGCAGACTGCATCGAGCCGGTTACAGAATCTTTGGAGTGCCGTCACCGGTTCGCTAATACCAAGCTCGGCTATCTCCCGATCATCGTTGACGGTGTGTGGAGGCAGCATCTCCCTTTTCGGATGGTTCGGCATGTTTTTCTGCAGTAGACATTGCCAGGTCGAGATGATTTCGAAGATTCAAGACTGTGTCGAGAAGGGTTCCAAGGCTATCTAGTGATGTCAGACCTTGCCCTTGGGTTCTGAGACTATTCGCCGTCGTTGATTATATATGGAACATGCTCAGTCTCTACGCCAGAAATTCATGGCATAGCTATTACGGAGAGTGGGACGGTTAGACGAGCCCAAGCCATTTTAGGTTAAGCCTATCTAAATGTAGCGCGCGTCCTATCTCTCCTATCTGCGATATGGGTCCATGATGTGTGGTCCACAAAGAAGACCCATAGTGGGTGCTCGTGAGGGTAGATGGTGGTGGATCTTCTCGGTTCCGATGCTCAAGTCGCAGGGACAAAAGCATGCACGTCGAGTGGCCAATTGGAGTGGGTAGCTGGGGAAACGGGTGTTCTCCCACTCTTCGATGGCTACCAGATGCAAGTGTGGGGAGAGGTGGTAGTATTTCAAGATGCCAAATCCGTATGGATTCTTCGAGACTCAGCTAGCTCACCGTAAGAGTGCCACTAGAAATACCATGATGTGTCTGACACGGCTCGAAAACCGTGGTTGTAAACTGATGGACAAAAGGGTGACTGGGCCACTGGGCCACGACATGGATTGCGTGTATTGGCCCTCAGTAATGCCGTTGTGCTGACCACTCTTTCTATGGTTGAGAGCACAGTAGATCATGGCCGGTCGCCCGCTCAGCTGTACGTACGTTGTAGAGGAGAAGGAGCTGCGCTCGGCTGACGTAAGCACAGCGTCAAGGACGAATGACCGCCATAGCACCCGCTGACAAAGAGGATGAGACAGTGGCTTAGTGACTGTGCCATAGCTTGGCACGCTATAGTATTACATAAGCGTCTCGGTCAATCTGTCAGGGGGCGATAGGGTCCAATTCTTTTTTTTTCTGGTAAAGCCATGATAGTCACGTCCAACACGTACTTTGTTCTGGTATACACAATCAGTCTTGCGATGCGGCCTAGCGGGTCCTTCGCTCCGGGACCATTCCCTGAACCACTCGCAACATGGCGCCGATCCTAGGCTCGTGATTCCGATATGCGCCTTTGGTGTCGCTGCCTCGCCGCCCACAAGGATGGAGAAAAGGGGTCCACGGCGCTTCTCCGGCATAAGCCTACCAAGCACCCGCGCTAAGCCCACCATGCTTTTCATCCGTCCCATTCAAGACTTTTCCGCTTTGCATGGCATTGCTTGATGCTCGCTCGCTCGAGCACCAACCCATGGCGTTTTTGAGTTTTGGCTCGCCGTCATGTCTCGAAGCTTCGGCGGGCATGGGCACCAAGTCGCCCTCAACAGCGGCTTGCGCTCTGCATGGCCAGAGATCCACTCGCACTGCCAAAGGAGTTGGCTTCTCCCAGCCAAGTGAGCCGAACTAATACAAGCCTCCATAGCGTGAGGAACGCCTGGGCGCGGACCACAGAGTGCGCGCTGCGTCAACTCCTATCAACTTTTGGGAAATCGGCCCACATCCTTTTCATCGTATTCATTATCGCATCCGGCTCCGTGCGCTTGCTGATAGGACTCCGCGGCCCACCGTCTCTTTTCACTTTACCATATCTGGAGGGTGCCAAGGGCAGCCCAGGGGGTCTGCAGGTCATGCCCCAGCTGTGGATGGCTAGCTTTTCTCCTACCGCCGCCTTTTAGGGACGTGACAGCTTGGGGTCTCGTATCAGCGGGCCCTGGGCTGATGGCTTTTATGTTCAAGTCTTGTCCATCTCTTAGGTCTCTTGTCTTTCCTCGCGCTCCCCTCACGCTTGACGTTGTTTGTGTTCCTCCATACGTTCGTTACTCTAGTCCTTCGTTAGCCCTCGTTATGCCATCATGATTAAGAAAGGTTATCGTCTTTCCTTTTCCCATCTTATCTTCTACATTTCTACATTCATCATCGCGACACAGCTATGGGCCATATGGAGACAGTCGTCACACAGCTACTTCTCCCACGGACCAAGGAGTTGGGAGTTTGACGCAGATGTACACGACAACGTACATACACTCAGTCATCATCAGTGCGACGCTGCCTTTCCAAAGTTGTACCACAGCCTTGATCAGGCAGTAAGTCGGCGTCAGGGAAGAAAGGTCCATGGTCAAGACATTGAAATCTCCGAGGGGAGATGCATGCTACGCGTCATGATATACCATGGAGAGGTGAGTTGTACTTGCCCAGTCCTGGACCCTCAACCCTAGCTCACACCCCCCGCCACAGCTCTTCGTCGTCAGCTCTGGTAAGCCCGAAGAATGCTACGTCACGAATGGCAACGAGCGCGAACGCATCCTCGGAACTCTTGCTCAGATCGACCGCGCCCTTACAACCTCGCCAATCTCCGACCCTTCGGTACCGAACATCGAGTTCTCTCTTTCGCTCGACGATCTTCCGCGACGCTCCAAAAGCAAAGGCACGTTTTTCGGCTATACACGCAAAGAGGGCCGCGAATACAACGATATCTGGATGATGCCAAACTATGCTTATTGGAGTTGGAACTACACTCATGCACCAAGTTGGAACACCATCCGGAGAGAAATCGAGCAGAGGGAGACGCAACTGCCGTGGGCAAAGAAAGATCCGAGGGTAGTTTGGCGAGGCAAGATCAAAATGGCAAAGTTGAGGAAAGAGCTTGTGCGAGTCAGCGAGGGGAAACCTTGGAGTGATATCAAACCCGTCGTCATCAATAACGCGTCTGATCCGCATACAAAAGATGTCATGAACCTTAGGGAGTTCTGTGGGTACAAGTACACCGTCCAGACCGAAGGCACTTCTTATTCTGGCCGCTTGAAGTACCTGCAACTCTGCCGCTCTGCGCTTATTACCCACCCACTGGAGTGGCAGGAGTTTCATACCCATCTAATGCGCCTTGCCGGGCCAGACGTTAATTACATCGAAGCGTCGGAAAACTTTGGGAATCTCGAGTCAGCAATAGAGTACTATCGTACTCATGATGACGAGGCGGAGCAAATCGCAAAGAATAGCTATGAAACGTTCTCTCGGCGGTATTTGACACCGGCTGCTGTGAGTTGACAAGAGCCCGACTGACTGAACAAAATGACTGATCGAAAATAGGTTACATGTTACTGGCGACGTCTCTTCTGGTCGTGGGCATCTGTCCAAGGCTACGAACCCCAGCTATATGCCCCAGACAAAGATGGCAACATGGTAATGCGTGCAACACCTTGGACGGCATTCGCGGCGAATTGGCCCACGGACCCTTCAATAATTCCATGAACGATCGAGGATCGCGTTCAAGTGAAGGGAGGGCAATGCATTACGGGAGTACTAGGTTCGATTCTGTTATGATACCCGGGTTCACACGATGAAAGCTTAATCAGAAATATTACTATTAGCGCTCTGATCACAGGGTTTCGATTTAGATTTCTGTTCGGCAATTGTCAATACGAAGATGATTTGTTCTCTTGGGAGTGCATGATGACCCACGGTCACGTAGATCTATATCTGGGCAGGTCCGGCAACCCCAGACTGAGCAGCGAGCATCGTGCAGTAATACCCTTATACCGCAATATCGATTAATGAAACCCATACAAAGTATTACAGCAGCTACCCCTCACCTATACCACGAGTAGCTACCTGCTCGTCAAAGCACTTTAGGCATTATGCTACCTAAGTGCTAAACGAAAGCGAATTTTCGACTTGCATGTAACCTTGCACCAATCGATATTGATGAATGGACATAGGAAACCGTTATATGCGTCCTGCTTTATAACGTGCATGGATACGAGATTCCGCGTATTGAAGACCGTTTGCTATACAAGTAGCACCTAGTACCTCTATTAGGATACCGTTCCTCAACAGTGGTCACAAACGCAATGTTAGTTCTACTCGCCCTCCAGGCATCTCTCCAAGTAACCCTCGCACTCCCTAAGGACAACACTCAATCCCTAGGTTCTCTCCGCATTCTCGACACAGGTGTAGGCCACCGCAGCACCCCTGTCCCACGATGGCGCACCTCGCTACGCAACCTGACCACTCACGGCACAAACGCCAGCATCCTCCAACAGTTCGGTCCTGAATATGCTCCAGGCTCGCCCGCTCTGCCCATCGGTGCAGTGTCCCTCGCTTACTCGCCGTCCACGTCGTATCTCTACGCCGCTACAGGTCAAGGAATCATCCGCACTGATGTCGATGGGTCGAACCCGAAACTTGTGATTCCTGAGAAGCCAGGCCAGATCGTGAGTGTGACAGTGGCGGAGAGGGAAGGCAAGTTATACTATGGTACAGAGTACGAAGGGTTGATCAAAAGCGCGGATCTAGATGGTTCGAATATTGAGGTAGTGAGAAACATATCTCAGGGCATCAACTGGGATGGCATGTCGTCCTTTATGCCAGCGAATGCTTACGCAGGTGGCATTTTGGTGGATGACGAGAAGGGTTGGTTATATTGGAGTGCGAGTCGAGCACTATACGACGGAAGCGTGCTCAGAGCGCCACTGCATTCTGAAGGCCAAGAACAAGTCTTGGCCGACGGCATCGATATGCCTGGACAACTACGCCTCGTTGGTGATGCGTTGTACTGGGCAGAAAAGGGGCGCTGGAGTTCCTCGCCTACAGCAATCAAATGGTTCGATCTCTCGCAGCTCAGAAAACCCCAGCCACAGTCACAACCACCCTCGTTGACATCCCCTCCCGTCGCATTTACAACACAGACAGTCGTCCACTCTAACGAAAGCGCCGCCATCTTCTTTGAACAAGACTACACGGGTGATAAGCAGACGCTGGGTATCCAAAGCTTTGTGGTCTACCGGGATGGAGTAGAACAGAAGATATGGTTCGTGGCACAAAGCTCTGGTCGGACAATGTTTGGGAAGTTGGTGGAGATAACGTGGAGGGGGTCGGGAGATGGGCGGAAGGCGGTTTTGGAGGTTTTGACCGGAGATACAAAGGACGTTGGAGTGCCTGTTGGGTTAGAGTATGTTAGTTAAGGGAGATGGAACGGAACGGGACAGCTGCAACAGATAGTTCCATGAAGAACCGATCCAGTGAAAATGATGATACAGCCTTATTCATTGGTTTGAACCTTCAAAGCTTCATTCGAGATCTGTCGATGTCGTTACCCATACAAATGTATACCTTAGTGCGGCTTTGCACTCACTGCTTTGACCTTGACTTTTCCAGGTCCTGCTCGCTCAACTCCCTAATCTTACCCGTATTCGCAACACCTCCTGTCGCCGCAGCACCAATAACCTCCTTCGCCATTCCCAACAAGCCCACGTCTGTCTGGTAGTATGTGACATACTTGCTCTTCACCTCAATCAACGTCATACGTGGGTCCTCTGGGCCACCAGTGTGTTTTCCATCGCCTAAATCACCGAACCAGGCCCCTGTGGCACGGCTCCAAACATCCTTGATACGAGGATCGCTGTTGGAAGTAGTTGTCGCTGTACCGGAGATGCTGATCCAGTTTTGTGACGACTTCGCATCTTGGAAAGAGATCTGAACCTCCTTGTTCTGATCGAGGTCGGAGAACTTGGTGGAGTCTTTGTTCGCGAGGAAAAGAAAATCGGGGCCATTGCGCTTGGCGACTGCCATTGAGCGGCCAACCGGTCCTATATGCGTCAGTATATACACGTGTATGTTTGATGATCCCTTTGTGCTTGCAACAGAGGGTCAACGTCGCGAGAAGTGCAAGATAACTCACCAACACCGTTGCGGTATGTGTTCAGCATACAGATCTTCAATCCATCAGCAATCTCGAAGAACTGTTGAATCTGCTGGTCCTTGGGTGTCTCGTTGTCATACTGCTTTGCAACAGAGGGGTCGGTTTTGGAGTTGACCTCGCTGGCGTGGAGAGTTTCTGGCATTCTGAATGTATTGGTGATAGAAAAGTATCTGACAGATTTAAGACTAGTTTGAAAAGTGCGCGTTGATGGTCTAAATCGCTGTGTAAGCGTGTGAGAAGCACGAGTTGCACGTAGATATACCCGAGGACTGAACATCTCTGCAGGTGGACGTAATGGTGAGATCAGAGGTCAGGTAAAGGAGGAGAAGGTGTCCGAACGGAACACATGCGGTTAGATAAACGTCACGAGTTAAGTGACATGACGCCTACATGAAGCTGTTTGGGGTACTACGGTCGTGGATGGATGTCAACGCATATGTATGACGACTATAAGTAATCGCGTCCCTGCGCTACACGCTAAAGAAGCGAGTTGTGCAAAAACGCGGAGTAGGTCCGCGTTTCCTTGCTACTAAATTCTTTCGGCGTTCCTTACACGCAACCGATATTTTATCCACATGTCTCCGATACTCAACGATCCAAGTTGGAAATTGATAGAGGATATGCAACTTGGCTTGGCGTGCTTCGCCAACCAGGACTCAACGTACGAACTGTTCAACAGCGACCTGTGTAGAAAAAGAGCATATACCGTAGAAGGACATCCAAGCTTTCTCTATAAGTTATGCTCAGGAAGTTATCCACCTTACAGTTGTGCAATGACCCAACTGCATCCTCAAGCAAAAATCCCCAAGCAAAAATCCATAAACCCAAAATTGTATTCAGTCAGGCTATGCCAACAAAGGGTTTGGCTGTATCGATGACACTCTACTTGTACGGTATCCATTCCCCGCCCACAGTAGGTTCGATACGAATTTTCGATAGCTTCGTCAAAAGCGCTCGTCGACCATGATGTCGAACACTTTAATGACCTCGAACTTCCCCGCGTCTGCGGAATTCCTTCAGAGGTCCATCAACGAGCGCTTTCACTGATGCTACCTGACGGACAGTGTCGCGAACCGAGTAGTTGAGGTTGAGGAAATGCTTCACAGCTACACATGCTAGCGATATAGCCCTTCACATCAGAGATAAGAACAAGTCATTTGTACCTTTTGCTACTCTTGATCGTGAGTTTAATATGAGAAAAGAACAGCAGAGGAAATTGAGGAAGAGGTAGAACGTTCTGAGAGGTAAATGTAGTGCGGCTGATGCTGCGTTAATTAGTGATCGTACAAAATGGAGGGTTGGCTACATCTCGCAGCAGCGTACTTACCCCTGGGCTCTTCATAGCTAGTGGGTCGGATCCTGTACCAGCTCAATATTTAGTTGTCATGCCTCATGCAAGGTCGTTTCATGTCGACGAGTAGCCTTGGGAACCTCGGTAAAATGCTAGTTGTGGCACCAGGTGTTTGATAAATAAACACAATCACAACCAGGTAGTTGTGACACGAAAGGGCATGGCACGTTTGTTTAGCCTCGATTCGTGGAGGTTAGCATTACTCGTACGGGAGGGTTTTCGAGACCGCTTTGAAGGCGTGAGTAGGCTTTGGGAGAGGTAGTGACGACTTCTTCATAGTGGGTATCGCACTCAATGATCGGACAAGCTTTGGCATATGAGCTAGGAAGTTATACAGCCTTGTGTATACATACCTAATCCCTAGAGCTTCGAATTTGTCGATCTTTGGCTCACTCAACATCTCACTTATGCGATGGGCCAACATGTGTCTTGGTAAGCCCGCTACAGAAGATTCTGGACGTAAAGAATACGATACCAGAGAGAATGAATAGTCTCTGGTATGATGCTATTGTCTTCCGAATCAGACCGTCTTGTTCTTCATATGTTTCGACCTGTGTTCCATTGATATTATACACGCGCGAAGAGCACGACTGGAATCACTGTTTGAAGACAGCAGGGAGTGAATAACCGCCACTATATGTATCGTCCTTGAGGGTCAAGTTTATCCATAAACTCCATGGACTTCTCGTACCTAATATGAGGTAAGCACTTGCTGTTAGTAAGAAACCAACTAAACTTACATGGTGAAAACGATGCCACCGCTAAGGATCAATCGGCCTAGTCGTGGGACAGCCCCGGACCAGAAGGTCAGAAGACCTTCGTGCTTGAAGATCTTTGCAACGCAGTCAAAGCTGTTCTTGTACGAGCTCCGCGCCTCTATCGATTGCATGCGCGTCTTGACGGTATCAATAGGCATAGTGGTGTACACGGTAATTATACCTGCCAAACCTCCGAGTCCAAATGTGCTTACTGCCCCGAGCTTCTCTCCTGGCGTAACGTATGATTGCGCTAGTTGCTTGAGCGATGTATAACTTGAGAACCGAACTGCTGAGTTGGCCGCTTGCCGTGCTGTTGTTGGGAGGAAACCTTGGAAAAAGCCTCGGATGCCCTTTTCTTGTGCGATAATTCGTGAGCCGTGTAGAAAGCCACGCATACGAGGGTTGGCGGCCTTGCGATCGTCGATGCTGAGGACGAGCATCAGTGACCATTGAGTGAAGTGGAAAGGGAAGCTCACAGCTGGGTCTTGATACTCTCGAACGGTGTCACCGCAAACAGAGATTCCGTAGCTCCAGCACCAAACCCAGCAATAACGGTCGCGGGACCTGACACTTTGCCTTCGGCGTCTGCTAACATATCTTTATACATGTCGAACGCGACGAATCCTATGCAACTGGTTAGAAGCTAGCCTTGGTCCATTGTGCTCAGCCAACGTACGTATGCCAGCCTTTAACGAATTGCCAATGATCAAGGTCGTGCATCCGGCATACCATTGTTTACCGAATGGTGGCCATGGTAGTTTCTTTCCGTCCGGTAATCTTCGGTTGAGTTGCGATCGCGTCTTCGCGACTGCGATCAAGTTAGGAACGGGCGTCGTTCAGTTAAAAGGACGTCCGGATGCGTACACTCAGCGGGGTATGTGATTGCTGTTTAACCGTCAGTAGGTTCTTATGAAGATAGACTCAAAGCTCAATTACATATTTCTACAGCTCCTGCGGTCGCGCCAGCTAGAATCGAGCGCATTGCGCTCGGCTACCCTCAATCAGTCTCCGGAGCACTGTTATGACGTTGGATAGTGCCTGGTACCTTCTTCTTCTCTGTCGGTACCGTCGCCATAGTTACAAGACGCCTTTCAAGTCTGATTCCCACGACTATCTCTGGGATTGACCGTCGTAGTTGGGCGGCGGGACGCGTGCGCTGCAAATGTTTGCCTCGCCAGTTGTGACGGTGACCGAGGACTAGAAATACGTTCGACAGTCGATTAAGATGCTTTGCAGGCAAAAGGGTGACTGTTACAACCGCAGGGGAGGTAGAAAGTCCTGCTTTCAGTGCAACGGATAGCTGTCGCAAGCCGATAGCGGCAGAGGTGCTGGAGATTTATTAGTTACCTCCGCGCGCCGCACGTGATGCCCTGACATCAATGCGAAGCTTGGGCCTTCGAAAAGTTGAGCCTATGATGGTTGTTGCAACTTCATCTGCACAATTCCTCCTGCATCGTCTCTCTCGCCTTCACCGAATTAGCCCGTTTAGAAGATACACAATGCTTGCTCTACGAACCTTTGCCCGCAGCGCACCGCGCTCTGCGGTTCGTCTCTCCACTAAAGCTGTCCGCCCGCAGCCATCCCTACTCCGCCAGACGGCAGCGTTCCAGCCCGCATGGGCCGCACCAAGCCTTAGACTTACGGCCTCGTTGCACCTATCAGCAGTACGAAGACAAGGCGATAGTGGCGGTATGTGTCTGATAATAACGGGGTTCGACCATGGCTAAATATTCTAGTCAATGAGGAGCTTGTCGCGAAGCTTCAGAGCGAGATCTCAATGGAGGAGGACATGAAGGAGGATGATGATCTATCCGCAAATATCAAGGAGTATCTCGAGAACAGCCCTTTTGAGGTACCATAGCCACCCTCTCTATGCGCTGAGAAGATGAGCTTACCACCGTCTAGATCGAAGACAAGCCTGGCAGCCAGGAAGTTGTCTTGACACGAACCTTCGGCGACGAGAAGATCCGCATCACTTTCACCACCGCCGACCTTAACAACAATGTTCCAGGCGAGGATCTTGTCGAGGACAACGCCATATTCGACGATGCCGACATGGATACACAGTCCGGAGGCGCCAACACCAAGGGCTCCATCAATCAGGGCAACACACGCGACGGCAATGTTCGTGTCGCACCCGAGGACCGTATTGCGCCCGCCGACCGCGAAGAGCTAGAGGATGAATACGATGAGGAAGGCCAGCAGCAGGGCTTCCCTGCACATGCCAGCATCCGGATTGAGCGCCCTGGCAAGGGAGCTCTCGCCATCGAGGCTACTGCTCAGGATGGCGACTTCCTGATCGAGGATCTCTACTACTTCCCCACCGCTGATCTGGCCGACCCTACGACCGCCGAGAAGGACTGGTCACGGCGGACACTTTACACTGGCCCTCCCTTCAACAACCTGGACGAGGATCTTCAAATCCTACTTGAGAAATACCTCGAGGAGCGTGGCATCAATACCCGCCTAGCACTGTTCATCCCCGACTACATAGACCACAAGGAGCAGAAGGAGTACATCAAGTGGTTGAACAGTACGTTGCCTATTCTAACACCGTCTGAGCATGCGCTAACGCTAACCTATTGTAGACGTCAAGAGCTTCGTCGCATGAGCTTGTGGGTGTGTCTGTCGATGTCTGCGACGTAACTTTGTCCTCTTGAGAACCATCCATGTCTAACTAGGCTGGGACGTTTAATGACCATGTAAAATAGTGGCGAGTTATCCTCTCCTTGTAAGTGTGAACCATGATGAGATATATCCCTGATAAATAAAAGGGCGCACAAACGCAATTCCACTCTTCCAACGCTCTTGTCAATCACCTTTCTTTCGTTCTCCTCGCTAATCGTAGAGTGGTGTGCTCGCCTCAAGGGTCAGCTGCACTCTTGGTGACAACAAAGACCCGCTTCCGTCACTCTGTTTGCTCACCCTAGGATTGGCGACAACAAAGCAACAAAGCTCCGAAATAAGCCAGCTGCACCCGTCCACAGAGCAATTGTTCGGTTGATGAGTTTTGGCAAGACGTTTGGTTCGGTGTGGTGCGGATATAGCTAAGCATGCATTCCGAAACACATTCCTCGACGTTCAATGACAGACCGTTTGCGGTGAGCGCACGATACCCTCAAAGATGGAGTGAACCGCTTGCCCATGGCTACGAACTGTTCACGTTCATAAGTTCCTAACCTCGTCATTTTCTCGGCATTGATTGCGCGTATACTTGCGGAGAAACGGAGCAATTTGAAGACCGCAAGATGACACGCACTACAATCCCCCGTAACGTCGGTACCGACATGACCCGCATTCCAGGCCCCAATCTGCCACCGCCGTATACCTGGACAGGCGCACGAGCTGGGCAGCTAAGGTAAGTGTCGCACGCAAGGGAGTCGATCCGACTACCAGTACCCCCCATGACTCTGAGGAACCTACAGACTTACCCACTATAGAGCCAATCCCTCCGACTTCACAACCACATCAACCATTCTAATTGGTTCCAAGCACACGCCTTTCCACGTTCATACTACCCTGCTCACATCTCAATCGTCCTACTTCCGCGCCGCCCTTACAGGCCCCTTCCTTGAAAGCACGTCCAACACCATCGAGCTCGACGATGTTGATGTTGCGCATTTTCAACTCCTCGTTTCCTGGCTGTACACCTCTACCATTCCAGCACCATTCAAAGATGGAAAACCCGCCTACTACTCGTTACTGCATGTATATGCACTGGCGGACAGACTAGGGCTTGAAGGCGCGAGGAACGCGGTGGTGGATTGCGTGAGCGAGTTAGCGGATAGGACGAACAGTGTACTCACCCCCTCCGATACTCGCATCCTCTACGAGCAAATCCGCGATTCTGCACCTTTACGCTCACTCGTGCTCGACTTGTTCTCCTTCAAGAAAACAGACAGATTGCTGGAAAGCCATAGCGACTGGTGGCACGCCGCCTTCCTCCTCGACCTAAGCGTGCAACTCAAACGCCCTTGCCCCCAGGCTCTTTCCCGCCACAGGCTACGTATGTGGTGCCCTGAATCCTGGCACGCCACACGCGCATGCGATAACTGCCGCAACGTCCTCCCTCCATGGTACGGCGCAGTGGCGTGCGAGGACTGCTGTCAAGCCTTTTGCACTCGGTGTGTGGAGAGTGGAGTGGGTATGGCGGGCTGGGATGATGGGAGAGCGAAATGGGAAGTTGCAGAAGACCCATTGGATACGTCAGTCGGAGCGTCTAGTGACAGGGCCAAGTTGCGAAAGTGGGAGGCTTGTAAGCCGTGGAGGGGGGCGAGGTGTGCATTGTATCATGAGCATGAAGAAACAGATAGGTGTGGAGATGTGTTTTTAGGACGGTGGTAGGGCATTGAGAAGAGAAGAGAGGGTGATAAGTTGATCTCGCACTTTTGGCGTCTGCCGTTGTAGCATAGCATCGGGTTGGTAACCTTGCACCATTATTATATCTAATCAACACAGTAAGTTCATGCGAGAATATAGAGTCCGTACCTACTAGGTACCACAAAAAGCCGTGATTGCGTCTTCTGGGGTGTAGTCTTGAGATAGGCTCGAGATACGCGCACCTTCCAGTGATGCCACTCTTGCAAGTTACAAATACCGGCTTTCAGTGTCAAAGCTAATAGTTGCAAGTTCCCTTACTAGATTACTGAGTATGTAGGTATCATGTAGATTCGAAGAAATGCCCCTAAAGAATGACAAAAGCCACCCCGGAAGCCCATGAGTAGGAGGTCACCACCGCACACCAAAAGCAGCGGGTCAAGTAAGTGCACGTAAATTACATACTCAGAAAGCCATGCCATATCATAAAAACCGTTACGCCAGGTCGCCAATCGCACATGCATTCCAAAGGAAGCCCAAACCCGAACCGATTTCCTTCCACACCTGAGCCCCATGCTACTAGATACGATGCTTCTCCGACTCTGTTCGAGTCATTAGCTTCGAGTGGATTCATCGGGTTGGATATTCTTCTCACCAAGTCGCGAGTACAGCATGTACAATGCCATCTGGTTGCACTCCTGTGTGCCGGTAATGGTAACCAAACGCTCGTTACTGTTATCAGTAGGTTCGTTGATCTTGATAACACTACCGCTGAGCTGACGAATCTCGTTGATCTTCGCACCACCCTTGCCGATGATGGCGCCGACCATATCGTTAGGAATAAAAATCTGCTGTGTCAGCGGCTGGCCGGGCATTGCGACCTGTGCTGCATGGTTAGGAGCTGCACCATGCGCGACAGGTGCGGCAGCATGGTGGCCACCGTAAGGGTTGGGCGCCGCAGGACCGCCATAAGGAGCGCGACCAGGCGAGCCAGCCCCGTAGGGCATGTTGGGATGACCATAGGGTGATGGTTGAGGGGGCTGTCCATGCATAGGAGCACCATATCCACCATGAGTGGGGGTGCGCTGGGGTTCCTGACGACGGAAGTTCTGTGTATGTGCGTACTGACCTCCTGCAGGTTGGGGGACGTATGGTTGAACAGACATGCCGCCTGGGACAACGTTGGCAGCCATACCACTACGTGTTGCATACTGAGAAGCAGCTGGTCCGCCGAAGCGCTCTGTCAGCTGCTCAACTAAGGTTTGGGCGACATAGTACACAGCAATGTGTACAGCGTCAGCGACACCGAGAACGACTAATGAACGCTCGCCAGAGTTGGGAAGGAGGGTATCAGATGCGTTCAACTTAGCATTGGAAGCCTCCTGGATCTCGCGGATCCGGACTCCAGCTTTTCCAATGATGGAGCCGATGAGAATGTGAGGGATAAGTAGTCGCATAGGATATGCCTTCGATGTCGACGTAGAAGGGGTCTCAAGATCTTCTTGGTTGAGGGTGCGAACAATGAGACCAAATGCCTTGGAGACAGCATCGACTTGGCCGCTCACGGTGAGGATACGTTCGACAGCACCTCGAGAGTAGTCGCTGACGGTGCATTTGGCACCAGACAAACGTCGAATCTGTGTCACGTTCTCACCGCCCTTGCCAATAATGGTGGCGGCCTCGCTGGTGCCGATACAAGCACGCAGATGGAGCCAATTGGTCTCGTCTACCTGCTGATTGTGGTTGACAGGCCGGCCATTGGCGCCAGAGGTAGACTGAATGGGCTGGGTTTCAAGGATAGAGGGGGCATCTGGAACGACAGTGTCTGTCTGGACGTTCTTAGCACCATTCTGGGCCGCGGCGTCGGTTACAAGTAGCTCCGGTTTCACGTCCTCTTCATTGATGTCCTCGGGGGCAATGCCTTCACCCTTGACGGGTTGCGCAATATCAATTTCGTCTGCGCTAGGCTCGTCTTTGACCATCTTGTCGAGAGCGGGGCGCTTTGCATCGGGCTGGTCGTTGGGTCCAGCAGGCGAAGAAGGCTCCTCCAGCGGACGCTTGGTGGAGGAAGCTGCGATGGTGGGCGATGAAGACATGGTTCCTATTGATGAGTCTTGAGTCTTGACACTGGTATATACGCGCTTCACAGTCCAGGCGAGCACTCAAACGAGATGCTGGGACTTGTTCAATTGATCTCGATTATGCGACGTTTTATGTACAGCGGGGTCGTCAAAGAAAGCGTGCTGTGCTGGCGACTAGGGGGGAGACTGCGGAAAGCGGTGGAAGGTGCGTGGAGGTGAGGTCGTCGGAGCTAGGACAGGGCTTGGAGCGTGCAGAGAGTGCAGTGGTCGGAGGGACGACGCCTCGGGAGAATGAGGTGTCGCGGGTGCGGGAGCTGGTGCTGGTGCTGGTGATGGATTCGGAGAGGATGAGTGCTTCTTTAGGAGGTGCTGTCGAGTGGAAGAAGGAACTGGCCCAAGTAAAGAAAGCTCGCTCGTCAAACCTTCTCGGCGGACAAAAGCCGGCGTCTTAGATGTAGAGCGCTCGAAGTCGCGCGGCTTCCTCGTCGATTGGGAAATCACTAATAAGAGAAGGGGTAGAGGTGACGCTGCAGAAGGGGCTTTGGGCGATGGTGGAGAGCAGCCGGTGGTTTGGTGCGAGGGAGGAAGTAGTGCAAGCGTTACAATTTAGGCCTTTTCGTGTAGCTTGGCGTCACGTGCAGCTACCGACCCTACGATTGCGATCACTCTTGACAGCCAGTTTCACTACACGAGATAAAGGCAGGTTGATAATACCCATAGAATCCATAAGAAAGGACTGTCTTTGTCGGAGCTACAGCTTAGACTGCAGTCACTTTGTCTTGTCCTATCACTCCGTCGTCACACGTAGAACCGCTTCAGCAGCCAGTCGATGCTCAGTAACCGGCACCATCGCAGTACTGTCACATCATGGAGCAACAACAGAAAGACCCCATGGAGAGAATACGAGAGTTTTCCAAAGAAGCTCGTGAACTCCAAGATGACTCGATGGACTTTGACGCGTCCAGCACCGAGGCGCGTCTAGAGCAAACATTGAGGGAATTGCAGGCACGCGTTGGAGAACAACATGCAGCGCTGGACGAGGTAAACACAATACAATCATCACACTGCGCAAAGCTGACAAGTTGTCAGTTACGTTCCCAAGCGAACGGTAGCCTGGAAGCTGCTGCACATGCCTCAGATGATCCACGCCAAAAGCTCCAACAACTCATAGTGGTCAAAGACGCGTATCAACGCCTCAAGCCAACAGCAACACTCCTTCCAGCCCCCAAGTCTGTGCTACCAGCGCTATTGGCAGCGCGTACTATTCAACGTAACGTTCAAGGAACCAAGGAAGCTATCACAAGCACGCAACGTCAAATCACCAGAATAGAGGCCACCCTGCGCCGCGAAGAGGCCAATCTGCACGATGCCAATCTCCTCACACAAGCCATGGAGAGCCGGATCGAGCGACTGCGCGTCCAGCATGAGGACCATTCGCACAAGAATCCTGCGCAGCTTGCACGGGAGCTCATCGCAGGCAAACGTGCTCAAAGGGAGGGCTACGACGCAGAAATGCAGCACCTCGGCGAAGCAATGGACAATTTCATCAACGACTACCTAGCTGGTATGATTGCAGCTGAAGAACTCGGCGGCCCTGTCGTAGGCGACATGCTTGACGTTGAAGACGATACGCTCGCAGCTGGCTTCACGAAGAAAGGACGCGCGAAGTCGTCCAAAAAACCTTTGTCTACAAAGTCTCGCCAGCGCAGGATCGATCAGATATGGGGCAGCAAAGCTGTTGTTGCGGACGACGAAGAACCGCCTACAGAGGCTGAAGCTGCTGATGCGGAGATGCGACAACTGCTTGAGGATTTGTTTGCTACGCTGATAGGGCCAGGAGGGGGGAAGGCGTACTATCAGCTTCAAAAGGATTCTGCGACTTCGAGGTTTCTAGTCCGAGCGAAGGTTGCGCAGTTTCATCCGAAGGACGCGACGAAGCTGCGATTGATTGACTTTGGGAGGGAGTTGGATGACTGATCCTCTCATGTTGGGCTCAACAAATGAGATGTGAGATTTGGAAACTTAATGATATACCAAGAAGTTGACATTGGCTTGGATCGGGGTCAATTGGCTTCATTAGACGAGCGCTTGAGAAAGATTTTAGAATTGGATCGAGGTACGATACCCGGCCTGGAAAGCTCAGTCTTTTTATCTTCAATTACTCTTGCCATCTTGCTTTTTTTGATTGAATTATAATCCTTTTCAGAATGGTCAGCCATGATCCCAATACATCATCTGTGGCGGTGCGCTAAAATCAACAGCACCGTCTTATCCTAGCCCTCTTACTAATTTGTATCATGTAACAAGGCGTTTGAAACTATGCCTTTCCCAATACTTATCCGCGTGTCTGCTCACAGGCTTGGAACTGACCTGCGACTAACGTGTACCCCTCCCAAGTCATGACCGCAGCCTGGGGGTCTGAACAGGTCATCCTAGTCACAACGATCCGAATCGCCCAGCTCATCATCTCCGCTCACCGACACCAACGGGTTTTATCGATCTGATAAACGCGAGCTCCACCGGAAAAGGCACAATTGCCGTACTCGGTCGTGTTTCTCCGAAGGATTCATCCAGGATTCTCTTGCCATTGCATTAGGTTTCAATGTAGACATGACAAGGATACATGCCCGTCCGAGGCCATGTCCCGAACCGCTCTCGGGATAAATATTGACCCCATGATATGATGTCGCAATAGCGGACATTTTGCAGAAAGCAACGCTTGCTACGATTACGGAATTTGCCCCAATAGGCAGGTTGGGATGCAGGTGCAGGTGATTGATTCCCTTGGTCTAGCCCCTGCGTATGTAAGGCCTCGATCCATATGCAAAGCAACATGCACCAACGCATCAACGTGGCTCCAGCAGGTACACTTCTTTCCATGGCCCAACCGGCAGTATTCCAGACAAGCGTCAGCGGCTGACTGCATCGTCCAAAGCCACAAGATGTGATTCGCTGCGTAAGCTCACATCATGCAGGGCTAAACAAGTAGCCGTCCCATCTCATTCGAGGAATCTGCTGGCGTACGATTGCGAGCACGCGAGAGATGAATCCCCGGATACGGACGATGAAAGCGACTTGCAGGGGTGAGGCATAAGCGGGTTGTGGAGGTGTGACGTGGGTCAGCAATCCGAGTGACGAGGAGCGAGCGAGTGGATCTCGTTTGTGCAAGATGTGATTCAGCTTGAAACACTTTTGCTGATCGTGCGAGTAATTGAGTTCTGTACAATCGTCGATGACAGACAGGCTTAATCTACTGACTCAGCACCAGCCGGTAGCCAGTGGCGGTCTGTGTTATTTTGGTTACACATGGATTGGAAGCAATCTGCACGCTTGCTTAGCGCACACCCGATCGAAGAGCAGGGGGTGGGGGGGGGAAGTGAAATTGGCAATTCCACTTCGCTTTCCTTTCCACGTTCTGTCAATTGCGGCAATCACTCCGCGGCCCCATTATCGAGATTCACAAAATAGGAAGTAAACGGGTCCGCAGAAAAACTTTAACTTGGGTCCATGGCGTTTTTTTTCTTCATATTTAGCATTTGTGTTAATTGTCAGGGAGCGGATATTGGAATGAGACTGGAAAGTTCCCTTCACTGTCCGAATACGGAAGCGGGAAGGTACCAATGCCATGGTACCTAGTCTAAAATCGCCCGATTGTTATTTGTGCACCGCGGCGCCGCAAACCCTCAGACAATCTAAGCTTGCAGGTGCAATCTGCCATTCCCCTCCGTAGGTTTGCACCGTCAGCGGTCCGGCGCCCCTGTAGATGATTTAGTCCCTTCTGGAACACAGCTATCAAACCTTTCAAATCTTGTGGCAGTACGCACCCATACTTTTCTGTTCTGGTTCGGTGGAGAGGGCCGGGTGGTGAAACGGCGCATTGCACGGGTGATGATCTACAGGTCTAATCTAAATCCCACGTCCCTGGCGGAACCGGGGGGGACTTAGGCGACGGCGAGAACATGGGAGATGAGATACGTACTGATGTGGCTGTGCGTCAATCTTGGGTCGATTGAGCGGCAGATCCTATAGCACTGGATTTCTGAGTCACAGAAGCCTGCCACTCTGTACGCATGCGCTAAGCACTTCGGGCCTCCTGTGGGGCTGGAGCGTGCCGCTGTGGCGATACATGCGCCACACAGTGGCGAGCATGTGTGGCTAGGCCAATCTTATGTAGATCGGAGCGCCTTATTGGAGGCAAGATAACCGTCCTCTTTACATTTTAATCCGATGCGACAATGGTTTGAAGTGTATTTGGTTAGAGTGGTACGCGTCGTCTGCCCGACTGCTTAGGAAATGGGCTTCGGGGTCCACGACGGCTCTGTTTGCGCGTACATTGTGGCAAATGGATACTTTGAGCCAAATGTCTCCGAGCAGATGCTGGGCCACCCGGCTGGTGAGAGCGAACGGTGAGAGCGAACGGGACGCCGGATAGCTCATGGACCGGAGAGTGTGGGATTATTCGTGGCTGATAGTTCGTTTCGCAGCAGTCCCACACCGTCAACGTTACTCGCAAGCGTAGGCCTCCTTTTTTGCCCAGACCATCCCTGCAGAAGCGCTTGCTCCTTGACCTTCGCTCTGACAACAGTGGTTCGTCTTCGCAATAATTTTAGCATAATGTGTACACGTTTCATATCGCGACAACGTGAGAGAACGTGACAGAACGAGTGCCTGGCAGACGGCCAACTTGGATTGGATTCTCTAACCCCCATTTTCATTCGACACCATTCCTCAGAGTGCCAACGCACCCGCTCCTTTCAATCGCTGCCCTTCAAGTCTTTTTCGTGTATCACCATTGTGATTGGTGATCCCGTACTGCATTATGACATCAAGCTTCGGAGACACATCCATGGGGATCAGCATCGGCTAGACCTTCCAAGCGGCCAATGTCAATTTCCCGAGCTCCACACTCTCCACCTCTGGCGAAGTACCACAGAGACCAGCGTGTGTGCAAACTGTAGATCTTGCTATGATGGTGAGGTGCTGAATTGCGAACATCTCGGATGCGGACTATTAGTGACTTAGTCGCATGGTAGATTGAGGAACATGTTGAGAGAGTGAGAGAGAGAGAGAAACAAAGAATGTTTGGAACAGTGGCATGAAAGCGCAAAGACTTTGATTCGTCTTCAGAAGGGTTCAGGCATCCTAACCAGAGTAATCACTGATGCCTCCCTGTATATACGTCGAAAGATTACAGCCCCAGTTCTGATCGACTCCATGTATGTATAACACTCGGTACTTTTCAATGTGTATTCGTACCTGATCGTTGCTTTGCAATCTGAACCGCTGGAAGGGTGAAAATTTGTAATGGTATAATGGGTATCGTCGTCGAACCAGAAATGAAGAAGGTAAAAGCAAAAGGTATCAACATAGGAAATTAAAAAAACCGCTCGTGAAGAGAATGCGTGGTATCTTCGAAGCATCTCAACGCCAAATAAAGTGTCAAGTTGGATCAAACGATCAACTTTGGAAATATTAGCCCAAAGGGAGCGGTGCGAAGCTCCTTTGGTATGTACAAATAGTACACAAGTCATTAAGGTGGGTTGGTCGTAAAGAATCCGGGTATCGAGGAAGGAGTGTGACATGTCTTTGGAGAGCAACAGGCGTAAGCGTTTAGAACAGAAGACGGAGCTCGTACCCAGTCGAGTGGACGTTTTCGACGACGCCGATGTCTCCATCGACTTGGATGTCCGTAGGGCCAGCGTCCCACTCTCGCTTCAGGGGCTGCGCTGGCGGTGTGCCAATCTCATGGAACTCGGCTGTCATGTCCTGTTGTTCTGGTATTCCATTGACCGCATCGTCATCCATGAGAATCTGCAGTCCCTTTTGGTTGACGCGGATGGTTCGGGTGACTTTTGTTGGTTCAATATGGATCTTCATTGCAATTCCGCTTACGAGTTCCTTTACGCTTCGTTCCATGAGGTATACGGCGCGGAAGTAGTTGTCTTCGGGCTGTCGGCCCGCGATCCTAGGTTGGACAAAAAAGCACGCGACTATACAAATAATTAGCATACGTTATCACGATGAAAGCGCGTCGTGTTACGTACCTGGCTTGAGCATAGGCTCCGGTGGTGGTTGATAAGTCTGATCCACGCCCAGAGCCTCAATCCATCCTGAAAGAGCATGGTCGTCCGAATATGGTCGCTGAACCTTTGTCGGAACATCTGCGCCTCCGTGAACGCTAACCATGCCTTTGAGGTCCCCGGTAGCTGTTTGCGGGAGGCTTCTCCATTCGTTAGATGACATGCGCGAGGGTGGTTGGAAAGGCTTCGGACGTTGAAACGAGGAAGTTCGACGCTTTTCAGAGTGGAGAGATTGTGAACTCGGGGTTGGAGACACGATTGATGAGGCGCCGGTTTGAGAACCTTGTGCCTCCCACATTTGCGCATCTACACTGGTATCGATCTTGGACAACTCCTCGGGAGTTGCAGATAGTTGCACCGGATGGAGGTCTGGATCGTCTTGCTCAGCTCCGTTCAGATACAAGACGCTGACAGGTCTGGTGGAGCTAAACATGTCCTGCAGAGCTGCCAGCTTGATGTGTAGGTCTTCTTCAGCAGGTGCACGAGCACCCGATGCTGAGCTTGCTGAAGACATGGACCATGTTCTCTTGTGCTTGGGCACTTTTCCCGGTCTTGAGCCAGCACTGCCCCTGGATATCGACCCGCTGCGCTTGCGCTTGCCGAAGTCTTTCATTCCAGACTCAACCTGCGCAATCTGTTGCTTCAACTTGTCGATGGTCTTCTTGACATGTGCAACGTCGTTTGACAGTTTTCGCTCGGCGCCATGGTCTCGGAAAAGCTTGACCTTGCAATAGCAAAGCTCGGCATCCATCCTCTCTTGGGGCGATGCAGTGACGTCGGTGATTAGCTCAGTTTTGGCGCATAACCGAACTGGAATGCCTTTGACGCCCTTGGAATGACTGAAGTCGGTAGAGAGGAAGTTGAAGCGTACAGCCAAAGAGCATTCGGGCGTAGCGTTGTGGTTAGGCGTCCATGTGACGGAAAATCCGTCAAAGGAAGAAGACTCGAGCTCTACTTTTGGCCGTCCCTGGGCGTCACCCCCGCCAACCTGGCTTGGGTCTACGAATTCAACAGCTTGCAGACGCCCACCACGTTGGTGTGCCTCGTTGGTCCCGCGGCCCTCTTTCCACAACTGCCAGCAAGCGGCGGGGCGTTGTCGCTGCTGTTCGTCCTCGAATGAAATACGAATAAAGGTCCTGTACTTTAGAGATGGTGAAGGTGTTTGAACCGGGGCTGTGTCCACGAGGGAAATTGAGTAGGCTTGGCCTTTGTTGAGGTAGGTCACTGGAACTTCGTCTGACTGTTTGATCATTGCAGTCGGTGCGTTCAAAGTAACGTGGTATCGGAAGCTGCCACAGTTAGCAACGAGCTTTGCCTGTTTGGCATTTCATATGGTAGTACTCACTTTTGATTTGGAGGAGGCGCTGATGCGACTGTGGCCGCAAGGTTTCCGTCGTAGGAGTGAGGTGCAAAGCCAATCAGAGGCGATTGATCTTGCATGTCGACCTCTGGAACCATGTTGTCCATTGGCGCGTCCTCATGAGATTGCGCCAATGCACCATGTTCGAATGCGGAAGGTTGATTTGTGAACTGATGCGGCGCAAACGACTGGGAATGTTGAGGCTGCAGGTTGAAGGGGTTGACATTTTGGAAGTGATGATGGGTTCCGATGGCATGAGGATTGAAACCATGAAGATGACCTGTGGGTGCGGTCTGGCCAGCGTGCAGCGCGCCTTCCGAGGTGGGTAGCGACAGTGGTGTCCCTAGGCCAAAGCTGAAGCCGGGCGTGTGCAGATCGCCGGCCTGGCTGTGGTAGAGCGTGTTGGTGCCGCCTGGTGTAGGCGTGTAGTAGCCAGGGGGCTGGTTTGCAAAAGAGGTAAATGCAAAGCTGTTGGGGTCGAGCAAAGATGGGGTGAATCTCCACGGCTCGTTGTTCCCGCGCGGAGTCGGGTCTTGGTCCTTGATGTCTTCGTGATCGCCCGCCTGTCTGCATAATGAATAACAATGTTAGTTGACAAAGTTGTCCTAGTGTTTAGACGTGGAGCGAGCGCAAGCGGGCTCGAGCAACGTACCGGGTGGGATGCGCGACATCGAGCGCATCTGCGAGTGAGGAGCCTTGTGGGCCTGTGAGAGAGTGCGAGCGCTGTGCGAGATGCGGAAAGGTGGCCTTGAATTCATCTAGCAGCTTCCCGTCGGGTTTTTGCGAATTGGTTCTAAGAGGCGGTCAGCCAAGGGTACTTGGGATGGAGATGGGAAACGCGACGCGCGCATGTCCCCCCCCCACGTGCAGCTGGGCCGTCTTTTGGAGTGTCCATGGTAAGGAACAGGCAGACTCACCGGTTGCGAAACATTATCGCTATGAAGCTCGAGGCATAGGGTGCAGGTTTAGTATGGGCGCATCGAGAGAAGGTCGAAAGGTGAGGCTGGAAGATTGGGGGGAGCCGTGGTTGGAGTGGACACTTGGGGGTGATGAAACGGAGCAGCTGCCACAATAGAGGTCAAGCCACACACACACACAGACACGGTGTGCAGGGCCGGGGGGTCAGACGTCTTTTAGCTACTGTAGGGACCCGAGCTTCCTCTGCCCGTCCACAAGGGGACGAAGGGCCATGGTCGAGGGCCGCGCGTGGCATGGGATTCTAGCCAGACTCCATGCTAGTCTGGTGCTGCAGTTTTGCACCGCCGTAGGCCTGTTTGGTCGGCAGCTAACAGCCATGGATGATGGATCTCGACCCAACAACGCTCTCTCCCCTCCCTGCCCCTACCCCTACCACTACCACTACCACTCCACTACCACCACTACGAGCTACTAGCTACTAGCTACCACTGATCACCGGGAGCCGTCTTGCACAGCCACTGCCCTACGGTAGCCGCGAGCCGTCCAGAAGCTCTCTGCGCGCACAACCCCCCAAACGGGCTGCGATTGTCGCTGCAGCTGTCGCCATCCCGCATCGCCAGCGCAAATCCGTCCATGGATGCGGCGTCGCACGCGCTCCCAGCCCGGCGTCTCTCGAATCCACCCTCAACTGCCACACGGGTGTGCGCGTGCGAGCCTCGAGTGGCTTGTGTCCGTTCTCCCTCCATGCCGTGTCTGTGTTCGCTGCCCGTAATGTAATTTACTTTGTCCAAAAAAGCCCTCTCTGCCCACACACACTAGGCCCGCTTCAACCCAGCAGGAGGAAAAACGTCGCGGCGCCTACGGGGCCAGCGTTGGCGCCATCATGCAAAATGACATAGGCCCCGTCGACCTCGTTTCCCTTTGTCCATGGATTGCTGCCCTTGACTCTGCCAGCCTCCACACGCGGCAAAAGTCCTGTCTGCCGCGGCCCCATGGAGCCACAGCGCAGGGCAAACGCATTACTCCTCCCCCCTACGTCTGGGCTACGCATCAGAGACGGCCGTCGCACCCCCGCCAATTCGTCAAAAAGCGTTCCTCGGGCCAATCCCGCAATCAGCCGTTGGCGCCGTGTCGCTTGCTATTGTCCAGGCCAACTCGCCCGTTGCCCGCCTGGTCGGGTGAGTTTGGCCTCGACGTTATTTCTGCTACTAGCTGTCAAGCCGAAATTAAGGAGTCTGAATCGTCGGCGGGGCCCATTGCGGAGACAGCCACCACGCCCTCGTCATGCTCACCCAACTTGGCCTATCAGTCATGTAACTGCAAAAAGCCAAAAGGGCAGAAAAGACAAATGTCCCCTGCCATTGCAGTTACACCGACCCCATTGCTGGCATTCGCATCTATTGTGGGTCGCTTCTGACCAATCCCAGGGCTGATGGCATAGTCCGCCGGTCAAGCGAGGGGGAGAGCCAAGCCGTGGAGCCTGAAGCCGTCCTTGGGTAAAAATAAGTGTGGCAAACACACTACAGGCCAAGATCGACAAAAGATAGTCGACAGACCAAATACACGGTGCAGCGTCATACCGTCGAAACACCGCCCAAGGCGGTTGTGATTGACATTGTGGCACAGTCATTTGCCGCCACACTGTACCGCCACAGCTCGTCGTAAGCGTAATCTAGCTCATAGATCGCCGTTCTCGAGACGTTGACTTTCGCTATGATTCGATGCGCGACAAAAGGGACGCGTAGGCTTGCAGAGAGGAATGGGCTGAACACGGCCCATCGAGGGCTAGAATTCGTGCGCGACTTCATCCAACGTTGGCCGTGAATGCTCATTCGAAGCGGTACCTAGCTATCTCCTGAACAATGCATCAGCCACGATAACAAAGTGAGGTGACCTCCGCTGCTACTTGCGCCAGATAGGCTCCATCATAGAGGCCCTGTTGCCAATTCACGCCATGTCGTATCTTGTCGTAATCGCTGAGTCTGATGTGAGCTGCAATAATGACTTCACTTTAGCCACGGGTCTCATTACGCTCTCCGTGTCACTGTGGCAAGGGCGACTGGAATTTGATTATCGTACGGGGTCATTTGGCAGCGTTAGTTCCCTGTAGAACATGCGTGAGCTTGGCCCTGATCGTAAGCTCACAGGCGTCGCGCCCTGTCATAACAACCAGTCGGCGGTCTCAAAAAAAAGACTCGAGAAACGGTGACGTTGTGGGCATCGATGCGACTTGATGGATGGGCGAGTTTACAGTGGTTGGAGAAATTGTCCGGTGTTGTCACGGTTGCTCAACTGGTTAATCTAGGTAGACGGACAATCTTACCCACCCCTACATGCCAATCAATCTCAAACAGAGACCATAACTATCTGATCGTAAGACCACACACCCAGCGTCGGCAATCCTGCCATGGTCCTGTGACAGCGCCGCCGTCCATATGCATCGCGGACGCTACGCCAACTGCTAATTCGCGACTTTGAATATTCACGTCCAAGACAGAGTGGATAGTTCGCACGAATCAGTCGGAAACTGTGTGACCGCTGTTAAAATTCCTCGTTTTCAGACTTGCGGTCGTACAGTGCAGTGCGAGTCGCTCAAGGTTATGAGGCAGTTGTAGATGACCTCGAGCTGTTCCTTGCAGGGCTGTCGCCCTTGCACACTGACATCTTTTCTGCTGTCCTAGCCGCTGCCAGAGCAATGACACTGTTGCGAAATCGAAGACTGCCTTGTGGGTCCTTCAACGGTAGTGAAGAGTCAGCCGTGCGTAGATTGTGAGACGAACTACTCATGCTTGTTGAATCGAATCGTACGCTTCCACCCGAGCTTTGACGAACTACCGTTAGGATGCTAGAGCGGGAATCGCGGCGGTCTAAGTTTGGTCTGGCAAATATGGATTGCAAACTTGAAGCCGACGTTTCTCGACGAACGCGTCCTGACGTCTGCATAGGGCTTGGGATCTTCGAAGGTTTCGGGAACTCCACAGACAACGTATGAGACGACGGTTTTGGGTCAGTCAACTGCAATTCAAGTTTGGGATTGCGCAAGCGTCCAAGTGATGGAGTATCCGTACCGGAAGAGTCACCATCTCGATTCCGGGCCTCGTGTAGCTTAATATCCTCTTCGAGCTCCTGGAGCTGGTCATCTCCGGGCTCAAAGGAGAAATGTCGACGACGATGCTGGTCGGAGCTCAATTGTGGTTGTGACTGAAACCTTCGGAGGGCAGGTCTTGATGTGGAAATTCCCTCAACGTAAGGTTTTCCGTTACTACTCGAAGCATGACTCAATAAAGCCGGCTGCGTATTTTGCTCTTCGGAATGTCCAGGATGCGTAGCTTCACTCGCCTTTGATAACAGCATTATGAGGCCCTCACTAAAGCTATCAACGTTCAAACCCCGTCGTCGTGCAACAAGTTTGCCGAGTTCACGCAACGCGACGAAGGCGTCGCACTCAACCGCTGACTCTATGAGTGCCAGGGTGGGTTCTGCCATCTCATCTGGTAAGGGATCACCAATGCTGCCAGAGAAACGAGAATTAACAGAATTGGTAATGGACTGTGAGGCCTCCATGCGGGCCATACTAGCCAGGTTCAGCTCACTTTGGACTTTACGCGATAGAGTCATTCTCCTGTTCCCATTGGAAAGGCTTCCGATAGCTAGATCGATCTTGTTGTTCGTGAACTGTTTAGATAGAGCGGTCATCTTTCCAGAAGGCGATGTTGGGCGGTGGAGAAGAGCTGCGCCAACCGCTTTAGCTTTTCCGGATCAAAGTGTATTTACTCTGCCGGGCTGACTTACCTCGCTGACTACTTAGCCTAATCTCACTATCCAGCTGGTTCGGAGACAGAAATTCGTACATCGGTGGAAACCTATCGTTCGAGGTGGTCTTGCGATGCCGTCGTCTGCGATCGACTACACTCCCTTGTCTGGCTTTAATAAGTCTGCTTCGTGGTTAGAGGAGAAAAATGGGGGTATTGTGTGGAAACCGACCCTGTCATGCCACTCGTCCCTCGAGCGATGAGCAGCTCAAGCCGGCGGATTTCAGCCTCGTAACGACCTTCAGACTCATTCCACTGATCTTTCGCTGTCTCCCAATCGTGAAATGTGTCCTGCAATAGTGTCTCAAGATTCTCCTTCTCTTCTCTTACCTTGCCATAGTCTTCAAAGATTCGAAATAGGCCACTGTTGTGACCCAAAGGAATGGGGGAGGCAGTGATCATGTGCGAACGAATGGACCGCAACGCGTTCAGCGGATCGACATAGGGTTGAAAAGGTGGTGGGGCGTCGTCGCTCCAGGGTTCGGCAAACTCAGGCCCCTTGGATGACTCCTTGAAGCTGCTGAAAAGCGACGTGTATCGTGCGAGCTTTGGCTTGGAGTTTCGACGCGGGGTAGACACTTCCGAGCGCTCACTTCGGGCATCCTCACTATCCTCTGCAAGGTTTGTTGGTGCTACGGTCACCGGTGTCTCAGGTCGACTTCCGTGGATTGTTCTTCGCCAGCCATGCTGCCGACGTCGATCGCTTGAGTCTTCAGCAACCGCTGTTGTATCGTCACCGTCAGTATTTAGCGGCAACATGTCCTTTTGCTTACTACCGTGTAGCTTCTTGCGCCAGCCTACGGCTTTGTTGTCTGGCATTGTGTTGGTGTGCCTGCTATTACTCAGAGCCAGGTGTGGTGCGGCTACGGAGAGGGCATGCAGTGGGCGAAGTCCGTTGTTTGTCCATGGGTTGCAGTTGCCAGAAACTGTAAGCAAACAGGAAGGTGTCGCTTTGCGAAGCCTTCACCTTCACCCAGCCGTCCCCGCTCCAAATAACGGGCACACTTTTACGCTGGACAAGTACTTGCTTCCTGTGTCAACTCGGGATCCCACCGAACGGTACATTTTGAATATTCACAAGTTCGAAACAGTCACCCACACTACATCCAGTGTTCATTCTTCATCTTACGGCCAGCCTGTTAGGCCATGATGCAACGAATCACGCGCTCTTAGCCCTCAGGAAAGGCACGCCCCATTCTTTCAAATGAAACTCAAGAGACATGGAAAACAAACAACGGTACGATAAGAGAAAGTAGACGACGGACGTGGCGAGGTAGAGACACGTAGAGCCCTGAGTGAGAGCAGCTCTATAAAAGATTGAAGCAGGAAGGAGGGAGACGAAATCTTGGTAAGCCACATGCTCTAAATCGATGACGCAACAAGGTCTTCTGCGTTCAACTTCGCCGGCTATCGACAACGATCGCGAGAGTTTGAGAGCGGCGCCGTCACTTTGGGAGTTTGCGTTTGCGTTGTGAATAAGTCTTAGGACACTTCGATGCCCACGGGTCTTCCTCGAGGCGGCCTCCTAATACGGCTAGCACTTGTCTCCATCTTCTACCACCTGCCCGCCCCCGCGATAGGATAAATCTCGCCCCACCCGCTTCCCCATCCTGCACCCCAACCTCAATGAACATCGCGCTTCCCAAAATCTCCAAGGACTGAGTTGTGCAGGTCGGTGTGCAGACATCGCCATTGTTGAAGTGCGTCATCGCAATTCTCCGCGTTTCGACTCGGTTTGAGCATCGTTTCATCCCAAGAGCAACAGGTTATCGGCATACACAACATGTCCAAGGAGTCGGTGGGGAAGGAGGCAGAAATCTGGTGAGTTTGCCATAAAAAATCTACGTAACAATATCACAGTTTCTTAGAGTCTCAAGAAGTCGGCTTCTTTCACTTCGGAAAGCTTTTTGTATACTTCCCGCTAGTGCTAAACATGATGGTCTCATCCCAAATCGTTATAGCCGCATCCTCCTAGGCTGCTGAGGCACTCCTGACACATTTGACACACATCAACACATCACATCCCGTTCTGTCCACCAGCAGACCAATCCGCTTCCGTACACATTGCCTACCAAGCGCCCATCCTAATACTCTTATTCCTCATGCAGCAGCAAGATGCTCAGGAACCGTCGCTCCCGGTTTCAGACACACCGTGACGCGGAGGAAGTACTGCGGTGACCATGCACTTCTATGCGTAGGCTCGGCGCCGTATAAAGCCGTTTGGTGCCCCGTCAGGCGAAGAGCTCCTTACCTCAAGCACTTTTCAGACCACGACTTTCCATCACTCTCGAGTCTTTTTAATTTCTTCGACTTCTCCAACTTCAACACATTCCTTTGTCGCCGGGCGACCTTACGATACCTTTCTACACGACACTTTAGACCTACATAATTCCTATACAAGATGAAGTTCACCACCATCATCGCTACCATCCTCTCCATGGCTGCTTTCACTATTGCCGCGCCTGTCGCAAACGATGGTATGCGTCGACCCACAAGTGCTGGATGGCATTCGTACTGACAGAGTCGTAGAAGTTGCCCGCGCCAACCACGGCGTTTGCTTCAAGAGCACGGAAGGCCAGATGGAGGCTATTCCCAACTGCTAGATATGATACCCTGGGATGAGACTGTAGGGTGCGTAGAAGCACCAGAGACAAGGGAGGATAAGACTACACGGTCGTGCGGCTGAGGCCAAGGTAGTGGTGTAATATGTAACCACCTACAATGGGAACTATCGTTTTGGAGCACCCAAGTCGTCTGTTACACATCAAATAGGATCCACTCCTTATAAATCCGTCAAGACTCGAAGCTCATCTCTCTTTTGTACATCCTTGTCACCCATATCCTGTCCAGTGCCACGCTTCGTCCCTTCCTGGTTCAACTTATTTCCTGGACCCAGCACCTCGTTAACCCAATCATTCGTCTCTTCGCGCCTCTCACTAGTCGCTTCTGGCGAGACTGCCTCCTCGTATATAGCCTCACCTAGCCCAACATCCCCTAAATTCCCCAGCCAATCCTGAGCCTTCTTCCTTCTACCCGATTTCTGCTTTCTTGCATGCTCCTCGGCTACCATTAGCGCATACAGCTTTTTACTCTTTGTAGGATAGAACCCGCCTGCAAGATGATAGCGCTGAATGAAACTTGGCATGAATGCTTTCTCGCGGGCGAGAGAGGACGAAATATGTGCGCGAAGAGGTGAGAAAGGGTCATAGTGGCTGTTGGCGTCTTTGTCATTATTATCAATGTTGGTGTCGTTACACTCGGTGTAATAAGGCGATAGTTTGTGCATCCAGAAACTTGTTGTTCTATCACTGGTACACAGAACTTTCATTAGGTTTTTGAACCCGTCCAATGGCTTCGTAACCCGGTTGACAGTGGATTCCCTAAATTTCTCAAGACTGTTTCTCAACTCGTTGGCGTCTAAGCTGTATGACAGCCTGACTAGACTCGCAATGAGTTCAGCATATGCCAGGATCTCTTCTACATCGAGTGAGCTTCTGTAACCGTTAAAAGTAATTCTGGAGACGGCTATGGTGGCCTGGGGAGGTCGTCCAGGTGGTAGCTTGGTATGACTTTCGCGGTCGCCTACGATGCTTGAGTCGATATTTTCTTCTTCATTATTACCACGAGCAGTATCCTTCATCTCCTTTGAGAAAAAATCACAAGACAGTGCAAGTCTTCTTCCCCTCTCTTCGAAACTCCTCATCTCTTCTAACAACTCCTCAAGCCCTGACCCATCGAGCACCTCCCACCACTCCCTTCTTCTGCCTTTCGTCCTCTCGCACGCTATATCTTCTTCGTCAAAGCCGCTTATCCACTTCTCCTTATCCCTCTGATATATGGTGCCTTTCCTTTTGTCACTAAGATGTTTCTTGTCTTTCAGTCTCTGCCAGAGAGCGGACCGATTCTTAGCTAATTGTACAATGCCTCGGTACTCTAAGAATCTGCTCAGGCTCCAGAACTCCAAGAGCGCGGTTGGTGTACTCAGCATCGTCAACTCGCTCTCAAACGCCGTAGCTAGCATGAGAAGCTTCTTCGCTGCGTCATGACTGAGGCTAGTTGTAATGGAGGCGGAAGTCGATGGGGGTATGACGGCAATGCTAATCCAACACCTCTTTCCGCATATTAGACTCCAAGACTTCGCAGCTTCTTCAATCCCGTTTTTGGGCACATTCCCATCTTCAAACGCCCATTTCAGCACTTTGAAAACCGTCTGAACCTCGTCTTCAAACCCTCGCCATTCGATAGAGTCAGTGGACAAAGGGATGTTAGAACGTTGGAGGAGCATGGGATATGCCCACACCATGTCACCCAATCGCACGCTCTCATCTGAGGCCAGGAGACCGTCGGTGTCGTCCGAATTGTGGGCGGGGCCGCTGCTGGGTCTTTCGGCGTTTGGCGCGGGCTGGATCGTCCAGTTTGCCCTACTTCGCGTTTCATCTTTGGTGTCTATGTCTGCCGATAAGTTTAGCTGTATTGGGACCTCGGGGCAGAACTGCCTCAACACTTCGTGTACTTTTCGCACTAGGTCTATACTACTATTGTCGGGGTTCCATAACCCAGGATCGACGTCGTCCCGGCGGCCGAGCAGAATGAAGGGGATCTGAAGGGTTAATGTTGGTTCCATACTATCTAGCGACCAAGTCTACACAAGTAAAAAAGTGACAAACTCGAGATCAAGTTAGGACGACGTTGGTGAATGCTGAAAGGGCAAACAAGTGAGACTGCAGAATGTCGAAGGGGCAAAGTAAGCTTGCGATGCGACTAGTATAGACAAAGGAAAGATACTTTACGGAGCGACACCAACACAAAGACACGTCGTATTTGTATCACACACACACACACTGGACAGAGACAAAGAGGATGCAGCCACACTCAACTCAAGTATTGAGGTTCGAACTGAGCCCGATGGCCCTATGTTCATTGCGATGACCCTTCTAGAGTTACTGTGCTCCCGCTTGAGCATCCAACCCAATCTATTTATATTGCAGTTAGTCCATGAGGACCAAAAGGCAAAATGATGAATGAAAGTAAATGCTTCATCTTCCCCTCCAGTACTACATCAACGCGTTACCACCAATGGAGATGTTTTCCTCCGTCTATCAAAGCTGTTGGCCACCTAGACCTGCGGCTGCGGGACGGCACCCGGGGCGGCGACAGCAGGATCAGTGCCCACAGGCGCAGCTGGCACACCGCCTTCATGCGTTGGAGGGGGTAGTTGGGTGTTATCGATGGCATCGCCACCGCTCTTCTTGGCCCACTTGGGTTCCTTCGCCCACTGCGGATCCCACCATGGCCCAGCATCGCTCAGTTGGCACGTCTTCTCACACTGGCACTTTCCACCGAACTCCTTGGGCAGATTCTCTGCGGGGACTTGAGCCAGCAACTCCTTCTCATATCCGCTGCCCAGGACGTGGATTTTGGCACTTGTAACGGGATCAAGGAACTTCTTGACGACGCTGAAGACGCCAGAGAAGCCCCAGGGTGCATTGATAATGTACATCTTGCCCAGGCGTTCGGGGTAATAGTTCTGGCTGATTGCAGACACGGATTGCAGGTAGCCGTAGACGGAGGTTGCCTTGGCAATCCCGACGCCCTTCAAGTCCATGATGGTGCATGATGTCTCGAGGAGGTAGCCGGATTTGCGAGAGCAGGCAGGCAGACGTGGGTCGGACATCTTCTCGTATTCGCAGACGAGGTTCTGGATCATGCGTTCTTGGGAGGTGATTTTGCCGAGCGCGGTGAGGTCGACTTTGCCGAGCTGCTCGATGTAGACTGGGCGGCCATCCTGTTCATGTGCGGTCAGTGGCTGCAAGTCCAAGTGTGGGATGGGATAGGGGAAGACGTACTTTGTCCGTCTTGTGGTAATACTGCGGGTAGTATTCAAATACCTGGGGCCGCTCCTTGTAGTCAAAGGTGCGCACCAGCTCCTCGACGCCAACACCAGCGTACTCTGCCCGCCACTTTTCGCTGTCGATGAACCTAGGAGCATGTTAGTGTCCCATTCGTACAAGCACCTTCCTTTTGAGAATCCACACTCCTGGATTGTACCCACATCTTCTTGGAGAGTTCGACATTGAACTTGCGAGCGCGGAGGAATCGTAGCTACGATTGAATTTAGTAGACGGCAACACGCCTCCTCAGGCAGGCAGATTGGGAGCCTACCAGCGTCAGGGTGTCGAGGTTCTTGGTAAAGCCAGCCTGCTCAAGCGAACTCCGCAGCTGAAAGACCTGGGCATCTTGCTCGGGCGTCGTGTGGCCGGGATGTCCGTTCTGGGCGGTGGGAGCAACCGTAGGATAATCGTAGTCGTCGTATTTGGCGTCACGCTGCAGCTCTTGGGGGGCTGCCATTGTAGGAGAATTGCGGGCCGACGAGGGCTTAGGGTGATGTCGACTAAGAGGCGTTGTAGGGGGGCGGAGGATGGGTTGGGGAGACTTGTCGAGGTGCGTCGAGGTGAGGTTGATGTTGTGAATGACTTGCTAGCTCCAGCACGTGGAGTAGGCTAGCTGCAGCGGCAAGCGAGACCGCCTCGTCATCTGTGCCCTCTCTCACACCCACCAGCGAATCAATAGCCAAGCCAAAGACAGTTGCCTCTTATGACGGAACCTCTACCTCATCCTAGCTTCCCATCCCAAATAGCGCGGCATCACAGTCACAGCATCTCGCGTATACGGTGTGAACGGTAAAGCCGTAGTCAACCCTACTTGAGCTGAAGGGGACATGGCTATTTTGATTGAGAGCTACCTAGTTGATACATTGCAGAAGAAAGGAAAACGCATAAAAGTCCAGAGAAGATAGATCAACGAACCGGAGCCGCGAAACACCCCTCACTTAGCCAGCCAAACGCTTCGCACATCTAAAAGAGAGTAGTAGTGGACCCCCCACCGCCCCCCAACGTTTAGGGTGACAAGACCGGGAAGAATATACCCGACACAAAAACAACAGACATGATGTGAGATTCGTGTACTAACCGCTGGGTTGCCCATTCCTCCCAAGATGACCAGACCGCACACCCCCCTCAGAGCGAATCACTCCGCCAACCAACTAAATCGGACGCAATGGACAAGCCTAGACTTCCGCCATGGAACCCACAAAACCGACGAGAGACACGAGGAGCAACCAAACACCGAGTAAATGACGCCTGCAAAACGACGATCCGCTTCCACACAAAGGCTATAGACAGATTCGCACGTCAGATCATGTCTTTGTTGATCAAGATCTCCGATCCCTGTCTCGGCTTGGCCCAAAGTCGACTTCCGAAACCTTCTTCTCTTTCCGCGGGCTCTTGACAATGTATTGCGCATACAGAGCGACATGATCGCTGGGGAAGTGGTAGTTTGGAAATCCTGGAACCCGCTGGAGGTAGCCCTTGTCGATGTCGCCGAGTAAGCCGACCACCTGGAGCGTATTTGTCGAGTACCAGATATAGTCGAGGACGCCTTGGAAGTGGGGAACATAGTTGGTGAACGTCAACTCTCCAATCGCCGAGTAGCTAGACTTGATACTAAACGGATGCGATATGCCGTCCCTGGTAAAGTTGCCATACTTTCGAGTTCCGAGATCCTCATGGACGTTCGAGATTGTTCCTTGTGTGATGAGCTCGTAGACACCAGAGTGAGGTAGTGAGTTGAAGTCACCGCACAGTAACAGTGGGATCTGTGCACCGTCCGAATATTCCATTGACGGACCTGGCTCCTGGGTTGGATCGGGTTCCTTCCCTTCTTCGCTGTCACCGTTTGTGAATCGAAACACCACCTTGTCTTTGCAAGGAGGGAACTTTGCCCACTTGTTGGCGAATTTGGTAATACCTTCCATCAAAATGGCAACCTGCACAAGCTTGACGTCGGTGAATGCTGGGTTCCAGAAAACGTGCACATTTCCGACAATGAACCTTGAGCCCGTCACGCGGTTTTCAAGGAACGCAACGACTCCGATGTCGTCGCGGGGCATGACGCGGTTGAAGATGTCGTGCTCGCCTTTCATATCTGGCCTGTTGATGGCGGTATTGGCAAAGTCGATGAGTTGTTTATCCAGCAAAATGTACCTATGATCATTAGCACGGTTGCAAGGACGACCTAGCTTCGGAATCGTACTTACTTGCTGTTCTTGAAGAAAATGGCACACCCATCCACAAGCTTAGCCTCTCTCTCTGCCATGGTTCGCGCTCTTGACTTTGGCCAGAAAACTCCCTTGTAGTCATTGTGAGCCAGCGCTTCCCGGAAGAACTCGTTGAAGCTGTCCTGATCGATTTCTTGCAGACATACTATATCTGCATTTCGTTCTCGCAATTCGGCTAGAATGAGTTCCCTACGGTTTTCCCAGGCCAGCGCTGTACTTGGCGTGTACCCATATTGTGACTGCGTGCAGTATTTGTCGCAGAGAATGTTGTAGCTCAACGCCGTAACGGTCTCTTGTGATGGGTCTTGAATCTCGTCGAGGACGATCCAATCTCGCTCAGGTGGTGCTTCAGGACCAGGCGCATTCTCACGGAAATGCTTAATGAGCTCTGTTGTCCCTTGTTCGGTGATAATCTGCTTTAGATCCTCTGGGATAGGATTGCCTTCAATGCCGAGCGTTTCTAGTTGATACAAGGAACCCAGTTCGTACGGAAGATTGTCGATATGATTGTCAAAGAGGAGCAATTGCTTCAGGTTTACGAGCATGCCAATTTCCGGGGGCAAGTACTGCAGGTTGTTCAGAGACAGATCCAGATGCGTGAGGTTCCGTAGCTGTCCGATGTTTTGGTGGATGTAAGTAAGCTTGTTGCAATTGACGTAGAGCTTAGTGAGGAAGGTGTAGTTGAACAGTGCAGGTGTGATGACTTTCAGATTCTGTCCGCCAAAATCCAGGATAGTCCAGATGTGGCTCTCCTTGGCATCCTCTACACGCTGAGCTGCAGGCCTATTGCGCTCTTCCTTGTCTGAGTCTTTCTGCATGCCATTGGTGGTGCCTGCTACAATGCTTTTGCTAACACTCGGGTGGATGCGAGCGTGCGAGTGCGACTGTGTCATCTCACGCGCAATCTGCGCCATGCGCAACTGCTCTGCCCAATGCTCGTTGGGCGGCTTGCTAAGCCCGCTAGTGACGCTGCCAGGTGTGCCATTCTGGAGATGGCTCGGCGTGAAGTTAGGCTGCACATTGGACATTCCCCCGCTCGAGATGTTGTGCTGGTGGTTGTATTGTCCGCCATGGTTGATGCCAGTTTGTTCTTGGTGATGCTGGTGATGTTGGTGATGGTGCTGGTTGTGTTGGAAGGGCTTGCCGAGATTCATTTGCATAGCATAGTTCTGCTGGCCGCCGCGTCCATTCAGCATAACGTTGTGGGACTGGTGCCCGTGGCCTTGGTTGAACATGCCGAACTGCTGTGGAGACGAACGTACGGGAGATCGCGAGGGGGAGGGCGTATCGGGGTTGTTGAAGGGTATGCGGCCGCTAGTAGTGGGCGACCGCACTCGGTTGGGGAGGGTTCGTATGTTCTGTGCGTGTTGCGGGTAGAAGGTCTGGCCGGCTCCCCTTTGGTAGACCGAGTACTCGGCCATCTAAGGGAGTCGCGGCGCGAGATATCGAGGGTCCCGGGGGCGGCAGTGGATACTCAAGGTGAAAGCCCCGGGACGATATGGCGAGAGAGGGCGTCAGGTAGGCGGTGGGGTTCGGGCACGCGATTTTCTTCGTTGTAACATGGACGCCCGTACTGCACCTCGACATGAGCTTGCGCTAACCGACTCTGCACCCGTAGAGCATGTATTGACGTCTCCTGTGCTGGTTCGCGAGCGGCGGTGGAGTTGGAGCGGGGACTCGATAGTGAACGTCTATGGCGGGGTCGCTCTCGGGTGAAAGCCTCTCGAGGTGCCCAGAGGAAGCCCGGGTGGCTATTGATATATCGAGCCTATTTTCTGGCGCTGTCAGTTGCTGTAGCAAGCAGAGGGGGGGCCGCAGACGAGGTTGACGCCGCCAGTGGACGACAACAGAAGCGGGTGGAAGCTGCGCACGTACGGCAGCTGGAGGGGTTCAAAGGGCGCGCGGCAAGGCAAAGCAGTCTCAATTGTGCCAGATGAATTGGTTGATGTTCCAACTGCAGCGCGGAGAAGAATAGAGAGCGTAGTGATGCTAAATGGCCCGGCCGACGTGAAGCTCTCCAGCGGTGCATCGGCCAAGGTTCGTTGTCCAAGCGCGGTCACGTGCAGCATCACCCATCGCGCGTCTTCAACCATCCAAACTTGCAAGACGACGACGACCCTTGTTCGATCTCTGCGCTCATGGGCCCAGCCAGGTACCGGCGTCCATTTCGCCCTCCGTCCGTCATGTGCAACTTTGATGCTTTGCTCTCCGCATTCGAGAGCCACTGAAGGACTACGGGCGCTCCAAAACGATCACCACGCACGCTGCCCGATTATTACCTGCAGCAGCGGCAGGCTCCGCTTATGCAGAAACGAGACGCCACCCCTCGTCCAGGGCTGCCTCCTGTTTGTGGCGGCCGTTACCTATGCCTAGGTACTATTGTGTTTTGAAAATCTGGGGACGCACTCAGCCGCAACCGTGATTGATCGGAGATGGTGCACCACTTCTCCTCGGTTGCTACTCGAAGCGGCTGGCCTGGTCTGGCCTGGAGCTCCTCATCTGAGCTGCGCTCTCTACCACTACAGCCGGACCTTGGTACCCAACACCTTTGCCGCACGCTCCTCCAATCTGACTTCCTCCCGCCGAGCGCTGCTGTCGTCCATTCTCGCTCCGCTGTTCCGCGTCATTTCTCGTGCTGACTCGGACACACGTGCTTATCAGACGGCTAAGGAAAGGTGCAATATCGCGCTCCCGCTAAAACAGTGGGGCGAGCCTGGAGGGTGTCAAGAATGGCCGACTGGTATTTAGTTAGTACTGCGTCGTGACCTTCGAGTATTTGCTAGGAAGCATGGTGTGCTAATCCAGAACTCAGTATCGCTATTCAGGCGGCAACGTCACCCTTCCTCCTATACGCTCCAAGACCACAGAGGTAAAGCAGTGGGACCTGACAACGACAGATGCCCTCGGGAGAACGATATCTGCAACGTCCACGTCCACGACTTCTCCAGGCAGCCATCCGATGGACGTGACGCGCGCCTCAATGTCTAGTACTTCGACTCAAAGTACGAGAGAGGAAGTTGGTGGTGCCTCGTCCGAACCATTTATCCTACGCCATGGACGGCGATACCTTCGAAGCGTGTTGCACTACCCCCTTCCCTGCGACCTACCTGAGCTCCACCGCCAAAACCTACAAACTCTTCTTGCAACGTCCATCTTCGGTCGAGCCTTGGGCTCAACGCCATGCCCGCAAAACCCCCCGAGAAAAGTGCTGGACATTGCTTGTGGTAGTGGATATTGGTCGGCCATGTGCCATGACTTCTTAAGCGGTCTAGGCTATGACAATGTCTCCTTCACCGGCCTGGACATTGTCCCCTTGGCTGGCGACCTGCCACGGCAGGGAATTGACTGGAACTTTGTGCAGCACGATCTGCGCAAACTCCCGCTGCCGTTTGACGATGACGAATTCGATATTGTTATCATGAAGGATATGAGCATGGTGATACCGTTGGGAGAGCCGTCACAGAGGGTACGTGAGCTCACAATGCACAAAACATACCAAAGACAATTCGCGTAATGGTCAGCTTTGCATGGGATTGTTTTCCTTTTGCTGCACTTTTAACGCACAAGTTGCTGACTATCCCCTCCCGAATTTTAGACACTCGACGAAGTAACACGGATACTACGCTCTGGAGGTACGCTAGAGATCTGGGAATCAGACCACATTATCCGGTCGATTCTGCCACACCCACCACCTCCACCAGGGAAGAATGAGCAAGAGTACGCTTGTGCTGTATCGACGGGAACGTTTCTGATATCTCCAATAACACCCTTTACCGAGGTGCAGAACAAATACCTTCAAGATTCGAACACATGGATACAGGAAGCGCTAGATCGACGAAAACTGTCTCCCACACCCTGTGCACGCATGTCAGAGATGCTGCTGCAAGAGACGGAGACGCTTTGCGACGTGGAAAACCGCCGAGTTGCGATTCCGCTTGGTGAGCTGCGGTGGGAACGCGAGGCTGCGGGCGAGCGCACCAAGGAGCAGGCGGCTCTCCGATACACTGCACTGTTGGTCGTTATCCAGTTGATTGAGAGTCTGGAGCCCCTGCTGAAGGAAGTAAGCGGCAAGAACCAAGAAGAATGGCAGCGCTGGTAAGATGACGTACACACTGCATGTGAGACCTGGACTGACTCGATTTTTCTTAGGTGGGGATGGATGATGGCGAATCTGCTGGAACAGAAGGGAGCGTCAAGTGGAGCGGTTTTTGAAGTGGGCTGTTGGTGGGCTACAAAGATTTGAACCTGTCACTCTCGTAGCTGGCGGCGTACCGATGTTTTTATGATATCCCGGCCTGTTCACGGCCACTATTGGCGAGTTCCAAAGACATGAGCATCTAGGAGAGGTTGTCGTATCGTTGGCGCAGGGTTCGATAACGCTTCAGGTAGTAACTGATGTCGTTAGCTGTGATGCGATACCATACCGTCTCTTTTACTTTGACGTACAGTGCTTCTATTCCTGTCATGTTGTACTTAATTGATGATGCAAATTACAGTTTGTCACATGGTAGCTCACCTTTCTTCACAAACTCGGCCCTCTGAAGCCCTTTCCTAATCTGCGCTTCGTCCGTCACCTCTCGCTGGCTGGCGAATGCCTTGCGCAGACGGGCTCTGAAGTAGTCGTATCCCTGGGGGTATTCACGTCCCATGTACAATAGGTCTACCACGTCAATCTAAGTGTTCTTTGGCCGTGCTCGAATGCAGCGCCGATCAGATGCAGAGGTTGTCCCATACCTTTGTAAATACGAATGACCTGATGTCGAAGCGTAGGATTGGAGGAAGCCATGCTGCAGTCAACGCCAATGGTGTCTGTGTGTGTATGTATGGTGATGGATTATTTGGAGCTGGAGCACGGGCCCAGTTCTGACGTAGGGCTACTGTATGGGATTGTGCGAACTCGGCTTCGTTCCGTCGGCACGCAGCACGCAATCCTAAACAGCATGAATGGCACCTAGGTATACTTGAAGTACCTCCTAACCCAATCACCAGAGCGCCCTCGTACAGGCGTCATGCGCCCATCTGCCCTGCGCTCAGCGCTCTTGTACCCCACATGCAGGCCGACACTTTGGAGCATCCAAAGCGTACCGCGCATAGCGCGCTGTCAGTCGACCTCTACGGCCACTCTCAGCCCACGATGGCTCTCCGACGTGAAGACGCGAATCGGCAAGTGCATCATGTTTGGCATAAGCCCTGCTCAGACGCAGGAAGCTGGTTCGATATTACAAGAGATGGCTGTGGATTGGAGGGAACTGGTAGCTGGCAGCGAGGGCTTTCTCACGGGGATGCAGTACAGGGGACTCTATCGGCAGGAGGTGGTATGGGGTGAGATGGTAGTTTTCCCCGCCTCCATCCTCGTGTACACCAGCTAATGCAGATATTTTGGTTGTGTGTAGGACAGCATGGTGAGACAACATTGGCCTCGCGCAACATTGGCGGCGGAAAGCTGATGAACAAAAGGGTACCTTTCCCGTCTAGGGACCTTGACAGGCAGAGAAGATGGCTACTAACTCGAGTTCCAGGCCACGTTAACAACGTCATGTACAATCGCTATGCCGAATCAGCCCGATGCACCTGGACGCTCAACTTTGCGGCGAGTGATGCTGTGCACAAGGCGGAGTGGATGGAGCTCATGACACCAAAGCACATTGGTCTTATCTTACGGAGCATTAAAACGGACTACAAGTTTGTAAGAACCTCTTTCCTATCTAGCGCGCGAACTAGTCAACTCGCTGTGGTACGGGAGGCTTTGTCCACTGGACGAATGCAGCGGACTCGATATCGATATCAGAAGCGACCGTCGCTAACCCCACTTCACACATGAAGCCAATGAAATGGCCCGACAGGTAAGCTCTTCAACATGTGTTGTTAGAGGATATAAGTAACTCTGACAGGGTAACGGTGCTGCATAAGCTGAGAAACAAGCCGACGACGGACACGGATCACTTCATTCTCGATGTTTTGATCCTGTCCGAGGTGCACCGCCGTGCAGCTGCGCGGTGCATCGAGGATATCGTCGTCTATGACTACCAAAAAGCACAAAAGTGTCGGCTCAAGCCCTTTATGGTAGACAAGTTCCGCGAGACGTTTGAGCTCCAGGAGCAAGCCAAGGAGAAGTGCCGCATTCGGGTGAAGACGCTGCTGGACAGGGTGCGGCAGTTGGAGAAGGGCAGCTGGGATAGAGCGGATGCAGAGGAGGACATGGGTGGTGCAGGCAAGCAGTAGAGACAGTCTGTAGCGTAGCGGTAATGTTGAGGCATGGTGTGATATTTCGCCTGTGGTGATGGTGATGATGATGCTGATGCTGATCTTTGTGAGCTGTTTCAACCATAGGCCATGGCGATGATCTACATGCCCGTTGAGCGCGTGACTGTCTAGGCTTCGGTTAGTTTTGCATGGGCGGATGCGATTGGTGTGGTTGTGATAAGCTTCGACGCCGGCACAATGCAGACGCGGGGAGTAGCATCGAGGGGCCTGCAGAAGAAGCGGAAGGCTTGCACGCTTACTGGAAAAAGTCCCGAAGCTCTCTAGAGTCGAGGAGAGTAGCGGTAGTAGGAGTAGGGCTGCTGCTTGCGAGTGAGTATAGGGACTCTGGTAGGTAGGGTACCTAGACGCAGGCGTGTGAGATGTGTGAGGAGGGCGATGCGGTCAGGTTCGCACAAGTTCACTGGCCATGTTGCTCTCTTTGCTCAGCTCAGGGGGGGTCCTGGGGACACGCAAATGAAGCAGAAGGACTAGGAAGACGGCGTGAGGACTAATTGGCTGAAGTCTCGGACCCTCTTCGGGGGGGGGTGGGTTATGGGTGGGTGGTTGTGTGAGCGGTGCAAGCAAGAAATCAAAATGCCATGCCAAATGTGACATGCCAGACCACGGCGAGCCTCGGAACAAAGGAGCCAAAAAATCAGCAGCACTTTGTTTGGGCCAGGGCGGCCCACTAAAATCCATCAGATCTTTCACCCACGGGCTATTCTTGCTTGCATGGGGTTTGGAAGCTTGACGTGACAGGGCCAAGCCTTTGGTCGGGCGTCGGGTCGGCCAAGTGTGTGTGTGTGAGTGAGTGAGTGACTGAGTGCCATCTATCATCGATCATCTCTTCCTCTTCCTCTTCCTCCTCCCAACCCACCACCCCCCCTCCCTCGCTCGCATAGCACACGACACACCGGATCCGTCCCACAGAGCAGGGCTCCCGATCTTCCAGTCTGGCTCGTCCTGTGCAGCAGTCGAGTCGACCTGGGCAGACCGCAGCCTCATCGCACCGCCGCCTATGGTAGCTGCGAAAGGGAAGAGGCAATCGGCGAACCAGCACGACAAGCGACACGAGAATGGCGTCGTGGCTCCCGGCAGGCGCATCACAAAGCAGAAGAGCAACACGCAGCTCAACGGCCACGCCCAAGGCAACCATGGCAAGGTGCAGCCCTCAACGCTGCTGCCGCCGCTGCAACAACCTCCGCCGCTCAACCCTCTTGTAACCCACGCCCTCGCCGCCCACACCACGACGGTACTGGCAGACGCGCCCGCACGCTCCAGCCTCGACGAGCCCGCTGCCGCCATGGACCGCACTCGTGCCCGCGCTGCCTCGGACCTCTCGCTCGACAACCTCGACGCCTGCCGCGCCTACGACAGCCCCTTCGACCCGGTGCCCGCCTCACCAGCGCCCCGCCGTCTCGACGCCAATGGCTCCAAGACGACGTCCTTCTCCATGGCCACCATCTTCGCCGTGCCCGCCACCATTCTCACCTCCTGTCCTCTGCGCGACGTCCTCGCCATCCTCATCATCCTCCTCCAACTGCCCCCCACCGTCCTCACCGTCATTCAGTTCCTCTTCGCAACCCTCACTTTTGTGCCTCCCCAGGCCGGAACTCCCCTCTCCGCACTCTCCGCCTTTCCATCCTTCACCGACATCTTCCAGGGCTCTGGCGGGACCCCTTCGCTCTTCACCACCATTTTTGCCGACGCATTCATACTAGTCATCTGGCTCGTCTTGTGGGTGCCTGTGCAGAACTTTTTTCTCGACCTCGCCCAGGCCGTCATTGCCATTGCGCTCGGCGGTGCTGCGGCCGGAAAGAATGGCACAACCAACAGCATCTTCATCTGTTTCTTCATCATTCTCACCAACCATCTCTTCAGATTCAGGCCTCTCCGGCAACACATTGTCCACTTCCTGTGGACGGGGCTCGCTCGGGGGGGCCTTGAATTTCTGACGAGCCCACCGAGTACGCCGACCTACTTGGAAAGCTTCTCGACACCCCATGGCTGGCTTCGCAGCCTCCTGGGGATCCACATTCTAGCCCAAGGTGTCGTTCGCATAATCCGGCGCTCTCTTTCTCGACGGGACGTGGCTTCCTCGCTACCGACTGGCAAGAAGGCGGACCCTGAAGCTGGCGTGCTTCAACGTGCCAACTCGACTACTCTCGATCCCAATGCCGATGTCCCCAATGCCTCGAGTACCGACGGCCGCCCGCCCGGGCCGTCACCCGCACCACATTCGCAAAAGGATAAAGCGAGTAGCTCTAGGAGGAAGAGGAAGCAAGCTACTCATGTTCGCAGTCAGCAGCCCTTTTGGGCTGCACTTGCCAGTACAAAAGTTACAGTTTTAAAAGAAATGGAAAGCAGCCGGGCAGCAAACGATGCCGACGAGGCCAACGCAAAAGACGCAAATCACATTGGAAACGCTGTTTGGAGATCGGAAGACGATCGTGTTTGGATTTCAGAAGTCGGCTATTCCGACATTTCATTTCGTGTCAGTTTATTTAGCGGGGTCGTTTTTCAAGAGCAGGAGGATGAGGATGCAAGCGTGGCATCTGGCATTGACAGGTCGAAGCCTTTCTACATTCGCGTAAACGGAGCAGATTGGAGTTCGACCCGCATTCGGCAGAGCACTCCGCTAGGATACCAGGGTCAAGAGGGAACCGGTTTTTGGGTAGGGGAAATCTTTGGTCTGACGGCTCTCTCCAACTACTATTGCGAGTTTGTCCGGACCATGGACAACCAAGTTTTCTACTCCGCAAGCCTTATTACCTCGGCCAGCCCCGTAACCGAACTAGGTGAGCATACCCAATTTCGGCAATTTTCCCCCCTCCCCACCCCTCGCTCTAACAGTGGTTATCTAGCTTCCGTTGCCTCTCCGCCAGCACATCAAACTCTGCGACCTTCTTCGCCAACGACAACACTAAAGAACTCGATTGCCGCGGCCGACCAACAACTACAGGAGCTGCGTAATCGCTTGAAGCGCAATAAGAAGGATCACAAGACAGCCGTCGGCAACATCAAGAAAGAGGTCGACACTCTCAGCAACCGCCTTGCCAATGCCGGAGGTACTGATGACCGTCAACGCCAGCGCGTCCTACAGTTCACGCAAAACATCCGCCAAGCTGATGACGCTGCAGCCGAGTTTGCCCTTCAAGATGATCATCTAGGGGGCATCCCCGAGAACGAGGCTCAAGAGGCTGCCGTCAAGAAAGCGGAGTGGAAGAGGGAGCGAAACAACAAAAACGCCGTGTCTAGCGAATTCGACAACATCAAGGCCGAGATTGAGCGCCAGGTCCAAAGTGTCGAATCTGACATCACCGCTGCACTTCAGAAAAGGGAACGCCTCCAGCAACGTCAAACCAGGCTCAACGAACAGCACGATCGTCTCGTTACTGCCAACCAGGAAGGCTTCACTGCCAAGCAAAGAAGAGAGCAGGAACGTACAGCTTTGAGACAACAGCGCGCCGATGTCGAGAATCAGTACCGTAGCAATATCAACGGATATGAACGCCGCAGCGAGGAGCACAATATCGCCACTACCCAAATCATGCAGACAATCCAACACTACGAGGACATGCTTCTACAGCAGCATCAACAAGTCTCCGTTCCTACTACACCTGAAGGGCCCCTTCCTGGCACAGGCATGTCTCCACACGCCAACGCCTTCACCAGCTTCACGTTTCCATCGCTCAACTCTCACGTTGATAGCACTCCTGGCTCTCTCCGCGGCGGCGCCCGCGGTCGCTCATCGTCGATGCATTCCAACGTTTCCGGCTTCACAGACGGCTTCGAAGAACACACCTCTCCATCCGGCTACGTTCTGGGCAACCCTTTCAACACTCCGGGGATGCTCAACGGACACAATGGAAGTCATGGTAGTGGCAGCTTAAGCTCGGGTACGTCGAGCCAGAGCTCCAGCCAAAAAGATCCCTTGAGTCCCTATCAAAGCGTCAAGCCGATGATGGTCAGGAGTCCGACGGGTGGCAGTGGCGGCTTGATGAGTCCAATTGGCAGCGGCAGGTAAATCATATGCGGTTTGTTCTTTTGTGGCCTTTAGATAGCTTTTCCAATGTGATTTTGCGTTCTTTCGGTGGACTAAACATCGTTACAATGCTCTTCTTCTACTTGCATGGTGCAGTCGCTGTCAACATAGACGTTTCCTGGCGTAAGGTAAGTCTTCTCCACCTTTTAACCAATGCCTATCAGATTCTGTGCCCGGCGTCGCCGTCGATTTCGTCTTTGATATCCTCCAGCGTTGGACTCCATGTGCCTTGCACATTGTGTGAGCAATTACCAATACTTATCATCGTCATTGAAGTCGAAATTGAAATTGAAATTGAAAAGGTCGCACCAGGAACAGTGGATGCGGAGATGGAATCACGGGGACCAAACATAAGGGACTAGGGAAGGATTTTGTTGTATTGCAGCGGGTGCAAACGCCTCAATCCATAGAAGCGAACACGCTTCAGAAGAGACTATATGCGCGCCTTCATCTTCCAGCAAAGTATATAGCCAGGAGTTCCTTCCAGTCACCCTGTTCATGGTCCCGAGTACGCGCCTATGCGACGCAGCATCATCCATCGATTTAGGCTCAAGCGTAGGTAGGTGTAAGCAGCCATTCCAATTTCCCCCCAGCTTTGAAAGTTCAAAGGCACTTCAGCTTCGTCGTCAACTTTTTCTTTTCTAGACACCAAGATCGCTGCGCAACTTAATCCTTGTCTCGACTCTGGTCCCGCACCACGAACGACTGGCCCTCCAGACTGCTGTCCTCGTCAAGCGCTGTCCTTAGCTGCTTGAGGTACTGCCCGAATTCGCCGAAATTGCTCACGTCTATGGACCATGTGCACGTTGCAAGGTCGTTGGCGGCTTTGTGGAGGTGATCGAATCGTCTCTTCACCTTGACGTATGTTCTCCGGATGTTCTCCGTCTTCTTCTCCTCGTTGGAGCATGCTGATGATGAAGGCGCCGGTGATAGAGTTGAGCGATGGGTGGTGGACGTTCCTGCGACTGCCGTCAGAGTCTGGTTTTCCTTCACAAGTCGGCAATTCTCTTCCAATATGGCGTCCTGGTCCTTGGACACACGATCATACCGGCACTCCAAATCTGCATATTTCGCGGCCATATCGGTGTACTGGGTCCTGCTAATGTCGACGTCGCTAAGTAATTGATCCCTCTCCTTGATGACAATGCGATGTGCTTCGCGCTCCTCTTTGAGCTCGCCTTGTAGACATGCAAACCTCTTAGCCGCCAAATCATCCGAGTAAACTTGGCTCGATTTCATTTCATCAATCCGCTGTTGCAGAAGTCGTTCAACACTCTCAGTCTTTGAATTCGCGGCCTCCAACTCTTGACGCAATCTTTGTATCGTGTGCCCAGTCTCCTCGCGGGAAGGTCCCGGTTGCCAATCTGACTTGCTAGAGAGCGAGTCCAGCTTCTGAAAGCTCCAGTCGTTGCTCTCTGCAGTAAATGCTAGGGTCTTTGAGGCTAATGGGCCTGGTAATGCGTGCTCGTCATGTTGGCTGCGCGAGGAGGTCTTTGGGGGTATATCATCGTCAGAATCAACAATCTCCATAGGCTCGCCAACTGATGGTCTCGTTGACGCATCGCCGCCCAAACCATCAACCTTCTTCTTCGTGTTTGCCTCTTCGCGTGCCTTTGATTCAGTCTTCTGCGACTTGGAGATACGCTGGACGCTAACCCGCGGGGCTGGTCGTTTCCGAGACTTGTCTTCTTCAACCTTGGCCTTGGCTTTAGTCTTAGTTGCGATCTTCTTTGCAGGCTTCCCCCTTCCTTTACTCACTGGTGCCATTTGATTACTCTTCAAGCGTGCCAAGATCCCCAGCATACTATTCTGGCCTGAACGTCCTTCTCTTTCCCACTGTGCATGGACGAGTGAGAATCTCTGCCGCGCGTCCTTCCTACTGTCTCCTAACGCTTCAACAACTTGCGCCTTTGATTGACGCTCGCTTGTTGCAGGTAAAACCGACGATGAGCTGTCTCGGTAAACTCGTTCACGGTTGAAGAGTAGGCTGCTGAAGAGACTTGGCTCTGGTAGTGAGGCTTCTGGCTCCGTGGACGGTGAAGTTGGGCACTCGCTCTTGCCCTCGTCGAAGCGACGCTTAGAGGGCTGGTGGTAGTGAGTAAGTGAGTGATCTGGATCTGAAGACATATCGTAAGTTCCAACAGAGTTCCACGTATCTATACACAACAAGTAGTAAAGTATGGGTGGAGAAAGGTCGTGCAGGACGTACACGAAGAAGTTGAAGTGATGCCTACCCAAGCATTAAACACTGGTGCCTTGTGATTCGCTTAGGCGTCGTTTAGCTTAGCGGTGAGTTCGTCGGGGCAGTCAAGGCCGCCGAAGAGTCTGACTTGTTCGAAGTTCCCAAGATGTCACGCTTCGGCATAGGGTTTCGAGAACGTAACAAGTACTAGCACTAAAAATTGAGTAAGACTAGACTAGGCTTGCGGTGCTGCGTATTGTAGTATTCGAGACGATCCAAGCGATGATTCCAGTGTAAGCGTTTGTGGTGTAGGGACAGAAGAGATCCAACGTAAGCTAATGTCAAGTGGGTAGTCCTGGAAAGGTTCGAAACTGATTTGTGCTCAGGTGAAGGTGTTTTAATGTGAGTATAATGTTGAATGCAAGTAGATAGGTAGTAAAAGCGTCGCAACGCAGGACGCTCGGTATATGGGTCAGATGAAAGGCCTTTAATCAGTACAAATTGCTGAGACAATGACCAAGGCGGTGGATGACAAAATCAGGTAGAAGAGAGGGGGACCATGTATGCCACAAGACTGGGCGCTATGGCGCTGAGCCATTACCTATAGCCCTCATGGTAAGCCTCCTTAAGAGAATGGACTTGGAATAGACTTGGAATAGACTTGGAATGAGACGACGGCTAGTGAAGGAAATACATCTCACGCTTGCCATAAGCATCAGAAACTCACCAGATGTGATTCACAAGACGGCACACCACCGACTAGAAGCAAAATTCGATCCGTTTTGACCATGCTACACGCCTCTCCGCTACCAGATTTTGTACCTGTTATCCATGCGAAGTTACGCTGGACGCCTGTGATGACCGACCGATCCAAGAATGTCTTTACAATACGTGATATCGCCAAAAAAAAAGGCCGAAAGAAATGCCAAACAACCTATAAACTGCCCAAGTAGCAGCAGACGAGGTTTGAACTGGAAATTTGAAAACGCCGCATGACCATGAAATACAACAAGACATACTAATACATATCCTCTTCCCTATCTTTACCATTTCCGTTCCCATTCCGCATGCTTCCGACAACACTTGCGCGTCCACTCCGTCCAATGCGACTTCCACTTGCTGATACACTTCTCTGGACGCTCTCAGTGTCATCATCATCGCGTTTCACCCGCTCTTTTTCAAGCATAGCTCTCAGATCTGCATTTTCTTCGACCTTCTGCTCTAACCTCTTCCTCGCACCACTACGATCAAGGAGCCTCGCTTCTCTTTCGGCTTTCAAGCGCCGTTCTAGTTCCTTGAGACGATGGATCCACTTTTGCTCACTCGGCTGAAGGGGCACAGATGCTGGGTATGGATGGCCCGGTGGCTGGTGCTGGAGATGCTCAACAACTGAAGCAGATTGAGCGCGGAGGAGTGTTTGTGCCATACTGGCGCGCTTGGGGGAGCTGATCGATTCGGCGCGAGACGGCGAACGGCTGACAACGTCGTTTCCGGATTGGGTGGTTGTGGTGATGGCGCGGAGTGTCTGCACTTCTGTTCGCAGGTTCTTGTTCTCATTTCGGAGTTTGTTTACCTCAGTGGAATTGATATCGACCAGGCCGCCACGAACGGTGCTTGGTCTTCCAATCGATTGCCTTTGGGCAAGAACGAGCTTTTCGAGTTGATCTAGACGCTTGACACGAACGTCAAGCGTATGCTCAAGGGTTTGATAGTCGCGTACCAGGTCTTTCTCCATGGCCCGGATCCTTTGTTTGAAGCCGCCAACGACACCCTCTACAGTCTTTATCGCTAGTATCATGTTTTTGTTGAAGCCCTGAATATTCCTGGAGATGAGCTCCATTGAAGTGAGTTCCCCATTAACAAGGGCATGGTTGCGGCACCATTCTGCACCGCAGAGGGTGGAGAGTCTGTTCCAGAGGGCGTAAAGCAAATTGTTGCGCTCGAGCAACTGTTCCTTGTACTGCTTCTCGAGACTGTAAATCTTCTGGCGATCTTGACTGCGTAGAGTCTCCAGTTCTAAAACCCGTGTTTCGTGCTGTTGGATACTTCGTGTAACAGATTGCTGACCACGCTTGGCATTCTCAAATGCAGTTTGGTCTTGTCGCCGAGCTTGACGCTCGCGCTCCAGGAGATCTGCAAGACGTCGGCTTTCCATACCTGTACTCTCCAACAAAGCATCTCGGTTGCGCAGAAGTCGGTCTTTTTCTGTTAGATCGTTCTTCGTAATATCTAGCTCCTGTACAGTCGATTCCAGACCTCGTTGCAGCTTGGTGATATCCTGATGGTAGATGGTTAGCATGCATGCAGGAAACTGGACAATATGTGAAAACTACCTTGAAAAGGCTGGATCTCGTGCCATTAAGGTTGCCAAGGGCTTCGCGAAGGCCGGTTTCAAGCTCATCAAGCCGTTGCTTCCATGTGGCAGCCTCGACCTCCTTACTGGAAAGACTTTTCCGTAACTTCCTGTTGTCGTCCTTGAGCTTGGAAAGTTGCGCGTTGAGATCTGTAATGATCTTCTCCACCTCCTGCTTCTCCTGGGTGTCCAAGGCATCTCGTTGTTGCCTCTCCCCGGCCACCCGCTCTTCCAAATCTCTAAAGCGTTCTTTCTCGTCCTGGATTGTGACTTGAGCGTTGTTGATCGTAGACTCAAGCTCACCTATCTTGATCTTGTCGCCTTCCTGCTCCTCCCGTAAGAAATCGATCTCCCCCTGACAAGACTCCAGCTGGATATCGAGCCTTTCGTTCTTCGACCTTTCGTCGCTGAGAAGCTTGTCTTGTCTACCCAACTCTTGATTGGCATCCACAAGCTCAGATTCAAGATTCTGGATCTTTCGCAAGCGAGCGTCTCGGTCGTCTTCGAGTTGCACCAAACTCTCGCTCACGTTCTTCATTTCCTGTTGCAGAGCGTTGAAATCTTCGGTCGTATTTTCCAGGTCGATGAAGATCCGGTCGCGCTCTTGGCTTCTCTGATCAAGTTCGCGTTCAAGCCTTTGCACGGTGTCTAGAGCTTCTTGCCTGAGCTCCTCGCATTCCTGCTCTTTGTCCTGCAGGATTTCCAGCGCCTCATCACGTTCGTTTGCGAGAGCTTGCAGGTCCTCAGTCTGTGCCTCTATTTCCTTCTCCAGCTCCTTGACCTTATTTTCCGCGGTTTCGAGCATGTCGAGATGGCCGTTTAACTGATCGTCAAGCTCCTTGTAAGAAAGCTTGAGTTGCGACAGCTCGTCCCGCAACGTAGCATGTTTACTCTCAAAGTCTTCGCGCTCGGGATCGCTCATCTGAGTCATACGTGTTGCGCCACTTGCTCTTGATACAGACCTCATGTGGTTGCGGGAAATCGATCGCTCTAGGATGCTATCACCGGCAATCGACCCAACGTCACCTCGTCGAATCGTCAGCTTCAGGCCCTCGTTCTCTTCTCTTAGACGCAGATTTTCTCGGTTCCTTGATGTGAGCATGGACGCTTGAGCATGAAGATCTCGTTGTAGTTTTTCATTGTCGTTGTGTAGCTGGTCTACCAGAGTGCTGCTTGTACCGCCAACAGACGATAGTGCAACCTGGTCGTTGCCGTCTGATCCTGAGTTGGATCGAGTAGTAAAAGATTGATGTATGCGCCGTGTGCTATTATAGACCTTATTAATGTGATGATTCGTCGTCGAATGCTGTTGTATCTGCTGGTTCTGTTCTTTAAGGCGTAGGACTTCTTCACGAAGTCTCTCACTTTCAGCCTCTGCTTGCTGACATCGTGTTTCGACCTGCTCGCGCTGAGCCCGTTCGTCTTCAAAGTCTTCTTTCCACATGTTGATGGCCTCGTCAATGCCAGCTGACTCACCAGACGGACTCTTCTCCCTCATCGTTTTGATGTAATCCGCCATTCGTCTGTTATCAGCCTCCTTCTGCAGAGCTTCCTGCTGCCATTGCTCGACGATGGTTTCTGTGGTTTCCAGCCGCTCTCGGAGAAACTCAATCTCCTCTTCCAACTCAACTTGCCTCGAAGATTGGTCACTCTTCCCATCCTCGGAGCCGCTGCCGATGTCTTTGGCAGTAACCAACCCTTCTTCCTGGGCTTTGAGTCTCCGCTCCAGATCCCGTATCTTCTTGCGAAGAGACAGGTTGTCTTTCTTCTCGGTTGCGAGATCAGTCTGCAGCTGGACGTTTTTAGATATCATTTCCTTGACACCCTCGTCAGATCGGTTCTGGAGTGCTTGGTCGAGGAAATGAATCTTCAGCTTGAGGTCAAAGTTTTCTTTACTGAGCTTGTCAATCTTGCTGTTCTGCTCCTTGAGCGTAAGATTGTGCTTGCTCCGAGTGAAGGGAGTCGCCATGTGTCGCTTGTCCGGTGATCGCGAGTGCTTCGCTCGGAATTCGCGAGCAATGGTGTCAGGGACCTGAATATTCTGGACGTGTCTAGCAATGACAGTGTCAGTAGGGGCAGAAGGCTGAACGCTAGGAACGCGCGGGGTCTCGGGCGGAGTCGCGCTGCTTGGAACTTCCTCTTCCAGTCGCCCCAGGGGTCCCTCAGGGTGAAGATATGCGGATATTGAATTTGCACTGAAGCTTCGGTCCTTTTCCCAGGGGTTGGAATCACTGTACCCTGACATCGAAGACGCAATGCTTCCCAGACTAGGCAGTCTTGATAACCCGAGGCTGTTCCTGTTTGGTCCGCTGGAGCGAGGTATAGCACCACCGGTCTGCAGAGCATAGTCTGCACCTAGACTCGCTGTACTCGTGCCGTCCCCAGATACGTCGGAGCGATTTGTGAAGGAGGATACCGATGATCGTTGGCTTGAGTGGCGATGCTGCAAGTAACTTGGCCGTTTGCTAATTCTCGGATTGCTAGTCGTGACAGAAGGCGCGGACACGTTTGTGTTGTCCATGCTTAGATCATGATCGTTTGTGAGCGAGGAGCCCTCCTCCAGTTGGCTAAAGTCGGGTGCTTTCACTGTTGATGCGCTGGAGGTCGGCCGACCGGCGTGATCCACCTCCTTCTGATGTGCACCGGCAGCGGCTTGCGTTTCGGTCGTATCCCCTGGGTCTATAGCCACGTCTTCAGCAGAGTTATCGGCAACGAGGCGCGATTGAGTCCGCTGCGCAGCTTCCGCGGATGGTGAAGACGGCGCAGCCTCTGATGTAGAAACACCAGCATCTGTCGAGTCATCGATACTGAAATCAAGCATGCGCGCCGCCGGTGTCTTGTAAGCATCCGCCGGTGTAGGTGCTTCTTCCGACGATATCGAGGTGTCAACATGTTGGGGATCTTTGGCTGGCGATGTGGTCGGGGTACCTCCACTCCGCACTTGGAGCTTTTTAGGTTTCTTCTTAGGCTTGGTCATCTCTTCAAGATTGGCCATGACCCTTTCGTGGTCGGCACCATCCTCGCCAGCATGGGATGATGACGGGCGCGCAGTTCCTGGAGAGCCTCCGAAGAGGTAGGTGTCGTCTACTCCAGCTTGGCCTTGTGCGGCTTCGGCCTGGGCCGACGGCTCAGGCAGAAAACTAGACTCTATATCCAGCAGTTGACGCTTCATTTCGCCATCTCCGAAGACGCTTCCATCGCTTTGCAAGTGGCTTTCGTTGAAGTTCTGCTGCAGGAAGCTATCCTCGTCGGCGACTGGGAGCGGCGGCAGGTCCGAGTCGGGCAGGTCGAAAGTCTGGACATCTTCAGCGTCCGAGACGTCGTGCGCCATGTGGTTCACGAGAGCCGGCGCCGGGGTGGGCGAGGATGGGATGGGCTCGAGTTCGTCTGTCCGCGAGGCCTCAAGAGTCGACGCAGGCGTGTTGGATGCGGTCGCCATGGGAGCAGGTGCGCGCGCAACGGATGGGGCAAGCGCGTCGTTTGGTAGTGCGGCGAGACGTCCGGGTGCCCATCAACATGTTTTGAACCGTCGAGCTTGTGGTATGGTGAAAGAGGGCAAAAGCAAGGTGCATGTTGCCGTCCCCCTGCGCGCCCTAACAACACACGCCGGGATGTGTTTACTTTCGTGTATTAGCAGAGGGCCCGTGCGCCGGTCGGCAAAACGGCCTCTAGTCGTCGGAGGACATGTGTGGGCCAGTCGGGGGCCTTCCACATCATGAATATCTAGATACTAGACTAGATATAAGATATACTAGATATAGATACGGAGTGGCGCGAAATTGATACTGCTGGTATGGAGTCGAACGGAGCTAGTTCATCAAGGCATCCAAGGTTCCCATCATCTCACAACCAGAGAAAGAAAGCATCATGACTAGACTGGACTAGACTAGATGGTTTATGACGGAGAGCTTTGAGCTCAATTGTATTCTCACACGCTACTTCGCCCCAGCAACTCCTAGTGTCGCATTTCGGAAAGCCTTGCCAAACGCTTGCAAACCTCCTTTTGGTGTTCACAATGTCATCGCCCCAGGTACCGTGATATCTTCGTGGGTCGCTAGTTGGTGCATTTCGGGACGGCAAGCAGCACAGAGTGCAAGTTCTGGCTTCTCCTTTTGCACAGCGAAACGCCATGGACACCTTTTCCCTTCCTCTATTCAACGCCGACTACCATCGCGCTGTGCATATCGTGCTCATGATCTCTCCAAGGCTGCTTCATGTGCACGTTTCTTCATCTTCTTTGCTCTCCTGTCTTCCTTCTTTTGAATATCCTCCAAAGTTCGGTGCTTTTTACTCTTCTTTGTCGGCGACTCTACTGTCCCAGCACCATTTACATCAGCGTGTTTTCTCTTCTCCTTCCTAGAAGGTAGATTGAGTCCATTCGGCATTCCGAGACCAGCAGTCTGGCGCGGTGCTTCACTTTCGCTGTCCGAGTCACCTAGGATGCCCGCAGCATCGCCACCAAATCCGGTCGGGAGGAAGCGCATCTTGAGGCCTCTGACTTGAGGTCGTGGTGCACGAATGGTCGATCGTGTTATCGACGCCGCAGCTTCTGAGCCCGTATTTTGGTCCGCTTGTTTGGAGCTAAGTTTAGGTAGGCGCACAACCGCTTGCAGATGTAGAGTCTGTGATATTCGTGCAGATACTCATAAAAGTTAGCAAAGATAGACATGTAGATATCTATACAAGACATACCAGCTTTGTAACCATCACTTTGTGGCACTAAAACTTCTCGCGTCCCTTCTTCGCTCTTCTCCGTCTTCGACAAGCCATAGTCGGCGCCCTCATGATGCCATATAGCCTCCCCCTCCATGGCTTTATCCATCGCTACTTGCTTCAAGTCCTCTAGTGAGACCCCCGCCGGTGCTGTTATATGCCACACCTGCTTGCCTTCTAGGTTGTCGAATATGCTTGCTGCTTTCGAAGTGGTTCTAACGTTCAATGGCACAGGATTGAAGCCTCGTGGAGGTACATAGGGTTGCGCTGGCCGGAACTCAACGGCGTGTGATTGCGATTTCGAAGGTGACGCTTGTCTATTGCAGAATCAGCAGCTGTGACTTGGAATACCTCGATATTTCACCTACTCCTGCGCCAACGTGCGACTAGGCTGCGGTGCTTTCTTTGTGTTCGACTCGTCACCGGAGCTGTCTGAACCGCTGTCGCTATCACTGTTGTCATCGGTCTGTTCCGAGCTGGATAACTCTGCAGCTTGCGCTTGGGTCACGACCTGCTTTTGTGTAGGTACGTTGGACGCGACCTTGGACTTCGACACAGGCTTTGGGGTTGCATTTTCCTTCGTGCTCGACTTCGACTTTGGTTTGACTACTCCGTTCGCTTTATGAATCGCTATCGTTCTTTTTGGCTTCCCCGTTGCTTTGGACTGAGGTGTGCTTTCGGTCGCCGAGTCGTCGTCGCTTTCGATGAATTCCTGACTTAATAGCCCTTTTGAGGATGTGTCTTTGACTTTGGACTTCGCCTTGGAGCCCGGCAACGGCACATGGGTTCTCTTCGATTCCTTCATTGTGGATGCGCTCAATTGCGACCGTGAAGTCAAAGCTTGGGAACTTTTTTATCGCCGCGGATCACCGCGTCTCACCTGCAGCCGTTTGGCGCTAGTCTTGTTTTATACACGCTAAAGGGAAAAAAGTCCAAGTCCAGCATCAGTTTCGTAGGGAACCTTGATATCAACATTCGGACCTCAAAATGTCAGGCAAGAGAAAGAGGGATGAGGGTACTAGCTCAGGAACAGTTGCTGGTAGAAAGCCCCTAAGTGCCATTGCAGCAGCACGATTAAGAGCAGGAGCGGCGGCGGAGGGCAGCACCACGCCAGAAATCACACACGAGCCAGTGCTTGCACCATCAAGTCTACCGCCAGAAAGTCCAGAATCAGGATCTGGATATGGTGAACCCGAGCTCGGGAATAAGGAGGAAGGCGAAGAAGAAGAAGAAACGCACGCTATTATCAAACGCAACTTCAAGCTCTGTAATTGGCGAAACGAGTCCCAAAACATCCTTTCCGACACGGAATCCGAGCTCACCATCAATTTGAACAAGCATACAACGATTGCATTGATCGGGTGTTTCGAGTTCAAGGTGATAAGAGGGGCTATCAATATCAATGGCGCTAATATAGGTGCACTCAGTCGGGATGCCCAGAAGGGCGTTGTTCATCGCGCATTTGTGCCGTCTACACATCCCATTCTCAAGATTAGGGGTCTAGACGGCACGAATCACGTTCAGTTCATGAGCTGTAAAGAAGCGGTGCCCATCGCTGAGAACAGCCCGCTTTTTGCGAATATCTGGAACGCAGAGTTTGTAACTCGATCATTCAGCATTGTAGGTCATTGTCCGGATATGCAGTGGCTTATTGAGGCTTTTATCATCTTTCGCAACCTGAATTTGGCCGTTAACGCAGCCTCCAGATCACAGAATCCGATGCAGACCCACTCTCTCGTATCTTGACCCCAGAAGTTACCCCAGAAGGTTGGATTCGTGCAATTGAAGACTGCACCAGCACTTCTTCCATCACACTCGTGACTGGATCACCAAATTCGGGAAAATCCACTTTCGCCGGCCGACTTCTGAACCGCTACCTTACAGGTTTCGGCAAGACAGCTCGTCCTGTACCAGCCGTTTACTACCTAGATCTCGATCCCGGCAAGCCAGAATACACGACCAGCGGTCAAATATCCCTTGTTTTGGTAAGAGATATCAAACTGAGCCCACGTTTTGCACATCCGGCCACGGTATCGGATATTGCAAGCTCAAAGGCAGATGAGGTAATACGCGCACACCCTATCCCAACAAATCTCACCAACTATGCCGATTACTACCACACATGTATTGAAGACCTTTTCCTATCATATCGAACCTTGGCTTCACGCGATACTTCTCTTCCACTCATCATCAACACGCCGGGATTCTTATACGCTTCGAGATTTGACATGTTAAACAAACTGCTCCTACGATTTAAACCACACAACATTATCCACCTCGGAAATACGCAAGCCACTGATACCGAGACGGCAACTAAGATGAATTCGCTGCAGACGATTTCTTCACATTACCGCAGCACAATCCACGAAATTATCGCACAGCCACCCCTGTCGATTCCGGCTAGAACCGATGTCGAGATGAACGCCATGCACATGCAATCCTACTTTCACATCAATACCACCAGCACGAAACCCGGCAAACCACGTAAATTGTCTTGGGCGCCAGAGCCTCTTTCACATCTCGTACCCTGGGAATTCTGTTATCAAGAGACGATCGAGCGTTCACAAGATATCGTCGGCTTCACCATGTACACCGAACCCATCGAGCCTACTTCGTTGATGACTACATTGAATGGTTCGATTATACAAATTGTCCAATCCAATTCGTCCACTATCCCCAGCCCATATACCGACCTTCCCAGGTCAAGTGGACATGGAATCCCTTACTTCCCAAAGTCGGAGTGCACGGGTATGGTGGAGCCTTTGGACCCAAGGACATCAAAACTGATTTGTACGGCGATGATCCGAGGCTTTGATCCTGACAAGAAGGTGGTTCAGGTTCTGGTGCCGAAAACGCAGGAGGCTCTCTTCTATAACCTGTCGCCCGAGCGGACTGTGTTTGTGGGTGGGTGTTGCGACATACCTGAGTGGGCGTATCTAGAGGATACGCCTGGGACAAAAGGGGTAGACCAATTTGCGGCTTCATCTCTAGAAATAGAACCCAAAGACGGGCCGCTGTGGGTGGAGAAAGAGAGCACGATGGAAGACATGGGATATCTTAATACGGTGCGCAGGGTGAGAAAATTTCAGACGTAGGTCGAGGTCGAGCATAATGCGGATGATTGATTTTGCTATTGCATCATAAAGGCCTGACCTTGGATGAGCCCTCTCAGTGGCAGGCTTTTTAATAGCTACATGGGCCTCTCCTTCACTGGTCAGTGTTTGGCACCACATGTCTAGTAGCATTTTCAATAGTAGACTGCAGTGGGAATTTGACGAGGCTGCTTGATCTTAAGATGTTCGCACTTGACGGTTTAGGGCAACATCAGAAATCTACAACTTGTCCACGCTTCCACTGCTGATCAAATCTCGTTTTCCAGGTCAACATTCTATCCGTCGGGTATGTGGATGTAGCACTGCGATGAAACGCATCCCACTTAACCACAAAGGCTGCTTTCTAGCAACGATTGGGGGAAATCTCTCACTCTCGAAGAGCAGCCGTAGCTCGTATGATACACGCGCTTGAGTCACTGTTGGGGTGATTTTTGACCTTTGACTACGCGTGTGCTACACTGAAGTGGCAGCGTCATTGTGATATATACAAGTTGGTTACACATGCCCTCTCCAATACTGCGCACTACAAGACCATCTTCGGCGGAGCTACAACTAGTCAGCATGTTATCAAGTAAGGAGAGGCATTTACTTACGGTCCAATATGTGGCAAGGCAGGTTGCGCTCGTACTTGGAACCTGTACATCTGCGTCAGCATTACTGTATCCGCGGCCGGGCCGGATATGTATCCGGACGGGCGTGACGAACCTCCAGGTGCCGTAGGTGCACGGTAGGGATCCGGGTGCTTCCACTTCTGGAGCAAGTTCTCGGTCTCCTTGATCAGCTCCTGAAACAACATAGCTATCAGCATAGTCCTGGGCATCAAAATGTGCGTGTGTAAAGATTGCGTCGTGGTTGCAGGGCTATGATGGAGAGACGCACTCTTTGCTGTCGCGGTTCCGTGATGTTCTTGTTTGCCTCGAAGAGTTCTCGGATATATAGTGCCTGTCCGCGCCAGAGGTACCGGTGTACGCTCCAGTCGAGCGCGAGCTTGAGGGACCGCCTGTAGAGGCGTCTGCATCTTGGTCAGTCTTTGCGCGTAGAGGGCGGTACAGGGGCTTCGGCGCACAGGACGTGGATTCTAGAGCTCATGGCGACGGTGAAGCCCTCAGTTGTGTGTGTGGTTCGGGGGAGAAGGGTGGTTCGTGGCCGCAATGCCTCGTCGTCGTCGTTGCCGATGTCAAGCAGCTTACATTCGCACTCGCTCTCAACTGGTGCTTGGCGCGCGCGGTGCACGGACGGAGGCGGTTTAGGCTGGCGCATCCGGTTGGACGAGATGGGACGTCAGAACTGGTGCCGGCGCTGGCCTGTCATTGCAACTTCAATCAATTCCCTCACGCCCAGTTATTCCACGTCGAGGCTTGCCCATTTTCCATCCTCTTTCCTTTCTCATTGTCTCCGGTTCCCCGTGTTATTGCCCATCATGTCTGGCCAGCAGTGTCTCCGCCGTCTACCCGTCGCCATGCGCTCTGTCTCAGCTTTGCGCACCAGTGCGAGAGCCGTGAGCAAAACACCAGCTACACGCAGCTACTCTGCCATCTCACGGGCGACTTCCTCTGGCCTCATGAGCCAGGCTGCGAGGTTTGTGATGCCATTGATCGGGTTGGAAGCTTGACTTACATTCGACAGACGGCCTGGACAGCTTTCGTCACAACGCCTATGGAGCCTCGAGCAGACGCGAAGCTATGGTACGTTATTCCAACAGACGAAAATATGTATTCTGCGTGGGAGACTAACATCCGTACAGCCGATACAACGGTCAAGGTGCCGCAGATGGCCGAGTCCATTACGGAAGGAACCTTGAAGCAATGGTCAAAACGTGGGTTCTCTATACATGCGTTACAGGCCGAACTTGGAGCTCACACTGTGCAGAGGTCGGCGATTACGTTGAGCAGGACGAAGAAATTGCTACCATCGAGACGGACAAGATTGACGTTTCCGTGAACGCGCCCGAAGCTGGTACCATTAAAGAGTTCCTGGTCAATGAGGAGGACACAGTCACCGTCGGACAAGATCTCGTGAAGATGGAGCCGGGCGGCGCGCCGTCGGGTGGAAGCAAGCAGGAGGCGAAGGAAGAGACAAAGGAACCTGCCTCGAAAGAGCAGGAGACTTCGTCACAGCCCTCAGGCGAACAGGAACAATCTAAGCCAGCGGAGGAGAAATCTGAGGCGCCGAAGCAAGAGTCCAAGCCGGAACCTACTAAGCAGGAGTCCAAGCCCCAGCCTCCCAAACAAGAGCCGAAGTCTCAGCCACCGAAAGAAGAGTCAAAGCAGGCTCAGCCCGGCAACCGGGAGGAGCGTCGTGTATGTGTTATCGCTTTCAAATGGAACATGCGTACTAATATATATGATAGGTCAAGATGAACCGCATGCGCCTCCGCATCGCCGAGCGCTTGAAGCAATCGCAGAACACGGCCGCCTCCTTGACCACGTTCAATGAAGTCGACATGTCCGCCATCATGGAGTTCCGCAAACTCTACAAGGATGAGATCCTCAAGAACAAGGGCGTCAAGCTCGGTTTCATGTCCGCCTTCTCTCGCGCCTGCATCCTCGCCATGCGTGATATACCCGCTGTCAATGCTTCCATCGAAGGCCCGAACGGTGGTGATACTATCGTCTATCGCGACTATGTTGACGTATCGGTTGCCGTTGCCACCGAGAAGGGTCTTGTTACACCTGTTGTTCGCAACGCAGAGAGTCTGGATTTGGTGGGTATTGAGAAGGCAATCGCAGAGCTGGGCAAAAAGGCGCGCGATAACAAACTCACGATTGAGGACATGGCTGGTGGCACATTCACCATCTCAAACGGCGGAGTCTTCGGAAGCTTGATGGGCACTCCAATTATCAACCTCCCGCAGACGGCTGTTCTTGGTCTCCATGCAATCAAGGACAAGCCTGTGGCCATCAATGGAAAGGTGGAAATTAGGCCGGTCAGTGACGTATTGTGTATAAACTTGATGACGATTGCTAACAACGAGGCAGATGATGTACCTCGCACTCACATACGACCACCGACTTCTTGACGGCCGGGAGGCTGTTACCTTCTTGGTAAAGATCAAGGAGTATATTGAGGACCCCCGAAAAATGCTGCTCTAGTTTCCCTCATTGGGATCTTTGAATCTATTTGTATATCCCCGTGTAGGGCTGTTTGCCGAAGGATGATGCGTGCGTGCAAGGGAGAGGGGTCGGGAATGACCGGGCTGGGATTTGGTTCTTGTATATGCGTGGAATGGATTGGCTTGCATCAGCTCGAGGACAAAAGTGGTCGGTGTATGATTAGGTAGTTTAGCGCATAATGAGCGTTCTACATACTCTCTTTATCAGCTGATTTGTTGTGCGTTGTGCATGTCCAAAATCATCTTCCTTTGTTCCGCGTTTAGCATGTAGTTGAATTTCTGGACGATGAATATATTGCTCGTTACCATTAAGCTCTTCCTTGCCGTTGCTACGGTCGATGGTCCATGCGCCGTTGAATTTCAATAGTATGGACTCATCTCGCCATCCACACATGTGACCCATGTTATGTTACTTGTAATTAATTATAGTTGGCTACGTTTACATACATCTTAGTTTTCATTGGAAACGATTGTGTTGTGGTGGTGTGGTGAATTTTTTCCCAAGTTGTTGTTACACTTTAAGAAGCAAAAAGTATAGTTGTAACGAAAACAAAACTGCTCTTCAAAAAAACTAAATGCAACTCAGAAACCAATTGGCATTAAAATACATCGTAAGAGCTATTTTACATAGAGAATCACATGTATATAAGTTTCGAATGCTCGGATTATGCCTGCTTCTTGAATGTGGACGCTGATAGGCGTCAGAAACAGAGAAGGCCACGAAAGGCGGAGTACCCCGAATAGGACTTGGACGTTAAAGCAAGGCAAACAGTATCACGAGAATGATTTATATGTTAGTTAGGGCAATAATGTATAAAGGTCATTAAAACCGTCTAGAGTAGCCCCAGGGGGATTTCTAGGCGGTTGGAATCGGGATCGCATGTTTCAGATGAGAAGTAAATCAGCAAAATAATATATTTCCTCGAACAAAATAGCACATTTAAATGCCAGTCAGTCGTCTATAAAAATGCTTCTTCTTGTCTTCTTCAATAAGATGCGAATGCTCATTGTTAAAATCAACGTTCGCTTGCCCGACGTTTGGAATCCCGCACCACTCACATCGTAGGCGCTCGCTCCAGGCCGTCTCGACAGGGCACGAGACTAGCCTCTTGTTCGTGCAAAGTCGCTTCCAAGGTTGATTCGCAAGCAGCTGTCGGCCTAGTCCCAACGGATCATTGCAGCCACTGCCTAGAGATTAATTGTGAGACGACGGAAACGACAATCATGGGTGCAAATGAAGAAATGAAGTGATATGCTCGATTCTGCTCATGAGCCTGCGGTCATTCAAATGCGACCAGCTATTATACAGCTCTGGTATAAACCCCGTGAAAAGCCATGAACCCATACCCAGACCGACTCCCGTTATCATTGCAAGATGAAAAGACCCATGAAGAAACCACGCCGATGAACAAAGAACTCAGAAGCAAAAGGCGCTTAGAGCTCCTGCGAAGGACCCTTGCCAGGCTTGGCCGTCTTCTTGGGCAGCAGGTCTTGAAAACAGTTAGCAGATGAAGCGAAGCGATTGCTTGATGGAGAAACGTACTCTGGTGAATGTTGGGGAGGACACCGCCCTGGGCAATGGTGACGTGTCCGAGCAGCTTGTTCAACTCCTCGTCGTTTCGGATGGCGAGCTGGAGATGGCGGGGGATGATACGGGTCTTCTTGTTGTCGCGCGCAGCGTTGCCAGCCAACTCGAGGATCTCAGCCGCGAGGTACTCAAGCACGGCAGCGAGGTAGACGGGCGCACCGGCACCGACACGCTGAGCGTAGTTGCCCTTGCGGAGCAGACGATGGACACGACCAACGGGGAAAGCGAGACCAGCCTTGGATGAACGACTGGAAAAGGTTAGCGATGATGCAATGCGAAAAGGCGAAATGAATGTGTGAGGTGGAAAAGGACGCGTCAATCCAAAAAAGCGACGCGTCCAAGTAGGCGAGGCAGCAGCCAAAAGCTGCGATGAACGCGATGGACTTGGTGGAGTACTCACGATTGGGCGCTGGACTTTGAGCCGCTGGCCTTGCCTCCGGATTTGCCTCCAGTCATTTTGGTGGATTTGGTTGGGTTGAGAAAGTGGGAGTGGTTTGTTTGGGGGCTTGGATTGGAGATGGAGATGAGCTGGTGGTGGGCGTGGAGTGTCGAGACGATGGATTGCTTGCTGCTGTCGGGGGGCGGGGCGGTCTTATAAGGACGGGCGCGGCGTTGTTGTGGTGCGCGAGATCAACCTGCCCTCACTAGCGCGCCAAAGGCAGCCGAGCGTCGCCCGTCGCCCGTCGCAAGATCACACTCGCCTCGCTTAGCCACCCCCAACCAGCAGCGACGGGCGCTCGGGCCACCCAGCCGCTGCTGGATCACAACATCAGAGCGCGCTCCCCATAAGTAGCGCGTCCCCCGCCGTCGACGACCTTTCTTCATCCATCTCGACACCACCACCACCGCATTCCACCAGCTCCATCTCACTCCAAGCTCCAGCTTCTACTACATTTGCCACTCTTACCCTCCCTCCACCACAGACATCCCAAAATGCCCCCCAAGGCCCAGAAGACTCCCACCACCGGCGGCAAGGCCCCGGCTGGCAAGGCACCCGCTGAGAAGAAGGAGGCTGGCAAGAAGACGGCCGCTCCCTCTGGTGACAAGAAGAAGCGCACCAAGACCAGGAAGGAGACCTACTCCTCCTATATTTACAAGGGTGAGTTTTGTCCTTTTCACGCCTTTTTTTCGCGTCACGAGCGCGACATGCAGCCTTTGCAGCTCGAGCCTGCCTTCTCAATCCATCTCCCTGTCCTTGCTTCATCGAACCGAATTTGCTGACGCGTCTTTTTCCAGTCCTCAAGCAGGTCCACCCCGACACTGGTATCTCCAACCGTGCCATGAGCATCCTCAACTCCTTCGTCAACGACATCTTCGAGCGCGTCGCCACTGAAGCCTCCAAGCTTGCTGCCTACAACAAGAAGTCAACCATCTCATCGCGCGAGATCCAGACCTCGTACGTCCTGCACTTCCCCTCTCACATGCAACCTCACCCACTGACTGTCATTACAGAGTCCGACTTATCCTGCCGGGTGAGCTTGCCAAGCACGCCGTCTCTGAGGGCACCAAGGCCGTCACCAAGTACTCTTCGTCTACCAAATAGAGTACTTTCTTCGCTCGGTGTTTCTCTTTTGGGTTTTCTTGCTTGTCTGTTCCGACAAGGCGGTTATGGGGTGCGGTGTTCACGGGTCATTTGCTAATGTGATCATGGGTCGGTTTGCTTGTCATCGAATCATCTAGTCGTGATTGACTATGAGGTCCATCTGGGTCTGTACATTATACCACAGCAGACGGGAACGAATCAATTCTTTCGAACTTCATTATTCACCTCTTCATTTGCCACTTCGATGCGCTTTCATGCTTTGTATCCGTTCAAGTTGATTTGTCTCAGCAACAACATCAACTTGTGAATTTCAACATGTGGCGCAATCCGGGAATTTTGACCGTAAAGCCCGAGTGGACGCGTTCCATATCCCATATCTGTTGGTGGAATCACATTTAGATTTACAATGATTCTGGATCCAGAGGACGTGGTGCACTGCCTACGTTCGCGGCATTTGGTAGTTGCTGCAAACTCCTTCGTAGGCATCAGAAACTAATAGGACAAGACTATCATTGATTGCTCAGTAAGCGCGGGATTTACGGATATACATCTATCAAACTCCATTACTCCCAAATCGCCTTTCAGCGCCAATCCATCACGTCCTTCCCGTGCCTGCTGCCGTGTTGCCTACTGCCAGCCTTCCTCATCCAAACTTTCCACCTCATCAACTGCGCCCTCCCTCTCCTGGCCTCTTGGAGCCGGCTCCGCGTCTTGCACATGCACAACACACTTGCCTTGTACACTCCGCACCCCTTCTTTCCAGTTCTCGTAGTCTTCTTCGGACGTGACGAGGAAGGCAAGGAGCATCGAGGGATCCATTTCGCGGATTTGGAGACGTCGGATACGGCGCGTGTGACAGGTTGAGAGCTCCTCTGCCGAGTAGGTGCATGCATTTGGTGGGGTGGTATGGGGTATGGCTTCGCTGGCTGAGGGGATGATGGTGGTAGACGAGGTTGTCGAGGAAGCAGACCCTGTTGAAGAGGCTAGAGTGGATGGCGGAGTGGTAGTCGTTGTGGTCTGAGATGACTGGGAGGTAGGGCGGTATGGTAACAGAGGGCGCGTGCTATGTGGGTCGAGATAGAAGAAGTTGTCTGCTTGTGTGCCGACGAAATAATGCGATGCTGAGGGACGGCCGCTGTATTGTTTCGTTAGCCAACTCTCTTGCGCCTTGTCATGTGCACATGCTGTAGGCAGACGCGCGACTTACCCAGCGATGCCAATACTCTGCTTCATTTGCAGGCTCGCCTTCAGCGCCTCCCAGTACACGGGCGTGATCTTGTCGATGCCTAACCGCGTTCCAACAAGTATCAATGTGGGCTGCCACTCTCCATCGTCGTCGACGGCCGTCTGCTTTAGCTTGTCTTCGTACACGTCGGCGCCGTCGCCCGAGACATGGACTCTCAGCCCAGCTTCTCTGTACTTATTTACCAGACCGTGTATGCACCGTGCCGCTGCTGATGGCCCAAACCACTCGCCAGGGTATTTGCCGCAAACCGCAGCACCATGCTCTACGAAGCGATGTATAGAGAATGGGGCTTTTGGGTCGTCGGCGAAGAGGGCAAGTATATCGCAGTGCTCCCTGGCCATGGGATCTTCCTGGTATCTCCAGTCTCGACCCAGCCGCAGTACTTGCAGGGCGTTGGCCAATATACACTGCCCGCTCCTAATCATGCATCCAAAGCCCGTGTCCGACGTGAAGCCTGGGGATGCAAGGTTCTGCATGCGCACTCTAAAGCTCATGGCGCTTGTAGCCTTTGGATCCTGGCTCTTTTGTATCGCGGGGAAGCCAGAGCGGTATGTCATCCATATCCGCGACTCAAAGTCATCCAGGAAGGCCGAAGGCCAGTTGCCGTACTGGGTCGGGTCCTCGCCATTTGGTGATTCCTTGCGGTCTTTCTCGTCGACGCTTGTGCGTATCCAGCTTTCGTCTTCAGTGCGTTCAGTCTGCGGTGTGGCGGCATCGGTGGAGGAGGGAGCACCGCTGGGAGTGCTGGTGGAGTGCTTGGGCGGCAGGGGGCGGGGGTCGTAGCGCTGGCCGAGCAGCCATATGGGGTCGTTGGAGTCGTTGGCTGGCAACGGATCGTAGAAGGTGCGGACAATGTTCCGGCCAACGCGCTCAAAGTCGTTCATGGCGGTCTGCCAGAAGACGTGTGCGTGGTCGAAGGTGGTGGTGTAGGCCGAGGCGGAGGTCCCGAGATGAAGGTCCCCAGAGCCGGCAGCATGCGTTCGTCTTCACTACTCGTACCGCATGTCCAGGGAGAAGAGATTCAGAAGCGTACAGATGTTGACTTGGTGCAGTTTTTAAGGCGAGGCGCGGCGAGGTTCAAGGCGAGGTGTTGGTTGCTGCGGCGAACTCTGGGTTGAGGTCATCTGGTGCCCTTGGGAATGGCGGGGTGGTGCAGCTGTTCACGGAGCTTCATCAACCATGGACGCGCATATGCAACCCCCTCTATCTTGACATTCACAGCGGCGCCTGCCTGCATCGTGTACAAGGACGAGCTCCACGACAAACTTCACGTTTGCAGCCCTCCAAGATGCTGTCTTCGAAAGTTCACCATGCTCTGGGTGCCGCCAACAACAACAAACCAGCTCCGAGATGCCCCAGCCTAGCCCCACTGCCGCCGCCGCCGCCGCCCCGCCCTTCTACGCTTCTTGAGCCAACTACAACCACGTCCAAATCGCCACGCGCTGCCCTTGGTCCCTCCACACCTAGCTGCCTTCACTGTGAGGTCCGCGAGGTTTGCAAACACATTCACTTCCACCGTCCGACGTCATGTCGCGCAAAAAGGGCAAGAACAAGGGAAAAGGCTCTGCAAAGAGCACGCCCGCCAAACGCCAGAAGTCCCAATCGTGGCAGCTTCAGGAGGGTATGTTTGCGCTCCTCCTCCAATCTTGAGATTGCCCTGTTGACTGTTAACCCCCCAGCAACGACGCCAAAGTTCTCCCTCGTCGACGAGGCTCGCTGGATGTCAAACCACCGCACCGCCGCTTTCGAAGCGGGAAAGAAGCTGCGCCATATGCCCATACACTTCGTCAGTGCCGGCCGCCTCGAAGGCACAATCAAGGAGCCGATGCCTATACCCGCGCTCGACCTCGCTGAGCTAGGTTCAGAGAACGAGTCAACTACACCATCCTCGCCCGCATCCACCTCATCGCACCACACCACGCCTGATAATACCCGCGCTATGGCCCACATGGCCCTCCGTAGTCCTTCACCCGTCGCCTCAGATACTTCCTCGAGCGGAGACGAGGTCGTCTTCAGAGGGCGTGGCCACACTCCTGCAGTTCACGCCACACAGACTACCGCCTCTCCCGCACAACAGCCGACTACGCACGAAAAAGCACCAGACACCCAACCCCAAAAAGCTCATGAAGCTACTCAGCTATCCCATAGGCCTCGAAATTCTGCCCCTCTCACCAACCCGCAACTCACACCAACCTCGACTGAACAGCTCACATCAGTTACAGAGGACGCACAGCCTCGAACTTCTGTCACCGTCAGCATTCGCATCAAATCCGGCACTCGGCCCAAGCAGGACGTGGAATCAGACAGCGACAGTGTGGTGCAAGACCACTTTGCGAAGCGAAGGGGAGATAAGCCTGCTTGGGAGGGTACTACCACAGAATGGCAGCACCGAAGTAAGCCAGGGATTGGATGGCTGCCAGTCCAGGATCGCCCTGAAATGGACGCCTTTCTCCGAGGTGACGTGAATCCACGCGATGCGGCAATGGACGATTATATGCAAAACATGGAAGAATTTGGTTTCACCGACGACATGGTGGCAGCGTCCGGCTTCGCCCGTCGCGAGATGGATCTAGACGCTGGTAGCCACAATGATTGGGAGTCCGCATCGGGAAGTCAAGCAGAGCAGGACAATTCTGAACAAGGCGACGACAGTTGGGATTCCGACATGATACAGGACTTTGCAGACATCAGCACCTCCTCTGACGTCATGGACACAGTCGTCCGCATATTGTCGAAGCGCACCCGCAAAAGTGGCCTCCATTACCTCTGTGTCTATGAGGGTTCTGTCACTGATGACGCTCGCTGGCTGCCATCAAGCTTTCTTAAGAGCGCCGTTGAGAAGCAGTTGATTAGAGACTTCGAGGAAAAGGTGTTCCTGCGAGAGCAGCAACAGAGTAGTAGCGAATCGGCAGACGATGAGGATGAGGATGAGGATGAAGAAGAAGATGAAGAAGATGATGAAGAAGAGATTGACGATGAAACCATCGCTCGGATTCTGCAGAAGCAAGAAGAGCTTGGACTAGGTTCGGATGAGGTGCTGTTATATGCAGGAGACGAGTTCTTTGATGGACCTATCGACACCGTGGCCACCTCGTTTGGTAGACCTAATAAAAAGCGACAGGCTCGTGTCCGAGGGAACCGCGAACACACTTTCCCATCTGCCTCCGCCATGGCTGATGCACTAGCACTGGATCCCTACGGCGGCTTTGACATCATGGATACCGAGCGCCCTTCATTGAAGCCAAAGAAGAAGGGTAGACGGGGCCAAATGCCTCCAGAGCTGGAGGATTCAGATCTCAACGAGCAGCTGCAGAGCTCGTGGGCTGCCGATAGAGCCAAGAAGCGTCTTAAGAAGGCAGAGCGCGAAGAGTTAAGACAGCAGGGTCTTTTAGGCAGGAAAGGAAAGGCTCCCAATCTCAACATTAAGTATCAGGGCGGCATCGAGATGCAGGATGTCGTCGAAGAGATTCGCGAGTTCCTCTTTGGTGACATGCAAACGTAAGTATCACATCCTCCGTTCACTCCTTTGCTAATAGTGTTCGAAGCTTGGCCCTCCCTGCCATGGATGCACATCGCCGCGCGGCCGTCCATCAAGCGTCGCGATACTTCAACTTGACCTCTCGTTCCCGAGGCGACGGGCTGGATAGATTCACGGTTCTCTCGAAAACCTCTCGCACACGTACCTGGACCGACGATGAATTTGATGCTGTAATCCTGCGAAAAGGTTTCCTCAAGCGGCTGCGTGGTCCTCTGCGCACTCAAGGGGGTGCTCGTCCTGCCAAAGGCGCTCCAGTTCGCCATGGAGGTGCACGTACCCGCCCCCAAACTGGTTACAAAGATGGCGATACGGTGGGCGCGAATGCCCCCGAACTAGGTCCTGAGAATAGAGGCCACGCTTTGCTTAAGAAGATGGGTTGGTCGAAGGGTATGGGACTCGGAGCCCTTGATAATAAGGGTATTCTGCAGCCCATCCCACATACGGTGAAGACGAACAAGGCGGGTTTGCAATGAGAATCGCCTCTCCCCATAGCTCGGTGTGTATTTCCTATCACCTTTTCGGTTTTCCACAACGTTTGCAGAGCATGGATGTATCGGCGGAATCTCGTTGGATTAAAGTCAGGTCGAAGCTCAACGCAGTCGCTTGCCTGCGTTTAGTATGAGTTCGCTCCACTGTCTGTTTCTCTATATACACGCCTGCATCCTGTACTAGTTGGCTGTATTAATGCTAGGTTTCGGCGCATGGGTGGTCATGACAGGTTGATGGGTTGCATGGTTGATCATGGCGTATAGCATATCTCTTTTTAGTTCGCAGCTACCCGCTACGATTCTTTGACACCCCTCACGGAGGATGTGGATTTTGGCGTTTCTTGTTGCCGAACGACGGTTTACTCGCACGGTATGAGCGACACTCGTGCAGTGACGCCCAATGCGGTTATAGATATTGTCTCGCTCGTGGTAGCAACTCAATACAATTTTCTAGATGAACCTTTCTGTTGGGCCGTAAATCTGTGTGTACGGATGCCTTCTTTACTGTGTGGTGGCGTGCGAATTATCCACTACGTTCAGATATCTCGCCTCAGTGGTTATTCAGTGGTGACCGACGCAATTCTACTAATCCTACTATTAGATCTCAGTCTACTAATGATATGTTCACTGTTCTGTCTGATTTCGCCGTGCTCTCCCTGGTATTTCCGTTTGTATGATCCAAGTCTTAGACTACGACACCAAACACCACAAAAATTCGAAGCAACAACAACAAAGCATAAGACGCCTTGCAACAGATATAAGACACTAGAGTATAGCCTAAAGAATGTTGACGTTATCACTTCAAACCGGGTAAAGATTATTTTGTGGTGTTAAGATAATAGGTACGAGTACGTGGCATTCACTACAAGCCGAAGTCCTCTGATGCTTTCGGTTTGAACATTTCGGACCTGATAAATCTATTCACTGCTTGTATGGGCGACTCAATAACGTCGTTGTTCTCCAAAGAGTTTCGCGAAGCTCATGGTAGCTCGGAGGCATAGCTCATCGCCATAGAGGTTGTCCAATATAAGCCTTCTATATTCAACATCAAAACATGCGCTACTAGAATAAAACCAGTTATCGAAGGTGACCACAATGTTCTATATGCTGCGCTGTGGTCTAACTTATTGGGATATCCTACGTTAGGTTACCAGGAAAGACATAACTCCATAAAATGCTGTAGAGCTTCGTGCCCTATACTGTTCAACATATACCCATACTCGATGCAGAATACCAAGCACTCCCCGGAACCATCAAACAAAGTAGCACACGCCAAAATAGCCAAATCCCGCAAACAGTCACAAATCGATGACTTCTATGTAGGCCTTTTGAAAGGATGCGCCTCTGTATTCAGTACCCAATCATCCAAGCTCAATACATTTTCCTCTTCAAATAGCAAGTAGAAATATTTCAACGTCTCTGCTAACCAAAAGCTCTCCATCTCATCGTTTAATTGTGGGCTAGTTTTGGTAACGTCGTCAATGGCCGAATTACCGTAGAGCGTGGACGTATGCTCGTTGATGGCAAGGAACATACGCCAGCCGGCTTCTCGCCAGTGCGAGTCGCCGGTTATGCGGTACATGTACCAGACAGATTCAATTGCTTCGGGACTAGAAAACGTTCAGCGATACGCAGATAAAATGAAATAGACGACTCACCGGAGGATATAGTTTCTTGCCCCAATCCTTGTCACACCTTTCGGCAACCGTTCTTCTTGGATTCGATTCTGAACATAATGCTTATGGTTCAACGGTGGATGTGGAGAGTAGAGCATCGGAAAAGCAGGCAATGTTAAGCTCGGCTGCGGTGCCACCTCCTCAATGTTCAACAAAGGCTGGACCTTGGTTGGCGGGCCCTCGCCTTCCTCGGGCTCGCCACCCATGACCGATTCTCTGTTCTGACTATTGGCTATGGAAGGGGAGGGCCGGACGGCGATATCTAAATCGCCTTCTTGATCGGCAAGCTGCCGCTTATCCAGCGTATCCGCATATATTGAAGTTTGTGTGGCTTGTGCTTTGAAAACAACGTCTGCAGAGGGGTGTGCTGTCATGGTAGCAAGTTGTGCATCGTACCACGATGAGGCTGAGGCTAGCTGTTCGTTGTACACCTTTAACTGGTCCCGATAGTTCTTCAGGCGATACTCTGATCGTGGATCAAGTATCTCCCAATACGCCGTCTCATTCCATGTACACTCCTTTGTGTTTTCACAGGGAGCGGCCTCGAAAGATTCCGGCATTATGCCGCTCGGAGTCATGCTATAGCTCCACACGCAGCCCTCTGTCAATTTCTTTGCAATCTCAAGGTCCTCGGGACGGTCGAAAAGCTTTGCGCCCATACCAAACATACCGCCAGCGAAGCAGGTGAGATGTGCATTTTCAGCATCAAGGTCTCCGACTTTGGTGTCGTCCGTATTCGAAGGTACGTTTAGTTTACCGCAGAAGAGGATGTCATCTTCATTTGGCAGCATCGGTCGGAAGATCAGGTGCTCCTTGACCACATCCATAGACTGCTCGTACATGGTTCGGTATTTTTCGACCTGGCCGCCGAGCAGCAAATATTCCTTTGGCAAATACTCGTACGTCGAATCCGACATGCCACCAAGCGTAAACTCCTCGCGACCGTAGTCAGATGATGATACAAAGCCCTGTGGTACACACTCAGGAGGTGTCGGCATGGTCGCCTTCGCCGATGAGGTTTTGTCAGCGTCCTGCGCCAATTTTAGAGGTTCAGTGAGATCAACATCGAGTTGTCGTTTCTCCAGCGGATCGCCATTCCAGTCACGAATCATGTCCTTTTCCGTTCTTCCAGGTACGATCGAACCTTTGGGTTTCGGCGGAGATCCGTTGGGACTTAGGACGATTGGGTCCGGCAAGTTCAAAGGAACATGTTTCTTGCCCTCCAGAGAAAGCACCTCTGTTGGAATAGGTAACGCAGTGTCATCAAAGTCATCTTCCAGCAGGCCCTCTGGAGCTCTTAACGGTTCCTGAGGGGGTAGGTCGACGTAGACCTTGCCGCAACCAGAAGCATCCAGGTATGTTGGCCACATGCCCGGGAGTCTTGTGTTATTCTGGAATTCTTCTAGGTGATCTGTAATGCGTGCAATCGCATCGTAGTATTTATGCTCACCCGTAAGCTGTGCTAGTCTGGTGAACTCCATGGACAACGATCCGATTTCAGCCAATACTACTCGGGGGCTGGCACGATGCCTCTGGGATGCAAATTGGGGTCTCCAATAATAGTACGTCTCAGGCATCCGGTTCGGTGTGTCGAAAGCGCTTATGAGGATCTCAGCAAGCTCCACAGCTTTATCTAAGAGATTCTTGTACTTCTTGCCACTGAGATCGTACGCCGCAACCAGACCTCCAAGATATCGAATCGTCGTCTCAAACAGCGGAATATCTGCGCGCGAGGCAGTAGTACTGAAGTCGATCGAGTCTACTGCTTTGGCTGCCTCTTCAAACTCATCCTTCAAGCCCATTATCCATAGTGTGTCCAGAGCGTCCACCAAAGTAGCACCCCAATTGGCGAAAGGGTCCCGGTAATTCCCAGACACGGGCCTTAGCTCATCGTGGAGCCATGCGTGTTTCCTATAGCCACTCCACGACTTCTTGAACACTCCCCTGATCGAGTCCAGCTTCGAGAGCCGGTCTGCTTTCGTCGCAGCATCTTCGGGCTTGAACTTGAACTGTATCTTTGGCATCGGCTTCGGCTTGCCAGAGGGGAGTTTGATGAGCGACTTGGAAGGAACGGGGAAGTGCTCGGGCAGCTTCGTCCAATGAATTGCTTCGATGCTTGTCGACACGGTAAGGCTGTGGTCAAGGGGATTGGGGTTGACGGGCGGTTGAGGCCATATAGGTGTAGGAATGGTCGGCTTCTGCTGCTTCTCGGTCACTACAGGACGCGCCGACGATCGAGGCGGCGGGGTTTTCAGGGGCGGTGGTGTCTGCAGCGGCTGTTGACTGTACGCTGCGGCTATGTCGAGTTTCGGACTCTTCGTCTCGTGCGCTACCACTGGGCGCGGCTTCGTGTCTACTTGCGGAGCATTCTCAGCTCCGCTCTTGAATCCAGCTGCTGCATTCGATGCAGCTTCCCGCCATGACGGGCCCGAGTTGCTAAACTTGTATAGCGCAAAGACGGCAATGAAGGCAAATGCTACGAAGACGCGGTATCTTCTGTATCGAAACATGGCTAAAGGAGCGTTGCGAATAGAAGGTGTCGCGTGCGCTGGGCGACGCGAACTGGACCAAGGTGTGGCGAAAGGTCGACGCTGTGCTATGGCGTTGCTGCCATCTGGAAGTGTAAGAGAATGAAACAAAGTAGGAGACCAGATCACCACAAGCGAGACAGTAGAAGACCAGCCCACCCCAAGCGAGAAGGATAGATTGATTGACAGCAGAAGCCACGGGGTTGTGTTCAGCGGCTTGGCTTTCTGCAAGCCTCTCGGTTGCATGCACGCTCCAGAGACGTCGGTTTCCCATGGATTGTCAATTCAACACCCAAATGGTGGGTTAAGTGCAACGACAGCAATTCCAGCGCATCAATCTACAAGACACACACACACATTCCTATCTCTGCACATAGGTGTTGCATTCCAATAGACTCCAACATTCAAGGGCGCACATCCCCGCACCATGGCTGGGTGGGTGGTAGGCTCTATCCTTGTGTAGCCCTATCAGTTAAGCTTAAATCATCCTGGCTAAATAGGGGTCCGGCAATTGGCAGTCCCTGAAAGTCCCCCACTCCGCATCCACGAGTGCATGTATTGGGATTTGGACCCAAACTTAGTTTAGGAGCCTAGGACGATACGCTCCAAGTTAAGGAACCATATGGCTTCTAACAATGTAGAATTTGAGTTGACAACCGTCCATTATTGAGCACGCACATACTGTGCCAAAGGCCTGAACCATAGGTTGTGTTTTTTTGATCTATCTTGACAGGGCTGATCATATATAGCACTTGCACATCATCTTCCGTGAGCTGTTTTCCCAGAAGGTGTCAAGCCTCGCGTGCGCAAAACTCACCTTCAGCAATGCCGCCGCGAGAAATCGTCTCCATGTCACTGTCCATGTCATTATTGCTCTTCGCCTCCTGGTCCCGGCTGACGTCCCTAGTTCACATATCAGTACAGTAACAACAAATACTGGGCGTCTCGATTCTTACCATTTGCCGTGCCTTTAGCATCTCATCGCATAATAGCAGATTGGACGCGATGCCGGTAGCCGACGCGATGCAGTTGCGGAGCACCCGGAACGAATCGTAAACACCTTCCTGCGTAGGGTCCATCGCTTCTCCGGTCGCCAAATTTAGACCAACAACATTGCCCTCAGCATGTTCGTCTTGTAGCGCAGCCACTGTACACATGTCAGCAACAGGCCATTAGTGGCATTAGCAGGTGACATACATGAATCCTGGATGTCGTGACCAGAGTTGGCGGCTAACGTCTTGGGGATGACGAGCAGCGCATCGGCGAAGGCTGATACACCCCACTTTGCTTTGCCCTTTACTGTCTTTTTGAATTGCTCGCTTTCGAGATGGGCAGCACACGCGACCTGGAACGCCCCCCCTCCTGGGACTACGCTCCCATCAACAATCATGTTGTAGACACTCCGCAAGCCGTCGCGGACCGCGTCCTTGATTTGAGAGATGGTGTGCGAGTTGGGGCCCTTGATGAGTAGCGTAACTGACTTGGGCTCCTTCACGTCTTCCTACTTGTTGTGAGATGGATGTAGGCAATTGACAAGGTAGGACTTACAACAAATGTATACTTCTCCTCGCCGAGTTGGTGCTCGTAGACGAGACCAGCCCAACCGAGGACGTCTGGTGTCATGTCGTCCACACTGTTCTGTGAAGTTCCACCACACACGAGCTGCAAGCGCTCCATGTTTCTCCTCTTTGCTCTCCTCAGCGCAAAGATGCCGTTCTTGACAAGCACATCCAAGCTCAGAGGGTCGATGCCTTTCTGATTTATTATCACAAACCCCTTCTTGGGATCGTCACCGCAGACTTCCTTCTTTAGCTCCACGATCTTCCTGAGCTTGTCATCGACGAAACGTCGCTCGCTCTCGACAAGTTTCTCCCTCTGTTCTGCACTCGAGTAGTAGAAACCAGAGTTGATCTCCGACTTCTCGTACTCCAGGCTGACATTGAGTGTCAAAATGTATGCATTCTCGACTCTCTTCGGCATGTCAGGATGCCTCGCACCGTGGTCAAGGGCGAGTCCTCGAATGAGTTGCGTGTCTGCTGCGGTGCGGTGTTGCATGGTCATTATCTCAACCATGTGTAGATCTGGCTTCGCAGGCGCTTGGTAGATTGCAAGGACGGCGTCCACGATATCGGGCGTCAACTGTTCTGCGAGCGAGCTGTCGAGCTTTGTTGATAGTGACGTCCGGGCGACGGAAAGGAGAAGCTCTCGGTCGACCTCCTTCTCGAGTTTGAACTCGTCGAGGAACTACGAGCACGTCAGCCCACCCGTCATCGCGCGACACTCATAGCCAACCTACCTTCAGTGTCTCTGTTTTCGCAATATCGTAGCCGTCTGTTATAACTCGCGGGTGAAGGCCCTCGGAGATGTATCGATCGGCCTGCTTTAGCAGTTCTCCCACCAACAGTACTACCGACGTTGTCCCATCGCCTGTCATATCGTCTTGTGCCGTTGCTGCTCGCGCAATCATGACCTGTCTCACTTAGAATCAGGATGAAGTGGTTAAGGATGTAAATCATACTGCTGTGGGGTTTTGAATTTGCTGTCGAACCGTTAGCTGTGTGAACGTACAGATTCTGGCTACAACACGTACCATCTCCTTGAGCAGAACGCTTCCATCTTTGGTAAGTTTGATCTAACCAAACCGGTCAATACGGGCTATGCATGTCGGATGCACAAACTTACAGCTCCAGCACCATCAACGAGCCTATACTTCATTAGCAAGTAGTCACCCGGGGAGCAGAGTTCTTCTCACATCTTGAGCGTACCGCGGGGCCCCAGGTTGGAAGCAAGCACCTAGTGGAAGATCAGAATCAGTTACTTTAAGGTCTCAGGGAAATTCGTACTTGTTGCAGTCCCTCGCCGGCTGAGATGTTCACTCGAAGAGCTTCCCCGCGCCGCTGTATATTTGTTAGTTATGTTTCGTGCTCAAAAATTGAGCGACTAACCCTCGACTCGGCCTTCGGATTGAGAAGCTGTGCGGCCGACATGTTGAACAGAATCTATCAGGGTATCGAACAGGGCAACGACAAAGTAAATGCAGTATGGTGGGGCACAGCTGCTGTTTTCGCGTTGCCTGTCGCGCGTCCCTCTCCAGAAATCTGAGCGCCCGGGCCATCTATTTGGCCGGCCGGCCGGCGTTTTGCCAAGATATTCTAAGCTCGAACTTTTTCTTTTCGAGCTTTTCGCACCTTGCACTTGCAGGAGCACCATCACGCTTTCGCACGCCGACAACCACGCATTGTCCCCGATACTCTTACTCGAGCCTGTATAGACTCGGTGACATATTCTCTCACTCGAGCCTGTATTGACTCGGTGGCATAAAATGTCCGTTGATTACCTCTTGCACGAGAGCCCTGTCGGCTATGCGGTATGTTGCGAAGCTATTCTCGAGGATTGTTTAGACGACCTTTACGACCTTTCTTTTCTCTATTAGCTAGAGACCGAGGTGCAGCTGCTAACATGCCTTGCGTAGGTGTTCAAGGTCGTCCTACAACCCGATACGATCGGCAACCGCCTCCATGAAGTTCAAGCTGCGGTAGGCGACCTCGCAAAATTCGGCAAATCCGTGGAGCTCGTTGGTCTTGCGCCATTCCAGGGCACCCAGGATGCACTGCAGGAGATCAACGATATCAGCGAGGGCATACTCTCTGATTTCTTGAAAGCGACTTTGGAGACAAACCTACCGAAGGCTGGCAAGAAGAAGACGATCACCTTGGGAGTGAGCGAGAAGAATCTGGCTGGCAGCATCAAGGCGGCTTTCCCAAACCTTTCGTGTGAGACGAGTGACACCTCCGAGGTTGTCGCCGATCTGCTCCGTGGCCTCCGCCAGCACTCAAGCAAGCTCATCAAGCAGCTCCAGCCCGGAGATCAGGACAGGGCCGTCCTAGGTCTGGGTCATGCCTACTCACGAGCTAAGGTGAAGTTCAGCGTCCATAAAGCCGACTACGCGATTCTTCAATCCATAGCGACACTGGACCAGGTGGACAAAGATGTATGTTGGGTGAAGTGAGGGCTCTTGCATTATACTAACTTCCATCAGCTTAACCAGTTCTGCATGCGCCTGCGAGAGAATTATGGATGGCATTTCCCGGAGCTCTCGAAGATAGTGGCGTCAAACACTCTATATGCCCAGGTTGTTCTTGCGATTGGCAACAAGTCGCGTCTTACAGATGACGATCTCCATGATCTTGCGGCTGTTGTGGATGACGACGAGGGAGTTGCGCAAGCTATCATCAAGGCTGCCCGGACCTCTATGGGTCGAGACCTGTCTGAAGCTGACATGGAGATTGTCATGGCTTTTGCGAAGCGCACAGCGTCACTTGCTGCCTACCGAAAACAGCTTTCCAACTACCTTGGCAATAGGATGAACCAGGTGGCCCCTAATCTGGCCGCACTAATTGGTGATACCGTCGGAGCACGTCTTATCGCCAAGGCCGGATCTTTGACAAACCTGTCGAAATACCCTGCCTCGACTGTACAGATCCTGGGTGCTGAGAAGGCGCTCTTCCGAGCCCTCAAGACAAAGGGCAACACCCCCAAGTACGGCCTGATCTACCACTCATCTTTCATTGGCCGGACCGGCGCCAAGTCCAAGGGCAGGATATCCCGGTTCCTGGCCAACAAGTGCTCTATCGCGTCGAGAATTGACAACTTCTCTGATACCCCCACGTCGAAATTTGGCGAGGCTCTCAAACGCCAGGTTGACGAGAGAATCGAGTTTTATGCTTCTGGGGCCCCCCCGGCGAAGAACTCGGCTGTCATGCAGGCGGCCATGAACTCTGTATTAGCAGACATTGGCCTTGAAGACCCAACTGCTACTGCTGCCGAGGATGTGGAAATGGCTGACGGCATCACAGCGGCCGCTACTGAGCAAGCAGCGCGCAAGGGGAAGAAGGAAAAGAAGTCCAAGCTCGCCAGTGCCGATGAGACGGTCTCTGACAAGAAGTCGAAGAAGGATAAGAAGCGGAAACACGGCGAAGAGGAGGACGGCGAGGGCAAGAAGAAGAAGAAGAAGAAGAGCAAGGCGTGATTGATATCCATATGCAGTTGAGCTATGTCTACATATGCTTGTTACATTTTCGTCTTGGCGTTTCACGGGTCGGTGTTACTGGCGTTGATTGCGCAGATGATTTCGCATGTGAGGGGGAGGGGGGAAGATTTGCGGGGATACTCTCAACTTTGCGCACGACATTGGTACGTACGGTTAGGGAAGATGGATCTGCATGTATACCTCGAGCTGTTTTATGGAAATTACCTCTTCAAAAGCATATGATGATGTTTGCCAACTCTAGTCCAGCGTGACGTTTTTCTTCTAATCTGTTCCTGGATGCGGCTGCGTGCTCTTTGCGGCGAATGAAACACCCCTGCAATGATCGCCCGAGCGCCTGGGTCTCCTCAGCCACAGCCACATGCAGCTCACCTCAAACCGCAGGAGCGTTGAACCCACAATTCGATGGAACATATGATGACCCACCAAGGGAAAGCCAAGTCAGAAATTCCCGTCCTTGATATAGGCTGTACAGCCGTAGCTTATATGACTCTTAAAATAAGGGATACTGGTGGTAAGCTGCGTACATGGAAGCTTTGCGTGTATCAAAGAAGGCAGCAATCAACGTCAGGCGGCTAATGCGCCTCATGGTACGTCGGATGTATTGTATGAGATGCCTCTGCGCTCCCTTTGCGTGTGACGTTGTAGAATGCGAGCAGCAGCAGCAGCAGCAGCAGCAGCATCGTCGACACTCGATGATCCCATTTATTCAATCCACTTTGATTAAGTTCCATGACTGATGTTGCAAACGTTGCTCGCCTTCACTCTAAGCACCTGGCTACCTACGCTGCTAATAACACAGCAATAGCAAGCAGTTGCCGCCCCGGCATGCCGCCAGCGTCTCATTTACAGAATTGGCGCATCACTTGCCCGTGGTGGCCCCGGACTCGTCAACTGCGTAAACTGTTTTTCTGCTCTAGGGCTCGTCGTAACCCAAGCTTTGGCCCGCTGCTGTCCCAAATCGCTCTTCCATAGCTACTTGAGGCCCTTCTGCCCCCATCCCCCATCCCCCTCCCCTCTCTCTCTTTTCTCTTTCTTTCCTGTGCAAATCTCCCCAGCTGCAACTGCAAATCCATCAATACCGCGCCTGCTGAGGTCGCGGCCATCAAACTGTCATTAGGGCCGAAACTTGGTGTTCCTTGTCGTGCATCAGACTCTCTCTAAAGCCCTTTCCGCCCGCCACTGGGCCGCACTTCGACTTTTGGTGTTCTCGACATACTGTCGCACTATTAGTCCGCTCTCCACCTCTTTTTTTGGTGTTGAGTCTGCAACACGCGCACAACCAGCAACCCGCGCCCGTGTCTGTCTGTCTGTCTGCACGCGCTTACCTGCGCCGCTAACAACGCTCGACATACCATAGCCATATTCTTCTATCCTCGGATTCTTGGCCAGACCACTGGGGATTGACGCCTCGCTTTGGCATTTGCGGGCGGATTGCATCCTGTTCGCCCTTCTGCCACCATGGACATGAACGATGCGTCCTCGCCTGGTAGTCTCAGCTCCCCGCCGCATTCGCCAGAGCAGGGCACACCCAATGCCACCACCCGTGTATCGACAGGTGGTGTGGGTGGTGGAGCAAACACCCCGGCCCCTGCAACCGCATCTCCAGCAACACGCGGGCTCACAGCATCCGGGCAACCACGCAAGAAACCCGGCCCAAAGCCTAAACCAAAAGATCCCAATGCACCAGAGCCCGAGAAGAAGGCCAGAAAAACACGCAAAGTCGCCGAGCCCAAGGATGCAACCACGGCGCCCGTGCAACGCAAGAGGAGGACCAAGGCATCTCTAGATGCACCGGCGGCAGCAGCAATCCACGTCGACGAGAAATCGCCGGTGCAGCAGTCGCCCACACCGCAACCAAGACCCAGTGAGCCCGTGCCTGTGCCCATGCCTGTTGTGCAGCCAGAGCTGCCGCCTGCCGTCACGCAACCTCCTCGCGTCTTGAGCAATGCTGAGCCAAACTTCCACAATAACCCAACACTGTCCCACATCACCGTCGCGCCATCAACACCGCGACCGTCTAGCTCAGGCCAGCGATACGATCCCATCAGGGGCGGTATATTCGAGACGAAACCTCAGCCTCCAGTGAGCGTACCACCACCCATCTCGCCGCCCCTCAATCGCGCTAGTGCATCTCCCTCCATCACCAGTCTAATCGACCCGCCGTCTGCCAGCAACTCCTTCTACTCACACCCTGCCAAGCTTCAACAGCAGCAGCCCTCTGTTACTTCGGCACCCGCATCACCTGCCGGCTTCTCCACCCGACCTGGGCCGATCCTTTCTTCCCAGGACATGCCACCTCAACCACCACCACAGCAGCAGCAGCAGCAGCAGCAGCCTCCGCAATGCTACCCCGCCACATCTGCAGGAACTACTCCCATGGAAATCGACTCTGACCCAAGCAAGCACACATCCATTCCCATGGCCAAGTCGAGCTCTACGCATTCTCTTACGCCCTCGCACTCGAATGCTCCCACACCGCCCGCAAAGACTGCTCGGCAAAAGGAGGCCCCACCGCCGCTACCTACTGGCAGTGGTCTCCTATCCGGTACGCCCTTTGGACCCATCGCAAATACCAATGGCACCTCAGACACACAGGGCACCAACATCTGGCTCACCTTTGCCCTCAAGGGACGCGACAATATCACAATCAACTTTGCGCAGGAGGTGGAGAAAAAGTATGGCTTCGCTGCGCTACATCCCCGTATCGCTGCTCGCCGAGAGCGCCAACGCCAGATCACGGCTGCTGGTGCTGCTCTTGAGCGCGCTGCGGGTGGCGCATCCAACGATGACATGTCCGTCGACTTGTCGGAGAACGAGAGTAATGTTGAGATGGGGGGCATGGATGACGAGACATCGGCTCGCGAGAATAGTGGCAAGAAGCGCCGAAAGAGGAAGCAGGAAGACTACGACAAGGAGGACGACTTCATCGACGACACCGAGCTAGCCTGGGAGCAACAAGCCCTCATGGCCAAGGATGGCTTCTTTGTCTACAGTGGACCGCTCGTCACCGAGGAGAAGCCCGCGGTAGAGAGGTACGTATCTAGTAATTCGATCGAGTGACAGCCTATACTAATAATTGAACAGGGCCGATGGTACTGTTAGGCGAGGGCGTGGACGTGGACGCGGCGGCGCAGTACGAGGAGAGACAACAGGTAGAGGCCGAGGCCGTGGCGGTGGCCCTGGATCTCGCGGTGGCTCTACTGTCCGCAAACCTCGTGTTACCAAGGCTGACCGTGCTATGATGGAGCAGGAGAAGCAGGCACGCGAGAGCTTAGCTGCGACCATTGCAGCGAAGCAGCCTCTTCCTGCTTATGCCGGCCAAGCGGGTGCCACATAAATGGGTTCACGATCTTTTGCCAGCTTCCCAGCGGAAGGAATCATGAACAGTTGCAGGTCGCGCCCGCTAAAGACCGCCCCAGGCAGCATGGTGATCTTGCTTATTCTACAGATCACTTGGCCTTTCTTCTTGCATTCTAAAGAACTGGCACCATCAACTAGTCCGGTCAAACGTCCAAACCTGGCAGCAAATGAAGCAAGAGGCCAGCCAACTCTGGACTTGATGTCTGAGCCACGACGCTGCCTATGCTCCTGGTGCTTTACTACACTAATTTTCATGCTTCTGTACCGGGTTATTTGATTTGTATGATACCCATTGTGGATGTCCCAAGAGGCTCCAAGCTGTCATGAGCAGGTAATAATTTTACAGACCAAGGTGTTATGACCAAGCCAACGGGCCCAAGAGGTGGTTGTACTTGTAGGGCTGTATGGGCGGTACCATTGCACAATAGAGCCATCTTCAGTCGATTCATAGTCAAATTTTCCTATGCTTTCTCACCTACAGTGCGCCTGGATCATTGTAAATGTCTCTGCTTTCGTGCACATCCTGACCGATCGTTGATGCTCCTGGTCTTTGATTATTCTACATGAATATTGCTTCTATCACAGGGCCTCGATGCAGCCATTTTACTAGTAGCGGTGAAGGCACTTTCACTCTTGGGGCTCTCTATCGCTCTTTCCTATCAGGCCTTTCTATCGCTCTTTCCCTCTCAGCCTCTCTGACGACACTATCAACAACCTCCCTCATCTGCAACTCCACCCTGCACAACTTAGCCTCCCAAAGCCCTTGCCACAGGGGAAGGGAATTCAAGCCTCCAGCCTCGAGTGAGTGTAGTTACTACGCGTGTATCACTGGTTGAGTTGCAATACTTACACGCTACCAGAAACAGGTCAACGCGGTAAACTTAGTACACAACATGCCTAGTAGCACGAGCAAGAGCATGATTTTGCCGGTCGACGTTGCTCTCACGAAGAGGTCACGAAAATTCTACGATGGAACATATAAGTGGAATTCAGAAGGCTTCACAGACGAGCATGGGGGTAAATGCGGACCAACCCTTGAATGGAGTTGCCATATCCCGACGCTAACACATCACAGTATACCGTAAATTCGACTGCTATGACGCTGCCGCGCGCGCTCCAACACCACTCCCTCCCATGTTTCCAGGCGAGTTGGAGGAGGAAAGCACCGACGATTTGAGAGACCAGCAGCCCGTCGCCAACCCCGAGATCTTCACGTTTGCATCCAACTCTTCTAGCAAGGGTGGAATGGTCACGATACGCCGGGATGAGTTGTTCCATGGCCACAAGGATAGGGACCGACTCATCGGCAAGATGGAGGGCATACTGATTACGTGTCGGTACGTACAATCGTTGCTCACAAAATGTGCTTGTCTTGAGTGGTCCTGGAGCGCTCCACGTACATGTCGATTACCCAGCGACACCCCCAGTGCAGGGATTTATCCTTTGCTCGTTATCTATTTCAGCTCAGTACAGTACTTGGCTAACGCAATGACCACACCTAGGCATACAGGCACAGAGCTGAGCCTTGAAGAGTGCTATCGTCTCTGCGGGATTCCAGATTCAGCTATAAGGGTTGAGAAGACTGGTAACCGGGAAACCACTCCACCTCAGAGTCCTGAGAAAGGGCAGACTGCTGTAGCTAAGAGCGACATGCAGGGTCAGTCTCCCGGACGGATCGGTGAAGGTAGTACGCGACATTCAGACTTTTCAGACTGTCCGTCGGATCTTTCCGACTGGGACGTACAAGACCAGGTAAGGAGGCCCTAGATGTTTTCCCTCGATACCGCATAGAAGCTTTCGCCATGTTATTTCCCATCCCATGGCTTCATCTAGGAGCCGTCACTAAAGATAACGCAGGTTAAGAGTGGGAAGGAAGCACCCCCGCCGGCGGACACGAGGCGTAACAAGCAGGACAAGCCCGATGGCGATGCTAAGCCCACTCGCAAGACTACAAGGGGCGTTGCACAGAAGATCCGGAAAGGTGCCAAGGCGTCGTCCAGGACACAGTCAAGCAATGCAACACCTGCCCTGTTTTCATTGCAGTCGGAGGGCTTTACGGGGGCGTCATCTAACGATACTACACAAAGACGACGCTCCTCCCGGCAAGGGAATGCGCAGAGTGGCAAGTGAGATGCCACACAGACGCGATTGGATGAGAATTGACAGAGGATCATTAAGAGGGCTTCTTTTCAAATAGGAAGGCTGTTGAGCTGCGGCAGCTCTATCTGACACTGGCCATATGCTACAATTTTTTTACAGTATGATACACTCTTGCCCAAGTCTTCCATGTGTCACGACCAGCGGATCTTCATCCTCCACTCGTCCATCTTGGCCCCCCACCAAGTCTTTTGCGGCGCCCGCTCGATTTCGTCCATCAGGTTGGTGTAGTGGTCGGGCGCAGAGGTGGGCCGTAGGACGCGCGGAGACAAAGCATACTTTTTGGTGTAGCGGTCCTCCAACAGCGAGTAGAGTGCGTTTAGCTGAGCCTGCTCAAGCTGTGGGTTTGGCTGTGCTGAGGGCTTGGGCTTTGGGTGTGGTGGCGTAGAAGGGGTTGGTTTGGCGTCGACGTGGGGTACAGGAGTAAGCGGTTGCACGCCGTATGGTGCAGCGCGGTGCTCGATTGCGCGTGTGAAGGGCAGATTTGGCCGGAGAGCGTCTTTGGGCCAGAGGGAGAGGAGGCGGGTGTATTGTTTTGCTGTCTATAGTGTGCATTAGCGCGTTGGATTGCGGAGTTGTGGTGTAGGTGGAGATACCGTGGTAGCCATGGTGAAGGGTGTTGTTGACTGTAGTTAATTAAGAGTAGTAGATGCAATTGCGAACAAGACCCAAAAAGTGCATGATGCCGTCAAGCGCCGAACTGGGGTTCGGTAGGGTAGAGGTGGGTCGTACGGAAGCGTGTGTGGCTGAGCAGCAGGACGACGAGTCGAGTTGAGTGGAACTGGCCAGAAAGGGCTCGGCTCGGACTTTGGGGTGCGAAACACCTCCCAGGGCTCTAACTACGCTGCACCCTCGCCTGCCTGCCTGCCTGCTGACACAACGTCGACTGCACCACTGCTGCACGACTTGCAGGTGCTCTCATTTGCCGCCGACACCTTTACGCTCGCTGCCTCTCCTTGTTTCCTACCAACGCTTGATCGCTCGCCATCTCATCGCACAGCACTCCACCACCACCACCAATATGCCGAGTCAAGGCTATGAAAGGGTGCGATTGCCACAGCGCATCCCCCCCCCTCTCCCCACACACGCCAGTACTGACACACTCACCCAGGTATCCGCCCACGACCAGGAGGACTCGCCCGTCACGTCTCCAGCAGCGCACCAGCAGTGGCCGCCTGCGTCGCCGCCCCCTTCCTTCCGCTCCAGAGCATCATCACCCAGCCAGGCATCGCGACGCCTCTTAGCCGACGACCCGCTGACCAACGACCAAGACGGCACCCTGGCCGACACATTCGACTCGGACTCGGATGACGACGAGGACAGCGATGGGCGCGATGATCGCCAGCGCCTGATGCGGGGGAACCCGAGGACAGACGACGAGCAGACGCCGGTTGCGCCGGGTATGCCGAGGAGGGTCACAGAGCTGCCCGTATTCAACACACCAGCGCCGAGCAGTGGGCGCGTCTACGGTGGAGGAAACGGCGGTGTATGGGCAAATTTGAGTGCGAAGCCGACGAGGGGCGAGGACGCGGAAGAGAAGCCTCCAGTACGTACACGCTGAACCCACGCGTGCCATGCACAACCATGACTTTGGCGTCCATGATGCTTACCTTTGCACAGACATACGAACAAGCTGCCGCAGACGCAACTCCGCCCTATTGGGAAACCACCATCCTCGCTCCCGGCACCTTCGGCGATGAGGTCTTTGTCGAAGGTCTCCCCGTCGGCTCCCTCTTCAGCTTCATCTGGAATGCCATGATCTCCATGTCCTTCCAACTCGTTGGTTTCCTCCTCACCTACCTCCTGCACACTACACATGCCGCCAAAAATGGTTCGCGCGCCGGTCTCGGCATCACCTTGGTTCAGTTCGGCTTCGGTTTCCGCTCGGCCGTCTTGAGTCCAAGTAACGGTAGCAACGACAACCCGGGACCAGGTTTCGACGGCGGCGTACCAACTGATCCAAATGCGCATGACTTTGACCCGAATTCAGTGGCTAGCCCGACTTCGGATGGGGCGGATCTGACCCCTGCGGCGAGTGCCATTACCGGTAGCGACTGGATAGCGTATGGCTTGATGATTGTCGGATGGTTCATCTTGATCAAAAGCGTGTCAGACTTCATCCGCGCAAGGCGGCACGAACAACTAGTGCTGCAATCTCCAGACCGTGGACTCGGTGTTGCTGTTATCGCAGAAGGGGAGAGCCCCGAAAGAAGCGTATAGACTTCAATCTTCTGTTCTAGCCCTAGACTGGCATTCTTATAGCGTATTGTTTGTGCATATCGGGTTCGGCGTCGGCGTCGATGCGGTTTTGTTTCAACACGGGTCGAAGTAAACCTCCTATTCCCTTGGGTAATCTTCGGCTTGGGTAAAGAGAGGGAAGGCTTTTAGCGTCGCTATCATAGCACTTGGGATTTGATTGATTCCCTCACATATACCACGAATTTCCTTGCTGTGCATATCCTGTAGCATTGGAGCATCTGAATGGGACATTCGTCGACTTTCAACTACACCTTCTGTTTTCTCTGTTATCTGTATCAAACTCATCAAACATCCCCTCTTTGTTAATACAAGTGCATTGAAGAGTGACTAGTTGAAAAGGTCGGCATACTTCTGCTAGCTTGGGGCCTCATTCGCTCTATGATACACAGGTCTATATTTGCTTGTTTTGGAGGCAGCTCTACCCACGCCGGGATGACACCTCGGTTAGCTCTATTGATGCTATGGCCGTAAGAAACCGGCGCCAGGGCCAAACACAGGTCTATGATGATGGGACGATGAAGAGAGTTGTGCATTCGACCGGCCATTGGCCTGTTATGAAGATCTGGAAATCATGTGATCGCGCGCTGGGCCAACACCAATCCACTTGACCTTGACGCCAATAAACTTCTCGATATACTCGATATATGTCCGCGCCTGATTGGGCAAGTCGTAATAGCTCTTCGCGCCGGTGGTGGGCTTTTTCCATCCAGGAAGTGTCTCATAGTGGACCTCGACCTGTGACAAGACGTCGGGGTTGGAGGGGAATCCCTCGAGCGGCTGGCCGTTGATGGAGTACGATGTCGCAATCTTGAGCTCGTCAAAGTCGTCTAGGACATCAAGTTTAGTCAGGTTAATAGCAGTGTAGTCATTGCAGGCGTGTGAGTGCTTGACCACGACGAGATCGAGCCAGCCACAGCGTCGCTTACGCCCTGTCGTGACACCGACTTCATGGCCGACCGACTGAAGTTTCTCGCCAAGTTCGTTGAGTTGTTCAGTGGGAAAGGGACCGCTACAAGGCGTTAGATGGTTCATATGCACACACAGGAATCATGTCGCTTGAGCACTTACGATCCGACTCGGGTCGTGTAAGCTTTCACAACCCCAATTACTTCCTTCAATGACCGCCACCCCAGGCTGAGACCTGTGATGACGCCGCCGAGGCCTGTGTTAGAGGACGTGACGAAGGGATAGGTTCCGTAGTCGATATCCAGCATCAGCGCATTTGCGCCTTCGACCAGAATCTTTGTATTCTTCTCCTTCGCCGAAGCCAACAATGGGATCTGATCGACGATATAAGGAGCAAGTCTTTCGCGCAGGACCTGCAATTCAGTCAGCCATGTTAGTACATAGGCTCACGAGCGGGCACTCGAACCTTGAACTTCGCAATCTCTTCCTCTGGGTCGTATTTCAATAGATCGCCAAACCGCTTCTGATATCCCATAGCGAGCCTCCTAAGCTTCTGTTCGAAGATGTGCTCGTCGAAGAGATCGCACATGCGAAGACCGCTCCTGGTCATCTTGGTGCTGTAAGTTGGGCCGATGCCCTTCCTGGTGGTGCCTGTTCCTCTACTATCAGTGCTTGCCTCCTGGGCGGACTTTGCTGCGTTGCTCACCAATAAAGCCTCCACCCAGCTCCACCTCCTCCAGACCATCTACCAGCTGGTGGACATCAAACACGACGTGAGCCCTGTCTGAGATGAATATCCTGCCCTCGGTCTTCAAGCCATGCTTTTCCAAAGCCTCCAATTCCTTGAAGAAGCTCGGTACATGTACCACACAGCCGCTTCCGATGAGGTTTACGCAGTTGGGGTTCACGAGGCCGGATGGGAGGATGTGGAAATCGTACGTGACGCCGTTGGCGACAATCGTGTGTCCCGCATTGTTACCGCCCTGCGCGCGGCAGCAGATTTGTGACTCGTGTGCGAGGATATCGGCGAGCTTGCCCTTGCCTTCGTCGCCCCATTGGGCTCCAAGGACAACGGTGACGGACATGTTCCGTAAGAGGAGAGAGAAGACGGCGAGAGGTAGGCGGGTGCGGCGGACGAAGAGTATTTCAATGGCTCATGGACACGCGGGTAATGTGGAAGCGGGACTGGGCCGACAGCTTCTGGTGCGTTAGTTAGGGCATCCAATCAAAAGATTTGCGCCGTCAATGTTTGTCGCAAACGGCTCTGCTCGAGTTTTGCGGAGATCGGAGAGTGACTCAGACAGGCCAATGGCACTCACTGGATTGGATTGCTTGTCTATATAGGTATTTGCGGAATTGGGGCAGCCAACTCTCTCCCAAGTCGATTGAGCTGCTACCGACAGTCGTCGACTGTTCCTCGCTCGCAATGTGTGTTTGTCTTTGCTGCCCCGCCATGCAAGCCCCGCCATGCAAGCGATGCCGCAATTTTCTGGTGCACGGCCAGTGACGTAGCAAGGGCACGTGACTGAACATTCACATACCCTATCCAAATTGCCCGACCATCCGCTTGCGAGCTCGTGTGAACATATCAAAAAAGAGATGGGATTTACAAAGGGTCGTTGGGAAAACGGCCAAACGGAACGCTATTCTTCACCTACCATCTACCCCGTCTTGCTTAGCCGCTCCACACAGCAGGCCCTGGCGGTTGATAACCGTCTGGCGTGGCCAGATAGTTATTCAGGTTCACCAAGATACCCGGGTCGTGGCTATGATATGCGCCAGGAAGAGCCACCAGTGGTCCCGGCGTTCCGCTGCCGCCACCCGCAATCTTGATCTGCGAGCAGCTCAGGTAGAACTGCGCCTTGTTTGCCTGCATAGCCATGTGGAGAGCGATGTGTTCCACGCGGAGCAGGTAGTCACCGTCCGGTGTGCAGCAGGGATCGTAGCGTTGGGTGTTTTGTATTCATCTAACCAGACCATCAGTACCATAGACGAACGAGGTTTGTAGCATGGAGACGGAAGGCGTACTCTGCCCAGGCCAAGTCATCTGCTTAGCCGCATCGACCTTTGGCTTCGTTGTGCTGATTTTGAACCACACTGCGCCGGCACCGTCCCAGGACTTCACGTCGGCTCCAGTTGGCACCTTGGCAAGGTAGTACTGTGTGGGTCCGGGATGATTGACTTGCTGCGTAGAGATGTAGTGAATGGTTGCACCAGCAGGAACAATCGCAACATTCGCGGCACTCTTCGATGAGTAGCAGCGGATGTCGGCAACAGTGGGGTTCTGGAGATACGACGTCAGTGAAGGTCTCATAGGCAGCCTAGTACATGCAATCCCTACTTCGATGCCTTGTTTGGTGTTGGCATTCTTAGTCTCCCGAGTTGCGGACCAGTCCTTCTCTTCGGCTTTGCCGTTCACCACAAGACGAGGGAAGGTGTCTGCGTTTGATCAGCCGAGGATGCCTTCAGAAATGAGTACTTGACGTGCAGTGTGCTCGAACAGCGGTTGTGGCAACGAGGAGAGTCGTAAGGAACTTCATTGTAGTGATTCAACGACGATTTCAGTCACCCCATAGTCGTGCTGCTTCCATCTGACGTCTTTATAGTGTGCTCCAGATTGGGGATGATCATTCAAAAGGCCGTGGGAATCTCCAGTTAAATTGAATTTGACGTCTTGCAATCGTTGAAACAGCCGATGGGAGCAGACGAAATTACCATGACACTTTAATTGCGGCAACCCTCCAATAAGTTTTAGGCTAAGCAAGCGTCAAGTGCCGAACTGTATAACAGATCGTATCACCCCCCATATAGAAGGAAGGTATGACCCTACCTAAGTGAGTCGTAATGACGCATAAGGCTCTGAACAAATACTCGTCATTGTGCCCATGTCATGTCGAAACGGATGCGCGGTCACAAAAGTTGACAAGGTAGGTATAGTTATAGATGGAAAAGTTGATTTCCCATATCGCATAAGTCATACTACTACGCCTGCATCAAGCAAAAAGACAATCGGTGCGTTGAGGCCGGGTCCTAGTGTGGTATCCCGCACTTAGTGGATGTACCTGAACTCAGGGTGTCTGTACCCTAAACCTCTAATCTGTGCTTCACTCAATCCGTTCACACGGTGGTCACGCTTGCCTAGGTCGCGCTGCCTATTCTCCCACTTGCAATAAGCGATACCGCCGCAAGCGAGAATTAGAACGCAAATCTGACCACACAAATTGATTGTGTGGCCCGTTGGGTACTTTGGCGCATCCTTGCTGGTATATGTCCTATGCATGTATTAGAGACTCATGCGAGCAATATTGTTACATTAGGATCGCGCGACTTACCAGGTTGCAAGGATACCACCCGCGGTGCCCAAGGTTACGACATAAGCAGTAGATACCGAGCGCACAGCGGGGCCGGCAGCATTATTTGCTGACCAGGCGAGGAAGCCAGGACCCCCAGGGAAAGCACCGAGTGTGATTAGGAATATACCACCGTATCGAACGTCAGGGTTTGATGCCCATCGCATAATCGCGAAACCAGCGATGGCGGGAAGGGTGAAGATGGCGAGGTAGATACCGCGGCGATTGGTCTTATCCGAGATGAATGCTATGCCAACGGCAACGAGACAGGCGCAAACATACGGAGGCACGGAGTAGAGTTGTGCCTTCGTGGCAGTCCAACCAAGGTCGTTCAAAATAGTGGGCTGATAGTAACGATTAGCAAGCGTAAAGGTTTTTGGGGAAAAGCAGGCATACCATGAATAGTGAAATACCCTGTACAGTGATGTTGATGAAGAAGAACCCCAGGGCGCAGAAGTAGTTAGTTACGTTCATTACCGCCCTCTTGACGTGGTGCACTTCGACTTTCTCATCCTCGGCGCCTCCACCTTTTAGAACAAGTCGCTGCATGGCAATCATACGTTCTCTTTCGTTTAAGAACCAGCACTCTTGGGGACTTCGAGGCATTAAAAATGGTGCACCGAGGCCGACAAGCATGGTGAAAAGTCCCTCAAAGAAGAAGATGTTACGCCAGGTGTGAATGACCATAGAAGAGATACCCCACGGAGGAATGCGAGCGAGGCTATTCATCAAGTGAGCTTTTGAGGTTAATCAGCAGATGCATAGTAACTTACATCGTAGCTAGGAGCCCACCAAAAGCGCCTGCCATGGAGGCCGCGGAGACGTAGATACCGATGCGGAACAAAAGTTCGTTGCGCTTGTAGAAGCAAGTAATGAAAAAAGCCAGGCCGCTAGATAAGAACTATAAGACATTGTTTAAAAAGCAAGAGGTGGGAACTTACGGCATAACACCACCCTCAAACATGCCAAGCATAGCTCTTGCGGCCAATAGTCCCTGGAAGCTATGCACAAAGGCGGTGCAGAGAGACACGAAACCAAAGCCAACGACCAGAAGGGGAAGGTAATACTTCGGGCCAATCCTCTTCAGGAGGATGTTGCTAGGTACCTCAACAAACATGTAGACAATGTAGAATATCGAAGTAACCCAGTTGAAGCGGACTCCGACTAAATGAAGATCTTTTCCCATGCCCTGGATACGCGCATTCCCGACATTGACGCTACACCAAATGTCAGTAAGCAACAACTCCGTTGGAAATGTGCTCCGTACCGATCGAGAAAGCATAACAGATAAAGAAATGTCGTGAGGGGAACGATGACCCTGTCCAACTTGCGACGGACCAGTGTCTCTTCCTCTTGCGTCCAAGTAAATTCGTCTGTAGATCGATCACTACTATTCGCTTCACCATCTAGTCTTATTAGTATTCAACCATGCTGATGCTTGAAAGCAGCTTACAGATGATGTTTTCTCCCTTCTCAATCGTAGCAGGGCTGCGCTCTTGGCCTATCCCCGTCAACGACATGCTGGGGGTAAACACAAATTCGGCGTGGAGGCGTGCAAGAGTCAGGGTTGTGCGAAAACTCTTCTGTCGTTTAAGCTGTGACCCCACAGGCTTCCTTCGATGTATCTGGGGTGCAAAATCCGGGGAACAGCACCATATAAAATGAACGGGGATTGATGCGGTTGCCTCTCAACGCGACCAACTCTAAATTCTGGGGCGTACGGCGTGGGCCTGGATGGAAGAGTCGGCAGTTGCATCAAAGCCCCCCCAGACGTCTTCCTCTAGGCCATGCAGAGTCAGTTCCACTATCAGCTTGCCCCGTTCAGGTCGGCGGGTTGATTGATCAGGGAGGGCTCACGTAGCGTAAATTTTACCGAGTCCACACAGGACCTTCAGCAAACGCCGCACTATAATAACGGCGTTCTCTTTGGTTAAATAGCTTGCGGGGCCGCGCCTTGGCTGACATGGGTTAACTCGCGGAGGATGTGGTGGGTGGGGAGCAAGTGCAACTCTGCGGTCATCTCGAAACACACCCTTGCTTGCTTGGCAAGTCAGTGTAGTAGCTCATACTGCTTTCGGCAGTTAAGCTTGAACATCTCCGTCTATGCCTAGGTACTCAGCTCAACAGCAGATCTAAATGCTCTACAAGTAGCGGCACCGGGTTCAACATTTTAGAGCCCAAGTTTGGCCGGTCAATGTGGTTAGATAACGGGCGTTAGAATTAAACGAGAACTGCAATATTAGACCTGGAACGCTGGATCCCTACCTTAGTATCTACGTAGCTGACAATGAACCGCACAGCAATAAAATCATTCCCACTTCTTTAGGAAATCTTCTATGTTCTTGAAATCCTGCTGGATAATCCTAGCATGCTTTTCACTTCTTGGCGTGAAGCGAACTTTGTACGGCGCCGGCTGCATCAAAAACCCGTCCACGTACGCATCCAGATCGAGGTTGACGGACTTTCCGGTCTCTTCATCAACGGCTGGCTTGATTTCGAACGCCCAAAGCAGTTTTCCTACGATGCGCCACTGCATACGCTCGGCGAGATGAATACCAACGCAGATGCGCCGCCCGCCGCCGTACGCATAGTGATCTCTGTTCATGTAGTCCGGACTTCCAGCATAGTCCATTGCAAGTTTTGGACGGCCAAGAAATCTGTCTGGGTTGTACGTCTCCGGGTCCTCAAATGGAGAATTTAATGCGTGTGGAGGGAAGAAGATTGTTGCGTCTTTCGGGATAAGCAAGCCGTCGAACCAGTCATCGCGGCTCACTCGATGCGGAACGCCGACAGGGGAACTGGAGAATATTAGCAGCTGGATAGAGGGAATAGGATACTGCGGGCTTACACTGGCCGTAGGCGCAAGCCTTCTTTAATGATGCAGTTTATGTAGGGGAGATCCTTAAAGTCTGCCCAAGTGGGCATTCTTTCCGTTCCACAGACGCAGTCAAGCTCTAGTCTTGCCTTGTGTTGAACTAAGGGATGCTTGGCTAGGTATAGAACGTGTGTTAATACCATGCTAGATGTCGTATCGGCACCCCCCTGATGAAGTGTGCCAAAGAAATTACTCAGCTGGGTAGGGGTCAATGGTACATCAAATTTCACCTCCCCAGAAAGCACCCTGTCAGCCATGGAACTGCGTTCATCGCCGTTCTGACGTCGTTTTTCGACCCGTTTCCGAGCGTCCACCCATATAGCAGTCACGGCCCTGTAACAGTGCTTTGCGCGAGCCTTAGAGGGTGCCCAACGGTCGGGAATGTATTTAAGAATCGGGAACTGTTCGATTGGAAGGTAGCTACCAGGCTCACAGGTTGGGTTAATCTGAAAAAGCATTGTCAGCGCCTATGCGGTTTGAGAAAGGGGCGCCCAATCATACACTGTCCATAGCTTCGTATACGCACTGAGGATATTAGTAGAAATCAAGTAGTCCGGGCCAACTCAAACATACAGTGGTCCAATGGCTATCAACGGTCGGAGCGCGAAATCCAAAAATGGCAATAGCTGCTATCGAGGCCGTGACACGTTTGATATGGGCGAAGAATTGATCTGGTGTCTCTAGCAGATCGTGCACCAACTGGCAAGTCCTAGTAGACTTAGCTGCCGGTCTAGACCCTTTACAGTGATAAATACACTCACTCGGCCTCCTGAATAGGTGCAATCTTGTCATCAATAGATTTTGGTGCCAAATATTGAGATGCAACTTTCCTTTGGGCTCGCCACGAAGGGGTCGCATGCAGAAAAGCAAAGTTCTCGCCACCAAAGGCAACTTCGGAATTGTTGTCAAGTGGTCTCTCAGAGTAGATAGCACTCCTCTTGCCAATAAGGTCATGGACAGCCCGGCGGTCGCTCAGAACAATGACAGTGCCCGCACCAATTTTGAGAGAGAATATATTCCCATATTTGTCGCTCCATTCTTTGAACCTATGTAAAGTTAGGTATCATAAAAATGGCAGAAGCTGTCTAGAATCTCACTTCAGATGCAGGCCATGGGACGGAATGAGATGTGCATTGCCCAGTATTGGGATAGTAGGTGGTCCAGGTGGCAGACGTTTGTCTCGATGCCCAAAACGGAGGAGCTTGTGAACAAGAAACAGAACACAGAGAATAGCAATGAGCCCGCAGAAAGTTGTGATAAGAGGACGCATATTGGAGTGCGAGCAGAACTAAAGACTTTGCTGGTGCAATGCAATAAATGAACAGAAGATGAGTGCATTCATATATTGCCTGTGAACGAACCCCTGTTGCTTACCTCAGGGGCATGGATGGTCTCGTAACAAGAGTTAACATCCACTCAGCATACCAATATATGCTGTAGCATGCTTAGCCAACTCATGAATGCATATGGCCAGCGGATGATAGGTAATAGCAGGGAGTGATAGGATTCGGCAAGGCTAGCTATCAGGCTGAGGCTGCACGTCGTGTTCAGTGGCGAACGCAGAGCGGGGTATGCGTAACATAATAGTGCCTCGAAAATGTATTGGGTGTCTTGATAAGCTCGATATAGACTTATGCCCCGAGATCCGCTGTGCTGTATACAAGACTAGAAGTCCTTTTCTGCAGGAGATTAACGTACTATACAGTTGAGTTGGTCGCCCAACCTAACCTGAAGGGCATTGTAGACTAGTGCGACTTTTGGCTGTCGTAGTGAGGGTAACTTGTAGATTCGCGATGATGGGATTTAGATTCAATCATCGCCCTCTCGATGATCAAGCATCCACCTCGTCTGCAGCTCAAAACTTTCGCGTTCCTTCCCGACCAGTGTGTCCAAGCCAACCCTTCGTAGCTGCGAGAAGTAGGCTACTGCGTCTCGAAAATCTCCGTGCGATGTGTATCCGCTTCGATGAACGCGACCTTCGAGGTTGTCCCAAAAGTCGGCGTTTTCGTTGAATCCCGCGCCATCCTTTAGGTGCTGGGCGATTTCTTCGCTGGAAAAGTGGTACGGACAGGTTGATGTCTCGTCGATGAGATGCCAATCCCTAGGTCTGTGTCAGAGAGTTGGCTAATTCCTACGCAACACAGGCAAACCTTTGGATTCGTATGAGAACCTCCCGAAACGGCAAAATGTCTCCCTCCCACGAGTTGTGGGCAAACTCGACGAGCTGCTCTAACGTCTTGCCATTGGCATAGCGCATGACCTTGTATAGGGAAGGATTCCGCTTGGCCGTCGAGGTTTCGTAAATATATAATAGTATGGATCGGCGGACCGCCTCCCGCACGCGATCCTTCTCTTCATGGTCCAGCTCGTTGAAGTTTTCTGGCAGCTTCGTCTGGATCTCTCCGTTGTACTCGACGAGCTGGGGCGTGCGGGCGCGAAGGATCCTGGGGCCAACCCAGACGGACTGCCAATCGATGATGCTAGAAACTTGACCTTCATGAACAAACACATTGCCTCTGTGGAGGTCGCGGTGCCATAGCGTCGGCAGGAGCAGGTCTTCTTCGGTTGGGAGGAGTTTGCCTACCACGCCGAGGTATTTTTGTAACAGGTCGATATGCACCTCTGGCGACTTCTGGGCGTCAGATGTCGACAAAGGAACCGGAGGTACCTTTGCTTTCGCATATCGTTCAATCCATTGTATCTCGCGATGAGCTATCGCCTCAGCATATCCAGCTGCTGAATTCCCTTCGTCCAAGTTAGATAAGATGGCGGCGGCAGATTCACACTCACAAGGGCCGCGATCGAGAGCCATTTGTGCCCTCCCATCCTCCCAGAACTCTCTCTCGACACTTGGACCAACGACGAACCGGTGTCGTACATCCTCTTTAACAGCCGGCGAAACTTGGCCCCTAATTTCTGTAGGAGCATAGTTCGGCATGTCCTTTGCGTAAAAAACTGCTCCAAATCTGGGATGTAAGCGGTTCGATTGTGTAAAGATGCTAGCTAAAAAAACGTACCGATCTAGAGAGATGGCCAGGAATTTAGCATCGATCTCAATGAGGCTTTTCACGATCTTTGCTTGATCGTCAATATCCATATCGTTCCAAATATTAGACAGCTGTACACCCTTTGCTTCTTCCATCAGGATGTACTCAGATCCTACAGGGTTTGCGGCATCGACACTATAACCCAATACCTTAGGTACCGGCATGTCGAGAACGGAACGCGCCTGCAACATCTCAGCTCAAAATCAAACAACAAAGCGACATTTGCATACAAAATCCATTGTTGCCACCTCAGATGCAGTTGTGACAGTTGGTGGGCCAGCATTCGGGTGCGGTATCCGCGCAATAACCACGGACTGGTCGTCCATTATTAACTTAAAAACCTTATTAAAGTTGCCTTCGCCAATCTTAAGTATCTTTGTGCAGCTTTGTAACCCGACAGCATTAATGGCGGCGTTTTGAAGTTCCAGAATGTTGAATGGGCGGTACCGTTCGCGCAACTGCTCTTCTTCGTTCCAGAGCCACCGACCGGAAGTGTATCGGAAAAATTCGTGCCCATCGTTATCATATGCTGGATCCATGGCTTGTGGACGATGAGAAAATCCTCTCGACAGCTGGCCCGATAGTACCGAGAACTTGTAAAAGGGTATTCGACTAAAGCGAGCCTGGCGAAGTCTCAACAAAAGGAAAACCATACTTGCCGCCGATGAGGCGGCCTTTTGGTTCGCAAACTTCTCCAAAGTGTAAATCTAGTTGTGTTGGCAACGCATGTAAGGCGAGAGGCTGGTTAAGCGCTGGAGGTTGCAAAGGATTGTGACGCTCCAAAGTCCGGGCGCGGGCGCGCTTACATACCGGTACATACATACATCTCTCAAAGTGCAGAAAAAGCGGGCGTTTAGTCCCCGGAACACCATACACCAACTTCCCACAACCCACATTATCGTGCGAAGTATTATTTCAAACTATATTCTCTCTCCTTACTTACTTAAGTACCGCTTAAGACTTATATATTCAATTGTAAATAGTTTGAGCTAGGGTTTGTTAAGTACTTTCACAGAACCAGCGATAGCTCAACTAGGGCGTAGGCGCTTTGGAAATCCTCTTTGTTATGTTGGAGCGAAAAGGCAGATGAGCTCTGCTCTCTTCGCGCCGACTTTTCTGCACCTTGAGAGCATACTTCTTACAGCCCGTAGTCATTTAGATCCTAGGCAGCCAGCCACCCAATATCTGCCCCCACATCGATATTCATTCCACAGCTGATTGTTTCCTGCGTGCACAGCTGTGCCGCCATGGTCTGGCGCATCCTAGCGATTCTATCAGCTAATGGATGTAGTCTATGGACGGGGGCACTTCATCAAGACGAGTGATGCGCCTCGTCTGCACCCTTCGTGTGCTTTGGAAATCCTATCCTCATAGAATTAGACGTGTAAGTAGTACCAAAAGTATGCTATTCCACTAAATATTATCACTCAATCTCTCCAGGCTTCTCCTGCTTACCGTCTCGATTGTTACTCTCGCCAAACGCTTTGCAGTAGCGCACATTGTACTATTTTCCTCGCCAGCTTTCAAGGCAAGAACAAATCCATGTGGATCTACAGGACGTATCAAAGATGCGTTGACAGATCAGCACTGGTCACTTCGTCCAAGGGTAAACGAAACCGCTGCCGAATGCTCAGCCACGGCGTCTTCACTCATGTCCTCTTCAAAAAGTTATTGGCAACTTCAAGGAGCGGGGTTGTTGTAGACCTAGGCGCCGTCTATAAGCGTGCATGTGCTGAACTGCAGAGTTCTCTTCCTAGACAAGTCCTGCACTGCTCGGAAATGAGACAACCATTTCCCCGTCTTCGAGGGGCGTGGGCATCCGCTCCAGCTCCGGGTGCAACGTTGTCAAAGTCCGCAGCGATAAAGTCACCTTGGATGCTGGTTATGCCCAGATGGTCAACTTGGGTGATGTACTTATCCTGCTTAATTTCGCATCGGGGAAAAGCAAAAGTACGGCAAGCTCTGCCAGTACAGGACTAAGAGTTTGAAAGTGCTAGATTCTGAAGCCGAGTTAGTGCAGCTTCCTTTGGATGGGGCTGGAGTGCGCAAGGGTTGGTGTGCGGCCTTGTCTGAACCCTGCAGAACGAAGGCAAATGTTTTTCTTTCGGCCGATGGAAGCTAGAATCTCAGGACCTGATAACACAAAGCCTGTGGCTGAAGCTGGTGGGAAACAGCCAGCCGACATTATCGTTCACTGTGTTGCAACACCGCTTTTACGATTTGCAGAGAGCTCTCCGAGCTTTACAACCTTTTCTTCTCTCATGCTCTGTGTCAATGGCGCGCAACAGTTCCCGCCTCTCAGGATCAGGATCAAGATTCGTGGTGTTAATGTCAAAGCAGAAGGGACTGACCATGCCGCTCCAATTATGCACCCGACCGTGAGTCATGCCTTTATAGCGCGCTGTACATGCGCGCGCAAATACTGAAAGTCGACTAGATAATCCCCATCAGGGTCTGGCCGAGGGTCCTCATGACCCGTCTCGTCACGTTCAGCAATGGACCCGCTTGGACTTCGATCAGATCTAGGCCGGCATCGGTGCTGAAGTTTCAGTAGTGATCTCGAAGCCAGCTTCCATGTGAAGGTTACCATCGATCGAGCAAGATCGAGCTAGGTCGCAGAGCTCGGTTACGCGCTTTGTTTCGAGGAAACATGGATTATCGCTCATGCTACAAGGCGCCAGCCAGCAAATAGTCCGGGCTGTCAGAGCTACCTTACTTACTCTTGGCCGCGGCCACGCATCCTGGCAAATCAGGTTGGACGTGCAGCTTGGTAGGTCTGTAGATACCCGCGTGTAGCATCCACAAGGGCACGGTGGCCTGAGCTCGTGCCATCCTCTTGAGCAGCACCAAGGGGGGGCTGGCTGCTTCGCGCAGTTGACATGCTACCCTGTCTGCTGGAGTGGTCCATTGGATGGGCAAATAGATATGCATGTTCAAGATCGGAAGCAACAGAATACGGTGATGTGGCGTGTGGTAGACTGCATTGCCCTTGGGAACTGTTACGGGCGAGGAGGATAGCTCACTGTGTTGTAGCAATGACCCACACTGGCGCATGGCAGAGTGGGACGGAATTGAAGATCCTGACTGCGTTCGGCAGAGTGCTTGCGATGTCCGCTCTCGACTTTGGGGCGAAAGATTTGTGTGCAGCAGGATCCACTGCTTAGGCTAGACAGAGTGAAAGAGTAGTTACTTTCGCCGCATCATCATGGAACATGGTGAGACTGAAGGAGGGCGTCTCCGAGAGAAATGAACTTCTGAAAAAGGTAGTCAGCTTGAGTGGACAGACATTCGGCCGTAGACGGAGACATGAGGTACTACCAGTAGTCGTTCATATTCCAATCTGTGCTTCTGCAGACGCTGTTGCTAGGATGATTGGACGATAATTGCATCAGAAACTTCAAATGCGGGTCAAAGCAAGCCACCATAGTCGGTAGCTTAGGCCTGCGAGTTGGACATGTGATGATTCATGCTACTGTGTGTGACTCTCTATGGGGCAAACGACTGAACGTGGGCCTAGCTTCCCGTTCGACGGCCATGGCCACAAGACAGCGGATACCCAACCTACTCACCTTCTTTTTTGGGCCGTCGGCGCCGCCATTCATACACCCTGGAAAATTGTTTTAAGACTTATCGGCGGGCCAGGGCACAGTGTCAGATGTTAAGCCCATGATCCAGACAGACCTCGGGCAAGCGAGGTCTGCGGTGGCATGATCTGATTAGATTAGATTAGATCAGGCTCGAACGATTAATGCCTCCACTGCCAAGTCGTATTGCACCCACTGCCAAGTCAAAAAAGTCTTGTGTCTGTTAGTTTTTCACCTTGCGAACAAATCACAAGTCAATATTACGTCAAGGCTTCAGCGCTTACCGTTAGCGTTTCGACCACCCGGAACAACCGAGCTTGCGCCGAGTGGAAGGATTCATCTTATCTGATTGATTAGGAATCAGCGCAGGTAGCATGAGGGAAAAGGCTCGCTTATGCATGTAGCTCGCTTGTAGATTCAGTTGACATTGGAATAACGTAGAAACTACTCCTGATAGTGCCGTACTAGCCGTACGAAGCTGCAAGGAAAGAGTGGGGTACCAATATACCGTGCGGCGCATACTGCCTCAAGCCCAAGATAAATATGGGAGACATCCCTTGCTATTAGACACGGTCAAGCTTCTTACACTGTCAATCACTCAAGACAACTTCCGAGTCCTCAAAATGTTGAGCCAACTCCTTGCCCTCGCGGCGACTACATCTGTAGTCTCTGCTTCCTTCCTCAAAGGCTGTGCGGAGGCCAAGTGGGACTCCGACACGGACTTCTGGCAGCACAAGTTTATTCCTCAAGACAGCGATGCGTTCGTAGCAGATTACAACAAGACCTATGCTACGATTCGCAATCATGCCGGATGGACTGTGCTTCACTGCACAAACGAGCCTCCCCCATTGGAGGCCGTCAGGGGCGACAAGGATACCTTGTTCGTCAAGGTCCCCGTTACCAGCGTTGGGGCTTTGGATGGGTTCTCGCAGAACTTGATTGACGTAAGCTCTTCCAGCTCCAGTATCGATGTCACTAACGGCTTGCTAGATGCTCGGCATGTCTAAAACCATCCATCGGGTCGGCAAGTACGACACCGTCACCACTGCATGTGTTCGTGGCTCCATGTACAACAACATCACCTATGACCAGGACAACTGGGACAAAGCACCTGAAGTGAACGTCACTTTCTACGGAGATGGCCACAACAAGGACCCGAAGAAGTTCTTGATTTTCAACAGCTTTTACTCGCCCCTCGGGGCCGCCTCGTACCTCAAGGTTGTGTCCATGTTCTTTGGCCTCGAGGAGCGCGCTGAGAGCATTTATGATGCCATCGTTGCCAACTACCGTTGCGCGGCTGCCAATGTCCAAGACCGTATCATGAACAACAACTGGCCTCAGGGTGCTTTGCTGTCAGCTGTACAGAAGCAGGGTGAAAATTATGCTGTCTATCAGAACGACTTCTGGACAACCTTGGCCAACGACGCCGGTGTGCGCTTGGTCAATGTATCCTCGGATGGCAAGCCGACGGGCGAATATGAGTATCCCGGTGTATATACGATCAACGCCAAAGATGCCCCCAAGAGCAAGCTAGCTTCCGAATCTTGGGCCATCATCGATACAACGCAGTATCTCGCCACAGATGATCTAAGGTTAAACTCCAAAGAGTTCCCATCCCCACCCGATGTCACTACATATATGCAGCTGTCCGGAGTATCTAGCGATATATACGCCTGGAACCAGAAGAACATCATCCTCACTGACAAGGGAACCAACCGCAACCTACGACACAGTAAGAGATCCCATGACTTGGTCACTGAAAAGACGTCAACTAACAGTCTCTAGACTTCATGGACAAAGGCCCGGCTCGTCCGGACTTGGTACTCTATGACCTGCTCACCATGATTAACCCTTCTATGACGGCTGGCATTTATACAACCCAATTCATGCGTAACATCAAGAACCCAGGCGACACTGCGTACCAGCTCGCCACCATTGATAGCTGCACGCCTGAGGATAACACGCTTGGGGCTTTGAACATCACCAAGTGCGAGCTCCCCAAGTGGGCCCTTGGCTTCCACAAGTCTGGTGCCTCTGCCAACGCTTATGGCCGCCAGGAGACTATCAAGTCTCTTGCACTAGGCGGAGAAGCAAAGGCAAGCGGTCTTAGCAAAGGTGCCAAGGCGGGTATCTCGGTTGGCTCCATCGTCGGTGGACTTCTTATCATAGGTGCTATCCTCGCCGCTGTTCTCTTTGCTCGCAAGAGATCTGCCAACAAGGCAGCGAACGGGCCCGACATGGAAAAAGCAGCTGCAGAGAAGAGAAGTACCACTGGTTCGTTGTCTTCTTAGACGACTACCGCACTTATGTAATTCATGATTGAACGCGTTACTAGAGTTGATAGCTACTGATCATTTGCCATCTATCGGAGATGTTGATATTCCATCTATATAATGCTTACGCCTGCCTTATGTGGTTGCTGTGTCGCCATGCAATAATCACACCAACCAAAGCTACACGCTCTCGCCCTCATTGCTGCAACCTTCTTACTCCAGCTCATTGCGGAGTCACTTCAAGCAGTCTAGCAACTCGCAAACTTACTGCTGCAACCACCTTCTTATTCCAGCTCATTGCGGGATTATTTCGCGCATTCGCCACTTGCAACTATCGCATAGACTACCGCTTTATCGCTCACCGCAATGACACTCACTCTTTCAACCCGACGCGACGCTTTTAAAGATGCCTCGCACACAACAGAGCTCGCTGGTTACCCTCTCCCAGACAAAGATTGGTATCGCCACAGAAACAATAACGGCGAGTATGCCGCTGTGACTTTCACCAAAGAGAAATCTATTCAGGGCTTCAACCTCACTTGTAGCAAATACTACATCCTTCGCGATGCTCTCGTTCCCCTCCTTCACAAAGACGACATATACAAGAAGAGGTTCAATGATGCTAATGTCAAACATGATGACCTCTGGCCAATATTTGTCACAATATGCGAGCATGATCTTGTCCAACACCCCACTCATATAGGATGGAAGCACGATATGCTCTTTCGATGGTTCAAAACAACAGCAGAGTGACTCAATGAACTCGAGAGGACGGACCATGAAAACAGGACTTTCCCTTTTCTCCCAGCAGACCATTGGAAATGGGGTCGTAGCGACCTCTCTCCGAAGAAGGGATCACCCTATATGCTATACAAGCTTGTTAGCATTAGGTTTGAAGACGAAGGTGGAAAGGTGGCTATTGTTCGACTAGTAGACCTTGCCGATGACGCCGTGAGGCCGGTAATGGGCAACAGGATCGATATGAATCCATCTGATAGTTCCTTTGATCGACTCGTCAAAATCCTCCTCGACAATGAGTCCATCAACTACCAGAAGGGGTCCAAGATCAAGTTCCTCCATCTGTTAAGAGGCAACGTTTACGTCGCTATTGAAACCGACAAGCAGCTCTCATATGCAATTAAGCAACTTCGAATCCGAGGGACAAGCAAAATCGAGATGAGAGTGGTGGGCGTTGATGTAGAGGATGAATGATGCGGATAACGTATTCTTCAAAAGGATACAGATTTGGTAACAGCACCCGAATGGCTTGACGAGATAGGAAGGCTTCATATTGAGGCCTTGGGGCAGAGCTAGATTTTCTGCGACAAGGCTCTCGCCGTCAACACCTTCTTGCCATAAGATGTCCATGGCTTCATTGATAGACGGCAAGGGGGGGGGGGGGGGCGCTAAGCAGCTGTGTCTTGATGTCGGTGCGGAGGCGACTGATCGAAGAATCGGATGGCGACAACTCAGGTATAATCTTCGAGACCAACTTGAGTATCTGGCTATTTGTCTTCTTCATGCTAAATAGCTCGTCATCTGTCAGGTCAAGATGCAGGCATGACAACTGAACTGCGGTTTCTTCATCGTTGTCGAATATCTCGTCCGTCTCGTCGTCGTATTGGATGAGCCGAGGTAATGCATCAGGTGGATCGGTCGGTGGCGAGACGAGTGCTGAAACTGAAGATGTCCGAGTGACAGGGAATGGCTGATCATGTGATTGGCTCTGCTGGTCCAGATAAGGCATACGCGGCAAGAGCAACGTGTGGCGACGCTTAAGTAGAAGAAGGACAAGCTGTGCGACTCGAAAGAGCGAGTATAAGCCTTGAGAAGCAGCGACGGCGAGAGTCGAACATGCTGGGGAAGGAGGCGGTGCGAGCGAGTCGAACGAGCGAGTCCTGATGAGCCACGAAGGTGTGGTTGTTGACGATACAGCCTGTATTATTGAATGAGCGAGCATGAGTTTGGGGTAGCAGCGAAGGTGGGGTGTGCTGGAGAAGGCAGTGACGTTGCAGTGAGCAGGCAAGAGCATACCACGGAAGGCACCACACCTAGCATGATGTCGCACGAAGCATCTATGCAGGAGGCAAAGGGTAAGAGAAGCGAGTAGAAGGAGAGTGGTAAGAAAGTGGTCCAGATCTACAAAAAACATAGCTACCCGTCGCCATCTACACCGGCAGCCAACCTTGATGCTTGGAGAGATGACCCATCCCGTTGAGCCTCCTGCGAAATGGTGCGCAGGGGCGAAGGCAGTTGAAATGTCGGGCCACACCTGTTCAAAGCCCTCGTACGAGGTTCAGGAATCGAGGCTTGTACGAATGCAAGTCTGCAGTCTGTGGGCTTGGGTTGGAGCCAGGGCGAAGAGACCACGGATTATCAACTAACGCTTAGAACATTTTCATGTCTGTGTTATGATATAGTGGTCCTTATCCTCAAGCGCGTCTCTGGTCGCATGGGTGGTTCAGCATACTGCATTGACAACAAGCGCCATTACAATAGGCGTTCATCCACGCTTAACCCACTGGTACATTGATGTTTGCACCATCTCGTCTTCGTTCCGGAGCCTTGGGCGCCTTCGTCGGTCGCGCTTCTTCTCCCTCACTTGATGACGAGGTTGGGATTAGGGTCTCTTGTCCGGTCAGCTCACCGCTTAGCCTGTCTGCTTCCTGTGTGTACGTGCTGTCATCCTCACCGGAGCCCTGCACGAAGCCCTCGTTCTCCCCACTGATGCCGCTAAAGCGGTATGTCTCCAAACTCATGTCTCCAGGTGTCGAGATATGCGTCTGTCTGCCTGTTAAAGCGTTTATGCTCTCTCCAGTATCTTGTATATAGGTCTTGTCGTTCTTGTCCGACTGTTGCACGTATGTAGCCTCTGTCTTGTTAAGCTTGCTATAGCTTGTAGTAGTTGTAGCTGGGATCTCGCGGTCCGAGATTAAGACTACTTGACTTGCCTGTAGTGGCGTCCTGTATAAACTGCTCGACCCGCGCACTAGCTGCTGCTGCCTTTCTATTGTCTGGTTGCGCTGGCTTGTCCATAAGGTAGTCGAGTTGGAGCCTTCGCGGACGGGGACTTGGTTCGATGGTGGCATCCCTTCTTGTAGCGACGTCGCTAGTCTAGTGTTGAGGCTATAAGCCGTGCTCGCTTGAGGTAGTTGTGGTGGTAAGGGAATTGGCTGCATTGGTGGGGTAGGCAGCGTAACGAGTGAACTTGACGATGGAGCTACAACAGCATTATATTTCTAGGCTGTGAGGGTGGGACAGATGAGTGTACCTGGTGTAGAGGTGTAGCACTGAATTGGATTTTCGCGGCCCCCTTTTATAAGTGCGCCCTCTGTTGGGTTGTTGTCATGTGCGTACCCCATTTGAGCCCGTTTCCCGGACGCGTCTAGATGGTTGATGCTGCTTTCTCCGCGCCCGCGGTTTGGTGCTATCGTGTCCTAGGAAATGACCTTAGGTGCTGGAGCGGTATCCTTGTTAGTTGTGGTGGACGGGAACGAAGACGCGCTTGGTCTATTCAGGTGATTGTGGTATGGGTCGAGGCCTGGCTCCGCTGAGGTTCTAGTAACGCTATTCTGCGCTGCGCGCTGCCTCGTCGCATGCGGTGTTTCCGCGCTGTATAAAGGCTATGGGTCATGCTATAAAAGAGTTTGCCAGGATGTTGGACAACGAGAGTGGTATACGTAGACGGAAGATCATATATGTACTACGCATGGAGGGTAACAAAGGCCGGAAATTGACAAAAACTACCATAAGAAAACCACTGCCCCTCCAACCACGACTCGGACCGCTGCGTTCATTGACGACTTCCCAAGTACACACTATCTACTTACTATCACCTTCCCTGATAGTTATGCGGAACCCTACCACGATGTAAGCTTAATAGCAGATAAGGCTACTTAAGGAGGTAAGGTTTGAGGTTAACAACCCAATCCGCTACCCCCAAAAAATCAGGGGATCAAAATTCATTTGGAAAAAAAGGAACCTAAAAGGCAACAAAAAGACGTGGTTACGTCGCAGACAAGATTCGAACTTGCGAGGCCGAAGCCATTAGATGACATGAATGAGTAATTCAAGTCTAACCCATTAACCACTCTGGCACTGCGACCGAGGATGAAGTTTTTGAGAAATAATAGGTATATAAATCCTCACAGAAGACTACAGGTTCCAAACGGGTGAAGATAGGGTTGCAGAAAGCGAGCGGGGTACACTGAGGAAAATCCTTTAGGCCTTGCTAGTTTGCATCATCTAATTGGTTATCTAGAGGCTAGACTTTCCACTCAATGACCACGTCCCCTTCCCCTTATCGTAAGCGACTTTTCCTTCCTTCTGCAGCTTGTCAAGTATTTGAAGTACCCCCTTCTCTGCTGGTTCCCACAGATTCTCGGGATAATCTTTGTAGATAACTTTGACAATATCCATCGACGTCCACCCGCCCTCCTTGTCCTTGGCTAGGACGTCTAACACCTGCTTCTCTCGCTGCTTCCGGTGCTTGATGTACTCTAGTATTTTCGCTGGACCGTCATCGATGACTGGGCCATGTCCTGGGTATGCGCGACCCTTGAATTGCTTTGACATGCTGTCAAGACTCCTCATGTAGGCTGCAAGATCCTCAAACACAGCGGTACCTTGTCCGAGCACATTATCTCCTGTGAACATGGCATCCTCTTCTTCAAGGATGAAGGCCATGTGATCTGTCGTATGGCCTGGACAGGACAAGGCTCGCAATGTTGCGCCTTCTGTACTAAACGCCTGCCCATCACTTATGTCGAGCCAGTCGTCGTGTGGATCATTTTTGTACACTTTGGTATTCAGCGAGTGGTCTAGGAGGTCGGGTACCCCCTGGACGTGGTCATGATGCCAATGCGTCAAGATCACTTTGTCGATAGCGATCTTCTCGTTGTCCAGTACCGACTTAAGCGACGCTATCCATTCTGGCTTGCCCTCGCCGGTATCGATGAGCAATCGTTTTGCGCCCTGACCAACGATGTATGTATTCGTGCCTGTCTTGAATATTAGTAGCGACGAAGAGAGAGGATGGGCAGGTCGAACCTTGAAGCGTGAACTGGAAGTTGTCAGAGCTGCATCCCCATTGAAACGCAACTGTCGCTCACCTTGCTTGGATTACCCCCTAGGACACGAATGACACGACTACTGAGCTTTTCAATCGTCGGAAGAGGTACCAGAGGTTCCGCCATGGTCGAATATGGTCTACAATACGTGAAGGGAGCAAACAAACATGGTAACCGTGGGGGCATGCTGAGTACTATCTTGGTACTTACCCTTACCGAGGCTCGCTGTTATCGATAGCGCCATTTCAACAACTCAAACGAGGGCGGGAGCTAAATATTTTCTAGGACCACGACTTAATACAGAGTTAGGCAAAGCCAAGATGGCCCCCATTCAGGACGACAATGATATGCCGTAAGTTTTTCTTGTGAAGAATGGCGCAAATGCTAAGCAAACAAGACAGCTTTCTGCCGGAGCCTTGGATGCACTGAAAGACTTTTACGGCGAGCGGGATGCAAGACAGAAACAATTCGAAGAGTTAAGAGGACAGGCCGAAGATGAATTTGAGGGGAAACTGTCTATGGAAGCTTTTACAGAGGATTGGAATGCGAGCCAGTTCTGGTACAGTGATGAGACTGCAACAGTCCTTGCTCGCCAACTGCTAGATGGTGCGACGAACGACACGAGGATAGCAGTTGTATCTGCTCCGAGTGCTTTCATTCAGTTGAAGAACTTGCTGGTGAGTGAACGTGATCAGGTCCGATTGCATGTTTTCTAACGTTGGGATAGGCCTCGGAAGAGTACCAATGCCAACCACAAATCAAACTGCTCGAATACGACGAACGCTTCGCCGTATTCAAGGAGTTTGTGCGGTATGACTTTGAAAAGGCGATTCAGTTGCCAGTCGAGTTGAGAGGCACGTTCGACGCCATCATTTGCGATCCGCCCTTCCTGAGTCAAGATTGCCAGACGAAAGGTATGTCTAAGCCCGTTGAGGCATCTAGACACAGGGTCGCTAACTAGCCATAGCTGCCTTGACCGTCCGATGGCTGGCTAAAGCATGGAACCCGGAGGCTCTCCGTCTCATTGTGTGCACTGGCGAGCGCATGGAGACGCTAGTCACGGATAAGCTGTATGGGAAAGTTGGCACGACGACGACCAACTATGAGATCAAGCATGCAAAGGGGTTGAGCAACGAGTTCAGATGCTATGCAAACTTTGAGTGCGATGCATGGAAATGGACCGAGTCATAACGAGCTGCTGGAGCAGGCTTCTCGTATTACATGTTTCAAATGTCAACATCAAGGCTTGTATTAAAATTAGACAGCCCATATCAGGCGCATGGAATCGGTCAACTGTACACATTTGATTGTTCGGTAATCCTCTGAGAAGGATGTTCAAGTGCAGCAACAGCACTGGTGAACATTTGCATGAGCGGAACCGACCCGAGGGCGGAGCTACCCCACACCCCACATGGCGTCGGTGCAAAGGGAAGGGAAGGGAACGGGAGCTCGGTCTCGAGTGTAGCAAAGACACTACCACCTTTACTGCATCACATTGAGCACCACAATGGCCGCCGCCTGTATCTTCTGCAAGATAATCCGGGGTACATATTCCTCGTCGAGATTGTCCGTCTCCTGCTAACCAAAGGCACAGGGGAGATCCCCTCGATGAAGATCTTCGAGAGCGACAAGACGCTGGCGTTTTTGGACATTGGACCGCTGAGCAAAGGCCATTCGGTATGCCACTCCAAAACTACATCCACCGTAGCTACAACGTTACTAACGCCTTCTGCATAGCTCATCATCCCGAAATACCACGGCGCCAAACTTCACGACATCCCCGACGACCAGCTCGCCGAAGTCCTGTCCGTGACCAAGCGGATCGCCATTGCGCAGGGCGTCCAAGACTACAATATCCTACAGAACAACGGTAGAATTGCGCATCAGGAAGTCGACCATGTGCACTTCCACTTGATCCCGAAGCCGAACGAGGAGGAAGGACTGGGTATTAGATGGCCAACGAAGGCGGCGGACAAGGATCAGTTGACGAAGCTGCTGGAAGACATCAAGGCGAAGGTGTAGAGGCTGTGGCATGGGATGATGACTTTCATAGGCAAACCTGCGAGTGCAGCACAATAGGCCAAGCCAACAATGAACCATTTAGGGCTTAATGAATGCTCCCACGTCTTAGCGCCCCTTGAACGCTGGTTTCCTCTTCTCCCTAAAGGCAACCAACGCCTCATCTCTATCCTGAGTCTTGACAACAATATCATACGCAGCATTTTCCGCCTTCTCACCCAGCGCACACCCCTCCACTGCCGCTAGGGCAGCTTTGATTGCAACCGGCCCGCCATCACAAATGTCCCTCGCAAGCTTGATTGCTTCCTCCAACACCTTCTTCCGCGCAGCACCCTCCTGGCTAGCTTCCTCTGGTGTGATCTCAACCAAGCGATCGCACAAGCCAAGAAAGTAGGCCTCTGGGCCCCCGATGCGGCGGCCTGTGAGAATCAAGTCCCGTGCTCGTGATAGACCGATCAGAGCGGGGAGGCGGTATGTTCCTCCTGCGCCTGGTATTATTGCTAGGCGTGTTTCTGGAAGGGCGACGGTTGTGTTAGATGCGAAAATGCGCATGTGCGTCGTGAGGGCGAGCTCGAGGCCTCCACCAAAAGCTGGTGCGGCGAGTGCGGAGATTGTGGGTATAGGGAGACGCGATATTGATGTGAAGGTGCCTCGCAGGGAAGCTAGAAAGTTTGCCGTACTGTAGAGTCGTGTTAGTCGTACTTTTGGCGAAGGGCTGATCGACGACCTACTCTTCTTGTGTGAATGTAGCCCTCTCCTTCAAGTCCGCGCCTGCGCAGAAGCTAGAGTCTACATCGCTAGCCAGAATCAAAGCTCGCGTTGACCCGGTCTCTCCTTCATCGTGTATGCTGTTGACTTGGTGGTTCAGCTCCGCGAGCAGCTGTTTCGAGATGGCGTTGCGCGCGAAAGGTCGATTCAATGACAGTATACGTATACTACCGCAATGGGGTGCTGGTACGTTCTTGATGGTTATCGCTGGTGATGGTGCGGTTGCATATGCGCATCGCTGGACTGGACGAAGTAGCCGTGGGTTGATTCGCAGGGGGGGAGGCATAGTGTTAGTCTGCGGGCGAGAATCTTGGTACACTAATACGGAGAAGCCTCTAGCAATGGCAGAGGAATTGTTTATTTGTGCTTGGGCGAATCAACCTTGACGCAAGTTGAGGAACCGAAACTCGTTTCCAAGGTTGTCCTTCACAAATATTGTACTGGAGGCGAAGGGTGAAAGTCACTGGCGAGCTCTTGATGAACCGCTGTTAGCCGAGGCGCTGCTGGCGGGGGTGCCGGGCAGTGCTGCCTGGTCTGGCTTATGCTCGTCCCAAGAACGTTGCCATCTGGATACTTCTGACAAACTATTCTGGAAGGATAAACATCACCCTCTCCAATAGCTTGCTGTCCGACTGATGTTCCCTAACCATGGATATATCTGGCCAAACGCACTCTGAGCGTCCTGCGCTAAACACCATACCTTCCGAGCTTCGAAGACAGATAGTGTCATATATAGCTCCTGACCCTGAACATCTGCGACCAGGATGCAAAAGACACCTCAAAACCGCGAACCTAGCGCATTCATGCCTACGAGAATGGGTCACCGAGTACATGTTTAGGGATATGGCACTGACTCATGTGCTGCCGGGAATGTCTAGTCATCTAGAGGTTTTTGCTGTTAGTCGAGAGAACGCTGGACTGCTCAAATACGTGAAACACATTGTCGTTCAGGTACCGCCTGCTATCCGGTGGGAGGTAGGAGTTGACGATCCTTTCGCGGTTCACCCAGAAGAAATCACCACGCAACGCCTCTGTCAAAGGTTTCGGGTCAAGAACTATCGCCAAATGAACGATGAGCAGCAAGAGTACTGTCTAAACTACCACAGAGCGATGGTTGAACCCTTTACAAACAACAGGCGGTGGCAGCAGTTGTTTCGTACAGCCAATGCCACCTGGGCACAGCTATTCGCCCGCTTTACTCACCTCGACGAGATCTCAGTCAAATGCTGTGAGAGAGTTGATCAACCCCGGCCTACATATACACATACGTTCGTTCTTCAGTATGGTAAATTCATCCATGAAGATGAACATCCTAAATATGTGGAGGACTCTACTGTCAACATTGCGTGGGCTAGTTCGGTCATATGTAGATCAGCTCCACCGACTGTTCGATCTCTCCGGCTTTCCATGGCCAACATGGACAACTTGAGCTCAATTGCCACTGTCAACCGCCTTTTAAGCCTTAGTTATCGGCAACCCAATGTAATTCGATATCCAATTCGGATCACCAGACTTAGTTTGAGCCTACGCGGCGTTGCAGGCGTACACGGAAATCGAGACTGGAAAGGCGATACAGGGAGTGCTGGCAGTGTTCGTTTTTGGAAGGGTGTACTGAATACTTCGCATGGCCTCCAGCATCTAGAGCTACGTAATAGCTTGACGATGAACGAGGACATCAGATTCTCCAACTTGGAGAACTCAGATTCGAAAGCGTGCGTTCTGGCCTGGCTTTTGCCGGGGCTGGCCGTCAGCCAGCTCCGAACACTTCGGCTTTGCGACTTCATGCTAGAGAAAGCTGTTGTCCAGCCAACTTTCAGTGGCCACTGGCCGCGCCTAGAAGCTCTTATTCTTGATGATATCCAGTTGTTGCTCCGAGAAGAAAAAGAAGGCATCGATGCTGCATTGGTCCGTTTTGAACATCTTCGAGGGCAGTCATGGATGGAGGTCTGTCGGACACTGTCTAAGGAGAATCCTGGTCTGCGTATTAAGCTCAATCGACCCGTGTCTAACATGGATGACTTCGAGGGCCATCGTCTCCACCCAACCTATGTCGAGAAGATACAAAGCATTCCTAGTGTCCAGCTAGACACGTATGGTTATGGCTCCTTGGTCAAGTTGCCAAATGACGAGCTATATAGTGCGCAACGTTCCTGATATAGCCCTCTAGCTTCAATTGCATCTGGAGTTTGAAATGAACAGTATTGTAACTCTGTCCGAAAACCGTGAATGATGACAATTGCTTGTTAGGTATTCACTAAAAATCCAATTTGGCATCACAAGTAAGCCTAACCCAAGCCGAGGACAGAAGTTTTGCATTTAGAGGTGTTATGGACAGAGACTAGCCTGGCAGACCAGTCAAGCACAATGCTGAATCTAGCGCTCTGACCAGTTGTACGCATAACGCGTCTTTCCAGCGCAGACCATGCATGGTCAACCTCCATGATTACCCTCATGTCTCCAAATATTTTCCCGTTTTACAGATATGATGTAACAAGTTTTGTTATTTTCTTTCTACTGGGCTGCTATGTCGGGCATCCATCGACGAGATTCCACACCTCGAACTTGCGGACTTTAGAGTTGTTTCGGGCTCGTTAGAAGTCTCTGAGTGGTAAGAGTGGAGATCCAGATAATAAGATAGACGCATAAAGCCCAGACTGACTCCGGTATTCGGGCCTGCAGCGCAGGTGAAGATGATCAACATTTGAGATGAGCCGAAGAGTAGCGCTCAACGAGTGCAGAATCCAGAGGGAGGGAGAGGAACTGCAGGAAATCGTGATAACAGATAACGTACGAGAGTCGTACGCCAATAAGTCAGGTACTGAGAGTCCCGGAAGGGAGGGTACGTGGTCCGGAACAGGTGAATGCCACCAGCCATTTGCGAAGAGATGAGAGAAGGTTTGCGGTGACAAGCTGTGATATAGCCCGAAATGGAGCTGCCCATATCCAGTGGGGGTTGAGAGTAGTGTATAGTCGAACAAGAGACGATCGCGTGGACATCGAGGATCCTCTATACAGGAATAGTCCGGACGTTTGGAAATGACCCTACAGCGGCCGATGCTGTTCAGTGGGAGACAAAAAAGGAAAAGAACAAAACAGAGTAAAACTTCGCAATATGCGAGACGCGCTCCCCTGACGCAGTGGAACTAGATCCACCTAGAATGAAAATCGGCAAGACCGGCCAACCGACAAGAAAAACAAATCCGAGTCCAGGTATATAGTACATATAGCACGGTCCAGATCGTTAGACTCCGTATGCGCCTGTTTTACGATTCGTTATGCCCGAGAAAAGAAAATCAGGTATCCCGTATCGAGTCGTCGGAATCCGCTCGCATAATCGTAAATGAATAAACAACTCCGACATGTGCATCCGGATTAACAAGACCAAATGTAACTGTTTTTGGCACCTGGGCAAAGAGAGACCGTGACATAAAGATGGATTAGCCAGGCGTCAAAGCCAACGATAACTGCTCAGACAGCCAAACACCCTGTCGACCCGGATTTGACCTAGGATGTCTGAGGTGGGCCAGCGGGCTGAGGCCTCGTATTACGGTGAGGATTGTTGCCGTTCTGTTGTCGGTTCTGCTGGTTCTGTGGGGCACCACGGCGCTGCCCCTGGAACTGACCGGCGCCACCACGTGCGTCGCGGTAGTTTCCACGAGCGTTCTGATTGGCATTGTTTCGTGCAATAGCCCCATCCTGATCCTGTGGCTGACCCTGGCCTTGGGTACGCTGCGAGTTGGAGATGGGCCGAGGAATCGTCTCGGGAGACTCATACACATAGAGCTTCTTCTCAATGACTTGAGGAATGGGCTGGATCTCGGTGCCGAGCTCCTGCTCGATTCGGTAGAGGTTGAAGCGGTCTTCCCAGTTGATCAGGTTGATGGCCAGACCCAGGTGGCCAAAACGACCTGAACGACCAATGCGATGCAGGTACGTCTCTGCGTTCTTTGGGAAATCGAAGTTGATAACAACGTTGACAGCCTGGATATCGATACCACGGGTCAGCAAATCCGAGCAGACAAGGTTTCGGCAAACGCCATTGCGGAAGTCGTGAAAAACGCGGTTCCGATTGTGCTGCAGCATGCGGGCGTGCGAGTAGAAACACGAGTACCCAAGTTCCGTAATCTTCTTGGCAAGAAGCTCAACGCGGTTCGTAGAGTTGCAGAAGATGATGGACTGGTTGATTTGTAGCTTGTTGAAGAGTGTGTTCAAGCAGTGCACCTTCTGCTTCTCTTCAACAAATGCGTAGTACTGCGTAATACCGCGAAGAGTTAGTTCGTCCATCAAATTGATCTCATAAGGAGAGTTCATGTGCTTGTCCTGCTCCGCGTTAGTCAAGCCTTTGCTGTGGATGTCGCACATCTTACCTTGAAGCTCTTTACTACGATTGGGAAGGTAGCGCTGAAGAGCATGACCTGCCTGTCCTTGGGATGAAAGCCAAGAAGCTGCTCCACAACCGGGGTGAATTCGGGTGACAGAAGCTTGTCGGCCTCGTCCATGACGAACGTCTGGCAAGCTGAAAGGTCAGCCACGCCCTTGCCTGCCAGGTCGAGAATCCTGCCCGGTGTTCCAACGATGATATGGACTGGGTCGCTCAATCGTATAATGTCGTCCTTGAGTCCAGTCCCGCCTGTCGAGACCATGACGTTGATGCCGAGATGCTTTCCTAGCATCTTACAGACTTGGGATGTTTGTAGAGCGAGCTCTCGCGTGGGAACCAGAATGAGGGCTTGCGTCTTGGGGCTCTTGGGGTTGACGCGCTCAAGGGTAGGAATTACAAAAGCAGCCGTCTTTCCGGTGCCATTCTTCGCTCGCGCAAGGATATCTCGACCCGTCAGGGCTACTGGAATCGTCTCTTCCTGGATAGGCGACGGCTTCTCAAAGCCTGCCTCGAAGATGCCCATCATCAGCTCGCGCTTGATGAAAAAGTCTTCGAACTCAAGGCCTTTTGTTGCCGTAACGTCCTACGCCAAGCGAGTTAGCCCACACCAGGTTCAAAGAAAGTGGAATTGCGCTTCTTGCCTCGGTTTGTGGCCGCGCATCTTTCGCAGGCGCTTTCAGCCCGTCTTTCCAATTGGCTTCTGTTGATGGCGAGGCATCGCTGTCATTTGTCAGTACCGGTCCGCGGGCTGTTAGGAGCTATGAACTCACCTCAGCTTGGCTGCGGCTAGCTGGTTGGTGATTTCTGATGTCATTGTGTTTTGGTCCACCAGAGGTGGAGAGGGAGTCGAAACGTCAAAGTCTAGGCGTATAGAGATGAAGCGCAGCTTAGGTGGGCAGCGATTGCGGCGGCGCTCGTGTGCTTGCTAGGTCGAGGAAGGTGGGGGGCTCGACGAGAGAGATTATTGAAGCGGTAGTGGGTTAGGGGAGTGAGGGTGAAAGTAAGAGTGAGAGTGAGAGTGCGAGTGCCTCTGGGTATTACTGTCTTGCGGGAGGAGCTCGATCAAGCTGGGGGAAAGAGCCGACAAATTGTTCGTTGTGGTTTCGCCGTGGCAAGCGGACTGTAAGTGTGGGGGTGCGCGCAAGGACGACTGCGCCAGCAAGCGTTAGTAGGAGCGTGGGGTCGAGGTCGAGGTCGTGGTCGTGGCCGTGGTAGTGGTAGTGGAATTTTGTGCAGACGGGCGTGCGTGCATGTGTGTGATGATGTCGTGTTGTCGAGGTCGAGCGAGCGGCCTTTGTGCACCAAGCCTGAAGCATCTTCTGGGGGCAGGCGCATTGATTGATAGTCCGTGCGCCTGACACTTCTGACGTCGGCTCCTTCCTTCCTTCTTTTTTCTACACGTTGCTAGTCCGACCCGTCAATCAATCTAGTTGCTAGACATATCATTCACTGGTGGGATTCATCCATCTCTCCAGAAAAGGGGTCCGTGGCGCGGCTTACGAGTCGTCCTCTGCGTGTCGCGTCGTCTTGCACTAAACCGCAGGTTACCTACTTGGGCACTTGTAGTATGTGCTAGCAAAACTTATCCCATCTCTCGTAATGACGGCCCATTGACGCCTCACCCAGAATCAGTCTTGCTATCAATCATCTTATAGTAGCATTGCCAATTGCTCCTGGCATCATGTCTGCCCTCCTCCGCCTCTCAAGAATCATCCGAACGCCCAAAGCCCTCAACCCCACCAGATGCGTCCACAGTACCATGTCCTCCCACTTCTTCACCCCTTACCGCTCCCCTAGCCATTCCGGATGGAGCCGCTCGCGCCTCTACAGCGGCTACACGCCCGGCGGCTCCTCCCAAGTCTCTGCCAACATGCGAGTCCTCTACTCGCTAATGGGCACCAACATCGCCGTCTTTGGCTACGCAATGTACCTCAAAGCCCAAGCGAGGCAAGGCTTCCAGCAACCTTTCATCAGCTTCCTGCAGAACATGACTATGAACCTGACCGACTTTCGGAACGGACGGTGGTGGACACTCCTCACAGCCAACTTCACCCACATCGACATCGGCCACATTTTCAGCAACATGTTCACAGTCTATTTTCTCGGAGGCTTTCTGGCGACTGCGCCACAGGTCACACCAGGACGCTATCTCGTCATCGCCCTAGGATCTGCCGTCTCGGGCGCAGCAGGCTATATGTTCCAACAACATATGAAGAGCCAAGGCAACCCAGGCATGCGTGACTACAGCCGTGGCTTAGGCTTCTCTGGCGCCGTCATGGGCCTCTGTTCTGTTGCTGCATGTCTGGCTCCCACAACCAAATTTCACCTCTATGGCATCGTGCCTGTACCTCTCTGGGGACTGGTTGCCGGCTATGCGGCTTATGATGGTTACTATCTGAACAGTGCTGATACGAGAGTCGGACATGCGGGTCACCTGGGTGGTTTGGCGTTTGGTTTGCTCTACTACTTTGCGAGGCTGAGGGGTGTGAGGTTCTGAGGGTTGATCGCTTAGAAACCATGTCAGCGATTAGCGACTATAGAAGAAGAAAAAGTCAATTTATATCTGATGGAACAAAAGCGAGGTAATGGTACATGCCGGTACCCCACGAGTATATGTTATAAAGAGTGTGTACACTAATACAACATAGTCTAATAGTTGAGACGTGCCCTTTAGCATCGTACGCCTCAGCTTCCCAGAAACTATGACAGGTAGACCCTATGAGCAGCGTGTGTGTAAGTGGATGCAACCACAATGGTCTACAATAATCTCGAACACGGTACCACACACCCGAAGCTATTTGATCCCTTACATGCTATGATGCAACCATGAAACTCCTGTATTGGACCTCAGACACCATATCATACCCTTTTCCAACCCCGCATCTCTTCCGAGCAGCTCTAAAGTCAACCAACTAGCGAGGGTTGGCATCCGCATCAATAATAAACGACTGTCATTCCTGTATATTGTCAGTTTGGCAGGTTTCATCTGTCGCTTGGCTCTGGGTACCCACAAAGCTCCTCGTCTCCGCTCACGCTCTTCGCCATGGGATTGACGACCACTACTTCGTCACCCTTTCCGAGCTCTGTTTCCTCATTTCTTTCGTTTCCTTCCTTCATCTCCGTTTCTTGTACCGAAGATAGTGAAGCGCTTGTGTTATTTGGTATTCCTTTCGGGTTCGGCGTTCCCTGCGGTGTATAAGATTGTCGAGGCGATCCTTCCTCATCCTCAGTGCGACGGGTGGACGATTTGGACGTCACACTCTGATCTGACCTGCGTGGCCGTCCTCGTTTCTTGGGCGTAGGGGTAGACACTGCCGGTGCAGGAGCGGCAGCCACACTTTGATTGTCCACCGCCTTCTCGGCGGCGCTCTCCGAATCGTCTTGGATAATCTCTTCATAAACTGCGATCTTCCTCGGTTTTGCTTTGACCTTCTTTGAACCTTCCGGACTCGCACGCGGAGGCAATCCAGTCTGGCTTACACCACCCTCCTTCTCAACCGCGTCTAAGTCCGATTCATCACGGATGATATCTTCAGACAGCACACTCTTTCGCGGCCTCCCTCTTTTCTTCGGCCCTACCGGTTGGCCCTTTGCTTTTGCTTTTGCAGCCTTTGCGGCCTTCTTTCTCGCAAGCGTAAACTCCTCGTCTTCGTCCGATCCCTCCTTTTTCCAGGCCCGTCCTTTGCCCTTGAAGTGCTTGGGTCTCCGATCTGACCGGTCTAACTCAGGCTCGTCTTGCAAGAGAGCGATCACTTCTTCATCTAGCTGTCCAGATACGTCTACATCATAAGCTTTGCCCAAAGAACCGACCGAGACTCTTCTGCTTCGAGCATGCGGTGAAGAGCTGGTGGCGTCGACCGCTTCAGGTTCAACCTCATCGAACAACTGCGCATCGTGGAAGTAAGGACGCTTTTGAGCAGGCCTTCGTGTTCGCAGTCCTCTCCTAGCAGATGCAGCAGATGCGTCCGCTAGTTCGGACGATGCATTAGTGGCATCTGGGTTTGATTCGGTGTCTGATTCGGTATCGGCGATATTGCCTGTACTGGCACCGATGTTGGGTTCTACGACCGTCGAAACAGTGGGTGTTGCAGCTAGAGCTGGGTCTTTCGCATCGTCCGTATCCTCATCGATCACAGTCTCCTCAGACTTAAAGCTGGTTAGCATGCTATGATCAAACCTTTGGAGGTTACACGTACTAGAACTTTCTTCTTGGGTGCTCTTCTTAATTTGAGAATTGTCTTCTTGGGAGACGCTGGGTTGTGCGCTGGAATTGAAGCTTTGGGAGCTATTGATAGATTAGCATAGCTTTAGATAGAATCTAATAATGAAACAACGGGCTAATGGCAGGCGCAGCAGGACGTTTGCCGACACCTAAGACCGTCGTGAGTTCGTAAGGATACACCAGGATGTGGGGCAAGCAAGCTTGAACCTAGGTTGAGCGCATGACGTACCAGAGCGAACAGGTAGAGGAGATGCAATTGCAGGAGTCACGACCCCGTCTATCGCCATAGGATCATCAATTTCATCTTCTGGCGATATTATTTCATCAGACTGGGCGTGAGTTAGAGCGGGTGACATGAGAGGGTTCAGCAACACTTACAAGAATCTTCCTTTTACTAGCTTTGCGTGCAGAAGACTTGCGGGACCCATTGATGGTGATGATGGGTGCTGTTGGCGTTGCAGTCTTAGTAGTGGGAATGAATGTATCGGGCTCCTCTAGCTCACTCTCGCCCTCTGATGCCACAATTTCCTCGGACTAAGCTGTCAGCAACAGAAATTTGACACCTAGGCTGGTGACTTACCAAGTACTTCTTTCGCGCTTTTCGCTTCTTCTTCCCAGACGCACTTAAATCTTCAGAGTTGGTCACTGCTGATGATGTGGCCGGAGCACCGGCACGCGACAGTCTATTCCCATTTGTCGTCACTTTCTTCTTTGGCTCGCGCACCGACTGACCACGGACGACGCGAGCACGAGGTTTCGCCTCAGTCGAGCCAGCTTCCTCGTCCTGTCTTCATCAGATATTGTACACTTCAAGTAGTTTACCAATGACGACTTACACTAGAATCAGACTGTTCGAAAAGGCGCAAGGTTGCGTAGTATAATGTCAGACCGTCGACGTGTCCAGAAGTCTTCCAATCGTCGTATGAGAGCTGTTCTTTGGGGTTCTCATGGCGCCATGTTTGATACTCGGAGTCTCCATACTTGTCAAGCCAATTTTGGACAGAGCTAGACTGAGACTGACGAGTATCGCGACGTCCTGGCGCCGCGTGACCGTTGGGCGCCATTGATATGGGAAACAATCGACGAAATGGTCGAAGAGAAGCAGCGTGACATGTGCACAGGCAGATGAGAAGTGTTAACGCGAGGTGATGATGCTGACCCAGAGTTGCGCAATAAGAAAATCGACCAAATGAAAGTCCTGGTGGAAGTCGTGCAGCGAGATGCGCACGCCGTGTTGATGGTGTTGGAAAGTCGGTGGAGTGAAGTGACAGAAAGAAGGTCCAAGTCCATCCGAGAAGATCCACGCCTCGTGGCACGTTAGCCTAGGCCCTAGAACTCTGCAATATTTGTTGAAGAAGAACAACACAACTTACCGATACGTGAAAATGTTTTTGGGTTGGAATTACCAAGCCTGAAATGCGGACGTTATTATCGGTCAAAGTGGAAGGGAGGGTGTTCGGCGCCGCGAAGGAAAAGACAATGCGCTAACAAACATCCAATTTCAGCTCGGCGGTCAATCACGTCTAGGTATATCAGGTACATTCGCAGTTTCATGTATCGCAGAGCACTCGTCATTTCGACCAATACAAGAAATCTAACTCTCCAAAAAGCTTTTCGTCTTCTGTTCCTGTCACTGCAGTACGCCTCCATAATCCTCTTCAAGTGCTCATTCGCTCCACGCTTTCTGGTTGCTATTCAAATCATCCTGCGCCACAAATGGACCTCTCTTCGAACCAGCACAGTACAACGTGTTTCCCGAAGCCAGGCAACAAACAAGTCTTCCACACTTCACAGCACCCTGTGCTACTTACCAGGCTCATATCTTATGTCTCAGAACTATCAAGATGTAATCCTAACATGGCGCCAGAGAAATAGCCAGGCTGTTGATATCCATCGCATGTATTGCATGACAATTAATAGAGTTCAACGGCAATCGACGAGTTCACGTTGATTCACCTCTCTTGATCCCACAAGCAAGAACAGTAGAGTATTGAGACAAACAGCAGCCTGCCGCACTTCGAAAATTCGCATTAGAAAAATATTGATTACTCAAAATATGCCGCAATCGAAGCCGCAGCCTTGGTACTCAGATATGTACAAAGGAAGAACGAAGCCACTCCTCGAATCACTGTCGCAGCTTGCGACTAACGCGTAGAAGAAACGCATACCAACAGAGAAGGGTATAAAAACCACTGGCCAACCACCCACCTGTAACGAAGAGAAATATGCGACCACAAGTGCCGACGAGCAAAGAAACGCCGAACCTGCCATCCTGGCCACTTAGAATACAATAGCGACCCCGAAACCTAGAGTTGGGTTCAGGTTCTTAAGGACTGAAATATGCTGCCAAAAAAAATTCATCAGCCACTGATCAAAGGTTGCTCAGTTCACCTTAGCCCAAATGCAGAAACGGAGAGATATACGAAATACGTCCACCCGAGCGTGCTCGAAACGATCATTTTAGTGCTATTAGCTGAGACTGGAGATGTCGAAATCTGCTCCAATAAATCCTAAAATGATTCAGGTGGGCTAGGCATACCATGAGCGCTTCCATCTTCCTTCTCTGGCTCTTGTACACTGTGATTTTCCTTCTGTGCTGGTTCTAGCTTCAATTTGCCAATGGGTTTGCCGAGCCCTTTCACGAAACCACCTTGGTCATTACCAATGTCATCCTTATCTTCATCTAGTTTGCGCTTCTTGCGTGCCATTTGTTGTTGTTCTCTCAACGGGCGCTTGCGAGGACTCGAAATCTTGCCTGTAGGAGGCAGCCGTGGCTTAGGGAAGCGCTGCTTGGGAGGTAGCTCATCATCTTCAACGAGCGGTTGGCTGTTATTGTCGTGAAGTTTGTTAAGAAGCCATCCTTGCACAAGGCCGATCTGGCTTTCGACTGCCTGCACGGTAACCGGTTCGAACTTCGGTGGCTCGGGTACGATGACACCCGTGGTGGTGACGTTGCTGGTGACGTTAGCAACAGTTTGGAAAACTCACCAAATATTACGTACTTGTTATCTTGCCTGGCATATGCATTGTGCACCCTGTTTTGCAGCAAGTGTAATGGAACACTGAAGGTCAGACCAAACTCTCTATCCAGACCGAGTTCCTTGAACCCAAAGAAGTCTTCGCCGATATCTTCGGCGAAATCACCACCCACAAACTGTTCGCTGCCATCATTAAAGGCACCGGCCCCGTCGGCGCCAGCATTGTCCATGGCTGGACGAAGAAGTTCAGCATAGTAAGACCGCATTCGATCGTGCATGCCAGCGAGCTTTGTTCCCAGTCGGTCGACGTCATCTTTGACGTACGTCTCCAAGGATTCAAGCTCTACACCATTTGCGTGCAAAGCGTGCAGTACGGCTTCCTCTTGGGTGAATCGTGGGGTCCAGCTTGTCGTTTGACCGCTTGGAAGCGTTACCGGAATGTCTGCCTTCATTTTCGGAGTTTCACGATAGATCCCGAGACTCGCAACGAGATTCTGGAAAAACTTTGCAGCAATGTCGGTGACAGCGTCAAGAGCGGAGGGCTGGAACTCTTCGAACCCAGCATGATAGAAGACTTTGCCGACACTCCGCTGTAACGCAGCGCGGCAAACATAAGGAGCCATTACCGGGCCATCTTCAGAGACGACCATTGGCTTAACGTCTGCCTCCATGAATGGCTGTGGTTCGTATCTTTGAAACTGATTCTGGTACAACTGGGGAGGGTTAGCTGAACGAGCACATGATTTACACGTATCTAGAGTAGTCGCTTACCTGTGACTGGATTTGCATTTGCTTGACAATGCCAATCTTTGCGCATATCTTCCTCGTATCTTGCAATGACTGCATGTTGGAATCCATTTTCTTCGCCAGGGTACCATCCGGGGACGTAAATTGGCCTGGTGGAACGATGCGCATGTACTCTTCTGCCTGCTGAATAACATGACCTTCCGCATCCTCGACCCACTGTAGACGCTCGGTAAGATCAGGAATGGCGCAAACAGCGTCATAATAGTCTGGGATTTGGCGTTCCTCTTCGCCCTCGATGCCTTCGGCGAGGGATTCGCCAGCTGTTGCTTGGACACCATCTTTGCCGTCCAGCGCGGACTTGGCTCCGTCTGCAGACTCTTCTTCTAGGGCTTGTTTGCGGTGACGGAGCCATCTTCTCATTCCGGCTTTTGTCCGTAGAACGGCAGGTTCATCCGCTTGAAGGCGGTCGTCGCGAAAAAGCCGGTGTCGTTCAGCTGCAATGGTCGCTCGATCCTTTTTGGTGACTTGCTTCCAGGTCTTGTATTCTAGGTCATCAAGATCGGCATCCTCTTCCATGGCGTACCCAGTGACCGAGACACCGGTCCCATCTGCCTCCGAATTGTCTGCTTGACTGCCGTATGCGCCACTTCTCGAAATACCGTTGGGGCCTAATGGTGTCAGGGTGCCGGGTGGAGGTGTAGAGAAACCATTCACGCTGCCTTCCATCTCTGAATCCGCGCGTAGGAACTCGTTCTTTAGGTTGGAAACGGCGTTGATAGAGGGAACGGATGGTTTAGATTCAGGGCCAGGTGTGCCTTCCAGACCTGCTGGAGGTGCTTTTCTTGCGGTACTCGAGCCTTTGCCACCTTTACTCGGTGCTTTCCGGCCTCGTGAGGCCATTATGGGTTCTTCTGTGCAATCAATTAGTATCTAATAAGCATTGCAGATCAAGTATAAGCATACCATCTTCGCTGTCGTCGGCGCCATCTGCATCAGCATCGCCGTTTCGCATTCGTCGCTCCTCGGCCTCGACTTCTGCACGATCGCGGACGGTAATCTCTGGGATAAGAGGTACGAGTTTTTCAGTCTCCTTCTTCATGTGTAGAGCTTTCTTCCGAAGAAAGTGGCTGGGATCGGCGTTGTATTTCAAGCAATTCGACCAAATCAGCATAAGATCGTCGACGAACTCCTTCTTCGACTTGTATTGCAGCTGCTTGAGCTTCTTCATCATGGTACCGATATCCATAGGGTGTTTGATGACGTTATAGTAATCGGGAGCTTCTCGTTTGTTGACGCGTTGGAGAAAGGGGTGCGCGTGTTCGCCAGCCTTGAGTTCCATGAGGACCTTCTCCATGCTCTCATATAACTCCTCCTGGCCGACGCGGTCTTCGTTTGCCCATTTGCTCCTGTTCTTGCGGACTTCACTAATCAAACTTCGAAGCTGAGCGTCGGTCGCATGGACTCTATCTCTTTGCGCGTCGATGCGCGAGATGAGGTGCTTCAGGGTAAGACTGGATGCGCCGAGGTTGGTGGTGCTCAAGGTTCCCTGCTGGGGGGCGGCGGCGGCGCCGTTGATGGGGGCATTCGCAGGCTGCCCAGAAGTCTCGATCTCGACTTGCCGGTCGAGTTCGTCAAGCTTCTGCTGCTCCATCATGGCATCGCGATCGCTTTCCAGAGTGTAGAACAGGGTGTGGAAGCTCCGCTTCGCAGCATCCTCCGACGCCTTCTTGTCCCGCTGCAGCTTCTTGCGCACATCGTCTGAAGTCTTGGCCTGCTCTGAAGACGGTGTGCTTGTCCGTTCTAGGCCGAATTTGTTCGATATAGGTGGTATGCGGATGAGGCTTGGCGTGTCGGGGGCGGTGGCAGCAATGCCGTTGGGGGCGCTTTTCGAGAGCAGTGGTGAGGTGCGGGTGTCGTCTTCGTCCTCTTCTTCTTCTTCGTCGTCGTCGTCGTCGTCGCCATAGTCGTCTTCGTCAATGGCGCGGGTGGGCTTCTTGGGTGTGAGGGCCGGGCGCGCGTCATGCGCCGTCGGAGCATCATCGGACGACTTGGGCCCATTGTCCACGGCATCAAGAGCGCCATCTAGATATGTCCCCCCAAGAACCGCGTTCAGGCGCGCTTCGGTGCGCAGGTAGTGTTCCTGCCAGCGCGCTGCCCTGGGGTCCTCTTCCGCGGTGGTGTCGGTCCCTTCCCCCAGAGTGTTCGCGTTGGAGCCGTTGGACATGGCCTCATCGCTCAGCGTCGCATTCGGGGTGCGCAGATGGATCGCATTGGGCGGTTGATGCAGGAAGCGGGCATGGCTCGGTCGTTCACGCGAGGATGGCCGATGTGTGGATGCAGCGAGGGACATGGCCGTCGTCGTCGCTTGTGGGGGGTCTTGGCAATGCGGCCTCACAGGGAAGGACCGCCTTGAGGGCGACTTCCAACCTCGTGCAGGTGTCGCGATGTGGTAAAACCAAGCATGGAAGTAGCCCTGCGGCGAACGAGTGGATATCTGATGACTTCGAGATGGATTACGTCGTGTGGGCGCGCCCCTTGATGGCCGAATGTGCAGCCAGCTTGCGATGAGGAGAGTACGTTGGACTAAGGATCACATTGATGGCATGGCCATTGCGGTTTAGCGCGCCCAGCGCTTGCGGGCGACCCCATGAATCCCGCCCGCTTCCCCAAAAGGGCATATCAAACTACCTTCACTGCAGCATGCTATGCGCTTCTCCAGTTGTCTGTCTCCAAAGCATGCGTCTCTTGGACACTGCTGGATTGCGCACACCTACGCCTGGCCGCCTTTATGTCAAATACACGACAGTCCGAGGAAAGCATGCAGAAAGCCTTGGAGGCCTGAAGGTACCTAGGTCTACAACGTTATAAGTAGGCTCGGGCTTGCAGGCTCTGTTTCTCCCCATTTTCAGACGAACTACTGAAAAGGCCAGGGAAGCCTTCTCTCCACGTCCTGCTTGATATCCATCTAGTTGCCCCAAGTGTCTGCGACCGTGACGGGATAATCCAGGTCGAGTATGGAGCACTACCTACTTCCCACGTCCTCTCCCAAATTCAATCATCACACGCTGTCTTGAACTCTCCATCCGATACAAGTCTCGGCGTCGAAGCGTTGGTGTACTGTGAAAAACACGTGATGTCTGCACTGTGGTTACGCCCCGCCCAAAGCAGTTAGGCAAGCGCCACAGCCTCACCTGGTGCTCCCCGGGGCCGCCAGATCAATGCATGCCAACTCGCCAAAGGCACGTTCCAGCCTCCAAGGTTCTCTACCACCCCACAGCACGCTGCAGCCCGCAAAGCAGCTTGACTATGTACTATACCCACTTATAGCCTTGCTTACAGCTATACCATACCATGCGAATACGGAAGCCCTTTGCTGGTACGTGGCTTCTCCCTCTCACATCCCAAAGCCGAGCAAGCTTCAATAACTACCCGATGTTCGCGGCATATGCGAGAGCCTTGGACACATTCGAATAGCTACAGCAATACATCTATATCTGTTTCCTCTGCAGCCCATATCCTAACACAACACAGTCGCCTTCACAGGCCTAATCCTCATCTCCGCCGCCGCCGGCTTCTCACCCCCAGACTATACCATCCCCACATACAAGCAATCTGACAAAGCCCTGCACTTCGTTGCTTTTCTCCTCCTCACATTCACGTTTTACTGGATCCTTGAGACTGCGAGGCGCAAAGTCCTGCAGCTCACATTTACCGTATGCACGATTGGACTGGGGTGCGCGAGTGAGATTGTACAGGGTCTGCTGCCTGTAAGTTACATCTTTCATATTGTAATCATGAGCCATCAGACGTGGGAAGCTGTGGCTAATATGGAAAGCAGATACACCGCGACTTCGACTACTACGACATTGTAGCCAACGTCTCGGGCTCACTCCTTGCGCTCGCAGTGTGTAACTGGTATCACAAGCGCATGTTAGAGCGCAAGCGGGCAGCACGGGGCTATACTGTGGTTGCGGGAGAAGAGGACAGGGACATTGAGCTAGGAGAGCATCTCGGTGGACAGGAATCAGGTGTCGTCAGACCCACTGTGGACCAAGAACTTGACCGATGGGATGAGAATGCGGAGGACTGGGACACCACGGAACCAGAACCAGCTAATGGGAAAGCTCTCGACGAAGGTGGTGATCTAGGCGATAGCAAGAAGCGGGATGAGTGAGGACAATGTCATGTACGATACGTATGATTATGACAGAAGTGGCTGCTTGAAGCAACTTGGCCATCGGTTTTAGGGATTCTAGTTTGCATAATCAAACATCACTTCATATAGGCACAAGCTCTGGGTGTAGATCGACTTGGATATTCGTTCACAAGTTCATAGCTAGCCCTTAATGCTCATCGCAGCCCATTTCGAGCAAGCATGCAACCATGATTCGTCACCCTAGCTTTGCCAAAGTTCCATGGATTCATGCATTTTCCAGTATGAAAGGACCCTAGACCCACACCATGCGCCGTGATCATTCACTCCGCAAACCCAACATTCTCCGCTTAAGCCGTTGTAGTCTTAGCAGCCGCCTGGTTGGGGTTGATCTTCTTTCCGTCCTTGTTGTACCTAACACGTGGGGGCGGGGCACGGTTGCGGCGACCCTCTCGCGAGCGGACACTGCATGCTGTTAGAGACCCAGACTTCTCTTTTCCTAGGACAACCTAGACATACCGGACGATTTTTCCGTGGATGGCGCAGGAAACGCAGTACTGGAGCTTCAGGTACATCTTGGGGACAGTGTACTCGGGGAAGACGGAGGCATCGGAGATATCACCTGCCCAACATGTCAGTCCTCAATTCTGCGTAGCTTCAATGGCCGATTTCGAATGTCGAGCGTGTTGGAGACCATGGCGAGACGTACGGATGGCGGCAGATTCGACCATGTTGCGGATGGTGAATCTCTTGATTGCCTTGTCCTTGGGAGTGCATCGCGAGCAGTTGCTGCAGCGGATGGGCTTGACGTGGCCGCGGCCATTCTTGTTACGGCCGCTGTCGTGCTGTTAGCCTCGCCTCGCTTCCCATCTTCGATATTCTGGTGTTGCATACTTGGACGCTCGCTTCTTGACCATGATGGGCTGATTCTGAAGAGTTCGTAAGCTACTGTTATCTTTCGCAAAGAGGTCGGAGTGCGCACCGAAGATGTGAAAACCTACAAGTCAGCAATTGGGGTTGTCGTGGGAGGGAGATCGTTGCTGTGACGCCGAGCTTGGTGGAGGTCTAATTTTGCCGCAGGTGTGGGCGTAGCGACGCACTAGTGCATATCTAATCTGATCCCTTGGCGATCGGAGAGCCCAACATTGAACTTGACGTTGAATTAAGAAGCACTGCAACAGCATGTAGTTAACATACTGGATTGGTAAAAAAATGAGATTAATAGATTAGCTAGATGCTGTTATGAGTATACTTCCACCGCTGCGTTGTGATGACTCATCACCAACGTCAATCTCGCTCTTTGGTGACGGGGTTGGCATTAGAAAAACGTGCTCTAAAAGCTGCACCATATTTTCGTATAGATGAAGAAAGCGTAGTTACCTTGTACGCAATGCATGTTCCCACGTTCTAAGGGAAAGTACCCAGTGGATGCGCAGCTCAATCATGGCGATATGTCGCTAAACGTAAAACAGAGCTAATATATTCTCGGCCTTGTTACTATTATTGTTCAAAATCAAACCAATTGCTTCTCCCGCTTTGCGCATTCGAACCGTTCAGATTGAGTTTGGTCAATCAGTCGTCAGGAGGCAAGATCCCCTAGAACCCTTCCGCGACCCCCGGCCTTCGCCGTTCAATAGCCAGTACCATGTCCACATATTTTCTTCCAAGCCTGTCCTGCTTCCTTGAACTAAGCAGCGCTGCGCTCTTGAGTACATTTTTGATCTGTCTACCATTCAGCTCGACTTTTGCAAGATCATCCAAGTCTTGACTCTTCCACTCCTGGCGCACACCTAGGCCGCCCAGAAAATTCTCCCAAATATGGCGCCTAGACTCCGTGGTGAGGTCTGGATATGCCATGCTGATGTGAATGCGTGACTGGAATGCAGCATCGATATTGTCAACGCGATTCGTGGTCAAGAAGAGCAAGCCCTCGTAGTATTCGAGCACGCGCAGAAAGATGGAGACGAGCTTGTTGCGCTCGAGGTCGTGCGTTGAGCGTGCCTCGAGAAAAACGTCACATTCGTCTAGGAGCAGGACGGCATTCCATTTTGCGATCATTTCGAGGATATTAATTAGCTTGGACTCGACATCGGGATTGATTCCAAGGTCGCCAGCTGACATCATAAATAGCGGTGCGCGCATATGCTCAGCTACGGATTCAGCTGTAAGTGTCTACTGGAGTCAGCGCAGGCCCTAAATACTATTTGAACAATGGGGCTTACCTTGCCAACTCCGGGTGGTCCACTCAAGAGCGTGATGTGACCCTTCGCCTTGCCGCTGATAACGTCGTCGAAGGTGTTGTGGTTCATAGCTTGCGATTCCGCGAAGGAGAGGATCAATTCTTTCTGATCTTCTGGAAGGGCCAAAGATCCAAAGGCATTTTGATTGAACTTGATGTCCTTGATTTGCTCGAGATAGAAGAGCAGCCACTGCTTCTTCTTGAGTGAGTAGCCACGAACCCGCGGCAAGCAGGTTAGATGGTGTTCTTCGGTGAGGCGTAGTCGTTCAGTCTTCGCTTGCTGACCGAAAACGTGCTTCGTAACACCAGGCTCCTCGATGTTGGGCCTCTCTGGGGCACATTCAGGCCCTCGCACGCCCTCTTTCGCGGCGAGAGGTTCAATCTTTCTGAAGAAGCGAGGCGAGAAGCGCCTGAAACTGTCCGAGTCAACGATAACACGACCGTTGCATGTATATGGGACCTCTTTCCCTTCTTTGTCCCACGAAATTGCAAAGCCATCGTACGCTTTGTAGTGGCATCCAGCGAGCTCTTCAAACTTCTTGCCGCGATGAATCAATACCTCTTTGACCTTGTCTTCATGAGGATGGAAAGACAAGGGGAATGCAGACAAACCCAATATGCGGGTTGTACCAAGGAACTCCCAGAGCTGGATTGATTCAACACTACGACCGAACTGATTGCCGTTCCAGTCGATTGCTTCCACGGTAAGCTGGTATGCTTTACCGCATCGCGTCTCGACATATGCTCCCGACCTCAGTCGATAAGCGCCGTGGGTACCATTATGAGAATCCGAATAGATGGTTGAGCCAGGCTGGTAGATTGTCCAAACGTGATCGAAGGTGACAATGCCGTGATGCACGTAGTCCTCGAGTGTCTTGATGACGTCTTTGAGCTCGGCTTTAAGGACGTCGTACAGCAGCTCAATATGTTCTGCAGTAACGGCATCGAGATCCTTCCTGGCCCTGAACTCAAGCAACTCTGGCCAGCGATGAACGAATGGGCTGAACGGCGCCTCAAACTCCAATCTCTTCAGTCCGCAATGGAGCCCGGGATAGTCCTTCAGAATCTCAGCAAGGGCTTGCTTTAGCCATGGCGATTGGGTGATGAGGGAGTGGATTTCGAACTTCTTGCGGGAGTCGTTGGGTTTTGAAGACGTGTAATGAGGGCATGCTGCGCTGTTTCCTCATTTTCGGCAGCTTCAGCAACATCCTCCGGCTCTTTATCTAGCCACGTCCACTTGGCGTTGCTGTCGTGAGGGCCTTGATATAAGTTTTTGAAAGAGGCGAGGGAGCCTTCGGGAGCCAGAGGTCTGGTTCCATTGGTGTCTTTGACACCATTGGGAGGGTCTTTGATGGCCATTATGGATGGATAGGATGAGATAGCTGAAGATAAGGTTGTCGAGCACTTGAACGAGTAGATAGACACCGAAGTAATTGGATTCGCTGAAGCTCTGGCTTGGTAATAAGGAGCTCGTGTTGAACGAGAAGTAAATACTGCCTTCAAATATGTTGAGCGTCACCTGTAAGCATCAGCTTCACGTCCAGAATTGTGCGCAGCCACCCCAGGCAAGCAATCCGACCCCACAGAAAGCCAGGTTGCAAGCCAGCCGAAGCTTACAGCACAGCCATTGTGCCCCAAGAGGTAGTGGGTCATTCTCGTAGATCATGCTTCTGTTGGTAGGATGTTGGATTGTGCAAAACAGTGTAATCGTGCAACAAGGCAGGCGAGTGGTCGAGACTCCATTGGTACGACTCTGTCAAACCAGCTATATGAACACTGCCACTTGCCCTGAGTGGTTAACTATTGCATAAAAGATGCACACTTGAAGATCAAGGCAGCCTCGGGCGTGCAGTTGTGCCTACACGTGGCTAATAAGCTATTGCAAGCGCATGTCTAAGCTGGAGCTAGCTTTGAGGTCGATGGAAGAAGCAACCTTGGAAATACCCGACGCGCTAGCGAGCTACATGCCTCCATGCAGGCAAGTCGATAAACTTGCCGTGCACCTGAGAGCTGCTGTTGAACCTCCACCATGTCAACCGACGACGCGCCGTCCTACATTGACTATGAAGCTTTCCTCGACCCCGATTTCTCCGCGACTTCGTTCGCAAACACACTCGTTCTCGCAACCAACAATGCCTCCGACACCCCGCTAGACCTCTCAACCCCACTGTCCCGCGTCCTGTTTGATGTCCAGGAAGTCGACACGCACATTGACACGCTTACCACAAAGTCGGCTTTGCCGCTGCTAGAACATACAAGAGACTCTGCCGAGTCGAGTGTGCGGATATTGCAGGAAGTGGAAGGACAGGTTGCCAGCCTGACCGAGTCGTACAAGACGCTGGAGAAGGAGGTCATTGAGCGATATGACGTCGCCGAGCAGGCACGCGTGACGGCAGAACGACTGTGCGAGACTGTCAAGCTTGGGCGAGCGGTTGCGCGATGTTTCATGCTCGGGAGACAGCTCGAGGTTCGCATGTCTGAATTGGGAGGGGTTGGGAGCGCAAAGAAGGAGGACCACCGAGCCATGGTGCGTTCTGCGGATACGATACTATCGCTACGCCAAATCTTCGCGGCTTCGAAGCCTGGCGAGGAAGGGCAAGGCCTCGATAGGGTCATGATGGTCAATACGCTGAAGAATGAATTGGTCAACCCTGGTGAACGGAGCATCTCATCGCGCGCACAGCAGGTGGTCAAGGAGTTCTCCATGTCTTCGTTACTCTCTTCGTCGGGGTCAACGCCAGCATCCACATTCGCGCAAACCGAGGACACCAAGTCAAGAACCACGTCTGCACTACTCACTTTGTACCTACTTTCACCAACGTCGGCAAAGACCACTTTAGACACGTTCGAGCCTGCGCTCATGTTGAATGCCTTGCAAGACTACCTGCAGACGCAGCTAAAGTCGTCGCTCGCATCGCTTGCCCGAGCATTGGGCCAGCTCCCTACACTAGACCGCACACTGCTCGAGATATCAGCTCGCTGCCAGAACATTGTGGCACTACAGTCTCTCCTTGAGGCCATTAAACCGCCTCCGCATCCACTCCTCAACTCGACCACTACCGCCGACGCTCAAACTTGGCCCAACTTTCTGCAGCCAGTGTTGCATGCCCTTGATACATCGTCGCTACCGAGCTACTTTTGGAGATCGCTTGCGTCAAATCTGTCGCCTAGGGTTCAAGAGCTCATGCAGAGAGGCGGTGTATCTGCAAGGACGTTGAGAAGTAACAAAGACAGAGTCAAGGATATGGTCCGGGAAAGTGTGAATCGGGGCAGTCAATTGCCTGGAGCATTGTCGACCAAGGGGGTGACGTTTACCTGGGAGAGGGAAGCTGCCGTCATGGTTGGAAGTATTCTGGGCCAGATCAAGTGAGGGCCAGTCGGTCGATAGTGGTTTGCTTACGAACACGAGATTCGTCGCAATAGTCGCCGCAGCAGTGAGCATATTGTATATGCACGGCATCATAACCACGTGGCTTCTGCCGGTACTGCCGGCTGTGCCAGGGTAGTCCATAGGTGGGTCAGGTCGAGAATCCAAGTTAGATCGACTTTGGGACGATGCTCCTGCAACAGGCGGCTCGCAAATGACGAGACTCGTATCTGTGGTTTCGAGGGCAATGGCTTCGGCTGCTCCCACTCGCTATGCTCTGTGCATGAATGAAAAGGAAGTGCTCTGCGGAAGCACCTTTCCCTTGTTGTTTTTCTCTTGATTGATTAGTGGTCCGCGCGTGTGGTCGGACTCGAAACGGGCAAGGTATCATGGCCGCTAGAAGGGCGTCTGGTGTTGAGGGTTTGGTTTGCCTCTGCAGTTGCCAGCCACCAAGCGTGTATTATATTCCATGTGCATTCGATGGCATTGTCTGGTCCCGCTGGTGCATACGTATACTCGAGTCGTCTTGTTCGCTAGGTAATTAGAACACGGGAACCGTTGCTTCAGCCTTGTGCTGTAGGGGGGCTGTGATTGGTGCGCGCTAAGAGAAGCAACGCTCGCTCGCATCCATCCCATGGTAGTGAGAGACAGAGACGGACAAGGCCAAGGCCAAAGCGACCTCCTCTCCCTCTTCACCTCTTCGCCTCTTCACCCTTCTCACAGTGAGCATCCTCGGCTCTCCCTTCAGGCTTCAGCCCGCCCGTTCCATTTTCCCTTCTTTGTACCTTTGGTCTTTTCCGCCGTCTCTTCTTATTGCCAGAGCAGCTCGTGCATGCGCCGAGCTAACGCTTCCCTGCATCCATCCATCAGCCTTCAGCGACCACGATCCCGCCCCTGACCCTTCGCACTTGAGCTCCTTTGAGGCCAGCTGGGAACTGCAGGAGACTCAAGCGCACGTACGCACGAATCCATCACCAGAACCGGTCCCCGCTGTCCAGTCTGTTAAAATACATTGTGCGTCCGCTACCCTCCTCCTCCCAAGTGTCTGCAGTCCTTTCTGACAGCCAGTCATCGACAGAATTTCACCCTACCCCAAAGAGTAGCTGTAGACTCGCGCAATCATGTCTGCCAGCCATATCGCTGCCAACAGAAACAGCACCCCCGAGGGGTCCAGCTCGCTCCGCCCTCCCGCAGCCCGTACTTCGCTCGGCGCCGGTCACCATCTTCGCGCTTCTGCTGACATGGGCGGCTTCTCCTCTCCTCTGGCCAACCGCGGCATTCGCCCCGCCTCGGAAATCTACTTTGGCCGCAATGCCACACAGTCCGGGAATCCCGACGAGATGGAGCGTGCCGCTCAGCAGTGGTTGGCCGACATCGACCAGTATGAGACGACCCTCGAGGAGATGGCCACGGCCACGCTCGACCAGGACTTCAAGGACGAACTGAGCGCCATTGAGCAGTGGTTCCGCGTTCTCAGCGAGGCCGAGCGAACTGCCGCCCTCTATGCTCTACTCCAGCAAACCACTCAGGTGCAGATTCGATTCTTCATCCAGGTCCTACAGCAAATGTCCAAGAGCCTCCCCATGTCTGGCGTGCTTTCTCCTGCCAACTTTGGAGAAAAAGGTTCGTCCCTCGTGCCTTTCGTAACCCATCTCCTTAAGCTGACGTGTGCCAGACCCCATGACGCAAAAGTTGAGCGACGCCATGAGCAAGCTCAGCACGGGCGAGAACCGCCACTCGATGGGCCTCGGCCGTCCCCCACCATCACCAGGTGCTGCAAAACGCAACTCTGGTCTGGATACATCGACCATCAATCGCATGTTCCCCGATGCCGCAGCCGCTATTGCCAAGCAGAAGGCAGAGTTCACAGACGTTGTCGGCGTCGCCCCGGCATCGAACCGCAACAGCACTGTTGGCGACCGCAGCTCTTTGGTTGCACCGACCATTTCTGGCCCCGACGAGAGCAACAAGAGGGAGAACAACGCACCCCCGGCCTCGCCATGGAACGAGGCACAAAATCGCCCAAAGTCATCTGGCCAGCAGCAGCATCAAGCCATGGGCCAATTCACCGCGCCACCGCCGTCTGCCGGACTTCGCTCTCCGCGCCTTCCGCTTCAAAGTGATAGTAGCAATGTGCAGACGACGACATTGAATGCTTTGGAGGCAAACTCCACCAACATGCCAATGCTTTCGCCTTCCTATGCCCCCGGTGGAAGCTGGGCATCTCAGCTCAGCACCCCCATGGTCGCAAATTTCAATCAACCTAACAATCAAGCTGACATGGTTGCCAACGCTACCGCCATGAAGCTGGCTGCTCTGTCTACTGTGAACAATCGTATTCAATTGGACGACGTTCGAAAATACCGCCGCGCTCGTTCTTCCGATAACGGTCCTCTATCCCCAGGTCTACCCCACATGGGCAACACCAACATCCTCATGACCAATGAGCTTGGCCAGGTCTTGACTCCGCAGCAGGCGGCTACTCTCCAGGCGCAGCAGCTGGCTGCCATGGCCAGCGGCCGATCTCGTCCAAGCTCTCCCGGATTTGCCTTGCAAGGGCAGGGCATGGGTGTTATGGGCAACTTCGCCTCACCCCAGGCCAATGGCTTCTTGAGTGCCGACTATGGAGGTTCTGGTCTTATGAATAATGGAATGGGCACTCTGAACCTCAGCCAGTTCGGCATGGGCATGGGCAACGACAGCCATGGCTTCCATGGCGACCAAATTGACCGCGGTCGATCTCCTCGTGGCCGGCGCGGTAGCTCGAAGCCCCCGGAGGATCCTACCGATCCCAGCTTGCTTCAGGATATTCCCAACTGGCTTCGGAGTCTCCGTCTGCACAAGTATACCGACAATCTCAAAGACCTCAAGTGGCAAGAGCTTGTTGAGCTAGATGATGACGGTTTGGAGAAGCGCGGAGTGAATGCTCTCGGTGCACGAAGGAAGATGTTGAAAGTAAGATGCTCCCAGGAACTAAGTTTGAGTAGTGTATCTAACATGATTTTGTAGGTCTTCGAGCAGGTCAAGGAGGCCAAAGATGTCGGCAAACTACGATAGACTCCTACATTGCCGTCATGTTGTCCAAAATGTGGGAATGATATTTCTCTCCACAATATAGATATACGATGGAAGAGCGACACTCACCAGCTGGTTACGGACGCCATCTGTCCGTCAGGTCTGGTGCGCAAATGATTTTCATGTCTTGTGCATTATGGCCCGATTGGATGTTGTTATAAGGTGCTTCTGCGCTCCTATCGTGTACTAAAGGATTTTCATGTATCACTTTTCTTTTTTGATTTTCTGGATCTGGTTAAATCACATTCGTAGGGTAGAGCGGTTGCGGCAGTGAAGATGAGAGTAATGGCGAGGTTCTATGTTCCTCAGTCTTCATACTCGTGCTTTTGTATGGGTTCATGTTCTCTTATAATTTGCCTCATCGCATGCAAGGTACTCTGTCAGTCTTGTCCGTTTCAGGCGCCAGCTGACAGAGCCCAGACACCACTGGTAAGGTCGTCCACCCTCAACGAACCTACATCACCAGAGAGTTTCACATTCCTCGGTTGTACAGTCACATTGCCTCATTCAAAGCGCATGCGCCTTCAAAGTAATCATGTCTTGTGTCAAAAAAAGTCCTCTTCACTTTTACTAGGTGAAACAATGGTGTACACTTCTTCTATTGTTCGCGCATAGGCTGAATAAAGAACTACTTAGAAAGTGGTCACCAACATGGGTATTGTACGACCAAAAGCCAAAATAGACATTGTGCTTTGCCTTTATTCCGAACTCAGGGTTGGCATAAGTACAATCTTCTCAACTTCAACATTTGGTTTTATCCAGCGCACAATTCTCGTCGACATCTGACTTTCTATCCTCGTTGCAAACAGCCTCTGTTGAGACTCTCATATTTCGACTATTTACACTGTCTGTAGAACCTGAATCCTATCACTCTAACCGCTTCGCATAACACAATGCGCCTACCGACACCTTCTGCTACGGTGCTGGCCACCATCACTGCCCTCTTCACGCTAAGCAGCGCCCACAGCGACACCCAGCACGGTCAATATGTACTGACGGACGACCTCTCGTATAAAAACTTTTTCGGCAGCTTTGACTTTTTCTCTGGCCCGGATCCTACAAAGGGTTTTGTGCTATACCAGAACCTGACATCTGCTATCTCGCAAAAGCTTATCGGCTACCTCCAGGACACACAGTCCGTTTTCCTTGGTGTCGACTCCACCAACAAAGACCCCAATGGCCGCGCGAGTGTGCGCCTAGAGAGCAAGCAGGCTTGGAATCAGGGGTTGTTAGTCGCGGACATCCGACACATGCCTTCGCCAGTGTGTGGGTCGTGGCCAGCATTTTGGCTTCTCGGTTTTGACAAAGACACCGGAAAGTCGGCCTGGCCGTTGGCTGGCGAAGTCGATATTATGGAAGGGGTTAACGACTATGAGCATAATGCGGTTACACTACATACCTCAAAAGGCTGTATCGTTGACAATAGCACACTCCATGCCGCCGGTCACGGTGAGACGCCGTTTACTGGCCTTCTAGCTACGGATGACTGCGACGTTGCCGCACCAGGCCAAGGAAAGAATGTTGGATGTTCAATAAAAGCGCCAAAAACCATAACCGGCATCCAGACCGGCTCAGGCGCGGGTAGTAAGGAGACCATCCTTCCATCCTATGGCACCGAGTTCAACAAAGTGGGCGGTGGAATCTACGCCATGGAGTGGACCTCTTCAGCTATCAGTGTATGGTTCTTTCCTCGCAACTCCTCTGCTTACACTACGCACTTTGGCAATACTACAACCGCCTCAACTCTTGATCCCTCTACTTGGGGTGTTCCAGTTGCACGATTCTCCGGCAGCGGTTGCAACATCACTGAACGCTTCCAGAACCTCAAAATCATCTTCAACACTAGCTACTGCGGCGAGTGGGCCGGCAAGGAGTGGGATAAGTCCTGCGCAGCGAAGACTGGCGTCGACACATGCGAAGCTTACGTCCGGGATAACCCAGAGGCTTTTAAGGAGGTATATTGGGAAATTGCTGGATTGAAGTGGTTCCAGCGAACTACTGAGCCAGAGCAAGAACCATCATCTATCAAGGCTAAGGGTCGCCAGTACCGCTGGTAAAGTAACGTTATTAGGTTAGGGCTTGGGCTGGACCCGAGAAACTGTAGGTGTACGCTCCCCTGATTAGCATTATATAGCGTGTATACCCTCATCGTTGCTGGTATTCTCCATATGCACAACGTTTTGTCTGGTAATCTTCCTAGGCGTTCTTTGTGTTCAGAACGTCTCGAGCATATTTAGGACATGAAATTGAACCGTAAGACCTTTTTCGATGATCATTGTACTGTCACCTGTGGTGAAATACTATTGTAGAGTCCAGACAGCGAGAGCAGCCGTGCCGAAATGGTTGCTGGCCATATCCTGCTTACTTTTTAGGTAGGCTAGCCATCAAATCCCTATTGACTTGCCTAAAACAATGGTTTTATAACACTCTGCCGTTTACGGTGCCCTCTTATACGCACGTGGATCCAACCTTGTTTCTATCCCTTTCCGTGAGTCCTTGACCCTCATCTTTGGCCCAACCTCAAGATCAATTGCAACCAAGTATTACCGTCCATGGCGATATTATCTGCCCGTGACGTAGTTTGAAAGTAAGTTAGTCGGTTGAGGAACTTTTATGTAGATGAGAGAAGACGTTGAACAGGGGATATCATTTTCACTCTATCATCTCGCCATACTCATGATGCTGCTACTGCCTGTTGTGCTTGTTGTGCCGATGACTGTATCTGAATTATCTGAATAAATCGTTAGTGGAGGGACCTCCCTCGGTAAGGCATGAGTAGCATACCTCCATCTTCGTCTTCTCACTCTTGTCCTGGATCTCCTTGATCTGTTTTTCGAACCGCTTGCTAGTTCTAATCAGACATCTGTCCCATGTCATGGACCCCTTTACCGCACTCACATCTCTTTATCGATAAACTCTAAGCGGCCATTGACTGCCATGACGGCCTCCGTCTTGTCTTGCTTCAAGAGTACTGGTCCGATTTGCTTGTAGATGTTCGCATCATCATCGAGGATATCGAACTCCTGTAACGACACATGTTAGCCTAAATGGGCCAACAGCGGGAGTTAGGAAGGCACCTTTTTGACTGTGGCATTCTCCTGCTGCTGCGACTCGAGCTTCTGGCGTGCTTCGACTGCAGTAGAGAGGTCTATCTGGCCGTTAGTGAAGCCTCTTCTGAATACCATGGCTTCGAAATCGCACCTCCTTGTAGGCTCTGGTAGCCGTCAGAAAGCTCCTGCAGCTTCGCCTGCACGTCTCCCATGGTTTTCGTGATGCTGAGTTACAGCTTGACGAAAAGTTTCGCCCTCTTTTGCGGAGCTCGCGAGGCGGGACATGGAACTCCCCTGATGCGGACTAGCGTGAACGTGGGGGCTAGATGCTTGGCCATAGCAACCAGATCAACGTGGAAGGAGAAAGACGTAGATATCAACACCCCAACTGTAGAAACACTGCTCCCTTGGAGCTGCCGTGTCTTTCGCCTGCAAGGACGATATCTGGAAGAAACAACTGCTAGCCTCTGTTCATAAGGCGTCACTAACCTCAGGCAACCGTCGAGTGCCCCGCGCAGACCGCTGCCTCCGTCGTCATATTCCAGACCCGCGCCCAGCAGCGCACGCGACGCGCATTCGTACAACTATCCCCTCGGATAACAGCTGCGGCGCTTAGCCCAGTAAAGGCGCAGGCATGAGTAACGCAGACTTCCTGGGTCGTGCCATTGAGACAGTCAAGAAGGCCATCGAGACGGATACCGCGGGCGAATACGACAAGGCATATCAACTATACTACAGTGCTCGTGAGTTGTGTATACTTTGCCACGAATAGTAAAAATTAGAGGCTAACAGGTGGCAGTCGAGCTATTCATGCTCGCCTTGAAATGTACCTTCTCCACGCTACTCTGACGGCGAAGGCAATAAACTAACACGGACTAGGGGAGAAGAATCAGAAGTCCAAGGAGATGATTCGAGGCAAGGTTGCCGAATACATGGAGCGTGCCGAGAAGCTCAAACAGCATCTGAACCAAAACGATGCCTCAAATCGCAAGAAACCCGCAGCAATGGGCTCGAATGGAAAGGCAGCCGGGGGAAGTGGCAAGGGTGGAAAGTACGGACTTTTCCAAGGCGTATGCGCATAGCCTCCCATGCTGACATGGTGCGATAGGGACGACGATGAGGAGGGCGAGATAGATGCCGACTCCAAGAAGCTACGCGGTGCGCTCGCGGGCGCCATCCTGTCCGAAAAGCCAAATATTCGATGGGAAGATGTAGCAGGGCTGGAACAGGCAAAGGAGGCTCTGAAAGAGGCAGTCATATTACCTATCAAATTCCCACATCTATTCACCGGCAAGCGACAACCGTGGAAGGGTATTCTGTTGTACGGCCCGCCTGGTACGGGCAAGAGTTACCTTGCAAAAGCAGTTGCAACAGAGGCAAACAGCACCTTTTTCAGCGTTTCGAGTTCCGACCTGGTCAGCAAGTGGATGGGTGAATCCGAGCGGTAAGCGACATGCATTGGTAAGCTAAAAGCAACGACTGACTGGAGATAGGTTGGTAAAGCAACTCTTCGGCATGGCTCGCGAAAACAAGCCTTCCATCATCTTCATTGATGAGATCGACGCCCTCTGCGGACCTCGAGGCGAAGGTGAATCCGAGGCATCACGGCGTATCAAAACCGAGCTGCTTGTGCAAATGGATGGTGTAGGCAAAGACTCAAAGGGCGTGCTTATTCTCGGCGCGACCAACATTCCATGGCAACTCGACTCCGCTATTAGACGACGATTTCAACGAAGAGTGCACATCAGCTTACCGGATACACCCGCCAGGATGAGGATGTTCGAGCTCGCCGTTGGAAACACTCCATGCGAACTCAATCAAGGAGACTACAAAAAGCTAGCGGAACTGAGTGAAGGATACTCTGGTTCTGATATCTCGATAGCGGTGCAAGATGCACTGATGCAGCCCGTACGCCTTATTCAGACTGCGACTCACTATAAACCAGTATGTTCAGGGCCCTCGAGATCAATTTGAGACTCTGGCGATTAGCTAATGGCTTTCAGGTCGAAGTAGACGGCACAACGAAATGGACACCCTGCTCGCCCGGCGATCCGCAAGCGCAAGAGAAATCCTGGACCGATCTGGATGGTGATCAGCTGCTCGAACCTCCTTTAAAAGTGAAGGATTTCATCAAGGCCATCAAAGCTTCAAGGCCAACGGTCAGTGGGGAGGATTTGAAGAGGAGCGCAGATTGGACAAAGGAGTTTGGTAGTGAGGGCGCATAATTAGTAGAGTTTGGGCATGGCGCACTGCCTTGTGTCGGGGGCGCTTTTTGGTGTTTATATCCACTTCGGCATAGCGATTCCTGTTCTTTCGGCCCTTACGAGCGGTTGGCCTGGCGTTGAAAGAGGATCGAGTTAGGCAACCTAGTGATCACATCACCATGATACAAGACGAACCACGGCCACCATCATTGTACTTGACATGGCCCAATCTGAATGACTCCAAGACTTGATGCTTCTGTTACCTCGGGGGTATAAAGCCATCTGGGGTTATCCAGCCCGGGAGACGCGCAGTGGGTGAAAGGATGGATCAAGTGACTGGTGGAGTATTACCCCGCTGATTCGTTGTTCTACACTACACCTGGTCACAGGATGCGAGTCTATCCATAAGCAAGACAGTAAGAAAGGGGAAACAAGGGGGAAAACCGGGGGAATAAGTGATCGACCTAACCAAATCGACCGAAGTCATCAGGCCCTCTACCATTCTCCTCATCGTAGGCCCGTAAGTCTTGATATCATCATAGAGTATGGATGCCTACCCCCAAAGCCTATTTCCTTCAGGCACTATGCATCCAACGCCATCCCCTGCTATCGCCATGATCGCGACCTCACAGATTAAGAAACGCGAGACTCTCTACTGTCTCACAGCTCCTAGCTAAAGTACGCCTGTGCCGTACGCTGCTGTTCAGGGGTTAGGCCTGCGGCAGCTTGGGCAAGGTTCGTGCCGGTTGCCTGGATGAGGGCTTTCACAGAGCTGACAACGCGCGTTGCTGTCTGGCCCTGCAACGTTTCGGCTTCTAGAGCTTGTACCACAAAGGTGAAGACCTTTGCGGGTTGCGAGAAAACGACCTGATTTTGCCTGGTGAAACATTAGCCCCATTTTAAGATATTGAATCCACCCGGGCTCCACTGTGCTGGGTCAATATGGAGTAAACTTACTGTTCAATAAGTTGCGCCAGGAATGCGTAGGCATATGGGGTCGCTTCTTCGTCGTTGATGACTGGCAGAGTATCGATCCAAGCGGCAGCAATATCTTGCCAGTTCTGTACCTTGGCAGCGTTATAGTGCAGAATCTTCGCAATTGCTGCCGATGCGTTCTCTGTTGCAAACACATCGTCATCCGCGCGAGCGTTCGGCCGCTGGACTACTTGGAACAGCATTGGTAGCGAAGCGGCGGCGAATTCTGACCACGCCTCACCGCCCTTGTGAGCAGCGACGCCTACACCGTACACTGCTGCTTGTCGGTTGGCTGGTACGTCGTCCTGCATGCCGGCTATGAGTGGCTGAATGATGTGCTCGTTGTACTTCCATGACTGCGGGCCGCAGAACTCAAGTACGTCATCGAAGATGCAAATAGCCCACTGACGTTGCGTCGGATCTCGATTGATGACAGCCATCTTATAGAACTCCATCAAGAGCTCCCAGTGCGGCAGGAAGGCCGTACCCATGTTCTTGAATATAGTATGGAAAGCCTTGTTCATGTCGGAGAGAAGATTTTGGTCGTCTTCAATGGCGAATAAAGTCTCCTCGGAAGCTTCTTCACCATCCTCGTTCTCCGATTGCTCTTCTAGCCGCTCTTTAACACGCTCTTGGTAGTCTTGTAACACACTGCGGGCGGACTCGATAAAGGTACCCATATGTGTGCTTGTCAAGCAGTTTTGACCAATACACTCCAAGCACTCGTAGAAACATTGGTACATTTCGGCGAGAGTATCAATAGCAGGTTCTGTGCTAAGTACTTCGAGCACACGCTCAACGGTACGTTCCCAAAGCTGTCCAAGCTGGGTTGACTCTGGACCATGCGCCTTCTTGTAAGCATTTAGAAGTGCCGGTACGCACTTTGCGGATGCGACGCGTACAGGGTCGTGGAAGAAGAAGGCCAAGCCGGGAAGGGCGATTTTGTCCATAATGTCGTTGACGTAGGGTTCGAAGGCGTCTTCCAATACTTGAGCGTAGATGACGATGAGCTCAATAGCCATGTGCTTGTCATCAAGAATACTCGTCTTGATGCCGATGACCTTGCCCTTGAGAGGAACAAGCTCCCAGCCCTCCTCGTCCTGAATTTGAGCCACCTGGTCCTCATCATCAAGCAGTTGAATATCAGCCTTGGCTCCAGCAAGCTCAGTCAGAGGCGGAATGACACCAGCAAGGAAGGGAACGAACTCCCGACCAAGGACCCGACACATGCGACCCCAGCAGTGAAGCAAGTAGGAAGCTTGAGGGTCGTCGGCGTCCGATACGCTGTTTTGGATCCGCCCGAGCAGTTGTACCAGATTCAATGCATCCTGGCCCATTCGATCCTTGCCAACAGCCAAGGCAATGAGGGTAGCGCACTCCATGGCCTTGGCTCTCAGTAATCGGTACTCCTTGGACTGCTCTTCCTGTAGAACGTTGAAAAGAAGCGGCATCAGGGTGTCATAGTACTTGGAGAAGGCAGCCTCAGCCGAGTCCGCAACTGTCGCAATGGTTGACAAAGCCTGCTCTTGGACAAAGCGTTTGGGGCTCTGCAGAAGCATGAGCAGATGATTGAGTAGTTGGTCCAAATATGGCTCTAGGATGTTCTTCTCGGCCTCTTCGCAGAAGTTGACGAGGGCAGCGGCAGCGTGCGCCTGCACACGAGGCTCTGCTGACTCTAGGACCGGGATGATATTGGGCAGGACGACTTGGTGATACTTCTCCTGCATGGTTCCGGCAAAGTCGGTGCTCATTTGGCCCACGGCATTGCATGCGGCCCATCGAACACGAGGATGGGGGTCTCGAAGGGCAGGAAGAACGAGGTCAAGGACCTTGTCGAGCTCTCCCACCATAAGCTCACGACAGCCCTCGGAGATGGCTGAGATGGCCATGAGAGCAGCGTGCCTATCTCGCCAAGCGGAAGAAGTCATCATGCGCGGGAGCCAGTTGAAGGTAGGGGGCAAGATGGCCTGTCCACCGAGTTTGTTGGCTAGGCGATCCATGCACTGCTCGCCAGCAACGTGATTCGAGTCACTCTCTTCGTCGAGATCTTCGGAGACATTCCATTCCTCGGCGTCGTCGTCATCGAAGCCAACATCCGTCATGAGGGAGAGGCACTGCGTGACCATGTCGTTTGTGAAATTTGGATCCTTCCTACACATTTGGGGTGCATTATCCGCAAATGTGGCCATGAGTTCCAAGGCATTTTGTCGTGTTGTTTCTCCTAGGTCCTTGTCCTGGATGACAGAGACGCTGAATTGCACGAGGCTGTTGAACAGAGGCTTGAACATCTTGGGTGCAACCTCGGCGAGATCGATGAGGGAGATGAGGGCCTTTGTGAGCAGCTCTGCATCTCCAGAATCCTTGATGGGAGGCAGGATATTCAGGATCTCCGGAATCAGCGAGTAGTATTTGGATTGAGCTTTGCGGGTAATGGAGCGAAAGAAGGAGGCGAAAGCCTCGACAGCCGCGATTCGAACCTGCAAACGTAAGTCGTTGAAGGGGTTTTGGTCGCCCTGGTACCTACCGCAGTCTCGCTGTCGGCAAACCCGCCCTTGAAGGCGCTCATGACGACGTCTTCATGTTGCTTTTCTATGATTTGCGGTGTAGTGGAGAAGATCCTGAAGGCGTTCTCGCGCTGTGCAGCATCTTGGGATTGGCTAGCCTGGAACAAGGCTCCCAGGAGCTCCGGCCATGCCACACCTGGCCATGTTAGTGATTGCTCTTTGGGTAGTAGGGCATGTCAAGTTCCTACCTTCATCTGTGTGCTGTCGCGCGAGCTCCGCTACAGCGTCTCCCACTTTGCTTCGCACCGATGCATCGGTCTCCTTTGCCAGGCAACTCAGCAGCTTTGCGCGGATCGCCTCTCGCTCGGCCGGGTTGAGCGTCAGGAAGAGGTCGGCCGTCTGGCCAGAGGGCGTCTTTCGCGGCTTGGAGGACTGCCGCCGAAAGATGACGGCGGCGAAGGTTCGTGTCTACCCGTCGGTCGTCAGCCTGGGCAGGCGAGATGGCCATGGCAATGCCACTACGCAGTACATACCGACGTGTCCTGTGCCAGCTCAATCTGCTCGGACAAGCCCATGAGGAGCACATCCGGCCTTTGTGCAACCCACTCGTCGTTCAACTGCTGCTCGGCGGCGGTTCGCTGCACATTGTCCGGGGACTGCAGGCCCTGCAGCAGGCTGGCCAGCGCCGTGTGGACTTCAGCAGGTAGAACAGACATGATGCAGGCGTGCTATCTCGACGATGTGTGGGGAGCGGCCCCGTTGAGCGGTGGGAGCTTGTTCGCAGGCAGGCAGGCAGGCAGGCGGGCGGGCAGGCAAGGGGACTAGACTACCTTGGGTAGGCTGGCGGTGGTGAAGGGGAGGCGCCTGTGGTACGACGCTGTCTAAAGGATGCGCCGTGGCAAAAGAGGCGGCGTAGCGTGTAGAAATGGTGCTATGGTCGTCCAGACAGAGAGGGTTGCTGTGGAAATATTTGCTCCGTTGTGTTTTGGCGGGGGCTTTCGCGAGTCCGCCGCGCCCTCATCCAAAAATGTTGCCAGGGCACGAGCAGGGGTGTGCGTGTCAGGACTACGTTCACACCCCCCCGCCGTCATTGGCCCGTCAGCCTGCGCCAGTGACCCACGGCTCTTGATACAGGTCACTCTGAGTAGCAAAGGAGAGCAATGGGTATAAGGACTACATGTAACGACTTGCTACCGATTACCTCGACCCACTCTTTTTATGGATAACACAGCCTATACCAGTTCACCTGTTATTACTACCACCACTACTACTACTCCTACGACTACTACGAGATGGTTGGCCCCGTCTGTATACTTCTAGCGACTCGAGGCCCGGCCAAGCACAAAGACACCCACAATCACCACCGCCAAAACACCAATAGCTCCGGGAAGAAGAAGGTCGTTGGGCACCCCCGCGATAATCTCCGGCTGCTGCGCGACCGGCGTAGGCTGGGCTCGGTGCTTTGATCTTGGCCGCGCCTCCGCTTCTTCCTCGTCATCAAAGTACTTCTTGCGCTCGCGAAGTATAGACTCTGGCGGAGTAACTGGCCTCGCCAAGGCAGGTTGGGGGTTGACTTCGGCAACAAGCGGCGGCTTGTCTGGGTCGTGCACAAAAAGATCCACCTTCTCGCGATGCCCAAGGCGAGAAAGGCTGATGGCCTCGATGAGGTCATCATTCGTCGTGATGGAGACAGTGTCGCCTTCATTGTCGAGGTAGCTCAGGGCGAACCCTGCTTTGGACACCTTGCCATGCTCAAAGCTGGGTGCACCCCCGATTGACTCCACCTCGGCCCCAAGCTTGCTAGCTACATTTGAGATGAGCTCTTCGATACCGGACGAAGCCACGACCTGCAGGCGGTGCACACGTCCGCTAGGCGCCTTGAATTTGAAAGGAAAGGGCAAGTCTTCCAGGGCGGTCGGCGGCACACTGGCCACCGCAGACTGGGGCGGAGACTCTCCATGGTGCGAAGCAGAGTCATTGGGAAGGACGCTATCTCCACGATCCATGAAGGCAGGGCGGTGCTCGTGGGAAACCATGGATCGATGGTCAGGCGTGCCAGGGATTCGGCTTCCACCCTCGCCAGACATCATCGACTCCGTCTCATTGTCCAACGACAGCCAGAACTTATTCCAGGCCGGCCCTTCACTGTCTGTCGTGCTGATGTTGTTGATCTTGGCATAGCTTAGCGCACCGTCAGTCTCCAGGTTCGAGTAGACTTACCTGGTCAAGAGTGGCATAGGTCAGCTTGAGGACATCGACCATGCCTACAATTTCACCGGCATCGCTCATGACAGGCAAGTTGAGATAGTGGCCGTCTTTGACAAGTTAGCCCATGTGGCCTGTAAAAGCGCTCGTACTCATTTCAAGCTTACCGTGCATCTTGCGAAGCGCCGACTGGATACTCATATCCATAGGCGCAAAGTCGGGATGGGGAGTCATGACTCTAACGACGCTGCAGGTAGCTGGGTCCAGGCCAGCAGCAATGACACGAAGAACAACGTCTTTGCTGGTGAAGATGCCAGTTATTGAACCCTGGTCTTGAACCAAAACGGCCGTAGTGTGATTCTCCTTCATCAGTGCAGCCGCCTCTTTGACCGACGTGCGAACAGATACCGTAGTTGGAGGCAATCCGGTCAAGACGGATTCTAGGGTGGGGCCAGACATCTTCTGTCGAATGGCCTCGACGTAGTGTATAATCTGTTGTGGTTGACTCGAGCCAAGTTCTGCCTGTACACCCTCCAAAGCATCATAGAGCTTGCGGGATGAGCTGTATGCGCGCTCCAGCTTCTCCATGGCATCGTAGAAGCACTTTGTAATGTCCAAGATACCAGAGATATCGTGGTTCTCGTCCATGACAGGCAAGTGACGAAAGCCTTTTCTAACCATAAGGTCGAGTGCATCGGTGGCACTGGTATCGGTCTTTGCGCAGAGAGGGTTCTTGGTCATAATCTCTTCAATTGTAACGTCGCGCGCCTTGATTCCAGCTCCAACCACACGGAAAGCCAAGTCTTTCGCCGTGAAGATACCAGCAATACGATCGTCGTCATCCGTAACTAATACGCAATCTTCCCTCTTCGCTGCCATCAACTGAGCTGCCTCGGCGACGGTGGTATTGGGCTTGATCTGCAAGGCCGGGCTCGGTTTGAGGGCAAGAACGGTGCCAGGGGGTGCCTTTCTCGTGGGACGCACTCGTCCTCCGGGGTTCTTCTTCTTGTTCAGATCCGTCTCGATCTTCCGTCGGATGGCCTGTTGTTGTGGTCACGATAAGCCAAAGTCCAGGTAGGTTTCTCTCCTCAGCTACACTCACATCGTCCCGCTTCGACATCTTCGCCCGACTGGCGCTGAGTGTTGAAGTGCCTGCATCGCTCTGGGTGACGTGGGACTCCAGTGCTGGTCGTGGGATGCCAGATGGGCTACTGGCGAACTGAGCGGGAGCTGGGGTGCGGTTCTTGGGCGTCCCCCGCATAGTACCAGTGTGTGACATGATGGCGGCTCACACGGTTTGTTGGCAGCACAAGGTTGTCTTGTTGGCGGTTGAGGGGCCAGTAGGAAAATGCTCACCAGCGTCTACGGAGGGCGTAGAAGATCGGTTGCCAGGCAGGGCCAGGTTGTTGCTAGCTAGCAAAAACAACGCGCTCGGGAAAGCGCCGAGGCCAGGACACGGGTCACAAGCACACCGCCACACCCACAATACACAAAATGGATAGGGAACATGGGGCAGGACAGGTCACAATATCTTGGCAAGACCGTGGGCTTGCAGGCTCCCTCTTTTCGTTACTTGGTAGAATACCCTTCAACGTCACGTCAACAATGAGAGAGTGGGAGGGTCCGCTCAAAGAAGCTAGCGCATAGATTGATAAGATGAGATCTCCAGGGCCCGGGGTCGGTCGAACCACAGGTCCAGACAATATCCAAGGCCGACAACTTGTTCTTCCAGCCCTGCTCGCACTAACTCTTCAAAAAGTGTATTCCCGAAATCCCGATACGACACGTCTTCATATCGTGTACCGGAAACGCGGGCTGTCGTCACCTAATTCCGCGACCTCCTCATCACTCATACCCTCAATGAGATGCTCCTCTTCGCCCTTCTCGCGGCGTGTGTTCGCCATGTTGAGACAGACCCACAGGACAGCATAACACGCAATTGCAAAGGCGACCATAGCCATGGTAATGCCGTGGCCTTTTATGAAGCGCGGGCGATCTGCGGTAGGGTATATCTACGCTCTGTTAGCCAAATCTTAGGCTCCAGACTGCGGAATAGGGCTGCCCTACAAAAGCAGACATGATGCCTGCGCAATTACCAATCGATAGCTGCAAGCCTGTTGCGCTCGTACGCTTTCCGTATCGCGGCAAGTTGGTTGGCAGCCACGCCAATGGAAGGCCGACACATACGTAAAGACCCATGGCCACCAAGAAACAGCCAGCGTAATGTGTTGCCGAGCTCGACGGGCTAATCAACATTGCGTAGCCGATGATGCTGACAATGCCGAACAGGATACTGTAGAGCCCGCGCTTCTGCTGCCTGTCTGAGAAATGCGCAACGACCAGATATGTGATAGCGCCCAATGCATAGCAAGGGATAGTAAGAACCTGGACCATTTCCGTCGACGCCTTGGGCATGATACTCTTGATTATCGATGGCAAAAACGTAGAAAATCCATACAGCATTGTGTCCGATCCAAACTGCGCGAAGCAAAACGTCCAGACCTTCCAGTCCTTGAAACACTTCTTGACATCTTCCCAATGGAACTCTGCAGCTTTTTTGGTGTACCCAGTCTGGCGTTTCAGACGGGCAGCGGCAAACGTTCTTTCCTGGTGGTCAAGGAAATACGCCGTCTCGGGGCTGTCGGGAAGAATCCACCACGTGGCGATCCCGAGAACAAAAGTCGGAATGCCTTCAAGGATCATAATCCATCGCCAGCCTCTTTGGCCGGAAAGGCCATCCATGTGACCAATTCCATAAGCAAGGAGGCCACCACATGCGCCAGCAAGAGCGGCGGACACGAAAAGATAGCCAATGCGTAGAGCGAGCTCGCGTTTGGTGTAGAAAAAGGTCAGGTAGACAGCCATGCCAGGGAAGAGGCCTCCTTCAACAGCACCCAGGAGCAAACGACACGCAATTAGACCGCCGTAGCTCTGCACAAGGCCAGTCAATGTAGCGATGATCCCCCAGGCTACCGTAATAAAAGCGATCCAACGAGATGGCCGCAGCTTCTTCAATACCAGATTGGAGGGAATCTCGGAGAGAATATAGGTGACGAAGAGGATCGAGACAGCTGTCTGAAACTGATTGGGGCTCAAGTCGAGGTCTGTTTCCAGACCGTAGAGACGGGCATTGCCAATGTTAACCCTAATGGTATGTAAGCACGATGCTTGTGCAATTGCTTGGTTGACAAAGGCAACTATGTCGTCTTCATCCAGTGTTTGTAGAGAATAGTCGACCCTGAACGTACCTATCAAGAAAACTGAGTAAGTATAGAAGCATCACCACGGGGATGATAAACAGGTCTAGCTTCCGGACAAGCTTAGCCTCGTACACTGGATCGGCCTCTCCTAGTTGCCTCTCAACCTCATCACTCTCCACCGATTTCGCAACATTCGGCCCAGTCGCCTCATCCGGTTTCGCGACGTCGCTCATGGTGTGGTAGATTTTGAAAGCGGTAAGATTCAGATTACCGATGACTCGAGGTGGGTTGCGCTTATCGTCCCGTGTCCAACATGCGAGCTGTGATGGGTTTATCCTTTTAAGCCCGAAGTTGGAACCATCATTGTCACCTGTGTCATGTTACCACGAGATGGACACCTTCGTGGTTTTAAATCTTCGCGGTCGAATTGTAGCGGGAGTGCAGATTCAGCGCGGGGCTGGGCCATTAGGTACGATAAAGCGTTGTGCTAGCCATCTTCGGTATGAGGTATGAAGCTAACCTGCTTTTGGTATAGATATGCTGCACCAGAGATAACGAACGAGATGCCAAGAGGAACAGGATGTCGACAACACTTCAAGATTGGATAAACTGATGATGCACTCGTGGCTATAAAAATAGCACCTTCTTATAACTGTCCACAGACAGTTGTATGCTGCCACACATCTAGCGCCACGACCTAGTGCTACCCATGTTTATGGAACAAGAACCTTCCGAAGAATGCAGTTGGTAACAGTGGGGTGCGCATTGAGATATTCCTCTACCACGTAGGTAGACACAGGTGATCCTCCGCCAGGGCTTTTCCCAGTCGCTCTGAATGATCTGTGTCGAATCAGGTCAAGTTAGACGAGTGCGAAGACGAGTAGGCAAAGTTCGTCGCGTCCCAGCTTGTTGGGAGAACAATTCCAGAATAGATGTCAATCTGTATAGACGGATCAATAGGCCAGATCAAGTCGTCGCGTGCAAGGTCAATCTCAGGTGCAGTCCTCGCCCCCATAGTCAATGGTCTTTGAACACTGGTCAGATTCGACCGCGCGATGGCCCGAACTTCTTTCGCCATCCTCTTCCCAAGCGGCCATATGGACCCCATAGCATTCAGAAAGCCGATGCTGAGGCGCACGCGATCGCGAGCTATTGAAAGCGGAAAATCTTCGAGAAGGTGTGTGCATGCGGAAACCTGGACTGCGGCAAGCTGGGCAGTGATACACATGGTCAAGATGCTGTGCTTCTCGACAACGCATGGAATGGCAAGGAGTTTAGTCTGCATTCCCACCGCCTTCAGCGTTCGTGCAGTGTGTGCACTTCGTCCTGATTTTGGCGGTACGACGAATGGATTCGGCGATGAAAATGCTTCTGCCAACATCTCCTCTGCACTGTATGCTAACGATGAGAAAGGCCGATGCACAACCGAGAGGATTCTATTTACGATCAACCTTAAGTGTGGGGCATGAACTCGGATACTCACATTGCTGCGATCATATGGGCTGTGAACCTTAAGAAAAGAGAAGAGAGAGTTAGCAAGCATTTCAAATCACATTGGGCGCGAGTCCGTACATCACTTCGTCCATTTTGCCGTTCCTTTGAAGAGGATCCCTCTTGCATGCTGGAAGGAGTGACAACCATATCGCAAATTTTGCATCACAGCTGTCGATTAAGCTCTCCCCAAAGGTACCTGTTTCTATGAACATCTTCATGACTGCAACGTGTCAGCTTGTACCCATATAGCTACCAATGCGGATGTGCTTACTATTTGCGGCAATCTGAGTCATGTCGTACAGGTACACGAGGGACGAATAAATAATCTCAATTTCCTCAAATTCGCGATTCTCGTACTCAGCCCATGTTGCAATTTGCGGGATTTGCTAGCTATGTTAGTATTGGCAATACAGAGTACTCGGACCGGACGTACCCCTGATTCGTACAAGTCGTCATCGCAAGGTAGGTCGACGAAGTTTGGTACAGTAAGCAAAGTATAGATTGGAGAGTTGGTCACGATTGCAAAGTACTGGTTAGCAATAGTAATCATATAGTATGTTCTCCTCCAAGATTCCTCGAGAACTGGATTTGCTTCACCATACGCTTGAGCGAAGCCTGTTTGATTCATGCACAGCTCCAGAGCAAGTGAAACCGCTTGATCCAGCCGCAATCGTGCTTCGCCTCGCACATCGCAATGATATTGTGCAATCGCAAAGAGCATCAGTGCTTGGACATTGAAGGGTGTTCTTGCAAGACTAACAGAGCTCAGAGCTTGCAAAGCCGTTTTGTAGTAAGGTTCCGACACAGTCCAGGGCGCATATATGCATCCAATCCATTGTAAAACAAGCAAAAGCTCATCCATCCCATGTTTTTCGTGCAGGCGCCTAGCTTGGAAGTAGTGAAATGGAAGGACGATGGGAAATGAGGGCCAGAAGTTTTCGAAGTACAACTCTAGGAGTCGATCAACGCTAACTTGGAAAGCTAGAGGGTTCAGTTGAGAAGTCTGCGATTCCACGTGGGGTATAGCATCGATCGCCACGCTGCCAAAGAGGCCATCGGAGAGCGACTGATGGCCGGTCGGAGACGAGCGTGTAGAGGATTGAAGTTCATGTCCATTATTCGGCGGGTCAGGATTCTGGTTCTGCTGCGTGTGCTCAGCTTCTTGTTGTAACCGTAGACGTCGTCGTGCTAGTGCAGCTTTGTCGAGACCGCCTCTTCTCGACTTTTGATACGTGCACTCTTTCCCGTCGTGCTTGCACCGGTTGCATATTGGTTGGGTAGCATCGCATTTTACATGTCTGCCACGACACTGTGTACATGCCAACACGACGCGGTCAATTCGTTTGGGGTCTCCACATGGATCCATCAAGCTAATGGCGGGGTGGGGTTCTAATGATTGAAGCGGGGTTGATCTCCAGGGGTGAGTGGGCTCGCTACAGGCTGCGCCGAGTTTTGTGATGAGAGGATTTCCAAAGTGCCTACGCCCTAGTTGAGCTAGTTTTGTGATGAGCAACGAATTAGGAGAAGACGAGTTGTGGCTGAACGTCAAAAAACTGTAGGTTACGGTCATCTGCTTATGCAGCCGACCAGATCAACTTCGTACTGAGCTTGGCAACAGTCGGAGTTACACGTCGGAAGTCGCTCCTTTTCCACCGACCTGTACAATTACTCTGCGAAAGGGGTACGCAGGATGATATAATCCTATGTTTATTCAGAGACGTTATGTTGCATCTGACGCTTGGATTCTTCTACACTTCCAGGCTCTCACCACCGCCGTTCTTTGTCTTCGGCACAATCTTCAGGGAAAAGTCCACATGCGGCACGCCCTGATGTATACTACTCGTACTCACAATGTCGATATCCTCACAGACATATTTCTCGACATTATGCTCGGTCAATCCACCACTGACCTCCACCAAGAATGCCTTTCTGTCGCCCGTGCCACGTCCCCACTTTCCCTTCAATTGTGCAGCAGCCACTTTGACACCATCCGGCGTGAAGTTGTCCAGCATGACGATGTCAGCACCAGCTGCGATTGCCTCGTCTGCCTCCTCGAAGCTTTGGCACTCGACCTCAACTTTGATGGCAAAGCCGCCTGCTGACTTGGCGGCGCGGACAGCGTTTGTTATACTTCCCGCAGCAACTATGTGATTGTCTTTCAGCATAGTCATGGCGGATAAGTCGACACGATGCGCGTCCACGCCACCGACAAGCATTCCATACTTCTCCACTAGCCGGAAGCCAGGCGTAGTCTTTCGGGTTCCAGCAAGTATATTAGGATAGCCAGCTTTGCGGAGGAGCACCAGCAAGCGATCTGATTTTGTCGCTATACCGGAGCAACGTGCCAGTGTGTTTAGTGCTACGCGCTCGCCCAAAAGGATTTTGCGGACTGGTCCCCGTACGGTTGCACAGTGTGTAATTGGTTGGAAGGAAGAACCTTCTTTGACGTGCCATTCAACTCTGCATCCGTTAATGCCGCCAATTTTACGTGATGTGCGGGGGAGCTCACGTGCAATCCAGCTGCCGGAAGACTTCGTCGAAGAAAGGCACACCGGCTACAACGCCCTAACTACCGTCAGGCTGTAGTAAGAAGAAGAGAGGAAAACTTACCTCGCTCTTGCCCAGAAGTTTCGCCTCGGATATCTCCTCACCGACCACGAAGCCGCCATAGTCGAAGCTCGGCGTATCCTCTTCGAGCCATTCCAAGATGTGACGCTTGTACGTCTGAGGAAGCAAATGAGCTACTGAGCCGTGTGCTGGAGCGCCTTCTCCCATGTTTAACAGTAGTCACTAGTACTCCAGGAAATCGGGTTGAAGCTGAACCCTCGGTGCTGGGGTAGTGGGCTGTAGAGATGAGTTCATGGGAGTTCGGTAGGGCTCAAAGGTTATCGATACTTTAGTTGCCGGCGCTAAGCGGCCGCGGATCGGATCTCCATTCATCTGATTATTCCCCTGTACGTATGCAAGGGGCGTCAACGTCCCGTACGAGGGTGCTATGTTCGCTACAAATGACTGAAGGTCTATATCTTCGACTTGGACTTTTCTCCCGTCAAACGCCGCCAGCCGCTCCTTCGCGTCCTACTCAGATGCAATGGGCAAGATATCTCTCCCGCCCTCGGCCTCATCTCCAAGTCTTCCGCAGCATCGGTCGTCGACCCCTTCGCCATATGCAGCATTTCCTTGAGAGAGGGCCAATCTGCTTCACTTTATTCTGCACCATCGCTACAAACGCATCCAAAGTGCCCGTGACAGATCTGCCACCCCTGACTCATAGGTTCTTAGTCTGTCGCTATCTTCGGCCTGCGGCTCGCTCATTTGCTTGGGAAATTTATACAATACCTAGGTACTACCTGTAGTAGTAACTGTACCAATGGACCTCGGGATGTTCACTCTGTAAGAAGCAGATTAGTGCCCAATCACGTGCCAATACATCCTAGCGTTCATCCGATAACGATATGACGCAGGGTCCATCTTGCTATGCCTCAGGGCATCCCACGTGCCTCGGACACTCCCTTGTATCAGCCATCTGACTGGCCACCATCCCCCGCCGATCCTCATGATGCCTCAAACACCGCCCTGCCTCGTCTGCGTGACCTCGTGAGGTGTCATGTCTAGTGCTGCGCCCTGAGTGGCTATGGCCTTTGATCCTTTCATACATCTTATTCATCTATATTGCAAGCTCCCCGACGCAACGCTCGGTACTATTCGGTGCTTCTATAGTACTTCATTACGCTCCAACGACTAGGTGGGTATTCCTGGACCAGTCGATTCAATACAACGACACTCGAGAAGGCGGCGAGTAACCAGACTAGAACAACGACCTTCCGCATCGAGGAGAAGCGTAGTCGCCACTGCGAATCAAGACGAACGACGTGAAGGCGTGGGTTAAGAGCCGCCACTACGGGAGTCTATCGACCCGCGAAAGCTTGTCACTGCTTGTTCCACAGCACCAGGCCATTGCTACAGACTAGCACTTCGACATGCCGGCCATGCTAGCCTCCTTTGTTCAGGCCGCAAAGGAGGGAGTACAAAATGTAGCCTCCTCCCGGGGCTTCTTCCCAGCAGAGTCAACAGACATGCCTTCTCTCAGGACGCTCAGTAAATTCGCTTTCAGCGGTGCTCAGGTGCTACTTGGTGGTGTGGGGACCCAGAGGGTGATGGGCGCGTACACACAGAGTTGTCCGGCCCCCCAGTTGAGCTGCCATAACACTACCGTTGTGGAGAACTTGTGTTGCTTCAATGCGCCAGGAGGACAAATACTGCAGACACAGTTTTGGGATACAACCCCGGCCACTGGACCGGAGGATAGCTGGACTCTCCATGGCTTATGGTACGCAGTTTCACGGCTTTTCGTTTACGTCAAGCATATCCTAATCTAGTTGAACAGGCCCGACCGCTGCGATGGTACATACGATGCCAACTGCGACCCGTCGCGCGCTTACTCCAACATATCCGCTATTATATCCTCATTCGGCGCCACTGAACTCCTCAACTACATGTCCACGTACTGGAAAGACTACAAAGGCGATGACGAAAGCTTCTGGTACCACGAGTGGGCCAAGCACGGCACCTGTATTTCCACCTTGGAGCCCGAGTGCTACACCGACCACAAGGCTACTGAGGAGGTCGTTGACTACTTCCAGAAAGCGGTAGATTTGTTCAAGCAACTGCCTAGTTATGAGTGGTTGAAAGCAGCAGGCATCGAACCGAGCACCGACAAGACGTGGACGTTTGCACAGATACAGAGTGCGCTCGCTGCGAAGAGGCCGGGTGTGGAGGTCACCTTGGGTTGCAAGAGTGGTGCATTGAATGAGATATGGTATCATTACGATGTGCGCGGGTCGTTACAGACAGGCGAATTTGTAGCGTCAGACCCAGATGGCACGAAGAGCACATGCCCGCAGAGTGGCATCAAGTATCTTCCCAAGAATGGCGGCTCGACACCTCCTCGCACTACAACTACTGTAGCTTCTCCACAGCCTACGAGCACGTCTGCGCCCGGTACGCCCTTCAGTGGCCGTGGATATCTCAATGTGCTGGTCAATGGATCGAAGAAGGGTTGCATCATCTCCAAGGGGGGTTGGTACGCGACTGGCACCTGCGCCACGTTTACCGCTTCATCGGTTGACAATGGCTTCACGCTCTCGAGCTCAAAGGGCAAGTGTGGCATCATTAGCGGGGCATTGACGTGCGATAACACGGTGACCGCTGCCACAGGGTTTACCAGTGTGAGTGGCAACTTGGCAGTTGGTGGAAGTGCGAATTGGAGCGCGGATAAGGCTGCCTCCGGGAGCACGCAACAGTCGGTTTATGCCGGCGCAGATCATTCGACAACGTTCGCGATCTCATGGCAGAGTGTATAAAGAGTATGGAAGGACATAATGTACTCAGTAGTTTGTTGCATTGTGCACTGGTTAAGCAGAGACTTTCCAACTTTCATCATCTTTGATGCACAGAGCGGAGTTGATCATGCGAGCCAAAAAGGGCCCTCTCCATGCGCCTTAGGTATCATTCAACTCGATTCCCGTCTTCTTTCGTAATCCATGACATGTTGAAAGACGCCATCTCAATTCTTTTTGTTGAAAACCCCATCAAACGCCATGTTACGCCACCCGATACCGACCAAGACGGGCTTAGATGGGTAGAGGGAAAGTGACGGCCCACGCCGCAATCTCCTTCTTCAAGCTGTTGATCTCATCAACCTCACCAGATGCTGCCTTGGCCTTGAAGTCCTTGAGCTTGTTGTTCTCCTTGGGTAGGTCACCCTGGATCTTCTTGCATAGCTTGATGCAAATGTCGATGTAGTTTGCAATCTTCTTGAAGTCCTCCTCACCCAGACCCCTCGACGTCATAGCCGGCGCTCCGATACGAATGCCCATTGGCGTCAAGGCAGACTTGTCGCCAGGTGTGGTGTTCTTGTTGCACGCAATGTTCACCTGCTCCAACACGGCTTCGACGCGTGCGCCGTCGAGGGCGAAGGGCTTAAGGTCCAGGAGTACCATGTGGTTGTCTGTGCCATCGGTGACGAGCTTGTAGCCAAGTTCCTTGAAAGCTACTTCGAGGGTTTTGGCGTTCTTGATGACCTGCTGTTGGTAAAGCTTGAAGTCCTCCGTCTGTGCCTGCTTGAGTGCGACGGCGAGCGCGGTGATGGTGTGGTTGTGCGGGCCACCTTGGTGACCGGGGAAGACGGAGAAGTTGATGGGTCCCTCAAGATCGTAGAGAGTCTCCTTGCCCGTCTTGGCGTCCGTCTTGCGCACGCCCTTGCGGAAGAAGATCATTGCGCCACGAGGTCCACGGAGCGACTTATGGGTAGTCGTGGTGACGATGTCGCAGTACGGGAAAGGCGACTTGTTTACGCCAGCAGCGACGAGGCCGGAGATATGGGCCATGTCCATTAGGAGGTAGCAGCCGACCTTGTCAGCGATTTCGCGCATGCGGGCGTAGTCAATCTCGCGGCAGTATGCGGAGGTACCGGCAACGAGTACCTTGGGACGGTACATGAGGGCGTTCTGCTCGAGCTGGTCGTAGTCAATGAGGCCGGTGTCGAGGTTTACGCGGTAAGGGAACGTCTCGAAGTAGGTAGAAACAGCTGAGATCCTGCGTTTTGTCAGTCACCCGTTCCCTCATGCTCTTGCTCGTGCACTTGTCAGACGCACTTTCTCTGCGGTGTCTGGTAACCGTGACTCAGATGTCCACCATGCGGTAGATCCAGACCCATCAGCCTGTCGTGTGGCCTCATGATGGCCTGGTAGGCCTGCAAGTTCGCCGGGCTACCGCTCAGGCACTGCACGTTGACTCCCCACTTCTCCGAATCCAGACCGAACGTCTCGAGCGCACGCTTCTGACATAGCAGCTCAACAGCGTCAATATGCTCGTTGCCGCCATAGTAACGTGCGCCGGGGTAGCCCTCGGAGTACTTGTTCGACATGGGCGAGCCAAGAGCGTCGAAGACGGCGCGAGACGTGACATTCTCTGATGCGATGAGGAGGATGGACTCGCGCTGACGCTGGATTTCTTTCTCCTGATGCTCTGCTTAGGACATTGTATTCTTCCGGGGCTGTATGAGAAGCTCACCATGATCTGCGCGACCTCCTGGTCCGTCTCCACCAAGGACTTCTCCATGAGCTGTCATGAGTCAATATCAGATACAACTGCTTACAGGTGGTGTGGGGTAGGTACTCACGTCCTGGTGGGACTTGGGCAGTGCGTAACTAGACATGGTGGGATTAATCGATGGGGTGAAGGAGAGAGAGGGGAAAGAAAGCGTAGAACACCAAGCTTGGAAGACTGGTGAGAGAATTTAAACAGAGTCCCGCGTAAGCACCTTTGCGAAGACGCGCCCCTCCAGCTTTAAACGGCAACATTTTTTATGCGGGACAACCTTGGAAGTCGGACTACGCTGGGTTAGGAAAGGCGCCTTCGACAAAAGCAGCCGGTCATCGGACTCCGACATGGCCTTCCGACGTGTGTGGGTTAGTCCATCCTTCCAATTCCTTCATAACGAATACCACACACGCCTTATAGCCAACAACAGGACCACATGTCGTTGGTCTTCCTATGGAGGGCGTGGAAGCCACGAGAGTTGGCGGTCCCGCTAGAAGGTAGCATCATCACCACCACCACCAGTCGACAAAGCCACCTCTGAGCGTCCGTTCATGATCTTCAAGCACCAGGCAATGTTTTTCCAATACGACATATCCATTTCTTTCATTCTTTCGTTTGCTACATAAATACAGTCGTCTCCTTGCAACCGAGCCATTATCGAGCTCATATAACTCCTCCACGTCCGTCGTTGTTGTGAAGTCTTTCCATCCGATGCAATAAGAGTGTCCAACGCCGAGTAATGCCAAAATATCGTTCAGAGCAGCAAGCTACCACAACGCGTCGCCAAAAAAGGGTATGCAATCGATTCAGGTCGAAGAGAACAAAGCCAAGTACACTCGGCGCCAATACACAATTCGCCAAACTAACATTTTCCTAATCGTCGTTCTTGAAGGGGGTCGAACCAGTGCTGCCTTCGTTAATCATTGTCGGTCAAGCGATCCAAAACAATGATGCTCAATATCATGACGAGCAACCCAATGGTTACTATTATCAGCAATACAAAGCCGAACCAGCCTAGCACCATGGCTGAAGTCCCGACTCCCGACTTTACGCTCCCGTTCCCCAGGTCTTGTGCGATGGTTGCTGCTGCTACTGACGCTGTGTGTTGCCACAGCACGGAGACGAGGACGAAGATGGATGAGATGAAGATGAGTGCGAGGGCGACTTGAGAGACCGGCCTTGATGGGAAGGGCTTGACGTCGACGTCGGATCCCGTTCGCTCATCGCGCTCCTCGTGCCACCCAGGGAATGTTGCGAGGAGAATGAAGGTGAAGAAGGCGAGGATAATGGCGACAATGAGCAGATAGGGGAAGACGACGGCATCCTTGAACGTAGCGGCGATCCATACTAGGTTGAGGGGGTCTTGGTCGACAGAAAGGTTGTCTACAAGCGCCGTTGCGTTGTTGGAGCAGATGTAGCCGCCGCCGTCCCGGTTGATGCAGATACCGAAGTATCCGACGCGGACACCGAGTCGCGCATTACCGACAATGTTTGCGATGGCTTGTGTAACGCCAGGGTCGACTTGTTCGATGGCGTAGGCTGGTGTGTACTTTTCGTACCATAGTGAGATGAGGAAGATGCCGGGTATGAGCGGTGAAGTGGATGAGCACCCCGCTAGTAATAGTGCTACGTATGATTAGCTGCTGCATCCTTTTCACACTTTGATGGTAAACTTACATAGTAAGATGATAGCAATGGCGATCAAGATCATGAGAACATGGTGGTAGCCCAGAAACGGTATTAACCCTAGTGCATCATGTTAGCAACCATTCCGTCTGTAGCGGTAGTAGTGTAATACTCACGTTGCATGGTGACCGCGAACCGCAGTCCCGCCATTGTGTATATGTCTCCCCTTTAGAATGCCTCGTGCGGGTCTTGGATTATCCCTGCGCCCCCAATGGGCCGGGCGAGATGTACGGTGGAATGCACTCCGACCTGTGCTGCTGGCGTCTCTGTCTCTAAAAGAAGGTGAAGAGAGTGGACGGTCGGTCGGCCTGTGCCCAGAATAGCTGTGTCGAATATGCGTGGAATGCCGTTCGAGATTTGAGATGCGGTACGCTTGGTAGGTAGCTCTTGGGGCAGCTTCGGTTGGAATGTAAACTAGGATAACGATTGTCAGATGCCTCCTGTTGTGGAAGAAGATTCAGCGTGGGTGTGAAGTGAAGGTGGAAGCGTGGAATGTGACTTGTCTCTTTGCCTGCAGCCTCGAATAGTTTTGGTGGTGCCAGAAATGATGAGGTTGGGTGGTTTGGTGGTGGCTGGCAAAGATGGCTGGTAGCATAAACAACGCGCGCGCCCATAGCAACACCCGGCACACGGACGTCATCCCCCAGCCGCGCGCAGCAACCAATCACTGCAGCCCGCCCATGCTCGGAGTATTCTTCTTCTAGAAAAAATATACTACTGACTGACTTGTTCCTGCATTAGAGCGGCCCCATCGCGCTGCATCTCCAGCCTCTTCTTTCCGTGCTGCGACGTGGCAGCTTGCTTGCGGACCACCGACTTGACTAGGTGGGCCACCTCCTATGCGTCTTCTCCTACCTAATAGTCGAGTGGATCCTATATATCTGGTTCCATATCCGCCTAGACGATGCGATTCTACCATTGCCTCGGCCACCAAGGACGGGACGCCTGCTGTCCCAAGTTCTTATCGTCTTCCAAGGCACTACTCGACCTGTGACGCCACAGAGAACACTGCGAGCAACTCTTCGACACGCGTAGTCCTACACAACCTTCACGATGAAATCTCAGCTCGTGCTGCTAGACGTCACCATTGTGATTGTGGCAGAGGGAGCGTTTCGCCCGTCTTCTGCGTCGGCCCGTTTGCAATCGATCGTGGGTAGTCCTGAAGTTCGTGTAGGTGCAACAGCTCATCAGCAGGCTGCTGCTCCTCGTCTGTCGATCGGGTACGTCACACGGCCAGCAGGCTCATTTGCGTTTGCAGGCGGCGAAACCAGTACTTCCCGACGTGGGATTTCGCCCTCGCAGCCTGTTTCCCATGCTGTTGGCGACAGCACTGGAGGCAGATGATGTCACTGCACGTGGGTCTCGATTCCGGCGCAGGGACCTTGTAGCGTCTGCCCCACCTCGAAGCAGCATTCACAACATGCATGTGCTCAGGGACGGGCGCACAAGACTCACAGGTAAAGACCCCTAGGGTTGGAGTGGCTCCAGGTCCAGGAATTGGATTCAGGCCTATGAGGTTGCTCTGGGCAAACTACAAATGTACCTGAATACCGCCCGCACGAGGCAAACCGCGCTTGTGAACATCTCCTATCAACCACCCCCTGCTCCTTTGCCCCCATAATGTCTAACAGAGACCACCAATGGGAACAGTAGTCTAATCTGATCTTTGCCAGAGAACTGGTCTTCCAGCTTATATGACGCTAGAGTTACGTCGTAGCATCACGAGCGTGCTTTCATGCCTGGCAGCTGTCAGACAACCCTCCTGCTGCTGTCACGCAATCGGCAGCCATGAACATGACGTAGCTTCCCGATTCCTCGACAGCATATAAACAGCCGTCTGTCTCTGCTCAAATCTTGCTCCATCCACCAACACCTGCAACTCGAACATCCAATCTGCACATTCACCCAAACCAATCCCCCAAGCCAACCACCAATCTTCAAGATGTCTGACGCTCTCCGCAAAGATTTCCACACCAAGGCTGGGGAGAAGATTGTACGCCGAAGCCATCTAGCCTCCTACTGTATTAACACAACTTACTAACCCCTACCCAGACTCCCGACTCCTCCAAGTCAACTCTTGACAAGGCCAAGGAGAGTATTACTGGTGCCGGTGACAAGGCCGCCCGTGGTGCTCAACCAGACTCCGAGAAGTCCACTTCGCAATCCGTCAGTGACAAGTTCGGCCGCTCCAAGGATAGAGAAGTCCACGGCAGCTCCAGCGGCTCCGTCGTCGACAAGGTAAGAAGAGCACCGGCGAAAGTGCATTTGAGATACACACTAACTTACTCTGTTTGCAGACCAAGAGCGCTTTCGGTCTCGGCGATAAGCACTAGATGCTCTCTATCCCAACAGGTTATGGAATAGAAACCGACGGAGTGCCTTGCTCGTCACAGGATTGGAGACGATGCACCTGATGACTTGTGGTTGAGGGATGCGACTGCTTTATGAGATACCATGCCCTAGGGCTAATGAATGAATACTCTTGAACCTACCAACTTTCCTCTCCGTGATCCGAGTGTGATGGCCTTGATAGCGCAGTCTCCAATTGCATCTTGACTTAACAAATTGTCGGGATAGGAGACGGAACAATCTGTTTCAGGGGCAGTCAAAGCGTCCTAGGGCGGCACCTAGAGGGACGAGTAACATGATGATGAATATCACATTCATGATAAATCCGGATCCCGCATGTACACTACTTTACGGTATCACACCCAAATCCTACACCAGTCCTCTCAGTTCCAATGTGTGGTAGCGTTCCGGTACCTCAACACCAAACGCCAAGCCCCAAACAACCAACCCAAAACACGTTCACGCCCGTCTTGTAATGTAGTCCTTGTTCTCAATCGTAACACTCTTCGTCTTCGAATCGTTAGCACTAAACCTCGGCTTTTGAAATGTTTCCAGATTAGAGAACTTACCATATGATTGACCTTGTACACCCCCACCAACCGACTCGAAAGCTCAAACATATTATTCCGCAGTGAGATGACAATAAACTGCGCATTCTTCGTCCTCTCTTTGATATAACTCGCCACAATGCTCACGTTCCGGAAGTCCAGCGCAGCATCAATTTCATCCATAACATACAGTGGTGTCGGCTTATATTGGTGTAGCGCAAACACCAGCGCCAAACTGGACAGGGTTTTCTCTCCACCGGAAAGGTTAGTGATGGTTTTCCAGGATTTCTTCGGTGGCATGACGGAGAAAATAATGCCTTCGGTGAAGGCGTCGAGAGTGTCCACATAGTCGAGCTCGGCATTGCCGCCCATGGTAATCATTTGGTACATGTTTTTTAGGCGGGCGCTGATGATGTCGAAGCCTGTCTTGAAGCTCTCCTTACGTAATTTGCGGAGTTCATTGCACTTTTGTTTTGCAGCGTCGCGTGCGGAAACAGCGTTGGCGAGGTCAGACGAACGTGTTGCGTGCTCCTCGACACGCTTGCGGTATTCGGCGAGAACAGAAAGATCAACCTGTGTGTTTTCCTTCTTCTTCTCGAGGTGTGCGATTTCATCCTTGAGGACAGACTTATCCTTCTCTAGTAGTTCGTCTTTGGAATATGAGGGAAGGCCTACGTCGCACTCTTGCTCCTCGCCCAAATCACTGGAGAAGTTGTTAGATATGTCCTTATGTTGGAAGGATGAGATGTACTTACGTCACGTTCTGATAGGACAGCTTGCTCAACTTCTCGTGGAAGTAAGCCTGCTTCTTCTGAAACTCGCCGAGACTCTTCTGGCCCTCCTCAAGCTTGTTCCGCATTTCAATTTCTACGGCGCGGGTTTCGTTCAGCTCTACCCTCTTCTCATCAAGCTCTTTCTTAACTGCTTGTAGTTCGTCCTTCCTTGACTCAAGTGTCTGTGATATTCATTAGCTTGAGGTATGTGGCGAGTGTATTAAAGAGTCGGTGTACCTCTCGTGCTTCTTCAGCTTGCTGTCGGATGCCGAACACATCACGTTGTTGAGCCTGCATATCTTCTTCGACTTTCTCTGCCTCAGTCGCAAGCTTCTCGAGTTCCCTGATTGCATCAGCATAAGCCTTCTCATGCTTGGCTCGCTGTTTTTCTTCCTTTGACTTCGAGACTTCAGCGTTCGATGCCTGATCAGTCAAAGTATCGATTTGCTGCTTCAAACCATCAACCTTGGCTTTTTGACTTCGGAGCTTCACACCACCGATCTCCATGATTTTTTCTTGCAGGCGTTTGATCTCGGCTTCGACATCTGCTGTCTCGGCATGGAGTTTCGATGTCTCCTTCTCCATCAAGGTGATGCTCTTTTCCAACAACGAGATTCGTCCTTTGTCTGGTTTCGTTGACGCTTGTTCGGCACTTAGCTCCTCGATGCGGCGTTCGCAGTCTGCCATATTACGATCGAAGCTGTCTAGCTCAAGTGCGATCTTCTGCGCCGTTGTATCAAGCTCAGGTATTTTTTGACTGAGGTCGCGCAAGGCGATTTCAAGCTCTCGTTGCTCTTGTTGAAACTCTGCAAAGTTCTGTTCGAGTACATCTCGGTCCTGCTCAAGCTTGGTAACTTGATCCTTGGAAACATCGGAAGCAAGCTTGGACGACATCTTCCCCTTCATGACCCGACTTCCACCACCACTCATGGTACCAGCCGTGTCAATGAGTTTCCCGTCAAGAGTGACGACTCGCCATCGCTTTGCACCATAGGCGATGCGCTCTGCCTGGTCCAGATCCTGTGCAACGAGTGTGTTTGTCATGACCTGGAAGAACGCGGGTCTAAGCCTGTCATGCTTAGGCTTTACGAGGTCAAACAGACGAGGAACATTTTCCGGTGTCTGGACCGGAGACATGTCGCGCTTGGCAAGGCGGTCTAACAGGATGAAGTTGGCGCGGCCGAGATTGTTTTTTCGCAAATACTCGATGCACTGCTGACCGGATTCTACAGAGTCAACCACCATGTTGTCTAGCTGCGAGCAAGCGGTAGAGATCGCAACGTCGTATTTCTGGTCGATTGTGCCTAGGTTGCCGAGTCGGCCATGGAAACCATCAATACGTCCAGATTCCTTTAAGCGCATGAGACCTGTCAAAACATTGCCTTGTGTTTGTGCTGAAGAGAGGCTAGCGCGAGCTTCGTCTGCCTTTGCTCTCGCACCCGAGAGCTTCGACCTCAATGCCGGCTCCTTCAGTGTATAGTCCTCCATCTTGACCTGCGCTTTTTGGATTTCTTTTTCGACACGCTTCCTCTCCGCTTTGCATTCATCAAGCTCGGTGGCCTTTGCTTGCTTCGATTCCTGGAATCCTACAAGTTTTGCCTCAACATCGACAATGCCCTTGGCACCCGCATTTTCTCTCTCACGAAGGATATCGAGCTCGCTTTGTGCGACTGCAATCGCCGACAGCTTCTCGTTGATCCTGGCGCTCCAAGGCTCGAGAAACTTCTGCTTGGCTGCAATCTCGTCCGAAAGGCCTTGCGTCTTGCCTGCCAAGCTCTGACGCACAGCTTCGAGCTCCTTTTCTTCGGCCTTCATACACTGCTCCAGCTCGGCCATCTCTTCACTATAGCGCTCTAGATCTGCAGCATATTGCTTGGCGAGACTCTGGGCTTCGGACCTGCCGTAGTTGCTCGTCTCCTTGGTCTTCTCTAGCTTCTTCTGTTTGCCCGCCAAGAACTTCTTCTTCTCCTCGAACTTGACTGTCTCCTTGTCGATGCGCGCAACCTCCTTTTGGTACTCCTGGTTCTTCTTCCCGAGTTGCTCGCATTCTTTGGCACCTTTGTTGAATTGCCGTTCGAGTTGTTGGATGTCGTCCTCGCTACCTCGGTGTTTCTGCAGCTCTTCGTCTAATTGGGCTTGTAAGCCAGAGACAGCCTCCTGGGTGACCTCCATGTGATCGTCGAACTCAGAGATGTAGATCTGATAGAGAGTAGACTGTTTAGTAGCTAGTTCGTTCTCGTCCCGGATATAGGCCAAGGCTTTGCTTTTCTTCTCCTCCAGTCCGCTCTTCTCTTTTTCCACATGCTGTACTCGGCTGGTTTTCTCCTGGCAGAGCTCATTCAGGGTCTCCACTTCGGCTGTAGACTCCTCAATGGGTGCTTTGTACTTGGACGTGCCAATGATGTCCTCTAGGTATTCGAGGAGGCCATCATCGTGGTCGCCCAGTGCTTTCGGCTTCATCTGTGCGATGGCCTCGACTTCACCTTGCAAAATCAAGAAACGCTTGTGGTCGAGATCTACCCCCCGGTCTCGTAGTAGGGTCGTGACGATTGTGAAGGTAGACTCCTTGTTGTTAATATAGTATTTGCTCGAGTTGTTCTTGAAGGCTCTTCGCGAGATGACTAGCTGTGAGTCTGGAACTACTTCACACCCGTCGGTTGGAAGATCCTTGACTTCCTCAAAGTGAACCTGGACTTCGCAATAGTCCAAATCCATATATGCAGCCGAATTGTGAATGAGTGCCGAAAGCTTGCTCTGCCTCATTTTGCTTGCACGGAAGCCAAAGACGAAGAGCAGGGCGTCGATGACGTTTGACTTGCCGGAACCGTTTGGCCCAACTACAGAGCTAAATGAGGCATGAAATGGGCCGACTTCTTGCCGGCCGGCATAGCTCTTGAAGTTGTCAAGGATAAGCCAGGCGATGACTGTCCGTTGTTTTGGTGCTGCGGGGTCGTGCAACGATGGCATTTCAACCGCTCGCTTCTTGGCTACAATTTCCATGGGCTTCTCTAGGACTGCATGCTGCGCGTTGACATTTTCAACCATTTCCAACCGTGGCTCTGGTTCTGTCTGCGGCTCTGGTATTGGTGCTTCCTCCCTGACTTCTAACTTTGTAGTCTGGGCGACGGGTTCTGGTGCTGGTTCTGGTACCGGTGTCTGTTCATACTCTATAGATGATTGGGTAAGCTCGGCGATAGGTTCAGGTGTAGATTCAAGTGCCAGTTCGGGTACTGGTGTCTGCTCGTTCACCCTGCTGTTGGTAATGTCGGCGAGAGGCGTGCCGGACATGCTGACGGGCTCTGGTTCAGGAGAGATGGAGGGCTCAGGCGTGAGAAGCTGGGAGTCTTCCTCGGCAGGAAATGCAGCAACCGAGCCTCGAGGCTTCCTACCGCGCTTCTTGGGGACAGTTTTTGAAAGTGAAGGCGGCCTAGCAACCTCTGGCGCAGGCGTAAACAATTGTGTCGGCTCGACCGACTCTGTGGCACGGGTCCGTCGCCTCGTCGATTTGGGCGTCGCAAGCTCGTCTGTGTCTGCAGCCTTCCGTGGCCGCCCCCGCCCGCGTCCCGTCTTGAGTGGTACGGGTGCAGGTGTAAAGTCATCTTCACTCTCCTCCTGCTTGACCTCAGGCGTGGGTGTCCTGTTCTCGTCCTCATCTGAGTCGTCGACGATAGGTGCCTTGCGGCGCGTTGCAGCTGCGCGCGTGGACTTTCGGGGCGATATCGAGGCCATGTTGCTGCTGCTGCTGCTGCTGCTGCTGCCGCTGCTGCTATGGGGTTGGCTGAGGGCTGAGGGCCGTATGCGCAAAAGTCCGTCTATCTTGTGCGACGTGTGCCACCTGCGACTGCAGTGTTGTGTTGTGTTCCGAACAGCGCACGGACGTAAAGTAAACACGAAAGACGCGCTAAGCACGTGCCGTAGCCTCAACCCTCAAGGCCGACGTTGAAGGCGCTTTTTGTACATAGAGCGAGAATAGCCTCGATGTCTCCCCAGCACTAGAATTCCAGTCGTTCGCTTAAGAGTGTTTGGCTTGAAGGCACCCTCTCCACAACCCCGTGGTCATCTCTTCATGGCACCAAGTCATACGTTGCAGCGAAGCAAAGGAGCCCCCCTCCCCGCAAATCCATACCGGGAGCAACTGACCCTCTCCACCTCCAACTCCGCGGCCTTGCTCCGTCTTAGACTGCATTCTAGTACCCTCATAAGCTAGCCATAATGGATTCCGCCCTCCAGAAATTCAAGCTTGTCTTCTTCGTTCCGCCCGCCGCCCTCTCAGCCTGCAAGACGGCCATCTTCGCCGCCGGCGCCGGATGTTTCCCAGGCCCTGCCGGCTACACTGACTGCTGTTTCATAAGCAGAGGCACGGGGCAATTCAAGCCGGGTTATGCTGCGAATCCACATGTACGTTAATACGGGCCGACGTCTCCCGTGGACAAGGCTAATGTGGTCTGCTCGTGAAGATTGGGAAAGTAGGAGAGCTTGAGCAAGTAGACGAGTGTAGAGTGGAGGCGATATGTCTCGGTCGTGAGACTGCTGTAAAGGCTGTCGAGGCGTTGAAGAGGTGAGTTCTACATCATGACCATGGAAAGTAATGGTCATAATCTAAGCTATATACCATAAATAGGGCACATCCGTACGAGGAGCCAGCTTATGAGGTTTATAAGATGGAAGATTTGTAATCTCCATGCCTGACTGTGCATAGCCACTTCAGCGCTTTTAATGCTCTAGCTTTCCTTGTCCTCAGAAATATCTTGGAGGACCTTCCTGATGATAGGCAAGTCCCGGTCTACGTCCGTCATCCAGTTTGATACCGCGAATCGGCACGCAGGCTTTCCGTCCCATGATGTTCCAGATAAATAGATCTTTCGAGTAGCTTTGATCTTGTTGACTAGTTGCTCGTTGAGCTTCTCATCCTTCGCTCGGAAGAGCACAATGATGTAGATGTTGCTTAGAACCTCCTCCATGGACCCATCAAACACGGGAAGGAGTTCGAAGTCATCGCTCTCCGTAATAAACCGAGCGATTCCTCGCGTTAGATTGATCTGCCGTTCCAACATATCTCGATACCCACCCTGCCCATAACACAACAAACTCGCATACACCGGCAACGCCCTAAACCGTCTCGAGTTCTCAAGCCCAACGTTTAGAGGACTCATGATACCATCAGAGTTATTCCCAGAAGCCAAGTAGGACGCATTTGGGTTCCGGAACACACGTTCAGCAATGTTGCGGTGCCGAGATAGGAAGAATCCGCAGTCGTAGGGTACGTTGAGGAGCTTGTGGCCATCCCCTGTTATAGAATCGGCGAGGTCGAGACCAGCGCAAGCCTGCCTGATCCTTTCGTACTTCGGATCAGTGAGGACGCGGCCTAGGATCCCGAAAGCGCCGTCGATGTGAATCCATGCACCGTACATGTCACACAACTTCCTAAGCTCTTGCATTTCTGCCACACCCGAGGTCGCGAAGAGGCCGGTATTGACTTCCGACGCAGAGACAGCAACGATAGAGGCGGCACCAGGTTGCTCGAGGAGTTTCTTCAGGAGCTTCATATCGAATTTGTGACTCGCCCCTTCCTGCCCAATACACTTGACAGACGCTCGTCCTAAGCCTAGAATACTTGCAGCCTTGCTGAGCGAAGAATGAGGCACCGTCGTGAGGATCTGGATCTCATCTATACCCGCTTTCCGCATAGCCTCCACAATCCCGAGCTCGCCAACGCTGTTCTCAGCGTCTGTGCGGTGTGCTGATGCCTCGGCGATGATGTACTCGCGTCCACATGCTAAGCCGAGGACGTTTGAGGCCGTGGCGCCAGTGGTGAATATACGGTGTGGCCATTGAGTGGGATCAAAATCCAGCAACTCGCACAGGAGAGAGAGTGCTCTGTCTTCCACTTCCGTAGCGATGGTCTCTTTCGGTAGGTGCACCTGAACATTCTGGTCGTAGTGGGTGACCAGATTGTCGGCGAGCGCTGCTGCTGGGGTGATACCGCCAGTGACAAAGCCATAGTAATTTGGCGAGCGGGACGAGGCATTAAAGGCTGGTGCTATTTCTTCCTGAAGGTGGCGTATGGTTTGTTCCAAGCCAATTCCAGTACTCGGCAAATGCGGCTGCAGCTTTGAACGGGCGTTATCGAGTGCAGTGGATCGTGGAAGGACTTCTGGTGGTTGAGCCTTGGTATGTAGTTGTGCAATTGCGGCGGAGAGTTTGCTGAATGTTTCATGGCCCTGGGCTTCCATGGTAAATTTCTAAATCTACTTCGGACGGATAGAGTGTTTTGAGAAGACTGTGAGACAGCAAGGTGAGTATAATAAGGAAGTTCAGGACCGATATTGATATTCTGACTCCTCCTCGCGGTCCGAGTCATGCACCAACTCCTCCCGCTTCTCGTGCATCACACGGCTCGGACATGAAGGAAAATTTGGGTGGTTCTATGTAGTCACTGCTAGTGCTGACCTTTAGCTGGAGGCGTGTCTAATAAGCGTGACGGCATCAACTCAAATGATAACGGCAAAGAACGGCACGCCACGTGCTCTGGTGAATTTAGCGCGGCGTACCAAGCGACGCGTAACCGGACATGGATGCACAACACGACTCTACCGACAACATCACCGCCACGACGCCCGTAAACTCGCGACTTGGATGCAAATGCACGCGTAGACTATCGATGCGGACCCTCGCGCAGACGATGCGACGCTCTAATGCCTCACAATAACCTTGGTAACCATCTCAAGTGGTTGATTACCGAGAAGCCTTTTATTCCGCCCGCGATATCGCTCGTTGCATACGATCCCGACGCTGCTCCCCTGAGCTCTCTGAACTCAGCGACTCCTTCACAACACTCCTCATTATTAGTCGAGCACGTCACACAGAATGAGCCTGAACCCGTCTCCGCGCCACAGCCTGCACTACCCATCACCCGGCCTACCCCCCCTCGCCCACTCACACGAACGAAGACGATCGATATACACAATCCACCACCGAGGGAGGGAGTAAGCTCAGAAATGGCAAGGATGCGGGCCACGCCAGGCAGCGGGAAGCCTAGGCTTGTGTTGGCGGGGTTGCCGCAGTATGGGTCGTCTTCAGCAAGCGAGCAAAGGGAGCAAGACGATATTGCTGCGCAAACATACCTTGATGAGTTGGCAAGGCCGGGCATAGCAAGAACTAATCCTGGGCCATTGAAAATGTCGGCATGCGGCCAGCCGACCCCCAGGAAGCAGCGCATCAAGGTAGCCGATGTCGAAGCCATTGATTTGACTGGGGACGAGGAGAGTCGCTCCACTCTGGTTCCACATCGTACCATCACCAGGACAAAGAAGCGGAAGAGCGATGAATACGAGGAAGACCTCGGTCACACCAAGTCTCCTAGGGCTGTTCGGACAGCTCCTGCGGGCAGTCCTGAGCTCGCTAACAATGATTTTGCCGACATCGACGACATGCTCATAGCTCCACCCAGCCCACCTCCACCTTACTCGATCATTGCGAGAGTTGGAGGGCACCAAGGGGAGGATGACGGAGCTGCTGATGAGGAAACCTATGAAGCTAGAATCACCTCGGACGATGAACATGAGTTCAGGACGCATATGATATCCCCATGTACTCGCAAGCGCAAATCACTGAGCCGTCTCCCGTCGCAAAATTCCGCCCTGGCGCGCAAGATGGGCAAGCAGACGCGTAGCCCTTCTCTAGAGAGGAAAGGCGTCTCGGAAGTGGATGCCAAGGCAACGAAGACCGGACGTTCGCGGACACCTGTTACTAAAAGAGTCGGACAGGCGGTTTTGGACTCTGAGGATGAAGAGTTTGGCGGTTTCGATGAAATGGACTGTGATCTGAGATCCCGCACCAAGTCACCGTCCCCCACGAAGAGGAAGGCACGGGAAAATACACCACTTCCGAACGCGATGAGGGGTGAGTCAGGTCAAACACAACTACCCATCCGATCTCCTACCAAGGCTACCCGCAGTCCTAGCCCTTTGGGGATGAGCAACAACTCAATGCCAACGCCAGCAAAGTCGCAGTCTCCTCGAAAAGTGCCATGCTCGCCAGACAAAATCGAATCTACGCCCAATCCACTCATTTCAGCAGACACGCCGACCCCACCCTTGTCTGAGCTGTCTAAGGAGGAGAGAGACGATATTCGGCAGATCACTGATGCTTTCTTAGATTCAGAAGGTCGTCGCCTACAAAAACACCTTAGCACTGCAAGTTCAGCTTGGGACAAGGCACGTGCAGCATTTCTGGCACATTTGGACGAGTTCGGAAGGCCAGACCAAAGTGAGCAGGAGAGGATGGAGCGTTCACGTTCGCGGAAAGAGGCTGTGGAACAACTGATCGCGTTGAAAAGTAAGCACGACGGACTCATTGCTCGTAGGCAGCAAGTGAAGAAGAAGATTGAAGAAGATCTGAATATTGGACAATTTGACTCAGCAGATGGCGAAGCCCTCAACAAGCTGTTCAGGTCGCTTGAAGAGGCGCAGTTCCGTATGTATAATCTTCTAGGCATTGCAGGTATCAAACAGCAGCCAGGAAGGATCAAGACCGAAGACAAGCGTCCGGTTATAATACTATCGACTCAGGCAAGCCCCATCCGGCAACAGCCTAAGATACGATCCGCCGATTTCCAACAGACGCAATACGTTCAGCAAACCCAGGTCGCTGAACAAGAGGTCTGGACGCCTTCCCGCAATATACGTTTCGCTGAGGAGCAAGTATCTGCGTCTTTACGGCCGCCTATGAACATGGGCTCTCGCCCACATTTGAACGAGAGCACAGCAGAAAAGAGCAGTCCAAGGCCACAAGAGCGATCTCATCGAGTTCTCGAAACACCACAGCGCCGTCGATCTCCTACACGATCAGGACCCGTTGTTCCCAATGGGCAACCATCGTTCGACATACCAGACGAGTTTGGTGAGCTGGATTTCGATGATAACGAAAATCTATTCAGCAACAACATGGGCTCACCTCCTCGGCCAATCGAGATAAATGATGATGACGACGAATTTGCTGAGTTTGGTGCGGACGATGATGACTTTCTCCATGAGATCAGTAATATCGAAAACCAAGCACCAGGCGGCTTCGATTGGAAAGGTGACAGGACTGAGAATCGAGTGTCAGCCCGTTCTCGAGAAGTGTTCCGTGAAACTGCAAGTAATAAGATGCAGCCGCCAAACCAGCAACTATCGCCGAAGAATCCCCAACTCAACTTGCCCGGAAAGAATCTCCCCGGGATGAATTTCAAATGGTCACAGGATTTGAGAAATGCCCTAATCCGTCGATTTGGACTCCGCGGATTTCGGCCAGGTCAACTGGAAGCCATCAACGCCACCCTATCTGGAGAGCATTGCTTCGTGCTCATGCCGACGGGAGGTGGCAAGTCACTTTGTTACCAGCTACCGTCGGTAATCGCTTCGGGAAAGACAAGGGGAGTGACTATTGTGGTTTCTCCACTTTTGAGTCTGATGGAGGATCAGGTGGCAGCCTGCGAGCAACGCTTTGGTATGCAAGCGTTTCTAATCAATGGAGAGTCCACAGCAGCACAGAAAAACTTCATTATGGATGGTCTACGTGAACGAGACCCTCAGAAGTTTATTCAGATACTTTACGTGACTCCAGAGATGCTGAGCAAGAATCAGAGAATGATCAACGCCTTCCAGCAGTTACATGCTCGAGGCCAGCTCGCTAGGATCGTCATTGATGAAGCACACTGTGTCAGTCAATGGGGTCACGACTTCCGCCCCGATTACAAGGCGCTTGGAGACGTCGTACGCCAGTTCCCAGGCGTGCCCGTCATTGCTCTGACTGCGACCGCAACTCAGCTCGTCCGCACTGATGTCGTAGCCAACCTTGGTATACAGGGATGCCATCAATTCTCGCAGAGCTTCAATCGACCCAATCTCTCCTACGAAGTGTTGCCTAAATCCAAAGGCCTCGTTAACAATATTGCGGATCTGATCAAAGAACGGTACACTGGAAAATCCGGTATCATCTACTGCCTATCCCGCAAGAGTTGTGAGCAGGTAGCTCAGAAGCTGTCCGATCTCGGCATCCGTGCCTTTCACTATCACGCGGGGATGGAGTCCGCTGACAGGTCAGACGTTCAGCGTAAATGGCAGAGTAACGAGTATCACGTCATTGTGGCCACAATTGCTTTTGGCATGGGTATCGACAAGGCTGATGTGCGATATGTCATCCATCACACATTACCAAAGAGCTTGGAGGGCTATTATCAAGAGACTGGCCGCGCTGGCCGTGATGGCAAGCGATCGGAGTGCTATCTGTACTACCAGTATGCCGATTCGAGAACGTTGCGGAAGATGATTGATGATGGGGAGGGTAGCAGAGAGCAGAAACAGCGACTGCATGATATGCTACGCACCGTCATCCAGTATTGTGAAAACAAGGCCGATTGTCGACGTGCTCAGGTCCTTGGATACTTTAGCGAGTCCTTCGATCCTGCCAAGTGCAACTCGACATGCGACAATTGCCGCTCTGACGCCACCTTCATTACGAAAGACCTTACAGAGTATGCCGCAATGGCCATCAAGCTTGTAAGCCAAGTTCATCAGGATAGCGTTACAATGCATCAATGCGTTGATGCTTTCCGGGGCGCGAAGAGCGCAAAGATCGGACGCTCCGGCTTGGAGGAATACGGATGGGGCTACGGAAAAGACTTGGAACGGGGCGATAATGAACGAATCTTCCAATATCTTCTGGACGCTGGGGCGTTCAAGGAGACAAGCAAAGTCAACAAGGTTGGCTTTGCTACAAACTATCTTCATCCTGCCACGACACGAAACGAGTACGAAAGTAAACGCAAGCAGTTGAAGTTGCAAGTTCGATCATCGCCCCGAAAGCCATGTGCCAAAGAGCCCATTGCAAAGAAGACGAAGAGGCAGCAGACACAATATCCGTCAACGAACGTGTCGTCTCCTGTGCGGGTGCCGAAGCAAAAGATTCGACAGTATGCATACAACGACGAAGAGAACGATGACGATTATTTCGACGCCCCTCGCCATGCTATGCGCAGTAAAACGGCCCGTGGTTACCAGCCTGATGGCTTCGTAGTCCCTGATGGGCCAGACGATGGCATGTTTGCACCCATACGTGTTGCCAAACCTGCCAGGCCTACCAAAGCGACAGGGCTCGGCGCTCCCATCACCGTCGACGAACGAACTGTAGATTTAACCGACTTCCAACGGGATGTGCTGCGAGACTTCATGGAAGGTGCAAAGAAGATGAGGAAGGGGATCATGGCTAAGAAAAGTCACCGTGAAGCGATTTTCACCGATACTGTTCTTCGAGAAATGGGCATCGATTTGCCACAAACCCTAGACGAGATGCGAGCCATTCCCGGGATAAGACCCGAAATGGTAGATCTCTATGGGAAGCAATTCCTGATCCTGATCGATAACACCAGGGATTATTACGGGGAAGGTGCGCCCGTTCCTAGGAACCCAAGCTTCCGCAACCGTCTAGTTGGCCGCCCTGAAGTTGTATATGAGGTTTCAGACGACGACGAGGTTGATGACCAAAATCACAGACTCGTCGTTGACTTGTGCAGCGACGCAGACGACATACCAGGTGCTATAGAGTCCGAGAGTGACTACTCCTTCGATGACGATGACGAGGAGGATAGCAATGGCGCTGTGCTCACCAGCCACCACTTCACCGAGAACATGGACCCTCAGGTTGCAGAGTTCAACAGTCGGTATTCGCAGCTGGGAGGCGTGGCTGCCTCAGCTTCGGGGCTTGCTAGAGCAGCGCCGTCAAGAGCTGGCTCAAAGGCGCCTGGAACTGCTTTCAAGAAAGGAAGGTCGTTCCGCAAGAAGGGATCTGGGAGCTCTGGGGCTACTTACGGTGGTGTCAAAAAGCGAGCAGCACGAGGCACGAGCAGTAGGGTATCTGGGGGTGCAGCGGCAACCAAGAGGGCGTTTGGAGGAAGCAGGAAAGGAGGGGGTTCAGGCAGAGGAGGAGGAGCGTCAGGGTGGGGCTCGATCCTAGCAATGCCGACTTGAACTAAACAAGGACAAGGGGTAAATGTATGGAGTTTCGGCGTACGGTTTCTTTCAATGGGGAATCTTTTAGCGCAGAGGTTGACATGGGCTATTGGTTATGACGAGACGCATAGTTGACACGATCTCAATGCCGGGTTAGCGTAAACATTATTCGTATCTACAAGTAGTCATACAGAGAGAGTTCATCGCCTATGAGGGATCAATTTCCGCTAGCACTAGCGTTGGGGACAAATCTCAGCAGCCATCTCGCACATCTGAGCAACGGCATAACTCAAACACTAAGAAAAGAGTTCAGTAGCTCGACTAGTGACCACACAGAGGGATGTCTTGACCTATGATGAACGGGCACGAAACGTATTCGGTAAGTCAGAAGGATGCTGCCGTAGCTACCACGAAGAACGCAGGTGTGTTGCAGTAGTTGCATGTAAGCGTTGTCATCGTGCAGGATGCATCGATACTAGCAGTTCTTGCACCTACATTTTGCAGCCCACACTCGAACTTAGGAGAAACATTAATGTTAGATACAATGTTATGACCTCTTTGTATTTACCTATTCTTTACCTCGATTCGATCATTGAGTGCATGTAGAAATGGATAGAAACCGGCCTCGCGAAGCTATCGGTCCTATTTCGCATGCGTTACAGTGCTAACTTCAATCGTCGTCTTTCTTCTACGCGAGAGCTGCAACATAGTCCTAGACTAAAAAAGGCCTTAGCAAAGCGGGTTCAAGTTCTATTCCCACCATCTCACTTAAGCACGCTGAGCGGACGGGCCGAGCCATAGCAGTTAGCTGCTGTAAGACTATTACTACTGCGTCTATTCTAGCCCGGACTGATCTCAAAATGAGCATGCAGGCTGCTATAAGACTACGATCGGTGAGCGATCAGTTAAAGGGTGGGGTTAGACGCACGATACGAGCGCTATTAATGATGTTGCAGGATGACCCGCATACTCATTTTGAGATCGGTCCGGGCTGGAACTACACTCAACGCTTTGTTAGTATTCAGCGACGTTAGGTGAGGTCTACATCACGACACCTAGTAGGTCTTTGCTCGAAGGGAACGAAAAAATCCGCAGTATGATATCATGATTGTCTGCAAATCTTCTTGGAGTCCGTCTTTCTTTTTACTTCGCTTTCATTCGAATCCTTCTTTCTATAGCCTTAGTAGATTGCATAGTCTTAAGAACCAGGAACCTATCAAGTGTAGGATCTAGTTCGTTTTATGCGACACAGTAGGGATCACAGAATCTTTTGCTTTCTCGTTCAACAAGAAGCCTGTTGTGGTGTGCCGCACAAGAAGTCTAGACGCAACGTTGATGTGCATGTAGATTGCAACCTTAAGTAGACATTGTGGATAGCATTTGTAATATGTGACATGTGGAACTTGACTAATGCATTGCATAATTGATTTTGTGTATTCTTGCGACGTGTTACCAATCATCCTCAGCATTAGGGTGACACATGCGTGCGTTCTAAGATGTCATCAGCTGCATCAATCCTTGGTGCGCTGACTTGAAGAACACAAGTATGTATAAAGCATCTGGTGCCGGCTGCCTATAGTTCATTATCATCTTCTGTTCAATCATTTCTACCTTGAAGTACAACTATCCAGTACTCTTTGCCAGCATAGCTATCACCCACAATGCCCAACGAAACCCGCGACTACGGCAACTTGAGGGTCACCCTAACTAAAGATTTTGACTGGGTATACAACGACAAAGGCTCCGGTGCTAAGTTGAACGGAAGCTTTATTCATGCAAAATCTCAGGGCGACTTGCGGCCCTTGGGGACTTACGCATATGCGGGCTTTGACGACCAGAGCAACAAGAGGGCCACGCTCCTTGTTGGTAATGTGCCGAACGGTTCCGGAACCCCAGCTGTTGCCAGTCCCACGAGTTACACAATGATGTGGGACGCGCGCAGCAGTGAGAGTAACAATGACGGCTCCATCTGGAAGGCCAATGCGCCATCTGGATATGTCGCATTGGGAGATATTTGCGTAAACAACTACGCCTCTCCGAGCACCAACGCAATGTGGTGCGTCCGATCAGATCTGGCCCTGCAATCGGAATTTAGTCCGGACTGCATCTGGAGTGATAGCTATTCGAAAGATAAGACGGATGTCTCCATTTGGCCGATTCTCAGCCCCCCAGCCAATACGGAAGGATCCGATCACATCCCGGCCATCAACGATCTGTTCATCGCAAGCACAACGTACAATCAGCCGGACTACAGCCGCGCCAAATTTCTTGTGCTGCCCTATCCGAATGATTTCAAGCGCTTCACTGCAGACCTGCCGACTTTCACCAAGGACACCATTCCCCACGAAGGAGACATCTTCGCCGAGACGCCGCAATGTGCGGTCGTGTTGCCCTTTACGGCCTTCTTTCCTGCGACGGACACTCCAAGTCTGGAACGCATACAGCACCCCTTCGTCACGCTTCAGAGGCGCACGGCGTGGTACGTGGAAGACGTGGCTAGGAACGCAGCTGATGAACCCATGACGCAGGCGACGACAATCACCAAGGGCGTGTCCGAGACGCAGTCGCAAGAGATGACGAACTCTGCCGGCGTGGAGATCTCAGCCTCCAAAGGCATCAGGCTTATCAAAGGGGAAATAGAAGCTAGCCTCAACTATCAGTTCACGGCGACGGAATCCTCTTCGACTACTGAGTACAGTGAGGTTACCAAGACGCATACTTATACCATTGGGCCGCAGACAGTTGCTGTCATTCTCACCGACCGGGCATGGATCCAGGCTATCCGCAGCGATGGCTCCATCACTTTTCAAGAAATCTCATTCAATGCCAGCGACGACATGAGTAGAACCGAGATTAAGCTTACGTAGATGAAGTTCGCTACTGCAACGATCTAGTGGCTTCTGTTCTTCCGTCATGCATGCGAGGGGTGTGGGATCAAATGTAGGTGGGTACGTGGGGTGCCGGAGCGCAAGTGACTGCGAACGTTTCTTTCATGACATGTTCTCTATGCTTCAATCTTCTGATTCATGTGCGAAACGTCCAGTTTTGGAGTATTGAAAATTGTGGGACATAATTTTATCAATTTTATCGTTTCTGTTATCCACTTCGATGCCGCAACAGCTTGATTAATTATATTATAAAGTTAAAAGTAAAAAATATATTAAATATTATATTAATAAGTACAAATTCAAGGGGTAGGAATGTTAAGCTTAGCCATAATAAAATAAGCTAGCCTAACTATTGTGCGCTGATTCTTAGTAGGGCCTTACTTTTATAAGTTTAGTGTTATAGTTAGCTAAGGTCAAACTTATGGTTAGATAACCTGCAGCCTGCCTTCTAATAAAGGCGGGCAGAATTCCTCTTCAGCGTCCATGTCGGCGAATATTACCTTGCATGCCCAATACAGCTTGGCCTAGCAGCAAGCGCGCCTTGGCATTTCTCTTTGTGGTCTCCGTTTGGCAATTCTCGCCGCGGCCTCTGACTCTTTCGGGAAACCTTCGCTCAACATGGCCCAGCAGCACACTTCATGCTTCGCAATCGGGGAAATGTACGGCGCGGGACGATGCGCTCCTTTCTCTGGGGTAGCTGGGGTCGTGCTGATGTGGCTGCAAACCTCGTCCGGGGTCTCTCCAGGCTATCTGCTTAGACGCAGCGGCTCCTAAGGGTGGAGAGGGGGATTATGACGCATGTGGCGGAAATTGAGGCATCCGGAGAGCCAACGTCAGCCCTCGAAAGAGTAGAAGACATGGATGTATAATGTGGGTTCCTTGGATGATTCGACGAATTAAGAACCTCTTGATTGTATACTGAGCACTTCGAGATATTAATACATCGCAGAGCATCTCGGGTAGTCTCGGACGGAAGAGCCCCACAGAAGTCTCTCGCAAATCTTCATCCGACATTTTGTCAACGAAGTGATCCGAGTCTTTGATGGACGCCCAATACCTTCGAGATACGCTCCCAATAGCGCGTTACACTTGACGTGAAACTCGATAACAGTTCGCTGTACCATTCTGTTCATCTTCGCAGCGACTCTGAAGCGGTACTGCGGCAGGATTGGGCAGCACGCTAAAGTGACAGGTCTTCGCCGTTGATCCACCGGGCACGGAACCAATGCGGAGTTGGGCCATGCAAAAAGTATAACTAGTAATCGATCGCCCTTCTTATCCATGATTCCCGTCAGCCAGCAGCCTGGACGAACATCAAACAACAGCGTGCTCCTCCCACTATCGACCTGAAGGCTGAGTATGTCAAACAGATCTATGGATAAGACAGACTCAATTGAAGCAGCGCCAACGCAGCATCAAGAGGTTGTAGGAATGCATCATGCAACGCAAGGGTTAGTGACACGGGAACCATATGGGCCTGCTGGTACGTATAATCCGTCCCCTATCCTCCGGGTCTATGGCAAGGCGTAGCATGACTGAAATAAACCACAGGCTTCAAGGGTCTCTTTTCAAATCATTATGTCGCCATGTGCGCTGCCTTTGCAACCATCGGAGGACTTCTCTTCGGCTACGACCAAGGAGTTATCTCAGTCACCCTAGTCATGGACCAGTTCCTCGACCAGTTTCCACGGGTCGCGAACACGGCATCAGGAGCGGGTTTCTGGAAAGGGCTGATGACTGCCATGCTTGAGCTTGGAGCTTTGATTGGTGCGCTGTTTGCAGGCTGGCTTGCAGATAAGCTGTCTCGAAAGCACTCGATTGTTGTCGCTGTTATGGTGTTTACGGTTGGAAGTATCCTACAGACAGCGGCGATTGACTACGCGATGCTGACGGTGGGACGTTTGATTGGGGGTATGGGGATCGGAGCGTGAGTGACACAAGGCGCGCGTTTCGTAGTATGGGTGCTAATGCTACCATCTAGTCTGGCGGCCATTGCTCCCCTCTACATCTCTGAGATTGCTCCCCCGGAGATACGTGGCGCCCTTCTCGTCCTCCAGGAGCTCAGCATCGTCCTCGGAATCGTCATCGCTTTCTGGACGACATATGGTACCCGGTACATGGCCGGCGAGTGGTCCTGGCGACTTCCCTTCCTGATTCAAATGATACCTGGCCTCATTCTTGGCGTGGGCATTGTCTTCCTCCCATTTTCTCCCCGCTGGTTGTCTAGCAAAGGGCGCGACGATGAAGCACTCGAAGCCCTCGCAAAACTGCGCCGCCTCCCGACAAATGACGCAAGAGTCTTCCAGGAATGGTGCGAAATCCGCGCCGAAGTAACATTTAGCCAAGAAGTTAGCCGCGAGAAGCATCCCGACCTGCAGGCTCCTACGCGTATAAACAGAATCAAGCTGGAAATCGTCTCATGGATGGACTGCTTTAGGCATGGGTGCTGGAGGCGCACTGTTGTCGGTGTAGGCCTCATGTTCTTCCAGCAGTTTGTCGGCATTAACGCGCTGATCTACTACTCCCCATCGCTCTTCGAGACCTTAGGTCAGGGCTACGAGATGCAGCTCTTACTTTCCGGTATCATCAACTGTACGCAACTCGTTGGCGTGGTCACAAGCCTATGGACGATGGATCGATTTGGCCGTCGGCCCTTGCTCTTATGTGGTGCAGGACTGATGTTTGTCTGTCATCTCATCATTGCAGTCCTGGTTGGCAAATTTGGCGGACGATGGACGGACTACGCAGTCGAAGGCTGGGTTGCTGTGGCCTTCCTCTTCTTCTACATGTTCAGCTTCGGTGCTACCTGGGGTCCTGTCCCCTGGGCTATGCCATCTGAGATTTTCCCTTCGTCACTCCGGGCGAAAGGCGTTGCCCTCTCTACCTGCTCAAACTGGTTCAACAACTTCGTCATCGCAAGTCTCCTCTCCCGTCTCTTCTGGTATAGTAATGACTAACAAAACGCAGGGTCTCATCACACCACCACTCGTTCAAAATACTGGGTACGGCGCGTACACATTCTTCGCCGCCTTCTGTCTCCTTGCTTTCGTCTTTACATTCTTCTGTATACCTGAGACGGCTGGCAAGACGCTAGAGCAGATGGACGAGGTGTTCAAGGATGTCAGTAGCGAGGCGGAAGAGCAGCAGAAGGCGAGGATTATGCGGGATATCGTGGAGGGGAAGAGGGATACGCTTACTGCGACACCCTAGTGCATGATGCCTCTAGGTTATAGATAAGTAGAAGAACGGTATGTCACAATATTTACGGTCGCCCACGCCATTCGGCCGAGTTTTAACGCACCGGGTGCTACGTTGAGAAACTCTGCCGGCTCCTATTGCCGACTGCACTTGATGAACGACTCTTATCCATCGGGTATAGAGGAGAAGTTGAGCTGAAAATTCGGAAATCCCGCGCTGGTGGAACATGGGGCCGAATTGTCGTTTCTCGGATCATTTTGCACTGTTTAAGTGAAGTTTAGCTTGAAAAATGCATGATGACATGACAACACGACTATGAGCAAGACGTTTGAGATGTTTTTTAATATATGTTTTGGTAGTGTAAAAGTTTAGCTTGATATCCCCGTCGTTCCTCTTCACCGGTAAGTGCAAGTCGCTTTATATTGGTTCATATCGTCATTTACCTGTCATTAAACATGGGGATGGAAAGTCTTAGGATTCCATGGCATTTACCCCTGCCATGGCCCCAGCCCCAGCCATCAACACCGTGCATCGTGTGCCTTTGTATGTACATCACTCGGTATCGTAAAGTCAAGCGTAACCGCTGCCACGTCCCTGTTGCGCTCAGTCCCACTTCTCAGGCCTTTTCTCAACACATACCTCCTGCATTGGATATACGTGTCGAGGCATTATATCGTTCGATGAAGTCGGTGCATTCCACCCGTCCGCGTTCACGTTCCCATTCTCAAGGAGGATTACGGATACCACGGCCTTTGATTGTGGTCTCATGATTCCATGCAACCCTGACGTCTTTTGTGACATGAAGTAATTCACCCTCACTAAACAGACTTATATGTTTTAGTAGCTCTTCCCAGTTGGTCCCGTGTACGATCTTTCCTTGTAGCGCGTCACCTGGTGATGAGGGTGTGGTGACTGATGTGGTTGCTTGTCCGAGGACAGCCTCTAGTGCCAGATGCGCGCAGCAGACCGCTTCATTCGCGTCGCCCGGTATTCCGAGGTCGTCTAGTGGTTTGGTGACGACGCTTTCGGGGAGCTCCTTTTCGAGGTAGTCGATAAGGTTCATATTCCTTGCACTCGGACCGCAGATAAAAAGCTCATCAACTTTCTGACCCAGTGGAAAGCAGAGCTGAAGTAGTCTAAGATACTGCTTTAGCATGTTTTGTGCCGTTATTCGCGTGGTCGTGGCTATGATGTCCGCGTTAGACATGTTGAGATAAATGCATTCGTCGATGAGTCGTTGGGCCTCATGGTCACCGAACATCTCTCGGGCCATGCTCAATGGCGGTGCCGTGTAGAAATAATCGTGTGTCCTGAGGAATCGATCTACAACAACTTGGTTGACTTGTCCTTCAGATCCAAACTTTCCGTTGTAGTCTTCGCTTTGATCGTTCGAGGTGCAGTATCGCATAGCGTAGTCGATGAGCAAACTGCCTGGGCCACAGTCGCGGGATATCGTAGGGTGAGAGGCGTAATCGACCAGGCCGGGAATGAAACTGATGTTGGCGAGCTCTTCAATGTCTAAGCAAACACGAAACTTTGTAGGGTGTCGGAGGAGCAGTCTGTCGACAAAGGCGATAGGAGGTATAGAGGGTCTAGTGAGTCCAAATTCGGTGACTGAGAAGTCGGAAACAGCAGTGATGCCCGTCTCCGCTGTGACGACGGTATTCCAACCGAGCAGGTGGCTATTCGTATTGTCCGTTTCAGGGAGGCCCAAACGCCGCAGGTCGGGGGCGTATGTACCTACAAGATGGATGGACGTAGGTAGATGACTGTATCGTTGGCAGAAAGACTGAATACCCTTTGAAAACATATGGCCTAGGAGTGCGTTGAGTCGTAGGATTACGGAGGGTTTGCGCGGGACCTCGCGAAGCAAGTCGAGAATGGGGTTTCGTACCATGGAGGGGATTGGTATTTTACAGTGCTGTTGCTTTGGTTAGCAAGTAGGTTGACTCTTGTGTTGACACCCACTTGTAGCATTTCTACACGTAGCGGGGCATTCGGTGCATCTTGACGATAATGCACCAGCGCGTAGTTGAGTTCGTTCAGCCCGCTTCCGCCACACACACCCAAAATCCTGAGGTCAAGAGCATGTTGTGCACTTGTCCTACTGCTCTTTCTTCGGGTTCGAGAGCGCTCACTAGTATCTGTGGCTGAGTCGATGCGATGCAACTCCAAATTGACTATGTCTGGAGCCATGTGTGCAAGTCAAAGGTAGCAGAAGGAGAAGGAAGAGGAGGTAGTGTAGTAATAATCCAGATAACAACCGTAAGGTAGCTTAGCGCTCGGTGCTTGGTTCCGTATGTGCATACCCGCAACGCAACGTCCAGGAGTCAGTGTGCCTAGCTGAGCTCGATACGAATTACGTGAACGAGAATGGACCGGACCAACATCCCGGCAAGGGTCAGAATGACGTAGCGCGCCCGATACTCAACGCAGTCTCTGGATGTTCTTTAGCATTGAGCGCTTCTACGTTCTCTACTGTAAATGCCCAGTGATAACTAGTAGGGGTGTATTCAGCGTGGGTTGATTCAGTGCGCGGGTATCTAGGATTCAGGGGCCGAAACCCACAGCGACTGATCAGCCCAAACCCCAACATAGAAATAGACGACAAATAGTAATCCAAGTAAACTTCTGTTGCTACGCGGACTAAAGAGATGGCCTGTGACATTACAGGTCAGCCAACGGATTGTGGTTCTGCCGGAGTGCGTAGTGTAGATGGAGCAATCCATCATATAGAGGGGACAAAGTATTTGGATGCCAAAGCAATGAGTGGACTAGGCAACGACGGCCGCGTTTACTAGCCTGAGCGTAATGTATTCAGGTATGTTTTCGAGGATGGTCCGGTTCATCCGTGGCGAGAAGCTCAACATCCTCAACAGGCCTTCAGCCACGGCGAGGTGTGCAAAGCGACCACAATAGAGGGTACGATCCCATCAAAGATAACTTTGTGTGCCCCACAGAAAATTTGAACAGACGATAACCAGTCAAATCATTTGATTCGACTCCCACACTCTCCAGGGCAACACTAGGCAAAGCAAACGTCTGGTGTTGCACTTGAATCCACTCTTCAGACTGCACTCAGATATTCGGCCCAAATGACCGAGGCCCTGTAATGCTTTGGGTACAGCCCTTGTCCAGCCGGCGTTAGACATACGTATTCTCCGGTAATGCAAACGCATGCCACAGAACTCCTTTGTCTCGCTTGGTATAACAGTCTGTCCCCACTATATGCGTTAGAGGTGACTGATGCAAAAGCTTTTCGGCTTTAGATGCGTGCGTATCACTTGCGGGAGTTGTCTCGATCGATCCGAATAGCTAGACTGTGACTCGAGGTCGCGATGCGCAAACAGTCATAGGCAAGGCAATGGAGGAAGAGTCCTAAGGAAGCTCTCCGGCGAGAGAAGTCCACCGTCACAGGATAGGTCACAGTCGAGAAGCCCTGTTATTGGATTCCGAATGCCTCACAAGCCTCGTCCAATCATATCGATAAACCATATCTCTATCTCGATGTGGATTCTTTGCATCGCTGCTGGAGGAGCCTTGCTGCCATCTGCGAATCCAATTTGGATGCTATCCATCGTTCGATAGATCTCCCCTATCATTGATGCCAAGCGATTGCATGGCGTCTAGAGACACAGTCGCACAATCACTCGCCGAAGGTGACCTCTCAACGCATCTAACACCATATAATGCACAAGCTGGACTGGCTCGGCGTCTGTCAGAAGGCTAGACCAGGAGATTGTGCTGGTTCAAACGATTCCCCATTCGCCTTTTAGTGCGTTGATGATCCAGGTGGTCGGCCAAAAATGAACAGTTTCGAAGTTAAGAAGCAGTTGTATCACCTCATCTCGCTCAAGGGGGCTCGAAACAAGCGGGCCCCATATGAAGATAGTGTGACATAACGTTATCAACAGCGGGACGATTTCCGGCGAGCTTTTGCACGCTCCACATATCGCGCGAGCGTGTTCTAGGATCTGCCGCTGGTAGGGTCAGTAAGATTCATTTGCTTTTTGCAAGTAGCTTACATCTGTTTCTGATAGTCTCTTAACATTGCGAATCGCAAATTTTGGCCCCGGCTTGTGACTGAGCAATAAAATGCATGCAAAGTGATAGAATCCAAAGGCTTCACCATGCCAGTCAGCTGTGAACCAAATCTCAGGGAAGACACCCTTGTCGCTGGCTTGGCCTTGGTAGATTGGATTGAACCCTGCCGGTCTGTTACTAGCCCATGTTTCGACAAGATCCCAAAGCTCTTGCCATCGACGACTTCTGTAAGCGCGGTCGCTTGCTGGCTCAGTGCCTTCGAAGCAGAAGTTGGCGACACGGGCCGTATTCCATGTCATCTGATTAGCCCAAGCAGTCTCTAATCGTAGATGAGCAAGAGGATGCAAATCGGGTATGGAGCCTGGGGTAGGATGCAACCGCAGCGAGAAGTCTACATCAGGCGGCTGCTGATTGATAGTGGCGTTATAGAGACACTGACGGACATAGACCCAAAAGGCAGCCTCACGCAGGGTAGGCGCTGAAGGATCTACGAAATGATTTTGAGACGTGCGGATAATGGCCGAGCAGCCCGCAAGATGTTGTCCATCGTCTGAGCCTGTGCTGGACGAGACTAGGCGGCGATGTTAGTGTCTTACTGTAGCCTAAGCAATCGTGGGCCTTACCGGTGAGCTGCTCGTAGAAACGTAAGATGACTATAGCACAAAGAAGGGTTTCATCGTGACTAGCCTCGTCTTCGTTGAGACGGTCGATGAGTAGAGCAATGCAGCGCTGATAAGCTACCTCGGCCGTGGTGTCGTCTCTGCGGTGACGGGCAGCGAAACATAGTACAGCATTGAGGAGCACTGGGCATGACTTGACCTTTTCTGGGATGCCTAGCGTGAATTGCCGGGTCGCATCGGTACAGTCAAGCCAGCGGCCAAGGTGTTCGGTGTAATGGTGTACAAGCAGGGCCTCGTTGTGCTTGAGAGGCGTCGGTTCATGTGAGGAGGCAACGCCCGACTGGCCTTGCAGTTCTAGCGGTCGCCGCAACCCCCCGGTAGACACGACACTTGTCGAGTTTCTTGGTCCCGGGACAAAGAAGGGTGAGCCTGGCGATACCTGGGTTGGGGGAGAAGACATGCAACTGGCGGAAGGGGCCTCCGAGACGCCGGTCCGACTGTTTCTCCGCTTCGGTGAAGTACCCCGAGAATCACTGTCTGCACTCCCATCCACTCCGTCGACGCCGTCGACGCCGTCTACTCCATCCATATCGTCCAAGTCACCAACCCCATCCACCTCCATTTCTCCATCTTCAATCTTGCTGCCATCCTCTTCGCCACCAGTAACAGACATGCTTGACGACGCCTCAGGCTGATAGTCCTTGAACTTGGTATGCGGTGCTTCCCACTGACAAGGCCGGTTCTTCTTACTGCAGGCCTTGCACACCGGCCGTGTTTCGTCGCCTGCCATTTAGTAAAGTCAGCGTGATGTCCCAGCGCCTGTGACTGACTACGCACATTTTACGCGGCGAGCTCGACAGGTGAGGCTAATTGAATAAGCGTTAGCCTTGAGTTGAAATGCCATGTCGTCCACTTACCACCCGCCTCTGGAGCGGTATTTGCCCATGGGCGGAAAGGCTGAAACTGAGCTTTCGATTCGAGTTTTGCTGTAGTCTGGTGCGAGCCGAGATTTGCATGCAGCAGCTTTTGTTATGAACGAAGAATCCCGGAACGTACCCTGTACGCAATCCACAACGTCGTCACTCTTACTCGTTACCCGTGCTTCTGTACGAGTAGCGTGTAAGAGGCGAAATAGGCGGACGTGTCGGTTCAATGTTTCTGACAGGCCATTGTGCAGACGCAGAGACTTGTAGTTGGCAAACCAACACAAACGAGCTACTGGCTCTGCCAAACCCAAGTACTGGTGCCCCCGACCCTCCGTGATCCCAATCAGCCGCCAGACGTCCTGCACAGGGCTCGGCTTGCAAGTGGACGCCGACCTGGATACCCATCTTACATGAATTCTGGAGGAACATGCAGGTTCCAAGTAGGGCCTGTGTTCTTTTCAGCTCATGGCCGTCGTCGGCCGGTTCGGTCATCATGATTGATCTGTGTCGTCGGAAACCGCCAGTACGTAGGACCATAGGTGCGCTGGTTGTTCCGAGGCGATGCCCGGCACATGAACCTCGCTCATGCAATACATCCGATCATTTCGATGCTGCGTTGTTAGTAAAGTGTTCCCGGCTCGAGACTCCGAATCTTCTTTCTTTCGTTTGCGAAAAACTCCAGACAAGCGAAGTTGACAACTGATCACGTAGCTCCGAAGATATCGGACCTCGCACATTGATGAATGATGAATGACTCTCCTCGATGCGTCCTCGGGCTTGGTCGACTCGAAGTGGATGAACGCCCTCGTCCAGGCCCCCACGAATTTTGTATCGCCCAATCCGGCACTCGATACGAACTTCTCAACCAGTGGGCTACGATGAAACACCCTGAACATTTGCCGGGCCTGATCGTTGTCGGAGAGATTCATAGCCTCAAACTGATAATCTTTGACCATGCAAAGGCAACAGAGGCCAAAGTTTCCAAAATAAAAATAGGCGGGCCTAGCTCTTCCTGCTCGCCATTGTGTTTTGGCTCGCTCATGCCCGCCAAGGCAAGATCGTTCACCGACTTCGTTTCGAAGGCCAAGGACTAGCAAATTAGTGTCGCCCTTGGAATCATTGTGCTCACCGTGCCCACAGTCATCCCACATTCTCCCCTGCAAACCAGTCAACGTCTAGTGCCTGCTGTCCTTCCATCACACACGTACGCACCTTGATTCCGAGTCCACGTCGAACACACACGTCAAAGCGGCTCCAGTTACCTCGCTATACGCGCAGCGATGCGCGACCATACAAGTCAACCGGACTTGTAGTCCTGTCCCGTCGAAGGCACACAGTACTTTGGGCATCCCCTTGACGGCGTTCATACGACCTTGGGATTGACGCGGGACTACGACAACGTTACTCGCAGGTCTGTAGCGGCCGAAAACATGTTACCATGGGTTGCTACGCGATAGTTCACATCGAGGGGCATCCCGATTTACACCTGCTCTTTCGAATACTAGCAAGAAGTACACCGGTGTACGTTGCATCGATCGAGTGAGAAACGCCATGGCCCACCTCCCAATTCTCGAGGCGTAGTCCGAGATCGAAGTCGCCATTGCCACAACCCGAATACGTCTCCAGGACCTTGACTCGATCGGCATCGGACTTGCTCCAGTCATCTAGGCAAGTCGAGTTGCAATCACAGCTTGAACTCTGATGCATCGTGGTAACCATCGACCACAAGACTCTCTGCATTCTCTAAGTAAAGAGACAAAGGCTCAAATGTCAGATACTAGGGCGGCTTACCTCTCTACCTTTGCCTCAATAGAGCTCCGCTAAACATTAGGTGTACCATCGTACGATTTACAACATCGTCTTCAAGCCTGCCAGCCCTTCCTTCCGAACGCCAATTCTACCGGGATAAGAGGCCACGACGAAGTGCTTCGTTTAGATCGACGTGCTCCTCCAACGTTTCGAGTGGCCCTTATACATCCCACAAGACGGTCGTCCTTTCAAGCGAGGCATGAGATTGGAAGCTGGCCGTACATCTCGCCATGAATGACTGAAGATAATATACCGGTCGGCGGCTTGGGCTAAGTTGTTGTTAGGTAATTCCATATCAGATCTCCTCAGCTTCCTCAACTGAAGCCGAATTTATAGTCCCTAGCGTACACCATTTTGCCACGCTCGTCGAAGTGTACTATTACCTTTCACACCTATATGAGGCATAAGCATAACGTGATGGTATCGGTGTAGACAAGAAATCTGCAAAGTTCCCGAAGAAGCCAAACAGTGATTGCACACGCTCATGAGGGAGCCTGCCTGACTGTATATAAAAAGAAAGACGACTGTAAAGGGAACTGTATGGCGCCTGTGGCTCTATGAGGTATCCGAGGGTGGCAATTCGAATCCAGATGATGGAGCTAAGCATGATGGGCCTAGTGCCTGTCACGGACAATCTCGCCACACCAGGTATTTCCGGGAATTCGTATCGAGGACAAGATTTATAGTCTAGGTATATTCTGCTACCACAGGTAGTAAAGAAGCCTTTCGCTTCTCCGCATATGCTGCATTGTACACAAGGTACTGTCAAGCTCGACCTCGGCACCTACAGCTGTCAAAGCAGTAATGCTTTCCTGTGCGGTCATTACTCTGGGTGAACAACGAGGCCATGACAGACCTGTTCTAAATTTCGAAACCTGACAAGTAAGTTCTTGGGGCATTTCGGTACATGTAATAAGCACGAGTGTTAGGTATCGCGGCCTTTGCGCCAAACTTAGGAAAGGTGATTGTTCGTATTGCTCCTCTCCGTTCAGGAATGAAATTCGCGGCTAAAGCTTGTGTAAGAGTGACCTAGGGTTTACTGTTAGATCGTGCAGTGTATTTCTGGGCGGTATTGGGTGATGGGTACTCCTTTGCTGCTTCAGATCGATACGTATCCGCTGAAGTCAAATAGGGAAACTATTTCCACCCCGAACCTCAACTTAGCAGAGTAGTAAACTGCAGCAAGTGTCATCAACATATTCTCAGCTTTAGGAACCACATGGACATGAAGTGGCTTGTGATTTTGCAAGAAATACTTTCAGACAAGCCACACGCACAGTGTAGAGAAGCACATAGAGCTAGGACATGTGTAACAGTTCCATTCCATTCACGCATTCCCACGGCCATCACCAATACCACCTGCATTCCATTTACCGCTTTGTCCCTGATTAGTTCAAGTCGCACCGCCAATGACCCAAATCTCATTCGTATTGTCACTCGCCATAAACAGCCTACCCTTCGTATCCCACGCCAACCCCACCGGCCTAAAGCAGCCATTTGGACATTTTGAGTTGTCGGCATTGTACATGATGTTCTGCGCGGCGGTCGTGCTCGTTACAGGCTCCACAGGCTGTCCGGTCTCAGGATTGAAAGAAACACGCGAGATGCGGAAACCATCGGGCGACACTTTGTTCCATGAGCCGTGGAATGCGATATAGGCTGCTGTACCGTTGCTGGTGAATTTAATGTCCAGCGGTGCAGTGTGGCTTGGAAAACACAATTTCGGCGGTTGGCGGGAGGCACAGTTACTGTCGTCCGCCGTTGTGGCATTGCCATAGGCGAAGACACTGCCGACCTTCAACTGTGTATTCAGCGGTTCTGGGAGTATGGTTGGGTCCCAGACAGTGTGACACTCTGGGTATCCATGATTCGTTTGCGATGTGGGCTGGACGGTGAAGTTGCTGTTGACAAGGCCGTGGTAGTTGAGCTCTTCGCAGGGGTTGGTGTTGTGTATGTCTTTTCCATTGCGAGTCAGATCGTCAATCCCGTTATCAACAGTCCACTTCCCGGTCTGTTAGCACACGTTGCCGAGGGCAAGCACTGGTACGTACCATCCCACCCTGAGGATCCTCCCCGAAAGCCACCGTATTTCTAATCCCCCAAGCCAATACTTCGCCCGTGTTGTATTCCACTGTCGCAGTCTCGATATCTGCAATCTTGAATACCCTGATCTGACTTCTGGCGGTCTCCAATTGCGCGGCTGCGGTGTCGAAGTTCTCCTGACTGCCTCGCTGTACAAGCAACAAATCCGGCCTCTGTTTCGGCACCACCAAGGTCCTCGTCAAATGAAACCCCCCCTGCTGCATGCCTTGCACTAGCGTCTTCTTATTACTTACCGTGCCCGTAGCACCATCATAGTCCCAGCCCCAAACATACAACTGACTGCTCACAAACAGCTTCTTGCCATCTGGACTCAGCGCAATGCCATGGTTGATAGTCGTATCGTTAATCAGTTGTTTACTGGACTCGACGCACACATCCGTACCGCCGTTGTCAGTGAGCCGGATATACCGTACGCCGTAGCCACCTCGTTCGGTGGTGAGTAGATTGCCTTGATTGTCGAAGACGATGCCCCGTGGTGTTTGCAGGCCGTTGATTACGACGCGGCCAGAATAGCCCGGAGCAAAGGTTGGCGCCTGGGCTGGATCGATGTTGGCGCATGTTTGAGCAAGGACAGTCGGTGTAAGGGCCGCGAGGGCGAAAACGATGGTGTTGGGTTGGACCATAGCGGGTGGTGGTGAACGTGCTGTACTCGTTCGTTGACCACAGGAAGATTTCACGGACCAATGTGTTTAAGTAGTGCGATGCCACAGACTCTACGTGATGTAGGTTAAGCCGGGAATTACAGCCAGGAGAATGGCTCCAACTTGGACATGGCAGCACCCTAGGCTCTAGTCCTAGACCTAGAGTACAAGCTTTCTCTCATAGGAAGGAGGGCAGGTGTCTACTATCCCACCAATCCCAAACTTAGAGCTCGGCGATCTGAATCGATAACTGCTCCGAGACGGCCTGGAGAGGCCAGAGTCAGAATAGGAGGGATATACATCTTACTGGCATGCAATTGCGTTGGCCGATTGGTCTAGCGTTATGGAAAACCCTGCGAAGACGTTGAGAAGATGGATGTTACCGAGCTACAATATAGTAAGCCAAGAGATTGAACACGCTATCAGCCAGGATCGAAGAGGTAGGTCGAAGAACGGTTCGGATTCTGACGAACCACAAGTGCCATGTCGTCTCTTCGGGTGCTCGGCGTTGTTTCCAATAGAATATGTTGAGCCGGGGTTGTTGTGGGGGTGCCGGGATACAAAGTGCCTAGGAGGCTAGGGTGGGTGGTTTCGTACTGGCGCATTGACAGATGATCAATCCGAGGAACTTGAACTCGGCTATCGCAGCATAGTCTTGTCGACTACTCTTGTGACACAATGTTGACTGATTCTACTAGGATGTTTGCCGTCGAAAGAAAAGCCCGTGCACCCCCGAGTCAAGGTCCATGCTACGGACCTGAGTAAGTAGGCCACTAGGAGGTATCGATTGCGTCAGGTGGAAGGAGAAAGTGAAAGAAGAAAAGTGGGAAAGTAAACAAGAAAGTTGAATCTTAACTGGGATGTTATTGGTGTCTACTTGGACCTCGAGGATGAATCGAGCCGTCTACTACCCAATCGACTCTCAAGGGCCCTTACTCACGGGCATCGCGGCGTACTTTTTGGGGTATACTCTGAGGTCTCGAAGCCCCATTTTGCATTGCTGTCCAAGGATGCTTCGCACGCCTTTATTGCATGCTGATACAGTCGCCAGTTCCTCTCCAAACGCCGGCCGCCACCTTTTGCTCCATCAGGTCATGCAAAGCGTCGTCTCGTGTCGTTATGTTTACAGTCGTATGGCTCATGCAGGCTGTTCGTAGGCCCTCTTGATGACCCTCGCAAACTCTTCGGCAGGTGTCAGTTTTGGTGTCAGATTCATGTTCACATGGGCCACTTACGGTCGAATTTGACGTTCTCCCTTACCACGGTGCCCTTGGCCTCGTTGTCCTTGTTCATGGGCACCTTGATCTTGGCGCCATCGACGTTCCAGCCGCAGACGCTTCCAACGAAGTGCTCGAACTCGTTGCCCTGGAGGTTCAGCCACGACTCGAGAATGCTTCGGTCGACCTCTCGCACCGCCTGGCTGACGGTTGCGGCAATGCGTACGCGCATCAGCTCCTCGAAGCCGGAGACATCGGCAATCAAGTCGGCATACAGGTCGTCCGAGTCCAGCGTAGACCAGAAGGCGGAGTAGTCGGCACCCTCGAGCAGGTTTCGCAGCTCGTTCAGCTTCTGGACGGCTTCTGACAGCGGTGCATCTCCAGCTGCCGGGTTGTGTAGTGAGGACGACAGGGGCGCCAGGACGTGAGGTGGGAGGAGCGAGAGGCCGAGGGAGAAGTCGGGGCCCGGGAAGACGGTGAGGGCTTTGACGAGGATGTTGGTGATGGTCTCGTCGCGGGCGAGGTGCGGGTTGAACTGATAGCTGGTGTGCCCGTGGTCAGTCTCAGGCAGCAGGACATGGTAAGAGTGTAGCAGTGGAAGTTGCTGGCGGTTCAGATAGAGCTAATATATAAAACTTCAGCGGGCGAGGGATTCAAGCTCGGCCCCTCGGGTAATAGAAAACATTGTGGTTCTTTTTTCATCCTACAAGGTGCGTGGTCAAGGAAAAGGCTATGGGACGTACAGCTTCAGGAGGGCGAGGTTGGCGTAGCAGTCGTATGTCTGGCTTTCGCACTGTTGCATGACATAGTCCTGGAAGACGCCCGTCGTCTCGGGATTGTAGCGATCGAGGCCATCGAGGATCTGCTGGATGTGGTCTGGCCGCTCAGGCGCGAAGTCGAAAGGGGCGCCCATGGTGGATGGATTGATGGACATGTGCGACGCTTCGGAAGGGCGTGTTGAAGACTGGGGGGGGGGGGTTCAATTTCGCACAGTGCGGCGGCAGACGGGCGCACGGGCCATGCGAACAGCAGCCCCGCGTGAGCGTCAGCTACTAAAAAAATATAATATAATAAACCAACAACCCCGCCAAGAAAGAGAAGAAAAAGAAGAAAAGGAGAAGAGCCATGCCGCCCTACGACAGCGAGTCGTCCGACGACGAGGGCGAAGACTACACCGAGACGAATGTGCTGCTGGGCTATGCGACGCAGGACGCTGCCACGGGCGACGCCGTGTCCCATCTCGGCGGCGCGCCCTCCTGGATGGACGACAAGACAGCGCCTGCGGGTGACCTGGCCAAGTGCAAAGTGTGCCATGGCCTCCTTAGCCTGCTCCTCGAGCTCAACGGCGACCTGCCCGACCACTTCCCGGGCCACGACCGCCGTCTGTACATCTGGAGCTGCCGGCGGAAGACGTGCAGGCGCAAGGCAGGCAGCGTGAGGGGCATACGCGGCGTGCGCATTGCACAGGGCGCGGCCATCAGGGCAGCCAGAGGCGCAAAGGGCGAGACCAAGGCAGTCAAGCACGAGGAAAGCCCACAGCCCAGGATTGGCGAGTCCCTCTTTGGAGTCAACAATGGCGGACGCACAGCAGCGCCTGCAAACCCCTTTGCCAATCCCTTCTCCTCCTCCAAGTCGCCAAACCCCTTCTCCTCCTCACAGACAGCCCAAGTCGCGTCGCCCGAGGAGACGCCAGACGAGGCATCAACAACACTCCCCGAAACCTTTGCCTCAAAGGCCCGCCTCTCATCGCCACCTCCTTCCGAACTGCCTCCGCGTCCGCACGAGCCATGGCCAGCAGCGTCGTCGTTCCCTGCGCCCTACCCACTCTACCACCTCGACGCCGAATACGAGACACTGGACGCGCCGTCCGCGCCGCACATCCCAGAGAGTGCGCGCATGGACATGGATGCAGAGGGCAGTGCGAGCGGTGGTGCAAAGGAAGACAAGGACGTGTACGAGAGCTCGCTTGACAAGACCTTCCAGAAGTTTGCAGATCGAATAGGCGAGAATCCCGAGCAGGTGCTGCGTTACGAGTTCAAGGGCAAGCCGTTGCTCTACAGCGATCACGACGCTATCGGCAAGCTCCTAGCACATCACTCAGAAAACGCCCCGTCTTCCAACGCAAAGGTCACAACCGTCGGCTCAAGAGCAGGAGCTGCCGTGCCGCCATGTCAGACTTGCGGCGCCGAGAGAGTGTTCGAGGTTCAGCTGACGCCCCATGCTATCACCGAGCTGGAAGCTGATGAAATGAGCCTCGATGGCATGGAATGGGGTACCATCCTCCTGGCCGTGTGCAGTAAAGACTGCAAGCCCAGCGACGTCTCCGAAGGCGAGGTAGGATATGTCGAGGAATGGGTTGGCGTGCAGTGGGAGGAAGTCGCATCGAAGAAATAGTGCCCTCCATGTCAAGTGCTTAGTGGTCCCTTGTAATAGCACACGATACCCAACCCCCCATTCATTCTCCGCTTCATTCGCTTTCATGATCCAGTCTTGTCAAGCCCACGCCCGCAAGTCTTCCGATTGGATCGGACAACTCCTCGACAAACCTCCCACCTCGCCAATTATCCGCAACCAATGTCTCTTCCCTGCTTCCAGAATTTCCGACCATTACAACCCGCTATCTACTTGCGACTTAGCGCGTTGTTCAGCTTCACCCATCCTACTGCATTGAGTGGTGCCTAGGCCGATCGGCAACGGCCCCGCAATTTCGCTTACCCTGATCCAAGACCCTGACCCCCAACCTCGTCGCCGCCAACAACGTCTTGTGGCGCGAAATGTCCAAGGCAATCTCAGCGTCGCTGCAGATACATCACTTGTGCGGCGTTGCTCCGCCGGCTGGTATATAGGGTCATGTCTCGGCGGTTTAGCTGCTTTAGCTCTGGCTTTCAAGGGCGAGCTACGCCTAGTTGTATCTACATGGGCGCACGATGGAGTGTGCTCTGCGTTGCTGTGCGTTGGCTGGTCATAGGAGAAGAGATATATGTTTACACAGCTTCGCCCTTTCTAGGCGTGCATCACCCTCACACAGCCTTCGCCCGGCCTCGAGGTAATATCTAGTGTGACTGTGAATTGCGGCTCTCTACATTTACCTTCTCCGCACACAAGTGACCGTTCAACATCCCGGATCCTACCACCATCGCTTGATAGCCGTACTCCTGGACACCGATCGAGGACGTGGCAAGCAGATCCCCGGAACCCGGACACCTGGCCGACTGGCTGTCACACGTCAGCTATTCAAAAGTCTCACCTTTGTCATACAGCCGCCTAATTATACCAAGTCTAGCTGAACCGACTAGACGACTATCGGCTTGCAAACACGACTACGACCTGAGTACATCGAGTAGGACACCTCAAATCCTAGACTCAACATTACACACGGCATCACGCTTCACATACGCTACCATGGAAATCACAACGCTTCTCATTGTCCTCCTCTGGACCCTCTTATCATCCCTCCCACTTCTCAGCGCCATGGCCCTCCCTTCCACCGCTCTAGACCTAGTTGACTCTCCACCATCTCTCGTGGTACGCAAATTGCATACACTGTCCAAACGATGCGACAACAAACTCCAAAATCCGTCCTTTGAGTCCGGCGAATCCCCTTGGCTCGCAATGGTCAGTGGCTCTTGGTCTACCCGTGGTGTATACACGTCTTCTGGCGGTGGCCACCACGGCTCAAACTTCTACTACGGACAGAGCAACAGCACCATCGATAGCACACTCACCCTTTCGCAGTCGGAGATCAACATTCCCAACGGCGCGACGGTGGAGTGTGCGGCGTGGATTGCATCAAGAAGGCCGGGCAATGTGGGGAGTTCGCGGGTCGAAGTATTTCTCGATGGGCAGAGCTGCGGAACTGAGTATCTTGGGACAACGGGGTGGACAAAGGTTGGCGGTAAAGTGGGTGTTAGTGGAGACGGAGCGGTTCATACGTTGGCAGTTGTGGTAGTGAGCGATGAGGCGGGGGAGGAGGGATGGGCGGTCTGGGTAGATGATTTGTGGGTGGGTATAGGGTGCTGAGACAGAAAAAAGGTCAAAAATACCTACCATATATGATGGTGCTCAAATTCCAATGGACCTCTCCATTGTTATGAGTAATTCTGGAACCCTTTCACGATGCTGTGTAGATGACATGTGCCAAGGGCATACATCCTCAACTCGAGACATCCTCTTGCAAGGATCTGATACCAGGGTGTCCACAGCTACCTCCTACTAGTCATGGACTACCATGCAATTTGGTAAATGCCTGTATCGCTTCTCTCCTTAACCCATCCCTTTCACATGCCCTTCCCTTCACAAACCCCCATCATTATTATGATGACATGAACCCGCGAATACCCTCAACCCCGGCCTTCCTCTGCTCCGCTAATGCCATCTTCTCCCTCTCTTCTCGCATCTCCTGTCTAGCCTTCTTCTCCCTCTCCTCTTCACGATGCTTCTTCCAAAATTCAAGGCTCGCATTCCTGCTCGCCTTCCTCGGTTGCTGTCTCAACTGTGCATCGGCTGTATTCTTGAAGAACACACATAGTAAGAGTAGAATATATAGGACCACAACGGTGAGCATAGTATAGAAGAGTGTGGGTTCGCGCCAGTCATCCTCTGGTGGTTTGAGTTTCGTGGCTAAGCCGGCAGCGACGGCGTTTGTATCGCTGAGGCTGCGTCTGGTTGAGTTGTGGTTGGCGTTGGTGAGGTGCCGAGCAGCAAGAAAATTTGCGAGGCTGCCTTCGGTGCTGACGAGGGAGTATGTCAAGTTGGAATCGCCGACACGTAGGATGGGCGGGAGAGCCTTCGTATCGTTGATGTTGAGCGGCACTGGTTGGGTCATGTTGGCGGACGAGACGAGTGTCTCGAGCATATCGTGGAGCTCGCGGTTCTCTTCTTGAAGAATGTAATTGTGCTTATGGAGGGCAGCGATGTCTCTGTCGAGCTTGCTATCGCGAGCGCGAATATCGTTTCGCAGAGATTCGCAGGCACTTGCAATCTTCAAGGCGTGCAGTTCGTTGCGCAGGGCAAGGATGAGGTCTTCGGAAAGCTTACTGCAAGCTCTGTTAGCTAAGAAGTTATGGGATGTAGCCTGAAGTCTGGACATGGATTTGTGAGGTCTGACAGAGCCGTGAAGTGTGAAGCATACGTGACGTTGACGCCGAAGCCATCACTGAATGTCCCGTGTGCTGCACTCATAGCTGTGGTGAAGACGAAAATCACATATACAATGTTCATTCCGAAGGGCTGAATGTGGACAAAGTCACAGAGAGGAGCGGGAAAATGAAAAAATGAGACGGTGATGGGAAGACCATTTCGGTGTGATGCGGAAGGTAAGAGCAGTCGAAACGGGGCAGGCGTGGTTTGTCGCTATTGCTTGATTAAATTTGAGGAACTCGGTCTTCTGTGGCTGCCAAACTTTTCACATCCTACCCTGAAGCCATTCCACTATTCTTGGATCTACTGAGAGTCTCTATACGACCCTATCGAGCTACATATTGAATCCCATGAAGCGGCGAATGTGACCTAGGTAAATGATGTTTACTGCCACATCAGGATTCTGGACCTTCACACGAAACTATCCTTATGAAACCTTCGACGGCCCTACTTTTCCTCCCCATGCCATTCGCATAAACCATATCACAATAGTATATACCAAACTCAGCAAAAACCAACATAATCAGTTCTCTTGAGGAACCAAAAACACCCGGTTCAAACCACACCATGTGTCTCCTACTCACCAAGCTTTATGCCTGCGGCCACCGGAGTATCACGTTTATCCGTCACGATGGAGCCCGCGAGGATTGCCAGATCGCCGAACAAGTGACCGTGCGAAGCAGCGAAGGGTGCGACACCAAGTATTGTAGCTGGACTGCAGGGTGCGGGAGCGACCAGCATAGTTTGCAACCGAGAAAATCATAGCGGATGTGGAGAGGAAGAAATCAAAAGAGCGGGAATTTCCTAGTTGTGGGCGTGTATGTGGAACAAGTGATAAATGTACTTAAAGGACAGAACGTGTACGGGGTCTAACTTCACCGCAACGATGATGATGGAGCAATTTAGAGACTAATGCCCTTTTATATATGCATATATCGGGTTCTATGATATTCGTACAGTGTCGTGAAGCGTTGCCTTGCAACAACTGGCATAAGAACGGCAAAAGCGAGTCTAAGAAAAACCGGGGACCCAAGTATGACTAAAGCAGGACGGAGATATGAAAATCAATCATGAATGCAAGATGCAGGATGCAGGATGACAAGTCGTGAAACCATATAAACCCATGCTGCGCGCCTCCCAATGCTCTTGCGATGCAGTCGCCTGCTAGCCCTCGAAAGCCCTCACCTTCTGTGCCAGGTTATAGTTGATCATGCCCTTATTCTTGTTCTTCCCCGCCGCACTAATCATGCTGGGAGTAATACCCCTGATAGGCACGCTCCCGCTGCCATACTGCACCTCATCAAACAGACCATCGTACTGGCCCGAAGTCACCGAGTCCTTCCTACTACCAACTTTGGAAGAAGGTTTGATGGGCCTCACAGTACTCGCGTCGCTGGGCTCGGAGATGACTGACGGGCGAGAGCTGCGTTTGCGCTTTTCGGATTCATCGGTAGAGTCATCGGAGTCGTGATGCGAGCGGGATTTGTGGGACTTGTGAGACCGAGTCGAGTGCTTGCTGTGTTTGGAGCTGGAGCTTTGTTTACTAATGGTAGAGTCATCATCTTTTCGACTCCTGTGGCTACGATGGCTACGATGACTGCGGCGTGATGAAAACCCAGCGTTGGAGACGCTGTCGCTCGGTACGACGGTATCAATGTCGTCCTCAGTCAGCTCTTCAATGTCAAGGTCGTCGATAAAGTCGTCATGCTTGCTGGCAGTCGACTTGGAATCGCGGCCAAGGATACTGCTGACAATTGAGGCTGCCTTTGAAGCAACCTTGGACGGTGCTTTCGATGCGGGTGCTGGTGGCGAAGGGGAAGATTCCGCTGCTTCACTACGGCTACTTTTCGAAGCCGAAGTGTGTCTAGAGGCTTGTGTATGTGACGACCTTGCTTTAGACCGGCTAGAGTGATGCGAGTGAACGCTACCCTCGCTATCTCTTCTGGTAACATCAGGCACGAACGAGGAAATAAGGGAACTGGGCGCAACACTGTGCGCCACGCTCTGAGCCTTCGAGACCGACACGACACTCTGTGGCTTCAATGTTGACGCGACACTCTGAGCTTTCGACATCGACACCACACTCTGTGGCTTCATTGTTGACGCGACGCTCTTCGCCTTCTCCATGGTCAACATTTCGGGGCTCGTTGTAGACCGTTGAACGCTGAGCCTTGAGCGTGCTTGTGATGGCGCAACAGAGTACGCAGGCGCATACTCGACGGCCCGAGGCTCTCCGACCTGCGTTCGGGAAGCAGAAATATGAGTCGGTGAGTAGTAGCTAGGGGGTGCGGCCTCGATCTGTCGCTGTGCGTAGACGCTCTGTGCTTGCGGCGGTGAGGAGGAATGGTATGACTGCGCGTCAATGTTGCGGTGTACTGACTGAGGAGTCGAGGCCGCGGTCTCGTAGGTCGGTTGTGGGTCTTGCATGGGTTGCCTTGGTTGGGATGAGGCCTGAGCGAGATGACCCACTGCAGCTCTGACCGTATCCTTTGCATCCATGAAGGCACTGAAGTCTGCCTCCTTCTTCGCGCTGTCTCTTTCGTTTCTGACCATTGCGTAGGCAACTGCCGCGCCTGCAGCAGCGCCAAGAAGGGTTCCAATGATCGTCTTTGCTGCTCCATCGCCGGCATCCGAGGTCTTTGTCGATTGAGTAACCGTGACAGGCTCAGACACGCTTCTAGCTATACTAGCAGGCTTGGATGCAACACTGGGTGCTTTTGAGACAACGGATGGAGCCTTTGACGTGACTTCGATCCCGGCAGGCCTTGAGGCAGATGTGCGTGAGCTGACAACACTTCGATCATCGCGATAGCTCCCAGCAACGGTCCTCTGCCACGTGATAACCCGACTATGCTCGATCACAGTGCCATCGTCTCTGGTATCAGGGCCATCTCTGAATACGACTTCAATGCTGTTTCCGTCAAAATCGAGTATTGCGGCGTTGAAGTGACCGTCTTGTTCACAACGAGTCGCAGGCGCTCCGTTCGGACGACCGCCGGCATTCAGCGCGGCCGTATAGAAATTCCGGACGGCTGTGGTGCTAGGGGCGGTGAAAGCAATATGTGCGGCGCCTGCTTTTACTCTGCTTTGCAGTCAGTTGCGGTGTCCTGAAGTGCGACCACAGTACTTACCCAGGCGTTTCCTGGCACAGGAAGAAATCGGCATCACGGATACCGAGACCAATCTGGTTGCCTGACTGTCCAATGTAGCGGTAACCAAGAGGTTGCAGTGCGGCTAGAAAGAATGAAGTCGAAGTTGGAAGATGCGAAACTGTGAGACCAATATGGGAGACGGGCATTTCCAAGTGGCGGTGAAGGACGAATTAAAAGAAGATGAAGTGAATGCTGAAAGTAATACTAGGTAGGAAGCTGTGCGCAAGAACACAACAATGGGCAGTCGGTGGGGGGGAGTACAAAAGGCGTGATACAGAGTCAAAGTCGAAGTACCGGTACCACGTCGAGGCTTATATCTGACCCCGTAAAGGTGCAGCAGCGTCTCGGAGCATCGTGAAGAAATAACAGGGCGCTCCAATACCATTGCGGGAAGGCCGTGACTAGCACGCCCCACTGATGCTGTTGGCTATCAAGGAGGCCGTTGTCAAGATGTCCCTGATGCTGCCACATGTCCTGCATCTGCAGCTAACAAAGTCTGTTAATGTAAGCGAGCTGCGAGTGAAGCGGATTGGCCTTTCGTGTCGACCCGGGTCCGCGAGAGGATCAAGGCGCCGACGCCTCACATTCCGCCTAACGCTACAAGACATCTCGATCTTACACCTTAGATTCTGGCCGCGTGCAGCCGACGTAGTTGCGGTCTGGGTGCGCCACCAGTCGCTGCACTGCACGATTTCAATCATGGTGGGACGTCTGCATTTGATGGCGCGTTGAGCGGGATCCGAGTGACCTCGTAGTGAGGCGAAATCGTAGCTATACTCCTGAAACGTTGACGACCGTCCTCTAGGGGCCCTAGGGGGATAGCAGGATTTGACACTCTCTTGTTACTTTTCGTCATGTTCGCGTGGACTTGTCGAGATCTACACTACGGCTGCATCCGCGCCAATTCATCCGTCATTCCCCGGCCCGCCGCAGGCGCAACACGCGATAGACTTTCCCACTTAGCCCTTTGGAGCGTAGCCACGAGCAGAATGCTGGGAATATACTTGTAATGATGGACTGTACGAGTGCGATGGTGTTGATGACAAGAGGCAAATTGTCCATTTGTCCTGATTTAGCAATCCGAGCTCCAAGAGTTAATCAAGAGTCAGAATTGCCTACATAACTAGCTGCTGACGATCGACCAGATAAGCTGGACTAGACTTCGGCCAGTAACGTGCGGACACCTCCTACAGCATCCGCACTCCCCATATGAGCGCCAAGCGACGATGGTAAAGAAACACAGGAGGTGCGGGGCAGGTTGAAATGCCCCACGGGTTGTTCTATCAAGAACGATTGTTGGACGTTGAGCCAGAGTATTGTTTTGTTGTAAAAGAAAACTCAAGCAGACGCTCAAAATCAAGTGCAGTAGCGCACAGGCTGTCGATGTTGTGATCTAAGCCGAGATGCGCGTCCTGCTGCCTATGGTTCCAGGTATCTCTTGGGTGTCTCGTCTCATGTTCGCCTCAGCGACGGCGGGCCAGTAGTCGGGCTAAGTGGCGTGTCCGACATGGATAGGTCGGACTCTTTGGTGGTGGCTTCAACTAGAAGATTCCCCAAACGTCCTCGGCTGCATGACAGAACTTGCTGCATGCAACGCTGGCACTGAGGTTGTATTGGCTGATGGCAATGCTGTCGTCCTTGAGGTGGTCCGCGAAGTCGTCGTTGCCCTTGGCCATGGCACCAACAAAGACTGCAATACTCTCCGCCTTGTTGAGGCCCGCAATGTAATCGCTAACTCGAACAATCTCCGAGTCGAAACTGAGCGTAACCTTGCGGCAATTGGGTGGGAGATGATCTGTGATGGGGTTCTTGATCACCTCGATGAGCTTCTCTTGGGATGAGGTGGAACGAATCTGATGCCGATGGAGCAGCTGCACCATCAAACCAGCGAATCGCTTGAAAGTCCGAGGAATGCGTACTGTCGGGCTGACCCTGATGAGCACGTTCTTCGACGTCTGTATGTATATCTGCAGCCTGCCCGCTTTGTTGATCGGCGAGTCGAGTAAAGTGAGCAAACACTATGTTGCCTTGTTAGCTAACAAACACCTATAGCCTCCTCTTGTACGCACCTGGTGCGTGATATCAGGCCGAGCCTCGCTAATATCGCGGCCCATCTTCCTCATCACGCCAATATGGTCGTCGCTATTGAGGAGGTTGTACTTGTCCTCTCTGCTACCAGGCCCTCGACCGGAGCCGTGCGACGCCTTGTACGTCTCGAGTGTGGCGTTACATAGGATAACGATGAGGCGCTGGGTGTCTTTGTCGTTGGTCGGAATCGGGACGGCTTGCTCTGCAACTAGCTTTGGAAGCTCTGGCGGTGGCATCGACTGAGTCCCTACGGGGTTAAGTAGCGATGTTAGCATCGATTTCAGTGCTTGGGAAGGGGAGCGCTGTCGACATACTTGCACGTTTCTTTCCCCGCTCGGGCGAGTCTCGGGTCGACAGCCTCTCCGTAGTAGAGGCTTCTGGCTTGAGGGGTCCGGCCATTATGGATGGCGTTGGGACAGTATTCGAGATAGCACCGTCGACTAAGTTGCTTCTGGTGCGGGGATAGTGGGAGTCTTGTTCGTCGGATTACCTAGAGGTCAGATCGCAGTTGAACGCGTAGTACAAACCAATTGCAGAGGATATCTTCGAGGTATGAAGTTGCTACTGTTGCGGAGAAGAGAAGGCTAAGTCCTATTTGTGCGAACAGTCGGTGACCGAAAGGCTTTTCACGCGTCCATTTGCAGCCGACTCCACCGTAGCCGCTTACGTCAGCTGAAGCTCACTCCACCAACATTCAATACAACATTTTTGCACTGTTCTCCTGCTAGTTTTCGCGAGGAGGATTACGACAGAATATCATGCTGTCAGCGTCGTCGTCTTCTCGGCATGCAGGTTGTCTCTGCAGCTTGGGCATTTGCACAGATTGATTCGGACACTTTTGGGCTAGGTGGTCTTCGGATTCCGAGGCCAAAATCTGTCCGAAAATCAGGTGCGAAATGGAAATTCACAGACAAACAAATCTCGAAAACGACAGAATGTATCCCTGCAAAACGGTGAAGCCAGCCTGCCGTCAGTCTCGCCCTGTCCCGGACACGCTTTCTTATCGGAGCTCGGTTCTTCTGCAACGAAGTCGTCTCACCATTTTCCCCTGTCCCCCTGGGCCGCCTCGACTTCGAAACACTCACCGTGTAGTATTGGCCATGTTCGATCAGCATGTCACCCTGATGGTCCTGAATGGCTCTACGTGTAAACATCATGCTATGCGCTGAGAATGCTCAGAGGTCAGGTCATTCTCGAAACAAGAAAGGTTTTGCCGACGCGCTGCCTTCTTGCGATGGTATAGTACTCAAGCACCTGCTGTCGCCTCTTCGCGCATTCCACTACCTCTAAAAGTTTTTATCGTATCGTTGCTTGTTTCTCCTTCTCAACGTCGCTAGCGACACTTTGTCCGCGTATTTTTGGCAGCCGGCTGCTCGTACCTCTTAATCACCCCCACGACTCAAGTCATCGTTGCGTTTAGTCCGACGTTCAGTACGAGACCTCTTCCCGTCAAAACTCTACACATTCAATACATCACACGATGGCGTTCGGATGGCTCGCGCCAATTCTTACCCCCGCTGCTCTTCGCTCAGTACAAGCCGACGGCCGACCGGTCATTACGTTATTTCTTGTCATCTTCGGTCTCTCGATAATGGGCGTTCTGATCTGGTACGTCCACTTCGTCACGTCGAAAGATAATCCGAAGCGGAAAGACCCAAATGCAAAGAAGGGTGGTCTGCTGGGATTCCTGAAGAAGTAGAACGCACGAGACGAAGGGGGAGGGGGGGGGGGGGGGGGGGGGGGGGGGGGGGGGGGGGGGGGGGGGGGGGGGGGGGGATCGGATTGACAGCGGTTATTGGTGTTGATTATGGCAGACGAAAGAGGATAACAGTGGAACGGTTGCAAACCCGGCTTACACCAACACAAGCCCGCATGTGCACTTTCCAGCCCGTTAAAAAACGATCCCGAATCCTACGTCAGCCTCTACATTCCCGATCTCGACATGGATCCGAGAGCCCCCGAATCGGCAGCAGCATCTCTGCATGGGACGCTAATGATATAGCTGTTCCGTATGGTATAAGGGACACGACGGTTCCTCACAGTGCTTATATATTCTTCTTGTATTAGCGAGCATTTGCAACTCAAATCGAGTGCACACGCGTTTCTTGTCCTCAGTAACCTTCTACTTGTAGTTACTGTACTGCTCAAATAAGACAATATCCTATTTTCCAAGCAATGTGCATGTCATTGCGAGGTGATTGCAGCCTATTTCGCGAACTCGGAAAGTCCGAAGCTCGTTGCAGACTCAACATATATAACATGAGACCATTCACCTAGATCTATGCCAACTGTCTACACTATTACCACTCACACATTATGACCTCACAAACAAACCCCGCTCTTCTTCTGCAAGGAAAGGTCGCCATAGTCACCGGCGCTTCTCGAGGGATTGGTGCTGGCTTGGCGTTAGAGCTCGCGCAACGGGGTGCAAAGGTAGGTCTCGTGGATTCCAATGTTCACGTCTTACAGGTCACGCTGGCCTACACATCTCCCAACAGCGGAAAACTAGCTGAAGAGGTTGCGGCTAAGATAAAATCTTTGGTCAACGGCAGCGAAGCAAACATCGTCTAATCAGACCTTAGACAAATTGATGCGCCCGAACAGAACTGAAATGCTAGACGACGTGCCTAAGGAAATCGTTGAAAATCAGTTGAAGACAATTGCGGTTGGGCACCCAGTAGGGACCCCAGATAACATTGCTCGAATCGTGGCATGGCTTTGTAGCGACGACTCGAAGTGGGTTTCAGGGCAGACAATCTCTGCTTCTGGCGGTTTCTTGATGCTCTAGAGGGAGGTTGGCAGTGGTGTTATTCTGTTGAGGTTTACTGATAATGGTTCCCTTGTGGCCGTTGTTTGAGTTCCAACACTGTTGATGTTTGGACAGAAATGGACCATTGATCTAGTCACGCTGCGGAAATGCCCGCCGTTGAAACATGGGAGAAAGGACGATCGACGGGTCCGGCCCTATATCTTTACCGTATTCCAAGCACAAAGCTGTTATTTGCTTGTAATATTGGTTGTGCACAGGCTCATTGGATGCCTATTCTGTGTTGGTTCGGTAGAATGCCATGAGAGCTTGGCTCCAATACTCACGACGCGCAAGTCATGCCTCTCCTACAGCTATCGTCATTCCAGACCTTATCGATGATGGTGAACCAGGAAACTTGACCACAGCTCCACAACGAACACTTCAGGGCTCGGTCGAAAATGGTCGGAAAGCAGTGGGGTTGTAAGGGAGGCTGTCATGGGAGCTTCCAGGCGCCAACCAACAAGGGGTACCGGTACGGTAAAACTCGCTTCGTTTAGTGCAGGCTTCTGCGACACCTCTCAAACACGGCCGTCTGCCATTTCGCATGGCAAAAGCGAAATGCCACAGCCATTCAGGTTTCAGAATATCACCTTGGGCTCAATCTAGCCCCAGTAATGCTATGTTGAGCCTCCCATTCGCCGGCACGAGGCTCTGCACGCCGCACCTTGCCTTTGCGATACGCCCTCGTAGACGGCGCATCCTCTTGTGTCGCAGCTTTGGACTGCGAGGTCATCGAAGTGGTACGACTTCTGCTACCGTTTCGCTACTTGTGTTAAGCCTAGCTACCATCTCCACACGTCCTGTACCGATATCCACAGTCGTGCGCTGCAAATGCGACTTGATTACCGCCCCCTACCGTGCCCACTGCTTTGCGCGTGCTTATAGACTTTGTTTCCCTAACACTTCTCCCGTTTTCATGCCGGTGCTTCTTTAGCCGGGTGACCAAGATTCCCTTCTGTACATTTGTATTCTTTCGTGCAGGCACTTGTTAGTGAGTCTTCTCCTCATTCATCGCCATCCCATCCCATGGCGCCGCCACTGGCGTTGCCTCTAGTCTGACCACATCACAGATAGTTTAACGTTCTTTGAGCCTATTTCATACTTCGGCCACGTTCAGCAGGTCTGAAGATCGACGGCCCTGATAACTGGCACTCCGCCGCTACCACATTCGCTCCACCTTGTAGCCATGTCGAGCCTCACCAGCAGTCTTACAGGTCGCGAGCGATCAAGATGGCCACCGCTGACGCGCATGCTCATGTCTGGCGAGATGTCAGATGAGAAGGCGCGACAGTTGACTCGAAAGGAGCGGTTTGATGTCTGGATGGTTAACGAAGGTTACCGAAGATTGTAAGAAATCCACGTGCGCATGTCACAACCACCCTAACACGGACAGCTTCGTCTTCACGTTTATAATATTACACATCATGGTCTTCACATTCGGCATGATGAATTACGGGCTAAAGGTGCGATTCGGACTCTTCAACATTCAAATCTTATCGTTAACACTTCGCAGGATAACTCCAAAGGCTCAAGACAAAGTTTCGGCGTAACGTTTCCCATTGCTCGGTCGGCTGCTTTAGTGCTACATGTCGATGTAGCCTTTATCCTCTTCCCAGTGTGTAGGAACCTGATCTCCATGGCGCGACGGACGCCATTAAACGACGTAATTCCTTTCGACAAGAACATCACGTTCCACAAACTGGTCGCATGGTCGATTGTGTTTTTTTCCTGGGTCCACACGATTGCGCACTGGAACAACCTGGCAAGATTCTCTGCAGCGAATAACCTAGGATTCATGGGCTTCATTCTAGCAAACCTTGCGACTGGTCCTGGGTGGAGTGGATATGTCATGTTGCTCGCTCTAATGGCTATTGCGCTGACAGCCGTGGAAAAGGCGCGACGTGCGAATTTCGAGCGCTTCTGGTACATGCACCACCTCTTCATCGTCTTTTTCCTATTCTGGGCCATACATGGAGCGTTCTGTATGATTAAGCCCGACTTTGCACCGTTTTGCGACGGTATTGGTGTCTTCTGGGAATACTGGATGTACGGCGGATTCGCCTACCTGGCTGAGCGTATTTCTCGTGAGATTCGGGGGCGACACAAGACGTACATTTCCAAGGTCATCCAGCATCCCAGCAACGTCTGTGAAGTGCAGATCAAGAAAGAGCACACCAAGACCCGCGCTGGCCAGGTAAGCTCCCATGTTCCCCGTGCTCAGAGTCTGCGCTAACGTTAACAGTACATCTTCTTGTGCTGTCCAGAAGTCTCAATCTGGCAATATCATCCCTTCACGCTCACCAGCGCGCCAGAGGAGGATTACATCTCGGTGCATATTCGTATGGTCGGCAACTTCACCAAAGCCTTCGGCAAAGCGCTCGGCTGCAACATCGAAAAGAAGCCCGCCGGAGAAAAGGGGGAGAAGGGCGGAGGCGGTGAAGAGATTGCGCTCCGTCAGATCTTGCCTCGGGTTTATATTGATGGTCCTTTCGGCTCAGCGTCGGAAGACGTGTTCAAGTTCGAAGTCGCCGTGCTCGTCGGTGCTGGTATCGGTGTTACGCCTTTCGCTTCGATTCTGAAAAGCATCTGGTACCGAATGAACTACCCTCAAGGACGCACGAGGCTGAGGAAGGTGTACTTCTTCTGGATTTGCAGAGATTTTGGCTCTTTCGAGTGGTTCAGGTCGTTGCTCCTGGCGATCGAGGCTCAGGATACCGAAGATCATATCGAAATCCACACCGTAAGTTGTCTCCTCCCGTCTGGCCTGTACAATACGTTAATCAGATGTTTAGTACCTTACTGCGAAGATCAAGGCAGACGATGCAACAAATATCATGATCAACGACGCCAACGCCGAGCAAGACGCCATCACCGGTCTGCGCGCACCGACAAACTTCGGTCGTCCCAACTGGGACATGATCTTCAAGTCCATCCGCAAGATTCACTCGCCTGCAGAAGCAGGTGTCTTCTTCTGCGGCCCGAAGGGTCTCGGCTCAACACTGCACGTCAAGTGTAATATGTACTCAGAACCTGGCTTCAGTTTTGTATGGGGTAAGGAAAACTTTTAGTCTATATTTTCATCGAGCCGCCTAGAGCGCGGGAAACTCTAGAGTATACCATTTGCATATTGAGCGAATTGCATGCTACTCGTTACTTTTACTATACATAATAACTCTAGCCCTCGTTACCATTCCATGTCTCAGTGTCAGTTCCTTGCCAGTTTTAGCTACCCACTTGACATTCACGATAGCCAAAACTCTGATCATGGAAAGCAATATGAGAAGTATGACCACACATTGCGTGAAGCAGCCAAGGGAAGCATGGCCTGATGTGTTAGTCCTAAGGCAAGAATAGCCTGTACATTACCCCTGTTCGACAGTCGACCACTCCATTCATGCGTACGAGCTACCCAAACACTCTGAGACTCTACTCGCCGCAACATAGATCCCCGTTGGGTTTCGGCGCTTTCGGTACTCCGACGAGCTTTTGCGGAGCCTCGAGTAGGTATGATCACCAGCTCTAGCCAAAAGTGATTCCCCGTGTATCACACTCGTGTGAAGCCAAGGTCTTGGAACTGCTGTTTGGGGTATGCGGAGGTTGGAACTGTGGTTTGTAGTGTGTTCTAGGCGTGACGGTAGAACGAACTTTGGGAGCATAATGTGGTCATTTTCAGGGTGAAGGGGTGTGAAAGGAAAGCCTAATTCACCGAGTATTTTTAGCGGGGCGTTCTTGAAGTTCGGGCGATGCACACTATCAGTCATGGTGGTTATAGTACCAGTGGAACATGTTCGAGAGACGATCTAGCCATGTAGACAGAACATGTCGACCGAAAGTCTATAGACTAGCTTGCGGGGGTTTCTTCCATCCCTTGTCGTACCAGTCGTTGAGTTCTACAAGACCTTGTAGTTGCTGCTTCTTAGGCTCAATACTCTCGCCGATACTAAAGTCATGCGCAGCAAGAACCCAAAAGCTATTTTGTTCCGCAAAATGCTTTGTACGCCATATTGTGTCGATTGCTTGCTCGGGATCGCTGTGCATACCCGACTTTGAGTACGGTGGCCGCGCTGTCCGCCTGGGGTCTTTCAAAATTTCTGGATGATGGAAGCAGTCGCCGGCTAGTAGAACGAATGTGTTATCCTCGAATGAGTCAGTCTTTGTTCGAATGAGCATCATTTGATGGCCCGCCGAATGCCCTGGAGCGTCAATAAGATATGCTGAGCCATCGTCGAAGACGTCGAAGGCTCTGTCGAAGGAGCCAAGGCCAATCCACTCTGGCTTTTTCAGATCAATAGCGTCGTATTTACCCTGCTTGATACCCTCCATGACCTGCCCGGCTCTCTTATCTCCAGCTTCTTTCAGTAACTCATCTGGCACATAGAGCTCAATGATCTTCCTTGTACCATCGGCTGGCAAGGTCTCGCTCAGTGTCGGCGCCTTATCGTCTGCCGGGTATCCGGGCCTCGCATATGTGCAACATGTCGGTCCAACCCACATCTCAGCTTCCGCGAAGCCGGCTTTGGCGCCATCGCCCACGTGATCGAAATGCATATGCGAGAATATGACTGCGTGGACCTTTTCCGGCTGTTGCTCAGGGGATCCGTGGTCTTTTAAGATGTCTGCTGGTGATTGGGGCTCGCACTTGAATAGCGGCAATACGTCCTTGATGATCCTAGGCGGAAGCTTTTCAAGGTCTTTGCGCATCCCTAGGTCAAAGATGTACTTGTTCCCGGTTGCCGTGTGTTCGATGAAGAAGACATAGTCCGGAGCGTAGAAGGATTTCGGCTTGTCATTGCCGTCAACTGACTTCACAGAGCCATTTGGTTCGTCCGGACCTGGGAGCAGAGTCATATTTTCTGGGATGTAAAGGCCTCCGGCTTGCATGAGATGGACTTTGCACGTTGCTTTGGCAGATGGTATAGGGTACCATGGTATCTTTGACGATGACTGACACATGACTGACACAACTATCGAAACTGAATATCACTACAAAGCAATCGAAAGGTCTTGAGTCGGACGGCTAAGTTGGGCTTAGAATGCATCTATGACGTCACATTGGTTCATCCTAAATGTTTGCATGAGGATGCTTGTATAGGTCAAAATCTAGGCACTCTCCTATCCACATCTATTTTTCACAGCTTTTCGGATCAACGAAGTGACCCGATGTACTGTGCCGGCTGGTCGTCTTCACGATGAGAGAGGTTGGTGAGTGACACCTGCTCCATCGAGATTTGTGAATAGAAGCATTCGGGAAGCTACAATTGGTAGAGGACACGAATATGGTGGTGCAGAATACATGTGTTGATGACCTGACTGTGTTTGAGGATTCGTAACTTGGAAGACGCGTCGACCGAAAACGGCATGGTACGGCGCGCCAACGAGTTGACGACCTCGGGAGGGGGATACGTATTTTGAGTTTCTACCTTTCACACTCTGACCTCAACACTAAAAGAGCTCGTTCACCGCACCGTTCGCCAATCGCACACTACTAATAAATCATGAAAACGATCGAAAAGCCACAGAGCGAAGAAGAAATGAAGCAAAGTTCAAGCTATGTCACATTGAATCATCAATACGCCTGTAGTGTGCAGTCTTGGTTGCGTATCATGCACTCAGTTGACTAGAGATATATTCAAAAGCGCCTACGCCCTAGGAGATCTATCGCTGGTTCTGTAGAGGGGTTTTGGGTGCGGACTCAATTGTCTACGACGTCCAAGAGACTGAAAGACAAGGATTCCTTTATTTTATCCGCAGCGTTCTCTTTCTCTCCCCTTGATCTTGATCATATATTGAGAACAAGACACGACCCGGGCACGCTTCAAGTATGCCTCCGCCGATGACAACTCCCAATACTCTATCGCCCAATTGCCTACTCCTTTGTCACATTCGCTTCTTTCCCATCCGTCTCCTTTGTCCCACTCTCCATCTTCTTGCCTTCGCATTCTTCACACAACCCCTCCTTAATCCTAATTAGGAGCTCCAAGTCTTCCAACCTATCACTGCACCTCCCCCCTCTTCGACCTACGTCTTGACAGCCCTCAACCGAGGTGTCAGGGTGTGTCGGCCATTCCGTTCTCGGGTTTGCTTGTCGTAGTTTTGTAGCCGAATTGGGCTGTTGATCTGGAGTGAGGCTTTGGTAATTTGAAGGGTGAATAGGGGAGACGTGGGCGCATGAGTAGCGCGTACGGCGGACGAAGCACATTTCGAATGATTTGGTAGACGAGTGTTGATCCTTGAAGTCGTTTCGGTTGATTGAAGACTAGGTCAAATGGATGGTGATGGACTTGCGCGTTGAAAGTCAGTAGCGGGGTGTTGGTATATTTAAGAGAAGGCAAGAAGTAATAGAGGTACCAGGGCTTTTATAGAGAAACCCATGGGGGTGTGTGAAAGACGTACATCGTAATGCTGTCACGTTGTGTTGGCTTCATCACTTACTAGGGGACAAAGGTGAATCGCACGTCTTGGACTATCACACTTTGGCCTTGTCGCACCAACTCAAGCTTCAAATGGACATAAGCATTGTGAGGCTGTTGAACTAGGAAAGGAGAGATAGCCGACTGCTCTGCGCACGAGTATAATGATGTGTTTATATTCATATGTGCAGTGTATGCGTGCAAGTAGCTGCCCAAACGCCAATGAGCTCGCACGGTCCAACATTACCGCAAATACGGTACTCTAAGATACAAAAATACAAAAACGATCAGTAGTTAGATCCATACAACAGAAGTTACTCTAGTGAAGAGCGGCCTTACTTGATAAGAATTGGGGCGCTTTTGCCAGCTTTTCCTGCAGCAATATTGGCAAGCTTCTGCAGCTTTTCGGCACGCATCTGGCGGAAAGATCTGAAGAGAAGGATAAAAGAAAGCTCAATTCTATAATCTGCGTTAGCATGAGCACAAAAATAAAGTAGGTTGCTTGCATACCTCTCCTTGGTCATCATGAGAAAGCCTTGGACGAGCAGACCCTTCAGAATCTGAGGTCCGATGCCCTTGAACAGGGCCATAGGGCCCTCGTGTTGGATGATGTATTGCATGACCTCTGTGAAGGACTTGAAGGGCTTGCCATCCCTCGCCGGCGGGGGTTTCGACTGCAGGCCCACCTTTGCGACGATGAGTGGCTGTGTAACGATTGTGGCAAGTATCTTCGACAGCGATCCGAGAACTGTGCACAGTCAGTCACTTCGCTCGTAACCTCGAGCTTGCGGTAACATACTGAACGCTTCCCAAGGCTTGAGTGTCTTCTTGCCCGGATATAGCACGTCCCGCAGTCGCTGATAAGCACCATATGTAATTGAGGGGTTGATCACAAGCACCAAACTCGCCCTCAATCCTCGCCAAAGACCTGTCCATCCATCCTCGCCATTGATGACATCCATGCCGGTCGCGATCATGCCCTTGCGCTCTGATTTGCTCATGGTCTGTTGTCTCGTTGTCACCACTGCCACGGGGATTGTGAAGAGCTGAGCAAGTGCGCCTGCTACAGCTCCTAGCGACAGCTCGATTGCCGTACCCGGGGGCGCTTGAAGAGCGCGATTCGCGATGTAGAGGCTGCGAACGACCGTGTACCAGTAGAAGTAGGCAAAATTTGTGGAGGCTACACCGAGCAACGAGCCCGCCATGCCGGCATAGAGCCCAGAGACACCTTCATGTGCAACCACTTTCCTTATCGCATCGAGTGCATCGTCATAATGTTCGTGATCGGCAGGATTGGGGTCATTGGACGTCTTGGAGCGTTTGATTTGGACTTGTAGCCGCGTCTTGATCCTAAGGGTAAATTAGAACATTCTCAACATGCCGTCTCCATGCCAGGAGTAGTGAATTGTGAGCTTACAAGTCCAATGGATAGACGAGAGTGTTAGCAATGACGGCACCAGCAGCGCCTGCAACGGCATTGCCCCATGGCGGCAGCGTGTCGACCTTTGACTGTCCGGCCATTGTGGAAGTGCTGAGGACTCGCGAGAGCGGTGCGGTGAGCGGAGGACCCTGGTATTTGGGACGACAGATGATGTAACCGGTTGTGGGGTATCAGGGTGGTCGAAGTCTACAATTTGTGCTATCTCATGTTTGCAGCAGTGATAGATGATTGAATCTCAAAATGCCAAAGTAGATACGAGCTGAAGGTAAGAAAAAGCGGGCAGGGAGCGATCATGGTGCCTCTGCAACGCGATAGCGCTTTCACCCATGGCAGACCTCTTCCGAGGTCTGTAGGCCGAGGTTCAGTCACGCTCCGCCAAGTCCGACGACATCTGCGCTTCAACAGCGCTTCCTTCACACCGCGCCTATGGTTTGCAAGCCTTGGGAGTGGTCGTGGGCGTCGGTCAGTCTTCGGCCTTGATCAAGTGAAGAATGAGCAAGTTGCGACTACTATTCACCGCAGTTTGGCGGGCAGCTTCTGGGCAGAAATGTAGTAGGCGCGACGCGACGTGCCGAACACTAGAAGGCAGGCACGTGCTTGGCGCTAAGTCGGCCTCAACACCACAACAGTCCACTCCACGGCTATCACGAAGTGCAGGTGCAATCTTGCCTCGAGCACTCCAACCTCCGCATCCTTTTGAGACGGCTTGGATGATGCCAGCACTCGCCTCACGTAACCCAAAGCCATCTTTTTGATATATTTGATTTGCTCACCCACCATGGCGGACAAACTAGCCCAGCTTGAAGCTTGTAAAGCCGCTGCAAGCGTATGTGATTCTGAAATTGGCATCCTTGCAGCTGGACAATGGTTGCTCCCACTCGCTGACACCAACACTCATCGCAGAACTACCACGCACAGCTACAAACCGCCGCGACCAAGGATGAGGCACTCACCTCTGCGATTGGCGTCGCCGAGAACCTCATGCAGGCGTTGAGATTGTCTTCAAATCCGGACGAAAAGCAGCAGCTCAAGGCACAGTGTGGTGAGATCATGACCGTGGCAGATAAAATCAAAAACGCGGCAGAATGGACCCCATTGGCCAAGCAACAGCCCGCGATCAAGCTCAATGAACGAATCGATCAATGGGCGGCCGAGGTTGCGGTCAATGCAGAGCCCAAGACCACCTTCGAAGACATGGCTTCAAGATCAAGCTCCTCTCGCTATGGTCCATCTTCAACTACTGCGCCTGTTGAAAATGTTCGCGCAACATCAGGTAAATCATTAGTCTCCTCAAATTCAGCTCCCCTTCAAAGGGAAAGTATGCCCCAGCCGGAGACACCACAGCAAGGCGTGCACGATGCCCCAATTTTGCTCATAGACGTTTCCGACGATCAAGCTCCTTCTCTCGACAACGTACCAAGCACACCTGCTGATGCACCACACGAAGATAGTCATGGAGTCGATTCTGCGGTTTCACCTGGCGTGGGCGTCAAGTCATCCCCAGTGCCGCAGTCGCCAGCACCACGTCCACATCAGAGCCATCTGAAGGCAGACCTGGCGGCTCTATCATCTCCTTCAACCGCGTCTTATTCGCACATCCATAGGCTAGCAGAGCCTGTGTCGAGCAGAAAGCGCTCCAAAAGAGAGGACATCATCCTGCTAAAGGCGTCGATGGTCAATGGATTCAAGTGTCCGCCTTGGAAAGAGAACCCTTCGACTGCCGAATTTGCACCACAGCAAGGAGGGGAGCCGTTCGTGTAAGTGAGCTTACTCATGCAGCAAGAGTATTTCTGATCAATTCAGTGACACACATGACCTGAGCTTGTCATCATACCAGCAGCAATTCTTCCAGGGTTGGGTTCGTGCCAGACATGCAATTCCACCTCCTGCTTTTTCAGAAGACAGAACTGGCATTGGGCCATTGATGTCCAGCTCACGGTCTATCGATCTCGTACAGGATGCAGCAACAGACTGCTCCGTGGTAACAAGCCTATGCGCCGGTATCGCTCGCGCAGAGCGTGGGCACGACCAAGTCAGTCTCTTTCCAAATCAACAACCCGTTGCTGACCAAGGCAGATGCTTTCAAACAAGCTGTATCCATTTGACAAACAACTCGGTAAGCCCGTGCCCTCATCGAACGGGAAGTATATCGTGCGGCTTAACTTCAACGGCTGCTGGAGGAAGGTTGTAATTGATGATCGACTACCCGTGTCTAATACCCACCGACTACTTCACGTGATCGACCGTCGTAATCCGGCATTACTATGGCCTGCACTGCTTGAGAAAGCCTATCTCAAGGTCCGTGGAGGATACGACTTCCCTGGCAGCAACTCATGCAGCGATCTGTGGACACTGACAGGCTGGATACCGGAGCAAGTCTTTTTACAAGAGTGAGTGTCCCTTTACATTAGCAGGAAGTCTACGTGCTCACCCCTTTGCCTAGAACTGATACAGTTCCCGACCAACTGTGGAAACGTATATACAACGCTTTCTTGTACGGCGACGTACTAGTCACCACAGGCACTGGCAAAATGTCAAGCAGGCAAGAGCGTGAGTTTGGCCTGGAAGGACAACACAGTTATGTTGTGCTGGATATGAAAGAGACGGATCACGATCGGCTGTTGCTTGTCAAAAACCCATGGGTGGAAGGGAGAGGTTGGCGGGGCCCTCGCCCATCGACTATATCTGCTTTGGGTTCCTCTGTATCTAGTGGAGGCTCCAAGAATAGTCTAGAGACCTACCACAGGGATAGCATCCCGACACAGGAACGACCGCATCCGACAACATTCTGGATAGGACTCGAGCAGGTCATACAACATTTTGAGAGCCTCTACCTGAACTGGAATCCTGGACTGTTCCGCAATCGCCAAGATATCCATTTCGAATGGGACGTCGAGTCTCAGTCCCCTGGCGGGTGTATCATCAAACATCCACAATTCGCCCTGGCGTCCAAGGGTGCAGGGCCCGTTTGGTTCCTTTTGAGCCGACATTTCCGCGATGCGGCAACAGACACAAAAGACGACTCGGATGCATTCAACGACGGAAGTATCCGCCGCGATTCTCAGGTGAACTCTTCCGGCGAGTCTTCGAAGGGATATATGAGTATATACGTTTGCAACGGCCATGGAGAGAGGCTGTACATGAAAGATACCTATCTGGAATCGAGCGACTACGTTACAACACCGCAATGTCTTCTTCGATGGGACACGGATGCCAATACGACCTACACCGTAGTGATTGATCAAGATGATCTTCCTCCGTCACTTTACACGTTCTCTCTGTCTGTGTTCTCTAACTCGCCAATCGCACTAGAGCCAGCAGTACAAAGATATCCCGAGCAGAAGATTGAAGAGGGAGCCTGGAGCAGACAATCTGCCGGGGGCAGCACGAGCTCGTCCAAGTATTTCGAGAACCCCCAGTACTCACTTGAAGTCCGTCAGCGTGGGCCACTTGCGATTTTGATGACAAGCAAGAACCACGAGCACCCGCTACACGTCAAGCTTGCCCTCGGACATGGAAGGAGACTGTATCGACTGCAAAGTCGCGACGTGCTCGTGGATTCTGGCAATCATCGCAGCGGCTGCGTGTTTGCTGAAATCCAGGATCTCCAACCTGGCCTGTACACAATCATCTGCTCAACTTTTGAGGCCGGCCAGACTGGCGATTTTGCTCTCAGGTTGGACAGCACTAGTGAACTTGGGCTCAAGCAAATTCCCCGCGACGGAGCCGGCCTGCTGTCGATGAAGCTTACGCCAGCCTGCTTCGGAGCGGATGTACACAAAGTCGCTGCACCAATCTTACCCCACCGCTTGGCCTCGTACACGATCATTGCCAGGTTCTTGAAGGCAACCAGCCCGCGTTCAACCGACTTGGGAAAATTAGCTCGCAGCCCGCTTCGTCTGAGTGTTGAGATTGGCAGGGGCCCCGAGCGCAAATTCGTCATCACCAGCGAGCGAGGGGAATATGCCGACGCCGCAGCGGTTCGGTCCGAAAGCGTGAACATCGATCCTACGCTCCGCAGCCAGGGAGATCTCTATCTTGTCCTCGACCGACTCTCGGGACCTGGAGGGCCAGTGGAGGAGTGGTACGAAGTGGAAATCTATACGGACATGCCTCAGGCATGTGAAATAGGCGTTTGGCGCAACTGGAATGACTAGTCAGCGGCGAGGTGGTCATGGGCGGTGTCGTGAAAGCACCCCGGCCGTGGTCATGGGATCTTGGGATTCGGCAATCTTTTGTACCGTGTATTGGTAGCATGATGGCTTTAGCACACATGCACACTTTATGTCTGCGGCTGTGCAACCGGGTAGGGGTGTTGTGGGCGGTGTGAAACTACATCCAATCGTTGCAGACACGATCCTTCGCGGGCCATGTTATTGCCTGCATCCGCGAACAGCAGACGTGCATGCTGAAAATTGTGGACGATAACGGCGCGCTAAGTAGAAGAAGGGCATACTTCTGAGTCTTAATCTCGAGTCCTTTGAGAGCTTCGCAGTTGCTGTACATGCTCGTCTTGTTCCCCTCATAAGCTGTTGCCCCGCCAAGATACGATTAAGGTTATCGGCATCATCTACGTCAGAGCTTTCCCACGCGCCAAGCAGAGAGCATCACGCGAAGCGCACCGCCTCAGACCTGACCGCTCCACAGCCTGCTCTCTGGACTTGTATATACCCTCTGCGAAGTCGATTCTTTGTGTCCGCATCAGAGGATACAGCACGTCGAAAACACCATGGCGGACCTCGCCCCAGAAACTACTGCCCACCCGGGCTCCGCCACCACCTCCGCGGTCAACTCCAAAGAAACAGCACCCGTGAATGCGCCAGTGGAGAAGCCACCGGATGATAGTTCCAAGTTTAGGACATTCTTGAGCATCCTCAGGAGGTAACGTAACACCTGTCAGACCCAGCCCAGCACCTATAGTTGGGCAAGACCGGCAACCTAGAGAGACAATGGCTAACTCGGGTTTCTCCGCAGGTTCATAGGTGTCTCCGACCTCGCCGCAGTCCGATTCTCCCTTCCCGCGCAGCTCCTGGAACCAAGGCCTAACTTGGGTACGTCGCTTGAAGCTGGATTGACACCAATCTAGGAGCGTCCTCGCGCTGTGGTTGGAATCTGGTCTGACGGGTAGCAGAATACTGGCACTACCTTGACCGACCAGACACATTTATAAGGTCAGCACAACTTGGCTGCGGAATACATGAGCGCTTGTGCTAACTGTCACAGTATCGGCGATTCAGATGATGACCTGGGGCGAATGCTGGGATGCTTGCGCTTCTGGTTCACCAAAGATCTGGTATGCTGCATATGTGAGCTGTCGAGCAAAGCTAATGCTGGAGCAGAAATACGTCAAAGGCAAGCCATGCAAGCCTTACAACTCCACCTTGGGCGAGTTCTTTAGGGTGCGCAACGACCACGAGACGTCTTTGACAACCGCTGACATTTGCAGTGTAACTGGAAGATCGAAGATACTCACCCAACTCTCAAAACACCGAGCTCAGCACCCTCGAGTAGCGCCAACAGCGTGACAGGCGACAACAAGCCTGTCAGGGTATCCTATCTTACCGAACAAACCTCCCACCACCCTCCTGTTTCCGCCTTCTACATCGACTGCCCCGAGAAGGGCATCAGCGCAAAGGGCTACGATCAGCTGAGCGCAAAGTTCACCGGTACCAGTGTGCGCGTGGTTGCTGGAGCGCATAACTTGGGCATCTTCATTACATTGAAGAATCGGGATAACGAAGAGTACCAGCTTACACATCCAGCAGCCTATCTTGGCGGTCTGCTACGAGGTAAGTGAGGGTAACCTGGCGAGTAAAAACGTACGCTCACGTCGAGTTAGGCTCTCTCAACGTCTCCGTTGCCGACTCCTGCTTTATCACCTGCCCCAAGACTGGGTTGAAAGTCATTCTGGAGTATCTCGAAGAAGGCTGGCTCGGGCGATCTCAGAATAAGGTTTTGGGAGTCATCTTCAAGTATGATCCAGATAACGACAACATAACCAAGATCAAAGACGTAGTGGACAAGGATGTCCACGCGAGGATAGAAGGCTGCTGGCAAGACAAGATATACTACACACTTGGCAACAAGCCCTTCAACAAGGTCCCCGTAAGTGTCTATCAACACTACTCATATAAAGACAGTATTCTAATACTGCACTACAGGAAAAGGAGCGCCATCTTATCATCGATCTCGCCCCTCTGAATCCCGTTCCCAAAGTCGTACCACCACTCGAAGAGCAGCTCCCCAACGAGTCGCTCAAGTTCTGGGAAGGCGTCACAAATGCCATAGTAGGCAAGCAGTTCTCGCTGGCCACGACGCTCAAGACGGAGATCGAGGAGAACCAACGAGCAAAGGCTGCCGAAAGGAAGGCGGAGAACAAGGAGTGGCAGCCAAGATTCTTCACGGGTGCTGTGACGCCTGTGGGAAGACCGGATCTGACCAAGGATGGCGAGGAAGCACTGAAGGGTCTACACAGTGAGAGCTACAAGTTGACCGAGAATAAGGAGTACGGAGCCTTTTGAACACGCCACATTACGTTTCGGTAATTAAGTTGGATCGTCCCCTATCGGACCGGACCGTCATTGATGTCCACTATATTTGCAAGAGTCGGACTAGTGGAACCCGACCACCCTCACTTGCCCTATCTTTACATTCCGATTTGTTGGGTAGCAGCATTTTCGTTCGGCGTTTACTGATTGCAGTACATACACTGGGGGACGACGTTTGCGTTACACTTGACGTTGCATATGCACAGCTTTGCGAATAGATTACAGTTTACCTTTTAGCCCATGGGCTCTCGGCATAACTCATCCATACTCCGAGGGATTGTACTTGCCAAAGCGACATCCATTCGGTACAGAGTGTTCAGCCTCCCTCCAGGATAATGCAATGCGCCGAGGGCATTCAAGGTATCGCAACTCCTGACATTTGACTGATTCAAAGTGAAGCTTGGAGGTCCTAGCGTCTCATTTACGAGAAGAAGAAGCAGGGGAAGAGGAAGAAAAGATGAAGCGCACGATAAGCCCTTGAAACAGGCTACATTACCTCGAGGGTCCTTGACAAGGGCAAGGCGGCGGCAGCAGGGCGAAAGCTCAAGAGGCATCTCAGATTGAATTGTCAGACACAATTTCCCCTCTTTCAATATTCCGCTCGCCCACCATCCTTCTTCGCTTCCTCGATACTTCTTCGCTTGGCCTCCTTCATCTTCCTCCGGCTTTTAGACAAGTGAGTGCTTTTTTGCCACCACAGAGTGGCGCTTTCATTGTTACGGCAACGGTATGCTTTACATAAAATTGCTTTCAGGAGACCTTTGCGCAAGAGTTGCCCTGTTGCGTTGCGGGACTTTCTCGCGGTAACTACACCAAGCCGTTATACCGAGACAACACCGCCACACGGCCTCGTCGGTATCCTCCTCCAAGACACGTCCCTCGGAAAGAGGGCCTCTGGCGGGCCCTGGCCCGGATCGCACTCCCAGCACTCGCCTCCCCTTTCCCGCTCCACATCCGTCTGTAAGGCACATTCTGGATGGCGATGGCAGTTGCGCTTGATCCAGAAGCGGTGTTGGCAGGTGCTATGCTTGAGCGTGACTTTGGTGCACATGTTTAATCGTGACGTTCTCTTCTCCTCTACTCGGACGTCGTGGCGTGGGGGCAGTCGGATTACGCCTTCGGACTCGACAGGGTTTGGGTAGATTGGTTTCTTCGTCGACTCTCATGGCATTCCCCCGCCGATATTCGCAGACACGAGGGAGCTTTCAGAGCGAGGACTTGGTGCTGGTGCTGGTAGGGCTTCCGAGGCCACATTTTCAGTGCCGAGACAAAATGACTGCGTGGTGATGTCGATCGGGCGTTGAGACTCAATATCAGTCACCGTGTTGATGTCTCCTTGTCGTAAAGATGCTGGTGGTCCGACGGTGAAGGGTGTGATGATTCTTCCCAGGTCCAGGAAGCGAAGACGACAAACGTGGACGGACTTGCGAGATTCAATCAATGTCTTGTCCGTTGCTAGTCAACAGTCTCTCAACGCTCGTTCCCAGGAGATTCCCAATTGGGAAGTCCACGATTGACAAATCTCGGACCAGACCTCCTCTCTAAAACACAGGGTCCAGCGCAAGTTATGTACAGTACAGTCAGTCCACTCGTGGCCCAGGCCGCATCTATTACGAAAATTCAATATACGGCCAAAGCGCGATCGCCGATGACGCTTATCAGGGAGTTTCGTCCCGAGAAACAACAGCTCACTTTGCTGCACCTCCCCACCAACATTCTTCTTGTTCGCAGCAGCCAAGCTCGACTCCACCTTGCCATCGACGATGTTCACCCAAGACGGATTTGCGCTTTCCTGATCTGGCTGCTGTGCTCGGCTCTTTCCTCCGCGTCTTCATCTGCACTAGTCATCGCCGATTGAAGGGTAGCTCGTCGGCCTCATGCTCGTCTGCGTGCAGATTCGTGCGTTGTCTTTACATTTCACGTACAAGACGCTAATAGAGTCTAATAGAGTCTGCCCAACTCACATCATCCGGGGTTAGTCTGGTCACGCTTCGCTATGGAACTCCTGTTGTGACGGCACAGGGAAAGTTCAAGTCTTGGAAAATGGCAAAACTAACAAAGAATAGGATGATGCTATTGAGCACACGAAAGATGGGTATAGTATATGCACAAGAAGTTAGAGCAAAGAAATGGAAGATGCAACGCTTCACCGCATGTCGCCACGCCGCTCAGTTACCCTCTTCATGCACTTTTGAGGACCTCTCGTCTCATCGTCCATGCCACGGAAACAGAAACCATCGCAAGCGCAAACCCAAACGCCACACGAACCATGCCCCCCAACTTTCAAGCGGAAGTATGCAGCGCCGTCTGGTTCAAGAACAAGTCGCACTCATGCGGGTGCTGCAGGCAGTACTTTGGCATCAGTGGGCTGGCGCCGACGCCGTTGGCTACCAAGTACTCGCGGAAGTTCAAGATGCGTTGTGTCAGCTCCGTCGTCCTCTTCTTGCCGTTCGCATCCCTATTGCCGGACCACACCAGCTCAGCGAGTGCAGCAGCGCGCGGCCACATCTTCTGGCTGATGACGACATCATCGACCTGCTCGGACCACAGCGGCGCAATGGCACCCTGAATAAGGCCCTTTTGGGTGTCGGTGAGATTGAAGGTGAAGTCGTAGTCGTAGATGCGTTGCCACGTCTTGTATGGCGCGCACCAGGAGCCACCGCCACCGCCCCAGTTGAAGTTCGGCGAGCCATCAGTCGCGTTCGGGTTGATCTGCAAATTGTACCGGGGATCGTTGGATACCCAGCCGCCGAATCCGCAATCGAGGTACACAAAGTCAGACGAAGAGACGATGACGCGGTACCCTTGGGCAGTGAGGTTGGAGATGTGCGTCAGCCCGTTGTTCCAGGCTTGTAGGACGATATTCTTGGGTACTTCGCCGGTCGCTGCTACGGCGGTCGAGAGCTTGACGTCTTCCCACATGACGAATGTCTTGTTGGCTTGTGCGCGGAAGTTGGGGATCGCGCGGTCGACCCAGTACTGGTACAGATCGCCCATGCTCTTTCCCGACTTGAAAAACTCAACAGCCAGGGAGCTGAAGTTGTTGCAGTTGAGGAATAGCTCGTCGCCGCCAATGTGGAACCAGTTGTCGGGGAAGATGGATGTCATTTCCTTGTACACCTTGGCGGTGACTTCATAGGTCTTGTTATTCAGGATATCGAGCTGGCCTGGGTTGGGCTCGACGGCCGTATGTGCTGCCCAGACATCATTGGACCACCAGCTGTCAGTGCAGGTTAAGATGCTCTCGTCGATCTGCTTCCACCCGGAACTGGCGTGGCCGGGCATGTCGATTTCCGGGATGATGCGGACACCGCGAGCAGCGGCGTAGCTTACAATCTCCTTGAGTGTGTCCTGAGAGAAGACCTCGTTCGGAGAGTAGGCGTCTTCGGTCATATCAGGGTAGGCGGCAATCTCAACGGGCCAGGACTGGCTGTCGACGAGATGCCAGTGGAGAACGTTTAGCTTGGAGAGGGACATGCCGTCGATTTGCTCTAAGATCTTGCTCTTGGAGATGTAGTTGCGGCCCGTGTCAATCATAACACCACGAACCGGGTAGAGAGGCTTGTCCTTGATGGAGACGGGCTGCTCGATGATCAGCCTGCCGCTGCCGTCGTTGATAACAATTTGCTGGAGAGTAGTAAGGGCGTGGAGAGCGCCATAGACAGTCTGTGCGGAGATGTCGATGAAGTCGGTTCCAGGCGCCACTTGCAGCTCGTACGACTCATCGACGTTATGCTGGAGCTCAGCGTGCGTGTTGGCAATATGGATCTTGACCTTGGTAATTGAAGCCGTGCAGTTTCCGCTCCCGTACTGCCGCCTGTGCTTCCTCTTCGAGGCCGCGCCAGTGGGCGTGGGAAAGGGGTCGAATGCTCGAACCGGGGCTTCGGTGGCGGCGGGGATCCATTTCAGCTTGGTGATGGTCTTGGTGACACGATCGAAGGCGTCTTGGAGGACCTCATGATGCGGAGCCTCAAGCGTAACCGCTGCAAAGGAGAAGCAGCCAGAGTCTCCCCAGGTAATGTTGGCCGGTTTTGGAAGTGGGTTGGCAGCAACAGCGTCAGCATGTCGAGCGAACAAGGCAGAAGCCGTGAGCACGGAGGCCAGGATGAAGTCGCGCATCGTGGCAGGACTTGTATGACTATGTGAGCGAGGGACGGATACGACCGGAAGAGCGAGTACAAGAAGAAGAAGTGATACCCGGCCTTTGTATAAAACGAGAAAGAAAAGGGCCGTGAGGAGAGAGAGAGAGAGCCAGGAGGATATTTTAAGCCGCTCGCATTGTTTGGTTCAGCTCTCGCACTGCGCCCGGCTGGGTAATTGAGTGACAGGGTCGGACCGGGATTGCATAGCTTCACTGGCGATGCAGCCACGCGCGCCAGGGGCCCCCCCTTCACTGCTGATGGCCTTGGTGAGATAGGCCAACCGTGCTCAGCCTTGCTGCGGCGTGGTCCCAACTCTCTTGAGCCTCTGTGCTGCAACCATGCTGACCTGCCAGTGGCTGCTGTGTTGCAACGTGCCCCTCTTCGACATGCCGCTCTGGCTCTGCATCGCTGAGCAGCCACGGCCACCCTCCTATACGATCGTGTGAAGCTGCTGGCGACGTGCCCAAGTGGGGTTGAGTAGGCCGGTGCGCTAAGACAAACGGCTGTCACCCCAGGATGTGCATGTTTCGTGCTACCTCGCTCCAGCCCTTCCGCCTGTTGTAGCAGTCATCCAGGACAATTCTGGGGCAGACGTGCAGATGGAGGCGCCCGGTGACAGGTCGACGTCCACCACGGCTGCTTGTGACATGTGTCGTTGTTGGACAGCTGCTGTTGGTGATGGTGAGTAGGTGTGTGTGTGTGTGTGTATGTGTGTGTGTATGTGTGTGTGTGTGTGTGTGTGTGTGTATGTGTGTGTGTGTGTGTATGTGTGTGTGTGTGTGTATGTGTGTGTGTGTATGACTATATTGTATGTGTATGTGTGGGTGGAGTAAGTCAGGCAGGGCGCTGGGTCGGAGCTTTGGTCCACCCTACCCCCCATGCCCCCATACAAGGAAGGCGCCGCCCTGCCAGAACAAAATGCGGGGACGGCCCAAGGTTCCAGGTTCGTGTACCGTGCTATATATCATATGTATGCACCATACTGTACCGATGACCACAGCAAAAGAAGATGGCTCGCCCCGTTCTCCTTTCCGTCGTCATCATCAGGCGCGCTGCAAGTAAGCTTAATCTCCTTCGCATCCGCATCTAGCATCCCTGCGACTCTAGTCATCTTGGAATGCTCCTCGTAATTTCTTCTAAACTCTATCGAGGTGCCCTTCTACAACCCCAAAGACGATTGGATTTCTTCACCGCGCTGCCCTTCCGCTAGCTACTGGGCGTAGATGTAGCATGAGGCGTAGCCTGCTCATCAGTCCTGTCCGTGCTGTTTTGCGGCCGCCCTTTGGCACCAGTCCACTCGGGCGCCGGCACACTCAGCAACTTGCAAATGTCTTTCCTCCTATGCCTAAAGTCGTCGTAAAGGTGCTTCCAAATCCGTCTCTCCGCACAGCCCGCCTCGTGGTTGCCGTTGCAATCGGGCTGCATCTCTTGCAGGCCCTTCTGCGGCCACATGACCCAGGGCTGCAGCGGCCAGTCACTGAAATGAACAAGCTTTGCCTCCTTGAATACCTTCTCCGCGTCCCATGTCTCGCCCGGATCGCCCAGGTAGGTGGCATGATCATGTCGCCTAAACTCGCTCGTCAGGAGCGCATACGGCCGATGAGGAAGTACCAGTGCGCTCTCCTCGAAGCGCTCGTTGACAATCTCCATGTCGAACCGGTGTGCCTTTACAAGCATATTATCCCCCCCTTCACCGATGCGCTTCTTAAACCTCTCGAATTCCTCCAAACTAGGCTGGATGACCATGAGCATCGACGTGAGGGGCCATGGCTTGCTGTCCGTCCCATACGAGCGAGGCATCGCTATCGACGTCTTGGGGAGGAGGAACAGCTCATCGAGTGAGTCGAGGAGTGTAATGTCCGAGTCTAGGGAGATGACGCGGTCGTAGTACGCTAGCGAAAAGGCCATGAATTTGGTCACCGTCTTGTCCAGCTTCCCTGTCCATTCATCTGCAAGGCCGTTAGCTGCTGTCTGACAGCCTGCTTTGTGTGACGCGTACCTCCTGTCCGACTCTCGACGGCGAGTAGCTCTATCGGCTGGAGCTTGACTTTGTACTGGTCGCGCGCTAAAACGAGCAGTTGGCTGTCCCGATCTTTGCTGCTTTCCACGGTCAAATCCCAATACGCAGGGTAGAACAGTACGCGGTCTGCTTTGCTGCCGAATCGGGCGAGCGCGTCGAACAGGAGAAGGGCATGACAGAGGGTGGCGCCGTCGATTGCGTACAGGCTGTATGCATAGTGGGACCAGTTGATGTTCAAGCCATTGTCACGTTGAGATGATGTCTTGCCGGAGGGGTACAAGAGCCAGCAGACGAAGATGAAGCCGCAGAGGTAGTATGTATATTTGCGGCGCCAGCGGAAGGAGCGCGCCTCAGCCTCATCAACGAAGCGCGGAAGTTCGTCTGATCGCTTGCGACGCATATTGTCGGCGTCTGGTGTGCGTCGTAGACATCTCGGTGCCTGCGCTGCGGCGTCAGCGATATTTGTTTGTTCAGGGCGCAGTTCAGGGACGTGCGGAGCTCCCGGCAGTGACGCGGAGATCGCTGGAAGATCCCGTATATGCAGGGGGGAGCGTACAGCCCATGATACCTGAGTTAGACGGACTCACAATATCAATTGATGAATTCCGTACCCTCTTAATATTGAATCCAGTTGTGTGATGAGCTCTTTGCTAATAGTTCCAACATTCATTGCAGGTTTGCCAGTGAAAGAAAACATCCTGCACTGGAATATCCGAGTATGCAATCAAACATGCATATAACATCTACTACCTAGATGCCATCATCTACATCTTCAACCCCCGCTACTGAACGACTAGCACTACAGAAACAAACAGCCGACGAATATCAAGATGCGCTTTCTACACGACTACCACAATGTACGCAAATGCTGCAACACGACAAGGGACGTACCCTGCGATGAACAAGTACGCTTCCTATTTTCAGAGCGTATTGTCCGGCCACTTACTAACATCTCCTCAGAAGGTTCGCTCCCTAACCGACGACATCACTGTCTTGGAGGAAGAGAAGAGCGTTAAGCATGAAGAGCAGGAGCGAACAGCCAGCATTCGCACCCCTACGGTTGTGGATCCGGGTGCTCAACGCAAGCCAACACCAGGACTACCGCTTGCGCCCACGAAACTCCACGATGGACGGCTGTTCACAAGAGTCGGATAATCCGGCAGCAGCATGTGCTTGGAACCTTTTGCTCCTTTTTGTACTATCCTTGGCGTTGATAACTATGGGCTAGAAGAGATCGTCGCTGTCAAAACCATGTTCCGTCCATGTTGTGCGACGTGGACAATGAACTAGTCACTAGGGACGACAAGAGAGCCTGGAATAATGCTCACGATGCTCGTCAGTGTTTGATTGGGTCATCAACTAGATGCGCTTCCCACCATCTACCGCTTCTGTTCTTCGATAAATTCAAGACCAGCTTCCATCTCTGGATTCTTCACCACTTCTTCGCTGCTCGGAGAGCTGTGGAAAAGCAAATCTTTGTCAGCCGTCGCCTTCTCAGCACTGTCGTTCGACATTGTCTTGGGCGCGGCGTCGCTGTCAAGGGAAGAACTGGAAGGTGTTGGCTCTGTGGAGGGCGTAAGTATGCAATTCAATGTTTACTGTAAGATGACGGTTGGGACGGCAGGAATACATGTTGGAGCGAAACAAGTAGCTTAAGAATCACAGACCTCGGAATTGAGCAGCATTGTGCGTGGTGCTGGTGGTGTTTGAAGTGCTGTATGTTGGTATTGCGTTCACGGGCGGCTCTGCGGAGAATAGTGTCAACCAACAGCCAAGTGTGAATGGATGAGAGAGATGTAATACCTTGGAACTGCCCTGCGATATCTTCGGTGGCCATGTCTTGAGGAATCGTCTCGAAACTAAAATGGACGGTCGAAACAATACAATTATGGGTTGGCATCCGTTCGTCCCATGATATAGGTCCCACTAAGACAATGGGCCGATGGCACGTCATATGCTGACCAAGTAGGCGCCATTCTGAAATTGTGGCTGCCGCGTGTCCATATGATTGACTGGGCTACTTTGCGATGCGGGGCACCGTTACGATATATATGGGACCCTGAGAACGAACCACTTTGCTGCCAGGCGTTGCGCTCCGACGTATTGTGGGCATAGGATTCGGATCTAGCGGATCGAGTAGCTGATTATGGAAGGTCTTGGCACTGATCGTCTACGCGATCCGGATCGTGTGTAAGCCGTTGTACCGTATCGCATAACCCCTTTGAATGGGTACATATGGCTGATCGTCGATGGTGAAGAATTCGAGTGAAGAGAGCTTGTCTACGTCTTTCTCAGCCATCCCCCGCTTCAGTCCCTTAGCACACGCAGAAAATCGATCTCGCAGGGATCCACATATGTGACATTCGTCAACGGCTGAAGCCGACCATGTAGAGGAGTGGCGATGGTGACCGTATTTGACCTTGGACAAATGATCTTGCACCTCGATACCACCCCCGTCTTGTCATGGCCATCTCCTGGCCAAAGTTGTCCCCTCAAGCGCGTGCTTGTATCTAGCTCAATGTGGAGCTGTGGGTAGAAGCTGATTTGGCGGAACTGTAAAACACCAACGCATGTCTCGCACAGCATAGTATCGTGTCGATAACCGTATCGCTGAAGCAGCCTGGTGTATGTATTGTCACGGGGAGGCTGCCAAGCGATGTGCGTCGACATTCACCCCGCAGTCTCTCCGCCTGCCTTCGCAGCGTTCATCAGCCTGCTCTTCCGCCCTTCCTTCCAGGCCTTGTCAAGCGCTTCCAACTTCCCACCCACAACCTGCACATTGCCGGGCTCGAGCATAATCACAGCTCTTCGCACATTGACATTCCTTAGGATAAGCTTCACACCCAGGGTCATGCTCGTGTTTAGCCCTTCGGTGCCTCTCAAGTCGAACGCGAAGATCTTGAGACCCTTTGCATCTTGCAGCAGCAACTTGAAGGGTCCTTTGCTCTGAATGGGTGCAGCAGCGTCGGCCGTGCCCTCGTTCTCCTGCTCCACCACGCGTACAATCTCCCGTCCCTTTGTCATTTCTCCGCGCTCTTTCGCCTCAATGGACTCGACTTGTGACCAGCGGGAGTGTCCAATATCTTCGATGTCGAGCACCTGGCAGAGGACTGGGCCGGTAATGAGGCGGGACTGCGTCGTGCCTTTCAGTATGTCATGAGGGAAGACGGACGCTGATGGCTGGTTCAGAGTAGTCGTGATGTCGGTGGCTAGCAGGCGGAAGACAACTGTCTGCTTGACGGCGGGCAATGGCGTGTTCGGGCGGGTGGTTGACAAGAAGCTTTGCAGCCATGCGGCTGTTGGGTAGAGGTGTTTGGCGTTGAGGTGCTGCGTTAGTTCGGCTGCCATGTTAGCTGCCATGGCGGTGATCAAGTGGTAGCTATACTGAGTGACCTCTCAAGAGCCCATGGAATCTGAGACATGTGAGGTGAAAAAGAGTAGCGTCGCGTCGCGTGAATAACGCGGGGGCGCTTGCCGAATCTAATCTTGGCACCTCCGTTCGAGCTCCGTAGTAGCTTTAAGCGCTTTGACCGCCCACAAAGCGACTGCTTCATACACTACGTACATACAGCACTGACTGGCGGCTCTACCATGTCCACGATAGCCTCACCAAGGGCCAGCATCTCTGTCCGCAGCGCCTCGTCCACGCGCGCTTCCTTGGACAGCGCCGCACGACCTCCGAATGCGCGCCGCAACCGAACTGCGCTGCGCGAGTTCTACGGCATCAAGAACGCCCCCAAAGATGGCGATGCAAAGATTTCAGAGGAATCAGCGCGGACGGAGCTTGGCCCAGAGGAAGACGAGACGCTGACGGAGCTGGATGCAGCCGACTTCAACGCGGAGGCCTTTGTAGACAGCCTGCTAGCAAAGGAGGGCCTGAAGGGCGTGTTGAAGGTAGAAGCGGACTTGGTGTCACGTAGGTTACTTCTTCCAACACTGCTACCTCACGCAAATATCTAACCAGCCACAAGAAATACGAAACCTCGATAGCGACAGAAAGTCCCTCGTCTACGACAATTACTCCAAGCTGCTCTCCGCGACTAGTACCATCCGGCGAATGCGCGGCAACATGGACCCCCTAGCTCCTACTACGCACACCCTCGGGCCTGCCATTTCACATATTGCTGAAACCGCTGCCTCATTGTCCTCGTCGATGCAGGCCAGCCCGTCAGGACTACACGGCCTGGGGATCGACATTCGCGTGGAAGGTAAGAAGCGGAAGCAGACGGAGACGGTCAGATGGGTGCTGGACACGCCACGGCGCTTGCGTGAGATGCTCGACCAACAGCAGGACGAGGACGCGGAGAAAGAGTGGGAACAGGTCAACCAGATTCTGGACCAGTGGAAGGGCGCGGCTGGTGTGGAAGAGCTCAGGGAAGAGTGTGAACGCATATGGAACGAGGACGATGTGTCTGAGTGAACCTCGAACCTTCGTCTCCTGGCATTGGGCACGCTCAAGCACGATATCTAATTGAGTCGCCCGTTCCACATGTCCAACCCTTTGCCCGCCATTTCAAACGCCGCCGCAGCCTTGAAGATGCTCATCTCTCAAATCTATTCGCAACTAGCTGCATGCCTACTGGTAGCATCCCTGGACCATCGGTGCCTTGCCCCAACCGGTCGGCATGACGAGCGCGGGATCTAGCAAACATCAGCCCACGTCTTCACCATTCCTGCGATAAACCTACGGGTACATATTCAATGTAACCCCAATAATTGGTTGATCTTCCCGTCACCATTGCCAGCGAGTCGCTCGTACGTCCGCGGTAGCGTCAGTGGGTCGGGAAGGAGACGTGGGTCTATATATGCTGGAAGCGCGTCAATGGCAGCCGAGGTTGCGTCGAGGCCATTCAACAGATGTCGATAGTGCTCTTCTTCGTGAGCACCGACGACTACACCGTACGACTTCGCTACCGAGCGTGGCTTCTCGACAGTGAATACATGAGATATGAAAAGGATTCAGTTGCGCAATTGGGGGATCACAACACCTGTTGGTGGACCGGTACCTAAAAAGACAACGGACATGCTTCTGTTTTCGAGTCGATTTGGTTCTGGGAGGGGAGAAGCGGCAGTCTCTGGCGACGCGCCACTGCTAACATTGACATTTTTATAAAGCAGTGGAGTGGAGCCGCACGCAATCATTACTGATAAGATACAGGTCTGATCGTCTGGTAGCTAGGATCGAACTTCCGAAGTGACGTCGGCAACAATGACCCGCGTGAGCTTCATCAATAAGCTCGCTACATCTCCACCGAGACCTAGGCACTGGATCCCGAAGCTGTAGCAAATGCCTTAGTTGAAAACGCGCGGATCCTCTCCAAGCTCTCTAGAGGCCAATACTCCTCTTTCGGCCCGTATCCTTCATACACGACATCGCCCGCTGGAATCTCAAACCATCTATGCCGATTGCTTCTATTCCCTTGGCTGTCTCCCGCAAAGATGTGTGCGTGCGGCCTCAACCCACCAGAGGGAACATAGCCGCCTTGCTCGTCAACGACGCCGTCTACAGTGCCAACGCGCACAATTTTCAGAGGCCCCGCGGCTGCGTAGTGACTCCATACAACGGTATAGCATTCAGGACACCGCACTATGACCTGTCCTTCTCCTCCGGACGTTGCGGTTGGCACACCCTTGCGGAGGAGTTTGGACTCGGCTTCTGGTCCAGCTTCGCCAGTGATTAGACTGACATGCACGCGGTCAGGCTCGTAGATTGCGTTGAGCGCGAAGGACGTCCCGGTCTCGCGCTGGCAGTAGGTGCAGTGGCAGGCGTGCACGATTAAAGGGGATGACGAGAGCATGTACCGCACGTGCGAGCAGGCACATCCACCTGTTAGAGGGTACTCGCCGAGGATCTTGCGAGGTGTGCTGGTGCTGCTGTAAATGTTAGTTGTGGTCTTCCCTGTCAACGCTGGCGAACGGTGTCTACTGACGCTGCCAGATTGCATCGAGTTTGCTCCGACATGTTGACATACGGTCAGTTTCCTAACCTAAGAAGATCCTGTTCAAAAAGAATTCCCGTTCAGCATGTCCTAATTAGCTTCGACTGCACGTCATTCGGCGCGCAGATGGCGCGCAGATGGCGCAATTCACTTGATCAGTACACTCCTACTGTTTCGAAGGCATGTGAGCCAGAATACATCATAACGTCTCACTGTCCTCTGCCCCGCGTCTTGTTCCGTCTCGCAATTTCCATAGCAGCAATTATCGCACAGCCCACGCCACTCCCATCCTCGGCACTGGTAATCTTGATGGGACCTCTTGCGCCGTCTCCATCCTCTCCCCATTCCTTTTTCCAGTCCAGAACTTCACCCAGCGCCTTCGTCCATCTCCTCTTGAACTTGGGGTGCTTGTTTGCCACGCTTCCGTCGGCCGCAACATGTCCAGCCGTAATGCCTTCCTTCGTGCAAATAGCTGCAGGGCCGCACGCACAGAGGCGCGCCCCGCGGACGGCGATGAGTTCTGCGAGGCGGCGGGAGAGCTCGATTTCAACGTCCATCGGCTGCAATCCGAGCTTTGCATGAAACAAGTCGCGTGTCTGCGAGAAACCTGGGGATTCGTCTTCTTCAATCTGTGATAAGAAGCCGGTATCTAGCGCATAGCTTTCGTGCAGGTTCTTTGTGTCTTGGTCCTTGAACACAAGCCCTCTGTCGGCGAGGTCGACCAGTATGAGGCGGAATATCTCGCCGAGGTAGAGGCCGGCGGATAGTTTTTCGAATGCCTGTTCGCCTGGTCGCGGACTGTCGGCGTCGATCTGCCTGTCGTATTTCGTCCGTGGGAGGACGCGGTGAGAGTTGTCAAACGCACCGTACTCGCAATTTATGGCCATCTTCTGATGTTCGGTACTGGTATTGGTGTCTTGCATGGCGGCTATTCTTTCGTCGCTAGGGTCGAGCTTCGTGACGTCGGACAAGCTAGCCATGTATGCTGCATTGCATCCCGTGCCGAATATCGCGCCGATGACCGTCTTCGGGTCATTGTAAGCGGACGCTATCATTGCTCCTACTGTGTCATTGATTACACAGACAAGTTCAACGGGCAGACTTTTCTCTTCAATCTTATCCCGCAGCTGTTTTGCCACATCCTGGCCTTCCACCCCCTTGATATCGAATCCTTTCGTCCACGTCTGTAAGACTGCATGGTCGACGCGTTCCTGTGTTGCTGGATATGAAAAGGTGAAACCAAACGGCATCGGGTTCGCTGTGCTGTACTCCTTGTCGAGGCCCTTGTCTTTTACAAACGTTTCAACTTTCTCCGCGATGAAAGCCCACAGACTCTCCGCATCGCCCGTCTTCAGCTCCTCGGGCAACTTGTACTGTTCCTGGTCCAGCGTGCTCTTCTCTTCTCCGTGTGCCTCATCACCATGCAGCACCACCTTGCAGAGTCTTAGGTTCGTGCCGCCAAGGTCTAGTGTTAGAATCGTGCCCTTCTCTCTTCCAGTCGGCAAGCTGGGTACCCACGAGACATTCATTGGGATGTTCTGGCCATCTTTGGAGAGTCCCTCGTCTAGCTCTCCGCGGAAGCGCTCCACAATGTCCTTGAGCTTCTGGGATGATACCCAGAAGTCCTGATCCAAGCGTGTGAGCTCATCATCGAGCTCGCGAGGTAGGTCAGCAAGTTTATCGAGCTCGGAGCGCTGATGCCACGAGATGTACGATTCCTCGTTGGTGTGTTGTTTGGCTGAAGTCACCATGGTGGAATATGCGGTATCTTGAGTGAAGAGAAACAGAAGCTCATCTGCGGATTATGAACAGGACAAAGAGTACTCGAATAGTGCGACCGCCTGATGACATCACACTATATTTTGCGGCCGCGACTGCTTCTTTTGGCGCTTGTGGGTATCCGGGTTTGGTAACATTCCTGTGCAAATGACGTCCACCTGGCCAAGCGAGAGCGGAGCCGCCATGTGGAGATGCTCCTAGGCCCAAGGTCGGTGATTGGAGGGTGCTGGAAGTCGGTCCAAAACAGGAAGAACACAAAGGTTACGACAGTTGGATGATGAGTTCTGAGGCTGAAATTGCGAAGCGATGTTCGTTCGCCCAGCGCCATTCGTGTAGTCTGGGCTAAAAACGCCCATCAGACATGCCACGCCATGTCCACCACCCTTGATTACAAAAGAAACGTCCGCCGACAAGGCCTATATTGTACATGGTGTAAAAGGTGAGAAGCGCATTGTCCAGATGCTGCTAGTTGAGTCGATGCCGATGCCCAAACGTCATGGAACGCGCGTTGAACGCATAGTTCGCAAGTAACTTATGCAGCGCACTTTTGCTGCTCTTTTCTGTGCGCTTGATGTTCATCTTCAGCCACTACATGGGCCGCTACCTCATGCTCCTTCTCTTCCTTGGCAGCAGCTCGCTGGTTGAGCAAACTCAAATACGTCTGCCACCCAATCGCAATAACGCCTCCGAATATGCTCCTGTACTGTATGGGTATATACGTGAAACTAAATGCCGTAACCACGGGCCAGAGCTTACAGCTGTTGATCCAGCTTGTGGGAACCGTGTGCTTTATTCGCTCTATCATATCGGGAACCGTTGCGCCGCTGAGGAGCGATTGCATGCCGAAGAAGTAGGAATTAAATAAGGGTGTAAAGAGCGCTTGGTTTACCACGACCTGATGTACGTCAGTATGCGCTCGTGGGGTGAAGGCGACTACGAACCTTGGTGGAGAGAGAGAGGAGTTTCGAGGAGTAATTGAAGTTATTTCCTAGCCAGAGGAACCACTTGTACGAGGGAATCGAGCTCAAGCCCCCGATCACCAGCGCGCGCCCGGTACGAGCCCAGTCTCTGTCGTCGCTCCATTTCTGGACCCAGCCTTTCTCGTCCTCATCCACCTCCTGCTTCTCTCCCACGCCATCCACTGGTTGCGGCGTAATACTCTGCGCCACCAAGTCTCCAACAAAGTATATGACGAGAGAAGACACCAACTGCGTCGTGTATGGCTTCCTTTGCTGCACGCGACCGTATGCGCGGAATGGTTCGTAGATGGGATCGAGCCAAAGCCAGCTAGGGCCAGGGATCGTCTGCGCTGTCTCTGGCACCTTCTGCCCTACAGGAGGTTTCGAAGCCGTGTGTCGGCGGGTGACGTGCGAAGGAGACGGCCGCAGGCGTGCGCATTCGAGGTTTGGCGCATTGCTGTTGCGAGTGTATCGTGTGCGCCTTAGACCTACGCGGACCCGGGCGCAGGAAGTGGGTATCATGACGGCGGTCTATGCGCTCTCATCGGTACTGTTAGAGGAAAGCCATGAATGAGTGAAAGGCTGCCGTCTGTCTGTGACGTGCGACTAGTTCCCGAGTCTCGGCTTCGGTACAGGAACCAGGGTCCGATGACGAATCCGCCGGGTTGTATGTATGCAGTAGCTAAACGAGTCATTACCCAGCGAGGCTGCCCTCTACATGACGAGGCGGTACATCATGGTAATCTAATAGCCCGCGGCGCCTGGAATAGGCAAAGACGGCGGGTTTGATAGCACGTTCAGTCACTCATGAATAGAACAGTTGTCTCAAAAGGATGCCGAAAAGGGATCGGAACACCATTTCGTTATGATTATGTATATACAGGAGAATCAAATCACGGCCGTCATAGCCGTGAGGCGCAGGCAAGCCCACGAAAATCTAACATCTATACCCTAGGTACTTGGGCTCCGAAAACTAAGTGAAGACAGCCTCTACAAGCACTGGGAGTAGTAGGGGTTCTGCGCTTGGCAGGTGGTTCCAGCAACACAGCCAGTGGCGCCGGTGAATCCGTTTCCACCGCACTGTCCCCAGCGCTGAACGGTGCCGCTGCCGGCAGTAGGCGCGGGCTTCGCAACAGTGGCGAGCGTGGTAGGCTTGGCCGGAGGTGCGGGAGCGGGCGCGGCAGTGGCAGCAGGAGCCTTGGTAGACACAGGGGCAGGGGCGGGAGCAGCAGTGGCAGCAGGAGCCTTGGTAGGAGCAGGAGCAGGAGCAGGGGCGCTACCGCTGCTGGCACCGTCCCAGAGCTTGGGGCCGGGGATGGGATAGCTGCTGAAGGAGCCGTAGATGTCGAAGAGGACACCAGCGTCGTTGGCCTTGTACGCGCCCGGGATGCTGACACCTGCCGGCAGGACAGCAGACCCTGAGCCTGTGATCTTGACATGGACGCACTCCATGTAAAACTGAGCACCGTTCGCACGGTTACCCTCGTGGAGAGCAATGATCTCAGGACGCAGGATGTAGTCACCCGGCGCAAGGTTGGGGAGCTTGACCTTGTGCTGGCCCTTGGTTCCAGTGTATGATCCAGCGATCAGCTTGTCGACGGCCCAGGACTTGCCATCCCAGCCGTCTTCTGCGATCTTGGTCCATGACAGAGCTGAGCCGGCCTTCGAGGCGTAGACGAGGATAGGACCATGGTGAGAAGTAGCAATGATATCATCGCTGGCCTGGTTGTTGTCGTGGTGCCATTCAAACTGTAGAGGCAACAAGTCAGTGTCTGTCGCATAGGTTTTGGACATGATCGGTACGTACGGTGATCTCGTCACCACCGGCGGCGGTGATAGCTGAGGTCGCCTTGACGCTCGCGACGTTGCACTCCATGTCCTTGGAGGTGACATCGACAAGGGGGTTGTTGTTAGGGGGCGAGTCAATGTATCCGCCCGCCTTGTTTCCAACACCCTGGCCCTTGCCATTGACAAAGGCTTCCCAGACCGTGGTGTGGGCAGCAGCAAGCTGGACACCGCCAGCAACAGCGAGAGCGAGGATGGAAGAGGTCTTCATTGTGGAGTCTGAGTTGAACAAGTACTATGGTAAAGAGTGACTGGTGAAAAGATTGACGGAACAAAGGTCGAAACACTGAAAAGAGCGAGTGAAAAAAGAGTGTGAGCGTCAAGCGTGCCCTTCCATCAAGGGGCATTCAACACTCTTATATCTGCCCCAAATGCAGGAGCGAAACAAGTCCTTTCGCTTGGTGATTACATGGCTGCACAGTACCTGACTAAAGCTGCCACCGGAGATGTCGCGGCTAGACGTGCAGGAGGCACTCTATCTTACGGGCGTTTGGCACCTGAAGAGCCTAGGGGCGCCGTTTTTAGCTGCGGGTGACCGTTGAAAGAAGGTTGGCGCAATTGGTGGAGCGAGGCTTCGCTCACATGAAGGGTTAGCTCCAGGAACCGAGCCATGCGACCCTGGGTACGATCTGTTCTAGATCCAAATCCTGGGATGCGATTCGCGGGATACGAGAAGATGAAACGGCGCGAGGCACCCCTTCGATTGGTCTTTTCCACAACGCTCCTTTCACTCAGTGGTCATGGCTCCGAGCCTCGACATGGCTTTCCACTCTTTTGATGGGCTTGCAGAACAAGCAAGAATGTCCGCGCCGCATGGCTCCGTCTCTTTCGCGTGGCACCGATCAAAGAAACAACCCGTTTCATCTAGAACAACGTCGTGAGACTGTCTCATGTAGCCTCATCTTGGCTCCGTCCATGTGGACCGATAAGAGACCGAGTGCAGGTATAGACTGGTAGTGCCGTTTGATGTTTGCTGTGCCGCAAGCGCTGTTACAAGGTGGAGATTTGGCCGAGGGGTGTGCGTTTCGATGACCCACCTGCAAAGCTTTGATAAGCGTTAACTCTAGCAAGCATTGTTCATGTTAAATAAGCACCAAAGAGCGTGTCGTTCATCGAGGTTTAATGCTTGGGGTGGAGGTCAAATTGTGGAACCTGATGGTGCTGCTGTCAGTTTTAATGGGGCCTGGGGTGTTCCTTCCTGCTGGTTCCTGGTGCACAGACTCCCGGCCCGTGCGATTTAATCTCGCAAGCGACCCGCCGCTGAGGAAGAGCCTTTGATTCTTGAACCAACATGACGTCCAGATACTCCTTCTCATCGACGAGTCTTCTTTTTGCTGTCATGGTCGTCGAGGAGTTCTGGCGGATTAATTTGCTGTAGCAAGCGTGCCCATTTAGTCTTGCACAAACTCCATACCTCTGTCGACTCCCGGAGCCCCACATTGGCATACATTACTTGAGCCCAAGTGTCAAGCGCCATATGCCAAAGCTGTCTAAGCACTAGAACAAAAAACATCCCTCGGATTTCCCTGACCAGGACGAATCTCGTACCCAAACTGGCTAATGGCCTACTGCTTTGCAAGCCCATAGCTGTAGTATAGAGTGCCAAGGGGATCAACCTTCTTTCAATTCCACGGAAAGGCTCGCTTGCATCTAGTGACAGCGAGACTCGATGCTGCCAGTAGTACACGCTTGAAGACGTTCCAATCGCGCAGGATCCGACCCGCCTCAGAACTTTGATAGCCTACCGTTCAACAGAAGCCCCGGTGGCCAACGAGGACCGGTCTGAAGGTATGTCGGATGACCGATGTTGGGTTCAAGTAAACCCGGGCATTCATGCCATTCCATGCCATCAGCCTGCCTATCCTTGGGCGGCCGTTGATGCACCGAACTGCGACATGATTCTGCTGTTTCGGAACTAGAGCGCTATAGCGGTAATGTGGAAAGGCGTTTCGTTGTGTGGAGGAGCGTCAGCAAGAACACACTCGTCGCTACCGTGGCCTTCTTCCTGATCCTGTGTCGCTATCAGAACCTTCTCGATACTCACTTTTCATAATCTACGGGAGCTATTGGCGTGGCTTGGACGAGTCATCTGAGGAGGTCTGAGTGGCTTAGCTATGATTTGTAGTGATAACGCGGTGTCACAAGATAGACGATGGAACATCATTACGTGTGAGTAGGAAAGCTTGTGATTGCGAACGAACAGCATGTCGAACACAGTCTCGACAGTTCCAGACTGTCCTTCAACCTTGGGAGTTCCAAACGTCTCGAATGGCGCTAGTGACCGATTCGGTATAGCTGGTGCGTGAGCGGGGCTTAGCCCGGGTCTCTTCAAGCGCTTAACCGTGGAAGCGCTCCCCTCGCCACCACTCTCTACTGCCGTCTATCTCCCACTACCGACTTAAAACCCTCTCTTTCCACGCTCCACTCCACCTAGACTCGTTCACCACTACCCGCCCAGCACCAGCAGAGCGCCCCAGTCGATTTCATGACCACGGACATCCAGAATCTCAAGTCCTTCGATCCGTTCGCGGAGGCCGACGACTCTGGAGGGCAGACACAAACTAGCCAACAGAATTACATTCACATTCGCGTTCAGCGTACGTACAACATGTCCCTTTCTCGCACCCTTATTCCATCGCGCCTTCCTGGCGCCCCTTCTCGCACCTTCTCACCCCTGTAAATCCGCAAGGCTGACGTCAACCCCGCACAGAGCGCAATGGTCGCAAAACCCTGACAACGGTCCAAGGCCTACCTAAGAAATTCGACCAGAAGAAGATTCTCAAAGTCATCAAGAAAAAGTTCGCTTGCAATGGCACCGTCGTCGCCGACTCGGAGATGGGCGAGGTGATCCAGCTCCAGGGCGACCAGCGCAAAGATGTTCAAGACTTCTTGACCGACAAGAAGGAGGGCCTGGGCCTTGATGGCAAGACCATCAAGGTTCACGGTTTCTAAGCGTGCAGGTATAATGCGCACTGCCACCACCCGCGCGCACCGCTCCGCGATAAGCAGACAAGACGGTACCAGCACCTCGCATGCGATACACAGACGGTGGGGCGGGCTGCGGCGCGGCGCGGCAGAGCAGATACCCACGTTGGACGATAACGAATATTTCCTTTCGTCGTCTCTTTGGAGGAACGGGTGAGGGAATCGGTGGTTTCGCACTTTGAGGTTTCAAAGCGTCCGGAGATGTGCGTATGCGGGTTCATAGAGAGACCTGACGTTTCCTAGGGAGCAAACTCTAGTCAAATCCAGTCAATACCGCGACACAGCTGTTATAATTTTGTGCGAATGTGATGTAACTTTGCTAGATTGGTGGCGATGCTGGCACCCATCACATGGGATCAGTCAACGTCGTCCTCGTTCACCTCCTCTTTCTTCACCACCTTGGCCTCTTGTTTCCGGTACAGCGTTGCCAGCTCTGCAGCCTCCGTCGCTTCGTCGATGCTCTTGTCTTCCCTGACTTTCAAGAACCTCGGAAACCTGGTACTCAATCCCCTCTCCTCACTCACAAGGCCGATGGCGGCTGTATACGTTGGGCTCAGCGTCAGATCCGCAAACGCAACCTCCCACACCTCCTGCGGCTCGAACCACACTTCAGGCCACCCTGATCCTCCGTTGTACTCGACGTAACTTGGTTTCTCGCCCAACGTGTTTGAATTGTCTGGATCGTCGGGGTCGTACTTTGCGCGGTTCGCCTTGTAGAAGGCGTCAGTGAAGCCGCTCATACACTTTGTGACGGCTTCCAGCTGCCCTGTTTCGGCGTTTCGAATAGCGAGCAGGATGGGCGACCACCAAGCCGACTTCCTACCACTACCGTGGAATGCACCGATGGGAATTAGATCCAGCGTTTCGGAGGTTGACGAGTAGTCCTTTTTTACTTTGAGCCAAGAGTCGAGGCGCTTGTCGGGTTCGTAGGTGGAGAGGAGGGCTTTGCGGCGGCCGGTGGACTTGTGCTCGTCCTTATCTGCGACATTGTTGGTCTTTGGTCTGGTCTTTGATTTGGCCGGCTTCTTTTTCTTGGGCGTTGTGGGTAGGATCGGTATGCTTTCCGCAGCGTCATCCCAGAGATCGGGATTCGGGAGGTTGTCGAGGATTTTGACCATGATACCTTCACACTTGATGTCTAGTGCGCTCTGGAAAAAGGATTGCACGGTGTCGACGTCTGCAGAGGTAGCGTCCAGGCACTTGACCCACGTGAAGTGGTGTGGGATCTCGACAAAGAGACTCTTGAGTAAGGACCTCCTGTCCCTGAACGGTCGGTCCAGGAGCTCCTCTCCGTTGAGATACATCAGGTCGAAAGCAAACAAACATACGTCGATCGTCACAGCACCAATAACGACATCCTTCCTAGCGCGGTTGGCAAGTGTCTGAAACGTCTTGAGGTCTCCGCTTTCACGATCAACGGCGACCACTTCGCCTTCTAGGATGAAGCTTGACACACCCTCTCCTCGTATCTTCGGCACCAGGGCTACAAGATCGGGGTATTTGTCGGTCATCACCTCCAAGTGTCGGGAGAATATTGTGACTTTGCCTTTCTCGTCGCAATGTACCTGGGCTCTCTGCCCGTCGTACTTGTACTCGCAAGCAAAGTCTCTACCTTGCAGCTTTGTAAACATCTCGCCCATATCGCGCGTGATACTTCCCAACATGGGTCGTAGTGGGATATGGAGAGCGAGTCCACATCGAAGAAGTAGTTCGTCGCACACACCAATTTCAAGAAGCACAGGGATGAGGTCATTGTAGTTCGGTCTCCGGGCGAAGCATGCCTTGACCATCTCTTCGTTCCTGCTGTAGATCTCCATCAGCTCTTCTTTTCTCAGCGTTGCCAGAGCTTTCTGTGTGCGAATCTCAAAATCGGCATTCAACGGTCTGGATAACAGGAACGCACGCGACAAAGCGATGAGCATCGTGGTTTTGACAGCGCCAATCCGGAGATGCTGTACCAATGTCCGCACAATATAACGACTTTCTTCCGCGCCTCGTGCGTCTTGGACGAGCCTTTCAACTATCCTCTGCTTATTCTCTACGCTCCCTTGTCCTTTGCTGTTGGCAATCTTGACCAACGACTCGAAGACACTCTTGATCGTTAAAGGCTTCGGCTTCCGCAATGTGAAAGATTGCCTCTTCTTCGCTTCAAATGCTACGTCCCCAGCGTCTCCATACTTGTTGTTCAACACCTTCAAGCCTGCGTTGTCCAAGCCGCACACCTTTTTCAACGCTTTCGAGATTGCCGAGCCTCCCAATCCCAGCTCGAGGTCAATGTACGGAGGCGATATCGCATTTGTGGCGAGCCACACGGCGGGGAGCAAACTACTCGGGTCGCTTTCGATAAGCGTTCGCAGCAAATTTACCAGCGTGTCCACGATTTTTATGCGACTCGTTGTGCTATTGACCAAAACAAAGCATCGCGTCAGTAGGGCGTATGTCGCACGTCCTCCATCTGTAACCCAGTGTTTCTGCAATTCTGGTATGTACTTCGAGGGGTCGAATTCGAGGGGGCTCTGATCGAAGGGGATGTTTGCGGTTATGGCGTCTTCTTCAGAAGCGGTCGATTGTAGTGAAAGCGTGTTCTTCTGGATCGGGGGTGCGGGATTGGGGGGGTTTTCTGGTTCGACAGGCTCAGGAATCCGCAATCCTTCGGTGTCGCCAAGGGATGGGCCAATTGTAGTAGACTTCGGATCTTCATAAAGCTCGTTCGAGCCTACACGCTCGGCATGCTGCTGATCTTCCTTGTTCCATTCTTCTTGGAGTTTCCGCGCAAACTCCTCGTCCGTGAGAAGTGCTGTATCTTGTTTTATTTGCGCTCCCTCATGCTTAGTGATATCCGTCGCATCTTTTGTTGCCGCTTTGGCGGTTTGCTTTGCGAAGAAGTAGTCTAAGCTGCGTACCGGCTGGCCTGTTCCATCGTTCTTCTTGTGACGCTTCGACGGGCTGTTCATGGTGTGAATGTGTCGACATAGCGCATTGCAGGATGCTTGTGCTTGATGTCCGATACGTCATGACGCGGGCGCTTGGATCACCTGAAACTCGAGCCCACGTGCTTACGCGTTATCTCAACTACATCTGTTGCCATCGCATCACCACGAGCAAGTTCGATTGGATCCCACTCAGAGCTCTACTCACCATTGAAACGTAAGGCAAGTATAGGGAGTAGGACAATGAAAGGCACGACAATTGCTCCAAATGTGATGTTCCAAAGGTGTGTTTGGTATCGGTCGTAATCCACCGTTCGTTAGGCTAAAAAATACTTTATGATAAATCTCCAACGCATCTCGAGGCCTTCAAGACTTAGCCGTCATATGGCAGACCTCCGTCCATCCTAGCCCGCTTGTTGACACCACGGTCCAGCCTAGGGCCCCTTGGAGGGTCATGATAACGCAGACCCACCGTATCGTCATCTGCGCCCTCGGCCCTTTCATCTTGCGCGAACGCGACCAATTCGAACTTTTGGGTCTTTTTGTTCGTAACCCCTTGCTGGCCCTTGATCTGGGATCCGACGTCGTACTTTACTATCATTCTTCATTACCATCTGCCTATAAGGGGTCAGACTGAAGGAAAACGTACTGAAGAGGAGAGCCGTGTCCTTCTGGAGGCGATCGACCAGGGCGCGCACAGCCTTGACGGGGCAGTCGTTGACCTCCTTACGTAAGAGCTTGATCGACCCATCCTGACTGCAAGTGAGAATGGCTGCGAAAGCGCCGTTGTCCTCGTCTTCGGCAACAGCGATGTCTAAGATAGGTTAGATGCGGATCAAGAAGTCGAAGTGTGAGTCGCACCGTAGAACTTGAAGCGTTCGCTGCCATACAGAAGCCTGCAGTTACCCAGTGCCATCTCCTTGAGGGTCTTGACCTGCTCGACCTACAAATGTCAGCCAATACTAAGCAAAGCGTATGACGCTGTCTTACCTTCTGGCAGTCTAGGAGCCAGCTTATGGCGAGGTTGCGGAGAGCAGCCTGGTTCATGAGCTGGTTCGCATCGAGAATCTTGTCTTCGTCCATCGTGATAAGTGTCATCATGTAGTTGAAGGAGTATCGGTGGATGTTCGAGATACAAAGCGTTCTCGAACCTTGGTAATGGGGAAGGAAGACTGGAGAGTAGAAGGCATATATTTATATGCTTTGCGAGCAGGTCGGGCCTCGACAACGCGTGAGAGTAAAGGTAAAGCTGCGAATACGTCAAGTGAGAGTGAAACCGTCGAGTGGTGGAAAGCGCAGGGGTTGTCATCTTATAAGGCCACGGCAATGAGTGCGGGGAATGCGTGTAAAAGATTGAGGTGAGAGTCGGGGTTTGTTACCACTCGAGTCAAAAGTAGTCTGGAGAGACTCAATAGAACTCAAAGATCTGACCATCATCCCCAACATACATAATACGGTAGGGGATATCAGCATTGTGCGGTATAGGAGGTGGAAGAGGATTGAAACGCCGTCGACACGACCTAAAAAGTCGATTTCTCGCAAGTCGCCCTCTGTTCCACAACTACTCGATGGGCTTTAGAATTCTCCAGGTAACACATTGTTGACATGCGCGTTACGATGGATGAGAGCCTCATACCTGCGCAGACGGCTTTCGTCCACCTTCGAATCCTACGAATAGAATACTCCTGAACATGTTAGGGCGTCAGACCTGTACGCTAAGTTTCCCCAAACCATGAACAGTATATCCTGAAGTAAATGCTAGGTTGAAATTGGCGAAATGCGTACAAGAAACAACGATCTAGACGGGTATTACATCAGAAAGACTCGCAAGGTATTCAGGATATGCTAACAGCAGGCAGTTCCGACGCATGACAACCTCAAAAAACCAATAAACGCCAACGCTCCCAAGAATTACCAGAAGAAATGATATCAGCCCCGCCGTGGTACATTCAAAATCGGGTTGCTCCTCATCGCAGCGGGTCGCAGCGGCTGCTGGGCTGCTCGCCGCCGCCTCCAACTTCGGTATACCATGAAGGCACCAATGCCCACAGCAATCACGCCGACCACCGCACCCGCTGCAATCCCTCCTTTCACGCCTCCTGAAAGCCCGTCTTTGGATATAGCAACCGCTGTTACCGTTGGGGATGCTGTCGAAGCTGTGGCCGCGTTGCTGGCACCTGATTTAGTAGGCAAGGTGGTGAAGCCTGACGCGGTTGCCGAAGCAGAGAGGGAAGCGGAAGGCGGCGCTGTAGGATGCGAGCCGACTTTGCTCAGCGTCCAATGCATGCCAGGCGAGTCGCGTGCCGCAAGTGTGGGCTGCAGTGTGTCTTTGACCACATCTAGGTATATGTCCGGGCCAGTGAACTGGTTGTTGATCTTGACGCTCCCGTCGTCCTGCTCAGTTAGGCGCCAATGCTGGCCTGTATTGTCTTGAACAGCATAGAAGTGGACATCAATCGAGTTTTTGCCGTTGTAGTTGAAAACATCGAGCGCTGAGAAGTCGCCTTTCTGTCGCGTGTGGAGGCGGTAGTAGTCTGCGTTGTCGGTGTGTATGAAGTACCATGATTGAGCGTCTGAAGAAGAAGAAGGTACAACAACGAGGCTGTCATTCATCGACGTTGATGCTAGGCCTTTCGAAGAGCCGAGCACCGAGTTTGTAAGGACGTATTGCGCGGCGGTATCGACGTTGACCATTGTGACGAAACTATAAGATGCTAAAGGCCTAGGAATGACAGAAAATAGTCAAGGACGTCGAGACGCAAACTTGAGAAGAAACAATGCTCAAGCCGGAGAGCCGCCAGCCCCAGGCTACTACAAAATTAACTCTCGCCCTGAATAGCACAGCCTAGCTCGGTGCAATATTTCGACCCAGTGGCGCCGAAATATTGGGAGGCGTCCGCCAAGCGAAAGCCTTGTGTATGCCCTACAGTGTAGCCTATCCTTTCAGCTGGCTTCCCACTGCCCCTCTCTACGCGAACCATGCGGCTCGGGGGCTGGTGAACAGGCCATTTTGTCTACTGGAGCCTCGTTTAGATTGCAGGACCGTGATCAGCGCTTGCATACATTCTCGGTACGAAGAGGCCGGCTAGAGCCTCTGGTTTAGCGCTTTGAAACCATTCAGGCTCTGGTGAATAAGTTATAATAGCGCGTTACTTGGAGATCGAACAGCTTGGGCTTAGAGCAGACATTCTGCCTAGTACTCAACATTCTCCTTGCACAGCTCAATGCCTTTCCACTCAATAGATGCACACAATACATCCCAGTCTAGCACCATGATCAGCTTCAGACTAGTCTGGCACATTGTCGGATTTATCCCCCAGCCTCGCTCCTGTACGCTATCCCGCACAATTCGTCCCAAGTTGATGTCAAACGTACATACTGGCTCCAACTCTGCCAGGTATTAGCCTTGCCAGCTCTTGGATCACAAGATCACTTACCATCTTTCGCATTTTTGAAGCGTGTAGGCCTCTCCTCCTCATCGCTCGAATTCCGATAGATTGGGAATTTGATAGCTCCCTGCCTCGACTTAGGGAACTTGATATCAAACTCGCGCTCAACCCTACGCGGCTCATCTGCAACAACCAAATCACCCTTGTTCAAGAGCCAGATGAGTTGAGACTGAGCGTATGTGCTGCCATTGGCATGCACTCTATCTACGTCGTGGTGCGTGCTTTCGGAGAAGAGTTCGTCGAGACAGATGGCGTAACTATGTCGGCAGTACGTCGTCTTCTTCATGTTCTTGATGCTGGCTTTCTCAATACCGCATACAACCGCGCCTTGAACGACTGCTGTCCATGATGTTTCTGGTGTGCGAAATTTAATTTTCCAGAGCTTCAGAGTATACTCGATTTGTTGTTGCAAGTAATCAGATGCGCCGAAACCGCCAACCAGGAAGACGTTCTGTCTCTTGTTAGAGGCCGTCGAGGAAGCTAAGATGTTGACTTGCCTTGGGCTGACTTCCACGTTCTTCAATTCGATCCATGTGGTATTTCACCATGTTCACAACCTGTCCAATGCATACATCAAAGAAGTGTTCCATCAAAGCCCTTCATCCGTCAGCTATACTCGCAGAGGGGACGAAAACCTCACCTTGGGATGGTAATCTGGCCTTGATTAACGATACCGTGAATTGTGAGACTGTCTAACGGCTCTGGTAGGTCGAGATACAAGTCTCGGGAATCGCGATCGAAATTTTGCTTCCGTTCATCGAATTTTTCCATCAAGTACCTCATTGCAGGACTTTCTGAAGCATGGAAGGCATCTTTGTCTATGTCAAGATTTGGGTCTAGATGACGGTAATTGACCTCTCCGAGCTGTCTCCGTAACCATTTCAGAAACTCGCGGTTTATGAATATCGAGCCACATTTCTCGCCTTCGGCTACGTCAGAAGAGATGTGATGTTTTCACTATAATAGTACATACCAGTCGGTTTGCCAATTTGTTCTAGTTGCAGCATAGGGTGCAGCTTCTTGACTTGATAGGAAACGACATCCTATATCTCGACTCAGTACACCTGGGATATCTTCGCTGGCCTAGGATTGAGGATCTTACCACTGTACCACCTCCAGCATCAACGAGGACGAAGTGTTGGTTCTCCTAATTCAACATGAGGAGGGCCACTATCAACCGCGTGACCAAACGTACCTTGAGAAATTCTTGCCCCTTCTTGTCTCTATAATAACGTGCAACATAAAGCGCTGCTGCTTCAGACTCGGTAATAAACATGACATCCTGCAACCTTGGGAAGTTTGTTCGGTTGAACCCTGCCTTTGTCAACGCACGATATGTAGAGTTCATAGCCATATACGACCAGTCCTAGAGAAAGACTTAGTAAAGCTGAAAGTAAAGATTTGTCGCAGGTTCGACGTACCGTCGGTACTGTGACAACGATGTCTGTAGCAGTGTGCCTTCGAAACGCTTCACTGAAGTTATTGACAGTTAGATCCAGGTACTCGAAGACTTTAGTCAAGTAGTCGGTTACAATTTCCTCTGGGCTTTTGTGTGAGTATGCGGGTACGCCGTTGGCTGTCATCATGCGAGAAAAATCTAGGTCCTTCATCCCTTCCAGGACCTGCAACGTCATGTCAAGTTCCCCTAGCAGTTTCTGTATACCAAGTTCGAGCTTTGTGTGTACCATTGAGACAGCTTTTGGGCTCAGGCTGCTGCCCCACTGCTGTTCCATCATCTCACTTGGAGCAGAGTACGAGATCACACTTGGTACTTTTTCGTGATTTCGCATTTGGGTTCCCCAATTATCTTTGACTGTGATCTCGCTTATGGCACATCTGGTGCCTGACGGAGTCGCGTATGCAACACCTGGAAAGCAGTCAACATAACCCGTCCGTTTTGGGTAATTCGGGTGTTTTGTTACCCGTATACGTTGTGCCATAGTCAAGACCGATGACCAACCGTGTTTCCTGTCTCTCCCGGATATTGGTCGTCATAGCCACGGGCGAACGACTGCGTGTTGGGGATGCAGGAGGCGGGGGTGGCATAGGGTAGTCCATGGGTTAGCTTGGGGTCGTCAATGAACCATATGTGGGGAAAGCTACATGTCAGTGAGGACTTCACGTTGTGATGTACGGGCACAAGGCTGAGACCGTCAGGTGTCGAGGCTCTGTGGTGGCCTCAGGAGCGGCAAGATTGGCCGCACAACTCTATGAGCTCGAAATTTTTAGCTCCTGCTGGTCATTCCGGCTTCTGAAGCAATACATGCGGGCGATAGATGCACGATGCTGAGTGGTGATGAAGGAGGGTGGAGATGTGTATGGTGGCTGATGCGCGCGCCGGAAAAGGAAATATTAGACGTAGCTGAATGCAATGCAACGCTTGGCAGATATGGAGGGTTATTACCCTACCAATGAAGTCCTCGCAGAATCTCGAATGCGTTAGGTGGGAGAAGGCTGTAACTCAGCCTTGTCGTTGCCTTTATCGTGGCGTTAAAAAGCAATGTGATGGCCCCCTCTGCACTGCTCTAATTTCGCCGAGCCGTCTTGGTGCTGCTGCCTTTTGAATCAGCCGCGCCATGCCCAAGCGATGCACAGTTGTGCGTGGCCCCGTAGTGTTGCAGCCCTCGTTAGACTCTGCTCGCGGTTGAGACATGTGCCTGAGCCTCGCCCTCTGAGCTCTTCTAGCCCTCAAACGAAGTTGACATAGGCGAGTTGGTGGACCGGTGACTTCGGGCTTTGGCTATTTCTTTTCATATAGCTAGTCCATCAGACTGAGATCGATAGGTTTCTAACAGTAGGAACCATGCGTGGTTAGTATTCCATAGACCCAGTTATGCGGTAGTATTGACCTTGCGAAGGCAACACAACTAGAGGTAGTACCCATTTCACTACTCGTCGGAAAGATGGCGAGAGATGGGAGATGGGAAGAGATGGGAAGATATACAGTGACGAGCATGAAAGACAACAAGCCGACAATGACTTAACGGACGGGCCAGGAGGGTTCGATCCAAAACCAAACAGCAAAAAACATCGATTTGGACTGTTCTCCGAAGCAGTCGCTGCAGCTTCGACGGCGTTAGGAAACAAAGATCGCCCCAGACGACAGACACGAGAGGCACGATTGCCGGGATCTTCCCAAAACGAACAAAGGCCGTTTTCACCAGAACCACGGCCTGCGGATGCTACCGGACATCGAGAACGTAGCCAAGTATCTTCTACCGCACCCCAGATGAGAGACCAAGGTTTCTCTCCAAAGGTTGGCCATAGCTGGGATCCGGCTCGCGGGGCATACGTACGTGATCAAGAAGACCACCGAGCCCAGAATACGCGGGATCTTGACAGCTTCGGCTCGACAACTGCTCAACCAGGTAGTACATTCTTGGACGACAACGAGGAGGCCCAGCCTGAAATACCATCAGCCAAGGTCAGTTGAGACCAATATACTGCCTATACCTAACGGTACTGACTCCATGGACACGTAGAATAAAGACCTCTTCACTACAAGTGACCAGATGGAGTTCAAGTCCATAGAAAACTGCGTTCTTCGAGCAAGGCTGAATTTCCCGGAGCTCAAAGGTCCGAAGCACGAGTCGACGGAAGAGGCAGTGATTCGGTTTGTCGAGCAATACGAACGCCTTTCGGCACCTTTGAGGGACTCGAAGGGGCGACTGGATACCGCCGAGAAGATGCGGAAAGACTTGCACAAAACAGAGGATGAATTGCACGCAGCTCAAGGGCGACTCTCTGGTTGGAGCAGGGACTACAAGGAGTTGAAGACGCGTCATCTCCAGGACACCGATCAGCTCAAGCGCACGATTGATAGACTTCGGCTCGAAAACAGTGAGCAGGTCTCCTCACATGGTGCTAAGTTGCGCAAGGAGCAAAGCTCCCTTCAGCGCGAGAATGATCAACTCAAGGCGATGTTCGAGGGTCAGCTAAGGAAAATGCGAGATGACTCAGCCTTACAAGCAAAAACCATCAAAGATCTCCAGGCACAGATAATCCAAGAGAGAACACAATGGAATGCAGCTGTGCAGCGCTTAGAAGGAGATAAGGGTGTCTTGGACAGTCGTTTGAGATCGGTGCAATCCGACTATGATAGCCGGCTTAGAGAGGTAGAAGAGAAGTCCGAAAACCGTTTGCAGCGAGAAAGAGGAAAGTACGAAGACCTGATATCGTCCTTGGAATCACAGATTGCACAACTAAAGAATAATGCTCAAAAGGAATTGCTTACCCAGAAGGAGCAGCTTATAAAAGAACATGAGGAGGAGAGCTCCCAGCTCCGGACCGTGATTGAGGATTTCAAGGTCGCTTCGACGCAAAGAGAACACTTTAAAGGCTTAACAGATCGCGATGTTTCTGGACATTTTTTGCGGCTGGCGAACGATATCGAAGACTTCTCGCGATTAGAATGGGATTTTCGCAAAGAGCATGACTGGCCGTTCACTGAGGATCAGCTGAGGCAATTTTACCCCAAGAATACAAGGAAGCTGAAACAGCAAATTGTTCAAAACACCATGTGGGTGGTTTTATATAATCACGTTTTCCGGTCGCCATTTCGAATACTTGGCACAGACGGTAAGGACATTGACGCAGATTGGATCGATATTTACTCGCCAGGTAAGCAGATTTAGCCATGCTTGTCAGTTCAACTTAACCAGTAGCCAGACGTTTCTCCGTACGAATGGCCCAATGTACCGGTAGAGCTAGAGAGAAGTCGGTACGAGAGTGCGAAAGCCTTCTTAGGTGCCATAGACCCTTCAGCAGCTCCAGGTAGACTGAAGGATGGATATGAGGAAACTGTAACGACAGCAGTGAACGCCGTTTGGCGTGCGTTACAAAGGGTTGCAACAGTAGAGGCGAAGAATCGCAAAATCCTGGAAGGCATTTTGCGTTTATCCGCGAAGGTCTGGCTAGAGTTATGTTCTCAGAGGTACCGCCTGATTGTAAATCTGTCCAACGGAAGTGGCGACGTTCTGACTTCAATGAGAACCGATACCGGATCTCTCATACTCATAGTCAGACCAGACCTAAAAAGATACGGAGATAGCCAAGGCAAGGACCTTGAGCGTGGAGAAGCAGTTGCCGGGTGGAAAAGTCTGGTGGAGACCTACCCGTCGTAGCCATCGACAATAGAATAGCCTAGATGCCTTCAGATGCCTGTAAGCTACTAATTAGCAATCCCATAGTACTTGAATGAATTCAGGCTAGCTCATCGCGCACTGGATGCGTTTCTGTCCACGGGACTATTCTGATGAACCATCCTCGAAAAGTGCAGCACCTGGTGCGGGTAGGGGGCAGGAATTCGGCGACTTAGCCCAACTCGAAAGAGTCTACCTAAATATAGAAGCAATAGGCGATGAGAATATGGCCCCCGCCTGCCACAGGCCGAGAACATGCCTCTTCGTGATGCATCCTGCAGCTCCGCCACCAGTAGCCCTAATTGGACAGCCACCGAAGAAGTAAATGTAGGCAAACCAGGCGGAACAGCGATGTTACGGGCGTAGGCGCTCAATATGGCGCTAAGGTAGGCTCAGCTGAACATGGAGGCTCATGCTAAGAGTGTGTTGCGCCGCTACCACCTTCGTGGTGAGCCCTCCCCTCAGCCTTCCAGGGCCTCACTCATTTTCCTCGGTATTACGTCGAGATTATCCGTGTCGTATATTCTGAAACAAATTGAAGAAGTACATACTCAGGTATGTGAGTGTGTTGTCATACAAGGCCAACGATCTTCAAGCTTCGAATCATCTTACAACCTTCGCATAGGTCATCCCATCCGCCTCGTTGTAGCCATGGGTTTGAGAGAGATGAAAAGCAGGATTTTCAAATCGAAGCCGAAAAGTCCAAACGAGCCTCCGCCAATACCGACAACCAGTGCCTTGCACGTACCGCCGCCGATCCAGCGACAACAACCACAGAAGGTCCTCCAGAAACAGCCTGAGAAGATCGCATACGTAACTGCCGAGAATATACGAGAGCTTCGGGAGCTCATTAGGTATCGCTATGCCCTCGATGTTGAGATATGGAGCATGCGCGACGTGAAGTGGTATCAGCGGGACACACTGCACGCCAAGATGACGCGATCCGACGCTGCGTTGACGACGATTAAGAGTACTCTGGACAGTTGGGACCGACCAGAGTTTTTTGAAACTCAGGACGAGTATGCCAGATTCCGCGAAATCAAGAGGAAGATTGTTAGCGGCGACAAGAGGAATTGGACGGCGAATCCGCCTTGGGAGAAGCAGGAGATGAACCAAAGCACAGGGCCATTCGAAAAGGATGGACGACCTCTTCAATACGATATCCGTGTCTCGATGACCAGGTCGTGATTGCTAGATGTTGGCAGTGCGTTCCCAATGATATGACGATTCGGTAACGACTGGGAGGTATCTGGGGGGCCTAATATCATACTAGTCTTATTATATTGCGTGCAAGTTCGTTTTTTTTATACCCTTTATGCGTGTTCTTCTATTTTGATTGTTGTCGCCAGCGTGCTACAATGCAGCCTCAAGATATCGGTGCGCTTGTGGTGAGCCTTGATGAATAAGAAAGTCGAAGTCGTGTCATTGAAAGCAAAACAGCGCCAGTGCGTTCGTGACGTCCCTAGCGGCGTGAACATCATGTTTACATAAGCGTCCGTGTGATCCCGACACAACAACTATTCGTAACCATTAACCCTTTGATAATAAGGGCTGGGGAGCTTTAAGCATCTCAACAATACCAAATTCGTTTGCAAAGCGGCGTGAAGACCCCCAGGCTGGTTTTTAGGGATTCAGTGTATACGCGCAGTCTGTCGTCTTGGGTGGCTTCAAATTTTTAGATTTGCTATTCTTATTAAAAAGCTAGCTGAAAGCTATCCGGGCTCATATTAGCATCTTGCCTCCCTAGACCGTCCGCCTAACAGTGTTAATAGGAGTTGGAGGCCTTTGAGGTATATTGTAGCAGTTATTATTACATACCGGAAACTTGAAGCTCTCTAGGCTAATCTATAGTGTCTGTCTCACACAAACGTCTGTTTGTACTGAGAGGGACTGGATAGCTCCAAGGATCATTGTTTGCATGCAAGTACTTCGGCCTTATCCGCACCAGTTTCCAGCACCCCGAATCAACCATTTCGCCTCTTGAGAATAGTACCTAGAAATTTTCAAGCTATCAGAACGGCAAACTATTGCTTTGGAATAACGTAAAGGTACGAACCAGCGTTCTGTACTGTGGTTTAGTATTAATTTTTGCAATATGATAACAGGTACTCTTCGACCCCTGAATTCTGGCCCGCTGTTCAGCGTGTCAGTGGGTTATTTGTGTTTCGACCTAGCTAGTAGTAGTAGAGAGTTATAGGTACGCAGCGAACAGACAGCGGCTTGTGGTAAGAGATAAATGGTACTATCCGTATCTGTAATCCTCAGGAGATGGAGAGGAGGGCTTATACTCGAACCCGACCAGCCGAATTCGGCTAGCTCGATCAGCGTGTCAAGGTTCACGGTGAAGGAAGATACCTAGACATTCCCAATCTGTGGAGGCAGGCTGTATGTCCTCAGATCACTATTTGTATCAAAAGGAAAACTGGTCAGGACGTTGAAGACATCCACGGTATCATATTAGATGATAGCATATGACTCTTGAGTACGCCGACTCACTGCACTCGGACAGTACAACCCAAAAATCTACAGGGTGAAATTAAAGAAACGAACAAGCATAAGAACCGAGACGAAAGAATCTTCAACGCGCAAGTTTTTGGGAATCATTATAATAAACTGCCAACCACGCTGTACAAATGCTATAAAAGATACCATTGATAAACCTCCCAAGCAGTCTTCCTGGAAAGTATGCATTTGGGAAATGGGAATAGTGCATATAATGTTCGGAAGATGAGTCGTGGTCCAGGTTTCAGTCAATTTCAATGACATTCTGCTTTGACTGGCCGGGTCTACCACCACCTCTCCCCTGTTGAGGCGGCTGTCGTCCATTCGGCTGTGGTCGCTGGTTCTGTTGCTGCTTCCTCACTTGCCCTGGGCCAGGCTGAGGCTGTTGTTGCGGACGCCCTTGCTGCTGCATCCTTGCTGGTTGATTGGCCTGTTGTTGCGTGCCATTTGGCTGGCCCTGTGGAGCGGGTTGTTCCAGTGGCGGCGGCGCCTTGTACCCGCCTTCCATCTTACAGCCCAGCACACACGCATCCAGCCTCCTCAACGCATCTGGCACTCCATCCAACTCGGCTATCATCCCGTTCCTTGTTCCAAACCACCCTGGCCCCTTCCCACTAAACAGCTCCTTGAGTTTTGTCACTAGATTGTCGAGCCTCCTGTGGTACTGTCCTCGCTCAGACGTCGGCCGTGTATCCATGCTGCGCGCTTTGAGGCAATCCTCAATGAACCAGTAGACTTTGTCATCCTTGGGCTGAAGACGCACGTCGAAGGTGCAGACGGGGTTTTCGTACGTGAGGCGGTACTTGAAGATGGAGTGGACGTGGATGGCAGGGTTGCGGACATTGCCTGGCGTGCGGACTTGAATTTCCGACATAATTTTGAGGAGGGAGCGGGTGAGGATGAGAGCGGTGCAGAAGCGGTCGAGGCCGTTGGCGTCGCCGAAGTCGACGCTAGGGAGGAAAGGGCTGCGGTCGTTGGCAATTTCCGTGAGCAGCCTATGCACACGGTAATGCGGGTTATTCGGGGACAATTCGACGGAAATCTCCTTCTCAGCGCCGAAATTGACAGCCGCGGTATACGGTGACGGGCCGTATTCGAACTGTACTCGCTGCAGTGATGACGAGCCCAGCCGCATCTGGCGTTTCTGGAGGGTAGTCGCAAACGAGCGAAGGTGGTTAACGTCTCGCAGCCGTACTCGTAGCTCACCAAGAATGTCTTGTCCAAACGGCGTTGATAGAAGAATTCGAAACCTCCCGTCTTCCGAAAAGCTAAAGTTACTCTGTGGTGAAGCAGCCATGAGTTTCTGCATGTCTGCGGCCGCAGACTTGACCATCCTACCGGTGGCAATGTGCCAGACATTTTGGCTTTCCGCTTTCAGACCTTCGCAAGTTATGGCGATGTTGGACTCCAGCCACGGCTCTTCTCCCGGCTTGGTCACAAGGACATCAGGCGTCTGCAGGTACAGGACCCAGCGTCGAGCGATGCGTTGAGCCGCGGCTGAGGCGCTTGTTGGGCCAAACTCGCATCGCAGAATGCACGACTTCTTCTCCTTTTCGAGTTGGCGGGCAGTAACGCGGAACGAAAGGAGTTGTACAGCGACCCTCTCTAAGCTGGCCAGCGTGTTGCGATCGATCGGCAACAAGCGTCCGTCTGGCCTATCCAACTTGATTTGCTCGGCATGCTCGATTGTACCTCCGTTCGAACCAATCTCGAGGACCCACCATGACTCTCCTGACGAGTCTACGATAGCGGCAAAGGCCCAGCTTGACGACCAGCCACGGGGCCAGTAAAGCGCAAATTGGAGCATGTCCAGCTTCACGGCCGTCTTCACTACTTGAAAATGTAGAGACTGTCTCGCGACTGGCTGCCATCCCAGTTGCTGTGCATATCTCCGGATAGAGGTGAGCAGGGTTTCGGCGAGCAATTGCGTTAGTATATTGCCCATTTGCACTGGCTCCCTGCCCTGGTTAAAGGCATTCTCCGCTCTCGTCGAAAGCGCCGTGGCCGGTTGCAAGATGTAGTTCCCGGTCACAGGTTCTAAAGACACGGCCATCGAGTTTGCCCTTGTCCCCAGAGAGGCTTTGAGGGCGCAGTCTGTGGGCTCAGTATCCGATAAAGACGCATGTGCCGTCACACTCGGATTGAGAGCTCCCCGTGTTGATCGTAGAATATCACTGGTATGCCGTGCAATGACGCGCTTGATGATTCGCTCCGTCGACAAGTCTTTCCAATCAAATTTTAAATCGGCATCTTTCACTTCTTTGCCCTGGCGGAACCAGCGGGCCGTCAGAGAAGGGACAGGCAATCCGCGCCACGACACTTTGCCGTTCTTCGGCTTGTTTTTTGAGATGCCAATTTCAATCCAGTTCTTCTTGCCAGGCCTGCCAGTCCAGTATTGCACGACGAGCTCACGGTGCACCGGTTCGACCTTGAGCGAGCCTGCCCACCCCGTGCGAGCAAGGCCCAAGGCCTGCGATCTGAGAACCGAGATTTTGTGGGTCAAAACGAAATTGTTGAGGAAGTCGAATAGGCCACTGAGCCCCTTCTCCTGCAGGATATGGTCGGCTTGGGCCTTGAGATGCATGAAAAATCGACTGCCGACGGTGATGACTGGCGCTGGTGAGAAGAGTAACCGGAGATCAATGAACAGCCACTGCTCTGATGCATCTTCAACAAAGGAGATGACATCAAACTCGAATTGGCCATCGACGATGAAGGTAGCCCGTCCAGACTCTATGCGCCAGTTGCGGAGGTGCCGCGGGAGGGTTTCGTGGAGGTTCAGGCGAATCGAAAGTGAAGTATTCATGTAGCGCAAGAGTTTGAGTGCTTGCTCCGAGGAGATGGGATCAGGGGGTATATAGTCCAGACTCGGCATCCACGACGCCTTTCCCGTGGATAGAATCTCCAAAGCCGTGGTAATATCAGGGTTATTTTCTTTTGCGATACTGGCGTGTCTTTTGATGCTGTCGATTGCAAAGTCTGCAGCCTGCATGTGCACGTCCTGCTCCTTAGTCCACGTATACAGGTCTATGAGCTTGGAGACATCGACGGCGGCCTTCTTTCCCCATTCAGTCAGGACGAGCAATTTGATGAACTTGGCTCGATTCTCCTGGGCGAACTTCATGAGAAGCATCTTCTTTTGTGCGTTGGCCTTTGCGTTTTCCTGGCCATTTGCAGCGCCGTGGGGACCCAGTCCATTTGGGAGGACGCCGTTGGTCTGCTGCGCCAGCGGAATATCGGCCATCTTCTGGAGTGCGTCCCCTAGGTCGTTGTAGCATTCTTGGGAAAGGCGCACTATCAAGGTCGAGAGGGGGTTGTACGCTTCGGCAGAAATGTGGGCAATCTCTGGTGGGAGCTGCGAGTACTGCTCGAGCGAGGGACCTGCTGCACCATTAACACTGGGGTCTGTCGAGGGCGCTCCATTGACAGCAGGTGCTCCAGCCGGCGTGTCTGAGCGCGCACCGTCGTGCACACCATTGACCCGCTTGCCCTCGTGGTCGCGCTTCTTGCTCTCTCCATCTCGTAGGGTCGCTGATGCGTCGGACCCGCTGTGATGCATGATGAGAATGCCGGGCATACTACGGTCCCCGTGCAGCAGCCCACCGGCGCCGTCGCCGCTGCCACTGTTCGCGCACTTATCGGCCTTGTAGCGGGTTCAGCCGTGCAGTGTGCGTAGGGTCGTGTATTCTCGGCGTCTTGCGCGAGGGCGGCCTCTGGGGGGCTGGTTGATGGTCGAGTCGCAAGGGGTTGGACGGGCGCAGCAAGAGTGGCCTGTAGAATGAATGGCGTGGGTCGCAGGATGGGTGCGGCGGGGTGTGAAAGGGCTTTGTGAGCGAGGGAAGTAGGTGAAAGAAAGAAAGAGAGTGCGTGCGTGCGTGTGGTGCGTGATGCGAGTGGTGGTGGCAGTCGATTATCGCATGGTCGACTGGGAAGCCTGGACGGCCTGTGGCAGCAGTCGCGCTCGCAGGGGTCGAAATGGGGTCGAGTGGAGTGTGGATGGAGGGTGCGCGGGCGGCGGGCGTGGTTGATGTTGTCGCAATAGATTGAAGAATGAAGGACGAGAGATGGATGGCCGGGAGCCCTGACGTTCGGCTTGGCAGCCAAAACCGCTCCTCCCCAGCAGCAGCACCAGCAGCACCACCCACCCATGCACGACGACCGAGGCCCTGCAGCATCTCGGATCCAACCCGCGCCCACATGAGTCGCTAGGTTACTCTATTCTACCATATACTCTATAGTCTATACCGCGCACATAGTAGTAGCTAGTTGAGCAAGCTTGTTGGGTGCCAGGTCATGCCGCCAATGCTTCACTTATCATGGATCCATGCATCGTCCGCTACCATCATCACACCCCCCAGGCATCTCCACTTCTCTGCCCCCCGCCCCCCCCATAGTCAGTCACTAACCATGCATGCTTCCGCCTGACCCTTGGATTCGTTTCTTGCGCTTCTTCTTGTGCTCTTCGTCTCGCTTTCTCCCACTGCTCGCCATGTCTCAGTCGCGGTGGTGACGCAGCTCGACGGCCAATTCGCCTAGTAGCCCCCCCTGCGCGCGCCCTCTGACCATGCCGCCGCACGCGCCCGAACTCCCGCCATACCGACCACAGCTCCTATGCAATGTCTCGACACACTCCAAGTTCTCGGTCCCCTCCATCTCGCACTCGAATGAGGCAGACGACGAGCAGAGCCTGTCCGACCAGACCATCGACATGGAATCCAACACGTCGCAGCCCCACTACGACGGCGAGGACACGAGGTTGACCAGTGACAAAGAGCTTCGAGGCTTCTACATGTATGGATGGGCTGCCGAGGTACTACATGTTTCTCTTACCACTAGCCTCCAACTCTGATAACACTTCTGTCTGCTATCTCTTTGCGACAGCTGATTAGCTAGCTCCACCCCTCGCCAACGTACATAACTGCGCAAAGCACCGACTAACCTTCCCAGGTCTTTGTAGTCTGTGGCATCGGGTCCTTCATACCAGTGACCCTCGAGCAGCTCGCGCGTGAAAATGGCGTCCTCCTCTCCGACCCCTCTACACCTTGCAAAGCCTCACGGCCAACCATCCACCCTCCCCCATCCTTCTCCACAGCCTCCCTCGAGGCCCTCTTCAAGCCCAATCCAGAAAAGGGACAGTGTGTCGTCCACATACTCGGCATCGAGATCAACACCGCAAGCTTCGCCATGTACACGTTTAGCATATCCGTCTTGATCCAGGCTTTGTTGATTATCAGCATGAGCGGCGCAGCAGACCACGGCAGGTTTAGGAAAACACTGCTGCTATGGTTCGCATTCATAGGGAGCATAGCAACCATGCTGTTCCTGCCTGTTGTGCCGAAAGTATACATCCTGGGTGCTGTACTGGCCATTATTGCGAATACATGCTTTGGCGCAAGTTTCGTGCTGCTAAACAGTTTCCTACCGCTGCTGGTCCGATTCCACCCTACCGTCAAGTACGCCGGCTCAAGTTCAGGGAACTCGTACCTAGATGAGGAGGAAGACGATGTGGGAAGAGAAGGAGAAACGCACGAGGAACAACTTGCAAGAGAAGCACACTACGCAAACCAGCTTGCCCATCGCGAAACCGTCCTCGATGAAGTCGCAGACGCAACGACTGCACTCTTACCACGCAGCCCCTCGGCTGCCGACCTGACGATTCCACGAGCAAAGAGCCGAGCGGCGCCATCCCAGGAGCTCGCCCTCTCCACCAAGATCTCCTCATACGGAATTGCGATTGGATACATCGCCGCGCTGCTCGTCCAAACACTTGGAATCTTTGTCGTCATCGCATTCCAGTCCTCCAACTTTGGTCTTCGACTAGTGCTGTTCATCATAGGCGCATGGTGGTTCATCTTCACTTTGCCAACAGCACGATGGCTCCGCCCACGTCCAGGGCCACCATTGCACATCGGCGCACATGCATCGAATTTCCGTACTTTGCTTGCCTACTTTACCTATTCGTGGAAGTCGCTGGGCAGGACAGCTACACACGCCCGACATCTCAAGGACGTGTTGCTCTTCCTCGCTGCCTGGTTCTTGCTGTCAGACAGCATAGCTACGGTGAGCGGGACGGCTGTCCTGTTTGCAAAGACTACCTTGGGCATGTCCTACGCCATGCTTGCGCTCATTAATGTAATAGCAACCGTCTGCGGCGTTCTCGGCGCCTTCCTCTGGTCGCGCCTGTCCCTCTACCTGCGCCTCTCCCCGACGCAGACCATCCTCTCATGCATCTTGCTCTTTGAAGTAATCCCCATCTACGGCTTACTCGGTTATGTCCCTGCGGTCCAGCGTCTTGGATACCTGGGCCTGCAGCAACAATGGGAGATGTATCCACTCGGTGCTGTCTATGGCTTCGTGCTCGGCGGTTTGAGCAGTTACTGTAGGGCGCTGTTTGGCGAGCTGATCCCGCCGGGCTACGAAGCAGCTTTCTACGCACTATACGCCATCACAGACAAAGGAAGCAGTATATTTGGTCCCGCCATTGTTGGCGCTATCACCGATGCGTATGGCGAGATTAGACCTGCAAGTGCTCCCATCTGGAACCTTATTCACGCTAAACTATAAATGATGGGAAACCTTACTGACCACCATTTTAGGCATTCTGGTTTCTTGCCGTTTTAATTGGCCTCCCCTTGCCCATTATGATGCTTGTTGACGTTGACCGCGGCCGCGCAGAGGGCATTGCGCTAGCTAAAACGCTGGAAGAGCTGTCACGAGCACAAGATGCTCACCTGGGAGAAGACGACGATAATTTGTCCCAAGACATTAGAGATGATCTGCAAGACTCGTATTCGTATCAGCGCTCGTGAGGACTGGCTTGGGCTTCCAAGGGTCCTGTAGCGTAGCATTGCATTCTCATCGATCGGCATCTGCTTGCATTTGCATTGGAGAGGCGTTTACTTCTTTGTTTGGATACCAAGGCTGCGTGTTGATACTGTGCTGTTTTGTTTTGCGTGACTAGCGCGGCGTTGGGTCCAGTTTAGCAATTTCTTTGGAGCTCAATTGCATTGATGGTCTCTGCTCACATGCAGACTATTCTCTCTTCCGCCATCTTGACAGGTGCTAGCTTATCACCATCACTCACCCTACCCATCCAAGTCAAACGCCTCCCTGAGCTCCTCCCTAAGCTCCTGATCCGGCAGCTGGTCAGCAATCAGCTTCCACATCTCCCTCGCAATCTTTTCCCTCCTCTTCGCAACACCGACACCCTTCTTCCACTGCCTCTCCACGTCCATTCGCTCCACCTCGGTCACTTTCTTTGCCTTGCCTGCCTTCAAATTTTCCAGCCGCGCAAGGATCTCGACCTGCTCGGACTCGAGGGCATGCACGTTGGAAACAAGGTCGGTGGTGCTCAGCGTAGAGTTGAGGGAGGAGAGTGTGCTGCGGAGGATCTTTATAGTGCCAAGGAGATTGGTAGTGTTGGTGCGGAGGTCGGTGATTTGGGCGTCAAGGGCAGCAAGTTGTTCGGGGGTGCATGAGTCTTCTGCGTTCTGCGGTGAGCGTTAGTATGCTTCGTTGGGTTGGAACAAGCGGGCTCGGCCACCTGAAGGGCGTGGTAGACAATCTGCTTGCCTGAATCATGTCAGCTAGTTTAGGAAGAATGCAGGAGCGAGCTCACTCACCAGCTGGCCGTCCCTCGATCTGCTTCTGCTCGTGGAGGTCTTTGAGAACCTTTGCCGCGGCAGCTGTGCCATGATCAACCACTGAAAAGGCAACAATACGCGCGACTTACACACCTTTCGTCACCTTGTTGTGCAAGTTTGCAGACACGTCGATAGCCGAGTACGGGCGGTTCTGCCGGCCTATCCATTGTTAGCATTGAAAAATGACCTTCGCCCAGGATGAGCGCTATGACGACTGGTGAGAGACGTACGCAAGTAGTGCAGAACCATATCGGCGGCCTCGTTAGCCGATGCCTTCTCTTCCGTCTTCTTTCGCGGTGCCATTGCGTGTAATGAGGGTTAGGCGTGGTGAGATGTGTAGTGAGAATGTTAAGTTGCTATATTGGGATAGCGTCACGGCGCTCTTCAGGAGGAAGGAACCATCCACCGACCCAAGCAGGTAGGGACGGCACCCTCAAACGCAGAGAAGAGGACACTGGCGGCAAAGTTTTCCAGTCAAGGTTTGAAACGTTTTTTTATCTCCCTTGAAGTAACTGTTGTGCAGTGTAGTTCGTTGATCGTTCATCCTCCCCGCTCTCCGAATTCCCTCGCCCAGTCCTCGAACTCCTTCAAGCCTTGCTTGCTCACAGAGGGCCTGATCGTCTGCAAGCTAGCTATAAAGTCCTGGTATTGTATCGGTCGTATCTGATCCATCGTCATGGACAACAACTTCTCGCCGAGTGAGCGCAAAGGGCCCATTGCAGCGTCTTTCGCGAGTGCAGTGATGTCAGAACCAGAGAAACCTAGACCAGTATCAATTCATGTCGCTGAAGATCAAGTCTGGGAGCACTCGGAGTGAACGTACCTTCAGTGAGCTGGACCAGCCGATCCAGGTCCCTCTCACTAAGCTCATGTTTTTGATGACTTAGCAATGTATTGACTTGCTGCTTCCGAACCCAGTCTTCCGGCAGTGGAATGTACTGCCGTCGGACGAACCTTCGCCTCGCTGCCTCGTCAATGGCCCATGGTAAATTCGTGGCCGCCAGCACGAGCACTCGAGTTGCATCACCCTTCTCCCTCTCCTCCTTACTCAGGTCCCTTCCAGCAGCAGCTTTCTGTAAGTCGGACCACTGAATTAAAAACTCCGTCTTGATGCGGCGTGTCGCTTCGTGCTCGCCGCCTGAGCGCGATGAGAGAAGAGAGTCGATCTCATCCACAAAAATAATTGACGGTGCAAGCATTTTTGCGAGCTGGAAAAGAGCACGGACGAGCTTCTCCGACTCACCGAGGAACTTCGAGGTAAGGCTACTCGCAGAGATTGCAAAAAATGTAGACTTTGACTCTGTTGCTACCGCTCTTGCTAGCATCGTCTTTCCAGTACCCGGTGGCCCGAATAGAAGCATGCCCCTTGCGGGTTCCCTCAACCCCATGAACAAGTCTGGTCTCAGAAATGGATAAACCACGGTCTCTTTGAGTGCTGACTTTGCAATGTCCAGACCAGCTACGTCGTCCCAGTGTACTTCGTCCCCTTGGATGACTATCTCATTCAAGATTTGCTGCGCGGCTTGCTTGTCGACGCCCCGAGGCAGGTTCTTCATGATATCTTCTGTTCGCCTTTTCCACTCATCCGTCTCTTCTTCGGGCTCTTCCTCTGGTTCGGCTACAACCGTTTTAGGAGTGGGGGGTAGATCTGCGCGCATTGAATCGCCTCTGGCCCTGCCTTTCCGAGCCGGAGGTGGCTGGGACTTTATTACATCCTCGTCTTCTTCTAGTGTCACTGGCTCATGGGGCTCTCGTTGCGGCATGTTCCGAGCTTGCATATTATTATTGGTAGTAGTCGTAGGTACCAGTCTTCGTGTAGCTGGATCCCATGACGGCCGGGTCTTTTCTTCTGTTCCATGGTCGCTGTACGAGCGGGCAGCCGCGGAAGCTGCCAGTGAACGTGGGTTTAGTGTAGTTGGAGGATACTCTTTCCGGTAGGACGGCAATGCTGTGCTGTTTCCCTGATTATTAGGTACTCTGCTTGAGTCTACAGACTTCCGAGTTATTGGTGGCGCTGGTCTCTCAACTGCAGATCTCGTTGGCTCAGGATCGCCTCCGCTGCCAAGGGCTGGAGATGTGTATGCAGCCGACGCTGAGACTTCCCCAGCTTGGAAATAGAAAGGTGATTGCGGTTGCGTGCATGGCCTCTCAATAGCTGGTCTGTCTATTGATGATCGGGCTGAAGCTGTCGAAGAAGTCGGTACACCCAGACTCGGCCTGCCAGTGGTCGGTGTAGTTTTGAAGCTCCACGCCTGAGTGGCAGCCTTGGAAGCCTCTGGACGACTTCTCAACGAGCTTGGTAGTTTTGATGATGAGGCCCTGCTGTCCCGTCCAGGCCTCAAGGTCCGCAACATCCTACCTTTCTTCTCAGGCGATGGTGTTCGTGACGTTTTCTCTTCAGCTGTGCCCGGCGCCAACGTAGAGGCACTTCGGGTCTGTGTCAGACTGTTGTCTCGCGCAGACCCAGTGCCCGAGCTCTTTCGCGGTGCCATTGCGGGGCGATACGGTAGAGGGGGCGGCCTAGAAAGGTCGGTGTAATCTATAGGAGGTACTGATCCGCCTCCCAGCCAGGCGGAAGAACCCTCTGTATAGCTTGAGGTGACGGGGACGCCGTGAAGAGGCGGAGTGGGGGCTTTTGCATTTTGGGCTGGCAAGGCCAGGCTCTCCTTCGACTCCTCTCGACTCCGTTTTAATGTTTCCAGCAAGTCTACTCGCTCCTTGCATTGCAGTTCCAGCTGGCGTAACGACTCCAGGAGAGCCTTCTCGGTCTCAGACGCGGGGCGATACGTGGTGGGGTTGCGGCGGGCATTATGGTAGTAGATGTGGTCGAGGGCCGTCTTCCATGAGCGAAGGGCTTCCTGCTCGTTATTCTGCAATTTATCCGTCAGTCTTGTGTCAAAGTCACATTGTTTGAGTAGTTGGGCTCTAACCTGGCTTTCAAAGTACACCGCGGTGGAGCAAGCTAGGAATGCCTCATCGTAGGCTTTTTGCGTCGTATTGGCGCGCATAGCAGAGAGCATCAATAGTGCGCACCCAGTGTTTGGGGAAAGGGTATATAGACTAGAAAGACAGTCTCATGAGCAGGTCCAGAGTGTTGTTTGGGTCTCCGTCTGTCGAATGCGCCGGTCTTGGTTCGCGCTTGTGAGTGACGTAGCTGCCATTCGCGTTGTCGGAGGCGAGGAGCTGCATGTGCGACTAGACAGGACGCGTGTTACTACAGCCACATGTAATTCTAGCCTAAGACCTTCAAAACACAGGAGAGAGAGGGAATGCCCTCAGTAATAAGTCATCTTCCAAAGGATGAACATGTGCATGTGCGGGTCGGATTGAGAAGCTAAGCTAGGTCCATGTTTATCGATTACGCACCTCTTCTGAACCCGAAGAGCAAAGGCATGAAGGATGAACGCCAACGCTAGATTCCCCTATGGTACAAACATATCTGCGCTGACTGTGAATGCGCCCAGCGTAGTCAAAATATCCCATACGCCGCCACATGATCCTCTCAATTGGCCAAAGCCTGAAGCCTCTATGACTATAAAAAAAGTTCAAGGTGTAGCAACATCACTTTTCATGACACGAAATACCAGACCTTGCTCTAGATCCCAAAGTGCGATGGCCCTCTGATCCGTGGGACCGTGTATATATCGTCCGATTGCGTATGCACATATCGTGGTATATGAGCGGCATGTCAAGGCGGGTAGAAAAATCTCTAAACGAAACGATCAGTCGCTATATGGCCGTGGCAGAGTTGGTGCTGCGGCGAATGAAGAAGGCTTTCGCCATTTCGTATGCGGACCTGGTCAAGTTAGATTATCGTCTCGTGGAACGATCCGAGCTGCACTCACCAGCAAATCGCAGTGCTGGGCATTGTTGTGATGATTCGGGGTTTCAGGCCGCGGAAGTACCCCTTATATCCTTCTCTTTGGTGAATGATCTTTGCCGCCTGCAACAGGCCTGACACGTTCCTGAGCTCTGCATCCGTTGCGTTTCCTCGTGTCTGCAGTAATGTCTTGATGACGTCCAGGGGCGTGGTAAGCCCCGCTGCGAAACCACCAGCTATTCCGCCTGCGAAGCAGTGTGTGTAGGGATCGTAGCGGCCGGTCGGGTTCATGACCTTGGACATGGACTCGTATGCCATAAATTGGAGGGCCGTGAAAGGCACCGTCATGCACAGCGTCGTAGGGTATGAAATGTAGAATGCGCCAATGCCCTCGGTGCGGAAGACCTGTTGGGCGCATTGAGGAACCGACTTGTAGATTGAGCCGTGCAATTGCATGCGTTGCTTGATGACTGCCATGTTCAGCATGCGCACGCGCTGATCAAGTCGCTCCACCTACCATCGAACGGGTTCATCAGCGCATCGCTGGAGATTGTGGCCGCTGCGCCGCTGGCCGCTGTTCCCGGTTAGTGCCTCCCTTCAGTGTATCAGTAGACTTTGCGCACCTGCCGCGAAGGGATGGTGCTCCTCGCTGCCTCCTTCATTTCCACCGAGCGCATGCTTCGTGGCTTCATAGGAGGCGAAATAGACGGCATGCGCGGGTCCTGGGTAAGCGATCAGTTCCGCCCGGTTTGGCATGCCAGCTAGATTGACCGACCTGCACCCATTACGACACTCGACAATCCTCTCCATAGTGTGCTGAAGCCTTCTGCCCGTGAAATCGTGACCATGGCGTTCGATATGCCACTGTACATGGCGCTCGGGGAGGGGTTGACAATCTGCATTCTGGTCTTTCCGGAAGTCAGCGCATCGGCCATAAGACGTGTGGCTCGAGGAGAGGCTGCCATACCTTGAGAAGGTCAACTGGATACATCACTGAATGCTCCTACCGTCAAGTTAGCCAGCGCACATGGATGGCGACTTTGGGGCGTACGGCGATGCCCGCGAACGCGCCCGCAAGCATGTTCGCGGATAAAGAAAAGTTTGGCGGTAATGCTTCATAGCTGGTGCCCAAGTCAGCGACGGGAGTTCCGCGGTCAAAGTGGGAGCAGAGGAGCTGTACTCGTGTTCTTCTTCGTGAGGTAGTGCTGGGTGGTCATGGGTCGCCATAAGACGACCAGGTGCTAGTGCGGCGGTTTCCAGGTTGGCGATTGTGGGTGTGTTGTTCTCGGGACGGTAGATTGGCGCCGCAGGGGTGCTCGCGAGGGCGACGATTGTGATGAGGAGGCAATGGGTGAAGAATGATGTTGGAGGTGTTACTTTTGTTTGCAAAGCACATTGGCCTAGGCGCGCTTGGGCAAAATGATTTGAACCGAGCACCGCACCGACCCGCCGTCAGACTAGACCAGAGTGACTTTACCACCCTACGTAGCCGTGGTTTTTAGCAGCGATGCCGGACTTGAGATGCCATCGCCGACACTAATCGCCGTTCTCATCTCCATGTGGATCTGTCCCTGATCACGCGCTGCACTCTTTTACCCCCCAGACTCGGGACCAGCGGCACTACGAATCTCAATTTGCGCGCCGGAAATGTGCTTCATTACAGAAAGTTCGAAGGACTTCCCGCGGACTTCCCGCGGGCCTCTCGTGGAATGAGGGGGCAACATGCACGGGCTTGGAGGGGAGAAATCTTATCAGATCATCTTGCCAACCGCTATTTGCTCCTTAGTTAAAGGGGGGGTGTGAAGTATACTATATGATTGAACAGGTGTTGCAATACGAACTCGAACTGCATGATCCCTACACCGCTATCCGTATGTAGCGAAGCTCCCCGGGTCCAAGATGTGACTACAGAAGAAGTTTCTACACAGGCAAAAGGCACGTACTGTACAGGCGGCCTCGCTATCTTACAAGTACAACGCATGTCAGAACATGACGACCCACAACGGGCCACAGTCGCCGTCCAGTCCGTGAGAGCACGTTACATCGCGATACTATCGTGAACAGCTGGCGAGCCGTGATCTGGACACCGGGGCTTTGCACATCAACAGTCGCACCGCTTATACCATCGAGGAAAGCTGACGACGTCTCTGATATTCGAAACGCCAGAAAGGTAGCACATGAGACGGTCGTACCCTAAACCAAAGCCTCCATGCGGCACGCTGCCGTATCGTCGCAGGTCTACATACCACTGCAGGGACCCTTCTGTTGCCTCGGTGTTGCCATCTGGCGCTTCAAACCCGTGCTCTCTCATGGATTCCAACAGTTCTGGTAATCGATGTTCACGCATAGAACCTCCGACCAGCTCACAGATCTCTGGCACAAGAAGATCGAAGCATGCGACGGTTGAGGCAGTTTGTCCTTCCGGTGTCAAATCAGTTGACGGCGCCATGTAGAATGGCTTAATGTTGCGCGGGTAGTCGGTCACAAAGATCGGTCCCCCTCGTCCATGGCTTTCAGCCAGATACCGCTCGTGCTCTGTCTGGAGCCCGTCTTCATGACCAGGGGCAAACTCAAATTCTGCCTTGCCTTGAGTCACTGCGTCTTTGAGGTGCTGTATCGCCTCGTCGTATGTGATTCGGGGCCACGGTCCGTCTACAAGTCCTTGCCACCGTTGTGCGAGTGTTCTGTGTGACAAGGATGCGCCTTCCTGTTCCTGCTCTCGTTCTCGGGCCTCGAGCAGCTCTTGGCCTACGGTTGAAGATTGTAGCTCGGTCGCAATGGCGCGCAACATGTCTTCCACAACATCCATGACGTCCTTTACATCCTCCACGAAGGCCAGCTCCGCTTCGAGCATGTAGAATTCGCTTAGGTGACGGGCAGTGTCACTCTTCTCTGCGCGGAAAGTCGGGGATAAAGCCCATACCTTATTCACAGACAGGGCCAAGGCCTCGAGATGAAGCTGACTCGACACTGTTAGATATTTGGGAGATCCAAAGTAGAGGTCTTCGTGTTGTTTCACTTGGTCCGATGACTGCTGGCTCGACGTGGACGAAGCTTCGGGCGCAACAGTGAACACCTCTCCTGCACCCTCGCAGTCGGACGATGTGATGATTGGTGGATGACATTGGACGAAATCATGTTTGGCGAAGTAGTTGGTTACTTGAGCAGTAACCAACGACCGCAGCCGCAGGATCAAGGAGTTGAAAGGCAGTCGGCTTCGCAGATGGGGCAGAGTGCGCAGGAATTCAGGTGACTGATATTTCTTTTGTATGGGATACGTCTGGATTGGGGAGTGCAAAATCAGATCTTTGACTGCAATTGGGATCCTGGGTTGGATCAACTTACTGTAGCATCATTCTCTCCCAGTACTCGAACGCTCTCCACCTGGAGCTCATGGGATTGCTCTTGGCCTGGTGATGGTGTCCATTTCCCGGTGACTGCTACTGCAACACCCGTCGAGAGTCTGATGGCCACACGTCAGCAGCCTGCAGATGTGTATTACGCTATTCCACTGACCCTTCTGCAAGTTGCGGCGCCAAGACAGCCTGCACTGTCTGCAAGGTCGAACCATCTCCTATGGCAGCAAAGGCAATGCGCTTCTGCTTCCGGACGGTTCGTACGTAGCCATTGATCGACAGCGTCTCCCCATCGGGTGGAGTGCGCTGCGAGGAGGACGCGAGTGGGGACGGCCTTAGCAACTCAGCGATATTAGTAGGGCAAAAGGTTGAGCTGCAGCGTGGACGACATGGAGATAACGCATGCGCCGAAGGGGCAATCGTTTCCCGACGAGGCAGTAGCAAATGGGGACGGAAGATACTCCTTCGAACAGGCAGCATCCGGCTCATTTACGCGGACGGCAGAAGCAATCAGCCACTGAAAAGCGCGCGGTGGAGCGTAAGGCAGCACACAGTCAATGTCGTCGTCGAAACTTTGAAAAGGAAAGCCGGAGCTTGGGCCACATGCGCTAGCATCTCCACATCCTCGTACTCGTTTACCCGTCAATCGTAACACATCCAACGTAACACATCCGCCCCTTGCTGATGAGACAACTGAGATTCCAAGGCAGATGGTCAAAGAGCACAAGATGCGGGCCAGGGCACCAGATCCGATTGCCCTAGCGGGCGCCGTCTCGCTGCTCCTCGCTACCCCCATTGGCTACAGTACGTCTTTGCACACTAAAAAGCACAGCGACGCCAACGCCACAGCTGTCGACCGCCCGTTTCTCGCTCTGCCTTCATCGTGCACAGCAACGCCCTGGAAGCATGGACCCGTTATCCTAGTGGCTTGAACGGACTTGCTCGCTACGTGGGCGCCGCCAGGGTTGTGTGACTTGGTGGCGGCGAAGAAGTCCATCGTCAGACCATCATTCATCCGATCTCAGTGCCAGTGCATTTACCCTGCATCCGGGTCGTGGTGCCGATGCTACCGCTGCAACGCTATCTCGTGCAGGATCTCAGTTTGCAGCTGTCATGACCGTAGTGACCAGCACGCCCGCCAGAGATCTCCGACCTCCGCCACCGATGTGCAGATCGCTTCGAGGCCTCGACGATCGACCTGATGCTCATCCCTGCTCCAACAGCCCTCGCACTACCGACACGCGTTCGGTGGCTTCAAGTGCCTGGCATCGCTGTGGGTTCAACCGTCGCCTTCAAGGACCAGGGAAGGAGCCACAGTCACAGCGCGCGGCTGCTTCCGGGTTTCTAAGCCCTGTGTCTACCCATACTTGCCGATGGTCACGACTCAAGCCTCCACTATGTGCAGCTTTGCGCCCAGTGGTTGGCGTCAATGTCACCCGCGCTCGAGTGGAGTAGGAACCCTGTATTAACACGGGAGAGGTTGATTCACACAGACGACTACCGCATCTGTAGTTGGTGCGCCGAAACGGGCCTTGCTAGTCTGCGGCCCGACCAGAGTCTATTATTTAGCTATGTTATCACACGCCCTTGAACACCTGAGCAGATGATATACTGCTCTTTTGCCGGCCGGGGCCCCAGGTTGGATGTTCCTTGACTTTGTTCACTTCGCATATGCAGGATATCTTCAGTTGATATAGATTCTTCTCTTCGCCCTCTGCCACGGCCCGCCAACATGCCACCATCAAGACCCAAGCCGTCCGAGATAGCTGCCGAAGCGAAACGAGTGTGGATGCCCCATATCTGGAAACATTATATCAAAGACTCGAAGACTTCCTATCTATATCCAGACGCGGCCCAAATCAGAATCAATGTGGACCAGCGGTCATCACAACGGACAAGAGTGGCAGTCATGGAAGGTGATCCCGTGAACTACGCTTTGGGCTGGTACCAAAGTGCCGTCAGCGCAGATCCAAACTGCAAACGAATACCAGTGGTTAATGTAGCGAACGAGAAGCGTGCCGGGGGTGATTGGGAGTCAGGACTCATGGCTCCTGAAGAATGCTTTGCACGGAGAAGCAACCTCGTGCATGCCCTTACGATGCCATGGAACGCGCAGCTTGGGCGAAGCGAAAATTTCTACCCAATACCTCAGAGGGGCGGCATATACTCACCCGACGTTTGTATGTGAGACATGCTTGTTTCGAGACCTTGTTAATAAGCATTAGATGTTTTTCGAGGAGGCCCAGATCAAGACTACGCAACATTCAACGAAATTGCCGCGCTTCCCGTCATATCAGTCGCACCTGTACGGAGACCTAAGCTTGATGAGACGGGCACAACGTACTCGTTTGTCCAGGAGAAGGAGCTGATGAAGGAGAAGATGCGGGCTGTCCTCCGAATCGCCTCCTACTGCGGGCACAGAAACCTTGTGCTAGGCGCGTTTGGCCTAGGGCCTATATTCCGCAATCCGGCGGCAGATATAGCCCGCATATGGAGGAAGCTTTTGTTCGAAGAGGAAGAGTTCCATGGAGCCTTCCAGGACGTCGTCTTTGCCATAGACAGCAGCATGGTTGTGGCGCCGGCGAAAGGGTGTTTGTCGGATCTGGAGACATTCAAACGAGAGTTCGATCCGTCGATGATTTTTCCCATTTCAACTTCCCAGTGGCACTACAAATCAACTGAAGAGGACGCAGGCATGGTGTGCTGAGGAGGGTTTGAACACCATGGGCGGGTAAAGGATCCATCCTATCAGGAACAAAAGCGAGTCAAAGGGGCTGAAACACATGCTGCCCCAGACGAATCCGATGTTGGTGTAACACACTGCATGATGTCATTAGAGGGCTGGGCCGGAGAGACGAGATCGAGCTAAAGACTTCTCGGTTATCTGTACAAATTAATTAAAGTTGCAGCTGCGGGTCGATTGCGGTTACCCTGCAAGCGCCAACCAATCAGTAGTAATGCAAGCATTGGGTAAACGGAAAATCGTCAACTTTGAGCTTGTGGTAGTAAGACATTTGTCATGCACAGTAATCTGCGCAAACGCAAGGAACAGAGACTCGGCGTTCTGATTTGCTTTCATCCCGTATTCGGTGACCACGAGGGTACTCGCGTTCAAATTGGCGAAGCACAACCGCGTCTTAGTACCGAGGCCTCGAAATCCTTGATGGGTAATATGAGATATGTCAAACTGCCGGCATGGCGGTGAGTTTCACGCTCTGTCGCTAGGCAGCAACCTTGTGCGCCCGAGGGCAGCAAGTCTTCACATTTGACTATTCAGTCTTTGCGGCCATCGTGACACTAAAGTAAGAAAGGACGGGCTCAGATTAGAAGTTGATAGCTCTCAAATTTCGGAGACCAGTGACGACATTTTGCAACATAATCGTAGCCCTTGAAATTAAAAGCTCCCCACGGCTACACACTTGCTGGGTGCAATCTACCTTGATTGCGGATACGTGAAAGAGTGCGCTGATTGACTGTCACGCTTTCTCAAGAGCTTGTCGTCGCTACTGGGGTCAGAACTGATGATCCTACCCTGTACTGTCGCTATCATTACAGCTGCATCCTTTTTATGAGCAGACTCGTAGTATACATAATGTACATTGTCGTGAGTGGCGTTACTAAATTGGCTCTAGTAGCCTACTTTGAACCTGGTAAAGGTAATTGAGGTGCGACAATCTCTCCTCCCTGAGATTCAATTTTCTTGATCGTTTGTTCTCTCTGGTAATTGACTACTCTCTGCTTTTTGAAGTACTCGACCTGCAGCAAGTTAGCTTATCTTCTGTCTCTACGTCTGCACAAATTTCCGCCGTCCAACAAACAAGCTCGAAAAATGCAGTGTCGCTACGCAGCTATCAATTGCAGTATTCCCAGTATTCTCAGAAATGCAGCCCATCTACTTCGCATCATTTCACACCAATTCATATAGTCCACTTACCCAGCTGTGTGCGCAGTTCTTTTCGAAGTCCTGGTCCAACTGCCCGCAGAATGTTGTAGCTTTTGTCCTGCCATTCTTTGTGTTTATGCTGTCCAAAATGTTGTTCTTGTCGAGACATTCGAAAAAGGCATCGCGTGCTGCGTAGCATTGCTTCCGATTTGACCTTGAAGGCGATTCGAACGCGCCGCCGGAGGTCTTCTTGACGCCATCATCTTCTGCAGAGCCCGAGCCCCAAGGTAACCACCCCATGTTTGTGGAGATATGAGGTTGCGGAGGAGCGGTGGGTGGGAGCAAAGACTCGGTGCTGCAGTTGTTAGCAGAGACCAGTGGCATTCCCAAAGATATCGGAGTAACATAAAAGTGCGTACTTTAGTGGGAGAGCGCTATAGACGTTGTCGAGCTCAGTGTAGTCGTCGAAGATGGAAGCTGTAGAGTAATGAAATCGTGCTTGGCGCATAAGTGAGCTATGACATGACCGGAGCTGGAGCTTACGTTTCGCCGAAGCAAACGACTCGTTGAATGACAGGCAACCTTCTGTGCACCTCTACACATCTCCCATGCCCGTGATATAGCGCAGACTCGCACATTGATGCCACGCCGACGCCGCCCTCCTCGACCCGGCGCCCTCGCGGATCTCTCTCCCACCCGGATACTCTCGCAGATCGCCCTCCTACAACTCGCCTATTATGGATGCGCCGGCATTCTTATCATCTTCACGGCCTTGGTAGCAGGCAAGGAGATCAATGCAGACCTTCTCTTTAGCTGGCGCACTCTACGCGGTGATACTACGGTTGGCTGGACACTGGGGTTGGTTTGGGTGTTGAACAGCCTGACTTGGTGAGGACCCTGATGAACTGGCTGGCTGCTTTCGCACATCTAACAGCTCACAGCGCTATATTCATTCTACTTCTCGTCGCACGATCAAAGCTCGTATTCGACTTTGCCTTAACCGTACATTTTATCCATTTGATCGTCACCTCCCTATACTGCCATGCGATACCCGCGAACCTCTTTTGGTGGGCACTTCAGTTATGTAGTGCTACCATAATGACCTCTCTTGGTGTTTGGGCATGCCAGTGGCGCGAGCTGCGACCTATTGACTTTGGGAGCAAGCCTACTGCGCGAAACCAGCCGGCGGCAGATGAGGGCGCTGGTGAATCAAGAGGTAGAGGCCGAGGCAGGGGGCGAGATGGCGCAGGTGAATATGAAATGGTGGGAATGAACGGGGGTGAGAATAATGTCTGATTGCACATCGGAAATTGCATAGTTTGGCGTTGGTTTTGATCTGGTCAGCTGCGAAACGGACAGCTCAAGAGAAGGGTTCTCGCGGCCTAGTATACTATACCCCTCAATTGGAGCTTTGGAATGATAGTTGGATCGCAATCGCATGACCTCGAGAATCTTGGAACTCCAGGGTGTCATCGACACTCGAACCTTTCTATTGATCTGCCTGCGAGGTACCACCGTGAGGAAGAAGCCTCGAACCGCACCACTGCATCTTCTGCAGTAAACCACGGCCAGACCCTCTGCTCGCCCATTTCCTTCTCTTCCATGCTGATCTTCGGGATGACCCGACATATAATACGACTCAAACTTTCCAATGGCGCCGATTGCCCTTGCTGATTGGTTGCTGCTATTATCTTTATTGTTTTCAGGTGGCCCGGTAAGTCGACGCCTAATTGTGGAGTCAGTACTTGCTTTGGAATTTCCAATTCTTCGAAACACGTGCCTGAAGAGATCTGCGCTCGTAGAGGTATCTCAAAACGGTGCTCCTGGTTGCTGCCGCTCTCTGTAAATCCCAATATGACACCAGTAGCGTAGGAATGTGCCTGAGCTCGTTGTGTCGGTAGAAGAGGTTGCTGTGCGCCAGTCTGGGGTATGCCGAGTGCCAGGACCGCATTCCACAAGATCGCGCTACATAGAGAAGTCCATAGTTCCATGGCTGTACTGTAAGGTAAAAAATCCAAGGACGATCAGGGAATCTATGAGTTGTGTACGACTGCCAGACGCGTTGAAGGAGGATAGATATAATTCCAAACACCAACGGCTTTCCGCCACACGCTTTATATTAAATTGGAACAAGCGCACCTGACCCACTACTCATTCTGACACACGAACACAGTTCGCCGATGAGCTAGAAGTTATAGCCTAATGGTGCGGGCACGGCGTTGCTTGTTTCATTTTGGTTGGAGCGCATTGTCTTTCGAGATTTTGCCGTACATCTGTAGCTGCTAGAGAATGGGTAGAGCGCTCTTGAAGGTACGCTGTATTGCATGTTCAACTACGACTTCATCTCTGCAATATCTTCTTGTACTGTTCAACATCGCAAAGAATGAAGGACCCCTCGATCGTCTGAAATTGGACGTTCGGAGATACGCACCTCGGCCGGGCTTAGCGCGGATGGCACGTGAGCTCGCGTAGGCCTCGCTCATGGAATCCGAATCGCCGAGCTTTCTCCTCGACCATCACTTTCTGCGTGACGGCAATATGATCGACCGCTAACAGTTTATGATTGACACATGCACATCAAGGCATATCCAAGATGAATCCAGACCACGGTTACTATAATCAGTGGCCTGCACGGCAGCCGCCGAACAATAGACGATTCTTACCTGTCGCAGGTACCTTTGCAGATGGCGCGCCAAACTTGACTAGACCACAAGCGCAACCCAGCAGGCAGCAGTATCCAGTACAATTCCCACATAGTCAACAGATCTTTCCGCTTCATCCGGTGTACCAGCAGCCTCAGCCACATCCTCAATCTCAAATCCCACTGGCTCCACTCATTCCACTCAGTGCTGTAGAGGACCTGCAGCCGCCCGCCCCTTTCACTAGCGGTGCCTTTCAAGACCCCTTCAATAGGGCCTATGCCACTAGCGGTCCAGAGGTCTACGAGGGCTTCATACCGGCGCCAGGCCAAGAGGACGAAGATGAGTATCCCAACCTACCGACCGCCTTTCGTGATTCATTTTACCACGACCGCGACTTCCAGAGCTCTGATGAGGACGACGAATATGAACGCATGCGAGCACGGTTTGAGGAAGAGGAGGAGCTCCGCCAGATTGAAGAAAAAGACGATTCAGAAGTAGACAGAGATTATTCTGAAGAAGATGCGCAGCATGATGAAGGCGACCCAGACGAAATGGAACTGGCTGAAGACTTTGAAGATGTGGAGGAGCGTGTTCGGTATAAGAGAGGAAAGCCTAATGCGAGAGGTATGACGAGCATCATCGGCACGCCTAGCATGAAAGACGCACCCAGCGCCCGAGGCACGCGTGGCGGGCGGCGAGGTAGACCTCCAGGTCGAGGGCGAGGAGGACATCGTGGCTCTGCATCCACTCGCGGAGCTAAGAGTGGGAAACCTGGACGACCTAAAGGGCCTAGAGGACCTCGCCCAGTAGCTGATCCAGGGCCAGAGTTCAAGGAATTTCAGCGACAGGCTAACGAGAGGTTCATCGCTCAAGACTATAAAACCGCCCTCGAATATGCCCAAAAGGCTATTCAAGTGAATCCAGAGATCTTCGATGCCTACAATATTACCTCAGAAATCTACGCAGCGATGGGCCAGGAGGAGAACTCGATCGCAGCTCTCATTGCGGGTGCCCCAACTAAGCGTGATGCTGGTCTATGGCAGTTCATTATCGAGCGTATTAACAAGCTGGACCCAGACAAGTACCCAGAATATACCGAGGACGTGAAAACGGGGGCCATTCTCGGTTGCCTGAATTGGATCATACAACTCGACAGCACCACAGGCAACTATGAAGCTCGCAGCCACAAGCTCGAGATTGAAGCTCGTCTAGGACATGTATCCAAGTGCGTAGTGCTTGGCATCAAAATGCTCAAAACGCGCAGAGAGCAAAAAGAAGACCCAGATACCGAAGTCTTGAAGATCATTGCGATGATGGGCACATCATCAGCAAAGCAGACAAAGATACACCTCGAAAAACTCATCAAAAGCTTCGACGAGGCGATTGCAGTCTTCATGAGGCCACGACGAGACCCGCTCACCAGTGACCTAGACTGGGAGCTTATCAACATTTACCTTGACCTCTTGGACAGATCAAGGAAATATGACTATGCCGTTTCACGTCTCAAAGCCCTTTCGCGGTGGAAGCAGGGCAGGCGTAAGGAGGTGTATTGGGACGAACAGGACGATGATCGCGAGTTCGATATCGAGGACGAGCCTAGACGGGTTGCTGTCCCTCAGTTCATGCGAGGGTCACAGGATGCCAAGTACGGCCAGACGTTACCACTAGAGATTAGAGTCAAGTTGGGTCTCTTCCGGTTGCGCAGGAGCGCGGACGACTTTTCAGAAGCCATGGTAAGCGAATTCTGCCTATGCCGTCAAGTGCTAACCACACTAGCACCACCTCGAGATGCTCGGACCCGACGATCATAGCCCCAACGCCCTGGTGTGGGACTACGAAGACCTCTTCCGGATCATTGCCGATGCTCTTCACGCTACTGGCCACGACAAAGACGCCCTGCGTTTCTACGAGCCGCTGCACTCGATCAACTCACACGAGTTGAACTTGATGAGCTACATAGGCCTACATACGTGTTACAAGAACCAGGGAGAGGAAGAGAAGGCAAAAGACGTTGTTCCAATTCTGCAGAAATGGCCGGCTGAAACGTATGACGACCTTGCTGTTTTGGCGAAATTCTTCGAGGATCAAGGCATGTGGCAAGACGCCGCGCACCGCGCAGAGAGAATTTACCGCGACAAGTATGGTCACAAGCTGAAAAAGCTGGGCTTCAAGGCATACGATGAACTCCGGGAGTACCACTTCAACCAGAGAAGGCAGGCCCGGGGTAGATACGCCGTGAAGAAGAGAACAGTGAAGAGGAACCGGAAAATGATGAAAAAGGCCACACAGGGCGGCGAAGAGGATGATTCTGCAAACGAAAGCGCCAACAAAGAACTTCCTTCCCTTGGCCCGACCACCGATCGTCCCACCCAAGGTCTGTTTCGAACGAGGCGAGCAAAACCCCCCAAAACGCAAACCTTCCTTCCCATTCAGACCGATGCCGAGCCGGTGGTCGCTGTCGAACCAAGACGCACCACTCTCGAAGGTACAGACGTACCTTTGCAGGCGATTGATCACAGATTCTTCCGGAGGAAGCTTGAAAACCTGGCTAGTGAGTATGCCGACGATCTCAAGGCTGCCCGCGATCAGCACCGAGAAATCGCTTCCAGCTTCCAGCGGCTTGACGAAATATCGGACTTTGCAGAAGATGGAGATGAAGATGCAGTCAACGAAGTCCTTTCTATCACTCGAGAGCTGATCGAAGAGTACTCCACATTCGATCTATTCTATGCCAACAGGAAAGAAGACCTCAAAACCTACTTCCGACGCATTGGAAATGGAGATATATGGAAGGAGTCCGCGCTCATGGTGCTTGCCGTCGTGGCCAACAGTGTCGAAGATGGCGAGACAGACCCGGAGTTGCAGGAAAAGCCAGACGTAGCGCCTCAAGACTTCTGGGGTATACCTTTCGTCAAGTGGTGCGATGCGTTTGGCCGCTACGCCATCCTCCTCGCCCGCGAGGGAGACGACGAGCAATGCTTTGCCACTCTCGATATCGCCCTCCAATCAAACATCTTCCACCGCTCAAAGACATACCACCAACAGCTCCAACTATGCCGGCTTGCTTGCGCGCTCGCTGTTGACAACTCGAATCAAGCATCTCTCGCAGCTCGTTGGCTACTGAAGGCATATCCGTTCAGCACTGACCTTTTCCGTCTGTACAGCGCCGTCAACCGCCTGTGCTCCTTCCCTGAAGGCTTCGCCACCGGCCCCGCACACAAAGTCCTCATGCGGTATATCAAGACAATGGATTATGCCCTGCTCAGCCCAGAGCAGCGCGTATGGTACAACTTCCGAGACACAAAGGATAGCAAGGGTGGATTTAAGAATAATATGAACATTGAGGATGTGGGCAAAGTCAAGGACCACGATCCAGCGTTGTTCGCACTGCACGCGCATGTCCTCATGTGCGGTGGCTCCTACATGGCGGCCTTGAATTACTATTTCCGTGCGTTCGCCATCACCCCTGAGGACCCCGCTCTCAGCCTATCCATCGGCGTAGCGTACATCCAGCATGCGATGAAACGCCTCTCGGAGAACAGGCAGTACCAGATCCAGCAAGGGCTCGCATTCGTATACCGCTACTTCGAGCTCCGCACAAAAGACGACGTGGCTATACACTGCCAGGAGGCAGAGTTCAACGTAGGGCGCATGTGGCATGGGCTTGGTCTTGTTAGCTTGGCGCTACCTGCATATGAGCGCTGTATTGGGATGAGCAGGCGAGTTGAGCAGGAGGCGGAGGACCGATGTTCAGACGGGAGCTGGGCGCATGAGGATTTCGCGACAGAAGCCGCATTCGCCATGCAGAGCATTTACGCGGTGAGTGGCAACCTTGAGGGCGCTAGGAAGATCACCGAGGACGTGCTGGTCATTGAATGAGCTGGCGAGTGGGAAGTCGCGCCGTCGCCTCCTACGAATCGGCACGGACGTGTAACAGCTTCAATACACCCATCCATCTCGCACCCCATCCTGCCATCTCAGCGCGACGTGTATACGCCGTGTCCGCTTCACTGGTGGCTTTTGGCGTGCATACGGTGTCATGTTGCCACTGGCTTCTTCCACTGACCAGGTCGCCATGTGACGGGCTTGCGGCAATGACAGCCCACGAATCCCACGTCAAGCCACAAGGATTTCGCCAATCGTGCCAGACATTCGCCAATCGTACATGCAAGCTATCAAGAGCCATGCACACTGCGCCATGCATTTTTCCCATTTCGTTACCGTGCCTTGCATCGGCAGTCATCACAGCCCGGAGTACGTCGGCTTTGGTTGTTGATTCTGAAATGCGATCTAGCCTTGTATGTTATGCGGCGTCGTTGCGTGTTACAACGCCTTGGATGACTTTCTTTGCCTTTTCTGGGGGCTGCTACATCGGGTACTGAAGCAGCCAGCCAGCCATCCTTGCTTTCTCAACCCGGGTGCGTCGACGCACATTGCAACCCAATCCAAGTCGAGCTAACCATTCTTACTTGCACGGCCTTCACCCGCTTTCCAGCAGCTAGACCCCTTCTGTCATGCCTTGCTTTCTACTTCCACTTTGGGACAGTGGTTCAGTAATCACTTACGTGCGTCTTGTTGATCAACATGTCGTTGACCGGGAACGTCCTGACCAGCTACCTGTCTGTGACAGTACCACGTAGGACATCGAACGATATCAGTGCGACGCGGATCTAGTGTGACTACGGGTGCTTCACTAGCTGTGCGACTGCGTAGACTGTGTAGTAGGACAGGGTTGGTCATGCATGGTGCCGTTCGGACGATAGCAGCAATTAGATCCGAGAGGGTCGTGTAAGGCGGTAATCAAGATATTCACGTATGCAGATGGGAAACTTGCTCAATTCACATTAATCTAAAATCTAAAATCTTTATCAGGTCTTGCTTTTGAGTCCCGACATGCTACTTCCTGACGCCCCAAACGTCACCTCCCAAGCCCACCACCTTGCCACCCGCTTCCATCTCGCCCAGCAACCCCTTGACCTCGTCGATGCCAAAAGGAAAGCCGCCCTGCACCATCATCCGCATCATCATCGCGATACGCTGGACCGGCATGTTGCCCTGATTCGTAAGCATGCCTACAATAAACGCCGTGTAGATGTCCTTTTTCTCGCTCAGTAGGTCGGACTGGGACTTGACGGCGTTGGTTTCCGCGGCCTGAACCGCGGCGAGTTCTTCTGCGGCGGCGGCGGCCTCGTGGTCCGCGTTTGCGAGGGTAGATTTGGAGGGGAGTTTCTCAATGACCGCGTACGTGTCGTGCGAAACCTCTCGTAAGACGGACTTGCCGACCCAGAACGCGAGCGCTTGTCTTACTAGCCCTTCATCCATCTCTAGCATCTCTTCCAACTGCTGCACGTTCCTTGCTACACCCTCCCCCCCTTTGCCTGCTCGCTTCTTCGCGGCATGCTCTTCGCTGGGCTGCGGCTGGAATGCGTACACGACGCTGATCTGCCACGAGGTGAGGCGGTCAAACTCTTCTGTCCTGTCGTCGAAGTCAAGAGTTATAGATCCTTCGCCGAGGGCGTCCATCCACCGCAGTTTCCGCATGCCTTTGATGCGTTCGAAGCGCGACTCGTACTCTTTCTGCAATGTGTCGATTTGTGCGGGGACGCGGAACGTGTCGTCGCGCAGGAGGGGCCAGAAGAAGGATGACAGGATCTGCGCGTTGAGGGTCAGACTGACAGGCTGCACCTGGCTGGATGTTGAGGGTGCTAGGTGTGATGTAGCTGTAGGTCGGCGAGGTCGAGGCGTGCGGGGACGTAAGCCTTCTGGTGTTTGAGGCTCTCTGCTGCGACGATCAGGCGTGGCGAGGGCGGGAGATGTCGATGAGGTGATAGTCGCGCGAATGGACGCGTTGATGCGATTCGAGTCGAGCACGTCTCGTAGCATCACCTCGCACGCCTGCATTTTGTCGTCTCCCAGCCGTAGCTTGATGAGCTCGAGCAGCCGAATCTCTCTCTCATACTCCGGATCCTGACACCGGAGCAGATGATCTCCAAGAATGTTTCTCAACTCGTTGATGAAGTCGTCACGCTCCCAGAGCGTTAATAGGAACCAAATGACATCTTCGACTTTTGACTTCTTGTACTCTGGTGACGCATCTTGTGGTAGCGGCTGCCAGTTCATATCGCCCCAGTTGAGCTCCTCGTCTGCTTCTTGTCCGTAGTTTGCAAAAGGCTGCGCCATCTCGCTGGCAATCTCATATGACAGCTCGCTATTAGAAGAAAACTTGCTACCCGTCTCATCGCTGAGATCAGTGAGCAGACTAGAAATGATAATCCGAGCGGTGTCCTCTCGCTCTTTCAAGTACCGTCGGATCGGCCTCGCTACTCGCTCGAGGAGCACGCCCTTTGGCTCGAGCTCGTGGAAGGAGCGAATGATCGATATATAGATATTCAATATGTAAGTCGAGGTTGCTCCAGGGTGTAACAACCGCCTCGATATTTGCTGTGAAAAACTGGAAGTAAGATGCTGTTTCGCGCCCGCAACATTCAAATACTCTTTGATGTCCAAAATGGCACCCAAGCTCTTGTGCCAATTGATGACAAAATCAAACAAGCTGTCGACCCTGGCGCGCCCCAACCTGCCCAGCGCCATTTCTTGCCATGCAGACACTTCCGTCGGCAGAATGCTGCTCTGCTCGCACCTCAAGCACTCCAGTACTAGCTCGACGAGCGGGCAGAAACCATCTTGGATCCACATCTTCAGGTGCGGCACGATGGACTTCTTGGAGTACCAGTCCACCTTCAAGTAGTGACTAGTGATGAACGAGTCGAGTAGCTTGTTCATGGCGTGTGCGAAAGCTTCTTGCGCGCTGTCACCTCCAAGGCCGACTCGCTCCAGGCCTTGCAAAAGCGTGGTCATTCGCTGGCGGAACTCGCGCGTGTTCTCTGGTGTCATTCTTGGCTGGATGCCATCATGCCGTATATAGATGCGGAACAGTCTACATCCTGCGTCATATAGGACATAACTAAGGGACTTTGTGTATCGTTGTGAAGGTAAACAGTGCGCGAATATAGCGTGCAAATCCCGTCGAAACTTCCAGGGGGCAGCATCTGCCGAGTCTTCGATCATCTGTGTAGGTCTGCGCGGTCGGACAGTGCTGCTGCTCGTATCCTGCTGTAGATAGGGCAGTATATGCTCAAGGAAGGGTTCGAGATACACTCCCTGCACGTGTTCGAAGGCTCGTTGTGTTTCGTCGAGAATGTCCCAGGAATGTTCCAGCTCGATCTCTTTCCTCCAAAGCTGCTCCAACCCAGCCCTGATGTGTTTCGCAAAGTGTAGCCGGCACTCATTGGTGTACCACTGCACAAGTCCTTCTTCCTTGCCATCTTCGCTCCTGCCCTCGCCGACCAACAGATAATTCAGTGCCTCTACGACCTCCCTAGTTCTTTGCGGTTTCGGGGCGAGCGATGAATTCTTTGGTAAACTCAGGAATCTCGTTGCGCAACTCCATGCCAAACCCCGCTTGACTGCTCTATGTTGTCCCTGTCCTTGCGCCTCAACATTCCGTCCTGCATGTGGGCTTCCAAACGAGCCACCGGGCGCCGTATACCCTAGGTCCGGCGTCGCAATCGGTGTCGGAGTCGTGTGCGAGAGCGCGAGGACGGGGAAGACGGACGCGAAGACTAGGGTCGAATGGTCCATGGCACGGAGGTGCTGCGGAGCCCCGCTCTGCAATGGCTAGCGAGGCTGTAGCCCGGGAGCTCAAGGGCTTATGGACGTGAAAGTGACGATAATCGCACGCGGGAAAACATGGGGGATCTTATCAGTTCGAACAAGGTTGATGGACGGTTACGTTCAGTACTGTCGTCTGTTTGGGCTGTGTTGCTGGGTCGCGATCACCTCGAAGCAGAGCTTGGGCCATGCGCAACGCGAAAGCACGTGTGCGCTCATTCACGTCAACCCTCATCAATAGGGACACAGTAGGCTTGACATCACGACAAGGATACGAGAACCCGGGACTTTAGTCTTGCAATCATTGCAGTCGACACCCGCGCTTAGGCAGAAGTCGAAGATTCCTACGTAATAGAAACTACGGGGTAAATAAGTAGTGAAAGCAATAGCATAGCCCGGCGCCATACGTAGTGCCCAGACTTGGAGATCTCTGATCAGAGTAGAAACCGAGGATATTGCCAGAATAACGCCATCCCGCACCATACCGTTTTCCCAAACGCACAAAATGCCAGCATCAAATAACACCTTGAACCCACGCCGCCACATTACGGCCTTAGCACACCGTGCCGCCGCCTAAACGCCTCGACTCGCTCTTCATAGAACAAAATCTCCCTCACCCTCAGTTTCGGTCCCTTCTGCGAGTCCTGCATGAAGGACTCATCGTCACTCTCCGCATCAACCTCGTCGCTCGCCTCGCTTTCCGTCTCATCTCCACCTCCAGCTACAGCGCCATCAACCATGTCTTCGTCATCTTCGTCTTCTGTAGCTTCACTCTCGTCGTCCGACAGCATGGGGTCGTTCGCGACAAACCCGGACCCGCTGCCGTCAGCGTGCATGCCTTCGTGCCGGAGGTCGTAATTTGAAGGTCGGTTTTCTAAAATCTCAAAGCACTTGGTCGACAAGCCCATGTAGCAGAGCTCAATTTCCGGCCGTAGGTGCACGATGTCGAGGATCTGGTAGGCTAGTTCGCGCGAGTCGATGTTGCTTCCGTGCGCGTGGTCAGCGATGAAGGGGATATACAGAGAGCGGATGTGAGGAATGTATGGGAGGCGCTGGAGGAAGTGGTGCTATCATAAGTGTCAGTCATATCCTGCAATCTTTTTCGCCATGGCTTACCCAGTCTTTGTAATCAATCGACACCGCGAGTTCCCGAAGGCTGCTCATGCGTCCGCTTGTAATGAAGGTAAGAATCTCGCGGTTCAGCATCCACCGTCTCCATCTCGAGCTTGTAGTTGTATGTCCATCGGGCCCCTTTTCGCCGCTATCAATCATCAACTTCTTCAAACTTGCCCGATGCCTTCGCATGGGTCCCCTGTAGATTGCATCCACTGTTACTGTAGATGAGTAGGACCGGCCCTCCTGCAGGAACAGTACTTCCAAACTGTTGGGCGCTAGCGTCTCCTTCAAGAATGAAATTAGGGAAGGCGATACCGTGTTTGTGTGTATTCGCTTGAGATTGAGTTGGTATTCGGATCGAAGTGTGTAGGAGGCCTTGTACGCTTTCGACGCGGATGGCGAGCCGGAATAAGCGGATCTAGGGGTATATGTGCGCCGCAGAACCTTCCATAGCTGTTCATGATTGCTACAGTGCAAGAGGGTCAGAGTGGATAAAATGGACCAATCGAACGCTCTGCGTAACACTGAGACTGAAAGCGGGACACGTTCGAGCTCCAACACTTCAAGCTTCAACTTGCCGTTCAGTAATGGCTCTGGAGACTCGGGTGTTACGTCCTTCGAGCCAACAGGTTCACTATCAGACGGAGGGGCGCTGGGTTGTTTCGACGGTGTTTTCTCTGGGCTTGCTGGTGAGGCCAGTAGTCCAGCACCGACTGGCTGACTTTCGTTGAAGAGACTGACTCCTTCAGGCACGGTTGTTTCATTCATTGGATTTCCAAAGTGGTCGACGTCCGGCTCTGTTTCTCGACTGTGCAATGACAGCGAAGCTATGGAAGGCAAAGGGTTCGACATTGTTGGCTTGACTGGTGTTGCCTCTACTGGTCGCTCTGTGACTCCAGCACCACCAGATATCTGAGGGTGCGACTCCTCGGAGTGGCGCATGTTATGTATCCGCCCAACGAGAATGCCCAAAACACCTCCAAGTCTCTTTTCGCCTAATGAGCTGGCCGCGGTCGTTGAGACGCTATAGTCCACTTGCTGAAGGCCATCGCCTTCCCACACTGTTACCCAGTCTCTCTGCTGTGCGTGAGGTGCAACACCGACCCGTAGTTCCCGTAACTTCTTCTGCGATCTCGCAATCAGAATGCTCATTTCGTCAAGATATGGCAACTCGTCAATGTCCAAGACGCTCAAGCTCTTCAGTGCTGGGATAGCCGAGAATGTGGGGTGTTCGACACGATCTAGTGCAGAAAGACTGCTCGGTGCATATTGTTGAGGTACAATGACAGGAGGCTGAACGGTGCCTAAGCCGCTCGGATGCGTCGTATTAGGGGGCGGTGGCAGATTTTGGTTATTGAGTATCATGGGCGGGGCGGGCGGAGGCATTGGCGCATCAATAGTGTTGTCGTGCCATCGAATCCAGAGGCGCTCCAGTCGGCATTCCTCGTTATCGCTGCGGTACGCGAGACTAGACAGCGCAAGCCATACATCGCGAAGGACTCCGGTAGGCATGTCCCATACGAAGGTTTCGAGGTTGATCATGCGCGCAATTGCGAGCGCTACCAGGGTTCCAAGCATCTTTCCGCCTTCTTTCGTGATCATGTACTCCTGCACCCATGCTTGTGGCCCATTGCCCAGCGAGAACTTCTTGGTGAATTGCCCATAGTAGTTGCCAAATCGGCGCGGTGGAACGGGGTACGGTGTCGGGGCAGGGTTCGCCAGCGCATTCGACGCGTTTCCTTGCTGCCTCAGCCGGGATTGGTGGGGGAAGCAGTCATAGCCCATGACCAGTGTTGCCAGTCCGTACGTGAGCGCATCCACGCCTGACCGCGGCTCGGTATGGGTGCTTTCGTCTGGCCATACAATGTCGAAGCGCGAATAGATGCATGGAATGGTGAGTCGGTGGAGAGCCGAGTGGCAGAGGCAGAGAGATGTGAGGTCGTTTGTGTGTGGGAGCTGTTGGGGTCCTTTTGGTTAGCCTACGTAGGGCCTACTACGCCTCTGCCATGGCGCAAGGAAAGATGCTGACTAGAGTATGGAGCTTGCACGCACCTGGTGTATGATTTCTTTAAGAATATCCACCGGTAGGTCCAGCAGTTTTAGTGGTCCCTTTGCTGCCTTCTCTTTCCCTTTCGCAGCCGCTGTCGTAGCCGTAGCCGTCGCTGTCACCGGCTCACCCGATGGAAGGGCGCTCACAGCACTTGCCGCCGCCGGATGATTCCTCCACACCGTCTCAGTCTCTGTTTGCGTCGTCATCGTGTGCGCATCGTCCGGCGAGGGCGTAGTCGAGCGAGCGATTTCCTCTTCGGAGGGCAAGGGCGTGGTGGCCCTAGGGGTGCCGGGAACAGAGAGCGGAGAGGAGGCCATGCTGGTCAGCGAGATGATGGCCAGGACTGCTGAGATCCATACAAGCTTCCCGAGCGAGAGAAGCCAAGCAAAGAGACAACACACCGGGGTGCGGCTCTCGCGGTTGCTAGGTGAGGCTTGACAACGAGACCTGTGAAGTCGCAGCGTACGGGTCCGACCAATCGGTAGGGTTGGCCGCGTTGGCCAAGAGACCCTGATCACGTCCGCCTTACACGTCTTCGGCAGATCTCTCTCCTACTATCCATGCCAAAGGAGAGAAAAAGTATTACAACATTCAATCAACGTGGGGGGTATATAGTTATTACATGGTGAGTGATGATATTAAAACTATTTCATCCAGATCGCATCTACGCTCCCAAACACAATCCTGGCACGTGCATGCATACCTCCATGATGGCCATGTTCGATCAAACGTCGCAAAGATGATGTGAAATCATGGCCGTCATAATAGCCCTGACGCCTCAGCAAGCGGGTATAACAAATCATAAACTCCGTGGCCCCAGACAATGCCCGTCTAGATCCATGCCAAGCGCGGTCGCAATTCACAGAAACAAAGCCGTTCTCTTTCTCACCGTTTGCCTCAGGTGCGGCGAACGTTCAGCGCCGTCTGCCCACGCTCAGGATCGCTCATTTTGATAATCTTGACATCAGACGTCTGATTGACATTGTTCATCGATTGCGGCGTAATGAAGATGAACTGTCGACCGATCGAACGCCGCGCAGCTTGAATGATCATGTGCATGCTCCTCTCGCGGTTGACGCTGTCCATGAAGACATCGCTATATACGTCAGTCATGATCAGGAGGGCATGTGCAGGGATGCTTACAACTCGTCGAGGCAGCGAATGGGGGAGCCCATGGCATCCCAAAGTGAGAGCAAAAGACAGACGGTCGAGTACGACTTCTCGCCACCGGAAAGCGTTTTGGTCTGCCTCCCATCTCCGCTTCGCTCCATGATGTCCGGTTGGACCTGTTGAGTCAGCACCAGGGCGAGAGGACTGAATCCTTTGTACTTACATGAATATCAAGGAGCCCTTTATTGTGGTCGATCATGAGTGAACCGCGGAATTTGCGCTCACTAAGGAGGTAGCTAAACGTGACCCGCGCTCTTACAGAGATTCCCGACCTGAATTGCTTCCATCGGTTGCGCCGGTTGTTCAGCGTGTTGATGAGATGCTAAACAAACATTAGCCATGCTTCGAACATGGAAAATATACTTGACTTACATTGCGCAGGTTCTTAATGTCCTCAAAATCTTGCATTGCATTTTTGTGCGTCTTCTTTGCTTCGTTGGCCAGTCGTAGGAGTTCGTCCTGTGAGCCGCCCAGCTCTTTCTCAGTCTCGCGCCTGGTTGCCCTGAGTTTCTTGAGTGTCTCCAGCAACTGCTCGGAGGTCTTGCCATGCGGTACGGCTACACGTTGCGGACAGATGCTTTCCACCTCCTTGGTCGCACTGTCAACATCACTTTGAGCTGTCCTCACGTGTTCCGCCCAAACATCTCTATTCTCCTGGGCAGCCGCAACCTGGGCTATAGCGTGATTCTTCTTTTTGAGCTCATCTTCCCGTTGGCCTTGCAGCTTGCGGACCGTAGCGTGAGCTTTTTCGAGCTTGAACTCCAAGCCTTGGACAGCGCGTTGCGCATCCTCCATCGCTGTCTTGTTGGTGCGGGCCTCGGCATTAAGCTTGTCGCGTTGTAACACCATATCTTCGAAGACGCCTGAGATGCGTTCAAACTCTTCTTGGGCTTTGGTAAGCGCGTCCTGGAGGACCTCGATGGCTGCTTCATCCGGAGTAGCCTCGCTCAATTCTCCCTCCAGTCGATCTACTTTATCTTGAGCTTTCTGGAAGCTGACTTGGAGAGTCTTCTTCTGCTTCTGGTGGTTCTGCTGCTGAGCGCTGCAGGCATTAACGCGGTTCACGACATCCTGGCATGTTTGCTTAAGATCATGCACTTCCCGTTGAACTTGTTCAAGACGCTCTTGCTCTTCTCTATATGTATGATTAGCATACAAGTCTTGGGGCTGTTCGAGGAACGTACCTAATTCGATCTTCTTTATCTGCTTGCATGCGCAACACTCCCCGATATTCATCGATCGGACTATCATTGATACCGCCATTTGACGTGAAGTTGATCACTCGACCTCTCCGTTTGTCACCATCTGCAAAGGTGAAGCACATCTTGACATTTCTTGTCGGCGGTCCACGGGCGTGCATGAATCTTGAGCCTTCGGTCCGGTCTTCGATAAGTACTGTCTGTTCAAATCCTTGGTTGATGATGAATTGATTCCGAACAAGATCATCCTCGATCTAGTAGTGTCACTGTCAGTCGAATGGCCCTTGACATTCATTGAGCAAGGCTATGCTCACTTTAACAGCTCTCATCCAGGTTAACAGCTCAGACCCGGGTTCGTTCTGCGTCGTGTCGATGGGGTTTCTATTGCCGATGTATATGGGAGAATGCCTGGTGTGAATTAGATGGGAGAAGCCCCTGACTTTCTCTAGTACGTACCAGTTCAACTTTCTCATCAGACCGGTAAGGATGGCTTGATCCGCCTTGCTGGTGACTACGAAGCCATTCAGGGCTTGACCGAATTGTTTTTCCAAGATGTAGCCCCATTCCGAACGCAATAGCTTGACATGGCGGCCCATTGGCCCAACAGGTTGCTCTCGAAACCTGTGGTCGGACTGAATGGCTCGTAGTAACTTGTCCAACCCCCCCGGATTCGGGTAGCCGTCTATCCAGTTGCCTTGTCCCTGGCGAAGACCGTTGATATTGCCTTGGATGCGCCTTTCATCATCGCGCGCTTTTGCCAATTTCTGATCGGCGATCATCTGCTCCTTTTTGGTAGTCTTCATTTGGTCTTGCAGCACCGGAAGACCACTGTCATGGTTGGTGAACAAGTCTTTCGCTCGCTCGGATTCACCCTTGGCCTCCTCAAGTTCGCGGACTTTCTCCGCGTATACACCATCATCAGCTTCGACTTGGCGCCGGCGAAGTTGCTCGATCTCTGACTCGTAGTTGTTCACCTCTTTCTTCTTTGCCTTTACATCCTCGCTAATTGTCCGCTCATCAGCCTTGAGTGTCAAGATCTTTTCTCTCGATTCCTTAAATTGAGCATTTGCGTCCTTTTCATGTTGTTTTGCAGTTTGTAGCTCAGTTGTGATTTCAGTCACGTTCTCTTTGGCGGTCTGATGAGCCTGATCGGCGCGTTCGTAGCACTCCGAGACTTCGTTTACGATTCTCGTCCTTTCTTCAATCAAGAGATCAACTCGTTGGACCTCAGCTTCTGCTTTGGCTAGCTCAACCTCTTCCTGCTGGACCCGCGCCCAAGCTGCTTGATGAGCAATTTCTGTCTCCTTGGCTCTGATCCTTTCCAGGTTCTCAGCGCGTCGAGCTTTGCCAGCCAAATCCTCCATTCGCTTTCTGAGGACCCCCAGGTCTGCCTCCTTGACTTCTGCTCGGGCATTCATCAATTCTAACGACTGCTCGATTTGTTGGTAATCCCTATTCAGATTTTCGAGCTGTGTACCCTGGAGGAAAAACTTGTACTTGTCTTTCGGCGTGGAGTTGTTCAAGAACTGTCGTGCCATATCCTGGGTTAGCACGTTCATTGGATTGTCGATCTGCATTGAAAAAGCATCGAGAATATCCTCCAGTTCCGCCTTCTTTGTCGAAACAACCCTGCCATTGAGATCCTTGAGCTTGAATCCCGAGGTGCCAGATTTGCTAAAGTGTCGTTCGACGATGATCGAACCGCCATATTGCAGAGGCTTATACGCAAGCGGGCCTTGGTTCTTGATGCGAACCGTCACAGTGGCATGTTCTCTGCCCTCCTTGATCAAACTCTTGAGGTTCTGTGCACGGTTTGTTGCCGTAGCTTTCCCGCCCAGGCATATAGTGAGGGCTGTAAGCACCGCGCTTTTACCGCTACCATTGTGGCCGATGATGAAATTGATCAGAGGCCCCAGGGTTACTGTCAAGTGCTCGTGACACATGAAGTTGATGCACTGAATCTCCTCGATGATGCCAGAATCCGTCGCCACGTTTTGTTTGTTCGCAGTCGCCTGAAAGTCTTGCTGCACCTGCTGTGTCGCCCATGCCATTTGCTCGTGATCTCGGGCTTGGTCTCGTTCGCTGTCGGAGGCGTCGCTATCACTTGATACATTAGACCGCTCGTCGATGGAAGATTCCTCGCTGCTGTCCGGCGCAGAAGGCCTCGGCCGCTTGTTCTAAGATCTATTCGTTAACAAACATATTGACATGTTGGCGGAGATGACCTACGCGACGGCTGCCGCCTACACCTCCAATGGAATCTAGGCCGTTCGTCATAGTGCGAGGACGCTTCGCAGACATGACCGCAGCCATATTTGCGGTTGCGAACGAACGTCGGACAGCGCAAGGGCAGTGCTGAAAGTGTGTGGTTGAACGTAGCGGGAAGTAATTCAGGACGCGCTCCTATCCCCGCTAGCGTTGGGGTACGTCCCGTCTGTGCACCATGAACCACGGAATCACTCTCACTTCTGAGGTGCCATGACAACTTGCAGGGTGCATATAGGCAAACTATAGTACCGAGGTTAGGCAACACTCACAATCCGACACCAAGCTTGGCTATATGTATGCCGCAGCTAATGTCGTTACATGGGGGAGGGGGTCAGCCCCTCGTGGCACCACGTGATAACGCGTTTAGAAGACGTGTTCTTCACTGACGCTGGCGAGATGCCACAAGCACCGTCGTCAAAGCGTCTAGTTGTGGCGGATGAGGCGTTCTCTCAATTTCCAACATCTTACGTCAGGAGCACGCCCTATATCAGACAGACATGCAAAGATAGTACAAGGAGGGTATATATGGTGTATATAGGCCTAAACGGGTAATGTTCAATCACGGACCTTGTACAGTCGTATAAGTCAAGGCTTTACGCCGATCCTATACAGTCTGTCGGGATCATCAACCATCTTCCATTCCTTCTACGCTATACCAAAACGCCGACGATGGACACGGCTTCCAACAGGGGGTATACAGTTAGGAAAATAGCAAATCACTTAAGCCGGTCAATATGCAAGATCTCGACCAAACACACCCGCTATGCAAACGTCATCCGAACCGACGGTACTCAAAATTTACATGACGACCTAATAGACTGTCAGCATATACTCTGTAATGTAATCAAGTTAGACTCACACAATCGTTTTCTTTTGGTGCCTGTCCGATACCCATCTCATCGAAAGTCTTCGGCCCGTTGCCCGGTGTTCCTGACTTCGCTGGTTTACTGGCTTGAGCGGGAGCAGGCTTGGAGACCTGTTGCTGCAAAGTTGGTACTTTGTTCGGCTTGGGCATGGGGGCTTGTGCTGATGGGCGGCCAGCTGAACCTGGCCTAGACGATGGACGAGAGCTCTGACTTGGTGCAGTAGTTGAAGGCCTGTCCAGCCGCGAAGATGTCCTGTTCTCTTGTCCAGGCTGCACGGTTGAAGGCCGCGTGTGTTGCCGGGGTTCGAGGGGCGCAACGAAGCCAACATCGGGTAATGTAGGCTGCTTCTTGAGTGGGGTGCCTTGTAGTTTCTGTAGCTTGGTCCTTCCTGCATCTGGGGCGCTGAACCCAATGTCTGGAGGCTGTGTTGTGGATGGGTAGCTTTGAGGCTCGGGGCGCTGAGCACTTGGACCACTAGGCTGTCTGTAGTTACCGGGTCCTCCAGGTGGCAGAAGAGCACCACGTCCGCCGCTTGAGGCACGTCCACCACGTCCCGGACCCATCTGGTCCACACTGCTGTGGGGACGCAGAGGTAGCGGGGCCATATCACTTCCAGGGCCTGGTCGGGGCCCCCCACGCCCGTAAGGGTCGTTTGTTGGATAGATGTTCGGGTTGATGCTGAATGACGAGGATGCAGGTCGAGTGCTCGCGGCTCGGACCTCTGGTACAAATCCGCCGGCCATGCTTGGACGTTGCGGTCCTAGCCGTGGCGGTCCATTATCCATGGGGTAAGGCGCTGCTGTGGCAGGACGTTCGTAGGGCGCCGAGGTAGGCTGGTTTGCGAGAATTGGTGGATTATCAGAGATAGGGTAGGGAGTGGTTGAATCACCTCGATTCGGCATTCTACTCGTCGCAGGCGATGCCTCTGATCCATAATCTGAGGGACTGTTGTCGCTGATAGAAGGCAGAGAAGGTGCCTGAGCTTTTTGTAGTCTTGCTGGTCGCTGTCCGCGCATCGAGCCGTGTTTTGACTTGATCATATTGATTGCGACGTTCTCATGATCCTTCTTTGACAACGTCCGCGATTTGGAAATGCTCTCTATACGGGCAGCTGCATCCTGGTTGCCGCTCTTTTCTGCTTTCTCGTACCACTCAAGCGCCTTGTCAACATTGACTGGGGTGTTCATACCAATCTCGTGGAAGTAGCCCATCGCAAACTCCGCCGTAGCAAGCCCTCCTGACGCTGCACGCTGTGCGTACTGGTAGGCCAGATCCTCATTCTTAGCAAATTCACCTTCGTGGCCGCAGAGGAACCATTTGCTGATAGCCATATCCGCCTCCGGTTCGCCTTGTCTCGAGGCGAGCGCGTTGTAGTGCAGCGACAATGTGGGATTGAACTCACAGCCCAGGCTGCAGAGTTCGTATGCGGAGCCCATCTTGAGCTGGGCTTTTGCAAACCCAAGGTAGGCGGCCTTCTCGATGTTCTGTCTCGCAGACTTCTCATCATATGGCAAAAAAACCTCAGGAACATTGATCTGAGGCAACTCTCGCGCTTGAAGCATACCGAGGACGTAGGCGCCCTGTGGGGCATTCTCATCCGCCGTGGACGCAGCCTGGCGAATCAGCTGGATTCCCCTGGCGAAGTCCTGTTGCTGTCCGTGTTGGCCGAGTAGAGTCATCATGCCCAGGCGGTAATTCGACGCAGAATCGCCCTGCTCTGCACCGGCCTGGTAGTGCTGAAGAGCTTTGATAGGGTCGTTCGACTGCTCGAATTGCATACCCATCCGATAGTTTGCTCGAGCGTACCCCTTGGCGGCCGCGCGCGAGTAGCACCGGAAAGCCTCCTTCTTGTCCGCCCGCATACCGAACTTGCCAAACTCGAGCCACATTCCCCTCATGAACGTAGCCTTGGGATGGTGTTGGTCTGCCAAGAAGGTGACCACATTCAGCGCATCTAAGCGAAGTTGATGCTCGACCTGCGGTGTTGCGGGCCTCGCACCTTGTATCTCTGCTATTCGTTGTTCATGTACTTGGGCAGCATCTACGTATTGTAGTGCGTCCTGTGCCCATGCCAGCTGCATCTCCGGGTCATTCGAGTTGAGCACTGGCAGCCGCGCATTTTCCAAGACTGCTTCTTTCTCGTCATCTGACGGCGGCACGTTCGGGGGCTTGTTTGGGAGCTTGGGGAAAGGCGAGAAGTTCGGGGACTCGTGGTTTTGCGCGAATTGATTGTAGTCGTGCGACGGCTGCTGTTGCTGTACGGGCTGAGGTTGCACATTCGGTGGTTGCCGAAACGCGGAGGAAATGCTCGCCTGCCGTGCTGGCCATGACTCTGCCTGCGCAGGAGGTTCGTTTTGGAAGCTCGACTGGCGTGGTGGGAAGTTTTGCTGCGACTGGTTATAGCCCTGGGTTGGCGACATGGCGCCGTTCATGCCGCGAGGCCCGTTGGCTTCCAACTCAAGATAGGCAATGTTTTCCTGCATGTTTTCAGGCACCTCGGGCATTATGCTACGGGCCGCCAACGGCCAACGTTAGCTACAATTACAAGACGTGTCCTATCGGGCATAGACGAACCGTTGAGGCGCTGGCGAGATGACCTCAGGCGAAGGCGCCGGCATATAATAGTCATCGAAACCGCCAGGGATAAACGTCGCCCCCAGCTGGGGATGGCCCTGCTGGTAGGTCATCGTCGGCGTGGGTAGGTGGTCTTCTGCGTGAGGCTTTAAGGAATCTCTGTCAGCCTTTGAGCAAGAAGAAAGAATGCTTGCTGCTGACTTGGATGCCGCGAAAGCACGCCCTATGAAGCGGTCCTGGCGGTCGCTGAGTAGGCCGAGTGACGCGCAGGGCAAGGAAAGATGGCACAGTCTACTTGCCTTGCACCTTGGCGGGGTATTCTGGAACCCTGGGGCGCGTCACCACCACCTTTCCGGAAGTCCTTGTGACCGATCGGATACTGTATTCGAGATACGTAGGTGGTCTTCGTGTTGGGTCCGGTACTGTCGCGAAGGATCGAAGATGGCGGGGCAGCGGTTGAAAGGCTACAACAAGACCCCGGAAGGAGAGACTCCAAGTGCTGGAGAAGGCTGTTTGCTACTGAGACAGCAACTGAGAGTGACTGGAGCGTTCTAGGATGCTGTATGTGAAAGGGGAGGTGTTTGACTTCGAGGCCCGACTTATTAGCTTCTCGACATGGCGCACATGCAGGGTCACCAGGAGGAGCGTAGACGATCCTTGAAAGCGCCCGTCATCACGGGAAGGTAGCCGCGCGCCCAAGCCATTACCTTTATAAACATTCGAGCCTGTCGACGCGTCGGGCGTCCAGTCTTTGCGTCTACGAGCAGTGCTGCGCCATTCACGCTCTTGGAGGCTGTGTTGTGACGACGTCGCTCAAGCCACCGCTTTCGGCGCGGTTAGGCCCACTTTGTGTCTTGCGCATACCTAGGTGGCCTTGACCGCCCTATCAAGCCATGGGGCTACGCTTCGGGCTGAGGTACGTGGAGATGAAGGTTTCCAGCGTGCACATCCTTGAGTCAGCTTTGGCTGGAGCGGCCATGTCGCCCTATTGATCTTCCTTTGGCTTCGCCAACCCGGTACGCTTTGTTTCAGCGTTGTGTGTACATGTACTCGCACCCTCAGCGAGCAGGAAACGAGATATTGATGAGATGACGCGGCAGTAAGCCGTACTATGTTTTGATCATGTCCGTACGGGTAGATGACGCGTAGTCACGTACTATAGCTACTTGTTGTCACCCAACTTGAAAAGTCCGTGATGAAAATCTGAGTTGGTATATATTTCATGCTCCTCAAAGAGAACTGCGCTCGTAAACTAGACCAAGGAATCAGATGGCTAGCATGTGCGTCCTACAGCAAGACCGTCTCCCCTAACGCATGATTTAGTGAACCATGACATCTGCGCCGTGCTGCTGCTGAACGCCGGCAGGTTTTTGCTGGGCTTCCTTGTCACCATTGGCAGCACTGGCCTCAGCATCGTCCATCTCCATGTCATCCTCACCACCCTCTTCGCCCTCTTCCTCGTCGTCCTCCTCGGAATCCTCAATGTCGATTTCCTCGCTCCCAGCCTCAGACTCGGCGTCTTCGTCGTTGGCAGGGCCTGCAGTATCCTCCGCACCTGCCATAGCAGCATCCTCGCCTTCAACAACGGCACCCTCTGCTTCTTCCTCTTCCTCCTCTTCCTCTTCTTCGATGCCGTACTGGTCGCCGTCTGCGTTGAGGTCGGCCTCGGGTTGCTCAGGGGGGAACTCGGGCGGCGCAGATTCGTCAGAGTCCCTGTCCTAGTTAGCCTGACATAACGAATGGATCCCCAGTAGTAACACTGACCACTTGATCGCAAAGCGCGTGACACGCGGCTTCTCCGCCAGGATTTGCCTCTGCACCTTCTCAATGACGGGCTTGGTAGGCGGGTCCAGTGCTAGCGCCTCGTCCGTGTACTCGTTGTTAACATAGTAGCCCACGCGCACAAACTCTCTGTCTTCATAACTACAGCTCAGCAGAATCACAGTTACGCCAATGATTTCGCTGTTGGGGATGCGCGATAGGTCCGGGGGGTCGGCGCGAAAGACGAATTTATTGACGCCAATAGGAAGCGGTCCAACAAGGACGGAGTCGAGCTCCTGGTCGTACTCGTTTCTACGACAGGTCACTTCAAGGCCGACGCCATGCGCTAGCTTTGGAGGGCACTTACGAGGTAGCAGAGCCGACGTAGGTCAACTTCCACTCGAGGTCTGCAATTTAGGTTAGCAACCCATCGCGCGAAAACGGCATGTGCGCTCACCCTTCTGCAGCTGCTCAAGGCACTCAAAGGTAATCTCAAATTCATAGGGCTCGTCGAAGCGCGCTGGGTTGTTCTTGACCTCGACGCCGAGCAGCGATACGACAGACATCTTGACGTCTACTTGAATTGGAGACGGACAGCGGAGAAGCGGTGAGTTCGACAAGGAAGCTTTTGACGGCGTGCTGAAGTGCGAGGGTGTAGAGGATTGTGGTTGAAAAGCAAGGCAGGAGAGCAGCAGAAGAAAGGTGTGTTTACTAGGTGGCGGTGAGGGCCGTGCGAGTGTTCGATAAATCGTAGCGGCGGTAACAATCGGTGGATCGTCCTAGCCTCGCGAGACGCGTACTAAAAAGAACACGTGCCCAGGCGTTTCGTGACGCGTTCTGGCCCAACTGATATTGCATTTCGCATTGCTTCGTTATTGTAGAACCGATGAACTCAGTTGAACCAGAACAGGATGCGAAATGCTGCTACGCAATGGCCGTACATCAACGCGGGCAGTCACATCATTCTAACGCATACCTAGGTAGCCCGCAGCTCCACACTACTCTGCTCAGACCATGTGCATCGCTGACGGTGCCGTATACGTGATTGAAGAATTGTCGAAGTTGCACAGAGAAACTCACTCTATGGCAAGGAATAACCTGACACTGCAGAACGTCGCTTTTGTCGACACGGTGGCTTCGCCTAAGACTGGGCTGCTCTCGGGCTACTCCACTGTAAGCGACGCGAGATGGATCCTGTTGTCATCTCCAAGCCACGACCATCCAAGGGAAATCCACAAGCAGCATCAGCCCAAACAAGCCAGGAAAGTTGGCGAATTGGCCCCGACAGCTTGGCAACTACTCATAATTGATAAAAACCTCAAAGCCGCGGAGCGGGGCTTTCAACCCTAAGAAAGTCGGCTCTCGAAGGACATCGACAAGACACATACATCCACGGCGAAGAGAAACCGAAGAGACACAACAAAGCTCTTTTGGAAATATTCAAGCCTGCGCTAATTACCAGGTCTAATAAAAAAGTTTTAAGTGGTCGGCGATCTTGATGACGGTCAAAAGCCCGCTCTACGAATTCACAGTTCCAGACAAACTATCAATTGGCAAAGTAAATACACACCAAGGAGCGGATGCAGGTCATCTTCGACCCTTATATACTCTATCCTCTTGCGCACTGCTGATCGTTACACAGAAAGCCCCAGTCGACCGCCTACGTCCGTAAGGCACCGGTGGGCCCAGCTTTGCAGGCACAGCTACAGACCTCGATCTAGGCATGTCGTTTCCCCCGCAAAATGCATCTCCTAATTCACTTCCAACGGTCACGGCAGAGAGAAAGACGCAGCTTCCGCAGCCACGCGTCCGCCGCCGCAACCGCATGATCACGTCCTGCCTCGAATGCCGACGTCGCAAACTCAAGTGCGACAAAGGACACCCATGCACGAATTGCACCAAGCTCTCGCGTCAATGTGTTTTCATTGCTTCTGGCCTCGACGCGGACGCTCAGGCACGGCTCGCTGAGGTCAAGGAGAAAATGGGGATTCTGGAGAGGAGTCTCGAAGAAGATGTTGCCCGAGAGACTCAATCGAGTTCTGCCATCTCTGCTTCTTCCCTCAAGCTGCCGGGCCAAGAAGCTTCATACAGTGACCAAGAAGACGACGAAGATACGAAAGACCTTGACCCATCCCATCTGGCTACCGAAGATGCTGCGTACTATGAGCATGAGGGTAACGATGATGTCGTTGATCTTGGGATAGCCATGGGGAAAGTAAGAATCACCGAAAGAATCGGTGGACTTGTACGACCTAGGTTTTCCGAAGAAGTAAGCTCTCCCCAAACATCTAATATACGGTCTTTGACAGATCGTTTACCAGCTCGCCCAAGCGCTCAAAGAGCTTCCGAAACGTGCACCCTCAGACTCCATTCCCGTCTCCGAACAGGACCCCCAGACTTGGCTAGCACCCGGTCGAGACTATGTCGCTCCAGCTTCGAGTTTCTTCTTTGCTACCGGCGTCGAAAAGACGTCACTTATGACCCATTTACCGTCCAAGGCCCTGGTTGATAAATTGGTCGCGCACTACTGGATTGCCGTGCACGTCATTGCAACGGCCGTCCATCGCCCTTCATTTGAGAGGCAGTACCACAGTTTCTGGGCGAGCGTCAAAGCCGGGATTGAGCCTCGAATCTCGTTCCAAGCTGTCATATTTGCGGTGCTACTCAGTTCGATTGTTTCCATGCCCGAGGACAAGGTGCTGACTGAATTCGGTGTTGATAAGCAGAGTCTAGTGGACAACTTCAGAGAGGGGACAGAAGCAGCACTTTCTAGGGCTAACTTCTTACGTACCACGAAGCTGGAGACCCTTCAGGCTTTCGTAATGTATCTCGTGAGCCCACAGTTTTTTACTTGCCCCAATGGTCGCAGTTTTCCCATCATCTTCTACATGGCCCCCTCCAAATTGTAGCCTATTTGTGATTCATTCTTACTCTTCATGCAGATTCCGCTATGCCGGAACGAAGTTTCGCGCGCTCACTCTGCACTCACCGGAACGCTTATTCGCTTGGCAGAATGCATGGGACTGCACCGTGATCCAACAACTTACAGTACTTCGCCCATCGAAATCCAAGTCCGGCGTCTAGTTTGGTACCAAATTTGCTTCCTAGATCTTCGAACCTCCGAGGCGACCGGTCCACGTCCACAAATTCGGCCCGACGACTACGACACCCAATTCCCTCTGAACATCGATGATATTGATCTCGACCGGGCCGAGAGCGGTGAAAGTGGCGTCGATGTCAGAACAGATAGGACCCACTTCACTGACATGACGATCACACGCATGCGCTTCGAGTGCTACGAGATGCATCGCTTCTTATGGAACGAACGGCCAAAGCTGGAAATGAGAAGAGAAGATGGGGAGCGCAAGGTTACGATTACGTCTCTGCTATCGCGGGTCCAGTCCTTCAAGGCCGCGATGGAAAAGACCTACGTCCCCATGCTGAGCAAAACAGTACCATTGCATGCTCTCGCGTCCGAAATGTACGGCATCCTCTCAGGTCGACTATACATTCTGCTTCTGCAGAAATATCTGAGCTCTGATCGTAGCAAAATGCCGGACCGCTTACGACAGGTTATCATGAGCTCATCAATCATGATTCTCGAGCACTCCATGACTATCGAGCAACAACCTGCTTTATCAATGTGGTCATGGTATATTGGCGCGCTGCATCAATATCACGTCGCCCTCCTCTTGATAAGTGAGCTATATGCTGGACCCCGTGAGCTGGCTATCGAACAGCGAGTTTGGAAAGGCTTGGACTTTGCCTTTGATCTCTCCAGCGGAACATCCAACCTTGAGAAGGTCAGGATCGTCTTAGAAGACCTAATTGGGAAGACCCAGATTTACGCAAGTATGAAAGGAGTGAGAGTCCCAAACCAGATGCCGCACGCCGGACCTCGTACGCATACGCCTGGCTATCAAGCCCGACAACAGGAAGCAAGAGAAGAGCGAGACCGAAGTGGAAGCCTACAATCCACTGAAAGCAGTGCTGGTGCTGCCTCATTTAGATTAGGCAGAAATGTGGCTGAGCAACAGACTTCATCGCAGCAACAGCAACCATATGCTTACCAGTCGCAGCAGTCGCAAGGCCAGACCATGTCCTTTCCGGGATCGATGCCTACCATAGACTGGGGCACAATAGATTTACCAGCATCAGCAGCCACATTTCAGCAGCCTCGGCAACCTCTGCCTCCCCCAGAGTCTTTCAGTCACAGACATCGGAGCTTCGCAGGAGGTTCGATACCAACGAACATGATGGCAAGTACGGGCCAGCGTCAAGGGAGCGATGGCAGCAGCCCAGGAGCCGCGATCCACGCATATATGGTGAGCGGGACAGCAGACAGCAGCCCTATGGATGCACTCAACGAAATCGACTGGGTGAGTACGGAAGCGGTCTCTATATTCTCCGCTAACAATGAGTAGAACGACATTGAGCTGATGTTTGGCGGTGCCGAGATGGATGCAGGGAATATGCTCATCCCGCCATATACGTTCCCGCAATTCTCAGCTACGGATTTGCAGTGGCCGGCGCAGGAAGGATCGCAATAAGTCGCTTATGGGCTCTCCGGGGTCATGATGTATTTAGTGTAAACCTGTCACAGCTTGGGCTAAACCGTGTTGTGGGATGTTGCATACCTTAGTATCTTGAGAAACCGTCGAGTGTAGATAGTCAGGTGCTACACTCGGTGTATCGTGGTCGTTGGAGCTGCTTCGATTCAGTTCTCAGCGCGTGTTTCCCTTCCAAGCAAACATATCTAATTCTACATATTAACCTATCCTTCCCGCAGATCCTTCCACCGTCCTCCACAGCCTGTGAGACTATCAGGTCAATAGCACTCACGATGGCCAGTCCTGTTGCAGAAGAGGCTATGCAATACACCCATACCCGACAAGCTATCCTCACACACGCCTCCCTCATCAATCCCTCCCCGTACGGCGAATTGCAGCTCTTCACTTATCCACACCCGTATCATATACACATGAGCCAAGCTTGCGTTGTCGTCATGACTCGCCACCCGCATCAGTGTCGCCTGCTGGCCTCAAGTTGTGCCTTTGGTGGCGAAATATACGCGATGGAGCGCTTGCTACATGTGATGGAGTATCGTACTGCGAGAATACTTGGGGAGAGGCAAATAGGAGAGGTATGGAATATTGGCCTAAGGAGGGCAGAATGGGAGGTTGGTGGAGGGACGAGAAGAGAACAAGGTGGCGACGAGGAGAGCTGGAGCGAGAGCGACACGAACGATCCGTACGGATATGGAGAGTCAGACTTCAGCCGTGAGGGTCGTGCGGGCAGTAGACCTGGGAGCCGAGCAGACAGGTCTGTAGAAGGCGGCGCTTCTTCTATCCGCCAGCACCACGCACGAGATAGCGGCCCAACAGTGCAGAACTTTCGCCAGGATAACGGAAGTCCTCATTGGAATCCGCTGGACGCATCGCACGGTAATAGCATGCCCACGCAGGCCGGGCACGAACAGCGACCAAGGGACAGCTTCCATAGACGACGTGAGTTGCCGCCACTCCGTTATTCTTACTACCCAGATGGGAATCATTTCGAACACCGCTGATACCAGCGCCGACACGACATGTTTGAGCACACTAGTGGTGCTGGGGACTCAAATGCGGCTTCCCCCTCACACCAAGATTACGCTTTTCTGGTGCCACGCGCCAATAACTACGAGGGTGCCAGACGACTTGATGCATAGAACTTCGATGAGATGGCTGAGCGCGATGTCTAGAGTGGAGACTTGGTTGATGTTGGAGGGTGAGGGAGTCGGAGTTGGTTCCTGTAGTTAGGGGTTGATCTACTTGGAGTTTGCAAGAGTACTGGAAGCTGTGCACACAGGAATACGAGTGTACGTGCATTCAATGAGACAGCTTGATACAGCACCTCGCACATAGTACCGCCTTTTTCATACATTCCAGGTCCATAATCCCAGTGGTCCAAATTCCAATGAGAGTCACGCATTCGTTATTCAATATCCTCTGCATATTGCGTATTTAGATCCCACTCTTCGACCTTAGTGTACGGACTTCGTAACCAGGCATTCAGCTCGTGCAAGAACAATCTGCTATTCTCCCTCCCCAGAAATTCGGCGAGAAGATTCTCTGCATGGCCGCTGCTCGCCTTTATATCCACCATTTTCAGGATAGACACGATGTAGGACAGCAGGAACTCGGCATTGCTGCTCGTTGTACTTTCATTAGTAATCGAGCCAGTCGGATCTGTGTGTAGGAATGTGAAGACGCGTAATTCGCGCCGTATCCACGCTCGAGCTTTTGACTGGAGATCAGGCGAGCTTGCGACCATTTGGGGCGTGATATCGCGGTAGCCTGAGAACCGGTTGCTGCCCACGTGCAGTGAATAGAGGTTCCTTTGGTACACCTCACGGCGTCCACGGAGCGCAACATCTTCGATTGGTGGTGAGTACGGACGGCGACCGCCTCGCGGCCTCCTCGGTAATCCATAGGGAGCGAAGAGAGACGGCCGCGTGGAGACATTAGACGGTATATTCTTTGGCGGGTGACTACGGCGGACAGGGTAACTTTTGAAGTCGGTAGGGGACTGCCAGTCGTACTGGACAGCAGTCACTTCTGTCTTACCTTGGCAACAGTCAGTACAAGTTGATTCCTGGAGAATAGGTAGTTACTTACATAGTGGGCAGGTGGAGCGTTCTTGCAGCCAGCTTATCAGACAGACAAAGTCGAATGCGTGGTGGTTACAGGGAACAGTGAGGGCCTTTTCTGTTACTATCGACAGACATATTACACAAGTGTCTTCGGACTCGTCTAGGGTCGAACCAGTCGTGCTTCCCATGCGCTTGTTGGTGGTGTAAGAGGACGACGATAATCAGATTCCGAGGATGAGCATGGTTCGGAACAGCACGGGCCAAGCAGCTTTTACGGACGCGACCTCCACCGAGAAGCTCAGCTCAGCTCAGCTCCCACGCTCCCATTCACTACTTGACGAAACAAGACGCCTGTGCGTTTCTTTGCGCCCTCTCCCGAGTGCGAATCCAGTGCCGCGATTCGCTGTGGATGCTGCTCGCGGCTACGAAGCGCTTTTCTCCGCTCTCTACCCGTCACTCGCTATCGACCATGTTAGCAACATCCACCCGACCTGCCGTCGCAGGCCCAAATGGAAAGGCTACCTACCACACCGTGACCGCGCTCAAGCGATGGTCATGCGACGACAAGGATCTGCCTGCCGTGGCTGACATCAAGTCAATCCACATCTATGACTTCGACAATACATGTACGTATGTTCAGGTCCGCAATTGTCAGTTCTAACGGCTATAGTATTCGCGAGTCCTCTACCGAATAAGCAGCTATGGAACAGCGCCACGATAGGCCAGCTTGGTGCGCCCGACATGTTCCTCAACGGAGGCTGGTGGCACGATGCGAGCATCCTCGCGGCCACGGGCGATGGACTCGAAAAGGAGGAACCTCGCGCATGGAAGGGTTGGTGGAACGAAGAAATTGTTACCCTGGTGGAAGCCTCCATGGCCCAGAAAGACGCCCTCAGCGTGCTGCTCACCGGCAGGGGCGAGGGCAACTTCGGTGACCTCGTCAAGCGCATTGCGCGGAGTAAGAAGCTCGACTTCGATATGGTCTGCTTGAAGCCTGCGACCGGTCCCGCGGGGCAAAAGTTCAGGAACACCATGGAGTTCAAGCAAGAACTGCTGAAGGACATTGTCTACACCTACAAGGATGCAGAGTCGATGAAGATATACGAGGACCGTGTCAAGCACACCAAGGGCTTTCGCGACTTCTTCTTCCAGTTCAACCAGGATCTGATGAACGCAAGGAGTCAGGCTTCGCGCAGACCAATCAATACAGACGTCATACAAGTCGCTGAGAACGCCACGCAGCTCGATCCTGTGGCAGAGATTGCAGAGATCCAGAAGTTGATCAACGCACACAACCTACAGGTCAAGTCGGGCAGCGCACCGCCTGGCACACCACCCTATCAGATCAAGAAGACAGTCTTCTACACTGGCTATATGATACCATCCACCATGACAGAGAAGCTGACCTCGCTCGTCTCGCTGCCCCAAGGCACTCCAAGGGACGACATCAGGTTTCTCGCCAATAGCATACTGATCACACCGAAACCGTGCCCCAAGAGCATACTGGACAAGGTGGGGGGCATTGGAGCCAAGGTCAAGTGGAAAGTAACTGGCATCTCCTGCTTCGAGAACAAGCTATGGGCAGCGAGATGTGAGCCCGTACCCAAGACAGCCAAGTACTACTCCGAGAATCCGACTCCGACGGTAGTGCTGGCCATTCGTAAAAACGGACGGCCAGCAGATGCCGCACGCATTGTCAACTGGCATCCCGTGCCTCAAGACCAAGCCTTCGAATTCGAGAGCGTAGTAGGTGAGAAGCAAATGCTACGGATTGAAGAGGAGACCGCGAACGAGAGCGAGTATGAGAGCTACTTTCCCAACAAGGCTCACCGCAGGGAGCGAAGGTCACAAGAACCGCACGACCGACATAGTGACCACCGACCACATCACGCACGAGGGAGGGACGACAATCGCCCATCTGGCTATCGTGGTGGTAACCAAAATCGGGGTCGTGGCAGGAACACTTCGTACGGGAATAGGGGAGGGCCTCGTGGCGGGTACCGAGGGGATCGCGGCGGCGGCGGCGGCGGCGGTCGAGGCCGTGGTCGCGGAGGAGGACCCTCGCAGTACAGAAGTCTGGATGACGTCGACCACGGATATGGACAGCGGGGCCACGACAACAACCCGGACGCTTTCTACTAGTAGCGGAGCATGCATTGCCATGTTCGCTGGATACTACGATTATCACAACTCGGTTCACTGGTACTATCGGCGTGTCATCACTACAGTCGACCGTCGTCACTGCACGATGCACACACCTCCACAATAACCGAACAGGTAGTCCTATGGCGTAGGCGCTTTCTAAATCACTTGAATCCATTACACGATGCAGCGGCCATTCCTCGGAGTCTCTTTAAGGTCTTTTAGTGCAGCGGAAGCGCACCGCACTCTGAATCCAAAGTCTTCAATGGTGGCCAATGAATCTTTGAGGATATAAATGGCTTCCAAGACGTATTTCCACATTCGGTAGCAGTACCATATGTCGTTTGGTATCCATCGCGGGGAGAAAGAGGAGAGAAGGAGAGAAAAACGTGGTGCGCAGGAGGCATCATATCAATGCGGCCGTTGAGCGCGAATATACGTCTTGGAAGCCATTTATGTCCTCAAAGATTCGGCCACCGTTGAAGGCTTTGTCGCTTGTCTCTTTGTACAATACGTAATAAGATACCCGGCTTTCTTCGCGTCAAGATACCGTCCTATCAGGCGGAATCACACGTAGTCTATCAATTAGATGCAACCTTTTTACTCTCCTCATCCTATTGCGTTCTCGGTTTGTGTTTTCTACGGCTTTAAATCCCATCTGCTAGTGCACATGACGGGCTTCACTTCACAAGCATTTACTTAATCGGGTACTCATTCATCATTATGCATACTGGGATTAATGCTATTACTATGTCATGCAACTCTCGTTCCCGTTCATCGTAAGCTTATCACGGCCGACTCATCAGATAGCTTCACCGATACCGTAAGCATAACCAGTACCTCCATTTTTCTCGCCTTCTCCCTGGCTATCCTGCCCCACCGATGCGGACCGCTCGATGCCAAATGGGCTACCCAAAGGCCTCGGCATACTGATGCTATCCTTCCTCATCCTGTGTGCTTCCTCCCTCTCCTTTTCCCGAGCCTTCGGTAACCGAATCGCCGTACGGATACTGCTCCCGCTAACGTTGCGCGAGTGTGACGGCGTATGAGGCGAGCGGGGAATTTTGTCTTCTGTCTTCTTTGACAGACTGGTCTTGCGGACTTGGACTGGAGGTGTTGATGACATAGGTTTATTTGACGATGGCTTCTGAGGAGGCTCTGCTCTATCTGGTAGCGAAGTAGGCGAGGTGATGGGTGTGGAAGAGGCCATGGTACCGCCTACACCAGCCCTAGAGATCGACGCGTTGATCGCTAGGGGTGCGTTCCGAGTGATCGAGCACGCTGTTGGTGGCATGCTTGTTGTTGGCGTGATGAGAGCAGGATTATGTGGCGAGCCCATAGCGATGACAAATGGGATACTTGAACTAGAAGCCGTACTCAACTTTCGCTCTGCTGGGGGTGACGACTGGATTGGGAAGTTGCCAGTGCTGGAGGCATTTGAGCCTGCTCGTGAGCGCAAGACCGTAGGCGAGATCGGCAAAGGAGAGCTTGCAGCTCGATCGCTAACGTCTTTGACTATTATTGGTAGTGGTGCAACACGTACGCTGGATGAGTTCGAGTTGTTCCGTGGCACTAGCGGATGTCCTGTTGATTTATCCTGTTCTGGGGAAATCCTCATCGCTTCAGCCAAGATATCAACTTCTAGCGGACTAGGTTGTAGTCCAGCTGCTGGTCTAACCGCAGTAGAAGATTCGAATAGACCTTGCCGAGGACGGGGTGGTCTTTCAGGTGTACTCTTACCCTTACCTGCATCCGAATTTGATGCTGATCGTCCTCGAAACACTACTGCCCTCCTCTTGTTTGTTGGTGTTCCGATATCCGGAATTGCTGGTGATGTCTCAGGCGTCCTCGGCGCGCTATAGGGTTGAATTATCGAATCGCTCATGCTGCGTTGCGTGTTATGTCTCTGGGGTGCCGCTGGAGTGCTCAAAGGGAAGTTGGTCAGCAGATCACCAAACCTCTCTCGTTCCGGCGACGGAGGCTGAAGGAAACATTAAATGCTGATTGGTATCAAATACGGTAGATTTACATACCGTGGGCTTCCTGCGTTCTGGCGATAGCCTTGCGACAGAACGAGGAGAGATGCCAGGGTCCATGTTGTCAGCCTCGTTCGCCAAGTTGTAACCGGGTTTGCGTGTCGGTGTTTGAGGTGTCATAGGCGCGTTGAGATCGAGTTGCTGAGGAACTCGTTTCTGTGTCGGGTTTGATCGAGTTATCGGCGAGATACCTGCAGGGCTTGACATTGGCGGAGTAATAGGGCGATTGACTGGCAAGGTTACGGAGACACCCATCAGAATAGGCGATGTGGTACCCGACGCGCCGAGTTCAGGTGTCGCAAAGGCGAATCGCGGCCGATTGGGAGTATTCGCAGGCCTTAACGATGATGTGTCCGATTCGGGGTCACCATAGTTGCTCGTCTGAGCTGTGATTCTTTTCAATTTCCTGATATCGCTCTTGTAGCCCTTGATATCGAGCTTGTAGTATATCATCTCTCGGATGTAGAAATCAATCTCTTGCCGCAGGCTTTCTATCTGCGCCTCACTTGTGGTAGTCAAGTCACCGCGTTCGCTGGTCTGCTGCTCTTTCTTAAGGCGCTGGTTGAGCTTGTCGATCCACCGATCAATATCTCCTTTCCCAGCAAGTGAAGTAAGTTCTGGAAGAGGGTCGTCCTCAACTGCAATGTGGAGTTTCATTGCCGTATGTCTTCGAATCTCCGCCCGCAGTAACAACTTGTGATGCTCTAGTTGTCTCTCGACAGCACGAATCGACTTTTCTTTCTCGCCAATGATAGCTTCACGGTCAATAATCGCAGTGCGAAGCTGTTCGATGTGCGTATCCGTTTGCTGCGTCTCTCTCAAGAGGCGGTTCTGTATATCTAGCTGGAGAGAGGTCTCATTGTGTTCTTGCTCTAGTTGACCATGTTTCATTCGCAGTTGTCCCAAGTCAACCTCCAACTCGGCGATGTAAGTATCTTTCTGTCTGACCTGGTCCTGGAGTCGTTCGATGTGTGCAATGAACGTGGCCAGTGTCGACAGCTCTTGAGATTCAGTTTCCGGGCTAGTGGGCGAGCCCGACGAGAAAACGGTGCTCATGCTCATATGAGGGTTCTGCGATACCTGAGTCAAAGTCAGCTGGGCGTACAAGTTACGGATGTTTATCCTAGCATCCGAGGCCTTTACTTGCCTTAGTCTCCCGCCGGTCTGCATCTGAAGGCATTTGGAGTTTCGGCAACGCGACGTCAAAAGGGGATTTTTGAACTTGGAGGTTGAAGAGCTGTTCTTCTGCATCTAGCCGCTCAATGTTGGCAATCTCAAGCCGATTTTCGAGGTGATCAATGGTGTTTTGCAGAGCCTGTACGCTCTTCGCGAGTTTTTCGGCCTTGTCTGCTTTCTCCTGCCACTTAACAAGCTTCTGTTCGACTTCGTTCAGCGTGGTTTGCAACGCCCTTTCGCTTTTCTTGGACTCGTTTAGCTTTGCCATCAATGATTCAATCTGCTTCTGTAGCGCGACATTGTTCTGTTTGTACTGGTTAAGTTCTGGTAGAAGGTTCCGGCTGGCCGTTTCTGGTCGCTTCGTTGTGCTGAGTTTGCGCCGCAGGTTCTCCATCTCTGGACTATTGCGTAGACGCTGTGGCGACCGCTGCTGCTGCTTCTCAAGCGCGCTCTGGAAAGACGTGATCGAGCTAGCGGAGCCGCTCCCTGCTGTGTGCTGCGAGCTTTCGCGACTTGGCGTCTGCGGGGGCTCAGTAGTATCGAGAAGGAACAAGAGATTGTTGCTCGAGGCTAGACGTGGATCAGCTATTGTTTGTTGATGGTTACAGGTGCACAATACAAACGCGCTTGGACCGACCCAATAGGCAACTGCCTCGTCGTCGTGCGGGGAAGCGCGGTGAAACTGGCAGGAGGCTACGAGGTGCTCACCGTGATGTAGACTTGGTTTCCGTGCCAATTGCTCCTCGAGTACTCTTGCGTAGTTTCGCAGCGATGCGATTTCCACCGAGTGTGTGTCTACGAGACTCGCAACGTGAGCTTCGTGTGATGCTCTGAGGCTACCAAATTGAGCTTGGAGAGTCGAAATGGTTTGGTCCTGTGTCGTGATGGTAGCTTTGAGTTCTTCGGTGTGTTTGCTGCGTGTCGTTGGGGTGGTTGTGGCAGACGCGCCAAGCTGTGTCTTTTTAGTATCAATTCATCTAGTATTTGCCCCATTCAATGCCCATTGAGATGGTTACTACAATGTGATCGAGTGTCAGGCAGCCGCTAGAATTTCCCACCACTACTACGTCTGGGAACAGGATCTTGAAACGACAACCAGCACTCCTTGCCTGGTGGAGCTGCACCTCCGGTCTGCCATAACAAGACGGCAGAACAAGAAACATGCGAGGACTGACTATGTAGACGTCTAAATCTACCTCAGGCGCGGAGTGTCCCATCGGGGTTGGGGAAACGGCATACAAAAGTTCTGAAACTGTTTCGTTATGCGCAACATGTCGTTTGACGAGTACACACGCGCCAGCAAAGAAACAAACGGTACTTACTTCATTTCGCAGGCTTTCGCGCGCTTCGACTTCGGAATTCCAGCCTTTTCCCTCTACGATCAGGGGCGATGGCTGCAACAGCTTAGCCGCACCAGCCTGGTTTGGGTTGTTACTACTACTATCTTCACTCGTTAAGAGGAGGCTCGTTGAAAGCTTGCTATCGGTAGATGAAGGTGACGTTATCAGGTTTGGTGTCGACCGTCTTCGTGAACTGGTCTCGTTCAACGCCTTTTTATGTTGCACTTTCAATGGACTATGCTTAGCAGCGCTGGAGTTGAGAGCATTTCCGCTGCGGACCGACCTCATCGTGCTATGTCGCGCGCTCATGCTGGGGACACTTTTCGCGTGGGTCAATGGCTCAGGCACCAGGTTCAAGAGGTTCAAAGAGTCACCCTCGGCCTCGAAGGACTTGACGGGCGGATGGGTTCCCCTTGGAGTAGTCTGAGAAATCGGACGCAGAGGCGCAGCATCCAAGGGGGATGAGCCAGATGGAAACCCTTGATTATCCTGTAAAAGTGATCCAGGCAGTTCAGCTGGTAGGATTGGAGTTGACGGCGCGGAAATGGAACGAGGCCGACTAGGAAGAGGCTTTTGTAGAAGTTCTGTTCCGGTGCAAGCAGAAGCACCCGGTGCTGGCGAGCGCAGCATCTCATTAAACGCCACCTGGAGGGTCGACGCTGCATTGGCCAGGGCTGCATTGTAAGGGGCTGCCACGGGACTGAAAGCAACCTGCTTGTCCGGTGGTATAATCTTGAGGTTGGATAGCCGTCGCGGGTCAGCCGTCGCGATGCTCTGGTTGAGATGGTCAGCGAATGGTGAAGCTCCACAAGGCAGCTGCATGCATCCTCGTCCCCGGCTTCCCTGCGCCTGCTCTGACAACGCTCTCGAGTTCGCCTCGTTCTGCACAACCACGTCGATGCCCTCTGCCAGCGCATCACCATGTCTTCTGGAACACTTCATTCGTACCTTTGTCTCGAAGCCATTGCTGGAGTCGCGCCCGTTTGTGTCAATAGGGAGCAATCCCCCGGTCCGGTAATACGGCTCTGCACTGGACTGCCGCTTCGACCAGGAGAAGATCCTCTTGGAAGTCATTGCGGGAACCGCGCGCGCCTTTAGCGCTCAATGAAGGGGAGGTAAATGAGACATCAAGACGGGATGAAAGCACACGGGCGAACGATTGACTATGGTGAGAAGGGAGTTTGTTTGAAGAATGGAAGAAAGAGCTAGAGGCACGACAAAGAAAGGCGTGAGGCTGGTGGCTACCACAACGGCAGCCTTGCTACATGTCCCTCGGGCGTCTATCCTGTTCTTAAAGTCTGCTGTCATGTTTCGGGGTGCGACCAGAGCTACGCCGATTTTCAGGAGTGCTGGGCACGCAAAGGCTACGGGGGCCAATATGATCCCGAGTGGACGAGAGGCAAAGCTAGACATTGTGAGGCTTTGAATAAGCGCCTCGGAGCCGAGTTGAGACGTTATATAGCAGATTGAGCGAATCGAGGAGAAGCCAACGAGGCGTAGTCGCGCTGCTCCTCGGTGACAAGCTGCAGGAAGCTTGGGCCTCTCGCTGCCGTCGACGAGCTTTACACTTATCAAAAGTTGCTATTGTCTCTCCGCACTCAAATTGTGAGGAACCGTGCAACCGTGCAACCATTCTCCATGCCGCAATGATATAACTGTCTCCGCAGTGACGAACCCTTCGGCAACCAGCTCACTGTGGTACATCCACTAAGCACGGGAAAAGCTGAAACGCGATTGCGGCCCCATCTGCAGCCCCAACCTTCACTGTTACAAATCGGCCCCAACATGGCAAGAGACCTGTCGCCATACAGCGCACGAAAGCTGTTGACCCAGAAGCTAGTGGAGGGGAACACAGGCACACCGCAGCCGAGCAAAAGCAGGAGCCGAAGCCGCGACAGGTCTTTGAGGAATGGGTCGCAACCAGCAAGGAAGGAGCCCTCTAAACCCTCTGGTCATCAATCGAGAAGCGGGTCGAATGAGAGGAGGCCTAGGATACCATCGAGAGAGGGCAAGCCAAAGGATGCGACAATAGAGGCCGACGCTGTCGTTGGCAAACGAGGAGTCTCACCAGAGCCCTACAAAAAGCCCCGGGAGTCGTCCAGAGAGAGGAAGCGTGAGGGGTCGAGAGATCGCAAAAGAGACCGCTCTACAGACAGGCGGCGAGACCGATCACGAGACAGGAGACGAGATAGGTCTGGGGAGAGGCATCGCGACCGTTCGAGAGACAGGCGACGCGACCGCTCCAAGGATAGACACAGCCGGCGGGACCGCTCGCGTTCAAGAGATCGGCGACGTAAAGACAAGACGAAAGACGACCGCCGCTCACGCTCACCTATCCCCTACCGCTCCCGCAAACAGCGCACGCGCTCGCCCTCCACATCTACATCTCCGCCGCCCAAACGCCGCAGGCGCACCCGATCACACTCACGCTCGCCCTCGCCTCCTAAACGAGTCAAACAACCGCTCCCCTCACAAGAAGTCTCCTTCCGCGGCCTCGACGACTCTGCCCAGCCGCCCTCAAAGTACGGCGGAGCACCGCCCGATAAAGAGAAACCAAACTTCAAGACCACCGGTGTGCTAGCGAAATACGCCAACCGCGTCGAAGGCACGAAGATATCCCTCAAATACCACGAACCACCTGAGGCCCGCAAACCCCCATCGTCACAGCCGTGGCGCATCTTCGTCTTCAAAGGCGAAGATGTTGTGGATACAATCGAGATTGGGCAGAAGAGCTGCTGGTTGTTGGGCCGGTCACAGGAGGTCGTAGACTACTTGCTGGAGCATCCAAGCTCAAGTGGACAGCATGCAGTAATACAGTTCCGGTACATTCAGAAGACGGTCGAAGATGAGTTTGGCGTGAAAAGCAAGCGAGGAAAAGTCAAGCCGTACATCATCGATCTCGAGAGCAGTAATGGAACGGAGCTAAATGGGAAGACAGTCGAGGCAAGTCGGTACTTCGAACTCAGAGACAAAGATATTCTCAAGTTTGCAGGTAGCGAAAGGGAGTATGTGGTTATGTTGCCACCGCCCGATGAGAAGTAGGGAAATAAGATTCTATTCGATCGCTATCCAAAGGAGGCTCTGGACGATCTCAACGGACGACATTGAGTCATGTCCTATTATTACTGTGTACAATACTCAAACCTAGAGTCTGGGTCTTCTTAAACCATAATCTGAGCATCATCCCAAAACAGAACCCAGCGACTCCTTGACCTCCTGTTCCTCCATCATTGCCACTATTGGACTACACTTACAACTTGACGAGACCGGTCTATCGGGCGCTACGATATAACAGACGAAGTAGCAAGATGGTGCACATGCGCCGAGACTTCGCCGAGGACTTGCTTAGCCACGTTTTCCAACAGCACACAGCAAGTGCTGACCCCAATTCATCTCCACACTCAACCCATCGATTGCTGTTGTGGGGCCCGGCAGATGCTTGTTTTGACGTTCCCAGTCCATTTACCGAGTACTGGTAATTAGCGATGACTGCGTGCGACCCTTTATCCATATATGAAGGTGGAGCGAATCATCAAGCGACCACGCATCTGCACTGGCCACGAGGAAGACAATCTAAACTTTAATAAGGGCGAACCAGATACATAAAGAATGACTCGTCCCCTAGTCGAACAGACAACCATTTCCTAACCCCGGTCCTGTCTACAAATTAAAGCTAGTAAGTGACCGGCATGCCTCCTGGAAGCTGACTAATCCATGCTCCGTCCTTGCCAACGTCTTCGACGACTTGCTGGGCCTTCTTGCAAGTCATCGAGTCCTTGCCAGACTGTATTTTCAGAACGCTGCAGTTAGCGTTGGCGCACTTGCCGCTGGGTAGAGCGTCCATGGCCTTTTGCAGAGAATCGTCCTTCCATCCAAAGAGATAGTCACCATGTTGGCCGAATCCAGTTCTGTCATGAATATTAGTAACTTCGTAACCTTCTTTTGGGCTTGAAAAAAGAACAGTGCTACGTACCCGTCGCCGAAGCTGTAGACAAAAGGCTGCTTGTTGGCCCCGTAATAGGCATTGTTCTTGTATTTCCCCGTGTCCCACATGATCTCGTACATGACCTGGGGAATAGCGACAGGGTGGGTAGACGGGCAGTTTGTGCTCCCGAGGCCTCCGCTGTTGGAATAGGCTACGTGGCTCTTGTGGTCCGGGGAATCTAAATTCTTTCCATCCCAGCACGAGGGAAAGATGATGGTGGCTCGGATGCCCTTGGGACAGTACTTGTTCGGGAGCTCACCAGTGTCTTTAGCATCGCACGGAGCGAACCCTTCGCCATTTCCGAGGCAGCGGTGACAGATCGAGGCCCTGTTATTCTTCTTCGACATGGGGTCTCCGGCGATCATTCGGAAGCCGGGCTTGAATGCTGTCATCTTGTTGTTTTTGGCGCTGTACGGCATATAGTATACCGTCATGCCTCCGTCTTGCTGGAGCCCGACGTTGGCATACTGAGGGACACGCTGGAAGGTGCCGTTCTCGGGTGACTTGAAATACAGAGACGCGGTCCAATAGTTGCTAAAGTCCTCGGAATACGTGCAAGTGGTGCAGGTTGACTTGGAAGGTGGATCGTATTTAGCTGGCTCCATCTGAGTCGTGTTAGCGGACGTTCCCAGCGAAGGTTTGTGTGCACTACCGTAAGATTAAAGGAGTTTCCTCCAACAATCTGATGCGTATGGGGCGCAGGGCTTTGTCCAGGGGTCACCAGAGGATCCGCACGCTCGACGGTGAGCTGCGAGCAGGCAAAACGAAGCATGTTCTGTGCGGAGACATGTTGGCCCAAAAGAGCACTGGCGGCGAGGGCGTACCAAAACATGGCCAAATCTATTGCAGGAGGTTTTCGAAGCAAATGCGACAATACCACAGTGTGACCCACTGGCTTCTTAAATCCAAGGCTGGGCTTCTGACTGCTTCCCTAGTTCAATTTGGCAGATTGAGTAGTGATTGCCGGCCATGTCGACCTCCCAATAACAGTGGCAACCATGGAGATCCTTATTCTCAAGGATTTCTATGATCATCTGAGGAAAGAGGACCACTAGAATGTTGGACGTTGAAGAACTCGTTGTTTTGATGGACTGGTCAATATATAGGACGAATCGGCAGTTGACATTAGAGTGCCGAAGGTAACACCCGAGTCGTCGTTTAATGTATTTCTGAACAGGGTCAGCTTTAATCCCTACCTAGTCAATAGCTTGACATGCTTGATTTTTGCTTGGGTAGTTCGTTGGCCATCGAGTAAAGTATTTGCCTTTGGGTAACAGCCATCCGTTGGGGGACGAACAAGAAACCCACGACGACGATTATGATGATGACCATGGTAGTCATATTATTAATGAGCTCAAGGGGTTATAACTCAAAGCGGCAACTGTAATATCACCGATTGGTGCAATCTTCCCGTTGTCATGATGACCACTTCCTGGAAGATAGACTCCTACCTAAAGGAGTTGTCCCCGCCTTCTCATCTCAGCTAATAGACATGGCCACAATGACCGCATTCTAGGAATCAAATAGTCTTCAACATATTATCTATTATTGGATGACAGGAGCCCATTAGCCTTCTGACTGCAGGAAGGACAAAAAGGGTCATGAGGTTGTTAGTGAAGTCTTGGGCCGAAGAGGGGTCCTTCCTTATGCTTAGCCACAATAATAAGTATCCCTTTTGGCTGAGGCAAACGAAGTGGAAAGCACTCCTTGAATCATCTGCCCGATCCATGCTGCAACACTCATTCTTCTCACTCCTGTTCATCTTATGCACCAAATCTTCCCAAGGATGTCCACATTGACTTGCCCAACAAACGTATGGCGAAGCATTTTCGCTATTGGGAGGATTTAGTGCCTGGTGAAAGGGCTCGATCCAACACCGAAAGGGTAGAGACGAAGGACGAAGCGAATTTAGACCTGTAGATGATATCTACGAGAGAGAGGAAGACGGGATGTGTAACTAATTTGTAGTAATGAAAGGATAGTAAGAGAACTGCAAGGCATTCCGCGATCGATTCGTAGACTCTTTTGGGTAATCGACCAAGCTTAGACATGAACATACCCGTAGCAGGAAAGAGCACCGTATTTCCACACTCTTACTGGGTGAACAGGAATGATGGAAAGTGCCAGCAGTGCCAGCAGTGCCAAATGGCTGCGCCAACAATCTGCCATGTGAGGAGAGGGCTTCTCACTGCCATGTTCTCCAGTCAATTGTGAACGTTGCCCCTCCATTCTCGCCCCGCGCGCCCCTTGCCCCTTGCCCCTCGCCCTTTGCCCCTCAAGTAGCTCTGCAATCCACAGTTTCCCCGAACCTTCCAAATGTAGTAGTCAACTCGCTATCTCATCTCCCTCTCTTAGCACTAGCACCCCCAAAAGTCAACCTCGCAGCACTGCGCAGGGTCATCGACGCCCCAGATGATAGGAAGAGCAAGGAAACAAAAAAACAAGGACTGTCCAGACTGCAAAGCAGTTCTAGACGCGAACGAGGCCAAAAAATGTCCCGTGCCAGACTCGAACTGGCGGCCTTGGGATATCTACTACTAGGAGTAGTCATAATGTGGTAGTTATGAGACCCACGTGATAACCAACTACACCAACGAGACCAAGGCAAATTTTAATTTTGATGACAAATCCAAGAATTACACCGATAATCAACTTGAATTTTGAAATACCTTCTCAGGACAAACAGTGCCAGGAACCTTTGAAACTGGACGCAAGAAGGAACAAAAGCGTGGGGCGTGACAAAGATGGGAGTGGGGCAGAAAAAATTAGTTTGCTGGTGGAGAGGTAGACAGGGGCTAGGTGTGCCTAGTTGAGAGCCTGAGAACCCAGGCGGAAAACCGGCATCACAACTTAAACAGGCAGACCTCTTCGATGTGTTGAATGTCCTGGTATGCATTATATTCTCTACAGTATATGTACAATAAGTATAAGTCGTTCAAGCTATGATCCCTCTCTTGCAACACCTGAACGCCCTCCCAAGATATGAGGCCGCAAACGATGCATAAACGCCGAACCAAGCCCCATCTTGAACCCCTCTTTCCCGAAGAAGACGTAATAACTATGGTCCAAGCCTCTGCCCCGGCTCTGGACTCCTCGGCATATTGCTCAACGGTACGCTTGTAGTAGGCAAAACGCCATACCGCCCGTAAGTCTTCTGATCTACGCTCACATAGTGCGGTAGTCTGCCCAGCAAGTTAAGCTTGGTCTCCACCCATCGTAAAATCTTCTCGGGTGGGACGAGGAATTTGATGTACCCCGTAGCCCATACATAACCGAGGCCAGCGCCGCAGAGGTGCCCGATGAGGCTCACATTTGGGACGAGAGCGCTAGTTACGACGATGAGCATTAGGGGTGTGGTCCAGGTGGGGATTTTGTAGGGGCCAACGCTGAAATACAGTTAGCCAGGTGCAATTGGAGAGATGAGGATTCATGTACCTGAAGTTGGGGTTCGTCTTGTGTGTTTTCATGACTTCTGCGGAGAGGAGAAGGAACACCCATACGCTGCTGTCATCAGTGACTTGAACTTGCAAGATGATGCCTGGCCATCTTCGCATACCTTGCGCCCATGACTATTGTGTTACTCCGCAGGACAAATTTCTCTAGCAGGGTATATATGCCTCCTGGTATGGTACCGAAAGCTATGGTCTGGTTAGCCTGGAGCCTTCGGTGTCCGATGTGGAATCTTGCTTACGCCCAGTGAAGAGCGCCAGAGAAACCAACGTTCCGTACTCGGACTCGAAGCGCTCGAGGAGTGGGGTTACGGCGACGAGGTTGAAGATCATGTGGAGGAAGTTCAGATGCATCAATGGGAACAAATTCAGCCGGTGCACTACACGACAACAATGATTAGCTTCCAATCAGTTCAATACAGATTGCTCTCAAAGTAAGCTCCCTGGCCAGATTCTCGACATCGTCTTTTGGGCTCCAGAGCTTCCGAGTCTCGCCAGAGTCCCATCACATCTTCCGAGCTCATGTCCTCCTCCAGAAGTAGTAAAAAAGTCCACATACTCTGCGTTAAATCCATCTTAGCAGGCTCCAGCCTTCCAAACTCCCTCACCCACGGGAAGGGAACTGTAGCAACCCATAACCCCACGATCGCAATAACAAGCACTCGTGTGCAGAAGGGCAGGCGAAAGACATACGAGCGTATGCGCGCGGGATTAAACTGGGGGAAAGAAGGCATTGCGGAGCGCGACGGAAGTCTGACAGGATGCAGGCGCGTTGGATGAGCGAAGAAAGTCTAGGGTCTACCGCGCCGCGCTAATGGGGATCCTCCCGCTGAGCTAGCAGTACCACCTTCCAAGACGGACGGAGTGGGATGCTGGGCGCGATAAAGGACACAACTCTCCTCTTCACTTTTTTCCTCTAAATTGTCACTGGGTAACGGAGGGATGGCTCTGCTTGGTAAGTGTTGGTACAGTTGGTACGAACAGCCAAAGCTAATACGTATAGCTTCGTTACTGGCGCTCCGGCGGGATGCCCGCATCCTCAAGATCCCACCATATCTCTCTGCTTTCTGCATTCTCGTCGGCATAGCATGGCTCCTTGTACTGCCACTGAACGAGTACTCGCGGAAGACATACGTCTCTGAAAATGCGCTGCTGCCGGGGCAAGTGCATACGTACTTTGATGGCAGCGAGCATAATGTCTTTAGAGCTTATCGACACGAGGTCCACGGGCTGATAGATCAACCTGTCAAGGAGTATGGCAGACATCTCAGATGATTGGAGCATCAGCGATCTAACAATCTACCAGGCGATCTCAGAGGCTAGAAGCCATCTTCCGCGAGCAAAACCTTAAATTCGCAACGCAAAAGTACAACTACACTGTCTCAAATCGCACGATTGCAAACGAGAATGTCTACGCCATCCTCCAGGGTCCCCGCGCCGACGCCACAGAAGCCATTGTCCTGATTGGCGCATGGAAGAACATGGCCGACGAGGTCAACAACTCGGGCGTCGCGCTCGTCCTCACATTGGCTCGCTACTTCAAGCGCTGGAGTCTCTGGAGCAAAGATATCATATTCCTCGTCTCTGGAGATAGCACGAGCGGACCGCAGGCTTGGGTTGACGCATATCATGACGGCCACGATGAGCGTTTTGTGGAGAGCCTGAAGATTAAGAGCGGTGCGCTGCAGGGAGCTGTCGCTGTTGACTACCCCGCTGGACCTTGGGGTCATCGATATGATAAACTACACGTTGTGTACGATGGTGTGAATGGTCAGCTCCCAAACCTTGATCTGTTCAACACGGCTGTTCAGATTGCGTCTGGCCAGTTGGGCATAGGATGCGTTATTCAGCGCATGTGGACGCACGATGACTCGTACAAAGAGCGACTGCAGACGATGCTGCGAGGCATGATCTCGCAGGGACTAGGCCACGCAACTGGACCCCACTCCTCGTTCATCCCGTACCATGTCGATGCCGTCACCCTTGTCACCGTTGGCGATGGCTGGCACGATGAGATGTCTCTTGGAAAGACTGTCGAATCGCTTTTCAGAAGTTTGAACAACCTCCTTGAGCACCTCCACCAGAGTTTCTTTTTCTACCTGCTATTACAGGCAAACCGCTTCGTCAGCATTGGCACATACCTCCCTTCGGCCATGTTGATCGCCGTCAGCTTTAGCATCGCATCAATCGCACTGTGGGTCAAGAGCGGACGTCCAGACGAACCAGTGGCCAATCCAGGCTCTACCCAGCCAGGGAGCAAAGTCACCAGTAAAGCCGCTTCTGTCGACGACAATAAAACCACCGAAGAGAAGGAAGACTTCAACGAGAAAAAACACACAAAAACCCCTTCAACAAAAGTAATTAGTGACGGCAAAGACATCGCCATCGTTCCCGCCGCCTTAACCACAATCTCCGAACGGCACCTTTTCTTCCCCCTTCTGTTCGTCCTAACAACTCACTTTGCCGGCCTCATTCCACTCTTCCTGTTCAATCACTGGGACGAAGACGAGCTGCCCGGCCTATACCTTACTGCCGCCAACGTAACGTCCATCGTGCCCATGGGTTTCGCGTTCATCTTCTACCACACACGGCCCTTGAAACAGCAGGAGGTTGCACTGATACAGTGCTTCTCATTGCTGCTGCTGGGCATGTTCCTAGCTGCGCTAGCGACCCTAAACTTTAGTCTTTCATTCCTAGTGGGCGTCGTCACGACACCCTTGGCATTTGTACGGCGGACGAATCATATGGGCCTAGATCTTGCGCAGCTCGCCTTTCTGGCTGTGCTGAATCCCCTCATGGTGATACAGCTGGGGACGAAGTTGCTGGGAGGAGACCTTGCGGAAGTGCTCATCAAGGCTGCCCAAGGGTGGCATATATGGGGCCTGTGGACGCAGGTGGTCGTTTGGCTCGTTTGGCTCCCGGCGTGGTCGGTTGGAAGTGTAGTTATTGCTAGTGGCGTGTTTTACTAGAGATTCAAACAAAGTGCATGGCGACAAGTCTCTCAGCTTTGGTCATTAGCATTGTATATAATATGAATGAGAGAAGTTGTAAAGTTGGTTTGGTCTTCATGTCAGAGTCTTTTCATCGTTGGCCGTCTACCAAGGCTAGGTTGGCCAAATCTATGATTACATAGCTCGTAGGGCGTCTATCTTCCTGCTCCCGCATGCCGCTTCTCACGAAACGGAGACAGCCCTCTTATTCAAGTACTTGAACATTGAACTGGTCGCTCGTTGCTCAAGCAGCCCAGACGTCCTTACCGACGCCCTCGATCCAGTTGCCGAGCTGGTTGACGCTGGCATCCCACTCCTTCAACCTCGATCGCATGCTCTCAATCTGCTTCATATCTAGTACCTTTGGCTGTACCCAGTTGATCCGCGCAATCTCCGCGACCTGGTCGATCTGACCCCTCACCAGCCCCAAGCTCAATGCCTTCATGATCAAGTGTTCGATCTCCTTCGGCTGCACCTTTGTCTCCTGTGATATCTCGGCAAACGTCATAGCACGATCGTGTGGCGGGCGGCGGAAGACGGTCTCAGTAAGCGCGGAGAGGGAGATCTTCTGGTAGAGGAATGTTTGGTGCTCCTTGAGGAGCGGGACCTTGGAGATGTTGCCTGCAAGAACATCGTATGCGATCAAGTCGCCGCGGTTGAAGGCGAAGAGGAGGTCTCGCAACCATGCGTGCGGGGTGTTGACTAGTGAGTCGAGGATGGGATGTAGTAGCAGCTCGCCGAAGTTATAGATGGAATCGGACACGAGGGCGGCAATGCTGAGGTCGTATGCGCGGGACTGGCGTTCTCGCAGCTCGAGGTCGGTAAGATCGACACAGGCGAGGAACAGCAGGGCGTTCTTGTAGTAGGCGGCGAACTCGTGCTTCGACTTGTAGTACTCTGCGCTGGCACGGTAGAAGGACGCATGCACGACCGTCTCCACTGAATCAAAGCCTTCGAGTATCTGCTCGCACTCGTCCAGCTTCTTCTTGGCTCCCTCTTCGTCCCGTAACCGCAGCTGGATGCTGGCAGCGGCGACTGTGGCGTAGACGTATGCGTCTTGTGATGCGGGCTTGTTGACGCTCTTTGCGAGGTTGTCGACGAAGTTGAGGCGCTCCTTGTCATCTGCAATAGTTAGGTTTTATAGCTCCCTAGGCGTGCCTTTCCCCATACCCTTGTATTGTGTTGCTGCGTTCAGCCCCAGGGTGACGAGCTTGAGCTGGTTGATCTTATTCGCGAAGCTCTTGATGAAGATATCGAAGAAGGGTATCCGCTGCTTTGCGCTCTCGGGGTGGTCAAAGTATTCAATAAGCTTGTCCGTCAGCTCGTGCCACAGCTTTCGCTCCCAGTAGTCCTCGAAGGCGATGAAGTATTCCTGCAGTTCCTCCGGCGCCTGGTCCCGCGCGTCGCCTAGAAGGTTCGGAATCGTGTCCGTGTCCATCGCCATGGCTGGGGTTTATTTATTGACAAAGTACGTCAAGCTACAGGGCGTGGTGGTTGGGTATCAGAGGCAGCGGGGGTGCGTCACTGGAGCAAGGCGTGTGTTTGCGTGAGTGCGGGTGGGATGCAATGCTATCCATGCATGGCGTTGCGGCGGAAGCTACCATGACCTAGCGCATCTGGGTGCCAAGATCCATCACCAGCGACGACCCAGGCCATTCATCCAGACTACAGCACTCCCATAGCTGCGTACAGCCTCCGCACCAGCCATTGAACGCCGCAAACATGGCCCTGCCACTCCGCTGTGCTCGCTCTGGAGCGGCGTTGCCAGCCAGATTGCCCGCGACGCGCGCAAGCAAGTTCTCGACCTCAGTGTGCCGCCAGCAGATCAATTCAGATGTCAGGATAACAAGGTATTGCGGATGCCCTGTACACTGCGATCATGGCACTAAATAGTTCGTAGAACTGGCAAGCCCATTTTGACCGTCTCCGGCGGACGATCCTCACTCGGAGGTACGCAGTAGCCCCCATCCGCGCACAAGACGAATCGCTCACACAACAACAGGATACACAGCGACCGTCTTTGGAGCCACGGGTTTCTTGGGGAGGTACATCGTGAACAGACTGGGTCCGTGATTCCTTCTTTGCGAGGCCTGGACAGCGCGCTAATGGAAGTAATAGCTCGATCAGGATGCACCGTTGTGGTCCCCTTCCGGGAGGAGATGGCAAAGCGCCACTTGAAGGTCACTGGAGATCTGGGCCGCGTCGTCTTCATCGAAATGGATCTCCGAAACACTGCGTCGATTGAAGAGAGCGTGCGACACTCTGACATTGTCTACAACCTCATTGGCCGCGACTACCCCACTAAGAACTTCAATCTGGAGGATGTACACGTCGAGGGAACGGAGCGCATCGCTGAAGCCGTCGCTAAATACGACATTGACCGCTTTGTCCAAGTTTCGTCGCATAACGCAAACCTCGACTCACCGTCAGAGTTCTACCGCACCAAGGCCCAGGGCGAGCAAGTAGCGCGATCCATCTACCCGGAAACCACCATTGTTCGACCTGCGCCCATGTTCGGTGCTGAGGACCGTCTGCTCCACCGTCTTGCTTCTGCGTCAAACGTCATCACCTCCAACTGGTTGCAAGAGCGCATCAGGCCCGTTCATGCTATCGATGTCGGTATGGCTCTCGAGAGGATGTTGCACGACGACACTACCGCTGCCGAGACCTACGAACTCTACGGCCCAACCGAGTACACCATGCTCGAAATCAACGAGCTCGTTGAGAAGGAAGCAATGAAGAAGCGCCGCCACGTCAATGTCCCCAAGCGCATCATGAAGCCCATCGCACACTACGTTAATCAGTACCTTTGGTGGCCGATCCATTCCGCTGATGAGGTCGAGAGGGAGTTTATTGACCAGGTCATCGACAAGAACGCGAAGACGTTCCAGGACCTGGATATCGAGCCTGTGGAGTTGAAGAGCCTGACGTATGAGTACTTGAAGGGGTACCGGAGTTCGGCGTACTACGATCTTCCGCCCATGTCGGAGAAGGAGAAGAGGGAAGAGAAGAAGTATTTGCATGTCTTGGATGATCAATAGACGCCATTGGGGCGGTGAAAGTCGAAAATGAGAAGCTTTGTAAATATTTGTGCTCTGTACCCGGCTAGCTTGCTCTGTAGAATCAATTCTCTTTGTTTTAGGTATTAGCCGTCAATTGTGTGACGATATTGGACATCGCAGGGTAGTCTAATCAGAATACTCTCAAGCTCAACGACAGGCGACACCGAGTGCTGCAAGAATCCAGGATCATTTTCTTTTATATGGGGCCAAAGTAAAAAATTGTTACGAAAGCTCGACAGCATTTACGAGCAACGACTTTGATATTCTGGAGTATAGACTTGAACACGGGATGGAGGCACGTAGTGGCACGTAGTAGCACGTGGAGACGAAAGGTAGTCTATTGAGTAGGGTATCACAAGTCTAGGTAAGGAAAATATCCTCTAATTATGTTCGAAGTCGCACATTCAAGCGGGCGGCGTTGGCTTCTGCTCGCTTGCCATGCTCAGCAAATATCTTCTCAACAACGCCTCCGTACTCGCCGGACCATCCCTCTCCTTTCTCTCTGTCCAATGCCGGTAAAACTCGAGCACCACCTCGACGGCAATCAGAGCAATGATGGCCCACTCGAGCCTCAACCCGTGCTTTTCGCTGAGCTGCTCTCGCAGAACTGATGCGATCTCCTGCGCGAAGCCAATCTTCTCGTTCAAGACTTTGATACGTACGCCTACGTCGAGGGCGCGGCCGACTTGGTCATAGTATTCTCCTAATCCCAACTCGTGCCGGCTGTCCCAGAATATGTCCGGCATGCTGTCAGTAAGCTCGCTGTAGAGATTGAGTTGCGCGCGGATCGACAGGAGTTCTCCGGTTTTTCGTAGGATAAAAGAGCGAGTGAAGAGTTTGTGGCGGCTCTGTAGGGCAGATGTTTTGTTGGAAGCGAGCATGGCGGGAATTTCGCGGGTGGAATGCTGGTAGTTTGACAATAATGTTTCGAGGACGGCGAGCTTGGTGGAGCGCGCGAGGCCAGAGGAGAATGCTATCTTGGCGAGGATGGTGTCAACTTCGTGGCGTTGCTCGTTGTCATTAATCTTGGACTCGTGCTGCGCATCTGTCGATTCCTGTTCCGCTTTCGTGCCGAGGACGATGGTGTCACCGACTACTTCGCTCGTCTCTTTACTTGGATCTTCGAGGTAGTCGAGGTCTTCTGTCTCGAGGAGATCGAGATGTGAGCCCTCTGCTGCTGCTGGCAGTACTTGATTGACTAGCTTCAAGGCTTCTCGTTCTCGGACGTTCCACGTCACCACCGTCCCTGATGGGAAAATGAAGATGTCGCCTTGCTGATAGTCCTTGACCTCTGAGGGTCTGTCGGAGGTTTGCACATGGATGACCTGAGGGTATAGGCCGGTTTGGAAGGGATCGAGTTCGTAGCCTTGGGCCTTGACGAGTCGAGCAGCGGATGAGATGCTGTATGTTTCCGCCGCACAGTAGGCTGTGACAGTCTTGGTCTCCGCGTCTGGGTCTATAAATCGCGTCCTGCCTCTTGATTTCACAAAGGCGCGTGATCTCTGGGCTTCGACGGCCACACTTCGCAGTGATGATGTCTTGCCAGTATTCTTCCAGGGTCCTTTGTGGTGGACCGCCCGCTGAGCATTTTCCAGCTCATCTTTCGTATTTGCCTCCCCTTGTTTCTGCGTAAAATCTATCTTCCTCCGGGATCTGTTGGCCGACGAGAAGGATCGGATTGCGAAGTCAAGTCGCGCTCGGGTTGGCTGTGGAATTCGCCATAGACGTCGTGAAGGATCGCGCACGGCGGGAGCAAGACTCTTAGTCAAGCCATTGGATACACAGAGCCGGAGTAAACTCATCGCCAGCAGAGCTTGGCTTCAAACATATTGCATGGAAAGGAGCGATCGAGAAAAAGTGCCAAACTCAAGCGTTGTGGAGCATTTGCGGAGGAAAGCTAGACCCCCTGCACATCCGCGGGATTCCCACCGTCTTGGCTCGCATCATTGGCTTGCATGGCCAGAGCATCGTCACCTCGAAGCTTCATACCTCACCTACGCCGGAGCTCTCCAGGACCTCAGCCTCCCCACCGCAGCTCATGTCGCCAGCATGGCTGCGGAAAATACAGAAGACGAACCGCGTACGCCGGCGCGCGACGAGTCACGGCTCGCACAAGTAGCCAGCGACGGCAACGGCAAGGACAGCGCAGAACAGGACTCTGAAGAAGATGACGACGACGAGGAAGCGGAGGAAGAGCCGAAGCTCAAATACAGTCGCTTGACAAGCAACCTGGGGCCCGTGTATCGAAATGGCGACGCGACAAGTACTTTCGTGGTTGCGGGGGATAAAATGGTACGACCATAGCTTAAGCATTCGCGCTTTGAAGTGATTACAACTTGTTGAACACGTGCTAAGCTCCAGATAGATAATTGGCACACATAATGGCAATATCGTGAGTCTGTAGAGCTCCTCGTGCTTCAAACAGCGTAGCTAATCCTCAACAGCACGCCCTTACCATCCCTTCGTTCCAAACGCTACGCACCTACAATGCGCACCCGTCTGCCTCTGTAACCTCACTATCGGTGTCACCTCTGCTAGCTTCACAACCTTTTGTACCAACTGCCTCAGCCGTCAGGTCCACGGACCAGCCAGAAACCCCATCTCGACCGGCAGCATCCCAAGCGGGCCATACCTCATCTCCCCGCACGCCACGACAGGCCCAAGTCCCTGCCATTCCCTCGAACCAGATCTACATCGGATCCTCTTCGATAGATGGGCATGTCTGCGTATCGTCCCTGGTCGACCCGAAAGATGTCACGTTGCGCAACTTTGGACGTCCTATCCAAGCGGTAGCGCTTTCGCCAGATTACAAGAACGATCGCTCGTATCTTTCCGGAGGACTGGCAGGGGAGCTCATCCTGACTACAGGAGGACAGATAGGAGTCCGGTCAAATGCAAATACCAGTTCAGCGTCACAGACCGCTCAAGGATGGCTGGGCGCAATTGGACTTGGTGGTCATGGAGGCAAGGATATCATTCTGCACTCAGGCGAAGGCACTATCAGTGCCGTCAAATGGTCCCTATCTGGCAAGTTCGTAGCTTGGTCCAACGAGCACGGCATTCGAATCATGCGTACAAACCTTCACCTGGACAGCGCAGATTCTGATGCGGCTTGGAAAAGAATTGGCTTCATTGATAAGCCGAATCGTCGCGTATGGGAAGAGATGGCAGGTGTATGGAAAGCTCGAATGGAGTGGGTCGATGACCGGTCGCTCGAGTCTGATGACGATGCAATCATGAGCATGAACGGTGGCCACACTTCTGGCAAGGCCGAATTGACATTGCCGCATCACCGAATACACGAGCATCCAAAAGGCACCAAGAAGAGGAAGATGGAAAAGCTCGTAATAGGGTGGGGAGATGCTGCTTGGGTCGTCCACGTACAACCTGGTGGAGTCGGCACAGGCAATGATGTTAGTGAGAGATCGGTCGGCAGCGCCGAAGTCGTTCATTTCCTCCGTTTCGACGATTGTGTTGTTTCTGGCATTTCGCTCTATACCCCTTCCTTACTTCTTGTTCTTGCATACCGAACACGCGACGACGACGATAACCCCATCACTGGAGTCGATACGACACCCCGGCGAGGGATGAATCGACGTACGAATGGGCTTTCTCCCGAGCTCAAACTCATTGATGCGGCGACCTCGGATGAGGTCGAAGTCGACTCTTTAACTGTTAGCAGGTTCGAGACCCTCTCTGCTGCTGACTATCACTTGGGCACTTTGTACGTTCCGCACCCAAAGACGATGACTCTCGCCCAGAAAAGCGCACTAGAAGCCATCGGAGGTGGGATATGGGATGTCGGCGCAGGCGCAGCACGGATCTTCAGCACCGGAGCAAACGTCATCAACATGCCATTTAGTTCAGACACGAAAACGCCATCGCGGGCGCCGTCCATGTCTTCAGCAAGTGCCGGAAATGCGTCGACACCAGCATCCGGGAAGCGTCAACTGCAGATACCCCCAAATGCTGCCACCGCTGGCCTCAAGGTCTTCATTCAAAGCCCATACGACTGCGTTCTGGCTATTAAGCGAGAACTATCGGATCACTTCCAATGGGAACTCGAGCACGAAAACTACAAGGACGCGTGGGAACTGCTAGAGGATCATCCGGAAATTATTACATCGCCCTCGCAATTGCCCTCGGAAGCATCCCCAGCCAGTACTCCGGTAAAGAATCATGGAAGCTTACATGAGTTCTTTGCAGATGACAGCGAATCGCAGACTACTGTGTCCGCTTCGAAGGTGGCTCAAAACTCGGCAGTTGAGAAGGAGAAACGCCGAATCGGGGATCTTTGGATGCAACAGCTGGTCAACGCTGGCGACTGGAAGCAGGCAGGCAAGGCCGCTGGCCGTGTACTTGGTACATCTGCCCGATGGGAACACTGGGTCTGGAAATTTGCCCAGGCGAACCGCTTCAACGAGATCTCGCCGTACATTCCCACGAAGCCAATGCAACCACCACTCCCGTCGATGGTCTACGAGGTGGTTCTCGGCCATTACATTATCCACGATCGAATACGCTTCAAGCATTTACTCGAAGAATGGGACCCGGAGCTGTTCGACATCAACAGCGTTATTGAGGCAATCAAAAGCAAACTGTCGGCTGGCGATGTTACTGAAGACTCTATCGAAGGCGATGTACAAGGGCGAGACTGGCGGATTCTGCAAGATGGTCTTGCCAAGTTGTTTCTCGCCAGTGGTCGGCAAAGAGAAGCATTGCGGTGCTATATTCGTCTACAGAATGCGGATGCTGCCATGACTCTCATACGTGACTTCCATCTCGTGGAAGCCGTACGAGATGACATCCCTGGTTTCATACTCATGGGTGTTTCCAAAGAGCAGATCAAGTCAGCACCCTTGTCCGAGCTCGAAGAAGCTTCATCGGAGGCCATCAACGTTCTCGTCGAGGAGGGTTGTCGTGGTACGATACCGGCAAGTGATGTTGTAGGTCAATTGCAGAAGCGGGAAGCGTCGTTTAAACCGTTCCTACATTTCTACCTCCAACGGCTATGGAAGCCGGAGATGCACGAACGTAAAGGCACGACCGCGAAGGAGCGGGTTGCTGAAGACCGTCTGGCGGCTGATGGCAAGATTGTGGCGGAAGAATTTGCTGATCTTATGGTTGAGCTATTTGCGGAGTACGACCGCCCGTTGCTGATGGAGTACCTGCGCCAGTCTCAGAGCTACGATCTCAACAAGGCTACTGCTGAGTGTGAGAAGAGAGATTACATTCCAGAACTTGTGTAGGGACCTCCGTTAAATTTGGCCAATTCAGCAGCTAACGCATCATAGGCATATACTCTCAAAGACAGGCCAGACAAAGCGTGCCTTGTACCTCATCATCGAGAAGCTCTCTGATGTCAGTTTCGCGATATCATTCGCTAAAGAGCAAGACGATCCAGACCTGTGGAACGATTTGCTGGAGTATTCCATGGACAAGCCGCACTTTATTCGTGGTCTGTTAGAGGAAGTTGGAACAGCAATTGATCCTATCAAGCTTGTCCGCCGCATACCAGAGGGCCTAGAAATCGAAGGACTGCGAGACGGAATCGGCCGCATGGTGCGCGAATACGAAATCCAATACTCCATCTCCGAGGGTGTTGCCAGAGTACTGCGTGGCGAGGTAGCAACAGGCATGGACACTCTCCGTGCCGGCCAAAAGCGAGGCGTGAAGTTTAACATTATTCCATGCGACGACGAGAAGCACGACCATGGTAAAGACGACCACATCGACATCGAACCCAAAGGCTTGAATCCCTTCACAGTAGCGAAGGTAACCGCACAAGCGGACAATAAGACAACCGCAGTATCATCAACAACCAATGCCCCACAAGTCGATCCCGCACCTCCCGACAATCCAGAGGGAGAAGCCCCACCTGGCCACTGCACAGGCTGCCACCGGCCTTTTACGCTCCCTACTGCGGAAGAAGAAGATTTAGTCGACGGACCCGTACCACTGTCTCGCGACACTTTAGTCGGGTTTGCTTGCGGCCATGTCTTCCATCTCAGCTGCCTGCTGCCGAAGACAAGTGCGAGCGCAAGTGTGTCGGCGACGTTACAGCAGACACTTGCAAACGATGCAGCAGAGAGTGGGAGATGGAGCAGGAGTGTGGGGGCGAAGGTGGCACACGCGCATGTTATTAAGAGTGCAGTTGGCAGGGGTTGCGTGGTGTGTCGGGAGAGGTTGGGTATAGTTGGTGAAGATTGAGGTACATCACATAGTAGGAGGAAAGCGTGTATATATGGAAGAGCTTTGGATATGAGGTCATCATTTCGCGAAGGAAGGAAGCCTCACAACTGTGTTACTAAGAACCACATTTAGTTTACATGCATTTGCATCGGAGGCGCTGTAGCATCGGCTAGTTCGGTAGGAGATGTCCCAATTGACACGCATTCGACTTTTGGCACGATAAGAATAGTGTCAATACATACTCGATGCAGAAATTTTATCAGCACCCATCGATCACTGCGCTAGGAAGGGCGTACCCGTCAAAGGAGAGGGGCGTGTTGTGACACGCGCAGGGCGTAGATGGACATGCAAAGGGCAAAGGGCGAGGGGCGAACCGTGGAAGGGCACCAACACTATCGACATATGGCAAGCTAGAACCCTCTTCCAAGGTGGGCCTTCCAAGGTTAGGTCCAGCAGGCCAGTCCTGATTCGAAAAGAGAATATGTACATCTTAGGGAAGCGGTTTAAATACACTTGATGTTGATGTCTCCCCAGGTGCTCTACTTATGCGTACGGGTGGGAAAACGGCCTAGGCGCCGGGAGGAAGGCTTGGGGAGGTATATTTTTGCAATGGCTGGTTTAGACAGACGTACCAAGTTTGAAGAGACATCTATATCTGTTAAGGACATGGTGACGCTGGGATGATAATGTGGTTGTAGGCACCGCTCGAGGTTCACCAATCAGCACGTCAGGAGGTCTGATTATGTGCCTCGGCATTTACCCCAGCTTTCACCAGCGCGACGCCCCCATCGCGAACTGCAGTGCGGAGTGGCTAGCCTGTCTAGTTAGACCGAGGGCGAACGTCTCAGCGCCGCAGAATGTAGCTAGAGTCGCTCGTCGCGGCTCTTCTTCCTCGTTGAATCCTTTCTTATTCTTCACTGTAGATAGACTATTCGTTTCCACCATCGGCATGCCCCACGAAATCCTTTCCCGCGAGTCCGTCGCTAAGCACAGTAGTCCGGATGACCTCTGGTGCATAATCGACCACAAAGTCTACGACCTTACCGATTTTGTTGACGCGCATCCAGGCGGTTCCGTCGTGCTCGAGCAAGTAGCCGGCACTGATGCCACAAGCGCGTTCTACAACCTTCATAGGCAGGAGGTGCTGGAGAAGTATACGGAGCTATGCATTGGCACCATCGAGGGCGAGCAGTCGGAGGTCATCGTGCAGAAGCCCGGTGATCTGAGCCCAGTGCCATATGCTGAACCACTGTGGCTCAGACCGCAATTCAAGAGCCCATACTTCAAGGAGAGCCATCGGGCTCTGCAGAAGGAGATACGCAAGTTTGTGGATATACACGTTACGCCCGAGGCACAACAGAAGGAGAAGGACGGGACGTACATTAGCCAGGGGCTCATCGACAAGATGGCCGAGAACCACATGCTGGCTATGCGTCTGGGTCCTGGAAAACACCTCCATGGGAAGAGCCTTCTCGGTGTCGTCAAGGGCGAGGAGTTTGACTACCTGCATGATCTCGTACAAGCGCAAGAGGGCGTGCGCGCCAATGCTAGGGGGTTCCAAGACGGGAACATGGCGGGCATGACGATTAGTTTGACTGCCGTCTTGCAATGGATGCCAGAGTCGGAGCTGAAGGCAAGAGTGGTCAACGAGGTGCTCACGGGGAAAAAGAAAATGTGTCTGGCAATCACAGAGGCGTTTGCTGGCTCCGATGTTGCGGGCCTTCGAACGACTGCCACGCTGACTCCGGATGGAAAGCACTATGTCATCAGGGGTACGAAGAAGTGGATCACCAACGGCATGTGGTGTGACTATTTTGTTACCGGATGCAAGACAGACAAGGGCTTTTCCGTCCTGCTGATTGAGAGAGACGACACGGTCGAGACCAAGTTGATCAAGACGAGCTACTCGACGACGGCTGGAACAGCGTTTGTAGAGTACAACAACACCAAGGTTCCGGTAGACCACTTACTGGGTCAGGAGCACCAGGGCTTTGCGGTCATCAGTAAGTCGGGTTGGGCGATTGTTCAAGGCCAATATTGATATTCCTCAGTGTCCAACTTCAACCACGAGCGCTTCATGATGGCGTGCGCTGTCATTCGACAGTCTCGAACGGTGGTCGAAGAGTGCCTCAAGTGGTGCAATCAGCGCATGGTCTTTGGCAAGAAGCTGATTGAGCAGCCTGCTATCCGACAAAAGTGAGTTCTGTCCTTTAGGTCCTCTACTCCTCTCCATGCTGACTCCATCAGGCTTGCAAAGATGATCTCCCTCGTCGAAGCGAACCAAGCTTGGCTAGAGTCGATTGCGTATCAAATGTGCCACATGTCGTACGCTCAGCAATCCAAACACTTGGGCGGACCCATTGGCCTGCTCAAGTCCTACGCTACCCGCTCTGCGCATGAAATCGCCGACGAAGCCGTGAATATCTTTGGTGGCAGAGGTCTCACGCAGACTGGAATGGGACGTGTCATCGAGCAGTTCCACCGTACGTACAAGTTTGACGCCATCCTGGGTGGCACAGAGGAGATTCTGGGGGATTTGGGAGTCAGACAGGCGATGAAGGGGTTCCCAAAGAGTATGCTGTAAGATAGGGGTGTGTGTAAGATACAATGCATTGAGAGGTTTGATTATCAGGATTCCTTGGTGATGACACTAGGTTGGTCGAGTCTGGAAGTCGTCGTAACATTGGATGCGGGGAAAGCCCGTGTTGGAATGTGTTTCTCTATTTTGGTCGTCGTCTGGGAGCACGAATCGATGGTATGATTCCCAGCGCCTGGGTTGAGCTGAGGTGCGAACTATTGATGGTTGCTTGACGGCCATCGATAGTCTTGTGCTACGACCACGTCTAATTCTCAACACCAAGATGGGCGATTGCACCAGCCGATCACGATAGTGGTACAAGCCAGGTAGATTATGCGTTTCGCGCCAGATCAGAGGGCATCCTGGCGCGAGCGAAACGCCTCTTTCGGGCATGGGCCAGCCGACGGGGTGTCGTCCACGTGTTAGACGCCCATGTGCAGCCAAAAGTGCATAAATAACCTTATAAAACACGACCCAGATTGCATGTCTGTCACAAGTCGGTCCCCTGCTGGTACCAGTGCAGCGCAGCATGTCGCCGATGGCTACGTGTCGGCTGCGCGGCGGATGGCAGGTTGGCCGAGTGACAAGGTGGGTGGGTGCTGGCAAGACGGCGATGTGAGCTGTCCATGGTCCTGTCATTGAAAGGGAGCCATGGTAATCCTGTTGATTAGTGTGTTCCTGCAGCGGCCAAATGCAATGCATGCAAGGCTAGATGGAACATGATGGAAGGGCACTCGGCTAGTAGTCCGTCACATCACATCATCACCGCCTACCGCCTACCGCCCACCGCCTACCAGCTGGGAACGCATGGGCGTGAGTCGTGTGTGCATCAGCCAGGCATCGCCATTGTTCATTCAGTGGTCCCAGTCTGGCCCGCCTTGTCGCCGGACACGGCTGTGCCTTTCTTTAAGAAGCGCCGTAGCCCGGAGCCGTGAGAGACGTCCCTCTGCGTCACCTTTCCCTCGAGTCCTCGACCCGTCCCTTTTACCTGTGCACTATCGAACCATCCCGAAGGCAAGCCGTCTTAGTCATATTGCTCATCACGCAACCTGCCATTACCTGTACACTACACCTCCCTCCTGCCCGAGCACACGACCTCTCTTGCCTACCTACGCCCTTTCAACCCTCTCCTCGCCAGCCAGCCAGCCAGCCCTTTATCTCCGTCATCTGCCCGGATCCATCTCGTCGCGCCACCACCACCACACCGCTCCAATCGCCACCAATCGCCACCATGCGTCGCTCTTCCAGCATCTCCAGCATCAGCTCCTCGAGCTCAGAGTCCGAAGACACAATGCAGGTCTTCGTCAAGACCGTGTCCGGCAGCAACAGTACGTCCATGACATGCCGCCGTTCCGAGACGCTCGGAACTGCCCTGCAGCCAACTGCATCGCACGGCATCTGCAGACAGACAGACAGACAGACAGACAGACAAGGCTAACGAAGACAATAGCAATTCCCCTCTCAATACCCTCAAATACATCAATAAGCACACTCCGCTCGCTCCTCGCCTTGCGCACCTCGTATCCCACGCCCTCAGACCTGCGCATAGTCCACGCCGGCAAGCACCTGTCCTCCTCTACCAGCACCCTGCAGTCGTACGACATCCCCCCCAACGCCACACTACACATGGCGCTCCCATTGCGCGGCGGAATGCCCCCAAAGAAGATCCGCTGCTCGTTCAAGGCGTGCAAGGATGCCGCGCAGCGCATAGTGGGGGACTGCGGCTTCTGCGGTGGACACCACTGCAGCAAGCATCGCATGCTGGAGGATCACAAGTGCGAGGGCCTAGAGGACTGCAAGAAGGAGAGTCATGCGAAGAATGCAGAGAGGCTGAATAGTGAGCGGACGGTGGCTATCAAGGGGGTGTAAAGTCGATTGGCCACATACTGCGTGTCGCCGGCCGGACGGCGATTAGCTTCGTCGTCGCAGGTTTCTGAAATAGGCGCTCTTTGAGCGATTCCGTTAGCTCTCTTATTGTGTGCGTCTTGCATGTCGTTTGCAGCGAGGGATGCGTAATTTCCTGGTCCCTTTTTTCGCAATGCGTTATTGGAGCACCGCGTTTCTCCTGGAGGATCATTCTCGCGGCTTTTTTGCCTTGGTAGCTAGATTAATGTCGAACATTCATACTTCATTCTCCTCTGTGGCAGCATGATATACTTCGTTTAGATGATGGATGGAAATCTTCATTTGAGACTGACGACGTTCTACTCGCTACTCACCTTGGCTCAATCACTACTCTCGCCACTTGATATGGCGCCACCTACGATTAGACTCCAACCATGCAGGGGCACTATGGTCGAAACACCTTGGATGCAAATAGACGATGATAGTAGTACACTATTCCAAGTGCCTAGTTGTAACACACTTACAGACCAAATTTACTAAATGGAATACGGACTAGGCCAGTCTACGTCCAAATCTCCGTTGCACATGCACGGAAAACTATGGCCATCGCACACTTCTGTCAGAATCCTTGCTTTGAAGAGATCCCAAGCTGAAGTTCTTAATATTGTGATGATCGCAGTGTATTGACTCCACTGTTTAATGTCCTGCTCGATGCCATCCTTGGTGACAAGGATCAATGGGGGCGGAACGTCGGTGTTGATGGCGGAACCACTTTTGCCTTGTGGACTTCCGCTCCTCTCCGCTCTGGTATGATTCTTACAGGATTGGTCCTCAATGACCGCGTCTTATTTCCGTCCTTCCTGAGCTCAAAGATACTCTGCCGATGCAGCATTGTGGCAGTGGTCCAAGGCGTTGTGTCCTGGACGTCGTTGTATGCCGGCAATTGAACAACACAGGCGAACTTGAAAGTGGGTAGAGGCAGACACACTCGAAACGCTGAAAGTCTCCGCTCCGCCCTCGTATGTTCCCCTCGTCGATGCAAAGTCCAGGGTGCGGGTGCCAGGATGGGCTGATGGTGACTAACAGAAACTCATTCCGACCCAGGACAATTTCGTGGCGCTTTCTCCGCTCCGCTCGTATTTGCTTATCCAAACGCCACACTTTGTGCATGGCTTGTGCATGCTGGAGGATTTATCCCAGGGCGTTTGAGGCCTGCGCGTGTCGTGTTGGGCGGGAAGGAAGGAATTCGGGTCGTATCTTCCCTTGGCGGTACTCCAGGCTTGCGTTCTGTTGAGATTGGGAGCTACTTATAACGACGATTAGTTTAGCGGCCTCGCAGGACGTGATGTGCAGATTCAATCGATCCTGGCGAGCTATGAGCCTCGTATATCGTCTGAGTAGGGAAGCTATTCCCCGTCCACGTGGCGGCGTGCGAACCAGGAAGGTCTCGGTGCGCTGCATGGACTCCCGTATACAGCTTTCGTTAGTCTGTTGAGTGGCCCAAAAGCAGTGATGGATAGAAGAGCCCCTTTCTTGGGCCTCGAAACTCTTCGTGTTGTTCACTTGTGCATTCCTGTGCTGCCTAACCAAGACCCGACGAAGCATCGCAGCTGTTCAAGATACGAGTTCTCACCTGGGCGCGTTCCGTCTTTATCCGTCCATGGTGCATACATTGAAAGCACTTCCTACACAGGTCGAGCTATGGAGCCCAGTTGAGATGCGGAGTGTCACCTACCGAAAAGGCCTTGTAGCGCAAGAACGGGCTTTCCAGAAGCCCTACGTATACAAGCAGACGGCGGTGCACATGTCTTAAATAGGTGTACCCACCTTTTGGATCTAAACAGCGGCCATCCAGGTACTAACGTCCACGGCGATGACGCACGCTACTAGAAATATTACTCCGGAATGCCGAAACACGGCGTTTGTCTTCTTAGTCGAGAGGTGTGACCACGCATAGAGTAATGTACGACCCTTTTTACGCCGTCCGACGGGCCCGCGGGTGCAGAGCGAGTGCCCTCTACTCAAGAGGCTAGGCGTCACACAGTAGGGATGAGACCTCACCGCCACCCACGAAGCACAGTAATGCTAGAATGATGACAAGTAATTGGACTATTTGTCAAACGCCGACGGAGAATAAGGCCGAGTGCTTGTAACATGGCTTCGCAACTATCCGCGGGCGGGATGCATGTTCGTTTTGGCGTTTAGGGACATGGTTAGATAAGGTGGATCGGCAACGTCCTAGGGAGATGTCGGGCCTGGGTCATGTTCCAGGTGATCTGACACTGACACGCGCGACAAGATGCTCGTCCGGAAGCAGGAGATGGAATCCCCAATTTGGTGCTATCCTGGGCGAGGATTGCCTTACCCGTACGCGTCAGGGCCAGTGGATAAGGAGCTTGGCGCAGCAACATCGCATTTGTAGCGTCGTAGATCTCTCTCACACTTACACCAACCCTCTGACCGCGATGCATTCCACGGTCGGATCGATCTCACGGAGTCCACTTCCGCGCGTCATCCACCGAACATGACAGTAACCCTCCGGGGAGCCTCCGAGCGTGGGAGACACTGTACCTGGGCTGTGGACTTGGTCGCCTACGGATCGACGGGCTCGCTGCAGCTGTGGCTGCACGTTGACGCACTCTCCCTTCCGAAAGCTTCTTTGCGATGCGGCTCTGCCTTCGGCGTCCTGGCCACGTAATGACGAATGCCATCCTCCCCCATCCCATCCCATGCTAGCTGGGACCAAACCAAAAGAATCCAAGTAATAGCGTGGGCTGACTTGGCGGGCCTCTGCTAGCGGTCGATCGTCGGGCACTGGTTTGAAACATTTACAAGAGCCGATGAGGCTGTGTTGAGATAACGAAGCAACAAACTTCCAACGAGCTGTCGATCCTGCTGTGACGCCAGGCTTGGCATGCCTCCGTCCGTGGCAGAGTGCTTCCGTTCCCACGTCGGGCGCACACATCGCCGGATCCGAGATTGCGGATAGTAAGCTTTTGGTTCATCTGCAGATATGATCCAGAGCCTGCATTCCCGGAGTGGAGCAGCCAAGGCGGAATGTACATCATGTACACCGCCAAGCGTGGAGGCCCGCTCCGCTTGCCTCCACAACCTGGTCAAGCGCCCCAACCCCTTTCACATCGACCAGAGACGCTCTCGTGCCGGGTCGTCTTGTGACTGTGGAACAACGCAAAACTCTACCACCTATGAGCACCGTCAATCCTGGCACATGGATTGGGAGGTGGGAAAAGTACACGGGGTCCTTATCATGGTGGTCTCGCCGGCTATCTGCTAGGGTTACACATGATGAGATGGGAGTGATGAGATGGGAGGTGACAACCTCAACTGTGATGAAGGTCACAGGCAAAGTCCTGGCAGCTCCCTGCGGCTTCCTGGGCGTCAACACCAATCAGCATACCGCGTGGAGCTTCCGACGCTAATATTACTGGAGATTGTGCGTCGGGAACTCAGCATCTGGGCCAGTGCGTACCTCATTGGGGCCTTGGGCTGCGTATCTTTGGAGCCTCTAAGCCGAGCAATGAACTATATCCTGCACAGGGCCCAGTCAAAGAAGCCGTATACTCTTGGCTCCTCTTGGTCCTGTACCCTTGCGTTGCTTGTGCTTGCGGCATTCGATTCCACTATTACACCACGTCACCATGGCAAAGACGCAGCCACACTGTCTACGCGGGAGGTTACACGCGTGCTTGGACGAAGTGGATCCGTAAAGGCCCTATATCAATCAGACGCCTTAGAGCTACATACCCCAGACCCAACATTAAATTGCACAAGACTACCATTGCACTTATACCTCGACACCCGCTGCTCACACGATTTGCACCCCGTTCCAACCATCAACGCATCTTTGAGCGTATCCCCTCCAACACGTGTATTGTGTTGAGCACCCCATTGATCACATCCCGTCAACGCTTTCCCAAACACTGGGCTACTCTTTCCTCCCTCCACATGTCTCCCCCACATCATCCCCCCCAAACGTCACCCACCAATATGTCTTCACAGCCATTTGAGAAGGAGAGTCGCAAAGGCAGTGCAGGCACCCTGCCGCTGTCAGAGACAACCACGGAGACTGGATCCATGCGCACCCTATCCACTCCCATTTCTCTTGAGGCCGACGACGAGCCAGACTGGCCTCAATCATGGCGTGCCTACGCCTGCTTGCTGGGCTGCTTCTTCCTCATGTTCAACTCCTGGGGTCTTGTAAACGCCTATGGGACATGGTCCTCGTACTATGTTGGAAACTCACTCCGAGGAGTCGATCAGTTGGAGCTGAATCTGATCGGATCAACGCAGTCTTTCCTCGTTCTCCTTTTCTCAAATCCAGTTGGACGGCTTCTGGACGCTGGCTACTCCCGTGTCGTGATCGGATGCGGCACTTTGCTCGTCCCGTTTGGCTTGTTCATTCTTTCGGTTGTGCATCCCAGCAATGTTGGGGCGATTGCCAGTTTTGGCCCAATTTGGGCAACGCAAGGTCTCGTCGTCGGCTTAGGCATGGGGACTTTCTTCGTTTCTAGCTCTCAAGGTAAGTAATCAGTACCCCATACCGACGGACCCTCACTCACAGACTCACAGTCGCTACAACATGGTTCCCTAAACGACGAGGTCTCGCTGTGGGCTACGTTGCGTGCGGTGCCAGCGTTGCAGGAGTAGTGTACCCCACGATGCTCCGCTACCTCATCGATTCTCTAGGCTTCAATGACGCTGTACGCTGTGTTGCAGGCCTCACCTCCATAACCTGCATATACTCCTTCATCTTTTGCACACCAGACCCTGCCCACGACCACCACGAGCCGAAGCGCTGGCGTGCCCTCCGGACTTGGTTCGACACAGAAGCCTTCCACAACAAAGCTTGGTGCTGGTTCACTGCCGCTGTTGCGTTCATGTTCTTCGGCTTTTACCCCATCTTCTTCAATCTCGAAGAGGTGAGTACATCCTAACCTACTAAAGCGTCTTCGTAGCTAACAATCGCCAGTGGGCATCGGTTCGCGGTTTCGGAACACGTAAAACGAGCGGCGGAGATGCAAGCAACGGGCCCCTCCAGACGTTTTGGCTTCTGGCCATCATGAATGGAGCGTCGACTGTCGGGCGAATGCTTCTGGCCCACTTCTCCGACAAGGTCGGCGCACTCAACATGCACATCGTCTCCCAGTTTGTATCATCGCTTCTTACGCTCATACTATGGACCCTGGCTGGATCAGAAACCGATGCTATTGCCTTCTGTGTGGTGTTTGGTGTCTTCTCAGGAATGGTCATTGGTCTCCCTCCCGCCTCGGTCGGTAACATTCTGAACTGCACCTACACTACAGCAGACACGAGGCATCTGGCCAAGAAGAAGCTTGGCCATTGGACCGGAATGATGTACACATTCGCCGCGATCCCAGCCCTGACTGGCCCCGTTATTTCAGGCCATCTCATTACAAAGTATAACACCTACATCACCGTGCAGATGTGGTCGGGAACCAACCTCATGCTCTCATTCGCATGTATGTTGGTAGCGAGGTGGTATCTGCCCTGTGCGAACGGTCAAAGTGCTCCTAGCGAAATTGCACGTGTGTTTGGCAAGCATGAAGCGCCTGTCACAGAGAAAGGAAAAGGGAACGAAATCGACACTGGATCTCCAGAAGCTTTGTCGCAGGCCCCAACTCGCGTTCCTAGTATTACCCCTTCACGACAAGCGTCCATGGATAGACCCGACTCACCGGAGAGGATGGTCTGAATTATTCTACACACTTTCTTTACATATACCCCGATTACGATGGTGGAATTTTATTGCAAGGCGCTTAGGGCGCCATGGGTATTGGTGGGACAGGCAATTTGGATCGGGAACTTTTTATAACGGCCTATGATCTTTGGATATTACATGCTGCACACTTAGCGTACTTTCGCATAGATTTATTTTCCCAAGTTTCACTTGTACTACATGTCTTCAATGCACTTTCTCATGGACACGTAAGCGCAGGGAGCTCCCTTTGTTCGGGTTGAGCATCAGTTTACTAGTTGCCCGAATAAAATTAAAATTTTCTAAGTATACGCAAACGGCCAATGCGATGGGAAGCAGCCATGTGTGCCGATCCTTTGCTGCTCTATTGATTCTTCTTACCCACTGACCAGGTTGGGCAGCGATTGTAAATGTCCCCTTCGCCCACGCAATTTTATAAAAAGCATATCCAAGAGCCCCTATATTACGCGCACGTACACATATACTCGGTCAAAACCAGGAATCTACTTCACTTGCATGGGTCAGGCGGCTCCAACATCTAACATCAATGCAGCAGCAACCTTGCACCGGATCTTGTTTACGCGCATCCGCATCTGGCTTTCCTATTTCCGGTGGCCAAGGCTCCGCTGGTCTTGTCCGGCCGATCACATTGGCGTACAAGGGTGAAGGTACGTACACAGTGGCGCAAGGGCTCGGGCTCAAGGTTCGTATCCGACACATCGGCAGCGTGCGTCGAGGGCGTGATAAGTATGGGTGAGTGTGTTCCTCGTGTAACTTTCCGTAGAGCGCGCAACCTCCCTCCAAGCAGCTCGGCAAGCTTGGCTTTATGACGAAATGCCGATCGTTGTCGTTATGCGTCGGCCAGCTTGATGAACTCCGGAATGTTCACATGTGTTCTAGGAATCTATGATATAAGTGAAGTTGTGTGAGGAGAACGTGTGAGGAGCTATGGCGAGAGGGTGAGGAAAGTGTATATAGGCGTCAAGCATGGTACGGTCAATGCGACGCGTCGGCGAATATTGCCAAAAAGATCGAGAACAACTGTCCACATGATGAAGCACAGAACGCTGCATAGCCCAAACGCCGTCCATGCAAGTATGCGTGCTAGCCCAAAGAAATATTACGTTCTAGTCATAATGAGGTGGATATCTGAATCAACTTAAACAAGTACCCCGAACTCCCGGAAGCCCAAGATGGTAATGCGGTTAGGAACGCTGAAGAATGTTGCCAACGATGTCAATGTACAACCCTACCCAGGCTTGGCGTTTGTACTCCTGGTTTTTCAGTATGTGTAGCGATTTCAAGCACACTCGTTGAGCTTTCGCCACCGCCCTGTACGCTCATGCCGAGGGCTCTCCGCGCAAGTTCTTTCTGCCCGTTTGCCATGTGTTCGACAGGAGAGTGTGTTGTGTTGTGCCCGTTGGTTGGCGAGTCGTCATCTGCAACGGTTGCTGCCGGCTGCAACCACGGCACACTGGTACAACGTTGTACGAGCCGCACAGTGGTTTCGTCAACGGGTGCAAAGTGGTTACCGCTCGTGACAAGAAGATGGAAGAGTCTCAGAAGCTCTTCGCGTTTGTAATAGGGCGGCCTGCTAATCTGGCTGTTAGTCAGGATCGGATTGAGCACCCGCAGATAGGTGTGCCGCAGGGCGCTCGCAGCAGGCGATTCGTGAGGGAGGTCGATAAGGTTCCGAAGGATGACGTCGACCAAGACATGGAGATCGTTCGTGTAGAAGTACTCGGCTGTCGAAGGGTTTCCAAAGATAAGATATAGGACTTTGAGAATCAATAGCTGAAGGGATGTCTCCGACTCCCGGTTCAAAAGAAGGATAAGATTGCACCCGAAAGTCTTGTAAGTCATGCCATGGGTGGATATGGCTTTGATGACGCGATTGGTAACCCCAGATCGACCGTTGTTCTGCTGATTTGTAGAAGCCACCAGATATTGCTCGTTCAAAACCAGCTGCCATGCCGTTAGCTATTGCTTGGGACATCCGTACAGTCTACATACCAGAACGCGTATTACTGGGTAATGATAAGGATCTTCGGCGTCGTCGGAAACGCCTTCAATGATCCCTAGGAGGTAGATAATGAACTGATCATTAACTGCCACTATAGTGACACATCAGTCTCTGTTCTCATCTCAAGAGAGGATCGAACGGCTTCGGTATCAAACGCACAGAAATCTTCCCAAGTCAACCGCTGTATACGCGAAGACTCGTATAAAAGCTCGAGGAGCAGTTGATGCAGCCTTGTATCCTCCTGCACGGCCTGAAGCTGTACCAATTCAACGAGGCGGGGAAATGTGCCTTCGGAGTGCATCATCTCGAAAATCACATCGTCGTTGCTATTGCGACCGTCGTATAGGAGAACTGCAGCCACTACATGAAGCGTAGGGTTATCATCCTCCTGGTATCTTATCAGCCTTGCTCTTCCGCCAGTCAAAATAGCCGTGAGGTATCCATTCCACATACCTGCAAGAGGCAATATATTATCTGTCGCCGAACGTATTCCTTGTGCGCCGCGAAGAGCTCGCCCTCCAGTAGGCGAAAGACGCATTTCGCAACGCTGTAATCGGTCTGAAGGTATTCGGCTACTCGAGGTCAACTTTGCTCAGCGCAGATGGAGGTCGCAGTACATTTGTAGCTGGTGGTGACATTGAGGAAGGAGCGAAGAGAGTTGTCGATGATCTCGTGTTCCTGACAGCGCGTCGACACGATATCGTCGAGCTCTGTATAGTATGTTAGTGTGAACAAGTTGGTGGGGTTAGAGGCGCTCTCACCATCCCAGAACTGTTGCTCATTCTCGAGGTTGTACGACACCTCAAATGCCATGTCGTGGTCGCGGGTCGACTTCTACAATCATCCTCCCTAGCAATGTAGGCTACGAAAAGCTATGTTGAAGGCGCAAGTAGGTTGTTGGTGTTCAGTTGTTGCGCATCAACACCCCACGGAGTTGCCGAGAATTCGCCGGCATTAGTGCGTCACCGCCGAATTTCAGGTATAGTCATTCACGTGCACATAATAGGAGCCAACCCTGAGTATAACAACGGAATCATTTGAATCGCTCAAACTTGATCATAGCAGTTCTGCTACCCTACTTGAAACAATGTAACGCACCAAAACATATATCGAGTGTGACAGGTCTACTAAACGGCAGCCGCGGGCTACACCTGTGGCAATTGCTTTCAAGGCCATAGACCAGTCTACCTCTCAAACTACACATGGCTAGTCACTTCCCATGATCTAGAATCGAGATTGTACATGACATGGTATATAGGGACGCATACTCTCCACCTTGGCCTTCAGATCCTTGACTTCACCTTCCAACTTCTTAGCTTGAGTCTCTGCTACAGTTCTCATGGTACGAGCATGACGCCAGTCAAAGTCCGCCTCGGCCAAACATGCTGATAGTTCCGTGTTCTTGTCTTGCAAACCTTGGATTGTTTTGTTCTTCGTCGCCATCTGTTTGTCCTTGCTAGCCGATACTTCCTGACAAAAAGAAAGTCTAGTCTGCAAATCTTCGTGATCTTTGAGAAGAGGTCGCATGGCCATCGTATTAACTGCCAGATCGAAGAAGAAGTCTTTGGGTAGACAGGAGGGTTCCGCGATCTTGGAATTTTGGTCACCGAAGGTAGTGTAGAGGTGAACGAGCAGAACACGAGCGGGGCTGCCTTCGGGAGTACCGTCGTAAATGATTTGGATACACGCGGGGCCTGGATAGTGAAAGGTTTTATTAGTAGCAGAAGGCTCCTTGGACCTAGCAAGCATTGCGGCGAGAACAAGTTCCTTGGTAATGTCGTCCATAAGCATCTCGGCAAGGACGTAGAGCTTGCTAAGCGCAGTGTATTGGCAGAACTCGGTAGTAGTTGACTCTATTTCCTTCGTTGGCAGTACTTTGGTCTAGGGCGAGTCGTAAGTGGTCGTCCGCTTCGTAGAGGAACCTGAGCTTAAATATAGGAGTTCGAGGTAGAGCTCGAAAACTGCAGGCTCTTCTTTAGCCAGCGTAACCTTGTGCTCCTCGCCCTCCTTCCAGTTCTCCTTCATTGCGTTCTCGAAGAACTCACTGCGTGGACAGATGAGAGCTTCGTGAACGAAGAAGTCCTTCGCCTCGGGGTGTTCGCCGACGATAACGCGGATGGCAGGTGAGTTGATATATCTGTGCGGTCAGCTTCGAGAGCGTTGAATGGCGATAAGATCAGACCTTCCCAACTGCGCTGGATCGCGGAACCCGGACATCTTTAGTTGAAACCATTGCTCTGGGGTGACGACGAGTAGTGGATCAAGAAGAAATATCTAGGTAGCGGAAGCTATTTAAGTATTGGAAGGGCCTGTCTGGGGCTTTTTGGTTTCCCTGCGCAGAGCTTTAAGCTCCTGCGGGCACTTGAGTAAGCTCGATGTTATACATTCAGTGAAAGACTGAGTGCTTGCGACTCAAAGAAACCGAACGGAATCAGACGTGCTATAACTACAATTGGACGCATTCATACTCTATGCTTTCAAGAAGTATGGCATGTAAGTCTAGAGCGTTTTCTCAGAAGCCGTAACAAACAGTGACTGTGAGTCTCTTGACGATGCATTCCCATCCGGGATACTGGATTGGTTAGTTCCGTTTTCACTCTCTTGAATCGAAGCGATATAATGATGTACGAACCTTGGCCCGGGCCCAGACGAGGATCCTATCACCATCTGTTAGCGCTTGCAGGAAGCCTTTCCCCGTGCCAGCTCCCTCACTATTCCCCCCGCTCCCATCTTCGGCCCAAACTACGTGATATCTTTGACGGCTAGCAGTAACGCGATTACCCTGTAAGTACCACGCGAGGTCACCCTCTCCATCTTGTGGCCCTTGAAATGCATCCTCTGGTCGGCTGACTAGAAAGCAGCCACGACCCGCCATATGCCTGTGAAAGCCAAGGGGATTGCAAACAAGGGGGTCCATCAGACCCAGATCAGGTATGTGAATACTTCTGTTCGTCTCATTACGGAGTATGGACACTTCAAGCCACGAATAGGTGTCGTAAGTGTGGGCCAAGTTGTTCGAAGACACCCAGCCCTGGTCATTGCTGATGATGTCGAACTGGACGGCCCTGATCTTGAACCGCTCACCACTTGCGCGAATGCTGTTGACAGTGGGGTTGTTGAAGACGCCGACTTCGAGGCAAAGGGCTGCTCTTGGTGCTGTAGCCTGTATACGATCAAAGCTGGACTTGAGCGTATAAGTCGGCCAGTAGCTTGCATAATCTAAAATGTCGAGAACAAGCTCCGTGGGGAGGTGCAAGGCCTTGAGTAAAGCCCGGGCGCGACAAACATCTTCGTAGGTGGGTGTGGTGAACGGGGCTGCGGGCTGCGGTTGACCTCGAAGCCTGTCGAATGACGGTAGGAACTGCGTTATGCTGGACAGGAAGCTCATGGCGATAGAGGTTCTAGGTGTCGAGATCTAAATGTGCTGGTTGATTGTAATAAATTTGCTATCGAATTGAAGAATGATGCTAGTTGAACCAGCGATCCATGGGTGCACCTGGCATGGCTGAGTGAGCCGGAGCCCTAACCGCCACCGGGCTCCTAAGCGATTGGCATGGGTTAGTCCAGCAGTCTGAAGCCAGAGAGCGATGACGTTGAGCGTGTCATGAATGGCCAGTGAATGTCTCGTAGCGTCACTGCCCTAGGTACACCCGTATACTGCTTGCCCTTGCGTGCTGATAGTCATTGCTGCTGATGGCGATGGGCATATATGCTTTATTGGGTCTGCACCTGCAGCGAATCAGACCCCCGCAGGTCAGCTTCCGCGCTGCCCAAGTGGGCTGTAGTCTTCCCGGAGAGCTCCCCCACACCTCATACCACTCCACATTGATCGCGAAAGAAGGGTACTGTCTGACTAACAACTCATCTACAACACCATTATTTAGCATCTTCCTCTTCGCATTGACGTCCACCAGCACACCAAAACATTTCGCGAACCACCACCAGCAAGCATTCCTGCCTGGTGCACCCCGCACCTCAACAAACCCTCCACCGCGATGGCAGACCACGCGGAGCCTGCAAACGGGAAGAAAGGCGCTCCTGTCCCTATAAACACGTCTCCACTACAATCCCTCAGCAATTCCGTCTCTTCATTGAGCCGCTCGCCCCCAGCAGCCCTCAAAATGGCCTCTAGTCCTGGCCCGCATTCATCCCACCGCTCGAGCTTCGCAGAGCACATGCGCGGGGCACCTACCTCTCCACGCGCGTCACGACAGCCATCCCTCACGCAACAAGCATTGCAGGATCTACTCAACAACCCGCCAACCAAAGGCGGTGATCCCAAATTCCATGGGCGTGACTGGAAGACGGTTACCCTAGGGGAGATTGTTGACCCAAGTCTGGTGAGGTTTGCCGAGTACGACACTAGCGTTGAGGATGCTACAAGTGTGAGTTCCTTTCTCACCCGCAAGCAACAGAGCAGAGCTGACAAGCACAGCTACTGGTCAAACACGGCGCCCCCAATGTCATCCTGCTCCGCGAAGATGCGAACACGCGCCACGCGACCGGAACCTTTGATTACAGCGACCTGAACGCATACCTGCTCCTCGTAGTCGGCCTTGCACATCCAGACCAAGAAGACACAGCATCCTTTGACGAGCTTGCAAGGAAGGGGCGAGAAGGGAAGCCCATCCCACTCCGAGACGTGAAAGAGGTTGGCAACAAAAAGGAGCCTCTGATCACGCTTCCTGACACGGCAGACCTCAAAAAGGCCATAGAGGTGTTTGGTAGTGGCGTGCACAGAGTATTAGTCGCGGAAGACGGCACGACCAATGTCATTGGAGTGCTCACACAGTTGAGATTGGTCAAGTTCTTCTGGGAGAACCAACAGAGCTTCCCGGCTGTGAATCAGTTGTACCCGCAACTAATCAAAGATTTGAGCCTTGGGTCGAACAACGTCTTGGCCATCAAGTAAGCACTCGACAGGTACAGGAAGAGCACATGGAGCTAACTGAACATTTAGCGGTGACGCGCCTTTGGCTTCGGCGCTGGAGCTTATGAATAACGAAGGCATATCATCCCTCCCAGTTCTTGATACTTACAACAATGTCATTGGCAACATCTCACATGTTGACGTTAGGGTATGTTTGGAGGACGCTGTTTCAAACCATCGGTAACTGACCAAGCCACTACAGCTCCTTACGAAATCAACATCGCTGCCACTGCTCCGCTCGTCTTGTATCCACTTCATAACCGTCATCCTTTCCGAACGCGGCGTGACCGACGGAAAAGATTCCTTCCCTGTCTTTCACGTCAATCCCTATAGTACGCTCGCCCACACCGTGGCCAAATTAGTAGCAACCCGCTCCCACCGCATGTGGATCGTCGACACGCCCTCGCCCGCCTCCTCGGGTCCATCAACACCCGCACTCACACCCTCTGTCCTCGTTCCCCCTTCACCAATCACGCCTTTACCTGCTCTGGTATCTGGCCCCATGCCCATCAACTCTATAGCACCCACGCACCTCGCTAGTACCGGCGCCATAGCACCCGCCATATCCGCATCAGCCATCCCCGGAGCAAGCTTGTCTGGTAGACTCAGCGGTGTCATTAGCCTCACGGATATCTTGAACTTGTTCGCAAAGATAAGTGGTCTGCATCCTCATGATCCTGACGAAGCGAGGCGTGCTAGGCGTAGGTCGAGCTCGAGCAGTATGAGGCGGAGCATGGACAGCTCGCGGAGCGAGAGCGTCAGCGGAATTGCAGGACGACGGGGAAGCGTGAGTGAGAGGGAGAAGAACCTGCAAGGACTAGGAGTCTCGAGAGGACGCGGAAATGCTTGAAAGACGCAAGGTGGCAGAGAAATGGAGAGAATCAAGTACGACTAGGGGCTTTTGCAAGGACTGAAATATTGGGCTCCCCAAACATGGCGTTAAATTGAGCGTGGAGGCTATCCCTTGTTCTGAGAGAGCTGAAAGCTTCGGCGTTGGGCAAGCGCATCCATGGATTGGGATGGGAGTGATTCTGGGATTATGAGGGACGTGGCTATTACGGCATACACTTTACATCGAGTCAGACGAGGACTTTCTCAACGAGTCGATATATAGAATATCAATCTCTCTACACGCATCCTACGTAGCCTAATCCATGACAGATCGCAATGAGCTCCGGGATGTAGGACTTTGGCTAGCAGGGTTGGGTAGGTCCTACAGAAGTTTGTATATTGCTGCTGCCTGGACTTTGTATTTGACGTCATTGTCCAGGGGCGAAAATATGGTTAAAGTCGAGTTACGGTTATCCTGAGGAGAGAGTTCTGGAAAGGGCAAGTGCTGGTCTGGTCCAAAATACCGTAATTGGCCCCTTTGATCGCTAGATTATGATCAGCTGCTCTAGTATGAGTGATCCCAAGTGACGATCTGCTTCGGAAAACATGGCAATGTAGCGGTCAATTAAGCGAAGAGCAAGGCTTGGAGTCTTTCTTTCTTTCTTTGCTAGGACTATGTGGTCTTGTATATATCAATATAGCCGATAGCTCGAGGCGTGATTGATGCTACATACCGAGGGTTTTCCAAGGCGCGCTATGTGATGGAGGGTTGCACATGCAGGGGGGCGGGGTGCGGATACGAAGTATGTAAGGGATAAATGGGTCGAAAGGAGACAGAGTGGGTATTTGCGCTACTAGCCAAGTAGAGGTCTTTTAGGTGTGTATTCTGGGGCTGTTCTGATAGACGTTGACAGGCAGGTAATATTGGCTGCTCCGGGGGGTTGGCCTGCACAGTGGTTCGAAAGGGAAGTTGTTCCGGGGGTCTGACGACGGCATTCCGCACTAAGGTGCTGGAGAATGGGCATGCTCGAAACTGAGGCGCGACCCGTCGTCTCAAGCTATGCACGTCTTATGCAGCGCCTACCATGTCGAAGCGCTGATTGCCGCCAGCAAAGGTCCGCGGGCGGGGGAAGACTGAAGTGATTGATATACTGTGCCCATGTGGCAAAGAAGTGGGCGGACAGGGCCGGGGGCGTGTAACTAGTCGGCTTGTTGGCGCCTCTCCCCTGAAGCGAACAGAGGGACCAAGCGCGAGGGGCGCATCGGTACCTGATTCGCCCTGGCGGCTGCGGCACACCAGTTCTCAGGTTTCAGGAGGTGATACGAGGAGGGCCCCACGAGGAGAAAGGATGCTTTGGGGCAGCGCAGGACGACGACGACGAGTTCGGCCATGGCTTCCTTCTTATATTATCATTCAGAAGGCCATTGACTCGTGTGCTATAGCAGCCCTGGCAGGGGTCCCCCAAAAACTAGGTTTGGACCTTCTGCACGTCTATCTGAAAAAGTTCCTAGCTAGTAGGCGTTTCCAACTCTCCTGCATTGCATCCAGCGCCTCGCGTCGTTGTGTGAACGCCCTCGTCCACCTGGGCACCGCGTCTCTATTTTATATTACACTACACTACACTACACTACACTGCACTGCACACATCCTGCCATTTTACCTGCAGTTTACCTGCAGTGAGTGATCCGCAGTGGTACTCGACTAGCGAGCGCGTGGCTCGTTTTGGCTTTGTCCTGCCTACATCACCAACACCGACTGTCAGAGACCTCGGGAAGCCCCTGAAGCTCACCAGGGCCCGAGTCCCCGCCCTGCGTAGCGTCATCTTAGATTCGATCGCTGTTTCTTGCGCGTACCATGCGACAACGAGCGCCTTGATTCACCCTAGTGTCACGAGCCGAGCCCTGCTGGCTGCTGTCACCGACGGAACAGCGCGCATACGCAACAAGCACCTCCATTGCTTGCTTGCGTCCCATCCTCCACGTCTGCCAGGCCGTTCCGGAGAATGCTCCCGTACTGAAGCATCGAGCGCCACCTATCCCCAGCGGTCGAACGAATAAACCCCAAAGGCACAACACACCATGCACGACTTCACACGCCATGGCTCCCGCCCAACCACGCCAACAGGGCCCTCGAGAACACACAAGTCCAACGCGCCTATGCGCGCCCTCAACACCACGCAGCCCAAGCAGGAGACCTTCTTCGACGATGCAACGCCCGTCGATGGATCGAGTGGAAACGTCCAGGAGCTAGATCCACTGCGCGACTCCCACGACCTCTCTTTTGCCGATGGGGCCACGGTGAGGGACTCGGTGGTAGACAACATGCTGCTCTCGTTGGATCAGTTCTCCACCGGACACATGTTCAGCAACACGGGCCCCCAATACACAAACTACGGCGAAGACGAATTCTTCCTTCGAGACAATTCCTACCGGCCGCCCGGGCCACGTCACCGAGGCCACACCTACACCTCGTCGCGCTCGTCCGACTACGACCTACACCCCGAAGACCCGTCTCGATACGCTAGCCAACAGCCCCGTAGCCGGAGGAGCAATAGTAGCAACAACATTGGCACGCCAATAAGCAGAAAAGGAAGCGGAAGAGATGCGTACCCCGGCAGGCAAACCAATGCTTCGTATGGGCAGCTTCAACAAGCGGGACACCTGAGAGGCGGTGGCAAGAAAAGCAGCAAGGGCAGCGGTTCCTCGAGCATGGACTTTGGCCAGACAGGGCTCTTGGGGACACAACGCCTGGGCTTCGGAAAGCGCTCTGCCAGTTTCGATCATAGCAACGTCAGCGACCGGGGAAGGATGGCGCCTTTAAAAGTCGAGTCTGTGTTGGATAGAGGCAGGATGGCATACCAGAACTACCCGGACGATTACGATGCGGCTCCTGAGCCTACCATCCCCGCTGGTCCTCGGAGACTACAGGAACCGCAGTCGCCCAACCTATACCCCCCGCAGCCCGCGTATGCACCACCGCAAGCTCCTGCATCTCGCCGTAGGGGTAGCGTTCACTCGAACACGAGTTACAAGACGGTGCGAAGGAACAAAAGCCAACCAGCAGAAACGAACATGCGAGCTCAGGCACAAGAGTTTGTCAATGCCAGCACGTTGCGGGACTTGCCTCCCGTGCCGTCGTTCCAGGACCCTACAGCACCATCCCCAACCGTGGCCACGCGCAAGTCCCCCCTGTTCCAGTCGCAAGGCCCGGTGGTCGCTCCACCAAAAGAGAAGCCTGGGTTCTTTAGACGCGTGTTTGGCGGAGGTTCCTCCAAAGCCCAATCACAAGCCACTAATGCTCCAAATGCCCCGACTCCTTCAGAGATGGAGTCGTCTCCGGCCTCGGCCCAACAGAGGGCCCCTGAGGTCGACTCGTTGTATTCGCAAACTCGACCGCGTACCACGCCCAGCAACAATAACAATAGCCACATTGCTACTCAACTAAAATCCCTACCGAAGCCTCCCCAGACCGCTTCAGGTTCGCAGAGAGAATCGCAACCACTTGCTCCACCTGTGCTGACGAAGAAACCCTCGTCATTCTTTAGGCGGCGAAAGAAGTCCGTCTCTGAAAACACGAGGCCTCCTGTGATGGCCCTTGATTTTGCACCGCCACCCAAGCCTGTATTACCCGCGCAGCCTAGTCCGAGTGTCAGCAGTCTGCGCAAGGTTATGAACCCCTACCTGAGTGAAGCGACGCGCGCAGGTGAAAAGGAGAAATTCTACGATTCGCGAGAACAGCTGTCTGCTGAAGACGGCGGCGGTGTGAGCGATGAGCGACCCCAGGGGTTTTCGCCCGGTTACAAGCCTCACAAAGAAGCAACTGTTCGCCCGGTGAAAGCAACGTCACGTGTAGATGACCAAACGCCTCCAGCTTCACGGAACGAGCAAGTGAAGACGTGGCACTTGACCAATGCAGACAGTCCCAAGATGAAGCTGAAGGTGAAGCAGGGGAAAGCAGCCGTTGCTACTACTAGCCAGCAGGAAGATAGCTTCCTGGCCGACAGCAGCAGCGCCAATGAGGACCGCAGTGGTCGCACGACTCCGACGGGCGAGCGCAGTGGCGCCGACGAAGGGCGGAGAGCCAGCACCTGCCCCACTTGGTCGTCGCTCAACCAGTCTGGGTCAGAGGGAAGGAGCGACGGGAAGGCGAATGGCGACGGGCGGACCGAGCGACTATCGCCCAACAACCAGCCAACGTCTGGGAGCACATCTGGGTCGCCGTCGGCCTCCGAGGTCGAGGACGAAGGCTGGGTCATCACTGAAGCCACCAAAAAGGCGCCGGCGTCGATGAGCAACCCAAGTGCCGCTGCCAAACGCGTGTGGCTCGACACCACCCTCCCTGAAGACCAGCTCGATAGCACAACCGAAGACCTCAAGCTGCCGTTAGAAGGCGCGCGCGCATCTCAACAGTCGCTCGACAAAGCGACGCCGATTACCCCAAATGCAACTTCTCCCACGTCGCCCAATGACGTCTTCCACTCGGCCACAAGCCTGCCCATAGTCCAAGTCGAGAGTCGCGCTTCCACCGACACGATGCCTGCCATTATCGAGGACAGCACGTTGCTGACCGAGCCTACTGCCGCCGACCGAGAACGCGCTTTCCACATCTACAATGGCGACGATTCCTCAATCCTCAAGGCCCAAGCGGCTACGCTGCTGGGCGACGTCACCGTGGCCAGCATGCGGACTCGCAAGGCCTTCATGGACCTCTTCGACTGGACCGGCTTCACCATCCTCGCTGCTATGCGTGACATGTGCGGCAAGATTGTCCTCAAGGCGGAAACACAGCAGGTGGACCGCATCCTCATGGCCCTTTCGGAGCGTTGGTGTGAATGCAACACCACGCACGGATTCAAAGCAGTCGACGTTGTACACACTATTTGCTACTCCATCCTGCTTCTCAACACGGACCTGCATCTGGCTGATATTGAGTCGAGGATGACTCGCAGCCAGTTTGTCAGAAACACGCTTCCCACTGTTACCCGCGTATGCCAGGATGCGCTCAAGGCCTCGGGAGGCGAGACACTGCGCCCACAATCCACCCAATTCAGAAGAGGCTCTCTTCCGTGGCACGATAAATCAGAGCCAAACTCACCAAACGCCGATGCCACTGCCTTTGCAGCAGACGTGCCTGAAGAGACTACACAAGAGAGAAAATCCCGCAGTCGTCTATCAATCAGGCCGCCAGGTAGAAGCGGATCAGACGGTCTGCTTTCCTTCGAGTCCTCCACGTCCGAGTCAAACAACCTGGTCAACTCGCCATACAATGGCCCCGCACGCGGTTGGGAGTTCCAGATTGAGATTGTTCTCAAGGACTTCTATGAGTCTATTCGCAAACAGCGCCTGCCCCTCCACGGGGTTTCTGATCTTGTTGTCCACCACCAGCCATCCTCCAACAACCTCTCCGTCAGCAACATGCTACGTCGCACCCCAAGCGTTCTGAGCAAAACACCCTCTGATAACATGAGCTACCGTGGCCGATCCCAGCCCGACTTCCGCAGCGTAGGTAGCCGCTGGGCTACTAAGAATCGATCCAAGCAGCGCCTGTATCCTTCTTCTACAGTTGCATCCAGCCGAACAAGTCTAGACGATGGATCTGTCTTCAGTCCTGCTGGGTCAAGCACATGGAGTCGCTATTCATATGGCAAGACGGGAACGTCCATGTCCATGGAATCACTTGGCTCGCACTTTGCTGCCGGTGATTATCAACAGGCCATCGGGTTCGCCAATGCCCTCAGTCAAGCCATCATTCGTGAGGAAGGGATGACGATCGCCAGTGACGAAGAGTTCAGTCGTGTCGCGCCGCTCTTGGAAGACGAAACTTTGGAGCTTGTTGGAGCACCCTGGGCAAAAGAAGGCATTCTGAAGCACAAGCACCATCTCGAGTCCGTGGACAAAAAGGCCAAGGACCGGGCGTGGACCGAGTGCTTTGCTGTTGTCGAGAAGGGCTACATGCGCCTATTCTCCTTCAGCATGAACTCCAAATCAGTGCGCCACAAAAGCAAACTTCGACCGTCTGCCGGCAGTGTCGTTGGTGGCGGTAACTGGATGGACAACGCAGAGGCGCTCGGCAGTTTCCCGCTTCGACAGACGATTGCCAGTGCGCTACCACCTCCTGGATACTCGAAATCAAGACCCCATGTTTTCGCCTTGTCGCTTCCAACCGGTGCCGTTCATCTCTTCCAAGTGGGAACGCCTGACATTGTTCGCGAGTTTGTCTGTACTGCCAATTATTGGTCTGCTAGACTATCCAAGGAGCCTTTGACCGGCGGTGTTAGCAGTATGGAATATGGCTGGGGCGAGAACGTCATCAACCCAGCCTTGATCCGGCAAGACAGCGCGCCATCAGTACAAGGCCATATGCCTCGTCCTAGCGTGACGAGTTCGCTCCGTAGTTCGATGGACCATGCAACCGGTACTCCAAAGGCTAGACTCCCGGGCGACAAGGTTGTCCTCTCCGATTGGAGCCCCCCAACCTCAAGCATGATGGCGAGCAACTTGATGGAGGTGGATCAGCTAAGAGCCCTGACCGACTATGTTAAGAATATTGAGGGAGAGCTGGCGCATCACAATGAACTAAGAGCGCCTCTGCTCATCACAGTAAGTCATCTTTTCCTTAGTCGACGTACCAAAAGCTAACCCTCGCGCTCAGTTCTCTCCTCGCCATCCGAACGCGGCAAAGGCCATGGCCAATTGGGAACGCAAGTCTCAATACCTCCTCCGCGAGATTGTCAAATTCCGGACCTATATCGACACCCTCACCACAGCACAGATCCAGCAACGGAAAATCTATGCTGAGCGCGAAGCTAGTGAAGAAAAAGTTGCAGAGGTTGAGAGTGCTGTGGCGCAGCGCGCAAAGCCTGCAGAAGAAGACGGTGCGAAAGAAGCCCCGAAAGCTTCCCAGCCCGTCGCGAACCCTCCTTCCACCCCCGCTTTCCTTTTACATCCATGATGGTTGCGTCTTGCATGCACTGACGATTCTTCTTTTCTTCATGTTCAGGTCTCACACCTCTTCGGCGTACGATGCGGCGTTTACGGCTTCTCCATTCCTCGAAGTCTTGTTTGAGACAGCGCCCTCATTCGGTGGCTTGAGGCACTTTTACCCCTTGTAATACCCAAAGCTTATTTTTTGTTCTTTTTTCAGCGCACCGCATGTCACGACATGTCTCTTTTTTCTTACGATGTCGACTCGAAGCGATGACGCTTGTGGACGACTACGACTAGCATTTCAGTTGCCGAGCGCGATGGCTGAGCCACTTTACATGTCCCGACATCTCGATTATATTCACGGTTGATGATATTGCAATGGTGGAAGCGTTCTGTATTCTTGGAGGTTTATTGTCTTGTAGACATGAGAGGTCTAGATAAAGTGGGCTTTTCAGGATCTTGGAAAACTATACCCCAGGTTCAATTCCATACAGTTTAATTTTTCGATTGGACTGAGTATTCCATTGCAGACGTGGCTGCATACTAGATTCTTCCAGTTTTGGAGTTTGCATGCGAGATGGCGTAGGTAGTGTGGTGAATGAAGAGTGATTGTGCTGCATAGCTCTCAGCTCATAGCTCAGCATCATGCACTATGAAGGTCGATGTAACGCTCTCGCCACCACTTGCGCCTAGACTATGCATTTGACTAACGTCGATTACGCCTGACATGCGCCATGAGGGTACTGTCTGTGACAAGTGCATCCCACTCACAACCAGCCCAAGACTTCGGCCTTTGCCGTTGGCGCGCAGCGTCTTGCGCAAGCCACCGTTGTCCCATGCATGCGGGCTGGACCTCTTTAGCGCCTGGGAGCATGCATCCACCACACGAAAGCGTGTCGTCGGGGTGCATGCTGGGATCCAAAAGGGAAAGCTGAGGTCCAAGAGGGGTGGGTGGAGAGGAGTGCGATAGGCATGGCAGGGCTGTGAGGTGCATAGAGCTTTACCGCATGTTCAATCTTGATCCAAGTGATGCATCTGCTTTTGAGGCCCTTGTTCGCAGACATTGCTTTAATCGGAGACGGTGTGAATGCAGCTCACGCCAAGATGCATTCTATGGTGCGTGGCTAGAGCAGCTTGCTTTTTTTTGATGGGAGAGGTCATTGATCTTTCTCAGGGGAAGATGATGGCTACTTTGCACGAGCAGCGTGACAAACCTAAAGCAGCCGTAAATCCATAATCTAATCATCTTGCACAAAAGCCCGTCGCCACAATTAGTGCTCTCTTTTTTAGAAACTATAGCCTGTGCTTGCGCTCTTATTAGTTCGCCAAAGCTGCTGCCTAAACTAATATAAATATATATACTGCTGCTATTAACTTTACAATTATTATTTAAATAGTTAAAAATAGCTTTGCTTATTATTTTAGTATATATAATATATTATACAGGCGAGTCGGTTGCCTAGTTAAGTTAGTTACGATGCTAAAACCCTACTAAAATTAGTAGTCTTTTACTATTAAACGCAATACTTTAATATAATAATATGCAATTTTTTTAAAAAAAAAACTAAATATAATTTGTAATTTAGGCTTTAAAATATAATGTAAATTTTTTTTAATAAAAGGCTATGCGGATCTACAGCGTTTTTTAAATAATATTTAGTAATTAACTAAAAAGAAAGCTTTTATAATACAATACTAGGCCTAATAAAATAAAGCTTTTTTTAATAAAAGAAAAAGTAATTGCCTAGTATATATTTTATTTTAAAAACTAAGGATTTCTGCCTTAACTAGCTGCTATAAATAATATAGCTAATACTTTGCTAGCTAAATATAAATAACTACTTATTAGCAAGAATTAGGCTAGTATATTTATTAAATAATATTTATAGCTTAGTACTAAAATTTTTTAAAAGTATAACTATTAAAAAATTTTATATAAAAATTTTAAGCTTGTACAAGGCTAGTTTTAACTTATAAAAAATATAAAAGCTAAGTATAGTATTTAAAATAAAAATATATATAATTTTAATAAAATAGGCTTTATAATAGGCTAAATATTATATAAAATTATTATTTTAAGTGCTAACTATTAAAGACAGCCAAAGATAGTATAGTAGAATAATTAAAAGTAAGTAATAATAATTTAAAATATTAATATAATAAAGTAAACTAATCGACAGCTACGGCAAGGGCAAAGAGGCCCTCTAAAGTCAGTTACGAAAAATCAAGCTGCAAAAATTTGGATTTTTACCTAGGTGGGTAACTAAATTTGGCAAAAAAAGAAGAAAAATATAGCTTTTATTATTAGAAACTGCAGGATTTGAACTTAGTTTACTGCATATAATTCGGATATAATTTGGGTATAACTCGGGTATAATTTAGATTTAATTAGACAATTTATTAAACTTAGCTATATAGTTAACTAAATTATTAAGGTTTTTAGAGCCGTAGAAGCTTTTCCTTAATAGGCTACAATATTCGAATTTAACTACAATTGTTGTTATAGCTTAGGCTTTAGCCTAAGCCCTAGTATTTGCAGACTAAGGACCTCGGCAAACTTTAGTAATAAACCCTTATATAAGTAGCTAGAAATTTCTATACTTCTTTAAAGTATATAATACTATTATTTACGCTTAGAATAGAATAATCTTAAGGCTAGTTTATAACATTTATATACTTTCTTTTTATTATTTATATTTAATAAATAAAATAGAGCTTAATAACAAAAATAACTTAAACTTAATTAGAACTTTTCTACAGACCCTTAAAGAGGGACAATAAAAGAATACAGTAGTAATAGCAATACTATATTAATAAAATAAAAATATATAAAATAAGTTCTAAAGCTTTGCTAAAATGCTTAAAAGTAATTACTTACTATAGCTAAAACTTATAAAAGCAAAACTAGCACTTACTCTAGTACTATTTAAACTCTAAGTTAACTTTTAACTAAGCGCGCCTGCTTTACTTATTACACTTATATTTTAGTTAAACTTTTTTATTATTTACTATAAGCTTTTTTTAATAAAAGAGCTATTTTTAAGACATAAGGCATACTTCTAGGCCTAAAAAGTTATAATTAAGCATAAATTAAGAACTAATACAGCCTTTATAAAAAATAGGAAAAATATATTTGCCTTTATATAGAGTTAACTAAAAGCAAGTATTTAAAAAGAAGTTAGCTCTTATTATAAAACTAAAAGGTAAAAAAAATAATAAGACTTAGTTACTTTTTTTTAATACCTAAATTTCTACTATAAAAATAACTATAGGAAGGAATAGGCGTAGGCTAAACTAGAAAACTTTTAGCAAAGTAATAAAAAAAAATTTTTAAAATTTTTTATTTACTTTAAGCAGCTTTTAGCTTAAAGCAGTAAGGCTAAATAAAACTTTAAATAAAAATTTTATAAGCTTTAGCGCTATTTAAATTACATACTTTAAACTATTGCTCTGCATTAAAGAGTTACTTAAGTAGACTACTATATAATAATTACAGCCTATAAATTAATTATAGTAGATATTAAAACTATAGCTATAGAAGAAAAAATTTACTTATACTACTAGCCTATACTAAAGGCAAAGCGTAATAAGGATAAAAATATTAAAATAACTTTAGTTTATGCTATAAAAATAATAAAATTATAAAAATAAAAAAGCTTAGTAGCTTTAAAAAGCAAATTATAACTATAGTAATTTAACTAAGTACTAAATAAAGTTTTTTAATAATAACGCAAGGCAGGACTATATATATACTACAAAGAAAATAAGCATTTTATAAAAAACTGCGTAAATATAGTATTTCTACGTATAATATTTATTAAAGCTATAGCAGCAGTACTACTACTAATTAAAAATAAAAATTAAAAAAACTAAATACTTTTAGCTAAAGATTAAACTAAAGGTAATGCAGGAATACTATAGCAGAAAAGTAGACTAGGGTAGAAAATAATACAAAAAAAGTTTAAAAAATTTAGCAAAGAATAAATAAACTCTTATTTTTTATACTAATTTTTTTTAATAAAGTAAAGTTTATAAATGCTTTAATTAACTTAAAGTACAAGTATTTTAGTGCTATAAGCAAAAAAATAGTAAAGCAAGTTAGAATAAATTTTATTAATATTCTGCTTTAATTTTTAAACTAGGCTATAGGAACTTTTTTAGGTATAAGAATAATCTAGCTAGTTATGCTAGGCTATAATATAAATAGTTAATAGTCTTGCTTAGTAGCATATATAATTCCTAGCTTAAAGCACAATTTTATTTTTAAAAAACTATTAATTTGCTAGGAAAGAGCTATACTAAATATAGCCTAAAGTAAGCTAGTTATATGTAGCGCAGGATATATAGTAATAAAAAAAAGCTATTTCTAGAAAATACTTTTAAAAATAAAGATAGTTTTAGGCTTAACGTATGCAGCTTTGCTATAATAAAAAAAGAAAAGTCTTAGCAGTAGTAATAAATTTTATAAAATAATAATTTAGCACTTAATTACTATTTTTTAAAAATAAGGCCCTAATAATACTCTGCTAGAAAAAAAATTAATAAAAAATAAATTAAAGTTGCTAGAAAAGCTAAAAAAGTTTTAAAACTTATTTAATAATAATAAAGTAAAAAAGCTACTTTTATACTAAAAATACTTAGACTATTATATCTACTTGCAGCAAACTAAAAAGGGCAACGCCTTATACCTACTATAAGGACTTTTATATAGTATGCCCTAAAATTATTTACTAAAATTATAAAAATAAATTATAAATTTAATAAATAAAAAATAAATCTAGGCTAGCTTTTTTTTAGTAGGAGTACTTATCTTCTTTATACATAAGCCTTTAGAAGAGTAGCACTTTTATATAAATTATTAAGCCTTAAATAAAATTATAAAAGCAGATTAGTACTTTTTGCCTTTTATTAAAAAAACTTTCTAAATATTATCTAATACTAAGTAGTTTATAAAAGTAGATATCTGCTTAGCATTTTATTATTTACAGGTAGCTAAAAAGAATAAATACTTAACTATATTCTAGACCTAGTTTAGCTTTTATAAGTAGTTAGTATGCCTAATAAATTTAATTAAAATACTTACTTTTTTTTAATAATATATTAATAAAGCGCTTTAAAAAATATTAAAAAATTATACTACAGCGTACTTAAATAATATTCTAATATACTTAAGGGGCACTTGCAAAAACTATATAAAAAAAGTTTACTAAATTCTTATACTACTTAAAAAAGCTAAACTAAATTTAAATTTAAAAAAGTGCGTCTTTACTGCGCACAAAGTCTAGTATCTAAAATATATTATAAAAGTAAAAAAAGCAGTTTACTTAAATCTTAAAAAAATTTAAGTAATTTAAAAGTAGGAGCTA